TAGGCATATTGCAAGTGACAGCTGTCGAACATGACGCATTCGAGCACTGCGCCAAAGAAATTGCCTAGCTCTTGACAAACCAAAACCCCACTACCATTACACCACCCCTCTTTAATTTATCCCAATATGCAGCACTTGTCCGTAACCTTTCCGTCCAGGGATACATACCAAGGCGTTCGCATCAAAAGTCATGTCGAACACACGCCCTTTTATCCACTCAAAACTTTGGAATTAAAGGGGGCTTATATTTATTGCGATGCACCGTTTTAAACCAAGAGTCAAAATGAAGAAAATAATACACAATCGCTTGTTAAATTAACCATCAGCTTTATTTAGAAACCATCGAGATGCTTGACCGTATGATGTGTTTGGCATTAATTCGCATGTTAATTTGCACTAGCCCCAAGTGTGCTACATTTATCAGAGCCGCGATATGAATAGGGCGAGTAGTATAAGACAGGGTATATTCTGCACAAAATGGCCGCACATGCCTGATCCCTACACATAGACTTTGGTATAAAAACTGGATTTATTGACCAGCTGGTTAGTCAGATATGCGTAAGACAAAAAAAATTTGTCTAATCTCCGGTTTCTGTCTATACCCAATTCATACTTGAGCTTTGTATTGGCAATATCTATTATTGGCTGTTTGCCCGTGTTGAAACGGCTGCGGCATTAGCCTCAGTTTGTCTTGGGCAATTATGCGACAGCTTGTGAAATGGCTGAGGATGCGGTTGATAGGTATTGTTTGGTGAATAATAATTTTAAATGCATGGAGATTGTGGAAGATGATTCATTGATTTTGAAGATCTTGCGTGTGTGTTGATGCTGTTTGCTTGTGTTTGGCCTGGGTGTTGGTTTACTGCCGAGACTGCGGATTCGCATTATAAGTAGACTAAATTTTAAAGAAAGAAACCATTGTCATTTTATTTTAAATTAAAACAATCTCCACCGGTAATGTATTAATGTTTAATAGGGGTTTTCACGAAATTAAAATGTTTATTTGTTGCGCAGCCTGAGAATGGAGTAAATTAGGGAGGCATTACATTGAAGCCCAAACAAGCTCCCCATTTTGCAATGCACACCCATGAGCGCACACACGCGAAAACCACAATATTGACTTGCCAAGATACTGGTCTGCTCGCAGAAAAAACAGTTTTCGCCAACGGAGTGCACACTTGGAAATATGCACAACAAAGGCAACAAGATACATATATAATATGAGGCCGGCGCTAGTAGTATTTTATAAATATTCGGATGAGTAAATTGTTTTTTATTTGAGGAATTTCTTGTGTTTATATATCAGTTTCCTTTATTCCACTTTCTAATATATACAAAAAATTATTTGCTACAATATCTATTTTATAAATAGATATTTATTTATTCAGCTATTTAAAGTGGATATTTTTTTTATTAAATATTTACTTTTATATCGTATACATGCACAAACAAGACAAAAATATGCTTTTAATACTCAACCATTAAGCATTGCCATTGTTCCTATAAACTATAATGTGTATACGCGTATGGTCAAACTAAAAATAGACTAAATAAGTTGTTGTAGCTAAGAATTATAAAAATAGTCCATAATATTTGGCCCCACTATATTTACTGTACTAGTATTTGAAAAAGATTGCGCAAGATAAAAACAGGAAGTGCCATACACTTTTTATTTGGTGCATGTGTTTTTAGTATGTTAAGTATAAAATTGTTCCTGCCAATCTACTTGCAGAAAGAAAACTTGGATACATGTTTTATTGCTAGTAAAAGGGAAAACATATATACATTGTGTGAAATATAAAACAAGTTAAAGACAAAAATCAAAGTTGATGAATGAGACTGATTATCTATCACACCACCTTGCACATCATGGGCTCTATTACAGACCTGGCTATGTGCCCCTATAACAAAAATCATTCTAGAGGCAGCGTGGTTGGGAATTCTCCAAACCTGGGTCTAATTGCCTGGTGGTGAAAATTTCCACCAGGGATGTTAGTAAAACTTATAACCCCGAGCACTTGATCTGATAGCTAGAGCGTCAATTATGGCCAGATAGCTGGTGTGCATATCTGCCGTCCCCATTGCTGTTTGTTTGCGGCCACTTCAGCAGGCCATTGTCTTTGTCTTGTCGCAGATTTGGTATTCAGATGTTCGTTGAAATTGGAGTTCTCAACAATTGGCGTTTCTCAGGCGTCAAGGATCCCTTCATTTTTTGTTTGATATGTAGGTCGCACCGTCCCTTGTACCAGTCATACTGTTTGTCTATAATCTCGTTTGTAAACACAGTTGCTTGTTTTTTGCGCGATTCCCTTGAAGTTGCTTAACCAATGTTGTGTACCTGTCCTCTGTCAGCTCCTTTTAACTGAGCCTTATATCCAAGTCCAGCCTTTTTCCTGGTAATGGACCTCCACACGCTTCTTGATATCTTCCAATATGCTATCTGTCGGTCCTGGATACACTTGGAGTTATTGATTGTCTCAGCTGCAAGATCTTGCGGCTGGGTCCTAAGGATCCCAGTGAAAGTCCTCTCGCGTCAGAATCCCGTGCTCCTGTTGTGGTCACATGAATATGCGGCACTATGTCTCAATTGGTCTGACAGCCAGGCGATGGGCCATAGACTCATTTTTAGTTCAGGGTATGCATCAGGGTAACATTTCTATTGTCTATTAGGTACAGGCAGTGAGCGGAGAAGCATTTTTAATGCAAAGGAGCGACAGATGGAGTTCCTTGTATTGGTGATACGCCAGGCATTCTTATGATGCCGACCACCTTTCCTATTCACTGCCACATTCATCAGCTGGAGGATGGTGCTGACTATCATGGACGAGATTTTTGGCAGCTGAGTAGGCGCCAAAAGCCAAACCATATAATGTATTGCCTATGACTGTTAACAATAGACGTCATTTTGTCTACCAGGGTCAATAACCCATCTCAAGTTTAAAGCACCTGTGTGATACAAGAAAATCCAGCTTGTCGTAAGTGATTGATTAATGAACCAATCAACAGTTAATTCCCTATTTGGATATGCAGGAATCCATACGCACACATAAATACTAATGAATATGAACAGTGAAGGCTGTTCATCCTTTAGCCTTGTTTTAGTTCATCTTAATAAATATACTTTTATCATGACAATCCGTCTGAATCTGTAGCTGTAGCAGTAGCAGGAGTAAATATACAGCTGTGTTAATTGATCAAACATGTGCTTCAAATATGCCAAATTTAATCCCTGTAGCGACATGATACATGTTTTATTTTAGGTATACTTGAAAACTTTTTTAGTAAATAGTGAGTTTAGCTTTTCCATTTTTTAAGCTCGTGTGTAGCCAAAAATATGTCATCATGTGCAAATTTTAAATTTTTTACAGATTATATCTTGGCAATCTAAAACAAAATGCGCTCTACTTACTTTTTTATATAAATTAAACTAAAAGCTATCTTTTAATTTATTTATTGGGTTTTCATGTGAACAGACTGATTAGACGTCAAACTTGGTCATGTGTTTGTATTAATTTTTCACTTTACCATTGAAAATGGAAAACTTAATGATTAGACATTTGCCTTTGTTTTGTTGCCAAGACCTTAACATTTTACAATCTTTATGCATTTGCTTGAACTAAAAATAATCCCAAAAACTACGGCTTAAGTCCCAAAATATTTAAAAATGGATAATTGAGTGTTTACTTACTCTTTGCTTTGTAAAATAAATTAAAGGAGTAACCATCCAACACTGTTGATTTTTTGCAATTGGTTGGGCAAAACGTTTCCAAAAAAGTGGTTAAAGTGCCAAGAGATTGATCAAAATGGCAACTGTTAGACGGGTTGTCATTAGGTATGTTAAAGTGGTGTACATTCAATTGATTAAAATTGCTAATAGCTATAAAAAAATTGGGGCAAGCAAGTGCAAAAAAACCATTAATGATATGAGTATTTGAATGTCATGCAAGCATGCAAGTTTATTACTTATAAAATGGTTTGTTGGCAACACATTCTCCATACCAAAAATTCTATATAAATACAAGCCTTGGGCCGTGGTTGTCCAAATAATATTTTAATCTTATCACACACTACAACTACAGCTTGCAATTCTTGCCAACGCAATTAAGCTTAATAAACAGAGCGCAATTAGACTACATTCAACAGCCAAAACAATTATAACAAATCACTGAGCAAATAACTGATATGTATTTCAGCAAAAAAAATTTGAATATCTTTGTCCGCTGCAATGGTAATGCTTCGGAAATTTTGGAAATCCCCTTAGATAAAAATACAAAATCATATGGTGTGTTTTCATCTGCACAGAATTTTCTAAAAATCCCAATACTGATTTACCTCTGAACGAATTAACCTTAAAAGAATTTGTAAAGACTTTAAAATATCATATCATGGAAAACACTAAACATAACTATAACAAGTGTCCTTACACGTATATTACATCTGATATTCAGCTATTTGATTATCTTGGAGAACTGATATGTATAGACTGTGAAACTGATTCTGCCATTATGCTGTCGGATTTGAATAATAAGAAGAAATGGACATGTATGATTTTAATTCCAAAGAACGAAAAAACAAATAAAAAAATGCAAAACAAATATTTGATGATTGGATGAAAACAAACAATATGAAAGATGATAAACCTAAGGGACAAGGGTCCAGCGCTTCCGCTGCTTGATTGTGACCAACCTCACGCAAATCGCATATTTTTATTTAATTGCTAATGATTTATTAACCAATTTGGTAGTTTAGGTATTTCACATAATTACTTATTCATTTCACATGGTAACCAATTTCATTTGAATTTATTTTTAGTTTATTTCTAAAGTTCACAAACATTTATGTCCAATAAATATATTTTTAACTATAATTAGTAGAGTACACGCTCAAAAACAAGTTCAAACAAGGTTCTATTAGTTGACTGAATCTAACCGATTAGCCAGTCTTTATTGTTTGCTGTATGTCTTCCAGAGTGAATCAGTCAAGCATGATCATACCACATTGCCTATCCTGTTAGCCACGCAGTGACACACTTCACCTAGCTGTTCTCTCTTACCTCTCCAATACATAACACTCATAATATAGACATTATTAAATACATAGTATTATATTATTTATATCCCGTTCATAAAACTTTCATATTTCATTACTTTATCGTTTAGTTGGTTGGATATATTGTACCCATTTATTTGATTCGTATTTTCATATTTCTCTTTTTACGGAATTAAGCCAAGACCACGTACAATGCGACTCGAAAGGCTTGAATTCAAAAGTTGTGCAGATGGGCAAAGGCATGCCATACTTACAGGCAAAGTACACAATCATACCACTTCTCGGTGCCTAAATAAGAATAAACAATATCGACATTAGTGCACAAAAACTCAGTTTAAAGATTAAAATTGTTCCAGCAGCTGAAAATACATTATTACTTACCATGTACTATGCCAGACTGTCCAAGGCATGTGTATCCAGCACGCCTATACATTGGAACTAGATCCTCGCGTGAAAGCATTGCCAGTCTTTCTATCACTTTTTCCCCTTCACGCGCATTGTACTGCTTGATTGATTCGGTGTAAGCACCCAAAAGTCTGGAAGCAATACCCTGTCTTCTCTGCTGGGGTGCAACGCACACTGAGTGCACACATACAGTTGTCCCTTTGGAATCATGCGTAGACATGGACTCGTGCGTGACCAGAGCGAGGACGACTGCGTGGACATTATGAATCCGACCAATTCGCCCGTGGAATCAAATGCCCCCATGAAAAGATGAGGCGCATGCTTGAATCGGTAGAGCATGCCTTCCAGGCTGGCGGCCTCCTCTTCAGAGTACCCAGCAACTTCAAGTGGGTGTGCAACATGCACCTCATCTTCGCTGTGGAGATTTCTAAATTTTAAATCACAATCCATTAGCAAAGTGCACAAATAGAAAAGAAATTCGAATTTGAAGGAATTGAAAAAGACAAATCCAAACAGGATAAAGGTACCAATTGTGACTGTGATTTGTTGCGCGTTTCGCGTCTCGCGCTTCATGTTTTTATCAAATGCAAGCTTGATTGTGATTAAATCCTTGATTAAGGAATTAGTTATTTCTCCAATCTTCAAGCTGCAAGCTTAGTGGTGCTCAGAATTAAAGCTCTAAACATACTTCAGATGCGTGCACTGCTCAGGCTTTTGCGCCCGAAGAGTAAAGCAAACTGCGCGTGCAGCACGCCTTGGCAAGGGGATCCTTCTTTCAATTCTGTCTTTTGATATCAATTTATACTGAATTATTCTAAAGATGGTGAGTGTCATACCATTTATTCAACGCGGGAGCCAGCTGTCGAAAGCTGTGGCTATGGAGGGGAGCGAAAATGTGGCGAACACGATGGATGCGGCAGAAGTTATAATGGATGCGGCAGGATCCACGCTTTTTTTGGACAGTTGGATGCGACGAAACACATTTTTTGATGGATGTAGACTGACTACAGACAGAAATTATGCGTTTCTAGCTTGAATTCATGGTTTTGAAATTAGTTGAATTTCAGACATTTTGATAGTGTCCCTATTCGTTTGGATTCAGCAACGGCATTAGTAATGTTTGTGACTTTAGTTACGGCCACAGCTGCGGCTACCGCCACACTTTTCTCCCACCTATAAACAAACAATAACCCACAAGGGGCGTCACACTAGTTAAATTGAGGACGAACTATGTTGGATTGCTATTACACAAACTATGACGCACCTACTAACGACAAACTTTTTTACTTTTCTTCACTCTGTATGACGGACGCGCACTTTCTTTTTTTGATTTTGGATTGCTACGTAAAACGCATACAATGCATAATTAATGGTCTATGGCGGTTTTTTTATGGAAACGCGTGTTTGTTTATGGCGGCCTTTTACTTGCGGGGTTGTTATTTCTGCTTGCAATTGGGTGTATAGTCTGCTGAGAAAACCGCAAAGCCCTCGGACTGCATGCGCGAGCTCAAGATTGAGAAGCTCGTTCTCAACATCTCGGTCGGTGAGTCTGGTGATCGTCTGACTCGTGCCCGCAAGGTGCTTGAGGAGCTCAGCGGCCAGAACCCCATTGACTCCAAGGCCCGTTACACCGTCCGTACCTTCGGTATCCGTCGTAACGAGAAGATTGCCACCCACGTCACTATCCGTGGCCCAAGGCCGAGGAGCTGCTCGAGCGCGGCCTCAAGGTCAAGGAGTACGAGCTCCGTGCCCGTAACTTTCGGCCACCGGTAACTTTGGTTTCGGTATCCAGGAGCACATTGATCTCGGTATCAAGTACGATCCCGGAGTCGGTATCTTTGGTATGGATTTCTACATCGTCATGGGCCGCCCTGGCTTCCGTGTGGCCCGCCGCAAGCACTGCCGTGGCCGCGTTGGCGCCAGCCACCGCATCAACAAGCAGGAGACCATGGAGTGGTACAAGAAGAAGTTCGACGGTCTGATCTCCAACAAGTAAATTGTTTATTTTGTTGTTGTAATGCATCAAGCTGATCTCCCTTCTCATACTTTGTCCATCTTCAAAGTGTGTGCTCCAATAAAACAAATGACTTGTGTTTACAAAAAACCAAAACAAGCAAAAAAACACCTTGTATAAATGTGTTTGCTTATGTGCTACTGCTAAGAGAGAAAATAGAAAAATGTATTTTCAATGTGCCACCGCCGTTCAATTGTCAAGATCGCGACCATACTTCGAGAGGCGTTAATCATGCGTTACTGACGCAAAAGTGCTTTGCCGCGCGTTTACGTTAAATTAAAAATATTGCTTTTTAAACCGAAAGGGTTTGTCTTTGCTTTTGTATCAGTTCTATTTTTTCGATTCAGCTACCACTCGTGTATCTGCTACCTGACCTCCTGACAAAAAAATGGATGCCAACACTGGGTATCATTACCAGCTCAAGTCGTTTGGACTGACTCATTTCCAGTATCAGCAGGGCGACCATGTCGGCAAAGCGCTCGCGTTTTCCAGCCTAATACCGATATTTTAGTCGTCATGGAGACGACAGTCGTGTTGAGCCGGCGCGAAGTGGCTGGCATCCTTCTACTGCTTGGCCAGCTTGCAAACGAGGCATTCAACTTGGTTCTCAAGCAGATGGTCAAAATAGACCGGCCGAATCCGCACCTGGGCGACGGCTACGGGATGCCGTCCAGCCACTCACAGTTCATGGGCTTTTTTGTCGTGTACGTAGCCATGTTTCTGGAAACCCGGGTCACCACAAAGGCTGCGCACAAGCTGATCGTACAGGTGGGTGCCATTGCACTTTGCGTGCCGATTATTTTTTCGCGCGTTTACCTGGGGTACCACACGTTTCTGCAAGTGCTGGTCGGGTCGGCCATTGGTCTTGTTGCGGGTTTCGCCTGGTACCAGTTCATAGAGCGCGCTGTGTATCCAAGCGGCATTGTGATATGTTCTTGGACACTGCGATTTGCAAGTGGCTACTGATCCGTGACTCGCAGCACGTAGTAGACATTGCGCAAGCCGAGTACGACCTGTCGCACGCAGCAAGGGCCAAGGCGAAGCCAAAGAGCAAGTAAACATTCATTGAATGAAATATAATATTCTGTTTTATTTATTTAGAGGCAAATACTAGCTTTTAGGCGGATGCCATCTCAACGCCGATCTTGAAGGCGCCGACCAGCGCCGACAGCTGGATCTTCTCTGTCGAGCCCACCGACATGTGGTACTCAATCTCAGCCAGCTGCTCCAGCAAGTAAACGCGCGTGGACGCCGGGAAGTCTATGACATTGACATAGGGTGTCAGCTCGAAATGATATCCTGCAGCGCCAAGCCCTTGTCAACCTTCAAGGCCGCGATGTTGGAAAGCGCAACGTGGAATTCATCGTTGAGCATCCAGTCGGCAACGCGCTTGATGTCATCCGGGCTGGGCTGGCCTGTGCACGCATACACTTCGCCGCTGTCGATCGACGGGTAAGCCGCATGGCAGGCCTGTAGGACATTAAGCACTCTGCGCATATCACCAGAGGAGAGCCTGATGAGCGCGCTTTTGCCTTCGGCCGAAATGTTCACGCCCTCACGCTCGACAATCAAGTCCAGCCGGCCGTTGATGTCCGTCAGCTTCAGTGGGGCAAAGCGGAACCGCGTACAACGCGACTGCACGGCGGGGATGATCTTGCTGACGTAATTGCAGATGATGCAAAACCTGACGTTCTTTGTGTACTTTTCAATGACCCGGCGCAGCGCCGACTGCGCTGGCGTCGTCATCGCGTCGGCCTCGTCGAGAATCACCAGCTTTAGCCCGCTGCTGAACACCGTCCGCGTGCTGGCAAACGTCTTTATCTGATCGCGAATCACGTCGATGCCGCGGTCGTCCGAGGCGTTGAGCTCCAGGACCATGCTGCCCAGATTTTTGCCATAGAGCTTGCGCGCTATCGCCAGGACAGTCGTGGTCTTTCCTGTTCCTGGTGGCCCATAGAAAAGCAGGTGCGGGAGCTTTCCGTCATCAATAAATCTCTGCAATGTGTCTACAATGTCGCTCTGCGACACGAGCTCGTCGAGGGAGGTCGGGCGGTACTTTTCAACCCAGGGAAGGCTCTCTAAATCGCCCACAGCATCGGACAGTTTTCCCTTTCCCTTTGCGCCGGTGGCAAACGCCAGTGGGGTAACCTCGACATCGATATCCATTTCCTCGGACATCGCTTATTATTATATAGTAGGAACGAAAAGTGGGGGGTGAATGTGATTGAATTGAAATATGGAAAATGCGAATTGAGACAAGCAGAAAAGAAATAAAAAATGTGGGTTGGCTGCGGCTGAAAACCGGTCTGTTGGCTTCGTTTGCTGCTGCGCCAAATTAAAACGTTTTTTCTGCTTAGACCCCATCTTATTTTTTACGCGTCTGTTGTTTACACAAGCATAATCACCAAATTATAAATCATAAATCATAATCAACGATGGCTATTTTTTTCCTGCTTATTTTTTTCGGTTGCTTACCTTTTTCATTTTGCTTTTTGCTGACCATGGAACCTTTATTCCACCTATTCTTTTTCCACACTTTTCGTATATACACCAATTCAAACACAAGGCACTGCGATGAAGGTCCAAAAGAAAGAAAATAAACCTGTGCCATTTGACGACTCTGACAGCGATGCCGAGTTTGATCTGACTTCAGCGCTCATCCCACAGACAAACACAGTCCCGGTGGCAGCCAAGGCCAAGCCAGCCAGCACACAAAATGAGGCCGACTCTGCGGGCTCCTCTGATGAGAGCGATGGCGATTCATTCCAGCGCTCGGTTCTCGCACAGAACCGCAAAAAGAAGAAGTCCGGAGGATTCCAATCCATGGGACTCCACCCGCCGCTGTTCCGTGCCGTGATGAACAAGGGATTCAAGGTGCCAACACCGATTCAGCGCAAGGCGATCCCGATTATTATGCAGGGCCGCGATGTTGTTGGTATGGCGCGGACGGGTTCGGGAAAGACCGCTGCGTTCTTGATTCCCATGATCAACCGCCTGAACGCGCACTCGGCGAGAGTCGGCGCCCGCTCCATTGTTCTGTCGCCCAGTCGAGAGCTCGCCTTGCAGACTCACCAGGTCACGAAGGAACTGGTCAAGTACACGGATTTGCGCGCCGTGCCCATTGTCGGTGGTGACAGCATGGATGACCAGTTCAGCATCATGGCGTCGAACCCGGATATTATTATTGCCACGCCCGGTCGTCTGCTGCATTTGGTTGTCGAGATGAACCTGGATCTGTCGACGGTCGAGTACATTGTCTTTGATGAGGCTGATCGTCTCTTCGAATTGGGCTTTGCCGTGCAGCTGCAGGAGATCTTGGCCAGGCTGTCGGCCAACCGCCAGACCCTGCTCTTTTCGGCCACGCTTCCTGCCACGCTAGTCGACTTTGCCAAGGCTGGTTTGCAGGATCCCGAGCTGATTCGTCTGGATGTTGAGTCCAAGATCAGTCAGGATCTCGAAATGGCGTTCTTCAACGTTAAGCGCGAAGAGAAGGACGGCGCGCTGGTCTACCTGCTGCGCGAGGTCATCGGCGCGCCGGTCAACACTGACAAGTCGATCAAAACCAAAGGCTGGCGGCAGTTTGCCAGTCGCCCAAAGGAAGACAAGAAGAAGGACAAGGACTCCAATCCAAAGTGTCAGACCATTGTTTTTGTGTCCACCAAGCATCACGTCGAGTACTTGAACGCGCTTTTGACTGAGGCCGGATTCGCCGTCTCGCACATCTACGGTTCACTCGACCAGACCATGCGTAAGATCCAGATCTCGCGTTCTCAACTGGAAAGACGCAGGTTCTTGTAGTTACTGACGTTGCCGCGCGTGGTATTGATATTCCGATCCTTGAGAACGTCGTGAACTACGACTTTATTGACTCCAGCAAGGTCTTTGTGCATCGTGTCGGTCGTGCTGCGCGTGCCGGTCGCCGCGGTTGGGCGTACTCGCTGGTCACCACGGAGGAGATCCCGTATGTTCTGGACCTGCAGCTTTTCCTGGGCCGCCCACTGCACCTGGGAACGTCTGTGTACACAAACAACGGAACGAAGCCCTCGTACACCAATGAGATTGTCCTGGGTCAATTCCCCCTGGAGCTCACTGACCTGGATAACGAGTGGGTCGAACAGGCTGTTCTGAACGACGTCACCATTGAGGGCATGCGCAAGACGGCCATGAACGGTAGCAAGCTGTACCGCAAGAGTAAGCAGACGGCGTCCAGCGAGAGCCACAAGCGGTCCAAGGAGATCAGCCTGGCAGCGTCCTTCGCTGAGCCCCACTATATGCTCAACGACTTGATTAGGCCCGAGGAGAAGCAGCGCATGGAGATGCTGCGCGGACTATCGGGCTTCCGCCCGAACGAGACGGTGTTCGAGATCGGCAGCCGCGGTGTCAGGAACACGACCGCGGCCAGTCTGATTATGCAGAACTACCGCTTGACATCGAGGCAATTTATTGCCAAGACCAAGCAAACCGCCGCAACATGGACGACCCGATGGCGCGCTTTGACAGTGACTACCTGAATGCCGACGGCACCGTCGCGAGCAGCCGTGACGCGGCCAAGGAGGCGGCGAGCAAAAGCTCGCTGAACAACTTGCTGAACCCAAGCAACCGCAGCGCCTACCGCGACGACGACTTTTACATCCCATACACCAAGACTGATCTCAACACTGAGAAGGGATATGCCATGGCGAGCGGTGGATCCTTCGCCGAGCAGGCGCAGAACGCCGTTGTCTCTATTAATGGCGACGAGAATGAGGCGCTGCTGGCGCTTCAAAATGCAAAGAGGGCTAAGAACGTCATGCGTTGGGACTCCAAGAAGAAGAACTTTGTCCGTGGTCTGGGAATCGGTGCTGATAACAAGAAGCTGATCAAGACGGAGAGTGGAACCATGCTCCCAGCATCATTCAAGGCGGGCACTTTCAGGGATTGGGAGGACAAACTAAGACCCACATTCCGCGCGCTGGTGAGCAGGAGATGCTCAACTCGGCATCCAAGGCGGCAGCCGGCAAGTACGCGACCGGCAAGTTCCAGCACACAAAGGTCACGAGGCCAAGGAGCTTGATCCGCTGTCATTTGACTACGAGCACAAGTTGAAGAAGCGCAAGATGCAGGCCGGTGACGACGAGGGCTCGACCGACAAGTACAAGGGCACGGTTGAGTTCAAAGACGAGGAGTCCGGTGGTGGTGGTCGCGGCGGCCGGAATGGAGGCCAAAAGCGGGCAAAGACAGGCCCATCGGGCCATTCGAGCAGTCATCAGGGCTCTCGCCCCGAGCTCAAGTCGAAGGACCAGATCCGCAAGGACCGCTTGTTGAAGGAGAAGCGCGTGGAGAAGAATGGCCGTGGCGGTAGCAGCGGCAGCAGCAGCCGCGGCGGTGGTGGTCGTGGTGGCAGCAGTGGAGGCCGTGGTGGAAGCCGTGGTGGAGGCAGCGGTGGAGGTCGCGGTGGAGGCCGTGGTGGAGGTCGCGGTGGAGGCCGTGGTGGAGGCAGCCGCGGCGGTAAGCGCAGATAGAATATTTTACTTCAAAAATTGATTTTTTCATATATTTAAAAAACAGTTCGTATACATCCTACAAATATATCGCTGGCAAATATCGCGATAATGTTAAAAATGTTTTTTAATAAAAAAGATAAGCATGAAATGTAATGAAAAAATGAGAATTTGAAATCAAGATCCGTGCGCTTGGAAAGCTCAGAGTTTATGCACGCATTGATAAACGCCTGGCGCGCCTTGGTCTCCTCTGGCGATAGACCTATGTCGCGTGCCAGCTGCTCGCGCACCAGCTTCTTGGAAGTGGTCATCAAATCGGCGGTGGCAATGATGTTGGACACTTGGTTGGCAATTGCCTCGTCGGACACGCCTCCACCCATCATCATCATCTGTTGCTGCTGCTGCTGTAGCTGGCCGCCATACATCATGGCGCCATTTCCCTGAACAAAGTAATCAGGCATCCCTCCCGTTGTGGCTGGCGATGCCGCGCGCTGCGGCATCATCATCTGCTGGCCGGTGTAGCTGGGCATCATCATCGGCGTCATCGGGCTGCTGTGCGAGACCATCATCTGGCTGGTCCGAGGATCATACGCGGGCGGCATTGTGCCGGGCATGCCAAATGCAGCCGAATAGTCGGCCTGCGGAATCGGCGGTGAAGGCCCGGCAGCGTAGCTCATGACATCGTAAGTGTCGCCACTGTAGATGTGTTGTGATGGTGACCCGATGACAGGCGTGGCTCTCCCAGATGCGGTGGGCATCCCGGGAACCCCCATCATCGCTGTTTGCTGACTAGTGGCATAGCTCCTCGGATAGTCATATTGGCCGCCGAGTTCGAATTATATCCAAAGCCGCTGTCCATGTACACAGACGCCGTGTTGGAGTTGGCGTAAGCGTTGCCCATTACGCCGCCTTGGAACGCGTTGCTCATTGACTTTGGATAGTTGCCAACAGCAGATCCCGGACGCGGCATACCCATTGCCGCACCTTGACGTGAGCCAACGTCGGATCCATACTGAGACGGTGTTCTCGTGTCCCACACAAGTTCTTGCTCGTAGTCGGACCACTTGCGCATGGGGATCGTCGATGTGTCAAACTTTTCGTTGTCGACAACATACATGTGCTTGCGGCCGGACTCGCCAACGACCATGCGCGTGTTGCCCCATGAGAAGTCATCAAAGTGCCAGAATGAGTACACAGGCAGCATGAACGTGAAGAATGGGATGGCCAGCAAGTACACAATCATCCAGCCGATGTGCTGCCACTGGCGCTTGAGAATAAAAATCATCGCCTGCATGCCGTAAATTCCTGCCAGCAGGTACAGCGAGATGTACGACGTGGTTGAGTCCGGGTTGGTCAGCTGGTAGACCAGGTACACCAGGTACACCATGGTCGCCGGCATGATTATTGTCGAAATAAGATCGATAAACACGACAAAACGCATCGAGAAGCAACAGAACCCGCACATCTGCGGCAGGAATACTAGCTCGAACAGATTGTGCACGGTCGAGTTAATCCAGCGGCGGCGCTGCGACATGAGCACCTTCCACGAGTCCGGCGCGTTGGTCATGCACATGGCCTCCGAGTTGAACTTGTTCTTGAAGTACGGGAAGTGCTTGAGCATCAGCGTGGTCAAATACCGGTCCTCGCCCAGGTGCAGCAGATTCTTCATGTGCAGCGTCTCGACAGTGTTCTCTGAGTACTCCTTGATAATCTCCTTGGACACAAGCAGCGGCCTGCCGTCAACGGAGCGGATGCGATACATGCAGAAGCACCCGGAAGGCAAGTGACGGATCCAAACAGCGACTCGAAGGCCTTGGTCAAGTGGTGCGAGATGAAGTACTCGTACACCTGCATCATCGTGATCCACGAGCTCTTGGCGTTGGCCAGTTGTGTCTCACCACACAGCCCCATGATCTTTACGTCGTGCAGCATCGACCTCACCATGCGGTTCAACGAGTCCGGCATCACAACCGTGTCGGCATCAATCATCATACATACTCGTAAAACGCAGGGTTGACTCCAATGACGTTCTTAATCTGGTGGTAAATTTCGAGCTCGAGCGGCGTCATCGGCAGGTCAAAGTGCACCTTGTTGAAGAAGCTCATCAACATGATCTGCGAATCGCGCTTACCACGATTGCCTGGCCGAGTGCGCTCCTGGGGCGTGCCGACCTTGACTATCACCAGGTACGGAACAACGTGGCCCTTGAACTCATAAAGACCAGAGTACACCTTGGCCATGTTGTGCTCTTTGGATCCCTCGCCAAGCGCAATGTAGCTCAGTGCCTCAGTGTCCTGGTCGCGGTCGACCCCAAGGATGTCGAGCACAATGCGCGGCGTCGGACGGTCATTGCCGGAGCCCATGATCATACCGTCGCACACAATAAACAGCAGCTTGCGCTTGTCGTCGTACTTGGTCTTGACCATCGAGTCAATTGTGTTCTTCAGAGACTCCTCGTCCTCAGTGTAGCAGGGCACGTTCATCAGCACAAACCGGTCTCCAGGCTCAGGCTCGCGGCGGCTGCTCAGCTGCAGCGCGGCAACAAACTTGAAGAAGATGACAGATACCAGGGCGATAGACGCGGCCAGCAGCATGTAGTTGGCTGCATAACATCTGGCCGACTTGCGCCCGTCAACCTTGCCCACGTAGAATGCGCCTCTGAGGCACTGGTAGTGCAGGTTGCGCATATTGGCGTTGGTTCCAAAGTACGCGTTCCACATCTCGTGATATCTTGGCCCTTTTTCTCGTCAAACATGGTCACGACATTTGAATCCAAGAACTGGCGGTTGAAGCTTGTCGAGTTGCTCTGGCCGTCAGGCACAACGACGTACGGTGCGCCGTTGGACGCGATGTAGTCGGTCAGATCGAATACTTCGCCATTGATGATGCAACGTGCGAAGTTCTTACCAATGGATCCCTTGGCCGTGCCGGCCGCCTGCTGGCGAAGAAGAGCAGGGTCGACGGCGATGTGGCCCTTGGCGTAGTTCTGGCGCATGATGCGCATCAGGCGGTACTGGTAGTAATTGTATCCCTTGTCGGTTGGGTGGCGCCACCAGCGGTTGTCGTGGTAGTAGGCCTCAGAGTACAGCACGGCTTGTCCTGCATGGACAGGCGCGGGTCCATGTTGCTGAACGGGCAAATAAACGATAGCTGCAGCGGGAAAATGTCAGAAAGGTCGCGGCCAAGATAGTTATGGTCCAACAAGTAGTCGAACTTAATATTCATGTGCGTAAAGTCCTTGACGTCAAACACCTCGCCGCGGATGGCGATGAGCGCGTCCGTGTCGCTGCTGTGGCCGCCAAGCTCTTGGATCGAATACACGTTCTGGCGCGGGCAAAGAAGCACTCCAAGGCCGCAGATCCAAAAGATAACTACACCGCAGGACCAGGTAATAAGCATGCAAAGCGTCAGCTTCTCGCGCCAAGCGATCTGCTCGTCCTTGCGCCGGCGCTTGGCACAGCAGGAGATGGCTTTGTTAGGAATCATCCAGGTGCTCACCTTGACGACAAACAGCCATATGCGGCGCACGGTCGTAATGGTCTTTGCGGTGCCCTCGTCCTCCTCATCGAGACTGTCCTTGTAGTCGCCGCCGGCATTGCTCAGCACATCGGAAAAGCCCGAGTTGTAGCCGCCGACCTCGCTTATCATATCGGAGAACCCGTCCTTGTTGAGCATGTCCTGGTAGGCCTCATCGTCAGAGTAAAACGAGCGCGTGTCGTTATCGCCAAGCGCTGCTTCAGCGCGCGCGTGTACTGCTCGCCTTCGTTGCCGACGTGGAAGCTGACTCCTGCGCTGCTCTCATTGGCCATTGTGTACTTCACCCCGTCAATGCCCATCTTTCGTCGCCGGTCTGCGTCAAATGGTCGTCATCGAGGTTTTGCGCACTGCGCTCGCGGGCCCTGATCGGGTCGTCGATGCGACGCCACGTCTCGTAGTCCATGAAGACCTTGGACGAGCCCATGTTCATAGCGCTGTCATCCAAGCCCATCGCCTGCTTGAGCGCCCGGCACTTGGACTGTGGGTCGCCATTCCGGCCATACTCAGGCGCATACTCGGCAATAACCATGCCGTAGCGTTCGCAAAAGTCCGACTGCAGCATGGTCGCGGCGTACTCAATGCGCTTGCGCTTAGCGATATCGTTGAGGGCGAATCCTTTGACCACGTTGAGCACCTTGCGCGCATCGGCCCAGCCAGGCTTGGCCTGGTCGTTGGACTTTACGCAAACCACAAACCAGGGCAGTGTCTCTTCAAGCGTGACAATCAGCTCGGAGATGGCACGGTTGAATTGCGTGGCCAAGCAACCGACCTTTTTTATGCGTGAGGCTGGGAGCTTGCCCTTGGAGCGGTGCATGAGGGGGCGCGCGTGGGCACGGCAAGGGCCTGTGCCTGCAGGATGGTCTTTTCGTTGCGCGGATGAACCTCGGTGGCAACTGACTTGTCGGTAAACAGACCCGAGATAAACTCGCTACGCGACCCTTGGCTTTCGGCAGAGCCGTCGCCGCGAAACAGCGCCACAAAGTCGGAGCTGAGCTGATCGAGATTTTTGTCAACAAAGCCCTCGATATCGTAAGTGACTTGGTTCCAGAAGTGCGACACCATGAAACTGTTCATCTCGTTTTTGCTGTCGACCGACTGGTAAAAGTCGTTCTTATCGCTGGTCTTTCCAGAGTGGTGCTTGTTGAACGAGCTGAGGAGCTGGAATGCGGACATGCGCTCATCGGCGTCGGCGGTAAACTCGCTCATGGAGCTCACCGAATCCTTGCGGCCCTTCTTCCTGCCCTCTTCCCGGCAGCGGCAGCGGCGGCAGGGCCCTTGCCGAGAATCTCGTTGGCCTGGCGATCCATGATGAAAAACAGGCCAGACTTGCCCTTGATGAACAGGTCCAGACACTCGGTTCGGTCGGGGAAATCGACAAACCCAGGCCCACTCATGAGGCTGTCCGCCTTGTAGTCATCGTTGCCCACCTCGAACACCTGGTGGAACATAAAGTGCTGGATGCGTTCGTTGGCGTAGTTGGTGCACAGCTGCTCGTACCCGTTGCGGCGCTGTGATTGCCATCCAGGGAAATCTAACATTCCAATAAATGTCTCGCGCTCGTTGTCTTCACGACAGAATCGGCCGTTGATAAACTCGACAACCCAGTTAAACAGCAGCGAGTACATGCCACGGCCAAGCTCGTTGCGGCGCACCGATGCGCCCTTGGCGTCCAGGTATACGGTGCAGGATTCGTTGCCAACAACCTGGGTCTTGGTGGTTAGCACTGTCTCGAGCATTATAGGGTCCACGCCTAGAACCTTGCTCACTTGGTGCAGCAAGTCGGTGTTCCTGACAACCGCCGAGTCGAAGCCGTCCTGGCTCTCGAACGCAAAAAGCAGGTTTCCAAGGCACAAAATGGCGCCAAGAACGGAGAAAATATGACGCTGATAGCGCTTGTGCAAGCCGACGTGCTTCATGGCCATGCACAGATCAGCAAACTGCTCGACATCGCTGGTGTTTGATATGCGCTGGGCAGGTCCCGGATGGCCCAGATACTCGAAGGATATCACGTCGGCGGGCATGCCGAAATGCAGGCGGTTCTCGCTGGTCGTGCCGTTTGCCAGGTAGTACATAATGTGGAAGTTGCGCTCATCAGGCGGCGTGTCAGTGACGCGGGCCTTTTCTAGCAAATACGTCAGTGTTTTGACGCCGACTGCTCGGCCGCGCTGGTCGAATTGTAGCTCTGTGTAAGTGCCGACGCGGGATGCGTTGCCATGGGACGTGGTCTTTGCGTTGGTGAATGCCTCGAGAACAGTGTCAGCCTGCTGCAGCTTGACAAAGAGCTTGACGTCCTTCTTTGAGTGCGTGCGCAAGAGTGAGAAGAACCGGAATGCCAGACGGCGCTGCTCGGTTTTTCCGCTGCCCGACTCGCCGCTATTTGGTTAATCAATCAACATTTGCAATAAATAAAATACGATAATAAAGTTGGTATTTAGTACTGGTATTATTCTGCGCAAGTTGATTCTTTGAACCATTTTTTTACAATGTGTAATAATGGAACCATTTTGTAGTTGTTGTTATGATAGAGTGTGACAGTGGCTTGTACACGATAAAAGTCGACAAGTATATTACTGAAAAATTCTGAAATAGTACACACAAACATACGCCCGCACGCTCGCAGCAGAACAAAATATGACATGCACAAAAAAGCATCTGGTGCTAATGTTGTTATATTCAGAATGTGTAGAGGGAAAAAATATAAAAAAATAGACAAGGCCCAAAACGATTTGAAATATGATATGCATGGTGGGGGCTTGCGAAGTGAATAATTGAATACCCAAAAATAGAATATGCGTGTGCCCAAATAGGAACAAAATATGCCCAGGAATAGTGATCAATTAAATACAAGGGCATTATTTGCATGCAAACAACAAAAAAGCACAACGCACTCGCTCGCAATATAGTGATGATGAGAAAGAGAAAACAAGTGAAACTAGACACGCAAAAAAAATATTAAAGTCGCACTTACATGAAGGCTAAGCTCTGGTTGAGTCCAGTTTGGCGCATATGAAGGTACGCCTGCTCCGCGGTTCTGAATACATGCGGGACAAGCTCGGACGGTCAGGTGAGGTGTCGCGATAATCCTCACATAACGCAAGGCCGAATCGTCGGAGCTGGAGTCCTGGGCCTCAAAGGGGTTGAGGGCGACTAACACGCGGGTTCCAATGTTGGTGTAAGAGTAACCCTGCGGGCGACGCTCAAAGCGCTTGACTAGGACATTGGCGATTTCCTCCGAGTCCATGGACGACGCGTCAGATATACGAGCAATGTCGTCGGTGGGCAAAGGCTGGGCCATGGCTATCCTTGTTTTTAGTTGCTAGTCCTCCTTGAGAAAAAAATAAATAAATAAAACTTGTTTTGCTTGATTATTTGGTTAAATGGAGGGTTTTCTTTGGACGAAAAAAAGATTGTCGGGTTACTTGGAAGAAAAAAAGGTAGATAGAGAGAAGAGGAGGGTGGGTGAGTGGGTAACTACTAGTGCTGGCGCATACACGCACAATTCCTAGCGGTAGCGGTGGTTGATATACAGAGTAATATGAGCACAGCAAAATATAAATGGAAAAATGGAAGAGAAAAATGGGGGAGCCTATTAAAAATTAAGAAATGCTTGTGCGCATACACATATATAAGTATACCAGAGAATATGAGTATGAAAAGAAGAGAAAGATGTTGGAAAGAATAAGAGACGAACAAACTGTCTATAAAGCCAGCACAAACAAGGTGTGTGCGGTGACGCGAAATGAAAGCTCAAAGGTGAATGGTTTCTGACCAAAGATAAAAAATATTTTTTTGTTTTCTCTTTCAGATACAGAATTCAAAAAGTTTGGCTTCTCAGGCGCATAAAAAATATCTGGCTGCCGCAGAGCCAAAAATGCATTGATTTCAGAAGACCATTGTTCTCACACACAAAAAGAGAGTAAACATTTTTGTTGTGATTTTTATTTTGAACAAGAGAGGGATGATAAACTAATAAAAAAGGAGGGAGCCTCCCTATTTCTCCCTTTTTAAAAACTCGTATATGGCTCTTATTTTGCACTTTTTGGTTTTTTTTATTTAAATCAAACTACACAATTATATTTCGAGAAACGCAGTAAAACTCAAAGAGATGAACTCTTGTGTACAATTGTAACAATTTTTTATGAATAACTCGGATATGTGAAAACAAGGTACATTTGGTCATTTCAGACAAATCATTGCGGGATATTTTTTAAATCCACATTTGACTAAACGCGTGTTTGTGAGAACTTGAAGATATATGCAAAAAAGGCAAATATGAACAGTATAATATGATGGCAACAGGGCGTGTCGATCGATATCAACATAACATATGAAGCAAATGTATTAATGGTCATTAAAACTTGTGTGAATGTTGATTTATTATTTCAAAAAGGGTAAGTTGGTAATCTATTGGGATTTTTGTATGTGGTTGAGCTTGTGTGTGTTAAAAAGAAAAAGTTATTATGTACAGTTTGTTTTCACAGATTAAAACCTATGAAAAGATATAAAAGAGATAAGAGGATGAAGATGAAGATGAAGATGAAGATGACACTAACACCAGTAGAAAAGCAGGGCAGAGAGCAGAGAGAAGAGCAAATAAGTGAGTGAGTTTGTGGTGAATGATGGGGTGTAAAATGAGTGCAGGTGTGAAGTGAGTTTGCCCATCTGCACATCCCTTGAAGAGCACTAGTCGCCAGCTAAGGCAACCAAAAAATGCAAATCACCGCTCTCTCTCTTTTAGCCAGACCGGAGCTGGCGCTGCTGCTGCAACTGCTGCTGCCTGTACGTCTCCTTCTCAGCCTCGTCCTCGAGCTGGTAGAACTCAAACATGTCCATGATGCACGCCTCAACAGCGTGCTCGGATTCAACGAGAAACCCACCGTCCGAGAATCAAGCAACAAGCCATCAAACTCGTATCCATGCACATTCATGGCAAAGTACAACGCAGCCACGGCAATGACTTCAGGCGCGTACAAAAGGCAAATTTGCGAACGCATGCAGTCGTTGACATGAGCAATTGCACTTTTGACCACGAAAATTGGGATGCCAAACTCCATTGCCAAGGCGTCGATAAAGCGGTGCGGGTGCGTAATGTCGAGGTCAAAGCAGCAGTTCTCCGCCACGGATATCTCCAGTCGCTTCAGCGTGCGCTCCCACCGCTCGGCGGCGCTGGCGAGGTCCTTGGTGACTCCCTTCAGGGCTACAATCGCGCAGGCCTTGGATACGACCTTGATCGGGCGCTTGTGCTCCTCCACCTTGGAGGCTAATAATACGCACGCTCCGGCCACTTCCTATTAAATGAAAATGCATAGAAAAATACGGGGGGGGGGGGGGGAAGGGAGGGGCGAGGATAATTAGAGAAGCCGTAATTGGGAGAAAAAGGGGGTCGCTTGCTAAGCCTAGGACAAGTAAATATTTTTCCATCCTTGTATTCCTCTTACTGCGGCCAAATATGTGCTTACTGTCAATCTGGCCGCTTTCGCATCTACTAGTCACAAAAGCTAGCGATGCTTGTTACAAAAAACAAAACATGTTCACACCCAACAGCGTTTGGCAATGGCAATGAAACAGACAGGGGAAGGGGAAAACAATATGCTTACATATTGGTGATGTTGGGCTACGGATTGCCGCGTGTAGAACCGATGGAAAAAGGTGCACGCTGTCGATGCCACGATCTGGTGCCTACATTATAAACAATTGGCATAGTTTGAGGTGGTCGATTAGTGGCAGCCTCTGGGCATTGTTGTGTGAAAGTTTGCGCTTTCGAAATAACAAAATAACAGTGATTGTTGGGGGGCGTCGTATTTTGCGTAGTGTTGTGGCCAAGACTTTTCTTTTTTTGCTGCTCACACAGTATAGAAGCAGTGTAAAAAGAACCATGAAGCCATCACGCACAATGCACAATGACACACTCGTGGCGAGAGAAACAAAAAGCAAGTAAAACCAATTTTACAAGAGCGGAGATGAAAAGAACATAACCTCAATTACAGCGCAAATCATGCGCTTGCATGCATGTATGCATGCACATCAACAGGAAGAATAGACATCAGACATGCTTCGCGCAAAAGCAGCTTTCCCATTGCTTATCGTGCATAATAGGAAAGGGGCGGGCAGCAAGCAGCAATAACAACAAAAAAAGAAGGCTGGTGAAGTGATCACATCACAATGGAAAACCAACATAACCAATATGTACGTTAGCCGGACCCTATTATCCAGCACGAAGACGGTATTTTCGGGTGCTTCAAGCAACAAGCAAAAAACCACACAGCTAGGAAAATAATGTGGAAGAGAAAGGCCATAGCAATGGCGCGCACTTACATTTCAAGTCTTTTCACGACGTTGTAGATAAAGTTACATCCTCGAGTACGCCAGCTCCGAATCTCCGCCTGCGCGCTCTGCTTGTTCCCAGGCGGCGTGGCGTAGTCGTTTGCTGTCGATGAAGGTGTGCCGACAAGGTCCTCCTTCCGGAACAGCCACTGGTTGGAGGCCTCGCCGACTGTTGGCGAGTATGTGGCATCATATGCGCAAAGTCCGAGCTGCGTCGCCATACTGCTTATTTGCTGCGGTTTGTATGATAAAAAAGATTGCGCTTGACCCGAGTGTGTTAATATATCCGTCCCCGATTTTTTTACGTGGTGTGCGAACAAAGAAGAGAAGCAAGTTGCAAAGTACGGCCAGTGTCACACCTTGCTGGGTGGCCGGCTAGCTGGCTGGTTGGATGGGTCAACTGTCTGTGGTGCAGGAGTAAGGAAAGGCGACTACTGTCCTTTTTTATGTGAACAAGCTAAAATATATCTTGAGTTTGTGTATAAAAACAAAACCCAAAAGAGATATGGCGAAGGCAAAATAGGAAGGGGGCGTGCTAAGGGGAAAACGATAATAAACAGCTACTAGGGAGAAAGAGGAGTGTGTGAGAAAAAAGAAAGAACGAACAAGAGAAAATAGGCAAGATTTTAATTGCAAGGAATATTACAAAAAAAAAGCGAGGCTCCAGCTTCCTCCTCTTTACGCCTTTAAAACCCAGTCTGTTATTTCCCAAAGGTAGAATAAAAACGGCAAGAGCGGTTTTTTATTGCTGCTGCTAAAGAATAAAATAAAAAGAGCCAAAGTCTTACAAACTCCTGAATTAAAGAGAAAATAAGCACTTTGACAAAGAGCTAAAAAAAGGTTGTAAAAGCGTTGAAGAGAAGAAAATAAAGGGTTGCAAAAAGAGGGAAGGTGAGGATACTAAAAATAATGAACCGAGTAGTGCAGCTCTTGGCTTATTAGAAAGAAAGAAAAGACTGGGCTGCTTCGGGACCCGCTTTTGCTGCTAATGCCGCTGCTGTTGTTGTTTATTTTTTTTGCTCAGCCAGGCTCGATAAAAAGAGCAAATAATGAGAAAAATACAAAAAGAAACTGTGTACAAAAACAAGATAAAAAGAAAAGGTTGTTGACACTAGAGGAGAAGAGGGAAAGAGGAAGGAAGGAAGGAAGGAAGGAAGGAAGGAGAGAGAGAGAAAGAAAAAGGCGGGGCAAAGGTGAATACAGGCTGTGTAATTTGCTTTTGGCCATTTCATCGAAGCGCTTCACTCACTCACTCGCTTGCTCGACTCTGCCACTGTCTGTGCCTGTACTTGCCGACTCCCCCCTTTTTTTATGCAAACACCATCCCCCTCCTCGCAGTGCAAATCCCGCGCTTCGAGCTGGCTGGTGAAATTGCCTTTATTTGGACAGAGGGAAGGGGCCGCGGAGGCTGGAGGTGAGCGCGCCTCTTCCTTCCCTCCTCCCTCCCCCCACCCAAAAACGGCCAAACAAAAATCGAGGCAATTCACGTGGATCTTGAAATCCTGTTCCGAGAGGCGCAATCGATCAATAGCGGGGGGCTCTGGCCTCATGAGCAAGCAAACGGGCATACCAATATCCCGCAAAAAAAGTGACCTCATCGCAAAGTGAGGAAGAAAAAAAGACGAACATAACTATAAACCAATAGAAAAGAATGGGATTTTGGTTCCTGAAAAAGTGTAAATTAAAAATGAAAAATGAAATAAAACAAGTCATCTAGTTCGAGACTATCGATGTAATAAACTGGCGCTTATCAGCGGACAGCTGCTGGACGGCTGCAGAGATCTGGGCTTGGACTGGGCGCAGGATCTGGCCAAGACCGCGGCTGGGTTGACAATCTGTGGGCACGGGTCAATCTTGATGTCGCCCAGCGTAGCCAGCTTGGCATACGACGCCTGGTACTCTGAAGCCTCAACCTCGAGCGAGTCCAGATCCTCATCAGCGGCTACAGTCGATGCAGCAGCCGCCGCAGCTGCGTCCTCAGAAGATGCAGGGGCGGCGCTGGCATCAGCCTGCGACTTTGTCTCCTTGACCGCAGTATCCATCAGCATGGTAGCCAACTGGTCGAGCACGGCAGTGGTCAGTGGCACATAGGCGGGTGCCGACTGGAAGCGTGGCGAAGCGACCATCAGCCCAAAGCCGACAACAGTGGTCTTGCGCTCGACACGGCCGATAACCTTGGGCACGGCCTCCAGAAGCACATTGCTCAGCAGTGTGGCCATCAGATTCGGCTGGATGGAATCCATGGCATCGAAGAAAACATCCACGCCGGCGCCGCTCTGCGCACCAATGCACATGACCGAGGCCGCGTAGTGCACAAAGTTACGCGTAAACTTTGTTGTGCGCGACGCCTGCAGGCGCGTCAAGCACAGGGTCAGGATCGGCTTGAGGTACTGCTTCAGTGCGGCAGGCGGTGCGAACTGCGTGATCGCCAAAAGCAGGTTGAACCCGTGGTGGTCATTGGTGCGCGACGCAATTAAGCGCTGGAAGACGCCCAGGACTGGCTCCAGTTGGCCGCTGGCCGCGAGCTGCGCACCGCCGACCTGTAGGAAGCTCTGCAGCAGGCGCACGAGGGCAGGGATGTTGCCCTGCGCGGACCATAGGGCGGGCTGCAGCAGCGGAGGCAGTAGGCTGACGTAAGCCTCAGGCAGCTCCGTGCCGCCCTGGTGCATGGACAACAGCTGCGCGAGGATCTGGAACAAGTACGGCATGAACTCGACCACGTCCCCCTGTAGGATGCCCTGGAATATCGGGAACAACGTGGCTTCAAACTGCGCGAGCGCAGCACCCTCGGCTGCGCACGAGAATCGGGCCAGCGCGCCAATAGCCTCGAACATAAAGTGGTTGAAGCGCGGGTTGCTCGGGTTCTTTGAGACCTCGGCCAGGATGGCCGCCAGCTTGGCCAGCGCGGCCGGCGCCAGCGGCAGAATGTTGGTGCGTGTGGCAAGCACGATGCGCATGACGGTCTTCATCAGGTACTCGTTCTCGGCCAGCTTCTGCGGCGAGTCAGCCGAGTCCAGCGCAGTAAATATGTGGCCCAGCATGGGCTGCGCCAGTGGCTGCACGTCGGCGGGCGAGAACAGCATTGTGTTGTCGCGCTTTTGCACCAGCAGCCGCTCGATGGCAAAGGCCGCGTACGTGGCCACCACGGCGTCGGGGTGCGCCAGGTGCGCGGCCAGCAGGGGGAGCGCCTGGACCAGCAGCTCGCGCGGCAGCTGGCTGCGGAACGTGACAACGTACTTAATCGCGTCAGCCTTGAGGATGGGCGACCCGGTGTCAGAGCCCACGTTCTGCAGGTGCTGGATGATCTGCGTGCTGAAGAATTCAGCCACGTCAACCAGCTCGTTGACGCGCGTGGCCCCGAGTGAGTGCACGGACGCAACGACAGCCACAGAGGCTACAAGGAACAGCGCCACATCCTTGTCGCGCCAGTTCGCAGTAGGGTTGGCAGCGTACTGCGCAAGGCCCTTTTGGATATACTGCGACATGACCTGCGTCGTCTCAGTTGCAAACTGCTCCAGCAGGCCGGAGACCAGCTCTGCGGCGGCCTCGCGGCGGGTCCCGGCGCTGTCGCTCTCAACTTCGCGGCGCACAAACTGCAGCGGGTCGTCCTCGAACATCTCCTCGTCGGCCTCAGGCAGTGCTGTGTTGGGGATGATGATGCGCTCGCAGATCAGCTTCAACGACTCGCTGGTCGAGAATAGCTCGCGGTGGTGCGGGTTGCGAACCACCGTACACAGGAAGGACATACCAGTACTGACAATGTTGTCGTACTTGGGCCCGTTGCCGACGACCGTCAGCATGCTCCACACGGTCTCGACGAACTGCGGTAGCTGCTTGAACTCCTCCTCGTAGCGCAGGGCGTACAGATTGATGATCTCGCAGATGCTCGATTTGACCTCCTCCAGGTCGCCGGGCGCATCGTCGTCGCTCTCAGCATGTGGGTTTTTGTACACCAGGTACTTGTGGAACGTCTGCATAAACTCGCCCATGTTGTCCTCGAAGAACGGCGGCAGATCCTGGCAGTTGAGGTCGTAGTAGATCTGGCACAGAAGCATTAGCGAGTGCAGCAGCACCTTCAGCGCCGCGGGGTTGCTTGCGTGCTCGTCAAGCAGGCGGTCTGTTGTCACAAACACCTCCAGGTACGCGTCTTTGAACTGGTCCATCACAAGGTTGATCTTTGTGTACAGCCGATCGGAGCGGAATGCCGACCGCCACTCCCGGAACACGGTGTGGGCCGTTTGCAGGATGCCATTATTTACGTGGTAGTCTGTTGCCGACAGCTTGGACACCAATGTGAGAATCAGCTCTGGCCACTGCTCCGGGAAGTCGCTCTCGGCGATGATTGACACGGCTTCGCCAATCTGCAGTTGCAGCCGCTTGGGCACCGTGATCATTAGGTTCACGATCTCGCTCTTTACTACTCTGCGGTCCTCTTCCAACAGCGTGTCCTCGGTGTCCTCGGTGTCCTCGCTCTGCGGCCAGCAGCGCTTGACAAAGTTTTTAAAGTACAGTGCCGCTGCAAAGCGAATGTTGTCGTTTGTTCCTGAGTCATTGACCAGCTGCAGCAGGGGGACAACAAAGTGCGGCGCTTTTTCGATGGAGCCCAGGTACTGCTCGGCTACACGCGGCAAGAAAGTGTGAGGGGGGAGAAATGGCAAGGTGACGGTTGAATTTAGTACAATGCCGGCCCCGACGAGGGCTGAAATTCATAATGCAGCGGGATTTTATTTAGTAATAAAAACATACCTTGCTTGCGCTCCTGTGTATTGGGGCTGAGAGTTTGTTGAAGACTGCTAGCCAGAGCCTCCTGAGAAGTAGCACTCGACGACATTTTGTAAATAAGCAAAGTTACAAAACAAATTCAAGGTGTAAGGTATAAATAAAAACAGTAGTGTGGTGAAGGTAAAGTTGGGGGAGCAAAAAAAATACTGAAATTTGAGAAACAGAGAGAAAAGGAGAAAAAAAAGAAAAGAATCCAAATTAAATGCAAATGCAAATACACATTTTTTATTTTTCAGTTCTTCGCTTTTCCGCGAGTCCTTTTTTCCCTCAACATCAAAAGGTGGCTGCTAACAAAGAAGAAAAATTCAAAACAGCGCCCAAACTGGATTTTTATTTTGCCCTTTTTTCTTCCTTGGTGATCACTTGACATACTTTGCACTTTGCCATAAAGCAAACGAATGACTATTGCTGTGAAATATTTTCAAAACTCTAACTTAAAAAAAATTAAAATTAAAAAATGTTTTTGTTTTCTTGGGGCCGAATAAAATGCTTCAAAACTCGATTATTCTTCCAGCAAGCCAATACGTGCACACATTGATATGTACGCTTAGTGCAACTTCAGTCAGGATACTCGGTGACGACACGGATGTCATCAGCTGCAACCGAATGGGCTGCGAGTGTCATGTCTTGGATGACCCACAGCGGCGAGTGCTGTTTGCCCTGGTGGTCATCCTGGTTCTGACAGCAGTGGCACTAACGTTTGGACCACGTAAGCACGCAGCTCGAGATCAGTTGGATCCGCTCTCTGATAAGCCACAACCAACTCGTGTTTTTTTTCTGTACGCACACATGAACTAATGCCAAGAAACTGGTTGAATGCCCTCCCCACCCTTGGTATTCAATCAAAATGCATTTTGCGCAAAAAATGTAGAGACACCGCAGTCCCCACTGATGGCCGAGTCGCCCTCAGCATCAGGAGAAGCGTCTACGACAACAGTCAGGCAGATCTGCATCGAATGCGGGTTCCCAGTAGCCAGTCTATACACCGAATATGGCGTCGAGCACATCCGACTAACGCAGTGCGAGAACTGCAAGAGCTTTGCAGACAAGTACGTTGAGCACGATGTCATAATAATGTTCATCGACATGCTCCTACACAAACCACAGGTATACCGACACCTTCTGGTCAACAAGCTCGAATTCCGCCATGCCTTTATCGAGAAGAACGTGGGCAAACTGGGCATACTCCTGATACTCTTCAGCGTGTACATTGATTGGTTCCGGCTGGAGGAGGGCGGGCGGCTGCGCGGGCAGAGCGAATTGTTGTTTGAGAAGCAGCATTCGTTTGCATTGCAGTATTTGTTTATTTTGGTCTTGTCTGCGATTGATGCAGCGGCGTTGCTCGTGGGGATTTTGCTCGCGTCGGTTATTCACCAGAGGTCGTTTAGGCAGGCTAGGTGGTGGGCGACTATTTCGACAGCATTGATTATTTCGGGATTCGGCAAGGTGCTGATGCTTCTGCTAGTTATCTGGGAGTACAACGAGTCGTATTACCCATGGCTGCTTGATTTTTTAGTGTTCACCTCGCACTCGACGGCAATCTCTGTGCTATTTGACATTAATGTTCTGTGGGCCAGCCTCGTGGTTGTGTTCAGCACGGCTGTCAAGCAGCTTGTGCACCTAATGGCACTCACTGTGTCTTCGTTTTTATTTGCATAAACCCATCCAAACAATTCAAATATCTGATATACTTTTATGTGTTTGCGCACAACAACAACAACAATGAAAAAAGAATGAGAATGATCTGTGCTGCCTACGGATGGATCTGGAGCTGCTGCATCAGCATCCATGCGTACATGAGCATAGTCGCTGAAGCCACGGTGGCGACCATCAGTGGCCACTTATGTTGAAGCGCCAAGTTGCGCGCCTTCTGAGCCGAATTGGTGAGGTCAATAACCCCGGCCATCCGATTAATCCTCCCGCCCTCGGCCGACGAATCAACATTGCCAGCCAAGGGATGGCACCCGTTTCTGACCGCAGGCAGCAGGCTCTCGAACGCCATCGGCCTCGCCGGATCCAGCCGCCTCCACGTTGCCTCGTATGTGTTGACGGCAGACAACTTGGGCAGAATAATCTGCCCCATGTGTTGCAGCTTGGCCGGCGGAAACTCAATCTGCATGTAATATGAGTCCTCGATAATCGCGTGCCAATTGCGAATGCGGCCCGGAAGCTTGACGAGCCCAGTATGAATGATGGCAAAGTCCCTGTCGTAGGCGAGAATGTCCTCTTCGTTGCGCTTGAGCATTGCCGCTGCCATGTAGATAACTTGCATTGGCGGCATGGTGATGAGAAAGTCGTAGATGCGGCAGATATCCTGGAACTCATCTAGATCATGCGCGAACCACGTCAGCACCCAGCTGATGGCGAAGAACGCGGGCACATCGAGCTCAGTCAGCAATGCGTGGAGCTTGGGGCTTGTTGTTTCGAGCAGCGAGTAGAGGAGGTTTAGCTGTTTGAGGACCAGGTCTAGGTCGCTGGACATGGCGTCGCGCATGAGAAATAGGGATACCATTTTGGCGGCCTCAATAGCTGGTCTCTCGCTGCCAAACACGCTGAGGAATGTCAGGGAGAGCTCGTGGAAGCCCTGATAGTAGCTTAGCCATGGGTAGTTGCGCAGAACCGCCCGCACAACCTCGCCCAACTGCCCCTGTCGCCGCTTCGCCGCTGATGCATCGCGCCTGTACTCGGGCGACTGTGGAAGGCCCGTCCGCGGAATATCCAGTGCCAGCTGGCCCTCGTCTGGATGCGGTACTGCGCGGTTGCCGGCATCGGTCAATGATCTAAAATTAAGCAGTAGTGGCCTAAAAACGAGCATGTGCATTTAAACCTTGGGGTTTTTTTTCTTCGTAGCTGCGTTGTCTTTTTTTCAAAGAGGATGTTTGTTTGTGCAGTTGTGCTTCTTTACCATGCTCGGCGTCGCAGCCGTATTGTCTGGAATCCATCGCCGGTGCGTGCCAGCAGTTTGAGTGTTGTCAAGTCGCGGTTTGATATGGCCTGGGAGATGCGCTTGGCCCGCGTCAGGGGCTTTCCGGCGCTGCTGTGCGTGGCTGTGGCTGTGGCTGTGGCTGTGTTTGGCTGCCTTTGGTTCTTCCGGCGCCATGGCTGTTGAGAGTCACTTTGCATTTCGAATTGAGAGTGTCAAAAAGGCTGTAAAAGGCTGGCGTCGTTCAAATAAAAAGTAAAGAATAGATAGCTGCATAAGTGATATTAAAAAGGGGGATGCGACTTTGCTGCACGTCAGCATCTCCGAACTTGAATTTTTTTGGACGCAAATACTCAAAAAAAATTCAGACTTTTTTCCTCCCATCCTTCAAAACTCGACAACCGAAAAAATGGATTAAAATTTTTTCGTTCCATATTTATCTTTATCCCTTTGGCATTGCAATACTTTTCATTTACTCACGATTTCATAACACCCAAATTCACACACTCGACTCGCAAATGGGCACGGATGTAAGAACCGACAACCCCTCCACTTGTCTCCCTTGCCAATGCGTATACACAACAACAATAGCAGCAGCAGCAACAACAACAACAACAACAACAACAACAACAAGGTGTGTGCTCTCAATGCTAACATGAACATGCGCATTTACATTCTTATTCGTGTAGTTTGAGAGGCTCATGCAGCTGGCCGATCGCAACAAAGCTGACATTGAGCGCGCAGCACAGGAACGCAAGCGCCTAGCGGGCGCAATATCCAACAAAGACAGAAGCAGCGAGCGCGAGGCAGACGAAAGGCGAAGGAAAAGGCTGGTGGAGGAGCGCATTCAGCAACGCGAGCATGATGAGAACCAAAGGCAGAAGCGCGCAAAAATGGCGCTGGAGAGGCGCAAGCAGGAGAGGGCCGAGGCAGAGAGGGCTGATGAGGCGCAGCGCAAGCAGACACAGCGACAGAAGCAACAGCCCATGCAGCAGCAACAACAGCAAAAGGCGGGATATGCGGGTGGTAGCGGCACCGGTGCGAAGAGCAGCGTGGCCAGAAGGCCTGAGGCCAATTCGGCTGTGGCGGGAGCGAAGAAACCGGCGGAGGCTCAGCCGGTGAGCTTCCAGGAGCTTATGCAGATTGCTGCGCAGAACGCGGCTGCGCCAGCGAAAAGTGCAGACAAGGCGCCGCGGACTGGCGCGCAACCCGGATTGGGTTCCTCGAGGGCGGCGCCTTTGCCCACCAGGAGCCCAGCTGGCCGTGCTGTTTTGCAGAGTGCCAGGGTTCGGCGAGCCGGCGACCGCAGCCGGTCGCCCAGGAAAGCTGCTTGGGCTCAGTCGCCGACAGACAACAGGAGAGCCCGGTCGCGGTCGCCTGTGGATAAAAGGCAGGCTGCGCCTGCGCCAGTCCGGAGCAGGGCCCCCGGCCTTGCGCACTGCCCTGCTCCAGTCGGCACACAGCATGTGCGACAGCCCCCAAGGCCCACCACAACCTCGCTGACACACAGGATGGTCGCGGGCAAGCGGCGGCCCGCAGTGCGGCATGACCGTGCTGCTGCTGCCCCTGCGTTTGCCGATCCAGCCGCGCCAAGGGCGCCTGGGCGGCTGCCGCCGCAGGAACAACAGCAAACCGTGCGCAAGCCGCCCGAGCGCGAGATTGACCGCTTTGGCGTGCGTTCTGGTGCGAATTTGGCCGCTAGAAGGCCTACGCTACCTGGCCGTGGTGCTTCGCGGGATAGCGTCGGTGGAGCTGCTGAGCGCAGGGCCCAGCCGAGTGCTCTGGCCCCTGCGAGGGCGCGCAGTACCCGGGATGAGCGCGACGCCCGGTCGGTCCGCAGTCCGGTCCCACGTTTGGATGGTCGCGGTGGCCGGCCGTTAGTGCCACCAGCACTGCGTGCTGGCGAAAACAGCAGACCCCGCGGCGGTGATCAGCGTGCACTGCCCAGGAACAACAGCGCCATTGGAAGACCAAACCGTGCTGGTGGTGGTGGTGCGATGCAGAAGCGCAGGCGCGAGGAATACTACGATGACCATGATGATGAGAGCGGCTATGACTCGTTGGACGACTTTGTGGTTGATGATGAGGAAGAGGGTGGTGCCAGGTATCGAGAGGGGTCGATTCGCAGGATGCTGGGTGTGCAATACAGGGATGTCGATGACGACGATGACGATGGTGATGATATGGAGGTCTCGGCGTCGCAGCTGATGCGGGAAGAGCGTATTAGTGCGAAGATTGGTCGACAGGAGGATGAGGAGGAGGAGAGGCGGCAAGAGGAGGCTGAGCGTGCTCGCAAGCACCGTGTTCGTGAACGCGAAAGACGGTGATTTTTTTGTTTTATATCTTTATTATTTATTTTTTATTTAACTAATTCACATGGATTTGACTGGGCTCTGCCCACAAGTTTAATGTTTACCGGTAAATGTCTGGGCAAACAAGCATTACGTTTGCTTTTTAGTGTGAATAGATTATTCACCACTTATTCGCTTTACATTTGAATATTCCCTTTCACACTTTGGTAATACAACAAAACACGCAAAAAATGTCTTCTGACCAGTCGCGGAGCGCATCTGGCGCAGGATCACCAGCAAACGGAGCTATATCCGGAACTAATACCGGAGCCGGAGCTGGAGCTGGAACCGGCACTACCACCACCCCACCCACTGCTTCTTCTTTGAAAAAGAGACCCCGCCTAACAGCCCTGACACCAACCGGCCTGCTGCGACAAAAAAAGCGACGGATAGCAGCAGCCTCCACATCCGCCTCTGCCTCCGGCCCCAGCCCTGCATCCGCAATTGTCTCCACCAATGTAACCTTGACCACTTCCTCTGTTGCCGGTCTTATCCGCAAACCACTCATTCGGACCGGTGCATTCACGCCCACTAAGCCTCGCAATCCCATGTCGAGCATTTCTACGGTTTCCTTGGATAACCTGGTTATACCTATGGGTCCGGAGAAGAAAGCCCGTAGGGGCAGTTTGATGGGCATGTCGGCACCGGGGGATGGTGAGCAGCAGGATGCTGATAAGGGAATGGATGGGAGGAGGAGATCTGGATCTAATACTGGTATGAATTCCAATGACGCACTTTCCTCTTTTTCTGCTTCTGCTGCTGCTGCTAGTAGCGGTGGTGGTGGTGGTGCCGCGGATTATGAGGAATTCGGTGACTTGGGAGCAAGCAGCAGCATGGGGGGAGGACCCACCGGTGCCAGTGGTGGTGGTGGTGGTGGGTCAACCAGCGATACCGAAGACTCCATCACTTTGGTGCACCAAAGCAAAGCCGAAATTAAAGAAATGTGGGATCAAATGACAGACAACCAACGACAAAGATACGACGTTTATCGCCGTACTGCACTCAACAAGGGGTCGGTTAAGAAATTGGCTTATCATATACTGAATCAGCAGATATCTTCGACTTTGACCTTTGTGCTGGCTGGGTTCTCAAAGGTCTTTGTTGGCGAGATTGTCGAGAGAGCTGTCCAGCTTAAGATAGAGCGCGGGGAGACGGAGGAGGGCCCGTTGAAACCGGAGCATTTGAGAGAAGCATATCGCTTGTACAAGAAGGAAACGCAAACTGGGTCAAGCAGTGGCTTTACCAAACGTCTATTCTAGAAAAATAAAAGAAAGGTTCTATTATCATTAATAAAAAAATGGTTGGTATTGGAAATTTTATGTGGAATAATAAAAAGCAGTGTATATTGTAATCAAGTCGACTTGATAGCAGGGGTCGAGGTGTTTCTAAAGAACAGAATAGACCCGGCTTCCTCGACGAACTGGCAGTGCTTGTAGGTCTTGTACAGTGAGACCAAAAAGTTGGTGTTGTCGTAGTGATAATGCTTGCCCAGCTTCTTCTTCAGATGCTTCGTGGCCTCCACTGCATGGTAATGCGGCATCTGCGAGAAAACGTGGTGCGCAACATGTGTGTCATTGATATGGTGCAAGCACACATTGAGGGCCCATCCGTAGTCGCGATCAACGGTTGACAGAGCGCCGCGCATAAAGTCCCAGCTGTCATCGTTGTAGTGCGGGACCTTTGCGTCGGTGTGCTGCAAGAACGTAATGGTGACCAGGAAGAAGTTAACAACCAGGTAGGGCCCGCCATAGTAGAAGAACACGGTGGCAGCCGAGTACACATAGCTAAAGTAAGCAAGAACGCTGACCGTGATCAGAATGCCAACATCGCTGTTGAAAATGTTCCAGTAGTTCTCGGGCTTGAAGAGAACCGAGTTCGGGTTGAAGTGCGAGGCTCCGCGGGCGTACTTGGGCCCGGAGGAGTTACAGAACAAGTACATGGGCCAGCCGAAAAGCGACTGCAGGACAACCTTGAACAGGTGGTATATGGGCGTCTCCTCGAAGATAGAGTCCTCCACCCATGCCGGCGTCGAGGGCTTACCCTCCAGACCACGGTACGCCTTTGTGCGGGGAACGAATACCTCGTCGCGGGTCATGTTGTTGGTGTTCTTGTGGTGCTGTGAGTGCGAGTACTTCCATGAGTAGTACGGGACCAGAAGCGCCGAGTGCAAGACCCAGCCCGTGATGTTGTTGGTGGCTATGTCGGCCGAGAATCCTCCGTGTCCACTATAGTCGATGAAGAACAATCAGATATTTGCATGTTTTTTGCCTAATTAGCTTGCTTTGTTATAAATAAATGCAAAAACAGGTTGCGGCGCAAGATTTTGGAATGTGAAAGCTGAGCAATGTGAAAAGGGAGGGGATTTTCCAGTTTACTGCCATGTTCCACGAAGCTCTGAAGAAAGAAAAATAGTGTACGTGAATGTTTTTGGTTCGTCGGCATTCAAGAACCAGCCCGCCCACCAAGCGATGAGAGATGAGAAGGATAAGCTGGGAAGAGGCGCAGGAGAGTTGCAGAGTCGGATGTCTCCAATATTGATAAAAAAGACAAATGATATGCACAGAAATGGCAAGAGAAGATCAACCAATTTAAAGTACTAATTCAGGAAGCGGCTATAATTCCCCAGCACATCCTCCCAGCAAAGTCGCACAGCGAGCAATAAATAAAGCGATTAACCCAGCACTACTGCTTCTGCTGTTTTATAATGCAACCGATCTCTTACTGCATCGCACAAGCACTCACAACCACAAATATGCATGATGTGAAAAAAAAGCTTCAGAAACTCCCACATCACAAAAAGTGGCTGAATGCCAATGCCTATATAGCATAAATTTTATAACTTACCATTCATGAGCAATGACCCAGATACCAGTACAGACGACACCCTGGCAGATACAGTACGCGATCCAGGCAGGCAAGCGAAGAATCGCAGGAAGCATCGAAATGTGCGAGGCGCAGTAGCATAGGAACGCAACACCGCATAGGTCGTAGAAGATATAGCTGAAGGAGCGCAGGGTATCGCGCTCAAAGCAGTGCTTGGGAATGCAGTCGCGCAGCTCCTTGATGGTAAAGGTGGGAGGCTCAAAGTTCTCCTCCGGATTAACGGTCCCCTTGACGCCCATTTTCTTTTATATATAGTAGAATATAGGTGGATAACCCTGGAATATATATAAAAAAATATGAATATAAATAATTGAAAAGAAACTGGGTGTGAAGAAAAGAAAGAAAGAGGTGGAGAGAGAAAGAGTGTGTGGTTGAAGAAAGCAAGATTTGTATTTTTCAAAGTAAAATTTTTTTGGTTGTTTGGCGCATCACTGAGGAGTGATTTTTTATGGCGCAGAGATGGATGAATAAAGCGGAAAGCCTGCGATGCGTTTTGGGGGATCGAGAGAATAACCCACTCCCAGCCATCTCGCTCCTCACGCTATCTCCAAACCGGCCACATCCCCCATCTCTGTATCTCTTGTATCTCTTGTATATCTGTGACAGTCAAGGTGGTAGACAGTGTGCTTGAACCGCACTATCGACTAAGATGGGAAAGCTTACCAAAAGCACTGCATTTTTTCAACTGGCAGCGAAAGTGATGCTGGTCGCGCACAGTTCAATCGGCCTGCCTCTGTGGACCATCTACGCTGCAAAGGCCGCTGCGGTTGGACCGGCTGTTCCGTGGCCTTACCACTCGGACAAGAAAGTGAAAATTTTGATTGGATAAAAAAAAAGTTTAAAAAAATTGCTCTATCATCGGGCCTCACTGGGCCAACGCGCCCATGGGATCCCAGGGTGGCAGCACGACGGCGTCCTGCTTGAGCACGTCCAGTACATGGTCCGGAATGTCGCGCTTCTCCAGCACGATCTGGTAGACAAACTCGTCAAACCAACGGTCAGTCATAATCAGGTAGCCCTTGTTGCCGTAGTCCTCGCCCCAGCTGTTCTCGATCCGCCAGCGCACGGTCTTGTCGTCCTCAATATGCACGCCCGTCAAAACCATCGCGTGCGTCATCAGGCTCTCCCCGTACTGCAGGCGCTCAGCCTTATCCATGTTAAACCCAAAGTTGAACGCAACCTTGTAGTCGTGCAGCTCCGTGTCCATCATGCCCTTGTCGCGCGAGTGGAACTTTCCAACGTCACAGCCGAACCAAACGGGTCGCCCGGCCTTGATGACCTCGGCGGCATAGCGCTTGATGTCCGCGACACCCAAGTTGATGTAGTGCACGTCATCGGCGCCCACCACGTTGCCCAGGTACTTGACCGTGTACTTCTTCATGTACTCGTTGCGCGGATCGTGTATCAGGGACACTGTCTGCGTGCAGTCCTGCTTGACATGGTCGCGGTAAAATCCCAACGGCGTCAGGTCCCGGAACTCCTTGAACTCCTTGTCCTTGTTGTAGAACGTCCAGTTGAACTTTGTCGGCGGGTGGCCCAAGGAAATGACCATGATGCGGTGGATCTCCTCAAGCATATCGTGCTTGAATGCGCGCAGCTCGTTCTCCTTCTTGCCCTCTGCGTGTGCGTTGCGCAGCTTCTTGGCGTAGTCGCGCAGCTTGGCCGTGATGAGCTTGTCCATCTCCCTCGAGTTTGACGTGTGGAATGTCTCTGTGAACGCCTCCTTGGTCACCACGCCGTACTTCTCAATCAGTGCAACAAACATATCCCACTGGCCACCGTCACCAACAGGGTCCTTCAAAAGGTACTGCACGACACGCCCGTCGAGATCCTCGTCAAGCGTCTTCAAGACGTTCTCCAGGAACCAGTTGGACTTCTCCATCTTGTCGTAGAAGAAAAGGTACGGCTGCGAGAGCTCCAGCTTTTCCAACTTGTATTCGCTCATCATGCTCTGCCGCAGCATATTGAGCCCGGCAAAAATCCAGCATCGACCACTGACCTTCTGGTTCGTGATCGGTGCGTCGATTGCCAGCTTGTGCGAAAATACTGGTGGGTGTTGGACAACCACATCGCGGTTCTCCAGCGCGTTGCTGTAGGATTCGCGCGAGATTGTCAGCTTAGCCAGTCTGTTCTTGATGTCGGCGTCAAATTCGTCCTTGTAGCTGTCGAGCTGTGACAGGGTTATGCCCTGGGTGCCCTTTTGGATGACCATTGTGGGTGCAGGTGTTTGCTCGGGCTTGTCACTGGTGCTTGCAGTTGTCAGAAAGTGACGCGCGTAGGAAGAAGGAGATGAGTTGGTGTTGCCCAAGCGCAAAATTGTCATGGCAGAATAAGGTGAAATAAGAGCGCGAAATGGCTGTTGGTTCTTGAAGAGACAGACTGTTGTATATAAATATTTTTTTTGCATAAATCAGAAATAAAAAAGTGAGCGCAATTGTATTCTATTGTATAGTGGAAATTTTCTAACAATGAAAGTAAAAAAATAGTAAAGTGGAGGAAAGAGAAACGCCGCCAGAGCATCTGGAGCGAGTGACGCGGCGTGGCCGTGTGAACGGAAAAACACAATCAGAATGCTTAAGTGTGTATTCTCTTTACAATTCCAATCACATGGTTGGATTGCTACTATCTGCGGCGAAATCGACGTCCGCAAAATGGCGGCTCCTCACCTGACTCGACTGCTACTGAATTACGGGCCTGACAGCTACAGAAAAAATGGTGGTAACAAGTTTGAAAAATTATGGTGACAACTTTAGTATGAGCGTATAAATGCTCCCATTAATTAATTAATTTGGAGGTGTTTGCTTTCAACATTCCATTCAATCGCAACACTCTACCTGCTGGCATTTCGTAGAAATACGGGTGATCCAGCGCCTTTTGCACTCCAATGCGCTTGCGGGGATCGTACGTGAGCAGCGCGTTCAGCAACAGGATGGTGTTGGTGCTGGCATTGCGCACAGCAACCTTCAAATTGTTATACTTGTTTTCGGGGAGCCGCATGGACCGCGCCATCGGCAGCTGGCTGAATCCCGGCCATATCCTGTCGCTCGGCGCCCCAATCATGTTGACAATCAGGCGCATCTGCTCAAACTCGCTCTTGCCTGGCATAAACGGACGATGGACCAAAAGCTCGCCCAAAATGCACCCGGCCGACCACATATCTATTGCTGTCGTGTACTCGGTTGCTCCAAGAATGAGCTCTGGCGATCGATACCATAGAGTTGCCACCTGTGGTGTCATCGGCCGCTGAGGCTCGTGGAACAGTCGAGCAAGTCCGAAATCAGCAACCTTGAGCTCGCCGTTTTTTGTCAAAAGCAGATTGGGCAGCTTCAGATCTCTATGCACAACAAAATGGTTGTGACAATACTCCATTCCGCACAGCATCTGCTGCACCAAGCTTTTCACCTCGCCGTGCGAAAACGGTGCCGACATGTTGTCCAACAATGTTCCTAGATCGCATTCGCAGTAGTCCATCACCATGAAAATGCTGTCGATTCCGTGGCCAGCTGCAATGTCCACTACATTAACAATGTTTGGATGGTGCAGGCGCTTGAGGATTGCAATTTCCCGGAAGCTGGAGAGCGGCAAACCAGGTGTATTGTCGCTAATGCTCACTCGCATGCGCTTCAGCGCAACTATTTTTTGACTTTTTTTGTGTCGTCCACGGTATACTATTCCGTAGGTTCCTTCGCCGATCCGGTTGATCTTTTCGTAATCGTTAACATCGATGCACGCGCCAAGGAACCCATTTTGTGGAATGTTTATTGCTTTGCCTGAGAAATCTATAAACGAAGTCGTTTTCTGGTCCATGTGTTTAAAAAATTTTTATTGAATAAATGAATGAATGTTTTTAATATAACTCAATAGCAATAACTCGTTAAGCCAGCAACTTTAACAATATCACTTTAGATGCATGTAATGACATTTTATGCTAATGGGACAGACGAGTGCTAATGACAAGAAGATGGTTTTTATAATAAAAAAGCATTGCCACCGATGACTACAAAAACGAGTCAAAATATACTTTAATTGACTTTGTTTCATTATGCAAGCCGCACTAATCATCTGCAACAAATACAATTGTATGTGGCATACGCGAACCAAGTGCCGAATATAACAATTATCGGCGCAATAAAATCAAGCCTGATTAGGGCCAGATGTATTGATATTTGCTTGAATCACTCGATTTCGTATGCATTTCATTTTTTAATGGGTGTGATGTTTGCACACGCACATTCGTTTTGTGCAGTTTATATATTGTGCACATTCTGCCCAAAGTGGAAGGTTGAACTATATAGCGATGCGCTGTATCGGCTGCGGAGTGGTGTGGAGCCAGCAAAACAGCAGAAACATACATTTTTTATTTATAACCACGTCCGATCCGAACGGCTGGACCAGTTGTTAGCGTACCCAAAAAAATTGTGAAAAAGGTCCGAGACATATTAACAATGACCTGTATACATCTTAGAAGGATAAACTCAGCGTACTGGGTTAACTCAGTTAATAGTCAATCAGCTCAGGCTGTTGTAGTATAGTGGTTAGTACTCCACGTTGTGGCCGTGGTGACCCTGGTTCGATTCCAGGCAACAGCACATTATTTTTGCACTTTCCAGCACTGGATTGCTGAGGTTTCTTTTGCATTTTTATTGCGATTGCCCACGCAAAATGCCAAATTGCACATCGTTAACTCCATATGGTTCCGTGTGTATTGATGTTTAGTTACATTTATCTTTATTTTATACTTTTATAATATATGCAATTTTTTTTGCTATATACATACCCACCAGTTGTAACAAATTAAAAGTATATGTCAACAACTGGTGCTAGTATGTATGTCATTCTGCGGCCAACTGGACTCTGGCTTTAAATATCCAACGACTGCCGGTACCTCGCGCTCCAACTGCTTGGTATAAATGTACTAGCGCGAAAGTGTCTGGATTTTGGTTATCAACCATAACAAAAATGTGGTTTGGCACATTCACACGACGAACCACATTTAGGTACAGCAAAGTTATTGTGTCAATATCTCCGGGAACTGCAGGAGTGTCAGTGTGCCGGTGTAAAGACACCTATGGATATTGAATAGCAAGACCCCGCTGCGGATTGACTCAACGCAAACGGTAACTATCACCTTGCGCGAACTGTCTAATACACGACGAATGTGGTCAAAATATATTTCGCTGGAAAAACTAGTTCTGAACTATTCCAAGTATACCTCGGTGCATCTGTGTGATACAAGAAACTGCGGCTTGTCTCTGGCGATTGATTCATTAATCAATCGCCAGTTAATTCCCTACTTGGACATGCGGGAATTCATATGCACATATAAATACTAATGAATATGAACAGTGGAGGCTGTTCATCTCTCAGCTTTCTTTTAGTTCATTCAGTTCAAATATATATTTTTAACATAACAATCTGTGAATCTGAAGTGGCGATTTGTGTTGAGCTACCACTTCTGAGAAACTTGAGGTGATATCGCCAATATACCGTTTTTCTAGAATCTGCGGGAACCCATCTATATTTCTAAAGAACATTTGGGACAGAACAGTTAGGCCAGCTAGCGGCAAGAACAACCGCATAGTTATTTATATGAGCACTCAGAAATGTGTTCGGGTATTTGCTGAAATATTCCCAGCTGTTTTAAAAAAGTGCAAGAACCAGATAAATTTGAATTTTGCAGTAATATACATATCTTGCGTCTTAAATTGAAATACAACAATAAATAATATACTATTTATAACAATGTTTGCATGACTCAATTATATTACAGAGTTAATGATGTGCAATTTGGCATTTTGCGTGGGCAATCGCAATAAAAATGCAAAAGAAACCTCAGCAATCCAGTGCTGGAAAGTGCAAAAATAATGTGCTGTTGCCTGGAATCGAACCAGGGTCACCACGGCCACAACGTGGAGTACTAACCACTATACTACAACAGCCTGAGCTGATTGACTATTAACTGAGTTAACCAGTACGCTGAGTTTATCCTTCTAAGATGTATACAGGTCATTGTTAATATGTCTCGGACTTTTTCACAATTTTTTTGGGTACGCTAACAACTGGCCAGCCGTTCGGATCGGACGTGGTTATAAATAAAAATGTATGTTTCTGCTGTTTTGCTGGCTCCACACCACTCCGCAGCCGATACAGCGCATCGCTATATAGTTCAACCTTCCACTTTGGCAGAATGTGCACAATATATAAACTGCACAAAACGAATGTGCGTGTGCAAACATCACACCCATTAAAAATGAAATGCATACGAAATCGAGTGATTCAAGCAAATATCAATACATCTGGCCCTAATCAGGCTTGATTTTATTGCGCCGATAATTGTTATATTCGGCACTTGGTTCGCGTATGCCACATACGATTACACCTGTGTCAGTCTGTCATATTAGTATTTCTAGCGTGTCCAAGCTAACAATGTAATCGCTTTTATTTCCATTTCAATGTGCCTCTAAGCTTTTAATTTTATAGCTGGTCAATTGCTTTTTTGTATATCGCATGTATTATATTTGTTGACACTCTTCAAAACTTGTTAACATCAATCTTAGCCACTCTAAGCATAGTGTAGCGGTTCCGGTGGTATGTTGTTTTGTGGTGAGCCGTGCGCTGCTTCTTTTTCGTAACAGTGAACAGCTTGCCGTCCGGGTGCTCAATCACCGTTGCCTCAATTTTAAATAGACTGGGGTCGACCATGGGTTGTCCCTTAATCGTGTAGTCATGCGATCCAAGCTCTGTAACCTGGTTAAGTGACAGCGAGTCACCAAGCTCCAAGTCCTTGATGCGATCCATCACGATAATATCATTCTGGGTAACTGTAACGGGCGGCCCTTAATAACAACAGTCGCATAATACTTTTGCTGCTCGCGCAGACGGTTCACAAGCTCAATAGAGTTGGCAGACCAGCTTGCGGCGGTCGCAGTCTTTGCTGCCTCTGTCTGTGTAGTGTAAAGAGCGCGGCCGAGATTCGTGTAAATGCGGTCGCCGTCTTAAGGCGTTGAACGTGCGCGAGATTCCTGCAAATGCCATGTCTTTATGCTTGTCAGTCTGTTGCTTCAAATGATGCGTATGAGAGTAAAAAAATGCGACAATTAACGGCAAATTGAAACAAGAAAAATAAACTTCCAATTTTTTTCGTTGCTACAAAAAAATAAGATAGGCTCTGTGAGATATGTTCTAAGCGAATTGTTTCCATCCACTTGTAAGCCCAGTTGTGATTAAGCCGCAATCGCGATCACGGCAATTACGCGCTGATCAGTATAATTGGCTCTGAGTGGCTCTCGCCAGATTCCATTATCAGTTGTTTGCGGCAAATTTTGAAGTGGGGAAAGGAGGTGCCCGGTTTTCCCGCCATTGCGGCATCTTTTTTAGCACGGGCAGTCTACAAATTTCTTTATCGCGAAGGAGGAAGCAGAGCTATTCTAGTCCTTTCCCCCTGCTTCACTTTTTTCTTTCTTCTTCGCTATTTAACTAGTTTTATTTTTATTTAGAAAAGTATAACAAGGCACCGATTACAGCCTGCCAATTTAACATAATGCTGAAGAACGTTTCCCGCCTTGCTTCCGCCACTCGCGTTCCCGTCGCTCGCGCCATGGTATGTATTTTTATTGCACTATTTATAACACAAAGACGCAATCAGAATTTAGTGCAAAAAAAGTGCTCGCACTGCTACTTGAATTCAACAGATCTAGAACTTTGTTGTCGTAAATTCAAGACCCGGCAGTCAACATGAAATCCAGCTTATCTTGTGCAGCTAGATTCGACAACACCAATCGAGATAAATTGGCGGTGACTGCTCTTTCCTAAAGTTGCTTATCTATGTCCCACACACACTTTCTCATATACACACTCAATTATTTATTGTTTGTTTTGGCACTGTCTATTAAATTCCAAGAGCCTATTTGTTTTTTATTGCACTTTAGGCTCGCGCCGCCACCCCCGCTGTGGTCCGCGCCTTCTCGGCCTCGGCCTCCGTCAGCGCTGGTGCCAAGCCCGCTGCCTCCGAGGTTACCTCGATCCTCGAGGACCGCATTCTGGGCGCCGCCAACAAGGTCGACCTCCAGGAGACCGGTCGCGTTCTGTCCGTTGGTGACGGTATTGCTCGCGTCTACGGCCTGAAGAACATCCAGGCTGAGGAGATGGTTGAGTTCTCGAGCGGTGTCCAGGGTATGGCTCTTAACCTTGAGGCTGACAACGTTGGTATTGTCATTTTCGGTAACGATCGTCTCATCAAGGAGGGTGACACTGTCAAGCGTACCGGCTGCATTGTCGATGTCCCTGTCGGTGAGGCCCTTCTTGGCCGTGTTGTTGATGCTCTCGGCAACCCCATTGACGGCAAGGGTCCCATCAAGACCAGCCTGCGCTCCCGCGCTATGGTCAAGGCTCCCGGCATTATCCCCCGTCAGTCCGTCCACGAGCCCATGCAGACCGGTATCAAGTCCATCGACTCTATGTTGCCTATCGGCCGTGGCCAGCGTGAGCTGATCATTGGTGATCGTCAGACCGGTAAGACCTCCGTCACCCTCGACACCATGCTTAACCAGAAGCGCTGGAACGACGGCAACGACGAGACCAAGAAGCTGTACTGTGTGTACGTGCCATTGGCCAGAAGCGTTCGACTGTTGCCCAGTTCGTCCAGACCCTTGAGGAGAACGACGCCCTCAAGTACTCGATCGTTGTTGCCGCCACTGCCTCTGAGGCTGCTCCCCTCCAGTACATTGCCCCTACTCGGGTTGCGCTATGGGTGAGTTCTTCCGCGACAACGGAAAGCACGCCCTGATCATCTATGACGATCTGTCCAAGCAGGCCGTTGCTACCGTCAGATGTCGCTGCTGCTGCGTCGTCCCCCTGGTCGCGAGGCCTACCCCGGTGATGTCTTCTACCTCCACTCTCGCCTGCTCGAGCGTGCCGCCAAGATGAACAAGGACTTTGGCTCTGGATCCCTGACCGCCCTCCCCATCATCGAGACCCAGGGTGGTGATGTTTCCGCTTACATTCCTACTAACGTCATTTCCATTACTGACGGACAGGTCTTCCTTGAGGCTGAGCTCTTCTTCAAGGGTATCCGCCCCGCCATTAATGTCGGTATTTCCGTCTCCCGTGTCGGTTCCGCCGCTCAGACCAAGGCCATGAAGCAGGTCGCTGGTTCCCTCAAGCTCTTCCTGGCCCAGTACCGCGAGGTTGCCGCCTTCGCCCAGTTTGGTTCTGATCTCGATGCCTCGACCCAGTTCCTGCTTAACCGTGGTGCCCGTCTCACTGAGATGCTGAAGCAGCCCCAGTACTCGCCCCTGTCGGTCGAGGACCAGGTTGCCATCATCTTTGCCGGTGTCAATGGTTTCCTCGACAAGATTCCCACCACTCGCATTGTCGAGTTCGAGCAGAAGTTCCTGCCCTTCGTCCAGTCCAACCACGCCGACATCCTCAACGCCATCCGCACTGAGGGTAAGATCGACGAGGCCACTGAGAAGAAGCTCCGCGTGATCATTGGTGACTTCGTCAAGGCCTTCATCTAAGCCGCCGCCGCAATTGCTGCGTTGAGGTATCCGGGGTAGTGTGCTGTTCCGCCTCCTTCAGCTTTTAGTTTCTCTTTCTCTTTTCTTTCTATTGTCTTTTTTCCCTTTACAGGTCTTTGAGCTCAACGGGCGCTCTGGTTTTTTTCTTAAAAAGTTTAAAGTACACTCTTTGAACCCGACATTTTTTTGTACCAAGTGTTTTGTTGCTTGCAAATCTTCCCAATTTGAACAGAGCCTGCCATTTGTATGTCCAAGGGGCGTTATCAGAAATCGCTACTATTGGCTTGTCCCGACCCCCGCACCTCCACGCTGGCGATAAAGCGGTGAGATCCTTGATAGCAAACGGTTGATGCTGCGATTAAGGTGGTTTTGATTTTGATCGTAATAATCACAAAAATTGCGAAAATTTTTCACTGATTCCCTCCACCCCAGCATGAAAGTTTGAAATTACATTTTTCATGTCGTTGCACAAGCAAGGGATTTGCTCGTCTGGGAATCGTATAAAATGAGCGCGGCGCGGGACCCAAGGAGCGCGCAAGGAGCTTCTTTGTATCTCCTCTCTAAAACCAATTTGTAATTATCGTACTCTATCCACCGTATCTGTATTTTATATCGATGTATGCTGTATTGACGTGTTTTGCCGATTACGGAAGCTTACTTTAGTCATTCGACTTTATCTCTTCATTCTCTTCTCGATTGCAAGTACAGGTGCGGTTAGATTTCTGATTTAATTCAGTAGCCTTTTGTGCGGTAAGAATAAATTGTACGTATCTTTTTTTTTATTAATGTGACATGTCCAGTATTTTGCAACGATGACAACTTCATGCACCACTCTGATTAGGACTTTAGTCCGATGTTGAGAACCACATCACCAACCCATTTTAGCTGAGCTCTTTATTTCCATGCCACACTTTTTTATATTTGTTAACGGCAAAACAGGCAATGTTTGAAAATAAGCTGCAATTTTTACTAATAACAATTTGTTTATTTTTGCACTTTAGGCTTTTCTAGTAGGGGTTTCAAGCAAGTATTTGCCAATAATTGTTATAATGTTTTTGGTGTATATATCTATTAGTTGTAAATAAATTTAATCCAAACAATTCAACAGAAATCAAATTTAAAGATAAGATATTTACTGTACGCAAAACTTGAAACTAGAAAATACAAAAATGATGCTTGCAATTATAATTATAAACCGGGAAAAAGACATTTTTATTAATTGAAAAAACTGGCATATACTACACTGAATCACAGCTGTGTTCGAAGCCGCTTATTAGGCGAACTGGTCTCGTTCTGTTCTGAAGGCGTCGACGCAGTTGAATCCTTTGTGACATCGCGCTTGAGCGGCGAGGGCTGGTGGGGTGCTGCAGCCGCCGAGCTTCTGCTCGCAGCCGTGGCAACATTATTACCCGATGACGGCGGCAGCGGCCACTGGAAGGCGCTAGTCTGCTGAGGGCCGACAATCGGCGTTGTTCCAAATTCCATCGGGCTATAGTTTTCATTCTGCTGGTAAACAATAGGCTGGAACGATGACGGCGATGGTAGGCTCTGGACATACTCGATGAGCATTGCGGTTTGCGGGCCGGGCTCGTTGGAGATAGCCGCTGTCCGCGCCGTAGTGTTGACTGCAAGCGGGAACCGCCGCCCGCGCACGCCGCTCTTGTGTGCCGCGTCAGTTGTTGGCATTCCCGTGCGGATGCTTGGGGCGTCCGGTGCAGTTGTCCCGTTATGTCGGCCGGTGCTAGAGGCGGGTCGCCGAAGCAATGTGGATGCGTTGCCTGGATCGGTGCGCGACCGGGACTGCTGCTTTTGTGGAATCTCGACGCGGAGATCGGGGGTATCGCGCGATTGCAGCGACTGTGTCGACGGCCGGCGACCTCCCGTGCTGCTGGCGCTGTTGGAGTTGGTGGCTTCGCTGTTGGGGGTCGACTGGTCGCCTGTAGAAGCAGCTGCAACAGAGGGGCTAATGTGGAAGTTTGCCTCGACGCTTGTGGAATCATCATCGTCATCCTCTTCGTCCTCGCCCGCATCTTGATCCTGCTCATGCTCCTCTTGAGTCTGGCCCTGATCCTGGTTCTGATCTTGTCCATATTCATGGTTAATGTACTGGTCCTCGTCCATTTCCTCTTCTCCATGCTGCTATAGGGCTCGTCCTCGTCCTCGTTGATTGTGTGCAGCTGATCATGCTGGTGTGCTTGTTGGCTCATTATCAACTCTTGCTGTGTTGCTGGGCAGTGTCAACCGCGTGAGTGGAACCATCCGGCATGCGGTACACCATGTACTGTGTGGATACGGGGGGGTTATTAGCCAGAGATGCCGAGGGCACTGTCAGCCGCGGGCGGTATGCGTCCAGTTGTCTGCCAAGAACCTGCCGGGCTGTAGGGCTGACCCGCTTGGTACATGCCGGAAGTCTGGGTCGACATTGTATCGGGGCCGAGCGGAACCGTAATTCCAGCCGGCTGCTGCTGCGGATATCCGCCTAGTGTCTGGTAGGATGGTAGTTGCGCATCAGTGGCGGAGCATAGGCAAACTGTTGCTGTTGCTGTGCTGCTGTTGCTGTTGCTGCTGTTGCTGTTGCTGCTGCTGTGGCGCAAGTATAGTGGAGTTTGGCTGCTGAGATCTCGGAGATATACCGTAGGGGTAGGCGGATAATGGCTGAGCAAAGCCACCCTGTGGATTGCCCGCTGCTGAGAATATATGTTGGCGCTGTTGGGTGTGGGGTGGGAATATCCCGCGGTCGGCGAGTAGTATGTCGTCGTATTAGAAGTATCCATTTCGCCAAGCGCCGGCGAGTATATTGTGACCATTTGCTGCTGCTGCTGTTGCTGTTGCTGCTGGTAGTAGTGGGCCTGCTGCTGATGTGATACGTATCCTGTCTGCATGGGTGAAATGCCAGATGCCGAGTTGGTGCTTGTAATTCCATTGGCGCCAAACGTCACAGCTGCCGATGCAACCGAGTCCTGCTGCTGGTACCGCTGCCGGTGGGTGTCCGCAGGTGACCGAGTCTCTGCGGTAGACGCAGCGTCACCTTCCACAATGCTAAAGTCATGCGACATACCAGGAGTGCCTGCTGATACACTATTGCCTCCATGATGGTGACCAGCATCCATACCAATGGCGCTATTTGGGAAGTCATCGTCATCGTTGTCGCCAAACTGCGTTGCACATTGCACGTTTGTTAGGCTCTCATTGGGCTCGCCGAAATCAGTATAGCGCATCAGAACCTTGTCCATGTTGGTCGACGCATACTGCACAAGCTTGTTTTGTGAGCTGAAGATGATTACTGCAATCTCGCAGTCGCACAGAACGCTGAGCTCATAAGCCTTTTTCAACAGTCCAGCCTTGCGCTTGAGGAATGTAACTGGCGGTTGCGCTCGTCCTTGATGGTCTGGATCTTAATCTTTTTCCGTCCCATGGTTGTGTTTATATGTTTGCCTCTCAAGGTGGGGGTGTGCGCTTGCGTTTGGTGTGTTTTATCCCCACAGATAGACAAGGATGAACAGGGAACTTGACGCAAATAAATAAAATAAAATAAAAATAAAGGCCAAGTAAAGGTGGGAAGGTTAAGCAAGTGGGGGAAAGGAGGGGAAGTGCAAAAATAGAAAATATAATAGAGCCTGATTTAAATATAGACGCTGCTGTTCGCGCGTGTATATTTATATTTATATATAAATATGCTGTGCTCTTACGTTCAGCTGGTTAAAAAGAATGAGCAAGTGGGTTAGTGAGTAAAATTTTTGGGTTAAAAAAGCTAAACTTATTTTAAAAAGAAAAGTAAAAAAAACTAGAGAAGAGAAAAGTTTAAAAGATACTCTGGAAAAATAGAAAAATCAAGTCTTTTTTGGTCCGTTGTCCTATAAAAAGCTGGTGAGAAAAAATAAAATAAAAAATTATGTGGCCCTTACACGCTTTTGCCTCTTTTTCTCCTCTTCCCCCCCCCAAAAATAAACGCGCGGTTATTTTCTGCTTTTTTTGGCGCTTTTAAGCCGAGCGACACGGAAAGGGCCATTATAGATTTTTGCGCCTTTTTGTCTTTTCATAGAAAATAAAAAATATGGTTTTTCTTTAGTTTTTGCCGCCTTGCTGCAAAGTCTAGCGAGAAAAGAAGTAAACATCGTGACTCGTTGCTGCCGCGTGCGCTCTCTGTCAAACGAATGAACAAAATTCATCTGTCTGTTTGGCAAGGTCAATGGAACAATATCCCCCGTAATTTTATCTTGCTTGTCGTCGGATGTCCTGCCAGATATTTTTGCGGATTCACGCAAAAAAAACTATTCTTACTCAAGGGGAGTTGTTCTTTTTTTATCAAACAAGAGCGCTACTACTGTTTAAAAACAAAAATATTTGCGAATAAATCTAAAAATAGATCCCACTCAGCTGATTGGGTTGTGTCTCGCTTTTCTGTTACTTCTCACAATAGTGCCCTTAAGGCTTATTTTGCATAAGCAAAAAACGTGATTTTTGCTGCAGACGCTCCTGTCAGCTGGAATGAACAACTATAATTCAACGTGCCGCCCGTTTTCGGCATGCAATTCGTTTTTTTCTGGCTGTTCTATCGGATCATCTGCACATCATTGGTGCAGCTACTGTTCCAGCAATGTATATTGTCGAGCGCAATACATTCATATGAGCAGCCAACGACCACCCAAACTAAACAACCAAGTCAAACTAAATCAAAAAATCAAGTTTTTTGTATTGTTAAAGAAAAGTTCAAAAATGTACAAAAATAGGCATAACCAAACAAAGGACTCGCCTCTCTCGCTTTTAGTCAGCATAGGCTAGCACCATATATTCGCTGCAGTCTCTCTCCTTGTGGCCGTACGGAAATGCCATTCCTTTTTTGATGTGAGGAGCGCACTTTCCCAGCTGCTGCGAGCCCTCATACAGAGTCTTGGCGATATACAGCGGCTCGCCGTCTCTTCGTGCCCGGCGGGATACGGCTTAAAGTCTGAATGTTCAGCGCGCCCACTTGCCGCACCCAGCGCAGATTACTGCATCGCCGCAGAGAACCTGGTAATCAGCAACTGCGACCTCTTTGTGGCCCCAGCCAATGTTGCACCCCCCCTCTCGAGGTGCTGGCCAACCTTTCCCGGATGCAGACCGCCCTTGTACATGGCGCGGGCGACAAAAAGCGGCTTGCCATTCTTCTCTATGCCACCCTGGACGGGGTTTAGCGGTATGTGGTTGTTTGACGCGCTAACCCACTGAAGCCCCGTGTTGGCAATGCTGTTCGACCTGGCGCCATCCTGGGGAGAAGCCGGCCTGGTGTTCTGGTCGTAACCGTGGCTGAATTGCTGGCCCTGGTGGCCACCGTATCCAACAGCACCCGGTGGAGGCGGTGCCTGACCACCGTGCCTGGACACAAAACCGGCTGGCGAGGTCCACCCGAGGCGGAGTGTACTGCACGCCATTATTGCCATTGTTGTGTTGCTACTGTAAAGTGGGGGCTGCCCCGGAGATTATTTGCGCTGCGTGATGTGTCTTCGTTGTTAGACATGGTTTCTCTTTTAATTAGCAAAAAATACAAGGGTGTGCGAATAAAAAATAAAATTGTTTAAGAACGGAAGAGAACAGAGAGAAAAAAGGAAAAGGGCATTTGGTAATGCAGGCTTTCCTTGAGTTTTATATTTAAAGCAAGTTGTAGACTGTTATGTGAGCCTTGAAAAGGGTAAGAGGGATTAAAAATAAATAAAAAGCCTGGTGCTTTCCACCTTTCTTCCCCCCTGATCCTGCTTAAAACCAAATACAGAATGCTGCGCGCTTTGCTTCTATCGCACATTCCTTGCTTTGAATTCTAGTCGTTGCACAGAAAACTGCAACGAAAAACATCAACTGGAAAGCAAGTCACTGGATGGAAGAAGCCGACTTGTTTCTGCGCTCCTCTGTCAGGACCAGCCCCCACCTATGAAAATCCGTATCGTGCATTTGGATCCAGCGCTCGATTGTTTTCCCAATATGCAGATGTGTTCTAGAAATCTGTGACTGCTCGTCCGCACTGTCCTCTTCCGAAAACCCACGCAAATCCTCCGCATGCGATGCGCCCTTTATCACTAGCTTGTTGGCCAAGCTTACCAATTTACTTCCACCATTGTTACCATCGATGTCAATATCGCCGCTGCCAGAAATAAACAAGTGCTGCCAGGGATCGAGCTCTCCAGCCGTAAACAGTGAGCTGCCAGATACATTCCCAACATTAGTCGTGTACGCAAATAAAGCTTCCTCGGCAAACATGAGGAACTGTTCCTTGCGGTTGGCCGCCAAATTGCCATTCTCCATGCGCGCCTCGTCTGCAAAACACACTTGGCATTGTGCTTGGAAGTGTGCTGCAGTTAGACGCCGTGAACGCAGACGTTTCTCAAACCACTGCAGATTGCCCTGGTCTGGCGGCGCTGTCTGCCAAAGCCAAGTCAGTGCACTGCTGCCAGAGCCACCCTAGGTCATCTCCCTCGGGACAGCTGGCCCCAGTGTGTATATCCGATGGTGTTGGGAGTACTCACGCGTAATTAACGCTAAATTGTCCAAAGTTCCCGTATCGTTACTGCTGGCGGATAAATGCAATGGCAGCGGTTGTTCGAGACGGTAGCAAAATTCCGAAATTTGTTCGCCGACCGAGCGAGTAAACGGCGCCTGCATCAACGATGGCAGTTGTATGGTCAATGCCTCGGCAAAGGCTTCAGAACTTTCAATTGACTCGAGTCCGAATTTTCGCTTAAGCTCAGTAATACACTGCATATCGGCACTGTCCAAAATCTGGTCGATCCGGCGAATTGCTTGCGACAGTAACTAGCGCACGGAAGTCTTTGCGCAACCACGCTGTCAAACTGCCAGTACTCATCTGTCAAACGCATGGGTGCGCTGGATGCTAATACGAAAGCGTTCAGGTTCGGGTACCGGTGTTTGGTCCATGCCATTAGACTGCCAGCAAAAGACCCACCAACAAAAACCCAGGACAATTCGGCCAAGTCTTTATTTCTGAGTTTTTGCGTCGTGAAGTCGCGGATATCGGTGGTTCTGACAAACCGCCGGATATCTGCCATCATCTGCTCGACAGTCAGAAAGCGCAGATTCTCTTGGCCTGCAATAGCAAAAGTATCCGCTTGTGGTATTGAGTCGCCGTAAAATCGCAGTTCGAGAAGTATAGCCATGCCATGCGTTTGCTTGGCTAGCTCTGTAATCCAACTACTATTTAAGTCTGACGCTTGTATGGCGCGCTCACCAACGCTGTAAAGCAGCACGGTCCCCGGGCGATAATACTGGCCGAGTACCATATACGTTTGTGGGATAATATATTTGGACGGGTTTGTGGCAAAGTGATCGAGTGGCTGCAGTATCGTTCGTTCAGCCACTTCTGCTACTTCCTGGGTGTCCGCCGCACATCTCAAGGCGTGTAGAGCTAGCGCCAGTACCATTGCCGTAGCAGCAGTCGCCCGTAGCATGTTTATATACTTGAAAATATAACAAAATAAGAGGTAAAGGCGCAGCAATTTATTTTGTTACTTTTATTTTAAATGACGCCCAATATTCAAGCAAACCCATGTTATATTTTACTTTTAATTTGTAGAGCACGCGGATATCAAAATTGTATTAAAATTTCCAAATATACAAAAAAACATATCTCTGCCACATGGCCTCCAATGCATACAGTAATTTACACTTGTTCGTTCACATTATTATGCACCAGCCACCTTTTCCCCTTTGGGCTCCAGCTTGGCCACAACGCCCTTGCATGTTGCTCTATATCTTTTCGGGATCCGTCAATTCGATGGCCAAGTTCAGCATGTCCCGAGCGCGCCGAATGTTTTTAGGCACCTCCTTGCCCTCCACAAACAGCTTGCCGAGGTTCAGAGCGGCGATTGGGAATCTCTTTGCAGCAGCCATCAGCCAGTATTCCACGGCCAAATTCGCATTCTTTCCCACCCCCTTGCCCTCCAAGTAATACCCGCCGACGTTGAACTGCGCCTCGACTATTCCGGCAAGCGCAGCCTTTTCAAAGTTTACAAACGCCTTTTCAAAGTCAGGTTTGCCATCCTTGGTCGCTTGGCCTTGTGAGTACATGTTTCCAAGCATAAAATAACCCTCTGCAGCACCTTGCTCGGCGGCCTTGGCAAACCAGTATGCAGCCTTTTGGTAATCCTTGTCGATTGCCTCGCCCTTACAGTATATATGCCCAGATTGAACGCCGCCATTGCCAGCTTTGTCTCTGCAGCCCTCTCGAGAAGAGCAATTGCCTTTAGGGTTGATTCCAAGGTGGCCTTGGCCAGTAAAACGTCCGCATACACCACATAACTGGGAGGATGTCGGCAGTGACCAACTCTCTGATTATACTGGCGCTGGTAGACTGACCACCCTTCTGCTTCATAGATCTGGTCCCAGTATAACCGCATAATAATGCGCCGCATTCTGGTATCCCTCCTCAGCAGCCACTTTGTACAGCGCAAATGCCAATGACTTGTTGTTTGACAGTTTTACAAGCATCCCGGCGACCCTGGTTATGTCCTTCAGGCTAGAATCAAATGCGTCAAGCACATCCTTGCGCCATTGCTCCATTGGTTTGCTCACGTCGGCGTTGGTGCTGTTTATGCTCACAAAGCGGTTGGCTAACCCCATCAGTTTGGTTTGTGAAATTCCCAGGTTGGCAGCGCTCAGCACCTTCTGCAGCAGCTGGGAGCTGGGCACAATGTCGGCAATTCCAGAGTTTGATATCGGGAGCCTCTCAAATGGCTGGGGCTTTACGTTGATCAGGACGTCTATGTTTTCATCTGTGGTGGTCGTGGGCTGGATATCTGCATTTGTCTCTGCGGCCACTATCCTGGAAGTCTCAACTGGCGATGGGCTCGCCTGCATAACAAGCGCTGAGGTGTGTATGTTGTGCGCAGTCGCAGATCTTGGTAGTGCCAGGCGCCGAGCCATGCAGGCCAAGGCCGGAGCACTACCGCTGTTGACAGCTGCTGCTGTCAAAGCAACTGTGGCGACGGCTGTTCTTCTGAACGCAGTCGCTGTTTGCCGCGCCTTCATTTCAAAAACAATGAGAATAATAATTACTTTTAATTAGGGGGCCCAAGGTATAATGAATTCAATAATAGGTTGAGGAACAAAAAAGAAGAGGCGAAGACATGTGGTTGCCAGAACCTTGTTGCTTAGACGATATCTCGATTTAAAATTGATCAAGCTGGGGCCGATCAAGCAATGCACTATTGAAAATGGATTTTGGAATTTCCAGACATTTATAGCGAAGCTCCAGATTCCTAAGCGGGGGATTTTTCAAAACCCGTTTTCCCTCCAGGTTCTTAGCCTAAAATATCAGAAATCCAGATTATTGAAGGTGCGGGGAAGTATTTAAGGTTTGCGTCTAAGTGGTGCTTTCATTATGGGTTAAGTGTGATGTTTAACAATGTAATTATATTCACTTAATTCTGTCGCAGCAGCAGCCACCGATGCCGCATCTATTGTTAACAGTACACAGCAGAGTTGCAACCAGTGGGTGCATATTCGCCCACAGTCTGCCAATACCATCCGGTGGATAGGGGGGATGGCTGGCCTAAGCGAAAGATTCCCCGCAAGGTGAAGAAGCAGCTGTGGGATGAGCTGGCTGAGCGAAATCTTAAGCAGTACATCAATACCCAGCTCGCCGATAATCTCAAGCGCATCGTCAGGCTGAGCGGCCGGTCGCGGGGCAAAATCGAGCGCAAAATCAGACAGAGGATACGCAATGAGTTGGCCGCGCAGTAGCAGCAGCAGAAACAGCAGCAGCAGCAGGTAGCTGCAACAGGCGTTAATGCAATTCCGGCAGTAGAAAAACCTCGCCAAGTTTTATGACACGGCTTGCTTCAATGCACAATGGAAAACAGCCTGCAAACCTTTAGGGCCGACGGAACCAAGATCAAGGATGGCGAAAAGTGTCATCAGGCAGACAGAAGTGGAATCGAGACATGGCTGCGGTGTTAAACTTTCGCATCATTCTTAATGCCCTGCTTACAGGCGAGTGTCCCCGTTTCTTGCGCAAAAAGGCACCATTCAAGTTGGTTGAGGCTGAGCGTATAGCGACACCCGAGACTTTGTTCAAGCCAAACCCCAAGCCCAAGCGTGTGCGCAAGAATTAATCTGCCCCTGCTTCTTGCAAAGAGAAGAAGCAGCAAGCTAGATAATATTCGCAACCATAGTGGGCTATTGCCACTAGTTTCTAAACACTTTATATGGGGGAAGGATGTCGGTTTGCAGGATATTTGTAGCCTCATTTTTTTCTTATAGTGTGATCGGACAGCTGCACTTTTTTGGACCGTTTCTGCAAGGTTTCCATCACAACCGTGTCCCACTTCATCATAATTTGCTTCTTTGTTTTCTCAGGTCCAAACTGAAAAATAGCAGCATCTTTCTTTTCTTTTCTTCCCATCCGTGTCAACGCTCGCTTTCATATTTTCAATTTATTAGCTTTTACAACAGATTCTTGGCGAATAGACGGACGCGTGTTTTTTTGGCATCGAAAATTATAACCATGGTCGACACACCCACGGACACGCCCTGCGAGCAGCAGGCGCTTTCTGCCATCTTTCCGCCGCAGTTCTTGGAGTTTTTACAGTCAAATCACATCAATCCAAACATATACACGATGCACGAGAAGCTACCGCGATACGTTCGAATTGTTCAATACGCCCAGCGCACATCAGAAGAAATACAAAGCTCCGACTCGAGGTCGAAACTGACGCTGGGTGCAGAGTCTCCAAAGTCCCAGGAGTTCCTGGATTTCTGGAAATTTCCGACCAATCAGTGAGCATGTCACAAATCAACGCAAGCGCGCGTGGCGATATCGTCGGCATGGATGTGAGCTCGGCGATCGCAGCGCTGGCGCTGTCTGTTAGCCCTGGCGACAATGTGCTGGATCTGTGCTGCGCACCGGGTGCCAAACTGCTCTTTTTGGCAGAGCTGCTTGATGCGAGCGGCGCGTGTGAGTCGAAGCGCGGATCAGTGACAGGCGTTGATATTGCTGCCCATCGTGTCGCTACATGCTGCAAACAAATTGCAAAGCATGCAGGCCACTCAAGGGGCCATGTTCGCGTTTTTATTGAAGACGGCACGGCATTCAGCAGCCTGGCTCCCCGCGACCGGTGGTGGGACCCCAAAGCAGTCGCGGCGGCAGCAGCAGTTATTGCTAACGCTGACGGAGAGGCGGAGAATTCGGGGCGCAAGCCCAAAAGCAGGCGGAAGAAGGTTGTGGAGCCAGGAAAGCCGTGGTTTGCATCAAGGCCGCTATCAAACTGGTACTCCAACAGTGGCACTGAGCTCTACGACCGCGTTTTGGTGGATGCCGAGTGCACACACGACGGATCGCTGTCGCATGTGAAAAAATACGAGCGCTGGGGACTGGAGAAGCTCGAGACACAAGTGATCGGTGATAATCGGCCAATCTCAGTGCCAGTCCTGCAGTCAAAGCTGCTGGAAAATGGTTGGCGTTTGCTCAAAGTCGGTGGCACGCTGGTGTACAGCACGTGCAGCTTGTCAAGATACCAGAACGAATACGTTGTGGCCGGGTTTTTGAGCAGACACGGAGAGGACGAGGCCCGCGTCGAGAAGATCGATGTGCTTGATGACATTCAATGCAAGGACAACATACCTGCCGATGATGGCAGCGTGGCAGGAGGGATCGTTGCTTCGCCAATATGGATGCCACAGACCGACGTCGAGTGGAGCGAGCAAGGGCTGGGTGACAAGCGCTCACTGTTTGAGCGGATGCATAATGCAGCGAGGCTTGATCCTATGATGTCAAACACCTCGGGCATGTTCATCGCGCGCATGCACAAGCTCAAGCACAGCCCGCAACAGCCTTCGGAGGATGAGATCATCCCTTTGGTTGCCTTGCCTTTGTCCGCCCGAGTTCACGCCCATGCTCACAACTGAGTGCGCAATATTTTATATCAAAATTATATTTACTATATCCATTATTGAACAGCAATTGCAAAATAAATATGTTTTTAGCGCTTCTTCATACCGCCCTTGACCTTTTGGAACTTGCCGCGCTTGTTCTGGTGCATGCTCTTCGCCGCAAATCCCTGCTCGTCATCGCTGCCCTGGCCGCCTCTTCTCCTGCGCTTAGCCTTTTCAGCCGGACTCTCGTTATCCCTCTTCTGCTTCAGCCTATCCAGAATAGCGGCCTTCGATGCAGATCCAGACGACGCCTTTTGCAGCGACGCAATACCGGCAAAGTCGTTCAAATGCGAGAACTCGTCCTCGAGCTCAACAATTCTTGAGCGCATACCCTTGCGCTCCTTCTTCGCCATCGACAGCCGCTTGAAGTTATCTTCCTCGTAGCGCGATGCATCTTCGGCCAGCCGCTCCATGCGGGTGTCCACCAGGGCCCTGGCAGGGTTACCCGACGCTGATGCCAATTCTGGACGATCATCGTACTGCGTCATCAGGTCACGAACCAGACGCGAGCGTGAGGCGCGATCCATCATGCGTTGCTCGGCCTTCTCGCGCTTAGCCGCCAGGTTTCCTTCCTCCTCGTAGTGCACCGGCACCTGCTTGGGAGCCCTGTACACGCCATCATCCGCGGCCAATTCATCATCCTCGTTGCGGATGTCTTTGGCAAGGCTTCCAGGATTCGGCCTGAACGCCGAGGGGTTGGTCAGAGCATCGTCGCCCAGCATTGCTGCAGCCAGCTTGGCGCTGTCATCGGCGGCAGGCGCCATCTCAGGATCGTCGGTAGTATGAAGCTTGGAAGGCGCCTTGATAACTGCGCTGGGGCCATTGGCAGCTACAACGGCGCCACGGAGCAGCTTGTCAATCTGGTACTTGAGCCGCTGCTCCAGAGGCTTCATCTTCTCGAGTACAGTTCTGTCCTCAATCAAGTGGGAGATAACCGGGTGGTTCTCAATGGGTTTGCCATGAAGTTTGAGCAGAGAGAGGTATGCCAGGTTTGAAATATACGAAAGCATTGTGTGGTGCTTCACTTCAAGAAAGCTGATTCCGTCGCCGGTTGCCAGCTCGCCATCCTCTACCCGCTCGCGTAGCTTGTCTACCAACTCGCGCACTTGATCGGCCTGGGTTCTGATCACGTCGAGCTTGTTGTCCATAGCCACCCCGTGTTCGTGCTGGTTGCCCATGTTTGTGAGTGTATTCGTGAAAGAAGGTTGTGAGTATGGTTAATATAAAGAGACCAATTTGTAAATTGGAGAGTTAAACTATGTCGAGTGAAAGGCGAGTTCCAAGCGAAATACATTTTCTTGGGGTTTTTTTTGTCCAAAGTGGGCGCAAAATAAAAAAAAGAGCTAAAATTTTTGATCTATAGAAAATGCGCTTATTTTAATCGTGATCAATATCCAGCCATCTTAACCATCCTTTTAAAAGCCAACGCAGAAAATAACACTGGCCAGGCGTCACTTTGTTTTGCTTCACTTTGCTTTACATTATCTTAAATAATTTAATACACACCTGTTCGAGCAATGCACATTCGGTCTTTCATTTCGCAGACATTCGCCTTGCGCCGCGCCGCATCCTCAAACTTGCTGGCACTCACCAAGGCACACAACACGGGCGCCCACAGCGTTCTAACAGCTACTCTTTTCCGCAGAAACAATAGCGGCATCAGCGGCAGCGATGCCAACAGAAGAGGCGGCAGAAGAAGGGGCCAACAGCTCCCCAGCGCAGAAGAAGGCGGCTTTGATCGCCAAGAGGATCGGTTCCAGTATGATATGAAGGAGCCCCTGTTGGATGCGGCATAGCGAATATGTTCCAGGTGGACGAGAACATGCTCAGCATTACTGAAAGTCTGCCGACGGGATTTCGACTCAACAATGGCCACACAGTCTATGGCCCGATTTTGATTGTGAACAACGAGGCGTTTTCGCTAAAGATTCCGCCACCAAAGGCAGATTCCAGCGGCAAGGTGGTCAATCCATTGATGCTGCTGGATGCTAGGGCTCTTGAGGTGCTTAATATTGTGACGCCCAAGCCCGAAATGGTTGTGGTTGGAGGCGGTGCTGGGCTTTCGCTACTGTCGGGCCCGGCTAGAAAGTATCTGACGTCCATCGGTATCAATGTCGAGCTAGCGAGCACGAGGTATGCAAGCAGCACGTTCAACACGCTGTCAGAGGAAGGACGCAACGCCGCTTTGCTGGCGCTTCCGGCCGGCGTGACAGCATAGGTTTATTTTTCATTATATTTAGCCTTTTAAAAAAACCAATATATGTATTTATTTTTCAATTAACACCGACTTTGCTTTAGTTCAACATTGGGCTACTCATATCCTCGTCATCTGCAGGTGGCGGCTTCAATGTGAAGTTCAGTGGGAAAAACCGATCGAGCAGTAGCTGCAGTCCGTATAGCACGTAGTACATGAGCACGAAGCCGGCCAGCATGCCAATGTTGATCCCGATTTGCTTTTCTTTGTGGATCCGGTAGTTGATGAAGTCATAGGGGAACCAACCGCTGACAGCCTCGTTGATATAAGTCAATGACAAGTACAGCACAACCACAACCGTAAAAAATAGAGTGTGTGACCAGTGGGGCGACAGCATCATGGATCCAAGCACCATGTCTGTCCACATAATGAAAAAATTTGTGCCATGCACCGAGATGTTTATCCATCTGTTGACATTAGTCGGGTAGTCTGCGGATTTGTATATCAGCGACCAAAACATCACCGAGACCACTGTTGCATACAAGAGCGCCGATGCAAACAATAGCCAATGCATGAGCTGAAGGGTCCTGGGCATGTTTGAAAACGATGAGGGTGCGCCGCGCCGCCAGAGCTGGTAGGTATGATATAGGGATGCCCCGAGATAAAATAAAAGCCCCGTGTAGCAAAGATATGTGAAGCGTATAAAGTAGTATTGCATCTCGTGGTTTTTGGTTGCAAATATGATTGAGAATATCCACCCAAACAGCGTGTATACAAAAAATGCCGCGCGGATTGCGACAAGGTAGCCAGTGCTGAACAGGCGCGCGCCTCCAACGCGCCAGTGATCCAGGGTGTGCAGCCTGAATACGCGGTGCCAGCGCCGGTATTCAAGGCTATGATCGTTCGCATGGGCCTGTGGCAAACTCCTGCGACTGCTGGAATCAATTTGGTGGTGTTGATAATGCATTATTAAGAAACTTTAACCCAGACTAAAAAATATTGATGCAAAGTAAACAAGCGAAAGACGACAAATTTTGTGTTGAAAAGGTCTTTGCAAAACCCAAAAAAAAACTGAATAGGAAAAATAAGGATGAAAGACATGGAAATCCAACCTATTTTTCTGCTTCGGCAACATGAAAATCCTAAATGTCGGTCACATCGATGCCATTAATAATTAAATATTGTATTGGCAAGTCATGAGCTCTTTTTTTTGCGTGCACTTTCGACGACAATAAATCATTTTTATTGCAAGGTGAGTGCCAAAAGAAAATATTAATGATTTGTTGCGCAGTGTCCAAAGAATAAGGAACAATATCCGTCACAAGGTTCAGTTGCTGTGTTTTTTCTTCCGCCATATTGTCATTTGAAAATTCACAACAAAGCAAACAGCCACTCGTGAGAATCAAAAGCATTTGGTATTAATGGGCCCGGCAGCAATTAATTATTGCCAATTTTTTAATCAAGCGAGCGCAAATTTGCGAGTGCAAATTTTCGTATGACCTGTCACTTCACTTTACAATAAATCCCGCTTCCATTATTTTCAACCAAACTCGTTCCTTTTATCTACAAACTTTTTATATTATACCTTATTTTACTACAAAAAATGTCGAACGAAGTTGTGCCCCAAGTTGTATCTGAGATTGTGCCCGAGGCTGCCATTGAGTCTGCCCTCGAAATTGTACCCAAGTGGACTAGCGAAGATCTCAGCGGCGAGGGTGTCAGCAAGAAGGATATTGTATCCTTCCTGCAGGAGAGCGGAAATAATGACTTCCTTTTGGCACATAAGCTCAACGGCAAGCTGGCCAACATTGCCAAAACCGCAAAGCGCCCGGCGCTGCTGGCCGCATATCGCACACTCTTCGATACCAAGCAGTTCCGCTCCAGTGACGAGGTTTCTGCCACCGAGATCAAGAGCGTAAAGGCTGAGACTACCGGGAGCGAGAAGCCGGAGGGCGAGCATGTACAAGAGGATAGCACCCCGAAGTACACCAAGAAGGTGACCAAGAAGGGTACAGGTACCAGACTCCCAGCCAAGGGTGACCGCGTGAACGTGTTCTATACTGGCATGCTGGAGAACGGGACCCAGTTTGACACGAACACTGTCGGAAAGGGCCGCAAGCCCGCGTCACCATTGACACTCAAGGTTGGAACTGGCCAGGTCATCCGCGGCTGGGACGAAGCTCTGATGACTATGGTCCAGGGCGAAAAGGCTCGCCTGACCATCCAGCCCGAATGGGCATACGGCCAGCGCGGCAATGCGGCCGGCGGCATCCCCCCCAACGCAACTCTGGTTTTCGACGTTGAGCTGGTTGTGGTCGACTAAATCCCTAAATCCCTAAATCCCTGCAATCGAACCGAGTGTAATCAGATTTTGAAAATTTTCTGCTGCCTTGATCTAGATGTGTGGAAGAAAATTTTCTCTCGCATATTGTTCTATCTTTTTCCACTTACCATCAGCAAAGCACAAGCCGCCCCTAACAGGCTAATATCTTCAAGCGCCGCCAGCCCACTGCTACCAGCGCCAACATTGTATTTCTCTCATTTTGTTTTTACCCATGTCGTAGCTGAATCTTTCACACATTTTCCTTATACAATATTTGCAAAATATATAGTTTTTTATAATCTTCCACCATCATGTCTGTCAGCATGGCTGCGAGCGCGCTGCTTCAGCGGTCGTTATCGCGCACACTCTTCGGGAACACTGGCAGCAAATTAACAACCCCGACCTTTCTTCTTTCTCATTTATCGTCTATAAACACGCGCCAGCTGAGCACAACCGCCATTTCTATATCGCGCTTGCCAGCTCAGATTGGCCGTGCCAACTTTCTGCGCGCGTCGGTCGGCGTTCCGATGCGCAACCGGGGCAGTAGAATACTCGTTAATCACATCCCCACTGGCGCGTTCAGGCGGAGCATGTCTTTATCTGCTTCTGTTGAAGGGGCGAGCTCGGGATCCCCAAGGCGGACAGTGGACGCTCCCATCGTTGGCTACTGGACGCTGTTTTGCGCGTCCATGGTCTTTGGCATTATTGTTTGGGGCGGCTTGACGCGGCTGACTGAGTCTGGGCTGTCGATTGTCGAGTGGGCACCGATTTCGGGCGCTAAGCTGCCGACCAGCGATGAGCAGTGGGAGTCCGAGTTTGAAAAGTACAAGCAGTTCCCCGAATACCACAAGGTGCACATCGGCATTACGCTGGACGACTTTAAAAAGATCTACTTTATGGAGTGGTTCCACCGCAACATTGGCCGCCTCTTTGGTGTCGTCTACCTGCTCCCCGCAGCGTACTTTGTGTCCAAGGGCATGGTGACACGCGCGGGCGTAGCCAAGATTGGCGGCCTGGGCCTGCTACTCCTGGGCCAGGGTGTCATGGGTTGGTACATGGTGTCTTCAGGGCTCGAGAAGGAGCTGGGAGAGCGGCCCGATGCTGTGCCTCGTGTCAGCCAGTACCGTTTGACGTCCCATCTTTCGCTGGCCTATCTGCTGTACGCTGGCCTGTCAATGTACGGTTGGAACGTCTTCCGCGCCAACCGTCTGGCTAAGGGCAGGATTTCCAACCCCGAAGCCTTGCGCGCGCTGTTGACCAAGCCGGCCATCGTCTCCTACCGCCGCAAGATTGCCGCCGCTACATTGCTCGTCGGCGTGACCTGCATGTCGGGCGCTATGGTCGCAGGTCTTGATGCCGGGCTCATTTACAACGAGTTTCCGACCATGGGCTTGGGCCTGACACCGCCGCTCAACGAGCTGTGGAACTCGTTCTTTGCTCGCGGGGACCCGTCGGCCATGTGGCGCAACCTCACTGAAAACCCAGCTACAGTGCAGCTCGAGCACCGCATTTTGGCTATGACCACGTTCTTCACGCTCTCTGCGCTTTGGTGGAAGGGGCGCCGGCTACCATTGCCGCGCGGTGCTCGTGTAGTGCTGCACACCATGTACGGCGTTGCATGGCTGCAGGTTGCGCTGGGCATTAGCACGCTCGTCAACTTTGTGCCCATTGCATACGCATCAGCGCACCAGGCCAACTCTGTGCTGCTGCTGGCGTCAGCGTTGGGCCTTCTGCATACGCTGAGACCCCTCAAGCTGGCAAAAAAAATATGAGTCGCGGGCAAAAATTAGTCACAGTGGGGTTCGAACCCACGATCTCGTGAGAGAGCGGATCTTAAGTCCGCCGCCTTAACCTCTCGGCCATATGACTTTGTTACGCCAATCCCATACTGAGGCAATTTAGTTGAACTAGCTTGCTGGATTTGCTTCTAATATCTGATGTTTAGTGGTGGTGAAAAACTTGCTGCTTTGCTTTGTATAAAAAGCAGTTTTCTTTTAAAATCACTTGTGTTTTTTTCTTCTTTCTAGCTGCTCTCGTTTGTAAAAATCAAATGAAAATTCACAAGACATTTATTAATTTATTAAAAAGGCGCTAATACCAACCAAGAAGTTTCCACCACAGCAAGCCCACTGAAAACGACACACACAGAATGGCCACCGCCGACATAATGCCGATGAGAAACCATTTTGGCTGCGTGATATAGCCTTGCGAGGCATACATTGCCACAGAGCCCGTCGAAAATGGCGTCAGAACACCCGCGCTCGAGCTGAAGATAGCAATGAGGATGGCCAGCAAACGTGGCGGGCACCCGAGTACTTTGCCGGCGACAAAAAAGGGTCCGGCAAAGGCGACAACATGGCTGGAAATCGACGAGAAAAAGTACATTGAGAAAAAGTACACAACAGCGAGAGTCAGCGTGCTTCTCAATGGCGACGCATTGTGCAGCGAGCTCGAAAGTGTGTTTCCGATCCAGTCGGTGACTCCCAGTTCCGAAAGCTGCTCGGCCAGCACTATGAATGCTGCTAGCCAAAAGAACGTGTCCCATGCCTTGTGGTTTCTGACCACATCGTCCCAGTTGAGAACGTTAAGGAGGATGAGCGCGACAATGGCTATAAATGCCACTACAGTGGCGTCGATACCAAAGTACGGCGTTCCGACCCACATAACCAGACAGCAGAGAAGCGTCAAGCACAGTTTGTACTCGTCCTCAGACACCGGGCCCAAGTTGCGGTTCTGACGGCGTATCTCGCATTCTAGGCGAGCAAAGTTGACGGTTGGGCGCATAAATGCATGCATAATCGGCGGCATGATGAGTATTAGCAGCAGGACGGGCACACTAGCGCCTAGAAGCCACTCAATAAAGCCAAATTCGATATCGAATATACTCGCGGCCTTGCTAGCAACAATCGGGTTTCCCGCCATACCCGTTATAAACAACGACGAAGACAGTAGATTAGCATGTGAGGCAATGATAGAGAGAAACCCGCCCATTGGATTCTCACCCATCTGCGGATCCACGCCGAGCGACGCAATCACCGACTCGACGATAGGATAGACAATGCCGCCACCGCGGGCCGTATTTGAAGGGATAAACGGCGCGAGCGCGAGCTCTGCCAGGCAAACCGCATAGCCGATACCAATGGTTGATCTGCCCATGGCTTGAACCAGCGCCAGAGACACGCGCCGCCCGAACCCCGTCTTCTCAACGGCCTTTCCAATGTGGAATGCACAGAATACGAGCCATACAATCTTGTTGGAGAAGCCTGAAATGGCAGCCTCAAAGCTGCCGCCAATTGGGTCACACTTGTACTCGTCCCAGCGCCCCGTTTTTCCTCGATACACTGTGTTACACCTGTCGCACTCGACGTGCTTCCCGTCCAGTGTAGTGCACATGAAGCTCTTTGTCAGCGTCAGCATGAGCAGCGCTACGGCCAGGATGACTGAAGTGTCATAGTCAGCTGTCAGCAAGCCCATGACCACCCTATCCAATATTAAACGCATAAATAACAAATAAATTACACTTTTAGAAATATAAATATTGATTAAATGCTGCTTACAAATTGGTTCAGTTTCCAGCTTGCATCAGTTTAATATTACCCAGCAAACACGCCCAGTAACCGCATACTTGTGTCAGAGAGGCCGTGAGGCGCGGGCAGGTTGGCTATTATCAACGCGATGACAATAGCCGGCAAAGCGCTGACGAGGCGTGACTCCCGCACTAGCTGCGCCCAGCTCTTCCAACTGTCTACGTATCGGCGCACAATCCCAATATTTTGCCGGGGCACCATGTTGCCGCAGTGTGTATGTGAAATAAAAATTTATTAGTTTGAGGATATTATGCAGGTATTTATAAGGAGGGCGACAAATGACTAACGAATTGACAATTTGCTCGAATGTAGTAGCGTATAGTATTTTTTGAGTGAGTAGGCGGGTGGGTGGATTTTATATGTATGCAAAATAGCGTTTAGTGTGGTCAGTAAAAGAGAGAAAGAGAGAAAGAGAAAGGGAAAGAACGGCCAAGCCAGCATTTTGACCTTGGCATATTGTTCTGGCCCTTTGATCTTTCTAAGCCAAGCGAAAAGCAAACACAAGGCCAATATGTCCGGTGTAAGTGGCATATACAAAGACATTGTGTACAATTTAATTTCAATCGACCGCCAATTGCTTATTTGAGTATGCTTACCGCTAGTGACAGCGCTGTTGCTACTTCTGCTGTTGTCGCCGCTCGAATTGATCTCGTTCTGGAGATCGGGTGGGCCATTCTGCCAAGGTGCCATTATCCCTGGATCCTGGTGCTGTGTGAAATCGACATAGTCGTAACTAACAGCCGTATGCTGACATTCGCTTGCACTGCATATATGCCTACTAGTTACCAGCGGTGCAGCTTCGTCGTGTGTATTGCTAGCACTCATCGTGCATCAATTGCGAACCGTATAACAAAAAAGTATAAATAAAATGTATGTGTGCGCGCCAATGGTCCAGCCAAATAAAAAGATTATGTCAAAAGATGCAATAATAAAGTCAATGGAGGAGAAGAGCTAAAAAAAATTGGGAAGCAGCAACCAAAAAGAAAAAGCGGGCTGAATTGCCGCAGGTTCTACTATTTCGCATCAGTCAACTTATTGGCTGGTCAACTGGCCAGCTGGCTTGTGCGCTATCACCTCAATCAGCCTCCCCGATGACCTATCATGCCCCAATTTAGGCGTGAGGGCGAGCCTCGGCATTTATTAACTGAGACGTCACAACAGATTGCCACAAAGCTATTTTTCCATTGCTGCTTGATAAGAAAAAATGACAGCAAATCCTTTAATCACAAGTCCAAGTTTGTACCCCACACGGCATATAATGATATAGTGCATTTTGGCCACAAGGCTTTAATTGCACACCGCCCTTTTAGCTGTCTGGCGTGTTGAGTATACTTTTTAGGCAATATTTCCCTCATTTGACAAGAAAGGAGGCCTATAATAGCAAATTAAATTAATAAAAGGTAATATAAATTCTACATCAAATCATTCTCCTCTCGCACTTGAATACCGTTGTATCTTGCCATTCCCTTTGGAAAACTGTATTTTTAAAAAACAGATATTCAGATGAATGTCCATGTGAGCAAAGAATATTCCTAATTTGCAAAGATATTGCATCGACCCCCTCCACCCCCCCCCCCCCCCCCCCACCACACCTAAATAAAATTATAACATAAATACAATGTCACTATACTCATTGTCATGGCACACCTTAGGAAATATATAGACAAATAAAAAGCAATGACAATGCAGAATGCTGCTACACATAAAATATTTGAATCGGCCCAAATCTAATGCAAATAAATATTTTAAGCTGTAAGTGCCAAAAGTATATCAGACAGTGATAAAAAACTGGGCACATTGCCGTAATCATTATTTTTTATGCAGAAGCCACTGTGTGAATTAAAACAAGTACATAATAATGTTGAATTCCAAATACCATTGTTCTATTCAAATTCAAAAATTATTGTGCGCTGAATTCTTTTTTAATTATGCTGACTTGTGCAGATAAAAATTGTATTTTTCTTATCCGGATGTGCATAATACGCTTTATCGTAGTGCCAAGAATTCCAGGCTTATATGACACGGCTCCATCATTGGAATATTTTATTTCACAATTATAAGTTTATTTGACATCCGAGATCGCTATGCCATGCTGAGACTATTTAAAATATATTAAACAAAAGCATGCAGAGCATACGCTTGTTTGAATATTGACAATACTTAAATGTAAATATGTTTTTCTAGCCAAATCGCTCAGCCACAATTGAATTTATATATGAAATATTACACCCATTCTAAAAACTTAAATATATATTTTGAATATAAATTTATCGCGCAGAATTATTTATATTTTATTAAAAATCATTGTTAATGTTTGCGAATTAAGCGTACTTAGCATTTTGCACAGCCACTTCTTGTTTTTATGTGCCGGTTTGTTTTTGCATTTTGGATTTGATGGGAAAAAATAGACAGCGCATTGCGGCATTTGAGACACAAAAAATTATTTTGCGCTTCCATTTCTCATTTTTTTGTTGTTGAAAAGAAAAACCTGACACGCAAGCCTCTTGACCTGTTTAAATCCAATCTACTTTAAAAACTCAGATACTATTGTGCCAAAACACGTTTTTGGACCGATATTCTTTCAGGCTATCGGGGAAAGCGACCAGCCGATATTATCTGTGCCAAAGTGCAAATGTATGCCAAAGCTAAAAATACGGGCAATTATTCGCTATTTGCCGAGATTTTAAAAGATAAAACAAAAAACTATTTTCTGCGGCAAGTCGAGCACATCAATGTCTGCGCCAAAACAATAGACAAAAAACCAGATGAAAATAGATTTATTGAGCAAGATATAAAACAAGTAAAAGAAAAACTAAAGTTTAAGAGTATACGAAAAACATTTAGCCATGTGATTAGATCCCACAAAACTGCTGACCAGCCTCGACTGGCTGGTGGCTGCGCACAGTTCCACCCCCATTCGCAGCGCTCGGCGCAACGTCGGGCACCACTGATCGATTCGCCGCTCGCATTATCCAATTTATTAACCCACACACACATATCATCATGGCGGCAGTTGCAAACAGCGGCCACACCGCGCGCAAGATCGGCAACCAGCGGCGCCCCGTGCTCAAGCACGCGCTCGACAAGCCCTTCACCACACCGTGGCCCACTGCCACACCGGCACTGCAGTGCGAGATTGTTGACGCCCTGTGTGCGGCACTGCAGCCGGTTGGCGCGTACTTTGCTGAGTCGCGGCGCATTTCCAAGCAGAAAAGCCTGCACAAGCGCCGCGCCGCCCAGAAAGCAGCCAAAGCAGCCAAAGCAGCAAATAAAGCAAAATCGCAAAAGAACAAGGATGAAAAAAAGGGCCAGCAGGCAGCGTCAGCGCAGACCACCTATGCTACTTCTGCTGCTGCTGGTGTGCGCCAGCAGATAGCCGACAGCATGGAGACCGACAGTACCGAGGCTGCCAAGGCCGGATTGGCCCTGCTCGACTATATTGTCATTGGAATCAACAGCACAACGCGCTCGCTCGAGAAACAGGCGCGGCAAAGCAGCGACAAGGCTGACCTGGCGTTGGTTGTTGTGTGCAAGGGTGATGTGGAGCCGCAAATGATCGCCCATCTTCCAGCGCTGGCGCACGCGGCCCAGGCGGCCAGCTCAAATTCTGCCGAGCACAGCGATGGTCCTGGGCTTCGGCTTGTTGCTGTGGGCAAGGGCTCAGAGCAGAGGCTGGCGGCGGCAGTTGGACAGCAGCGGGTGACTGTGCTGGGGATTAGGTCTGGATCGCCGCAGCTCGATTCAATTTTGGAAAAGGCACGTGCGGGCATTCTGGCACCAGTCGTGCCCTGGATTGGGGCTGGCATCAGCATGGGCGGCAGCATGAGCAGCAGCAGTGCAGATCTTGCAAAGCCTGGGCTCAAAGCAATGGCTGCGCTCGAGCTGCATACAACAGCGCCCACTCTGAACAGGCAGCAAAACGCAAAGGCCAAGGCCAAAGCCAACCCCGCTGCCGAAGCCGCCAATGCTGGCAAAGATTGCTCGGAGAATGCACCCGCGACAGCAGGCCCAAAAAAGCGCAAACAGGAGTTGCGTGCAAACACAACGAATAGCAAAAGGACAAAAGTACACAACAATAAAAAGCCTACTAATTAATAATAAAATCGTTGAGTAATAACAATATATACATTTGTTTAAGCAATGTTGTCATCATGTGCATTTTAGAAGTAATTGCTGGCAACACAACAAAACTGCACTTGGTAAAAGTGCATACCACGGACAATTACACAAATAAGATGATATAAACCTACCCACCTACCCATGCTATGACTGACATGCATGCGTGTCCATGAATGTTACTTGTATAAGGCCTGTAATAAAAACTTGTTATTTGGCGTATGTCATCCTTAATACAAATGCCTAGCAAAAACACTATTAGGATTGGCATGTCACACAAAATATGTATGTATGCAAATTCATGTATAAGGTGCATGCAAATTGTAAATATAACTGTGACACTTCATTTAATTTTGGTGCTTTTGTTGTGGCAACAGGTCGATTTGTAAATAAAATATTAACAATGTTTTGAAAAAAAATTATATTTAAGAGCATTTATTTTACATTTTTATTAGCATAATAATAAACCTGTTTCTATTGGACAACCCTTGTGCTGGACATATTTATGCGAGTGTTGCATCCCTACCCAGTATTCACTTTAATACACCTGGAACTGGAAACACACGACGGGCGGATATTTGGGTTTGTTTGCTGTTTTGCACATATTAAAAACATTGTTTTCGGAATCCACGTCTATATAAACAACGATTGCCGCTTCGACTTCATGCTTCTATTGGGAATACCTAAACCGGAGATCTAGAAGAATAAAAATGCAATTTTTCTTGTACCATCAGCATACATCCTGCCAAGTGCTGTTTTCAAAACAAGAAACAAGAAACACATTGTCATGCTGGCTTACACACAATGTGTAATGTCAAAATTGGGCTTGGTCACGTGATGGCGTAGTTACATGCAATCTCATTGTTATGATACTGTATGTGCACAGCAATTTTAAATGTGAGCTTCTTTAGCTCTTTTCGTAGTCTCATTCAAATAATATTTATTATACACAGTAATATCTTTATTACACAATGATTACAAAAGCTAATAGCCATTCCCTTTCAAATGTTTTGCAATATCAAATGACCTCGGTACCTCCAGCTTGGAAAGCTTTTCAAATAGAAACCTTTTATTAATATATTGCAAGATCATCAGGATTTCCACCGAAACACAAATAATAAGCGATTCACGGCCAATGTGTTCACGGATCGATTTACTAAGTTTATTAGGTTTTCAAGCTTATGCCAATCCATCTGCCGCCAAGTCTGGCTTCCCGCATGGTGACATACCCTTTGCGCTTTCTGTTTATCTGTTTTTCAGTGTCGACATCAAAACATGAAAACAGCGCATCTCTGATAAAAAAAAGACACCATCGAAACTTGTTTGTATCCTTTTTCTCTTGATTTTTCAGCTCCGCTATTAATGAGCACAATTTAAAGTTTTCACTGGCTTTCCGTTTTGGGAAATTGCGCTGCCAAGCGGGATTCTGAAAATAAAAAGGCACAAGCTGGGAGAATACAAACAGCCAAACAGCTTCTCGGTCGCCACATCTATTTGCTTTCAGCTTTACATTCAAACGCTTTTAGCGACAATGACAACGACAATAACAACAGCAGCAGCAATATCAACAACACAATTAAAACAGCTGGCCTATCCCTACTTGTCTAAATAACATCCATCCTGTTTCTAATTAAGCTTTGTTTTCTGCCTCCGAACAATTTAAACGGCGAAAGTGTGTATACGCCGGAAACTCAACAATTGGCCTAAAATGGAGTGGCAATAAATATGGACAATTAAGATTTTAGGGGGGTCAAATAGGGTAAAGGAGGGTAGGCATGTGCCAATGGGCTGGGGGCGGCAATAAACGTATCCTACCTGCAAATATTACCCACTGATGGCTTTTTTAAGTATTGCAAAGGGAACAATTAATTGCAGTATTATTTTAAATAAGAATCATTGTTCTCTCCGACGATATTGGCATGAAGAACCACATTTCTTGTACACATTTGCTGCTGTTGATATCGGTGTTTAATGTGGCTGTGCAGCTCTGCCCACCACCCTTCCCACCAACCCCCCTTTTCATTTTGCAGTCGCCTGCGCCTGCTTATTTCCGTCCAATTTTGTTCACATTCCTTGCTGTGCCTTTCTGCCAAATGTTTGCTTGAGGCATCCTATTATTTGGGACAAAAAAACAGCAGCATAAAACAAGGTGTACTCAGACTGGTAAGCCAGACAGAAAGCATCATTTTCTGTATTGCTTGCATAGCCTCTTTATCCTTGCAAAAAAATTTACTTGTTTGCGGACCTCATGCAGTCAAACAAGAAAGAAGAAAAAAACCCATTTTGGGAAATCTCTACATGCTTATTGCTGCATCCTCTGCGCAAGAAAATGCCAAAATAGGATTACAAGAGAAAGGGGGGTTTGTCGACCAGTGGGTGTCGGTAGCTCCAAAAAGCACCCAAAGAAGGGAATTATCTGCAAACTGCGTGTTCATATATAAAAAGAATAGAATTGCGGCGAGGCAGAATGTGCCAGATCAATATAAGCTTCACTAAAGCACCTGTTTTCGACATTCCTCGCCACTATTTTTTGCCTTTTGTAGCTTTTTTCAGCATCCCACTTTTTCTTTTGCTGTCCAGTTTTTCCAACTTTTCCTTCTAGCACAAAACGCTTCCAAATTGAACACAATACCCGACTCACTTTGTTTCTGGACTTCATTAGCAATCCCTCACTTTTTAAATATAATTTTTTTACGTTTCCTAGCATACTTCACCCCAAACACCACCACAGTTCCTGCGCTACACATCAGTCAGCCTCATTTCAACCTTTGCCTGCCGTTTTCTGTCATAGCCCTCATTTTGCTTACATCAACCTGGTTATTTTTATTGGTTTAAAAGGACACTAGCTGGGCTTAAAAAATTATCTGTGACTTGCATTGGACTTATTTAATCTTTTGGCTTTATTTACATCCCCATCATAATCACTAGTCTCAAAATATTTGCTCAAGTATATTCATTTTATTAAATATTTTTCATTCATTCAATCCCTCTTTTTTCGTTCGTTTTTATTATTTTGTCTTTAGTTCTTTCTTTGTCAATTTTTATTTTTCTACTTTCGTACACCAATTTCCCCTACATATCCTTCATATATTGTCTATTTTTCCAGCCACCATCTATACACAAGGGTATATCAATAATATTGGTCTCCTGACATAAGGACAGCCACTTCAAATACAATCCGTACTTTATTTTATTCATCCTTTCACTTTTGTGCGCACTTGTCCGTCTTTATTTTTTTTAGCCAGTTATCATACACCCGCATTTTTCTTGATTATTCTTTAAAATTAAATAATGGCAGAAACATACCACGGCTTCATCGACACCGCCCACGACGCCCTGCTTATATTTGAGGCATGCAACAATGGGTTTCTTTCTCGCGTGCAACGCCGGTTTAGCGACCGTGAGCGCCAAAACATCCGCTCCGGAGCAGTGTATGTCTGGGATGAGGAAGAAACAGGCATGCGGAGATGGACCGACGGACGCACATGGTCGCCATCCCGGGTCCACGGCTGCTTCCTGATATACTACGAGATAGAGGGACGCCGGCACCAATTTATTAACAAAAACACTACTAACAACGGAAGCAGCTCGCGCAACTCGCCTCGCAGCGGCCAGATAGAGTCGTCACCTTTTCAGTCCTACGACCTTTGCCCGCCCAACATCATGCAAAAGAAGCAAGGCCTGATTAAAAAGGCGCTGTCGCTGTGCACAAACGACAAACGCAGATTGCACCTTGTTTGCTATTATTCGCGCGAGGATTTGAAGGCCGGCTGCCTAGGATCGCCGACGAATGATTCGCGCTTTGCCGGGATCCAGGTCTTTGAGGATCGCTATCCCGAAATTGGCCATGGAATGGGCCGCGTCGAACGTTATGGCAATGGTCGTGGTCGCGCATCAGCAGAAACTCGTCCGTGGGATCCAACATTGCCCGAAGCGCCAATCATCACCAGAAATGGGCCGCCTGCCTACGTACGCTCATCCATGACTATAGAAAAGCGCTCCCGCTCTTACCGAAATGAGGTTTTCAGGTATCCCAACTACGGGCCATATGCTGGCCCAGTTCGTCACGTCAATGCCCCTACTTTGCAGGGTCCTTCTAGCTACCCATCACAGGGATATCAGCACAACGGAGATGATAACGACGCCAACCCTCAAGGCACGCCTTTTCCGGGTGTGCAGCCCACCCCTATACCAAGGAGCTACACGCCGTCGGCTGCGGCAGAGTCGACTCCGTCGGTGGTAAAGTTGAGCGGTGCAATGCCGACGCACGGCTCACAACGGCAACTGCATGCACCAAAATTGCAACTTAATGCTCTCACTCCAGCCAGTGTGCACTACAGCGTCCGCGCTCCGACTTACGAGATTGGCCGCGGATCTACTGACTTTCACCCAACAGGTGCCGGCGCCGCGTACGGAAGCCACGCGCACTCGTATCCATCAGCCATGTGGAAGACAGCGCCGATCCCGTCTGGAAGCACTTTTGCAGGCCAGAACTATTATAACAGCAAAACTCACGACTCGCAATATCATCATCACCAGCAACAACAATCAAGCCAACCGCTAGCCCATGGGTCGGCACGCTTGCCCAGCGCATCCCATTTTTTGCCAGTCGGACAATTGTCAGTGGAGCCAAGCTCACAATATAACGAGAGACCAATGATCCACCCAGGTGACAATCACCATAGGTTCTACAATCCCTCGGCCGCTGGTGTGCACAATAGCAGCACCAATGGTCTAATGATCCACATGGACGACAGCTCTTCATCTGTAATCTCGCGCGCTGACACTGACAACCCCCACCACCAGCAAGCCGCAACATCCACACGCCGCGATTCAACTGTAGTTAGACTGCCATCAATTGAAAAGCTCGATGGTACGCCCGCCACTGCCACTGCCACTGCCGCTGCCGACCAGTCACTAAATGCTCCATGGAAGAAGCAGCCAGCATCAACAGCTGTTGCTGCAGATGGAGTTCCCAGGATGAATAGCGAAGACATGCGGCAGCTGGCTTCCTTGCGCCCGCGTCTCAACTAGTGAGGAGTTTTAAAAAATAGGGTATTAATGTTAGGCATTTTATTCAACGTATATTTAATCCACCCTCCAGTATTTAATGACATACTGTGCAGTTCTCAACAAATGGTGTCATTCCACTTTGATGCTTCCGATTTAAAACACGGGGAGCACTTTACAAATGCAAAAAATAAACATCGCTGAAGTGCACTGCATATGTATGCTTGCTTTGCTGCTAGGTACGCCAGTGCCCAGCGGTACTTACTGACAGCCACTGTGCCTCACAATAGCTAAATGATATGTTATTCAGTATGTCTGCATTGCGTGTTGTGCCACAATCTTATATTCATTTCAAAAATGGTAAAACCCGGATAAGGGACAACTAGTAATATATCTCACAAGGTGTCATTAAACAGGAAAACGTTGGTCATATGAATAAATAGAACACTTTTTATTGACAGGTAGTATACTCTCGAAATGGCATTCCCATATATATTTGGAGCATGCGAACTACAAATCACATTGCCGATTGATATTAAGCGCATATGTTTTGTATTCAAATAAGTGATTTTCTAAAAAAAATTACATTAAACTGAAACTTTGGTTGAGATGCACATGGTATATGTATATTTATAAAAATTACATTTTGGCTCATTATGAAGTATTTCTGAAGTATTTTCATTTATATTTTGATAATAATTTATTAAATTTCCACAAATAATATGCTGGCATTATTATTTCAGCACAAGCAAATAAAAATGAGAATACAGCTAATGCCGTACCCTTGTTGAAAATTTTTTAAAAAAATTCAAACATTAATCGAAAAATTAGTTAAATATATGCTTTGATTAACAATGTGTATTTATGTAATAACAGCTGAAATGCACATGGTAAACATATTTTGTCGTTTGCAGCTAAAGCCCAACGAATAAGGTTATTTAAAAAGTGACGACCCGAGCCAATTCACAAGAAACATTAATATAAAAAACACGATTATCCACAAGAATAATCAGCGCAGCTAGCACTTTGCCCGTGTTCTTGTACAGATTACAATTTTAGTAACCGGCATTTTAAGGGACACTGTTGTTGTGTACTTTTGTCCTTTTGCTATTCGTTGTGTTTGCACGCAACTCCTGTTTGCGCTTTTTTGGGCCTGCTGTCGCGGGTGCATTCTCCGAGCAATCTTTGCCAGCATTGGCGGCTTCGGCAGCGGGGTTGGCTTTGGCCTTGGCCTTTGCGTTTTGCTGCCTGTTCAGAGTGGGCGCTGTTGTATGCAGCTCGAGCGCAGCCATTGCTTTGAGCCCAGGCTTTGCAAGATCTGCACTGCTGCTGCTCATGCTGCCGCCCATGCTGATGCCAGCCCCAATCCAGGGCACGACTGGTGCCAGAATGCCCGCACGTGCCTTTTCCAAAATTGAATCGAGCTGCGGCGATCCAGACCTAATCCCCAGCACAGTCACCCGCTGCTGTCCAACTGCCGCCGCCAGCCTCTGCTCTGAGCCCTTGCCCACAGCAACAAGCCGAAGCCCAGGACCATCGCTGTGCTCGGCAGAATTTGAGCTGGCCGCCTGGGCCGCGTGCGCCAGCGCTGGAAGATGGGCGATCATTTGCGGCTCCACATCACCCTTGCACACAACAACCAACGCCAGGTCAGCCTTGTGCTGCTTTGCCGCGCCTGTTTCTCGAGTGAGCGCGTTGTGCTGTTGATTCCAATGACAATATAGTCGAGCAGGGCCAATCCGGCCTTGGCAGCCTCGGTACTGTCGGTCTCCATGCTGTCGGCTATCTGCTGGCGCACACCAGCAGCAGCAGAAGTAGCATAGGTGGTCTGCGCTGACGCTGCCTGCTGGCCCTTTTTTTCATCCTTGTTCTTTTGCGATTTTGCTTTATTAGCTGCTTTGGCTGCTTTGGCTGCTTTCTGGGCGGAGCGGCGCTTTGCAGGCTTTTCTGCTTGGAAATGCGCCGCGACTCAGCAAAGTACGCGCCAACCGGCTGCAGTGCCGCACACAGGGCGTCAACAATCTCGCACTGCAGTGCCGGTGTGGCAGTGGGCCACGGTGTGGTGAAGGGCTTGTCGAGCGCGTGCTTGAGCACGGGGCGCCGCTGGTCGCCGATCTTGCGCACGGTGTGGCCGCTGTTTGCAACTGCCGCCATGATGATATGTGTGTGTGGGTTAATAAATTGGATAATGCGAGCGGCGATCGATCAGTGGTGCCTGACGTTGCGCCGAGCGCTGCGAATGGGGGTGGAACTGTGCGCAGCCACCAGCCAGTCGAGGCTGGTCAGCAGTTTTGTGGGACCTAATCACATGGCTAAATGTTTTTGTATATCTTAAACTTTAGTTTTTCTTTTACTTGTTTTATATCTTGCTCAATAAATCTATTTTCATCTGGTTTTTTGTTATTGTTTTGGCGCAGACATTGATGTGCTCGACTTGCCGCAGAAAATAGTTTTTTGTTTTATCTTTTAAAATCTCGGCAAATAGCGAATAATTGCCCGTATTTTTAGCTTTGGCATACATTTGCACTTTGGCACAGATAATATCGGCTGGTCGCTTTCCCCGATACCTGAAAGAATATCGGTCCAAAAACGTGTTTTGGCACAATAGTATCTGAGTTTTTAAAGTAGATTGGATTTAAACAGGTCAAGAGGCTTGCGTGCAGGTTTTTCTTTTCAACAACAAAAAAATGAGAAATGGAAGCACAAAACAATTTTTTGTGTCTCAAATGCCGCAATGCACTGTCTATTTTTTCCCATCAAATCCAAAATGCAAAAACAAACCGGCACATAAAAACAAGAAGTGGCTGTGCAAAATGCTAAGTACGCTTAATTGCAAACATTAACAATGATAATGGCTTAGTGGCAAATGCTCAAAAATTAAGGAAAATGATTTATCGAGGAACAATAAAAAATTATATTTTAAAATATGTTGGCCCTTGAATGTTTATATTTTTTTTATCTGTTTTTCTTTATTTTAATACTACCTATTTTTTATTATTGTTATTTGTACTCTGATATAAGGATATTGTTCAAAATATTTATTTTTTAAAGAATCCGTTATTGCAAAATGTATTCTGAGCGCGACCAGATATGGATTATTGAAATGTACAAATGCATAACAAGCAAATTCAAAACAATAATGTATTGTTTTCAAATGGGTTATTTTAAAATTTAGCAAAAAATTTTAAAAATAAAAAGGGGACATGTATTGTCATGTTCATTTTTATTTTTGGATTAAACATAAGAAAAAACAAGAATAATGCTTTCATTATTAAATTACAATTATAAATTTTGTTTCATATCATCCTTTATTTCTTTTCAAATAAAAAACTTTATTAATTTGTTTAATTGTTTTCAAAACAACAATGAGTAACAGAAATTAAACAATATTATATTGTAGATTATGTTAAAAAGAAAATAATATAAGAAAAATAAGGGACATGTATAGACCACCCTACAGTCTAGCCCTGAAATGAGGCGACAAGGAAACCTCAAAACTAACAAACCAATAGTAGCACTAACATACCCAGCGGTGACCAAAAATATTGCGGGCTTAATCCAATGCGAGGTCAAATAAAACATGGCCCAATCAATATAGAACACCTTAAGTAGAGGGATAGCAACCGCAGTAGTGAGAGTAGCCCATTTGACCACCTGTGCGCCACCCAACAACCAGCTTTCCTTATCCTTAGTCTCCAACTGTCCCATCGGGTACATGGGGACAATGGAGCCTGCGGACATGCAGAATACTACGGTAAAGAGACTCAGGGCGTTGTAGGTGTTTGCTGAAAACCATATGAGGCTTGTTGCTAGGCAGGCAATCATGTGGATTAAGACCATTCCATTCAGGTGACCGTAGGCCTTGACAAAGTGATGAAGGAGAATGGATCCCATCACTGTACAGCTGTTAGCAAGGCCAATCAGCAGGCCAATATGCTCGACAGAGGTGCCCAGCGTCACAGCGTGAGCTACAAGTGTTTATATAAAGAAGCGAGTTTTATATATCAATACAATTTAATAGTTTAGACATTAATTTACAATATTATCTATTTTGAAACCTTTTGTTTCGTCAATTTGTACGTATAGCGCCAAATATGTGTTCATTGCATTGGGTAACTGTACCTGGCAGCAAAAGTATAACGGTTAAGAATCCGGCACCGGCCAACATTATTGTGATTTTTTAGTACAAAAATATATATAATGAATATTGAAAGTCAAAAATCTCAAGATAAAGAAGCAAGAGTAACCAAAATGTCTAATTCCTTTATGTTTCCACACTAAGAATCGGAAGGTTATGCCACTGTGTACGGGATAAAATTTTTTAATACGCCACTAACTGCTTTACAAAAAAATTGTCTTGCAATCCTTGGAAAAAAAGCCACGCACATCTAACCAAATAGAAGGGAAAACCGTCGACAGTAAATACAATATTGTGAATTCTGGCCATTATTTATTTATTTTTAATATATTGACGATATGCATGAATAATTGGTTTTTTTAGAAGCTGGAACAGTATCAGTTACTTTATATTTTATTACACGTTACTATTATTCTGAATTTTGTGCAATGTGTTCAAACAAAAAATATCACCCAAGGGCGGAACCAAAGACATGTGAATGAGATACGGAACAATGTGTGGGATATTAATGAAAATAAGCTGAGCAGATTAAAATTTAAATGTTTTGGTTTTTGTCGCAGACTGCAAAAAAAAATAAACAAGAAAAAGTAAACAAATGCTTGCTCGATTCATGAGCATTAATTTAAAGGAAGTTGAAAAAGGTATGGCTGCGATGATCTTTTGCATCTTCATTTTTTCCATCCCCTAAACCTATTTACTGACCCGCTGATTCAAATGTATTTCAAGCACCTTTTTTATTCTACTTTGCACATTCTTGATGTCGTATGCCGGAGAATAAAACAAAAATGGGCACACGTTGTTTTCTCTCCTATTTCTTTTATTTGAATATCTTTTTCTGTCTTGTGAATTCACAGCTCTACATCACTTTTCAAATCACAACTTTTTTAGCTAAGGAAAAAAATGTCGTTCGTAGGAAAGGTACACTAGAGCCAAAAGCTCGTATTGGGCACAATTTTACAGTACAGAGATAAGCATGGGTTTTTGTTTTATATGACTCAAACTGCATAAACTATATTTTGCTGCATTATAACGGTAGACCATCAAGTGCAAGGCGGCTGTTGCATGGGAGGCGGGGAAGCCACTGAGTAAGTAAATAATTTGAAATGCGCAATCAAAAAAACACCACCCTGTACACTTTTTTTGTTGCATACTAAAGTTATACTATTTTTTTATAACTTTCCTTCTTTTTTCTCGTTAATGATTAGGCATTGAGGAGATTGAGGTTGCTCCGCCAAAGGTAAGAGAAAAGAATGCATAGCAGTTGCGGCTACTTTTTTATGCAACAAAACACTCCTCCTTACATTGAATTCAATATGCGTACACGCTCATCAACATACCAAGCAAACATCCGTTATATATAAAAGTATATAAAAGTAGGCAGGTGAGGTGCGTCTCAAGGTGCTCGCAACCGGACTGTGCCACACTGACGCTTACACGCTCTCAGGGCAAGACGCCGAAGGTAAGTTCCCAGCGATCCTCGGGCACGAGGGCGGCTGCATCGTCGAGTCAGTCGGCGAAGGTGTCACCACAGTCCAACCTGGAGATCACGTCGTTCCCCTGTACACGCCAGAATGCAAGCAGTGCAAGTTCTGTAAGAGCAACAAGACCAATCTCTGCTCCGTAGTGCGCGAAACACAGGGTCGCGGTGAAATGCCCGATGGCACCACAAGGTTTACTTGCCGTGGGCAGCCAATTTACCATTATATGGGGACGTCGACATTCAGTGAGTACACGGTGGTGTGCGAGATCTCGTGTGCCAAGGTTGATAAGGAGGCGAGACTGGATAGGCTTTGCCTGCTGGGCTGCGGGATTCCTACCGGGTGGGGCGCTGTTAATTACTCGGCCAAAGTTGAGGCTGGCGCGATAGTGGCGGTGTTTGGTTGCGGCGCTATTGGGTTGTCGGTTATTCAGGGCGCCGTGGCTGCCGGCGCCAGCCGTATCCTGGCAATTGACGTGAATCCGGACAAATTTGAAATGGCCAAAAAGTTTGGAGCCACGGATTTCATCAACCCCAAGGACTTTGGTGACAAACCTATCCAGCAGGTCATCGTGGACAACTATGACGGCGGCGTCGACTACAGCTTTGAGTGCAGCGGCGGTAACGTCGACGTCATGCGGGCGGCCCTCGAGTGCTGCCATAAGGGATGGGGCAAGAGCATCATTATCAGTGTGGCGGCGTCCGGACAGGAGATCAAGACTAGACCGTTTATGCTGGTCACTGGTAGAGTATGGATGGGGTCGGCGTTTGGCGGTGTCAAGGGGAGGTCGCAGCTGCCGGAGTTTGTCAGAATGTACTTGGACAACAAGCTGAATATCGACGACTACGTCACACACGAGTTTGACCTGGACGATATCAACAAGGGCCTTGAGGCCATGCGTAGCTCCAACTGCATCCGCGCTGTCGTCCACATGTCCAAATAACCCATTTATCTCCCTTTAAGCTTTTGCTACAGTTTTTCTTCTCGTTTATTCAATGTAAACGACAAACGGAGACTCTATGGTGGCTAAATGCTGGTCAGCGTCAATCAACTGAAGAGTGCGAATAGAGTGAAAAAGCGGAGCCGCTGCAATATACTGCAGTGCGACAAAGACAGACTCACCGGGCCACAATGGCGGCACATCCGTGCAATGATCCAGCGACATCAGCCCGTGATCCAGGTCCTCCTCCCCTCCTTCAGCATGCACGTCGACGAGGCACAGGTGCGTGTACTGCGTGTCCGTATGGTTTGATATGTACACGCGCACGGTCAGCTCTTCGCCCAAATTGACCTTGGGGGAGCCTCGAAGGATAATTGCAGAGATCCCGCGATGTTATTATTATTATTCTGCTGATGCTGCTGCTGCTGGGAGAAGGAGGATGAGGGCAGGGGCTTGAGAGAGGATGCCAGACTGGGTCTCCGCGACCTCATGGCCAATGACGGCCGCCGATCCGCCACCGCTGTTGCTGTCGTCACCGGCATAGGCACAGTGGACATGGAGGCACGCGGCGGCGGATACGCAATAGACGAGCGAGGACCCGAAGTTGTACGGCTAGGAACATTGAACGTGGCGGCCCTTAGTCTCTGATCCCAGCGTTAGTGGCAGCAGCATCAGCAGCAGGTGGATCGGGTAACGGAGAGTGTACTGTGCTCAAGGACGGTCTCCCTTGCTGCTGCTGCTGCTGCTGTTGTGGAGATACCAGAGACTGGTTGCGCGCAGGAAATAAAGACGATGATGGTGATGGCTGGGATGGTCCAATGACACGGCCTTTGTGCGGCCTACCGCAACCGGCTGCTGGTGGTGCTGGGTGCTTCTGGTGCTGGCTGTGGCATATGCTCGTTGCGAGAAAACGCCCCCGATGAGCGGCCCACAGATACCGAGGCCGACTGCGGAACTGAAGCCGGAGCCGGAGCCAGAGCCGGAGCCGATCCACCGACAACAACGCCAACGCTGGCATCCGCAGTTGGTCATTAATCGTCGGGCGGAAGCTCCGTCTGACGTTGAACTGCGTCCATCCACGGCCACAACCCTCGCAGCAACAACCAGGTCGCCGGCGCACCTGCGAGGCTCTGCAGCAGCATTCAGCAGCCTCAGCCCACACACAGCATCCGCCCTGGCGTCACGAGCCACCAGCGGACTCACCCTAAACACGCTCTGCCAGCAGCACCCCCCACCGTGCGCCGAGAAATCGCCAGCCACTCACTGCTGCTTTTGGTTTTGGTTTCGCCACCCATCTCCACCACATGCCACTCGTCCGAGCTCACAGTCAACCCACACAATCGCACGCCAGGCACCCGGCACTGACAGCCACCTGGACCAGCGCCGCGTCGGTCCCAAAGCTCGGCGGCAAAGCCACCATGCGGTGCGAAATATCCGCCAGCGGCCGCGTGGGAACAACCGCCTGCACCATACGGCGTGGCAGCACTAAAGAGTCCATCGGAGGTCCCGTGTGTGGCCCATGCGGGTGCGCATATATCGAGGATACGCGCAGCGCCAGTTCCTCCAAAAGCTCCGACCGATCGCCCCCCGCCGCCGCCGCCGTTGCCAATGCTCCGGGCATGTGCACTGTGTGCGGCGCGGATCTCAAACACCAGCGCACTTTCCTCTGTGTCCAGCACCTCCTCCCCCTCACCACACCGGACCTCGAATTCAAACGGGTACAGGCAGCACTGCGACCCATCCGGAGCTCTGCCAACTGCGCCCCGACGTCCCACCCTGCGTGCATATCCAGCACCGGTGTAGTGCTGGAGATCTGAGGCCGAGTGGTTTCGCCGCACCCTTGTGTGCTTGGAAGCCGACTATGTGGAAGGACAGGAGAGCAAAGAAATGTTGGAGGTCGGATGCCTGGTAGTGCTCGGCTGCGGCGGTACTGCCGGGGATTGTACAGAGAATGTACGCTTGGGCGTGCTCGCCGTGGTGGAGATGCCGCCGCTGCGGTAGCGTGGATGCTATTTGCTGTGGTGTCGGCGGATGGTCGCCTGAGTGGTCTGGGATGCGCAGTGACAGTCGGCTGGTGCGGAAGAGCATGTCTACGTCTGCTGCGCCCAGCCGGGGTTTGCTGCTGCTGATTTCATCGTCTTGCATTTTAGAAAAATTAACCAAGAATTAAAAAAAAGGGGGAAGGGCTGAATTCAAATAACAAAAGTGAAAAAGGAAACAGAAGAAAAGAAAAGAGACAAAAAAGAAAAACACCCCCCATCATCGCTGCGCGTCGTCGTCAGTAGCCACGAGTGGCGCAAACACGAAATTGACAAACGACTGTTCCGTCACAGTCGGCACCATAAACTGCAAGCACAGAAACCCCCTCCGATTAACCCTCACCTTCGTCTTCTCCGACATTCCCAGCGCGCTCCTGCATCTCAAAACCAGACCCAACTTGAACCTATTCTCGACCTCCTCGTTGCAAAAATACGAGTCCAACACACGCTCATCCCTCGCATACGTCATCTCCGTACTCCCACCGTTCCCCACCGTGGCAATTCGAAAGTACGGCTCATGCGCGGATATCGATATACTGATGGAGTCACTGGTCGGATCAAGCTCGTTAAATGCATCTTGGAGCCAAGATGATCGAATGATCAACTGTTGAATCACTGGGGACTGCGAAAAGTCAAGGTCGATTGCGCGTTCGGCTTGGAACGTGGCAGCCGCAGACGGAGATCACCCCGCGCTCTTCCAGAAGCACTTGGAAGTCGCCGCCTGGCCCGTCGAATCCCAGCTCCACCGTCGTTGCTCCGCGCAAATCATCCACGCCATGGTGCAAGCTCGACACCCCAATCCCGCCGCCGCCGCCGCCGCCGCCACTTCCTGGTCCGTAGAACAGCATGAGGCATTCAATGAGATTATCCAGCGGAATGCTTATTTGTGTATTGCATTCCAACGTGCTCACCACTTCTCCTCTTCATCATCGTCCTCCTGTTGTGAATTGGATCTGATCGAGGCCATGGCCAAGCTGGTGTTGTATTTGTATGTGGTGAAAAGCTCTGTGCGGATAAACGCTTGGGCAACCATTGCTTGTGCCTCATCAATGTCAAAGACCAAGCCTGTGGTACTGATTGTGCACCGGGCTCGTGGGCAGAACCCGATTGTTCGCAGCATGTTGACCAGTGGCCGGATGTTGTTTAGTTTGGCCCGAAATAGTGGCTCTTGGAGTTCCTGTGCCGCTGAGGGTGCCGAGGGAGAAAAATAAGCCATTTTTATAGGGGTTTAAAATAAATTTGTTAGAAACGCAAATGAAAGATGAATAGACTTTAGAAAATAAAATAAACAAAGTGCATTTTAAAAGCAAAAAAGGGCGAAGCAGATTATTTTTTTTTTTTTTGCTGCGCAGTTTTTCTTTTCTTTATTTTTTATGTATACACTTTCAAAAAAAAGTAATGACCGCATATTTTCCTGCCTGATCAGACCGATCTGATCAACGCGTTATCATTAATTTTTCAAGGAAAAGGGAATGGATATTTGCCACAAGAAAAAAATCAAGTGTTTTTTTTAGCACTTTCTTTTCCACATTCCAATCCAATTATTGCAATTTCAATTTCACTTCTTTTTTTCTTTCTTATTACTCTCACAAAATGTTTCGCACATATTCTCGTCAACATCGGCGTCCGCTCAGACATCCGGTAAGCAGCAGCAGCAGCGGCAGCAGAAACATAGACATAAACATCTACGAAACCATCAAAAACGTAACCACAAACTACACCACATTCCTAATAACAAAAACCACCCTACTCCATTTTATTTTCCATTTGAATCCTGTGTAGTTATCCACCAGCAGCTGCGTTTTGCGTCCAAAAAGACCGGTGGATCCTCTCGCAACGGTCGCGATTCAATTGGTCGTCGCCTAGGAATGAAGAAGCAGCAAAACGAGTACGTAATTCCGGCAACATCATCGTGCGCCAACGCGGAACCAAATTCCACCCCGGAGAGAACGTCGGTATGGGCAAGGATCATACCCTCTTTGCCATGCAACCCGGATATGTCAAGGTTTACGAGGATTCAGGATTAAGAAGGGGAGGAGATTTATTGCCGTGTCTTTGGATAAGGAGGATGAGGCCTTTCCGAGGAGTGAGTTTGAGAAGCGCGTAAGAGGATTCTTTTTGGTTGACCAGAGGAGCGTTTTGGAGGAGCGTGAGAAGATTTGGGAGGAGTATAGGTTGAAGAACGGAAACTAAAATGAAAATCTATGATGCTTTCAAAAAAAATATATATAACATTTATAATTCGAACGCTCTGAAATGTATACATGTTATAGACACTTGATGTGTATAGTCCGCCTGTTCAATGCTTTTTATGTTAAGATTGTTCGTCAATGTGACATACGCCTTGCATTTAAAATGTTTGCCACCAATGCATTGTTCTTTTTATCGAACAAAAAAAAATCAAGTATTTCGGAGTAGGGGTTTTATGCTTTTGTAAATTCAATATTGAATATACATATTCACCTGGCGCGCACAGGCACACGGGTATAAAAATATACAAAAATTTTGTTTTGCTCAACAACTCTCCAATTTTACATCTTTACTCTATTTTTTTTGCTTTTTAAAATCCAACCTTTATTTCATTTCTACAATGTCCTATAACTACCAACAGGGAACCGGCCAGCAAGGTCCACCACCCGGAAACTACACCCAGCAGGGAGCTGGGCCTAAACCCAACATGGGTCCCGGCGGATTCGCACCACCTCCAAACAGCGGCCCCCACATGAACCCCAATCCTTACCAACAGCAACATCAGCAGCAGCAGCAGCAACAGCGGCCTGGTGGCTACGCCAATGCGCCCACCCCGTACTCCCAGGATCAGCCCAAGGTTCACTGGGTCGCGGCTTCCGACAACCACATCCCACCCCAAGCCGTCCAGGGTGGCGTGGAGAAAGACGGAACCCCCCTTTTTGTTGCTCGCGCAAGATACAGGGGCGGACTGCATCCGGGAAAAGCCGGACAGCACATTCAAGATGGCGGCTGTGCCATCGGGTGGGGCCATAAGGAGGTTAATCTGGGGAATATGAGGTTTTGTGCGGTGATGCTAGTCTTTTGAAGTGGGTTGGGCAGAAGGATGAACTGGTTGTGCAGGGGTTTAGGCCTGTCGAGGCTGGGCATGAGGAGACTGGTGAGCCGCTGTTTATTGCAAAGTCCCTGTATGAGGGGTCCCAGCAGCTGGGCAAGTGCGCACCGCATATCAAGAAGGGGATGTCGTTTCCGTATGGCCATAAGGAAAGAACCACAGACGAGTACAAGGTTCTGGCTTATGTGTAACTAGGCATATGCTTAACTTTAATTTTAATTAAACAACATTTCACAATTTATCATTAGTACCAGCTTACCATTATTTGATTTTTGAGGAGATATAAGTTGAACAATTTTAGTTACAACTTATGAAAATAGTAGTGTATATATTATACTTTTTTGCTCATACATGCCCAAAACCATAATATTTGGTGACATGATGAGTGGACAGTCCAAGTGGTAATGTCACTGCCCCCATTTTAACCAATCGTGTTGGCATTATATTACTCAATTCTGTCATATTTAAATTATTCAATATATACTGTTCAATATTAATATCAGTATGGACTTTTTGCTGCGATCAAAAAAGCTGCGCACAGCTCCGCCGAACCGGCAGCAGGTCATGCACATATACCGCGGCATCCTCAAACAGGCTCGCTCGTTTTTCGACGAAAACGCACGCGAATTTATCCAATCATTTGCTCAGAAAAAATTCCGCATTGGTATTCACGACCGGAAGCCAGGGAGACCACGCATTAAGCTGCGCAACGCGCGAGCGGTAAGTTACAATTTTAATTTGTATTATTGTTATTCTGCCCAACTTATTTACGATAAGCTAATGGTTAATTTTTTGTTTAGACTATGCACTTGTTGGAGCGAGCAAACATGCATAGGTTCAAGGATGTCGTCAGCGTCTTGGAATACGCATATGGAAGGAAAGGGCCGCGCCGAACGGATATGCTCAAGGTAAAATACAAAACAAAAACACGCTATATATAACGGTAAGCGTGTATGATTTGCAAATATTTATAGCCAATATTATAAGCACCATAACTTATAATGTACACTGTCACCTTTTTTTCATACCACTTTTACACTATTTTTTAGGCCACAGCGGGGGTCGGAAAGCGCGAGGAGATTTTCGGAAATCTCCGACAAGTTGCACACTACCGGCCGGCATTTTACGCGATAGCGCAGAACCAGTACGGCGAGAAGAAACTTGAAGTCAACCCGAATGTACTCAAGTCACGGCACCCATTGAACGTAGCCAAAATGCAGGACATGCACTGGGCAGACATCCGCCGCAAGGTCTTGCCGCCAGTGGACACTGACATCATGCGAATGTTAGAGGACCGCGCTCAACTGGGCGAGGTAGACACGACTGCGGGGCTGGAGCCGGAGATGAAGGCTCTTGTTCGCAAGTGGGAGGCAAAGTGGGTGAATATGCCCCCAAAGCGCCAGGTCGTGCGATATTACCGAGCACTGCTCGAGCAGGTCACCGAGATGCGGGTTGAGCAGCGGATGGTCCCCAATACGGAAAGTACGTGAAATCCATGGCGCGGCACAATACACGGACGGCTGCAGGCTTGGAGAAGCCCGACTTTGTGCCAAAGTCCACCTACTCCTTTACAAGGTCATCGATAGCTGGCAAGAGGCCACCCCCGAGTGTCAATTCTATCGACATTGCCGGACTGGACCAGGCCGAATATAAGGCTGTGTAGAAAAAAATGTTTTCGAAATATAAGTAATAAAAATAAAAAAGACTGGCGATGGGTTGGACCTAGCGCAGCTCAAAGGAGGCGAGCTTGGACAGAGCCCGCACACCCTGCTCCTCCCACTCCTGCTTGGTGACCCACGCAGACTCATTGTGCTTCATGACATCGGCCAGCACGGCGCCGCCAAGGAATACCATGTGCTTGCGGTTCGGCGGGTCGTCAATGTGCAGCTTGAACTTGTCGAGTCTGGAGAGATCGCCCTTCAGGACGTTCTGCAAGTACAGCTGCTTAGACTCCTTCTCCAGGCGACTGGGCAGACCAGCGTACATGGATGAGCCGCCAGAAAGCACAACGTGGCGGTAGAGCTCGGCGCGCATATCAATTGGTGCGTCCTGCACGGTGTTGATGAGCAGCTCAGCAATTCCAGGCGACTCGACGTCGATCAGCTCGGGCTGGAACATGCATTCAGGGGCCTGGAAGCGCTCCGAGCCAACCTTGATGATGCGACCATCGGGCAGTGTGTAGCTCTCAACCAGCGTCGTCGTCTCGGTGGCCAGCTTCTTGTCCAAGTCCAGGTCATAGCTGACATAGCACACTTTCTCCTTAATCTGGCGCACGGTTTCAAAGTCCGCCGTGCGGTTGAATGCGTATCCGCGCAGCTGCAGCAGCTTGATCAAGTACCTGGTCACATGGCGACCGGCCACATCCAGCCTCCTGGTCAAGTGCGGCATCGAGTAGCCCTCGTAAACAGGAATAATATGGGTGACACCGTCTCCCGAGTCAATAACCACACCGGTCAGCAGGCCCTGGGCGTACAGGGTAAGCACGGCTTGGATTGCCACGTAGACGCCCTGGAAGCCGTAGCGCTCAAACATGATTTCGCACATCTTCTCCCTGTTAGACTTTGGGTTCAGTGGCGCCTCTGTCAGAAGAATCTTGCTCTGGGTCGGGTCCACCTTTAGCTTCTCGAAAAACGTGTAGTCCCAGACATGCTGCATGTCCTCCCAGTTCTTGATAATGCCGTTTTCCAAGGGGTACGACATTTCCAGCATTGATCGCAAGGCCGCTGCTTCGTCGCCCACGTTAATGTCCTTAATCTCATAGGGCACGTCGGCCACTGTGGTCGCCTCTTCGGCCCGCAACATTGGCCGTCCGACTACAGATGGAAAAACGTGTGCTGGGAAATTCGTTCCTGAGTGGCCCACCTTCACGAAACCCGTGCCCAGGTCCATGACCAACACATTGCTGGGGTTTGCCATTTTCGAAAAAGCCGTCAATTAAAGAAAATAAAATAAAGCTTGTGTGTGTAATTGAAAGAAGCTGAGTGTAAAAATAAAACGAGATGAGCACAAATTCAAAAATAATTAAATTTCGAAATGCTTGCATTCAGGAACCCAAATCGCACTCTTTTGCACAGCGGGCATTTTTGTTTGGCGCGCAACCCCTATTCCGCCCAATCCCCATCAATCAAATCACTGGATCAGCAATGAGTGGAATTAGCAGCCAGGAGAAAGAGGCGATGCGAGCATGTAATTTGCTTCTTATCGCTCTTACTTGAATACAGCAGTCACGGGATGTGCACCAGACCAGGCAATTAGGTGGGCGTGCACTGTTCGCTCTATTTTTAGGCATACCGCCGCATCCGCAGCCACCAAGCGCATATTCGGCGAGAAAATAAAAACGCAGACCGATATCCAGCAGCTGGGTCATGGCTGTACTGCAAGTCGTCAACACATAAACGGAGCATTGTAGTTTGGAATGTTCTAACTGCTACCCTTTCTTCACTCTTTTCCAGCAATGTGAGTTGCCCTCAGCCGCATTAGTAACAATGACTTCCTGAAATCCGCCCGCCCGCCCACACTCCTGTTTAATTTCCAATCCAATAAATGGGGGTAATAACCAAAACGGCTGTAAATGGCTTGGTTTTGTGCAGCTTTTGGTAGGGTATCGAACAGCGCCAGAAAAGCACATGGAAATTTCCATTTTTCCATTTTCTTTTGCCAAGAAAAAAAGGCGCCTTTTAGAAGACTTTTGACAATTGTTTCTTCCCTAGTTCAAACACCCACCTCGAGCGAAATTAACGCTTCATGACTACCGAGCAATTATTTTTTATTTTTATTTTTGCTCGCTTGACAAATCAAACATGTGCCTCGCCCCTTGCTTCCAACGGAATACCTTGTGTTTGTCGTCATGTTCGTCACACCAATCCCCAATCTTCAGTTGAGGGGAATGTAATTGAAAATCGTATATAAAGGGTTCGAGTCTCGCTCCCGCCCCCTTTTTTGCACACTTCAATTCTCACATCCTTATTCTTTTATTTTTTATTGCACAAAGCCTGTCTTTCACTTTTTATAAAAAAAAATCCTTTCAAATAATATTTTTTATAGTTTGTAAGAAGTATTATAAACTCTTCTCATTACTGCGTTCCACACTTTCCCTTTTTTCTTCCAAAATTTTTTTAATTAATTTTTACACAACCTCTTTCATTTGCGGCAAAATACAAACATGTACCCTCCGAATGACAACTACTACGGTGGTTATCCGCCCCAGGATACAACCGGCCGTTCGATGGGAGGCGGATACAACGGCTATCCGCCCCAGAACAGCGACCGTGCGGGGCCCAGCGTCACCATCGGCGCCGGACCAAATGCACGGCCCAACAACCACTCGGATATAAACAACCCGTCGGTTGGTGCGGGCAACAAGCGATTCAGCATGCCCGATGCACCACCCTTTGGAGGCGCCTTTAGCAGTCCTATTCAGTCTGGAGAGCCTGGCGGTTTTGCCATTCCGGGATTTGGTGGTGGTGGCAGCGGCTATCCTCCTCCAGCTCACCGAGGCAGCTACGGCAGCGGATACCCTCCTGTATCTGGTGGATACCCTCCTGTATCTGGTGGATACCCTCCAGGGCCCGGCGGATTCCAGAGTGGGCCTGGTGGGTTCCAAGGTGGATTCGGTGGAGGGCCTGGCGGTTTTGGTTGCTATGGTGGAGAACCTGGTGCCTTTAACAACGGGCCTTACCCTCCGATGAGTGGTCCTCCTGGCGGTTCTGGTGGATTTGGTAGCCCGGGCGGATATGGAGGCCCTGGCGGTCCAGGCGGATACGGCAGCCCTGGCGGATATGGTGGTAATCCTAGTGGTAACTTTGGTCCGTCGCCGCTACAGCAGAATCAGCAGCAAAGGCCCAACCTTCCCCCTTCTGCAGATACCTCTTCCTCCCAGCGGCCGCCGATGAATTCCAGCGCACCCAATATGGGTAACTATGGAAATCAGCAGCAGAGGCCTCCTTTGATGAACTCCAGCACGCCCGGGATGGGCACTAACCAGCAACAGAGGCCGCCGCAGCTGCAGCAGCAGCAACAGAGGCCGCCTCCAACGGCAACTTCCCCCCAGCTTCCGACTATTCGCCCAAGCGTATACCCGAAGAAACAAAATAGCAGCACTCGCTGGGAACCAGTGAACAAATCGTAAGCACAACGTTTCTTCTTTCATTATACTTAATTTCCATTCCCTCTTATTCCAATTCCTTGGTAAAACATTATGTTTTACTCTTCCGTCCCTCTCCGTCCCTCTCCGTCTCTCTCTCTCTCTCTCTCTCTCTCTCTCTCTCTATTTCAGGGCTATCACGATAATTTCTCGCGCCGATTCCACTAATTTTTTCCCGACAAAAAGAAAGATATTTTAATATATGACGCGCACAGCCATATTTATAAATTCACACATCCTTTGACCTAAAGGCTGCGGCTATGCATGGCGGCAAATGCTACATATGCATGTGCCAGTCTTGAGGCACCTTTTATTTCCATATTTTCGAACTAGCATATTATTTCAACTGCGCACGTTCGAGAAAAAAACTAACAATGCCTTATCTTAGCTGAGTACAAAATTTATGTAGAACAAAGCACCATATTCCAACTGACGCGATACGCAGCGGTACATACAAGAACGGGAACATTTACATCGGCCGCGCCACATACAAAGACAGCGTACAAGTCGGAATGGCCATTGCATCCAAGGGCGGGTTGGTCGCACCGTGCAACGGCAGAGCCGTCTTGTTCCGCGATTACGAGATTTTATGCGGATCGGTAACCGCCTTCAAATGGATTCCTATTCAAGGCAAATTCACCTTTAAAGCTGTTGTTGGCGGAAAACCCTATGTTTGTGGCCAGGATAAGAAGGGTGAGCCCATTTACGCTGCATCAACTACTGTTGATGGCCGTGATTACGGCGGAATGGTCAGCGTCAAAACCAAAAACATGATCTTTGTGCGTGGAGGAAAGGAGGAAAAGGCCGTTGATTACTTTGTGTTGTGTGTTGTAGATTAAATATTTTTTAAATTTTTCTAAGTTAAATTATTGTTTTTCATTTTATCGTCACCATCAAGTATTCTTATTTTCGTTTATCGATAAAAAAAGCAAAATGTCCCATTTTTTTTGGAGAATATGTCGCAAATTATGCCAGAGAATACGGCTTGTAGGTGTCATTCGCCTGCACGGCAAACACATGTTGCAAATTCGAGCGGACAAATTTAATGATTTTCTTTGCTTCTGAACGTCAAATGATCAACTGAACAAAATCAAACAATCAAACAATAAATAAAAGTGTAAGTGTATTTATGCAAGGCCAACCCTTTTACACTGAGTAGTGGCTGTATACTCAGCATAATCAGATTCAAACCAACATAAATAAGGCAAATAAGGGCAATAAAAAAATATAAAGTCTGTTGACCAAAGATTTACCATTTTATACAGTTTTATTTACGCATTTCTAACGCGTAGCAGAGAGCATGTCTGGAGATCAGTGTCTTCCAGAACATCAAAGAAAATATTGTTGAACATATGATACGTGTCTGACCAACTTGACCGTTTTTCATGTGCCCTGGGATTTTCTTTTGCTGACATATAAGAAGGCTAATAAAAATATTTTGTTCACACTCGGAAAATAAAAAAATGCAAGCACGCATACATACGTCAATTCTTATGACCGTAATTTTTCCATACCTACATTTGGTGTTCTCTGTAAATTTTATTTTGCTGCTGCTGCGGCACAAGATCCGTTTTGATTCGCGCTTTTTGCTCTCTTTCTGCTTCCAAAGGCACATTACATCATTTTTATTGAGAGATAGTGGCGGGAGGTTTCAGCTTATCCATTTTGCGATTTTCTGATAGATCTTTTCTCTTGATTGTTTCCCCTATTTATTCAATGGAAACTATTTTTTTTTACCAGCCATCGGACCTTTCCCCCTTTATTCAATTTTTTCAAAATGGAGGTGGCGGCAGGCGGAGGCAGCGTCGACGCCTATAAAAAGACATTGAAATTATCTCCAACCTGCCTTGCAAATGTCTTTTCTTTTTAAAACTTTTTTACATTTCAACAAATATTTATCTCAAAATCCCCAATCCGTCCATCCCCCCTCTCTCTTTTTAATAACCCGCCTATACACAGAAAACAGCAATGTACCATTCCGATTATGCACAGTCTATGGACCTATCCTCGCAACGGCGACATAACCAGCACCAGTATGATAGTGACAGCAGCGGCGGTCAGTTTATGCCCGGAGACCCCGGCGGCTTCATCTTGCCAATGACGTCGCACAACAGCAATGCCAGCTCGGGAGGCTGGGGCCCGTCCCCAATGGGCTTTGTCGACCCTAATGTGGCCCAGCAGCATCGCCAGGTAAGCTGGAGTAGCACATACCAGTCGGCGCGGCCTGCCTCGCCCAGCTCACCGGGCGGATTTGTCATTCCAGGCGCAAGCTACCACTCCTTGCCGCATCGGTCGCCGTCACCACCACCACCACAGCAATACTACTCCCCTCCCCCTCTTCAGCGGGAGCTACAAGAGCAGAACTACCAGCAACAGTACCATCAGCAGAGCTACGCCCAGCAGTCCAACTACAATATGAATTCCGCATTGCAGCCGCCTGCGTATTCAGCTCGCCATGTATCGTTTGATTTTGGAAATGGCCCTGGTCCCTCGAGATATAACATTAACCGCACCAGGCCTAACTCTCCATTGTATGAGGACAACTCGCGGTCGGTTTATTCTTCCACATCGTATCGCTCTGGGTCGCCAACGCCCTCGGAATACACATCCCACGATGCGTACCCGAGTCACACCCCATATCGGCAGCAACAACAACAGCAGCAACACTATCAGCACCAACAACATCAGCAGCACCACCAGCAGCAGCAGAGCCCTCAATACACATGGGAGGATTTAAGATACAACTATTGAGTGACACGCAAGTTCAGGCACTCCGCAATTGCTTCTCTTAAAACATTTTTAAACCCAGTTCAAATTCAGATATTTCTGCACTTGCACTCTTGCGCTCATGCATTGCATTGCTTTTTATTTTCTCATACTTCATTTTTAAAATAAATACACACACAATTGCTCTTGCACTTTTTTCTTCCAAATCCGAATGATAGTTTTTTACTTTGTTGCAAATATTGCATGCGAGCTCAATCACTTCACACTCGCTGTGAGGGGTGCACGCGCCACTATGTCGTTCCCCTCCCCAGCCTAAAAAACATTAATGCTCTTAGCCATGCATATTCACCTATTCACCTATTCGCCTTATTAATTTAGCTAAAGTCGATAAAGGAAATGCATATGTACTTTTGATATTTATAAATTAGCAGATGCCAAAAATTTTCTATTCACGCTGGCGCTTTGAACCCGAACCCAAGAAGGTATTTTGACTGTCGTCCTTGTCATCATCCCGGCTATTCTCCAAAGCCAATATCTGATCAAGCACATCCTGCAGCTCAGCCTTCAACCCCTTAAGCTCCTCACGCTTCCTGTCCAGCAGAAGCAACGGGTTATCCAGCTTGAGCAACACAATGCTTGTCCACACCTCCTCTGCCACCTCGAATGCCTCCCTATGCATATTCCTCCTCTTCTCAACCTCATCCCTGGTCAGCTTGCCACCGGTATTAACAATACTATTATTCTTGCGCTTAATATCCGCACCCTGCTTTTTCGAATTAAGCTCGCCAACCTCAAACGCATCAATATGTAAGCCATTAAACTCAGCCGTGCTCTGTTGCCCTAACATTCTCTGTGTCTGTAGGTTCATTTGGGCGATGGTTTTTCCTGGGAGGCATTCAGATTCTATGATTTTCATCCAGTTTCCAACACCAAATTTCATTAAGGCTTTGCGCAAAACTTGGACTTCGTCCAGACTCCATCCTGGGGAAAGGGTACAGTTCCATAATGAGGCCGAATCGTTGGATCTGACAACGTTGCGTTGTCCTGTTGGCATACTGCGAGGAGCCATGGAGGATACATGTTTTGGTATCGCGCTCATAGTTATGTTTTGTATATTTTTTTGGAGGGGTTTGTGAAATAAAATAAATGATTGGAAGAATATAATTATAAGGTGACGAGTTATTGGATTTATGGAGGGTGAGAAAATGACTGCCGCAGAAAAAAATGGGAGGGGGTTTCATGATTGCCAGTACGATTGGCAAAACCTGTGGCAGTTGTGGGCCAAAAAAATATATCGCCCACAATTTTTTCAATTTTTCAATTTTGGGACCCCAGCTGTCGGACCTCGCGGCTGAGACGGACAGCAGACTTCAGGTGTATCTAAGGCAAACACATGACATATTGGAGGAACTCAGGAAGCGTGTGGACGTCCGCTACCAGGACAAGAAGCTAGACCTGGATACGAGGCGCGGCTGGCAGGAGCTGACAGAGTACATGTACACAACGCTAGTCAAGAAATTTCAAGGGAGTCACGCAGAAACAAGCAACGGTGTTTGTAAATAAGATTATAGATAAACAGCACAACTGGTACAATGGACGGTGCAACCTACAGGTTGAACGGAAAATGAGGGGATCCTTCACGCCTGAGAAACGCCGATTGTTGATGAGAATTCCAATCTCAACAAACACCCCGACTACCAAATCCGCAACAAGACAAAAACAATGTACTACATAATTAGCGGTGGGCAAGAGCAATGAGGAAAGCAGATATGCACGCTAGCTATCTGGCCACAATTGACGCTCTAGTTAGCAGATCAAGTGTTCGGGTTTATAGGTTTTACTAACATTCTTGGTGGACACTTCCATCACCAGGCAATTAGACCCAAGTCTGAGGAACTCCAAACCTCGCCGCCTTTAAAATAATTTTTGTTATAGGGGCATGTATCCAGATCTACAATAAAGCCCATACCAGGCAAGGTGGCATGGTAGAGAATTAGTCTTATTCATCAACTTTAGTTTTTTTGCTTGTTTTATATCTCGCTTAATAAATACATTTTCTCTTTTTTAAATTATTATATAAAACAACTCAGCACGGCTGTAAAGCTACCAAACATGTATATTAAGTAACAATAAGCATAATCAGTTATTGGATTAGTTATAAATCTCAAAATATTATTAATAAAGTATTGCAATCAGTTTAATATAATGTTGTCAATGATTCTCCGACTAATATTAGTAATACAACAATTATTATATGTGCACTGCCTCACCATTGTATTTGAATATTTGCTGGTACTAAAATGTAATCAACAAATGCGTATTATTCTAAAAGCTGTTATATTTATAATACATCTTTAAATATTAAGGCAGTTGAGATGTTTAAAAGTAAATAATAATATCAACATTATTTTGTGTATTCGACCATATTTGCCTATGCTCTTTAGTGTGCAGCATATACACATTTATATTGTAAACTGACTTTATGTGTATTTGCATAAACTACAATTTGCAATACCAATTGCAGTCTTAGGTATTTGCAGTCAACAGTGTAAATTCGCAGTCCTGATTGGTTGTGCAAATATATAAAAGTCTTGCTGGTCAGATGTATTTTCTTCTGTTAAAAGAGAGACATGCGTTTTATGTTAGGTTCAAGTATACAAATGCAGAAGAAACACATTAATAAAAGTATAAAAATAGCTATATTATTTACAAATTCAATATTTTACGTTGCCTTAGACATCGACAATAATAGCAATTTGGTTGTTGGTTGTTGGTGTTTAGGGTGAATATACATGAATTGCTATACAAGGACGCTAAGTTTATTTTTAATAAGATGTTTTTACAGTTGCTTGTTTATTTAGGTGTAGTTTTTTGGCGGTAATAAAAACAAACCCTGCAGGTGCTTGCTTAATTACTCCTGAAAAAACTTTGGCAAGAAATGGTGACATTCGAGTATCAGATTATCAAAAAAAATTAAGCTTATGTATTTCAACATAAAGTTATTTTATAATAAGAGCTGCACTAAGTCATTGTGCCTAAAAACCAGAATAAAAAGACCCTGCTCAAGTTAACCTACATTTTCTTCTCATTCTTTCACCACCTCATTATTCACTTTTAATTGTTGCTTATTAGCTCGTCAAAACTACACGTTTTTATAGAACCATTTGAGCACCAGCAGCAGCAATGCGCTCGCTTGCATTTATGTGGCCAGACTTTACTGACTTGCCCAGTCGCTGCTGCTGATGATCCTGCTGGCAACTGCAACCAGCACAGCCATTCACCTTTGGCTTGCATGGTATGTGCTGGATTCGCAGTTGAAACCCACCATTTTGTTACATCTCAAAGGCATGTGCGCCCTCAATGGGTTTACTCTTGCCAGGCTCGCGCGCAGTGGTTGCCCTTCCGCTGATAATTTGTGCAACCAAAAATTTGAGAACGAGTTTAGCAAGCACATCAAAAAAGCAGTGTCTGACCCAACATAAAGGTCTTTTAAATAGAACCATGCTGAATCTTATGTTGAATCAGTGCGTTTAGAACGAAAAATTAATTAATCAAAGTGGCTACTTATTGGCGCTGGCTCCTGTTTGTTAGCATTCTTGCAACCATCGGCAGTTCAAATGAAATCGACTACTTGAGCTTGGCCATTCTGCTCGTTGTCTAGCAGCTGCTTATTGCTCACCACTCTTGCTGATGGATACATTTTTAAATTATACAAGTTGATATTTGAAAAATGCTTGTGGTTTTATATTTTAAGGTGCAAGAGTTGTACATTACAGCATATTGCAAATTCCCCTCATACTCACATATTTTAAATATAGCTTATAGTATCTCAGCAAAAAAAGACAACCTTCTGAGTACCTTCAGGTTGACTCACTTATATTTTCAATGTTTGGATCACATCTCGACATATCGGTTGGTGTGCCGTCATTCCAGTTGCAATTGCACTTGGCCACCAGCTATTCGCCTATCTGGTATTTGCAAAGCTTAAGCGTCTGAAAAGGCTGAACGGAATGACAAAAATGTCCAGGTTTTAGGAAGAATACTTGAGCATGTCTAGCAACATCTGCACAATCAAGTTCTATTCCTGGGAAAATACATTCATGGGCGCTATAAAGTGGTTATATTTGCCGGAATACACACTGCCAGTATTCTGGTATGTGTTGGAGTATATCATCAAGGTTGTCGGGTCCTCGGTTTCGCAGATTTCCACGGCGCTGACAATCATTATCTTCTTCAGCATGTCCAGCGATCCAATGTCGTATGCCAGTGTTGCGCTGCTAGTAGACTCGATCGACTCGCTCATTGGATTTGCCAAAACAATTGGTACTACTGGACAGACACTTATCAACATCAAAGAGGGTGTGGCTTTTATGCAGACACTTGTTAATGCTCAACATACCAAATCCATTGCACATGTGCCAGAGACACCCAAGGACTGTTGTGGTGGAACTTGACAACTGTGCTTTCAGCTGGGGCGAGAACAAATTTACACTCGATCCGATCACGCTGAGAGTCAAGGCTGGTGAGTTTGTAACGATAATCGGACGCATTGGCAGTGGCAAGTCGTTGTGGTGCCCAACACACATTTCAAGCCACTATCTTCCCTTTTCAAGAATCAAGATCGCCATCATGGCCACTATACACATTTCTGTTATTGCTGGCTGACATCAAGGAATACCATAATGTTTACAGCGCTGCCCACACAGCGCTGCCCCCTTTTTCAGTTAAGTAAGTAATTTTTAAGACTTGAATATATCGATTTAGACCCACATTTTTATAGAGCACGACAGTCGTCACTCCTTTCAGGGCTGTGCGGCGAGATTCCCATGATCGGTGGACATGGCCGCGTATGTGACAATATTGGCTATGCCAGCCAGGAACCGTACATTATAAACAACACATTCCGCGAGAACGTGCTCATGGGCGCTGAGTACGGGGAGGAATGGATGCATCAGGTGCCGGAAGCCTGCGCTCTGTCCGAAGATTTCAAGCAGTTTGCAGCTGGTGATCTGTCAGAGATTGGCCACAATGGCATTAACCTGTCTGGCGGCCAAAAGGCGCGACTGGAACTAGCGAGGTAAGTATTGGATATTCACAGCAAACGTGTATCATACATGTAATATATGCAGGGTGTAGAATATGTATTTTGTTGCTAATTATTTTGCTAATTATTTTGTAGGGCGCTGTACCTAAAGGCGGACGTTTACATATTTGACGACTTGCTTGCGGCTGTTGATGCGCGGGTCGAGCGCCTCATTGTTGAGCGCGTTTTGGCATCTGGTGACATCATTGGCGATAAAACGCGTATTTTAGTCACCCATGCCGAGCATCTGGTGCCGTTGAGCAGCAGCCGGTTGGTTTTGTGTCTGCTGTCAACACAGATGAGCACATCCCTGATTTGTCGACAGAAACTGCTTCAACCAGCAACGCTGACACTGAATCTGGCAAGTTTACCATTAACTCCAAGCTGAAGGATTCACTGTTCAAGCTGTGGCAGCTGTGAAGGTTTATCAAGCTCAGTGGGTACAAGGCTGTTGCTATTGTGGCCTTGATCCAGCTTGCCAATGCCTATGCGATATACTACGTCAAAAACCTGCGAATCAGCCTCATGGTCGACAGCAATCCCAACACGATGCACCAGTCAATGAGCAAGGTACTTGTCAACGCGCTGGTAGGAGTTGTTTGCATGCAGCTAAATTATTTTGAGGCGTGGATCAGGGAGGTTTTGTGGACCAAACGTGTTGCAGAGAAAATGCGTCGCCAGCTTATCAGCAGTATTCTATCACTGCCACTCACACTTGCCGGGAGACTCTCTTCCTTTGAACTGATCAAAATGTTTATGGCTGGTCGGGTTTATATATCCAACAACCTTCCAAAGGCCCTGTGAAATACTATTTTGTTTGAAAGTTTCTTGGCAGTCTCGTCAATGATCCAGGCTACAAGATTTTCGCCAACAATTTTGCTGCTGTGCTTGCTGCTAGCTGGCCTAACTACACTGTCCAAAATATTATTCAGGGATATAGATAGGTTCCCGCGGATTCTAAACCAGTATCTTTATAATAGTATCTTAAGTTACTCAGAAGTGATAACTCAATACAAATTGCTACTTTGAATTCACAGATGCGCCGATGTATACCTGGACCGATTAAGAACTAGGTTTTCCAGCGAAATACATTTTGGCCACATTTGTAGTGTATTGGTCAGTTCGCGCAAGGTGATGGCTACCGTTTGCGTCGAGATCATCCACAGCGGGATCTTGCTATTCAGTATCCGTCGTTGTCTTTACACTACCACTCCTGTACTTCCTGGAGAGATTGAAATAATGACTTTGCTGTCCCTAAACGTGTTTCATCATGTGAACGCGCTAAATCAAATTTCCAGCAAGTTTGAGAACCAAATTCAGGCACTTTTGCGCTACTACATTTATACTGAGCAGCTGGAGCGCGAGGCATCGGTGATCATTGATGGTGCAACGTTAAAACCCAGTTGGCCGCATAATGGGGTAATTGAGTTCTGCGATTACAGCATGCGCTACCGCCCAGAGTTGGATCTGGTTCTCAAAGGGCTCAGCTTTTCAGCACGAGGCGGTGAGAAGCTTGGCATTGTTGGGCGCACGGGTGCAGGCAAGAGCTCAATCGCATACGCGCTGATGCGCTTGGTCGAGCCAGCCAACGGCCAGATCAGCATCGACGGCGTTGGCATTTCGACCATCGGCTATCGTGACCTGCGATCACGCATTGTCATCATTCCGCAGGGTCTGGCACTGTTCAAGGGTACTATACGCGACAATTTTGATCCGGCCAACGAGTACACTGACGACAAAGTCTGGGCGGCTATTGGTGCGGGCCAAATCGACGATACTCTTAATACTCAAACAGAGAAGTACGTCAAGCCTCTGGATAACAAAAATTCTGACAAGAGACCATGGATCGAGGGCATTGTGATGGACAGCGATTGCATTCTAGTAATGGTCCATGGCCAGAATACAGAGTTTGACACGCCCGAGAAGCTGCTCGCTGACAAGAACGGCCACTTCTCACAATTAGTCGAGAGCATGAAGTACAACCAGGGCAGTTAGATAATGCTTTTTTAGCAATTATATCTGGTTATAGTTACATGTCTAAATTTAATATTCCAACTTGCCGTGATGAAATTTAATATTATATAGAAATTATATGTATATATTTACCTGGCCATTGTTAAATAATGATATTTATTGCGCAAGAAAATATACTCAAAAAGTGCATGCTCATCCAGATGCATCAATGGCCTTCAGATGATCCAAATGGAATGGGTTGCTATCAGCTTCAGGACGGTTAATTGGAGTCCACTTGGGATCCTCCTTAAACAGGCGCATGGCCTTGATATAGTTGGACGTGTCCAACGTAAACCGATGATAGATTCCCGGCGGCACAATAAGCAAGTCTCCAGCCTCGACGAGAATGCGAACCCATCTATCCTCCTTGTCCCGAACATCAAAAAAGCCTGAGCCCTGCATGATAAAGCGAATCTCCTCGTCCTCGTGGATATGCTCGCTGAAGAACGTCTTTATCTTCTCCTCATAGTTGGGCAGCAACGTCGGCGAAATGTTAATTTCATCGCGGTTCTTGTATGAGCGCTCAATGCACAGCTTCTCAACCTCTGCCTGCTGCTCTTCGGCATTGCCATCAAGGTGGCGGTAGAATACACCGATTCTGTTGAGCTTCTCGATGCTCACAGGGATGCCAGAGTCGTGCAGCTCGCGCTGGTCGGCGTCGGTGTTGTCATAAAAATAGGCCCGCATTTATTATTATTCAAAAAAGGTTGGTGAATGTCAAAAGTGACTAGTACAGAAAATAAGATAAAAATAAAAAATAAAATAAGAGAAAGAGGAATGTGGGTTGAACTATCCAATTGAATAAAAATAACAGGTCGAAAAAAGACAAGACGGTAAATCGACAAATGACACGCGCTGCAAAAAAGCAGCACTCACCTGTTCACGTTGGGTAAAAGAGCGACACGCATCACGCAATCGGCAGAATAATTTTAGTCATCGTCGCCGTAGCTTGCTTGCACCCTGCTGCAGTCGCCACTTTTTTTGCGGATATCTAGCGCCTGGTTTTTGCGGGTTCAAGGCTGTTTGTGCTGGCCAGATACAGGTTTGCGTTACGCTGGTAGTGGTTCCAAATATTTGAAAAGGCCACTAGGTCGCTGTTCATCTCGTTTATCTCTTCAATCTTTTGGTTGAGCTCGAGCAGAGTGTCGTTTAGTTTGACAACATTGTTGGTGATGCGGGCTAGAATTTGAGTCTGCTGCTCGTCGTAAGGATTGCGCATTGCGAAACGAATTGGCTGTTAAAATGAAGAACTGGACAAATTATAGTTTGAAAGTTTGGAGAGCAGAAAAGGTTGAAATATAAAGAGACCGAAAAAGGGGTGAAGGCTTTGGGACAATAAAAAATTAAACGTAGTTCAACCAATCAACCAACCAAAAAGTCAATCAACTAACCAACTCAAATCACTGGTGTGTAGCAAATAAATTTAACAGTACATTAAACTAAGAAAAATATTAAAAAAAGCTGTCTATTACTTTTGCTGTTCTTGCTGGTGCAGAGCTTGCACTAAGGACTTGAGCACCTTTTCGTTTTGTGCCTCCGACACGTCCCACTGGTCCAGTACCTGCGGGTTGCGCTTTAGCAGTGTCATAATCTGCGACATGGCTGGTGGAAGCAATTCATCTAGCGCCCGTGGACACAGAAGCGGGTCAATCAAAAGGTCGGGGATAGTCATGCGTCTGTCGGGATCGCGCTGGAGGCAATTCTTCATCACTCGCAGGAGATCTAGTGGCACCGGGAACTTTTCCGTGCCACTGGAATTATTTGGGTTCGAATCTGCGTTGGGGTCCTTATCCGTTCCCACCTGCTGGCAGCCGGCCATAAACTTGGGAAACGGGATGGTGAAATTCGGGTCAGGGATGGACGCCAACTTTTGGAATAGCGCCAGCTGCGCAAAGGGTGTGCGCCCGTAGCACATCTGGTACAGAATGATTCCAAGCGACCAAATGTCGCTAGCGCGCCCGAGCTTCATCATCCGCCTGCCGTTATCTGTGTTGGTCTCCTTGATAGCCTCGGGGGACATGTAGTTGACAGTGCCGATCTGGTTCTCTCGGTGTATGTTGGTCGTGTCATTGCCGATAGCCTTAGCAATGCCAAAGTCGATGAGCTTAAGCGACCCCTTGACCAACAAGTAATTGGCCGGCTTGAGATCGGCGTGAACGACCCGCTCGTCGTGGATCGCCTGGACGGCGCGCAGCATCTGCTCCCAGTACAGCCGGATCGTGTTCATACCCAGTGCCACTTCACCCTGCCGCTTGAGCACATTGGCTAGATCGGTGTCGCCCAGCTCCATCACCATGTGCAGCAGCCCGCGCTCCTTGTTAATCTCGGCGTCGTACAGCTGGATGATGTACGGGTTGCCCTCAAACTTGCGCAAAAGAACAATTTCGTTGACGTAGCCCGCGATAGACTGCATGTCAGCGCGCGAGAACGACACGCGTTTGATTGCCAGAATCTCATGCTTGGACGACATCGCCTTGTACACCTTGGAGCTGCCACCGCGCCCAGTAATGCTGATTTTTTGGTACTCTCGGTTGTTTATGACAAGCTTGCGCTTTGGATCCATGCCAGACTGGCTAGCCTGCACTGGCTGTTGTTGGTGTTGTTTGTTGTTGTTTGTTGTTGGTGTTGTTGGTGTTGTTGATGCTGTTGCTGCTGGTGGAGTTGAGGCAAGGGCTTAGATGCGGACACAGGTGCAGGTACGGCTCCAATTGAGAGTTCTGCGGCGTCGGATAACCATGCATTGGGATCTCGGGCGGCGTGTGGCGCGGCTGGCGCGGCTGCAGTTGATGTTGCTTCTGGGACACCAATACCCGGGCAGACAAATATTGTTCTTGCAGAATAGCCTTGTCCTCTACCAGCGTCTCGGTCTTCGACAGCCTATTCCGCTCATCGCTCCGCAAGCCAGCTGCATTAGCGCCATTATCAATCTCCGTCTGTTGTTGCTGCTGCTGCAGTATCGGGCTACTTTTTCGAAAGGCCTCAAAATTATTCCCAGCAGGCGGCCTGCGTGTTGGCACCTGTTTCGGCGAAGAGTAGCCAGAACCAGGACACTCTGGCCGCCCTCCATCCCTAAGCACCGGCTGTGGAAAGGCGCTTGATGGATGCTGCCCATCGGCCCCTACATTACCAGATCTGGATGGCAGCGTCTGATGGTGCTGGGCCTTGGGCATAATCATCAAATGCTGGTCGGCGTAAGCAGGGGAAATAGTGCCACTGCGATTGCTATCAACCAGAGGAGCGCCAGAATCTGCACCGCGAGGAGCATTCCCTTGGTTCCGCGGCCGTTCGTGCAGGGACGTGTAATGTGGCAAGTCCCCGTTTACGCGCTTCTCGTACTGCTGGAACCGCGCGGGCATATCCACGGTCGACTCGCCATGCGGTGCCAAGCGCATCTCTTGCATAGTCATTGGCTTCATTGGGTAGTTTGGCGATATGCGGGAGGATCTGGGCGACGTCGACAAGGCGGCTCTCTGGTTGATGTTCTCTGCTGAAGCCGATGTCGAAGCCAACGGCGATGCCATCTGTCGCCGTCGCCCACTGAGTAATGGAGACATCTCCCGGCGTCTCTCCGCATCACCACCATGCATGGCCGATGTCCCCTTATACTCGGCGCTATCGGGGGCCTGGGGATCAGCCGAATTCTTACCCGCACTGCCCGCTTCATCCATATTCATCAAGCGAGACGCCATCCCGCCATTGCTGGACACCTTGGATGCGCTCTTGGAGTTTGGTGACGGCGAGCGGCTCTTCGGGTTGCTGTTCATCGACACATCGCTGATATCCATAGACCGGCTCCCAGCAAACATGTCACCGGCCATGCTCTGCAAACTGCGCATGGGCGCATAACCCGTACTCGATACACTTTGGTTTTTACTCCGCGACCGCGATAAATGAAAGGTGTTGTCCATATCGGCGCTGCCCTCATCCATGGACAAAAACGAGTTGCGGTGGCTTTCCGAGTCCACGCTGCCTGCATAGGATGAGTTGAGCACGGGTGGCGGGGAGCGGGTAAATCTATCGTACGCCTTGTTGTTTATGGAGCTCGAAAGGCCGCTCATAAAATCCAGCGAGTCGTGCGAGCTATCTGTAGCCTTCATTCCGGGAGCGTCCCCATCGGCGCCCTGTGTGTTATCGTCGGATAGCAAGGCCGAGTCTCCGCGCTTGGGCTTAGCCAGTCCCAGTCGGCCTCGGTGCTTCCAGCGAGCGGACGCTGTGGAGCTTTGCATCGGGTGTGGAGGTGGCTTATATGCCGGTGTCTCTGCGACCACCCCAGCGCTGCCCGACTGGCCCGATGATGGTTCTTTATCAACGTAGTTGTAGACGCTGCGTCAGTGTCCACTTGATAAGACCGGTAGCTCGACGATGCGTGTGTATTGTCTTTAGGCTGCTGCTGGTTGTGCTGGTCTGAATTAGACTGTCCTGTGTAGGCCTGCTCGTTAAAGGACAAGTCGCGAACGCCCCTCCTGTTGTTCGACCTCTCGGCCTTCTCAATATGAGATAATTCTAACTGTTGCGTCCCTGGGTTTTGTCCCTAGCTGCGGGCGCACTTGCATCGGTTCGGCGGCCGGAGTTGCTGAACTTCATGCCCTCCATGTCGCTCAAATCATCGATATCGTCAAAAGCATCGCCAGGGGCGTCAAACAGTTTGGAAGATATGTTTCCCCGTTTGCCGGCGGCCGCCGCAGTAGTGTATGGCAGGCGCGCTGGCCGAGCGCTCTGTTGCTCACTGGGTGTATGTTCAACTCCAAAGGGTGACATTCCGTAGAGCGGTTTTAAGAAGTAGTGTGCGGCGAGTGAAAATAAAAATAAATTAAGAATAGGAATTCACAGCAATATAATTTAGGACATGAGAGAAACATGTAAAATGAAAACGGAATTGAAAGTAAAAAATGAAATAGTTTAGCTTAAAATCGTACAAACTTGTTTTTATTATTTTTATTTTGCCATCACACTTGTGCCTGCAGTGCGTCTTTTTGCCCTCATGAATTTATGACCAACACGCTGTTGTGGCATATAAATGCTTGAAAGCATGAAAAGTAAACAGAAAATTAGTGGATTACGATCTCGATTTCAGTTGAACCCAAAAACGTTGCTGGTGCTGATTATTTAATAGTCAATCGAGTAAGATTTAATCATCAGTCGAGTTTTTTTTTCTTCCTCACTCACTCTAAAAAAAATGAATGGAGAAAGAAAAAAAAGTGCTAAGCATGTATGATTATTTCTACATATTTGAGCAGCCATCCTTGTTGTGCTTCTCTAAACATATTTTTTCCTACTAAAATCACACATATAAATATATATTCGCATACAGTGTACATATATTCAAATTAAATAATGGCACCAGGACGCAACAACACCGCAGGCAAGAAGAACGCACAGAAGGCTGCCCCTAAGGCTGCCCCTAAGGCTGCCCCTAAGATTGCCCTTAAGGCTGCGCCAAAGCCCATACAGAAGGCCGTGCCGAATAAGAAGAAGGGATCCGTGACACAGGCCCCCATTGACGAAGATATGTCAGATTCCGAAATTGATGAGGATAATGGCTCAGATATCGAGGAGACGATCTACGAAATGTCCGACGACTCTGCAATCGAAGATGTCTCTGACAGCGGTGAAGAGGACTATGAGGAGGAGGAGGAGGACAACATCAGCGGTGACGATGAAGACATCGAGGCAGCCAACGAGGACAGCGAGGGATCCGACAGCGAGATCGACGAGGCCGCACTCCTGGCGGGCATCAAGGATAGCGACATTAGCGAGTCCGAGTCCGAAGGCGAGGATGACTTTAGCAAGAACATGGGCAAGATCGAGCTAGACAGCAAGGTCAGTACCAAGCTGATGGACCGCCTAAGCAAGATTAAATCTCGCAAGGGTAAGCCCGGCGTCCTCTACATTGGCCGCATCCCCCATGGATTCTACGAGGAAGAGATGCAAGGTTACTTTGGACAGTTTGGCGATATCAAGCGCTTGCGCTTGTCGCGTAGCCCCAAGACGGGCGGGTCCAGGCACTATGCGTTCTTGGAGTTTGCTCACGCCGAGGTGGCCAAGATTGTCGCTGATACTATGAACAACTACTTGATGTTCGATCGTTTGCTCAAGTGCTCGGTTGTTCCCGAGGATAAGGTGCATGATAAGCTGTTTACTTGCAGGTTTAGGAAGGTTACGATTACAAGGCCGCTAAGAAGCAGCAGGAGAAGCAGAGCAGGCCCAAGACTATGGATGAGGTCAACTCGCAGATCAGCCGTCTTGTCAAGTCTGAGAACAAGAAGCGCTCGAGACTAGCCGCTGCTGGTATTGACTATGAATTCCCCGGATACAAGGAGCTGAGAGCGCCCAAGGCTAAGCACACCAAGTTTGCTGCCTAAGGACTATTTACCCACAAAATTTTCTTCTCTTTTCTTTACTTTTTATTTTTTCTTCAAATCAATATCTAAACCAAAGCTGAATCCCTATTGAGTTCAACAACAACGTATCCGACGAGCAAGCCATGGTCGTGCGATAGCGAGACGTGCGTCTTGGCTCCAGCCAGCTGAGCATTCCACCGAACACTGGCCATTGGTTTCGGGCCCGCACTCTGAATACAGACGTCGTGCCATTTGAGGGTCTGGTGTGGGAAGGCAGCCTTGTACAGGGCCTCCTTGAGACACCACCGTTTAGCCAGAAAATTGACCCGCGCCGTGTCCCCTGCCATTTGGGCCATCTCAACGCTGTTGTAGTGTTCGAGCTCTTGGTCGCATAGAATGCGGCGGGAGAATCTTTGAGCGTACTTGGATCCGCGGCCGACGATGGCCTGTATGCGTGTGATACTGAGGATGTCGACGCCAATGCCCAGATCATATTGGTGTGAGAAAAGGGGTAAGAAAAAGCGTGAGTATTTTGGCAGAGACAGAAAAAAAGAATTTAAAAATATCTTTTTCGAGCCCACGCCTATTTTTCATTTCCATTTTCCATTTTCCATTCTTTTTTTTGCTTCTTTATCTTTTTTCTTCAATCCAAATCGACAAACTCATTTCCTCTTATTTTATATACACACACATTCACACACAATGTCGACCGTTCGCGCATTTTCAAAGGGCCTTAAGGAGCTGCGTGTCCACATGTCGCAGAACTCTCCGAGCAGCAAGGGACTGCGGTAAGTCAGAAATTCTGAAACAGCTCAAGAAAAATTAAAAATAAAATAAAAAGCCAGTGGAAATGGAAATGCGACAAAAATAGCGAGTTTTTTTTTGCGAGAGACGAAATAACTAAGAGTGCTGCTTTAAGCAAAAAGAAAAGAACATTTTCTTTTTTAAAATGTGTATAGGGAGTTTATCATCAAGTCGTACCCAGGCCTGAAGCAGGCAAACCCGGGTCTTCCGATTCTTATTCGTGAAGCAAGCGGTGTCGAATCGCGGATCATTGCTCGTTTCGGTAAGTGCTCAGCTAAGATATACAGACGGATAGGAGGGTTATTGTACAACGTGTCCCGATGGCACAAGTATGTGTATACTTTTTACCTTTATACACAGGTCTACTAAAAAAAGGTTGATAACCACTTGTTTTTGTGCTTTATGCTTTGTAGAGTTTGGTCGTGAGCGCAAGATTGTTGTCGACGATCTGAGCCAGGCCGACGTGGAGCAAAAGTTCAATGCGTTGGTGTCCGAGTCAAAGTAGATGAATATAAGCCGCTTAACTTTTAGTATTTCAATTCATATGGTACAAGTAATAACAGTATTGTTTAGAAGCGTACTATGGATATTGGAATGTGTTAAATGTAGAATATTAAAAGATATGGCTGTAAATAGTTATTCAAATTTTATGCCCTGAGCAAGTGGCAACGTGCCGCTATAGTTGATGGTGCAGGTCTGGCGACGCATATACTGCTGCCAGGCGGTGCTCCCCGACTCGCGTCCGCCGCCAGTCTCCTTCTCGCCACCAAAGGCGCCTCCGACCTCGGCGCCGTTCGTCGGGATATTGACGTTGACGATGCCGCAGTCCGAGCCTTCGGGGCCGATCCAGCGGAAAATATGCTCCGGCGACGACGTGAACAGACTGCTGCTCAGCCCCTGTGCAACCTCGTTATTCCACGCCACAGCATCGTCCAGCTTATCGTATTTGATCGTGTGCAGAATTGGCGCAAAGATCTCCCGGTGAACCACAGGAGCATCGTGCGCAATGCTGGTGACAGTGGGTTCGACGAAGTTGCCTGGACGGTCGCGCAGCGCCTTACCGCCGCACAAAACCCGGCCGCCCTGGGCCACCACATCTGCAACGCCCTGCTCGAAGGCATCCACGGAAGCAGCCGTATGCAAGGGCCCGCACAGTATGCCTGGGAGCAGGGGATCGCCGACGCGAATCTGCTTGTAAGCAGCAAGCAGCCGATCAAGGAAGATATCGTGGATGGATGCGTGCAGGAACAGGCGGCGCGCTGTCGTGCAGCGCTGGCCGGCGGTACCCACGGCGGCAAACAGGACTGCGCGGACTGCAAGGTCAATGTCGGCGTCTGAGTGCACAATGACGGCATTGTTGCCGCCCAGCTCCAGAAGACTGCGCCCGAACCGACGCTGCACCTCCAGCCCCACTTGGCGGCCAATGTGCGTGCTACCCGTGAATGAAACCATGTCGACGCGGCGATCTGCAGTCAGCTGCTGGCCAACGTCCGCGCCGCCGCACACCAGCGAGCATAGGGCGCCCGGCAATGCGTTGGCCTCAAGCACTTCGGCCAGGATCTTGGTCACTGCTACACTAGTCAGACTGGTGGTGGGCGCACCCTTCCACACCATGGCGTTTCCGCACACTAGCCCAATGGCGCTGTTCCACCCATACACAGCAACAGGGAAATTGAACGCCGAGATGACGCCGACAACACCCAGTGGATTCCATACCTCCAGCATGGAATGACCCGGCCGCTCGCTGGGCAACACACTGCCGCCGAGCATTCTGCTGAGCCCTACGGCGTAGTCCGCCACATCCACGTACTCCTGCACCTCGCCGACGCCCTCGGCCGCAATCTTGCCCATCTCCAGGGCTACCAGTCTCCCGAGGGGCTCAATCTTGTCCGCCACGGCATTGCGCATCTGCCGCACAATGTCGCCGCGCTTTGGTGCCGGCACTTTGCGCCAAGCGCGCGAGGCCTCGGTGGCCTTTTGCAGTGTCTCGTTTAGGTCACGGGCGCTGGCTTGCTGCACAGCGCCGAGCACTTCGCCGGTGGCTGGGTTGGTTGTTTCGATGATTTCACCGTTACCGCTCCATTCGCCGTTATAGACGCCCAGGTTGTACGAGTCCAGACCCAGCGCCTTGAGCGTAACCGAGGTTGTTCGAAGCATGGATGACGTGGACAATGGTCTGGAAGATACCGGCGGCGGCCGGAGGGGCAGGAGCGGAGTGACTTGCCGAGACGAAGCATGTTTACTTGGAATGATCTGTTGAGCGAAAGCAATGATGTTAGATGTTAAATGCTATGTGCGTAAGAGATTTGTGAAGAAGAAAAATGGAAAATGAAACGAGGGGCGAAGAACCGGGGCCAGAGGCGGCAAGGCGTGGCTTTATACTTATGCCATCGTCTGCTTGCATCTCTGCCTGCTCTGACTTGTTCCTTGTATCGGCGCATATATGCGTTGTACTTGTGTGCACAATGTTCCCACACTGCCAAAATAAAGAGGAGCGCCACTGAGCTCGAATTAGCTTTCTGCTTCTGCTTTTCTTTTTTCTTCTTTCTTCTGCTTTGCTTCTGCCGCTAGTATAACAAAAGATCAAATCGATTCGCTTCGCGCACGAGATCATGTGTTGTCGACGAACGCCCGACGATATTTTTTTCCCACGGGGCCCAAATGCACACAAAGAAAAAAAGGAGCACTCATGCAATGGCATCGACGACGTCAGCAGCCCTCAGCGCAGCCACGGCGCGGCGATACACGGCCATATCCAGCCCATCAACTACGCGCCCAACGCGAGCATGCAGCTCAACGGTCCTCGCACACTGCGCATCATCGACCATCAAGCCCTCGTCCTTCTCATCTTTGCCATCATTGATGGCGGTTCTTGAGCCAACAACCCCAATGAACTGGTATGTCTGTCCGACGTGGTACTGCACAACGCCGAGGAGCTGTGTGCGCACAATCAGGGCGCTTTGTCCGTCGACGATAATGGCCCGTCAGTTGTCGGGCTGTATGAGTGCAGTGTTCCTGTTATGCGCACAGTGTGGCCTACAAACGCTGGCTCCTTGCTCACGATTTCTTCGAGAAACACGGGTGTTCCGGCCACCAAGTCCATTTATTCGATACTGATCTTATGAGTGCGTTGTGTATATAACGAATGTGTGTATTAATTGTTTTTCTTGCGTTTGAAAAGAAAGAAGAGAAAGAAAAAAGAAACAGATTCCTGAATTTTATTCTTTTTATTTTTATAAAGGGCGTAAAAACTCCAACGCTTAATTTTCTCTATCCCTGGCGCTGCTTGTGCTTGGGATCATTGCTGCACACAACAAAGAGGCGCCCACGTCTCCGGACAAATTGCAGTGGTCGCACATCAGCTTAACCGACGACCGCACCTTCATTCCACGCACGGCCTCTGTGCTGTTCGCTCCCAGCGCATTGGCGAGCGCCGAGGGCTGGTGCTGGTGCTGGGCTGTGAATGGCCGCAGGGCCTTTGTCGAAAATGCCGTCCGCAAAAACGCAAACATGCTTCAGTATTTGTTTTGATTTGGATAAGAAACAAAGTGTGAAATAAAAAGGTTGAATTTTGAATTTAGCAGAACAAAAAAAGTAAAAAAAATCGAAAAAAAAAAACTCGATCCGATTTACACCATTTTGTTCTCTCTTCAGATAGCACACAGCCAATGCACAGGCTGGGGTAGCAAATTGCGTGATCCCAAAAATATTTAAAGGAAGCTGAATATTTCCTGGGTTATCGCACAGCACAGCACAGCATAGTACAGCCCACACCGCATCTCTTCTCTTGTAATCCCTACCCCCTTTTTACACGCTCTATTATATCTATTACTTTTCCCATCAATGTGTGAGCAACACGACAGTGAGAACACGCAGCTGGTTGTCTCAACAGACGCGCAGCACCCGGCAAACCTGATCCCGGAACTCTGCCGCCAATTCTACAACCACGGCTGGGTCACAGGCACCGGCGGCGGCATCAGCATCCGCCGCAACACCCACGTCTACGTCGCCCCCTCAGGCGTCCAGAAGGAGCGCATCGAGCCAACCGACCTCTTTGTCCTCGAGCTGTCCACCCGCCAAGTGCTTCGCTCCCCACCGCCGCCCATCAAACCATCGGCCTGCACGCCTCTCTTCTACAACGCATACAGCATGCGCGGCGCCGGCGCCTGCATCCACACGCACTCGCAGAACGCCGTGCTTGTCACTATGCTGTACAAGAGCGAGTTTTCCATCAGCCATCAGGAGATGATCAAGGGGATCAGGCGCGGCAACTCGGGCCAGAGCCTGAGCTTCTTCGATACCCTGCGGGTGCCGATTGTTGAGAACACCGCCGAGGAGGAGAATTTGACCCGCAGGATGGCCGACGCCATGGAGAGGTACCCGGACACGTGCGCGGTGCTGGTGAGGCGCCATGGCGTTTACATTTGGGGCGAGACGTGGGAGAAGGCGAAGACCATGGCCGAGTGCTACGATTACCTGTTTGAGCTGGCTGTTAAGATGCACCAGCTCGGCATTGATCCCAGCGTTGTTTCTGAGGAGACCAAGACCTCGGTCGACGGCGAGTAGAGTAGACCAAAATAAATCGGGAGGAACGGGATCTGCGAGGTTGGGCTTGGGCTTGGGTCTGAGTGCTTTCTGCAGAATGACTTCATAGTATGCCTCTTCATTCTTTTTTGCAGTGAGAACTGGATTTTCTCAAGCCAAAGCAGCCGATCTCTCTTTTTTAAACATAAACAAATGCAAATGCAAATACACTATTAAAAATGGATTTTGGAATTTCCAGAAATTTATAGCGAAAGCCCAGATTTTTAAGCGGGGGTTTTCGAAACCCGTTTCTCGCGCCAAAAAGGCATCGTCAGAGTCGACTGAAGCCGAGTCTACAGCGACACCCGAGACTTTGCCCAAGTCCAAGTCCAAGCCCAAGCCCAAGCCAAGCCAAAGCCAAAGCCAAAGCCAAAGACCAAGCGTGTCCACAAGAATCCATCTGCCCCTGCCTCTTCTCTTCAAAAGTGGCAGCGAACTGATTAATATCGTCAACCATAGTGGCCTATTGCCACTAGTTTCTAAACACTTTGGATTGCTAGTCAATCTCAGGGAAGGATATCGGTTTCAAGCATATTTGTAGCCTCGTTCTTTTCTTTTATTATAGTATAAATAGATTCAATTAGGCTTGACCGTGTGCGTGATATGTGCAATTGTTGTATTTTTCCGAATGTTGTGGAATAGCAGAGCTCAACGGTTTTTTTAAAAAAAATTACATCATAAGCTTTTGTTGCTGCTTTAAGCTGTAGCCCCGTGCATAATCCTTTTTTATCGGGACAAGGGTCAGCGAAGCAGAAGCGGAAGCATAAGCCGCCTGACGCCATCGAGAGAAACGCATAAATTGATGCTTTTCTGCTCTGCTCTGGTCTGTTCTTAACCACCGCCCCCATTCTTTTTATTATTCTGATTCTTTCGGTTTCTCCTACCTTTTTCTCTTCTATTCTCACTATCACGAAAAATGCTCAGAATCAACCGCAAGCTCGCTGCCAGCACGGCCCTGCGCTCCGCCTCGGCCAGGCTCTACAGCGGCATCCGGGTGCCCCAACTGGCCACTTTCCGGCTTCCCGAAATCAAAAACGAGCCCACAAAGGACTACACGCCGGGCAGCGCCGAGCAAGAGCAACTCATGGCCGCCGTCGCCGAGCTCAGCTCCAAGACCCACCACATTCCACTGGTGATCAACGGCCGCGAAGTGCGCACAGGCTCAGTGCAAGAGCAAGTCAACCCAAGCAAAAAATCACAAGTGCTCTGCACTTACGAGAACGCCGGCACCAGGGAAATCGCCGAGGCCATCGAGGGCGCTCTGGCAGCCAAAAGCAAATGGGAGTCCATGCCCATTTACGACCGACAGGCTATTTTCTTGCGCGCCGCCGATCTCCTGGCCACCAAGCATCGCTACCGCCTGATGGCTGCGTCGATGCTCGGCCAGGGAAAGAACATCTGGCAGGCAGAGATCGACGCCGCCACGGAGACCGTGGACTTTTTGCGCTTCAACGTAAAGTACTCGTCGGAGATCTACGCCCAGCAGCCGCCGTTCAGCAGCCCGGGCGTGTGGAACCGCGTCGAGTACCGCCCCCTGGAGGGCTTCGTCTACGCCGTGTCCCCCTTTAACTTTACAGCCATCGGCGTCAATCTGGCCGCAGCCCCCGCCCTGATGGGCAACACGGTTCTGTGGAAGCCCTCTAATGGCGCCGTCCTGTCCAACTACGTCGCCTATGATATTATGCGCGAGGCCGGAGTCCCCGACGGCGTTATCCAGTTTGTGCCCGGTGAGCCTGCCGCCATGACCAAACAGGTGTTTGAGCACAAGGATTTCGCCTCTCTGCATTTCACTGGCAGCACATTTGTGTTCAAGAACATGTGGAAGCAGATTGCGGCCAATATTGACCAATACAAGAGCTACCCGCGCATCGTGGCGAGACCGGTGGCAAGAACTATCACCTGGTGCATCCATCGGCCAACCTGGAGCACGCTGTCAACAGCACTATCCGCGGTGCATTCGAGTTCCAAGGTCAAAAATGCTCGGCATGCTCGCGTCTCTATGTGGCTCGCAGTATGTGGCCCGAGTTCCGCCAGCAACTTGTCTCCGGCACCGAGTCGATCAAGCAGGGGCCCATCACCGATCCCACCAACTTCATGGGCCCCGTCATTAACCAGGCGGCCTACGACAAAATCACAAACTTTATCGAGTACGCGCGCAACTCTGATGACTGCGAGATCATTGCCGGCGGGCAATTCAGCGATTCTGAGGGTTTCTATATCCGCCCCACTATTGTTTTAACCACGGATCCGCACAACAAGCTGATGAAGGATGAGATCTTTGGCCCTGTCCTCACCGTCCACGTATACGAGGATGCGCAGTTCGAGGATATCATTGAGACCATTGGTGAGACCACGCCGTACGGCTGACCGGTGCTATTTTTGCCGAGGATCGCTTGGCTACTGTTGAGGCCAGCACTAGGTTGTTACACACGGCAGGTAACTTTTACATTAACGATAAGTGCACGGGAGCCGTTGTTGGACAACACCCTTTGGTGGGTCGCGCGCTTCGGGAACAAATGATAAGCCGGGAAGCCCGCACTGCTTCAGAGATTCGTCTCGGCGCGCTCGATCAAGGAGAATATGATCCCGATCTCGGGCTTCACTTATCCTCGAACAACTGAATAGTGTGTGTTTTTGATTTCGAGTTTCTTTCTTGTGTCAAATAATTATATTTATAACGAACCAAATAAACAATAAATATTGGAGATTAAAATTTTAAACAAATGAGTAATATTAAACACATTTAAATGTAACAATAGATTATAGTTGAGAGCATGAAACTTAATCAGGCCAGTTAGACAAACTGTGAGAAGTGGCTGTTCTCGTCAGCGAGCAATATTTTTGGAGAATCATTGAACAAAATTGCATTAAACTGATTGCAATACTTTACTAATATCATTTTACTTTTTATAACTATTCAAATAATAAATGGGTTGTATTATAATTGCATGCAAATGTTGGATTTATTTGGATACCTAATCCAGGCTCACGTGAGACTGGCCCATGAGCTGATCTAGTTTTGGTGCACGGAAAACATTGCCAAATTTTTTTTTCCTCGCTGGGTGGTGCTCTTTTTATTTGCCGAGCCCGTCCAACTATTTGTCCTGATATATTAAATACATCGTGCTTTTTCTTTTATAATTATTTAATTATTTAAATTCAAACATAACCAGGCGCTAAAATAAATAAATAAATAAAAGCAACATGTCAGCAGAACAACGCAAAGCCCTCGAGGCACAAACAATGGCCCTGCAGTCAGTGCAGAGCGAGATAGCTACGCTTGTAGGAAACCGCCAAAAGCTCGAGTCCCAGCTACAGGAGAACGAGCTTGTGGACAAGGAGTTTAAAATCCTGGATGACAGCGCGCGTGTTTACAAGATGATTGGCCCTGTGCTTGTTTTGCAGGAGAAGGCTGAGGCCGGAGCCAATGTTGAGAAGCGCCTGGAGTTCATCCGTGATGAAATCAGCCGCGCTGACCAGCGCATCGAGCAGTTGACCAAGGACCAGGAGAAGAAGAGCGTTGAAATATTCAAGCTGCAGATGGAGCTCCAGGGTGTGAACAAGGCTTAAGATCGTATTTTTTTCTGTTGGGATGATGTTATTTGAATAAATGAAAAGGGGGGAGGCGGGTGAAATAAAAAAAGCTATTCCTTGGTTCTCTTTTTGTTCTTGTTCAGATACTCGTTTTTGGATGCCTTCTTGGCCTCATTGCGATCCTTTTCGGTCTGGAACCATGTGCGGCGCGGGCGGCTCTGAATCTCAGTCTTGTGGTTGAGCAAGTTGGAGGCCTTGGTCATCTGCATATCGGCATCCTTGAACATCTTCTCCTCACGCTCCTCGTCAACAATGCTCTTGACCTGTGGGGCCAGGTCATCGACCTTGGCGCGGTACTTGTTGAGTGTCTCATTGGGCACCACACGCTGCTTAATGTGGTCCTTGGACGAGTGCTTGACAGCTAACTTGAGCATCTTCCTGTCGGTTTCGCCAATCAAGGTGATCGCACGACCAGTGCGGCCGGCACGAGCTGTACGACCCACTCTGTGGAGATACTGGGGGAACTGATTGGGCATCGTATAGTTAATGACGGTTTCGACACCCTTGACGTCGAGACCGCGGGCAGCCAGATCCGTGGCCATCAGGTAGTCCACATGGCCATCGCGGAACTGCTCCAGGGCCTGCAGGCGGCCCTCCTGCGACAGGTTGCCGTGCAGCTCAGCCGCGCGCAGACCCATCAGCCCAAAAATAATCTTCATTTGGTGGGCGGCAGCCTTGGAGCGGAAAAACACAATGCACTTTTTCTTAAAGTGTCTCTTGCACAGGGCAGCCAGCAGTGCGGTGCGGTCCTCGTCCCTGTTGGACCTGACACGGACAAACTCCTGCACGAGGTTCTTGGCCGCAGACTTTGGCGGATCGATCTGCACGCGGACGGGCTTGTTCAGCGACACGCGGATGAGCTTGTCGACGTTATCCGTCATAGTGGCGGAGAACAGCATGGTCTGGCGCTTCTTCGGGCACGCCTTGATGATTTCGGTCAGCTCATCCTCAAAACCGTCCTCCAGCATGCGATCGGCCTCGTCCATGATCAGGATCTCGATCTGGTCGAGGTGGAACGACTGGCTGTTGCGCAAGTGATCAATGAGACGACCGGGCGTGGCAATGACAATGTCGGGTCGCTGGCGCAGCTCCATCTCCTGGCCCTTGAGCGACAGACCACCGACGCAAAGGCATGTGGTGATATCCGTGAACCCAGCCAACTGCGACCCCACGTTATGGCACTGGATGGCCAGCTCACGTGTCGGACACAGAATGAGCACGCGCGTTGCCGGCACCTTCTTGGCCGATACAGCAGCCGTTCGAGAACGGGAACGAGGAACGCTGCGGTCTTGCCCGAGCCAGTCTGAGCGCCACCGCAAACATCCTTCCCGAGGAGCGCCACAGGGATTGTGCGTGCCTGGATGGGGGTGGGCTGCGCGAAGCCAAGCTTGGTGATGCCCTTCATGATTGGCCTCGACAGGTTCATCAGCGTGAAGGAGTCAGGGATGTCGGAGGCCGTGGTTTCATCTTGCGGTGCAAAGTATGCACGCTTGCGCGCCTCCTCCATTTCGTCGACCTCGGACTCGCTGTCGCTGTTTTCGCCCTCGCTGCCCGTTTCGACTTCGGATTCGGACTCTGATTCGGAGGAAGAGTTGGATATTTCGCTGTCATCCACGAGCTCTTCATCTGCCGTTGCTGCCACTGCCTGTGCGCCCTGCTCCTTGTCAGAGTCGGTCTCTTCCTCATCACCCGATGCTTCCTCATCACCTGATTCTTCCTCAGCTTCATCGCTTTCAATTTCAGAGCCGATCTCCTCCGAATCTGCATCCGAGCCAGAGACATCCTCCTGAGCATCCTCGTCCGACACACTCATCTTATCATCGTCTTCCTCATCCTCCTCCTCAGACTTCTCGGCCTCCTTCTCCTCTACCTCAGGCTGGGCGCTCGCAGCAAACTTTTTGGCAATCTTCGCGGCACGTCTAGTGGCAGCAATCTTGTCATCCAAGGACGAGTACAGTCCCGGGTTATTGCGCCTCTTCAAAGAAGCCCTGGCCAGGGTAAAGTCCAAAGTCTGCGATACAGAGTCCAGTCCATCAGCCTCGAGATCAATCACAAAACCCTTGGCAATGGGAGCAATGTCATCGGTGGTGTTGGGTTCGCCGGTCTTTGTGCGCTTGGATTTGTTGTCTGATTTGCGCTTTTTGGTTTGCGGCTCGATGTCGGACTCGTCGTTGAGAGTTTCAAGATCGGGCACCTCGTCATCATCGTTGATGGTCATAACAAAATCATCATCTAGGAACGCCATGGCTTGTAAAAATAGTTTGGTTTGGTAAATAAAATGTTTAGGTTGTTGACAGCGCAAAAAGAGGGTTTACTTTGGCGTGTTATAATGTGAAAAAAGTATAAAGATATGAACAAGTACGCGATATTACAACGAAAGACAAGAGATGTAAGTGAACGAATGAATGATGCTGGTGCCTAAAAAATAAATCAACCAACACAAACAGCAGAGGGGGGAAAAAAGAAGGAAAAATATTAGTAGGAAGAAAAAAAAAGCTTGGTAACTGTGATCATGATCAAGATCAACAGAATGTTTTGAATATGGATGTCTGGCTTTGTCGCCGTTTAGTTTTGTTCTTTTTATCTCCTCCCTCTCCAACTATGTATATAATATCTCTACCTTTTTCCATTTCTCTCGGCAATTAGCAACAAAATAATTACCGCTCAATTCCAAAAATTACTAAACTTTAAGCATGGTTTTCAGCAGCATATTTCGGCCACGCCTGCCGTTTTTCCGACGACCCGAGCACCGCCAGCGCATACTGAGCAGCTACCGTCAACTACTACGCCACGCCCAGAAATTCACAGACCCCATTGAGCAAACATACCTGCGGTCATGGATCCGCGAGCGCTACCACCACAACAAAAGACAAACCTCGCCAAACAGACACAATCCCAGCTGAGCGACGCCCAATGGGCACTCCTAACGATGAGGGGGGCTCTGGCGGGATCCGCAGACCAGCAAAAGTACATCGGGGACCTGGCGTATGGTCGCACGGGGTGGCTCAAGGATGTGATGCAGCAGGTGTATGAGTTCCATCACCCGACGCAGTCCTGCAAGCTGATCCGCGATGTCCGACCTAGGTCATCGCAGATCCACCAGCCGCACCGCGCATACTGGATTCCGCTTGATCTAAGGGCGTTCTCAGTGCCGCCACATCTTCTGCAGAGGATTGCCGACGAGGACAGTAAGAAGAAGAAATAGAGGTGGAGCGGCGGCGGCTCAGGGAGCAGCGGCTGGGCAGGGAAATTGTGGAGCTCACGCGGGCAGTCAATGCGGGAAATCCGTTCTTGTGGGATGGCGGCCTGGTGCCGGGTGCTTTTTCCGTCGAGCCGTCGGTCTCGCGCGGCCCCTCCTATGTCCCGGGGTCCTGGGCAATCCAGCGTGGATTCCGCCAAAGATTAAATCACGCTTGGACCCCCCCTTTGTCCAGCATGTGCGGGCATCCAGCGGCTGTGAGTTTTACCGCGTTAATGCGCGCAAGCCGCCACATTGGCTAAGCGCCAAGATCGCCTCGACTTACCAAAGGGCTGCTAGTCGCGTGCAGCGCCACGAGTTTTATTATTATTTTATCGAGGACTTGTTGCTCGAGGAGGAGTTTGAGGAGCGGCTCGGGGTGGAGGACCGGGGGTACTGGATCTTCGCCAGGAATTATCGTGATTTTTTGCGCACCAGAATTAAGAACTTTTCGCTGCAGCCCGAGACTCCTGATGTTATGAACGAGGAGGTGGAGGTGCTGATGCGCGAGTACGAGGATGAGTATTCTCGTTTGGTTGCGCACGCCATGGAGCCGCAGTTTCGGGATGAGATGAACTAGAAAGCCAGTTAAATAATTAGTTTTGGTGGAAATTTGATCTGATTTCATAGCGGTTAATCGCAATCTTTCTTCTTTCTTTTCGGTCCTCCCCTATTCCTTTTTCCCCTCTTTACGGTTTGTATTTGCAAAATGGCTTGCTTATTTTTTTCTGTGGTTTTCTGCGAGGTTCCAAAACATAAACCGAATGCGATTGTGTATATAAAAGCCCAACTTCTTTTGGCTTGTCGTGCGAACAAGAAAGAAAAAATCATATATTTTCTATTTTTCTCTTGAGCCATCACTTCGACCATTTGTTTTCTTCACTTTTTTTCACCAACACACTAACACAAAACGCAAATCAATAATACCAGCAGATAAAACAAAGATGGTTGTCAGCATGATCAACAGCGAGAACCCGCGAGTGTTTTTTGACATTTCAATCGGCGACGTCCCCGCCGGCCGCGTCGTCATGGAGTTGTACGCGGACAAAGTGCCCAGGACAGCAGAGAACTTCCGGGCATTATGCACGGGTGAGAAGGGCCAAGGCCAATCAGGCAAGCCCCTGAGCTACAAGGGCAGTGGGTTCCACCGGGTGATCAAGGACTTCATGATTCAGGGCGGAGACTTCACCGCAGGCAACGGCACCGGTGGAGAAAGCATCTACGGCGAGAAGTTCGAAGACGAGGCCTTCCCCTATAACCACGAGCGCCCGTTCCTTCTCAGCATGGCGAATGCTGGTCCGAACACTAATGGGTCGCAGTTCTTCATTACTACGGTTAAGACCCCACACTTGGACAACAAGCATGTGGTGTTTGGGCAGGTGCTGAAGGGTAGGCATGTGGTGCGCGCTATTGAGGCCCAGCCCACAGCGTCCGGGGACAAGCCCCTGAAGGACGTGGTTATTGTCGACTGCGGTGAGTTGAAGCAGGGCGAGGATGACGGGTGCACGCCCCTGGATGGCGTCCCCGAGGACCCCGAGGACTACGACATCCCCGAGGAGGCCGACGGTATCTCGCCCGAGACCCTGGTCTCTATTGGCCAGAAGATGAAGGCGAGGGCAATGATGCGTTCAAAAAGGGCGACCTGGACACGGCCATCACCAAGTACACCAAGGGTCTGCGCTACCTGCGCGAAATCCCGATTTTCGACGAGGAAAATGACCCGAGGATAAGCTGCGCCCGCAGTTCATCACCCTCAAGGTGCCCATTCTGCTCAACCGCGCCATGTGCTACTTGAAGTTAGCAAAGTTTGCAGAGGCTGTTAATGACTGCACTATTATTCTGGAGTACACGGATAAGGAGATCACGGATAAGGATCGCACGAAGGCGCTTTACCGTAGGGGCGCTGCCCGGCGCCAGATCAAGGCGTTTGAGAAGGCCAGGGAGGATTTGATCGAGGCGAAGAAGCTGGATTCGCAGGATAAGGCTATCAGCAATGAACTTGCTCTCGTCGAGAAGGCCATCCAGGAGCGCGAGAAGAGGGAGAAGCAGATGTACAGCAAGCTGTTCTCGTAGCTGTACTGCATGCAAGAATTTTTTTTGGAAAATATATTATAATATAAGCATTGTCATATCCGTCCTACTTGGCCCATTCGGTTGTCGTACGGACTGCCTGCAGCAGCTGTCCTCTGGTGAGCCAGGATCTGGCTTGTTCATGTATTCCCAGCGCGCCGTCAGCGGCAACGACATCAATATGGATTCAATGCGCGCACCGGGCGTCATCAAACCGAACTTGGTGCCACGGTCATACACCAAATTGAACTCGGCGTAATGGCCGCGGCGGAGCAACTGCCAGTTCCGCTCACGCACCGAATACGGCATTGCCATGCGCCTGGCCACAATGGGCACGTACGCGCGGATAAACGAGTTCCTGAGTCATAAGCAAACCTAAACAGCTGCTCGGGCGCCTTATCCTCAGATCGTCAAAGAAGATGCCGCCGACGCCGCGGGTCTCGTTGCGGTGAATGTTAGTAAAGTACCTGTCGCACCAGGCCTTGAACCGCGGATAGTACGCCGTGTCTGGGCGTCGCAGGCATGCTTCAGTGTTTGGTGGAAATACCTGACGTCGTCCTCGAATAAATACGCCGGCGTCAGATCGGCGCCGCCGCCGAACCACGCCATCACCGGGCCTGCCGCCTTATCGCTCTTCCTATATAACTCGAAGCGCCGGTAGTTTTTGTGCGCCGTCGGCGCATACGGGTTGCGCGGATGGACGACGACGGAGACTCCGGCGACGCGGAAATCATACTCCTCACCGACATCGAGTTTTTGCGCTGTCTGCGGATTGCGATCGCGCATGGATTTAAGCTGCCCGGCGGTCAACGTGCCTTCAATCACGCTGACATTGACTCCAGCCTTCTCGTATACCACTCCGTCCTGCAGCACACATGAGATCCCATAGCCCTTCCCGTCCTCGCGCTGCCACCGGTCGCGCAAAAACTTTTTCGACGGCTCTAGCGACTCCAGCGCTGTAACCAGCCGATCCTGCAGATCAAGCACGAAGCACTCCATGCGCTCGTGCATTGGCTTATCGTCTTCTGTGTAGTAGCCAGGTTTGGGCTCGTTCTCGTAGTCTGTGTTTGGGATGGATGCCGGTGCCTGGAGTCCATTGACCTCGCTGCCCAGCGCGGCGCCACTCGGAGTCTGTGGCTGTTTGCGCTCCGATAGTTGCGTGCCTAGGTATAGACCGGCGGCTCCGGTCACTGCTGCGACGCCGATGCAGCCTATAAGCGAATATCCTGACGATGTCGGCGAGAGCGCTTTGGGCGGCACAGTGGAGTAGCACCGGCTGATGCTACATACAATAGCATAGTTGCTGGGGGAATTCGCTTGTAATTTAATGAATTTCGAGAGAGAAAAAACCACTTTTTGTAAACATTCCGCACTTGGTTGTAGAAGAATAAATAAACTTGGTGGTGGTGGTGGTAACTTACAGTGTACGGGCTATGCGTGTGCCGTGGTTTTTGCTCCTGTGCAGTCGCGAAAACATTTGTGTCTATGAATTCGGCAAGGTAATTGGGTGTAGAATAAAGAAAATAAACAGAGGAAGGCTTTTATTTTCGAGTATGGAAAATAAAAGGGGGAAAAAAAGACAGATAAAGATTGAAAAAATGGACAAGATGAACCGAAAGATTATTAAATAACCTTTTTTGAGAAGGCGCGGATCGCAAAAAAAACCTACTTTTCAAAAAGGTGGCACCATCCACCCCACCCCCCACATTATCTTCACCCTCTCTCTTTTAGTAGTAAAATAAAATAGATGGGTGTCCGAAGCTTCGCGTCAGCCCACTCCAAAAGAAAAAGCTACGAAAAGCCTGGTGAATCCCGTCATACCACCATTCCTTTTATCAGGTGTCTGAATTCACAATTATTTTTTCTCGACTGATTGATTGTATCCAAAAGGGTCAACTCAAACCAAGATCAGCCCACCTCCTCAAGAGACAATGTCCAAGCCTTGAAGACAAAAGAAAACAAAAAGACCAAGCTTCACTTTTATCGTTTTTGATCGGGTTAATTTATCATTGGTCGGGCCCGACACGGACTTTGAAATCTCGCATGAAAATGTCTTATGACACTTGGCCTAGAAGCAGCCAACTGTATTCGTATTCGGAGTATTTTATGCTTATTGTCTCAATTCTACCAATGCTGCAAATAAAACAATTTTTGTTTTTGAATGACCACCAAAAATAGAAATATTAGTTATTAGATGTTGATATTGTTGTCGTTCTAATTGACATTGCCATAGTCATCGATTGTAAAAAGTGTATTTTCTAGCCGAACTTTGAAAAATATACAAACGTAAAAAGCAGGTGATAAAAAACATTGAAATAAACAAAAGATTGTACAAGCAGACAGAAGTGCAAATACACACTAGCATGTGATTATGCGTCTAGGCCCAATAGTGAACTGGCTGTGTGAACGGCCACCTGGCGTCCTGCTGCGGGTCTGCACGCTGTAGCCGCCCATATTCCCTGTGTCAACAAGCGTGCATTGCGAATCTATGGATGCAATACTGGGCGACTGCTGCACAGGAAATGTTGCGATAGAGGCTATGGGCTCTGAGGTTACCGATACCATGCCGGGTAATCTGGTGGCGGGTCGTATGCTCCTAGATAGGCTGCGCTTGAACCTTGAGAGAATGTATTTGCCGAGCATTGCGTTAAATAAGTAGTGGGAAAAGAAAAAAAGAGCGAGTGATGATACAAAAATAAAAAGAAAGAAAAAAGTTCAAAATATTGGGTCATGCCCGGGAGAATGTTTCAGCCGTTTTATAAATAAAAAAAGCGTGCAGTGTAAATGACGCAAAAAAAATTTCATGCCAGCTATTCACAAATTATTTTTTTTCTAGCGCGGTTTTGCCAAAAATATAAATATAAATACAAATGCCTCCGGAAGCTTTCCTTTCCAGCATGCGATTTCTCCGTGTCGAAATAAATAATTTTTAGCAAGACTGCTGATCGTGCAAATGCTTAACGCTATTTTATTCTAAACAAAAATAATAATATTTGAATATCGCCCAATGTTCTTTTATGTTTTTTTAGCTTAAAGGAAATCGTTTTTTTCAGTTCGGTAGTGGTGATAAAAATAGAATTTTAATTGGCAGTCTAACCGGGTTTTTGTACGTTCTTTTTATTTTTGGTGGCTGGATAATGAGGCGCGGCGTTCAGCCACAGTTTAGAATGTGAGCGCCCTGCATTATTTAGTATTGTGATCCACTTGGATTACGATTTTGGTGATATAAACGAAAGATTTTATCCAGTGAAAGCTTAATTTTCAATTGAGAAAAAATATTCTTTTTTATTTAAAAAAAAGTTCGGACCAAACCTTGACAAACCAGACCAAATCTGGATTCACAAAAGAAAAAACACCACAGTCTAAAGATTTCCAACACCCTCGGCAACCTGCCTCTGTTCGCGGTTCTGGACCGGCAAGTTGGCCAGATGGTCGCGAACGTCAATGCGCACGGTCTCGAACACCAGCTCTCTAGGATTAGGCGCCGCTGAATCACCACCATCTCCAATGTTGACTTTAATCTGATGGTAGCAGCAATTCGTGTGCGTAAACCTTTCCATAGTACGCAAATCCCTATCCACCAATGCAGACATGATGACGCGCATAATGCGGCCATGAATGCATACCAACACGCGCTCATACTGCTTCGCCTTGGCCTCCCTGAGGATGTCCGCGAATGCATGGAGGATTCGCTCCTTGCACTCGTTGGCGGAGTCGCCCTCGGGTATTTTGGCATCAAAGTCTCCCGAAATCCACCGCTGGACGATGGGCTTGAGCGTCGGGTTGGCGGTTTTAAAGTCAACACCGTCAAGAATACCCCAGGATATCTCGTTGAGCCGCTCGTCGCAGGTGAAGGGTACGTCCGGATGGTATTGGGCTACGTAGCGCGCGTTTCGATTGCTCGCTCGAGCTTGGAGGTCACTATCCAGTCGATTTTCGTGCTCTTCATGCCCTCGGCTAGGGCGTTGGCTTGCTTGCGGCCCAAGTCGTTGAGCGGGAAGTTGAGCCGGCTGCCTTGCAGGACCCCGCGGGCGTTGGCTGATGTTTCGCCATGTCGTGCGATTATCAATTCTATCTTTGTCATATTCGTTTCGCTCGCTTTATTTTCTTTTTGTATGACTAATGTGAGATAGAAGGGGGGGAAGGGCGAAAGCGAAAGTTGAAGTTGAAAGAAGAAGAGAAAGAAAGAGAGGCAAAGCCTTGCATACTTGCATTTTTATTTCTTTGTGCGAAACTTGAACACAAAAAGAAAAAGAAAAGGAAAAGGAAAAAAGTGTACGTTGTCCAAGTTGCTTGCAATATTTTTTTTAAATCTTGTCTTGCATATTTTCTTTGGTCGCCGCCACACCACATCACTACTGTCATGGATGGTCTGTAAAGATTCCGAACACGCAATGTATCTTGAAATAAAAAAACATGATTTCTTTGTTCACATCTTTTTTAAGTACCAATTAAAACAACAAAAGTAAATCTAGTGTTTCTTTGCGGTCGCTGCCGACTGCGCCATCTTCTTGAGCGCTTTGAGCTGGAAGGTCTTTCCAGGGTTCTCCCTCAAGTAAAACAGCTTAGCTCTCCTGAAGCCTTCACCCTTCTGCAGGATCTCAATCCTCTTTACCAACGGCGAATACGCCATAAACCGCATCTCAACGCCAATCTTCTGCACGACATTGCGCAGAATAAACGACGTGTCAATACCACGCCGGTAAATAGCAATGCACACGCCGGTGAAGCTCGTGGTAGCCGCCGGATCGCTCATACTATTCTGCGTCTCAACAAAAACAACATCACCGGCACACAGCCGAGCCTTGGGTGCCGCACGGCGGATAAATAGCTTGGAACGCCCGTCAACATCTGCTCTGGCCAGCGCCTCGCGCTCGATCACCTTCATCACGTTTGGCCGCTTCTCCTCTGGCTTAATCATCGGCTGCTCGTATTGCGGCTGGGGAATAATGTAGGGCGCCTGGTTGAGGTGCGCGCTGCTACTGTGCAGGAGCTGCCGCTGTGCGCTCATGGCCACACCTGTGGTCGATGAGAGGGCGGTTTGGCGACCGAGCAGGTTGCTGATGGACGAAAGCTGCGATCCAAAGAAACTGCGACAGAACATGATGAGTGGGGGGACTGCCGTTTTATTTTCTCGAGACAAGAGGGGTGGAGAAAAGTTGATATAAGAAAAGGTAATTTTATGGAGGCAAGTCTAATTAGAAAGCGATCGTGAAGAGAAATTGGAATTGAAATGCCAAGGCAGGGCAAGGCAAGGCATACCAACCGACCGAATTCAACTTTATTTTAGCTACTCTTTTAGCCTGCGCTCAGCGACTGAAAATCGAGAAAAAGGCAAGAGATAAACAAGGAGGCAAAATGTCAGAAAAAAATGCCGATTAATCTCAATCGCATTTTTAATCAAATCAAGGTCGAAATTCAAATTGAAATTTGGCGTGTTTCACGTGCGATGATGACGAGAGTCTCGAGATCTGGCCATGTGGATTGAAAAAAGTTGAAAAAAGCTGTCAGCGCTTAGGGCGGCGTTTGCAGAATCTAAAGGTCCCGGGGCCATAGAAGGTCCACAATTAGAGAGCTCCGAGGATAATTAAAAGAAAAAAGCACTTCTGTTTTTGGACGTATCTTTGGTCACACGCCATGGTAGCAAGCGACTTAGTAAAGATAGGAAGCTTAAAATGCACTTTCAGATGCCATGCAGGCGCAAGGCGCACACACAAGAACATTTCAGTGAATGAAAGTGTGATTTTTTTTGAAAAGCCGTCGTATAAATAAAGGAGGCAAAAGGCCTGGATGCAAAAAGTGCATTTGTTCATCCATCGCAACACTATTAAAATATTCAACATCTTTCTCGCTCTAATCCTCTCTCGCTTCCTGTACATTTATATTCCTTATTCCACCACTTACCTATTTCAAAGAAAAGATGTCTGACAATGTGGCACATGCGCTTGCCGGCGCCGGCGGAGGCATCATCTCCATGGCAGCAACATACCCGCTGATAACCGTGGGCACCCGACTGCAGGTGCAACGCAACACCAAGGACTCGACGTCCTACACGGGTAATATGGACGCCCTGCGCAAAATCATTGCCACAGAGGGAGTCGCAGGGCTCTTTTCCGGCCTCGAGTCCGCCATCTTTGGCGCAGCCGTGACCAACGGCGTGTACTACTATTTCTTTGAGGCTGTCAAGGCGGCCTTTGAACGCGCGTCGCAGCGCAAGAGCATGAGCACGGTGGAGAGCATGGTTTCAGGCGCCGTCGCTGGAGCCATGACTTGCATCATCACCAACCCCATATGGGTAGTCAACACCAGGCTGACAGTCAAGCAGAAGAAGCTGCAACAGCAGGACGACAATACTGGCGAAAGCGGTAACAGGAATGAGTCGCCGTCAACGCTGCAGGCGTTTGCCGAGATTATCAAGGAGGACGGCTTTTTGTCGCTGTGGCAGGGCTTGATCCCGGCCCTGATCCTGGTCATCAACCCGATTATCCAGTATACGGCGTTCGAGCAGCTGAAGAACCGTGTTGAACGAGTGCGCAGGCTTGGGTCATTGGACTTTTTTGTTCTCGGCGCTATCTCCAAGCTATGCGCCACCAGCGTCACATACCCGTACATTTTGATCAAGTCGCGGATGCAGCTGAAACAGTCTAAGAACGAGAACGAGCGCTACTCGTCGTTGGCTGACGGTCTGCGCAAGGTCATCGCTCAAGAAGGCATTGCTGGCTTGTACAAGGGCATCGAGAGCAAGCTGGTGCAGTCAGTGCTCACCGCATCGATCCTGTTCATGTCCAAGGAGGCCCTGTTCTCGTATGCCGTCAAGCTTCTGATTATTCTGGGCGCGCGCAAGTCAATTGCCAGTGCGAGAAAATAACCGCTTAAACAAAAATATATATATAAATTGAAGTGGAAAAGGTAGTACTAAACAAACTATTTGAAAAGTAATTGAAGAGCTTACACTAGCTCGAGCGCGTTGGCCAGCAGCTGCATTTCGTTGCGGATGGACTGGGCGAGGTGCTGGACCTTGTCCTTGGAGTCCAGCACCTCGACGGACTGCGTGTACGGGTTATAGCGCACCTGGAACGGGCGGTGCATGGTCGAATTAAACTCACGCATCTTGTTAGTAGCATCGCGGAAGCTGTCGGCTACAAAGTACACGGGCTGGTACTCTGTAATCGGGTACTTTTGTGAAGATGTCAGTGAGGGGTTAAACGACTGGTGCTCAGGCTTTTCTGTCAGTGCGTACTCCAGCTCGCCAAACGAGCTCAGCAGCCCAGCGCCGTACGCACGGACATCTGCGCCTTCGCGGCAAAGACCAAACTCAGCGGTAAACCAAAAGATGGTCGCCAGCCTTTGGATGTCCTCGTCTGAGGCGCCCAGAGATGCCAGGCCGATCTCCTGCGCCAGCTCGGCGAAGTTGGGGTCGGCGAACAGCGGCACGTGGCCGAGCAGCTCGTGGCAGCAATCGGGCTCCGGCGTGTAGGTTGGTCGGGAATGATGGCGGATGTACTGCGTCGAGTGGAAGACGCGGAAGGCCAGGCTGTTTAAAAAGTCGCGCGGCGTCAGCAGGCCCATGACCGGGCGCAGCGTAAAGCCAGTGCAGTCCTTGAGGAACCGCGAAATGGCATCGATCTGCGGAATGTTGTCTGGCCCGTAGCCACAGTTCTGCTCCAAGAGTGGAAACACATGGAGGAACTCGCGGCATGCGTATTTAGGGTGCATTTCGCGCAACTTGGTGTACACTTGCCGCCAGGTCTCCCGCTCCTGCTCGGTATAATCAATGTGGGGAAGCGGCTGGCCGGTGCGGTACTCCTTGGCCTTCTGCACAATCTCCAGCCGGCGCTTGCGGTACACCGGGTCGCTAGCACCCGGGTGGTCCGACGACAGCTCCTCTCCCATCTCCAGCACCTTGTCAGAAAACGTATCGAGGTCACTGATTTTGCGCGGAAACCACGGCACGGCATCAGCCTCCTTCTCCTCTAGGCTGCCGATGTACGAGACGTCGCGGACAATGTCGACGCGCTTGATCTCGTCGATCACTTGCATGACCTTATCCTTGGTGTGCGCCTCAATGTCGACGAAAAAGTCGTACCCAGGCTCAACCGACTTGCTGGGACGAGACTCGATGCGTGTCATGGAGACTTGCGCTTTCTTGAGTGCGCATAGACACTCGTCGAGCGCGCCCACCTTGTCATGGACGGAGAAGAGCAGCGTGGTGCGCTGGCTGCGGCTGAGCCCTGCGTCACAGTGCATACCAAGCTCGCCCTTGGTGTTGTCGTTTGGCATACTTGTCTTGTCTTGGCTATCGATTGTGTTTGGAAAAATGTTAGAGAGCAAATGGCAATATAAAAAACGAGAGCCTTAAATGAGAATGAGAATGGTCGACAAAGAAGCGGGCGCCAAAGTAACAGTTTTTGTTGCAGGTTTTATTGCAATTTTTTGACAACTTCAGCCCTGGGGCTCGTGGCCAGACAGAGTGCAATAATAACATTTGCGACAGTTATTTTGTTCTACTTTTTCCCACGCCCATGTGCCCCGTATATAATTTACAAGCAATGCACGAACAATACATCGGCGTATTTATAAAAGTCACATGCCACTTGAACCAAGTTAAAAGTTCCATTTTTGTATGTGTATATAGGAGTAGCGTGAGAAAAAACAATTTCAGGCATATCAGTTTTGCGGTGTGCCCCTGGGCCTCCGGTTCTCACGCATCTTGTTGGTCTTGCGCACAGTTGAGCGGTGCTGTGCCTTGTACTCCCTGGTCAGCTCGCTGCGTGCGCTCTCCAGATCGGCCTCCAGCTCATCCTCGGTCTTTTGCCGCTGGAACACGGGCTCAGGGCGCCTGAAAGTCATGGCGTCAGTGTCAGGGAAAAACATGGGCAGCCGGTTGGCATTGAGGTTGCGCTCGATTGGACCGCCCGGCAGCCGCGCGCCGCCGGTGATCGGGGCCTCGTCCTCGTCCTGCGAATCCAGGGCCATGGCCGAAGGCTCGTCAGCTTCGAGCCCAAGAGCCTCGGTGAATTTGAACCCGCCTGATAACGCGCCAAAGAGACCGCCGCCGATGCCGCTGCTACCGCCAAAGAGGCTGCTGGGCTTGTTTTCGGTCTTGGAATCGTCGTCGACCTCCATAGCGTTGGACTGTACGTCCTTGGAGTCTTCATCATCCGAGCTGTCATCATCGTCATTGGAGCTGGAGTCATTGCCGGTATCAGAGTCAGAGTCGTCATCGGAGCTGCCATCATCCTTGCCAGGCCCCGCACCCGAACCCGACCCCCAATCCAGACGACGAGTCGTTGTCATTGCCAGAACCAGAGTCGCTGCTGGGGTCGCTGTCGTCCGAAGATGCGCTCTCGCTCTCGCTGGCCTGCTTCTTGCTGCTGGCCGACTTCTTTCCTGCGCCATCCTGAGGAGCGCCCTGCGAAACAGAATCATCCTCGTCCTCCGAATCGAACGCCACGGCGGCCTTTGGCGCATACTCAACAGCCGCTTTGGATCCTCCGAGCATTCTTTTAAGGATATCTGCGTGCGCTGGCGCTCCTTTGCCAGCTCGATATCTCAGCAGAAGGCGCCACATGCTCAACAAATGAAGGTGCCACATACGCAAACGAAGGTGCTACATACGCAAACGAAGGCGCCACATACTCACCGGCTTTGGCTTCCACGGCAAAGCAACAGGTGTCTCGCTCTGCTCCTCGGCCTCCGCCTGAGCTCCTTCTCGATCTCAATCGGCTCCTCCAATCGTCCTCCGAGTCCGAGTCAAAGACACCGCTGGAGAGCTTGGCCAACAGTTCAGGGTTGGATTTGGATGACGCGCTGGCAACCAGGGACGCGATCTCTTCAGCGTCCTCGAACGCTGCCATGCTTAGCTCAACCTTCTCGTCAGCATCCAGGCCCTCAATATCGCTGTCGTCGGCAAACCCGCCGTCCAGATCAACACGCATGTCATCAAAGATTCCACATCCGTTGATGCACTCTGCTGGCCCATCGCCAGGGCCTTCAGCCTCTCCTGCACTCTCTGGGAATCCGCCTCCAGGCGCTGTCTCTTGCTGAGTCTCTCGGCCACAGCGTCGTTGCGCTCAACGATAGCCTGGGGCAGCTGCTTGGCCTGCTCGAAATCTTCCTTGGCCTGCTCCTCGCTGTACTCCCACTGCAGATCCTTCCAGTTCTTGGGCCTTACCGAGCCGAAAAGCTTCTCAAAGTTATTCTTGTACTTGACAGGATCATACGTGAATTGTTTGCCGTTGTCCTTGAGCATTGCAAACTTGAATACGGGCCGATTGTACCTTCCCTTGGACCATCCGGGGTACCGCTCAACATTCTTTGCCGTGACCAGATCCATGTTCTCTGCCATCTTGCCTGGTAGATCTCGACGTCAACGTATTTCTCTTTTTAATCGCCCACACGGGGACCTCAGGTTTGTCGGCTATTTGCTCGCGCTCGCGCTGCATCCGCGTCTTATAGTCTTCCTTGGCCTCTTCGATCTTTAGCTTTCCGCCCTTCCACTTGGCACCCGTGTAGATGCTGGCACAGCGGTGCCATTGAGATGGCGTGATCTGAATGTTGACAAACCCAAAGCCGCGGCCTGCCCCGTTGGCTGATTCAGACGGCAGGTCTACCGAGTCCACCTGACCAAAGGACGTGAACCGTCCGCGGATATCGGCGTCTGTTACGGTCTGCGTGAAGCCGCCGATGTATATGCGCTTTAGTTCGGCTACCTCTGTCGACATTTCTGATAGAGTTAGTGTTGTGTAAAAAAAATGGAATTGAACAATTGGAGAGCTGAGTGATGCAAAGAAGCAAAAAAAAACTTGTGACCCAGGCCTGATGGTTTTCGAGTTTCCAATTTTTTTTCGCATGCCCCCAAATATTATTTGTTGATCAGTGGATTAAATGATCTTGATTTTTTTGCAAAATGTCAAGCATGCAACGGCACGTCAATACGTGCGTAATGCCACCAAAGTTGTACAAATACACCCAAAAACGTTTAAAAGTACATGATTTTATTAAATAAAAAGCCAATAAAGATAGATATAATGCAGTTGCAAATATGGAAGAAAAAATAAATGAGCTCCGTTTCAGGGCATAAAATAAAGGCCTGGGCTTGACGTAATGACTATCTTATAGAATTTAGCCCTGCCTACAACAGCGTTTTTTAAACCTGCTAAGCGGAGTTTTGCGAGTATCCTGTGCCTCAGGCTGCAAAGGCTGCGGATACTACTACATGTCAACTGTATTTGGTCCACCCAGTTGCTTAGAGCGCTTCTTGTACATGCTTCCTTTGCGGCCTTTCCCTTGATTCAAGCTATTATTCCCACCACGTTTATGCAGGTTGCGGCGACGGTCTTTGGTCCCGCTGCTCTCTTCATAGTTGGAACACTTGACGGAGACCAGCTCTTCACCAGGAAGAATAAACGCTGTCAACTCACCCCCATAGACACACCGACTGTCCAAACCCTTCGTGTATTCGTTGATTTGCAGGGCACGGCTGGCATCGTGACCATAGATAACCTTCTTTACAAGCTCCTGGTCGTAACTCGTTACCCCACTGGACGAGCCTTCTGCCGAAGGATTGAGCAGCTTCATCTTGGCAGCCCACACCTCGAACCATGCCATGCCGACGTCCTTCTCACTGGTCAGCTTGGAGTTTTCAATGTTACGCACGGTCATGACGTCGTCTTGGTTTTGCTTAGAGATGGCCTGTGATGGATCCAGACCGCCATGAGCAACCACCCATTCCGAGAATGGCTCTGGCAGTGCCAGAATGGTAGGGAACTTGGACATGAAGGTAAAGTCAGTCGGCGACAACTTGCGCGCAATTTCAAAGTGCGGCTTAGCTGTAATCTGAAAGTCCGGGTATGGCAGGCTGCCAGCCTTCTCCATGGCCGTGAGCTCGGTCACCGAAACACCCATTCCCGGGCCGTCGAGGAACTCGCGCCATCTGATGACCGGGTCATCGTGATTGCCGCGCACGCACCAGGCTCCAATTTTGCGCGCCCTGCGCACAACGCCAACGGACTCTGGTCCCTTGGCCACCAGGTCGCCGACCATGACAACCTGGTCCTCGCCCGGCGTAAATTTGACCTTCTCCAAAAGCAAGTTAAGCTCCGTTAGGCACCCGTGGATATCACCGATAAATATAAGACGCTTGGGTGCAACGCCGTCAGCAAACTCTTTTAGTTGGAATAGCGTAGGCTGGTTGGCCTTGAAGCTCTTCATTTCATCTGCTGTTGCCCGCCTAAGCATCTGTTTTTTGCCCTTGGTGGCTCGCGCTTGAGAATAACGGCTGCCTTCTGAGACGGTAGCCGGCTTCATTGGCCAGTGCACCATCCAGCGGGTCCTGAGCAATGTTGAGAGCACCCAGTTGCCTGGCCGCCTCGTCAACGGCGGCGGTGGCTCCGGAGCTTAGCGACTGTGATTGTGACTGGTTGACTATCATCAAATGGTGGACAGTGTACAGTGACGCAAGGGTAATGAGAACAGTAAAGCCAATTCGCTTACTAGCGCGTTTAATAAAAGTCATGGAAAATAAATAAAAACTCTCAAGAAGAGAAAAAGGTATTAATGGATTGTCAAAAGTAGTGGTGAAAATGGTGCAAGCAGAGTGGGGAGGCGAAAAAAAGGATTATTTGTGAGTGAAAGAATTTGGCCGAACTTTTATAGAAACTCCCAATGCACCTTTTTATTTCATTTTCTCCCTGCATTGGGTGCTAAAAAAAGAAGGTAAAAAAGAAACCATTAACCGCTTGCTTTTTACAATAAAATACAACTTTTTTTAACCAAAGCAAAAAATAAAACGTGCAATGTTTAGACGACTCTACACCTTTTTAGAATAAGAAAATTTCGAATATTCGATTGCACATGTCAGCGTTTTGCAATGTAAAAAGAAAAATGTATAATTTTGCTTAGAATTTCATTTAATTTAATTTATCCCTAAATTATAGTTATAAAAAGTTACATGTTTGCTTCCATCGTGCTCGTTAAGCTTGTATTTGGTGCATACCGGAGTAACAATTTGCTTATGTCGTGATATCTTGGTAATTATTATGTGTAAATGTTTTTAGTTGACCTTTTAATCGATTATATTCTCGGAATGGCTTTTTTTGTTGACGCAGCTATAACAGAAAGAAGTGTACCCACTTTGTTATGAAAATTGAATATTATTTCGGAATGGATTAAGTGAAAAATAAGAAAACACCGAACGAGTACCCAAACAACACCCCTTACAATGGATCACTTTGTGTGTATTTTATTTGCATATCAATGATTTTGTACAAACCCAACCGTTATAGTCTAGTTGGTACAAAAATAAACCGTCAATTGGCGCGCAATCGGGCGATTAAGCGGCGACAAATAAATAATGTAATTGCAAAATAAGAAAATAATGAGCACATTGTTATTAGATGTAGCAAAGGTGGGTCTGATTGCCAGTTCTTTTATCAAGAAATTATGGTTTTGAACATCATTTCAACGTGGAAGGTCAGTGGCCATTTCAAATTTTGTGTGAAATGCTGCAAGTGACACACATTTGTCATTTCAAAAATAAAAGGCCACTGGATAATAAAATATACGCAGACTTTGGAAATATGCTCAATTGAAAAGTTTTGTTCGCATATCATTGTACAATGCAAATAAATGAGGTTCGCACCCTTAAAATTCAACAATACACAATACAGAATGCATAATCAGAGCATGCAATCTGCCCATCGCCACGAGTTTCCCTTTGGGCAGGTACGCGAGATAATAGTTTACATGCAGACATTATGAAAATATAAAGGGAAATACAATATAATTGAATTTTTTAATTTGAGCCACCAGAACCTTTGCATATTTGTAAGAGTTTTGTTGGCATCGACACAGGATATAAAAAGAACAACGTTCCCTGTTATTTTGACTTTAAAACATTATCCACAGCCATATCAATTAATTTAACCAAGCCCAACCAAAACACAACATTTCGTATTTACCCTCGCCATCCACAAATTACCAACTACAATGAAGTTCACCATTTCCGCCCTTGTCTTCACTCTCTTTGCCACCATTGCCCTTGCCGCTCCCGTTGCCGACCCAGCGCCTGCCGCTGCACCCCAGGCCAATCTGATGGCAACATTGTTGTTGTCAACCGCAGACAGTCGGGCTTTATTGGCATGAAGTGGTCGTAAAAAATCCATTGATTTTGTCAGTTTAATACTCCCCATTTAATAGCTTTTCTTTTTAGCAACAACAATTGTGTTATATAATATTATAATAATTAACTATTTATCAAAATACTACTCGATATATTGATTACTTTTTAAAAACAACTTAGACAATGTTGTTACAATAAGAGGGTGATGTGAGGAGCACTACTGTCTAGTGGTAAAAGTAGGGTGATTTTATAAAAGGTTTTATACTGATGTTTCTAAAATACTACTAGGGCCGGCTCATCTTATATATATATATCTTGTCGCCTTTGTTGTGCACATTTTCAATTGTGCGCTCCGTTGGTGAAACTGGATATTCTGCGAGCAGACCGGTATCTTGGCAAGTCAATGTTGTGGTTTTGTGTGTTACACTCACGGTGTACATTGCAAAATGGGGAGCATGTTTGGGCGTCAATGTAATGCTCCCTAATTTACGCCTGCATGATCCAATTAGTGTCCTATCAATCGGCACGCAGGTGGAAACCTGCTCGTGATTCCTCAACATCCATTCCATATCTTCAGTCTGTGCAACAATGTTGATGTTCATTTTTGGATAATGTATTAAATTTAGTTAAATAAAAATAAGCAAAAATTTAAAATATATATACCTTGAGTGTTCTCTGAGTTCTGCTATTCGACAGTCAAAGTTGCGTTTGGTCTGAGAATACCATTTGTTTAAAAAAATCAACAAAGAATTGATAATGTCAGTACATCGTTTGCTTGAAAAGCAAACAGACTCTAAAAAAAGTTTTAGTTTGACAGCTATAATAACAATTTCAATAGCAAGCTCAAAGGGCAACTATATATTTTTTCATTGAAATTTAATAAAAAGAAAAAGAAATAATTTGCTTAATACATGTGAATTCAACCCTGCGCTTGGCCTACACTAAAAATTAAAGTAAAAAAGATATATCGAGTTTGCTATTTTCACAGTTGCTGTCAGAGTTGGTTGCCAATTCATGTTGCTTGTCGTCAATATATTCCTGCTCCATGTGCTTGCCCGGAATGAAAATAACTCAGCCACCAGTATTCCAAAATAATAAAATAAAAGTGGCGCTGTGAATTATATGCAACTCAGCAAAAAATAATTAATAGCCAATTAAATTAACTGTTCACCATAACCCAACCAAAACAAATAAATAAAAAGGCATAAGAAATAATATGCCGGCGCTGCATGCACTTACCATATATACCTGGTACACATAAAAAAATAAGTTACACATAACCGACCTAATGTGAATTTTAACGGATAGAACCAGGATAATTATATTCAAACAAAAGTAAAAAAAGTAAAACTTTTCATTTTCTGATTTTACTTTTGGAATTGTAAATCATAACTGCTAAGCCATCTCCTGGCATTAACCTGCTCGACAGTCAACGGAGTTCCATAAGTCAACGGGGCAAAATACTCAAAAGTCACAATCTGCACAACAACAATCGCGAGGAAAACCACCAAAGCAGTTACTGACGGCATAAACGCTCTCGCCCTACCTCCCCAATTACGCAGGGCAAAGCGCTGATAATCGTGGACACAGAAGAATTGGAAGCAGCTCGCGAGTACCATGTATCCAAAGATCGACGCGGGCAAAAAGTGATGCAAAAAGAGTGAACGGCCCATGAGGAAAAAGGGAAAGTAATGGATGATCCATGCAAAAGTGATAAACCCAGTGGATCTCGCCATATGACGAGAAACAACCCCATCAACAATCTCCTCATTACGCCGATTGGCCAGCTCCAAGGCAACCATAACAACGGCATATACCACAAGGGCAATGTCTGAAAGCCACCAGCCAACGGGGTTACCCAGCAAGTAGATCTGCTTGCGCTCAGCTGCGTTCGTCCAGAAGGAAATACCACGGGTCAAGAATGGCCAGCTCAACGGCGTTGACTGGAATGGTGCACGGTAGTCAGAGCATTATTATGCTTGATCATCAGCCCCTGCAGCTCGGCGAATTTAGCCATGAACCCCATTGGCTCCACCCTCTTCACCATCTCCGCCTTCTCTCATCGACGTCTTGCGCCCGTGTATCTGCGTCACCGTCCACAGGTTGCTCTTCTCATCGGGTTTCTTGTTGCCGTTGATCTCCTGGTTCCCATGGCCCCACTCAGGCAGCGCCTTCTTGTGTGTCCACATGCTGACCCCATGTTTCTTGCTAACCAGCCGCACGAACGACGAGCTGGTGCGCAGCTGCGTCGAATTATCACTGGTGCCGTCGATCATCAGCTCCCACAGCGTGTCCTCGTATATCTCTGGGGCATTCTCCTCCAGCGTGGAATTAAGCAGCATCGTGGTGAACTCCATGTTAGTCGGCGTCATGGGCGACGCGACATCGTGGGTGCGCAGATATGTGCCGGTAGTGACATGCTGCAGGTGCACAATATCGGTGTTCACTACGCGCCACCGCTCCAGCTCCTCGGGTGTCTCCTCGCCGGCGCGCCGACGCTGCAGGAACTCTGTAAACTCGGTGTAGTCGCGCGCAGGCTTAATGGTCCAGAATCCGTTGTCACTGAGCTTCTTCGCGCCTGTCACCTGCTGTCCCTGGCTGCTGATGCGCTTGTCCTCGTAGCGCAGTGGGTACCTGGCCTCCGACGACTCAAGGTAGACGTTGGTTTCGCGGTGCTTGAACGTGATGCGATCGCCGTAGTGCACGTCAAAGGAGGACTTGGTCATAAAGTTGTCCTTGAGCTGCATCTGGAACTTTGGCGTATGGTAGACGTCGCCGGTACCAGTATTCGTCAGCACGGCAAAGTGCATGTAGAAGAAGGCCAGGTAGACGGCAAACGGCACTGCGATGAGGGCGACAGCGCGGGCGATAAAGTGGTGGGCGAATTGGGTCATGGTAGTGCCACGGCGGATATCGATGATCCGCCAGAGATCGTAAATGACAGCGGAGCCAATCAGCGTGATAGTGAAGAGACCAACGAGCTTGCATGAAACTACACAGCCGAGCATTGCGCCTGTGGCCAAAAGCCAGGTCCACCACTGGGCGCCAAAGGGCTTGTATCGGAGCTTGAAGAACTTGATGTACGCGTAGACAGCGGCCAGCATGAAGAAAATCATGATGTTGTCCAGGAGGATCAGCCGACCCTGCGTAACCAATGCGTTGTCAAAGGTCACCAGAATTCCAGCCAACAGGGACGCCATCACGGAGTACCCGGACTCAGCCATGATCATATACACCAATGGCGGCAGCGCAAAGCCAAAGATCGCAACCCATCCGCGCAGCATAATGTATGGAACCCCATTGCTCACATAGTCCATTCCAATCTTCTCAAACAAAAAGTGCCCGTCGTATCCGACCAGCCACCCGCCCAATGCAATCATCATTTTGGCCAGCGGCGGATGCACGTCAAAGTAGTACTGCCGCCGCAAATAGTAGCTGGCAAACTTTCCAAAGTGCACTTCATCAAAGACCACCTGAGCGGGGTCCCAGATCTTCCAGTACCGCGTGAGGAAAGACAGAAAAACGATTGCCCCAAACGCATATTGGATGAATTGCGCACCAGGGCGCTGACTCCGCGGCTATCGCTGCGCGTGGGGCCGGTGGGGGATGAAGCGCGGGCTCTTTGCTTGGTGTCGCCTGCAGCGCCGATGCGCTCTTGGGCGGACGTCTGTGGACCTGCGGCTCGTCGACGCTCATGCTTGTTTAGTTCTTTAGTTTAGTCAAATATATATAAGCAGTTAGTTGGCGAGTAGTATGTGTATGTCTGTGCGAGTGTGTGTAATGCGGCTATGCGTTAAGCGTAAAGAGGTGCGTGTTTGAAAGTGAGGTGAATAGGATTTGAATTCCAACAAAGATGAGTTTGTGAAAATAAAATAAAAACAAGAGAACGTTAAAAAAAAGAGAGAGAGAGCAAAGAATGATGGAACAAAGGGGAAGGGAGAATGGAGGAATCTGCCGATAGAAAAATGGGCTTCCATTGTCCCCCCCAATGGGCAACGGTTGGTGCTTTTATACGCCAAACATAAAACCACACTTGCATTCTCTTTCTGCTGACAGCAGCCAAAACTACATTTTCTCGCTACTTTTTCTGCAAAATGCTTTCTGCAGCAAAAAAAAATAAAAGCAATAAATACTCGACCTCAGCCAATGAACGAGCGCAAACAAACAGTATGAAATATTTTTTTAGTTTACTGCGCAAATGCGTGGAGAAAACAGTCTGGTCCAACAAAATGACAGAAAAAAAAAGAGAAACTCCTTTAGCGGCGTGGGCGGCCACGTACAAGCATCGGGTTCTTCGAATGGCGGGTCTTTCCGCCCTTAGCCAGCTTGCCCCATGGGCTCCTTGGGTGCTTGTTACCCTTGGATTTTCCTCTTCCACCACCGTGCGGGTGGTCATGGGTGTTCATCGCATTACCGCGTACAGTTGGTCTCCACCCGCGGCGCCTCCTTGCGCCAGCGCCTCCAAGCTTCTCATGCTTATGGTTAGGGTTGCTGACCTGGCCAATGGTCGCACAGGCATCAACAGGCACGCGGCGGATTTCTCCGCTCATGAGCTTGATCTGTGCCAGGCCCGTCGGCGCAGTGAACAGGAGCTGGGCGGAGGCCCCAGCGGATCTTGCCAGCTGCCCACGGCCCTGCGGGTTCAGCCCAATATTGTGGATGGTGGTTCCGATCGGGATCAGCTTCAGCGGCAGACAGTTGCCGACCTCGACATTGACCTTGGACGCAATGTCCGCCTGCGCCTCGGCGCGCGCCTCCGCCTCCATCCGCTCCGACACCGACATTTCCTCGGCGCTCAGCTGCTGCGCGGCTCCGCCAGCGGCTACATCCAGGCTCACCCGCATATACGACTGCACAACTGACCCTGGCTTCAGCCCCGCCGGCGCCAGAATATACGACATCTCGCCGCTCTCCATATGCCGGATCAGCGCAATATGCGCGGTCCGTCCCGGATCGTACTCCAGCCGGATAACCTGCTGCGGACCAGGCACCGTGCGCTTGAAATCAACCAGCCGGATACGCCGCTTGGCTCCGCCACCGCGGTGGCGACAGGTGATGCGGCCGGTGTTGTTGCGTCCACCGGTGCGGCGCTTGGCCACGGTTAGCTCGCGCACGGGCCCGCCCTTATGCAGGTCTTTGCGGGACGTCATACGGCGCTGACGCAGGGTCGGCGCCAGTGGCTTCCATGTCTTGAATTGCCCGTCGTCTTTTGTGTTGCTCATTAAGCGGATCGACAGCGCGGGCTTAGGAGCTGCCGCCCTGAAAACCGCCGTGCTGAGCGTGCAGCCTTGCAGCGCTCTACGAAGGGCAAGCATTTTAATAAAATTGAAAAAGAATATAAATTGACGAGAAAGAGAGATTCTGCGAGAAATTGGAACAAAAAAAAAGAAAAGAGTAGGAAATAATAAATTACCACCACGATATATACTGACTGGGACTCTTTTTCTTTATCTGGTTTTGATTGTTTTTTGATTCAAGAGTTGGCAGATCAAGTGCGAATCAAACCAGTCACGCGCTTCCTGCCCCTAATAAAGCCCAGCACGCCAAAACCAAACGCAGCCAGCGCCGAAATCCACTTTGTCTCATGCGCAGCACGCACACCCTTCAGCCAACTTGCACTCAAGAAGAAACTCTCATTCCAACTTTTATATTTAAAATTTTTTTATCCAGGGGCATTTCCTAATAGTTTTTTTTGACCACCAAGCCATGAGCAACGCCCAGTCAGAACAAGAAACCATAGCCTATGCCAAACGCAAGCGCCAGGAAGAGCGCGACCATCAGCCCGCCGCCAACGCTCAGTCCGGCGCCCAAATGCTGCAACAAGGCCTAGACCCACGCACACAGTTTTCCCAGACCATCAACCTCGATCTGATCAAGAAACCCTCGACCACACGCAAGAAAAAGACCTAACATCCGATACCCTAGAGACTCGGCGCCGTGCCATGGCCGAGTTTGACCGTAAACGCATAGCACGCAATATTGCCGTGCCCACTTCTGACTCTGCTGTTCGCGCGGATCTGCGCAAGCATGGAGAGCCCATATGCCTGTTTGGCGAGGATGCTGCTGATCGGCGTAATCGCCTAAGATACGTGCTCTCGAAGATTACCGACAGGAAAGAAATGCAGCAGCAAATGGACGTGGACGAGGACGACGATTCGGCCGGCGATAGTGAGGAGGACGGTGAGTTTTACACGGAAGGGTCAGAGGAACTGAAGGCTGCGAGAATGGAGGTTGCCGTGAAGTCGTTGGACCGGGCGCGCGACCGGCTGGAACGCCAAAGGGCGCAGGCTGCGGAGGATCTGGCGGTAGTTAAGCAGCGGCGTCTGGCACTGATCCAGAGGCTATCGACGTTTGCGCTTTGCGGGTCGCAGGTGGGCGATGCGCGGCCGGTCAGCCGCGCAATTTTTGCCCACGACGCCCACCACCTGCTAACGGCATCCTGGTCGGGCAGCATTAAGCTATGGGATGTGCCGGGATGTCAGGTCCAGCGCACTTATCGTGGGCACACTGACCGCGTATCAGGGCTATCTGCGCGGCCGCAGCAGGGCGGTGGCACGCTGGGTTTGCTAGCGGGTGCGCTGATGGGCTTGTGCTGTTGTGGGACGTGGAGAGGGAGCTGCCGGTTGGCAGGCTGGAGGGACACCAGGGCCGGGTGGTGCATGTGGACCACCATGCGGATGGCAGACTGCTGGGCAGCGCTAGCTACGATGGGTCCTGGCGGCTGTGGGATCTGGAGACCCAGAAGGAGCTGCTGCTGCAGGAAGGCCATGCGCGAGAGGTCTTTGCCCTACGGTTTCAGCCAGACACCGCTGCGCTGGTGGCAACTGCTGGCTTGGACGGCATTGGCCGTGTCTGGGACCTGCGCTCCGGCCGCTCGATCATGGTGCTGGAAGGCCATGCGCGCGAAATCTACGGCCTAGACTGGTCCCCCAATGCCTTCCAGGTGGCCACCGGCGCCGCCGACAACACTGTGCGGATCCATGATTTGCGCAAAATGGCTTGTGTTTATCAGATTCCCGCGCACAAATCAATGGTCACGGATTTGCGCTTTTCCCACTCCATTGCTGGTGCTGAAGGTGGCCACTTTTTGGTGTCGGCTTCGAACGATGGTTTGGTTAACGTATGGAGTACGGGCGATTGGAAACTGCAAAAGTCCCTGCCTGGACATGTTGGCAAAGTGCTGGGCGTCGATGTTGCCCCGGATAGTAGCTGCATTGTGTCGCTGGCTATGACCGCACCTTCAAGCTGTGGGGCCCCGATGATTTTCTGTGAGATTTAATTTTTTTTGATAATCCAACCCTAATCCACGCAGCGCCTTGTTTTTTGTTTTTTTTTGTTTTGTGCGTGTGTAAAACAACTTGAAAAATGTATTCGACACATTTTTTATCATCTCTCTTTTATTCTTGAATCTATTTTCGTTTAAAGAAACGAGAATTTCATTTCATTCACCTTTTATTTTCCATTTTCTTACAATGAGCGTTTCTCTTCGGCTTCTGGGCCGCTCCCCAGCGCTCACCCCCCGCACGCCCCACTGGCCTTCGCCACTCAAGCAGCACCCTGACACGCGCACGCGAAACCGTCAAGTTCCCCTGGGTCTGGCCCTCAGACTCCTCCAACATCCCACGACACTCCAACCTCAAATCCAAAACCCGCTTGCCAATCCTTGGACCCATATTAAACTGGTACACAGACATCTCCGGCAAAGCCATGGTAGCTTCAATCTTCGATAATGCGTATATCGAGACTGTTCGTGAGAAAATGGTCCCGCTCGTGCTCCCCAAGGCTGCCAAAGCGGTGGCCGAGGGCGATATGCAGGCGTTGGATCGAGTGATGACCAGGCATTTGGCGGCAATGTATAAGCATGCGCTGGCCGGGGTTAAGGCCCAGGGAATGGAGATTCAGATGGAGGTGGGCGAAGTGGGCGAACCCAAGGTGCTTGGGAGAATGGTAAGCTGGGCCCTCCGGCAGCCTTCGATCCGGCTGTACCGCTTTCGGTGCGGATGAATAAATACGCGTACAAGTATTTTGAGCACATGCGGATTGCGGTCTTGAAGCTGACGCCCGAGGAGATGGAGGACCGTGGCGTGGTGGAGGGGTTGGTTAGGCGCACGATGGATGAGTGGATCTCTATTGAGCTGTGGTTTTCGGTTCCTGTGGAGGCCAAGGTCGAGCTGGTGAAGGGCCGCAAGGTGATGGATTGCGACCAGGGCAGTATGGATATTCCGCTGACGCTGACTACCCCGAGCTATGAGGATTTGCGAATTTGGCAAAGGCATTTAACCACAGCGAGGATGCAGGTGATTTGGAACCGTTCGCTGGTCCGTCTCGGATCTCTTCAATATCGTTGATATGAACGAGTTGCGCCAGATCCAAAAGGCCAGCAACCTTGTCGAAAGGCATGAACATGTGTATTGATTAAATAAATAAATGAAATAGAGATTAGGTAAAGTACAATAAAAATTAGAAAAAGAAAAGAGAGGATGTGGTGGTGGTGGGGGTGGATGGTTATTTTAAATAGAATACCGGATTGTTTTTTTGCCGAGTTACCAAATGGCATACCGAATTGCCGGCAACATGAAACCCAGCAAAATACACGTCAGCACAAACTTTGCAAACTCCAGCCATGACCAGTCGGCGACGTCAATCCCGGGCAGCACTTGGTAGAACCGCTTAGCCAAAGCAACCGCCATTGTGGTATCCGTGTTTTCGCCCAATGGCTGGTACGAAGCCCCCGCGTACTCCTGCTTCTGCGCATACGGATCATAGTGGGATACCGAAACCAGCGGTGTGCCGTGCGGAGACGACCCCTGCGACGATATTGATGACCGGCGTCGGCCCAATGTGCAGTGGATCAGGTCCTCCATTATTCTCGACGGGTCCAATTTGCGCCACTAAATAATGAATGAGGATGGTCAAAATAAAATTAATTTTATTAGTATTATTCACAATACACACAAAATAAAAATATAGCTGCTTGTACACGCATTAATTAAAAGTAATGCAAGGCATGCGCATTCCGCTTTTCTTTTTTCCTTCTTTCCAATGTATAATAAAATAGATTATTATTTTTTCGTTCATTTTTGCAGTTGTCAATGAATGCACACGTGAGAGGCTTTTCTTTTATCTTTTTTTTGCAAATACCCACGCGGCAGCTGAATGCCCAAAGAAAAGAAACAAAAAAGCACAGAGCATGTAGGTATAGAATAAAAAACAGGAAAATCTGAATACAGAAAAAGTCACAAGGAAAATACAAAGACAAAGATCTTCACAAGAAAAAAAGAAAACCAACCGCACTATTCCAACAAAAACCCCCCCCAACTCTCCCAAAAAACATGACAAAATGTTCTTACCTTTGCTGAATCAAGACCTCTGCTTCGTCCATTTCCAGAGCAACGGTCTGAATAAGAAATCTATCCGAATCCGTAATCGGACTGGTGCTCTTAACTATAACCTCCACGTTTCTCCCTTGTTGTCAAGGAGCAAACCACCGGTTTGACTAGGAATTTCTGTGGTGAATTGGTCTTGAACTTGAACCCCACTGCTTGGTTCTGCAGGCTGGTTAGCCGAAGACGGCTGGTGTATCCTGAGCGCGACTCTGTGAACTGGAACTCGGAGGGAGAAATCCGAATAAGGGGAGGACTGCCGTGTTTATCATGCTTACAAAAAAGAATGAACGAACGAACGAACGAACGAACGAATGAACGAATGAATGAATGAATGAAAGGAAAGGAAAGGAAAGGAAAAACTGTGTAGGGTTTCGGAAGAAAATAAAGGAGGGTTTTTTTCAAAATATATATAAAAGAAAAGAAAAGAAAATGGTGTGCGAGAAAAAAATGCTAGTAGAACTAAACAGTAATTTGAAAAGAGAAAAAGGGCGAAGGGAAATAAAAAATGGATGCAAGGGGAACGCACTTTCGGAAGAAAAATAGAAATAAAGACTGCGGTCATTTTTCTTTTTTACTTTTACACATGGATCGCGCGCCCTTCCTATTTCTCAGTTTTTTTATTCACAACGAATCATCAAACTCTGTGGGAGCAAGCTACAAAAAAATAACAAAAGTAAAACGGGACCAGCTGACACAGCATTGTTTATTATTAACCTTCCACTATAAATCCTTTTAATCTGCACATGTGTACTTTGGGTTGGACCGAAAGATTTCTGTAGCAAAAGTTACAAAAAGCTTGTGGGTTGAGCTGAAATAAAGATAAAAATCCATGTTTTGCAGCTTAAGAATAATAAACCGCTTTTTGCCAAACTGCAACGTGGAGCCCCCAGTGGCCACGAGCCACTCCTCCATTTTTTCCACTGGTCTGCCAAGATTGAGATGTCCTTTTCCCCCTCCCATTTTTTATTTAAAAATGGCTTCATGGCCAGTGAAAACCTCCACGTTGTTGCAGTTCACAATATCCAATGCATATATTGCAGGCCTTCGCCTTCCTTTTTCTTGGCTACCTGAGCCACCTTCATGCTCGCATGAATGTCCCTAATATCTCATAAATGTGTTTGACGTCACACAACGCAATAAATCCTTGGCAATGTATCCATTTAATTAACAAATCATCAGTCTAGATCTAGATCTTCTCAATGGCCGCAGTAAAGTCACCCGAAGCAACAAACTTGAGCTCGCCCGTGGGGTAGTTCGGGCCGATCTGGCGCACGACCTCGCCGCCCAGCCAGTGACCAGCCTCAACACACGCGTCCAGAGCTGTCCCTGGATATGCTGGGCCAAGAATGCCGCGACGAACGCATCGCCAGCACCGTTCGAGTCGCCGATCTCCTCCTTAGCCACCGGCGTAACATCGTAGACACGGACCTCGTCAGAGTCGCTTGAAGCAACGATGGTGTGCTCGCTGCCCTGAGTGAACACAACCAACCGGGGCTTGCTGCCCTCCTTGGGCTGATCGGCGATCTTCTTAGCAATAGCCTTGATATCCGTGGTTCCCAGGCCAAAGGCCTCCGAGAGAGAAGCAGCCTCGGTTTCGTTTCCAAACAGAATATCAATATAGGGCAGGGTCTTCTCCACAAGTCCCTTGTAGAAAGTAGGCACGAAGGGTGCCGAAATATTCATCGTAAAGGTCTTGTTGTTCTCCAGCGCATGCTTAGCCACGGCCTCAATGGTATCGGGTGAAACCGTGAAGAAGAATCCCGTGATGTAGTAGTACCGGCCTTCTCAATGATCGCCCAGTTCTCAGGCTCTGCGTGTGCGCAAACTGGAACGTCTCGGCCGCCGACAAATTGGCAACCATTGAGCGGTTGGCGCCGGTGATCAAAAGCGCGCAGGTTCCCGTGGGCTTCTCCGAGTTAACCATGTAGTTGGTGCGCAGACCGGCCTTGCTGGCTGCGCCCTGCAGCCGCTTGGCGTTTCATCGTCGCCGACAGCTCCGATGAAAACGGCGGAGTCTGCGGGAGGAGCAGCTGTACGCCGCGCAGAGTGTTCTGCCCAGCACCACCCGGGAGGAACTTTGCATCGTATGAGTCAATCAGAGTCTGGAACAGAGGGACGTGCTCGGCGGACGCAAGAATGGCATCGTTGGCCTTGAGATTGTATTGCTCGAGAAGGTTATCGCCACAACAGCTGAGATATCAAGGAGAGGGTTGCAGAAACCAACAAGAGCGCCGTTCAGATCCTGAGACATGGTTAGATAAATGAGGTTTGCGCTGTTCTATGAATTTGTTAACAAGAAAAATAAAAAAAATTATTTGAGGAATTTAGCCATTTTATACTTTGACAAGAAAAATAAATTCAGTGAAAATTTCGGGATGCGCGAGATTCTGCCAGCTTAGTACCTTTAGGAATGTATAAAGGTATAAAAAGAGCAAGAGAAGAGAAGAGAAGAACAAAAAAGATACTGATGTCGGGGTGCGCGTTGGGACTAAATGTGAATGAATGTTGGGGAGTGGGAATAGGAGTGGGAGCGGGAGCAGGAGCAGGAGGAGGGGGTGATGATGGGTAGTAGTTACTAACAAATAAATTTTAGTAGCGTATTTTGTGATTGAAGAAAGGATTGGCACCATCAAAAGTGCAAAGGTCGAGATCTGCATGTGAATTTGATAAGGGTTTTTTGGGACGAATCCGGGATCAAACACACGCCTGCTGCTGTGAAATTTAACTTTGTTGCGATGTTTCAAAGGCCTTATAATATTTATGTCTAAAGCTGATTTCACACGACAATGCCTGTACCAAACTCAAACTCAAAACTGGAAGAAAACCCTTTTTATCAAAGAAAAACAGACTGGAGTCGAAGAATTGGCAATTTATTCTTCAATCTTAATATTTTTTATTATATTGACAATGTTCCAGGGCAAAGTCTGAAAATGCATAAAGAGCGATTGTTGAATAAAATAAATTTAAATATAAGTAACTTGGCACTGTTTTTACACTATTTCACTCAAGGGGTATAATGCCTTTGAATATTATTCAAAATTCAAACCATCTTTACTATGCAGCATACTTTGTTTTCCCATACAAAATATGAAAGGCGCGTATTATTTGACATTATAACAGCGGTCTTGTAAAAATATCACTATTTTTCGACATGATAACAAGACAAATTATTTTGTATTTTATGTCCAAATATTGTTTTGCAATATTAAATAGTCAACATCAATATTGTCAAAGTAATTTAAACTATTCATTTTAATGGCTTTATAAGTATATATTTATTCTATTAATATCAAAATGTACATGTTGTCGATAAAAAATAAAAGCTATTAAATGGGGATATTAAACTGACAAAATCAATGGAGTTTTTTACGACCACTTCATGCCAATAAAGCCCGACTGTCTGCGGTTGACAACAACAATGTTGCCATCAGAATTGGCCTGGGGTGCAGCGGCAGGCGCTGGGTCGGCAACGGGAGCGGCAAGGGCAATGGTGGCAAAGAGAGTGAAGACGAGGGCGGAAATGGTGAACTTCATTGTAGTTGGTAATTTGTGGATGGCGAGGGTGAAATACGAAATGTTGTGTTTTGGTTGGGCTTGGTTAAATTAATTGATATGGCTGTGGATAATGTTTTAAAGTCAAAATAACAGGGAACGTTGTTCTTTTTATATCCTGTGTCGATGCCAACAAAACTCTTACAAATATGCAAAGGTTCTGGTGGCTCAAATTAAAAAATTCAATTATATTGTATTTCCCTTTATATTTTCATAATGTCTGCATGTAAACTATTATCTCGCGTACCTGCCCAAAGGGAAACTCGTGGCGATGGGCAGATTGCATGCTCTGATTATGCATTCTGTATTGTGTATTGTTTGAATTTTAAGGGTGCGAACCTCATTTATTTGCATTGTACAATGATATGCGAACGAAACTTTTCAATAGTCCATTTTCAAAGATCTTGCATTAAATGTTTTCGAGTGGACTTATAATCACCTGATTAACATTTTACAATTGGGCAACAGCTAAATTGGCATGAAACACAATAAAACAATGAACGATTCATTAAATTTACAATGGCCAATTGTGTATATTGACTAATTTCATTTTATTTAGTAACGAATGTTTCAATCCCATGGTAACAGGCTGATCACAAACAAGATATATATAAACTATAATTGTGCGCAATTATAATTGTGATCAAGAGTCAGTTACTTCTCAAGCTCGACATAGTTGGCCGGGAACAGGCCGTACTCGCTCTTGGAGTTGTAACCCTCCCACCACTCATCGGATGGGAACTCGATATGCGTGATTTGCTCGCCCTCTTTGAACGTGAGCTCGCCATCCTCGGCCGCGTCGTAGTCGTATACAGCAGTGGCGTAGTGCTCGCCGAGGTCTTTCTGCTTCTGTGCAGCTGGTGGCGGTGGTGGAGGAGGAGGCGCAGGCCCGCCGCGAGGAGGCAAAACAGGAGCGGAAGGTGCAGCAGGAGGTGCAGGCGGTGCGGCTGGAGGGGCGTTGCGCGGAGGGAGCATGGGAGCAGCCATCGGCGGAGCAGCTGGTGGTCCGCGAGGAGGCAGAAGAGGTACCATTGGGGGAGCGGCCATTGGGGCCATTGGCGGGGGAGTTGGTGCCATTGGTGGGGCAGCAAAAGACATTGGCAATGGCGGTGCTGGAGGAGCCATTGGCGGTGGAGCGGGTGCCATTGGCGGGGGAGCGGGTGCCATTGGCGGGGGAGCGGGTGCCATTGGCGGGGGAGCGGGTGCGGCCGGAGTCTTGTGAGGCAAACCAGGTGCGCTCATCGGCTGCACATTCACATTGTCGTCCTCAATTAACTCGACAAAGTTTGCCGGGAACACGCCCTGCCTCAAACCATCCTCTGTCTCTGCAGCCCACCATCCCGGGTCCAGCTGATCGACATTATAAAGGATTTCGCCCTCCTTGAACGGCAGCTCATCCTCAGCCTCTGCCTCGTAGTCGTACACCGCCCGGGCTCTCTGGCCGCGAGAAGACTTCTGCTGCTGCTGTTCCTGCTTCTTGCGGTGGTCCTCTTCCTCCAGCTGCTTGCAGCGGTTCTCTTCTTCTTTTTGCTGCTGTTGGCGCTTCCGTTGCTCATCCTGCTGCTGCTGACGTTTACGCTCTTCCTCTTGCTGCTGTTGCTGACGTTTACGCTCTTCCTCTTGTTGTTGTTGCTGACGTCTGAGCTGATCATCATCCTGGTTTTGTTTCCATGAATGAGTCGGTGGTGCCGCTTGCTGCTGCTGATACTGTTTCTCGGAAGTTTGCGACCCACTGCGGGCCCTTCTCACAGCATCCAGTTCTGCCCTTCTCTCATCCGCAACACTCGAGGAAACGCCCGACGATGACGCACCCAAGCTAGAATTCAACAAACGGCGGCTGCGCAGCATCTCCAACTCGTTCTTTGTCTGGTCCGCCTGCGAAAACAGCGACGAAGGCTCATTTGATGCAAGAGAGCTGAAGCGGGAAGGCGTGGATGGCCGTGACCCACCGTGACTTCCGGTCGGAGAGGGACCGCGAGAGCCTCGCCGAAGTGCTTCCAACTCAGCGTGCCGCTCGCTCTGTTGGGACTTGTAGGAGGGGGGCGGGGACAACCTCGAACGCGTGGGCTCTACGATTGGGGATGCCGGCGGCGAGGGACGCGGAGACCGGTGGGTGGAGGCAGTGTTCGGGCTGCGGGCACCAAAGAATGAGGAGACCGGGCGCCCAGAGTATGCCCCACTGCCACTGCCGCCACCAAACAGCGGCTTAGTGCCTCCAAGCGACGACGCGGCTGTGGCAGGCTTTGGAAGTACATTGGGCTTAGAAGCCGAGGAAGCTGCAAATGGTGGCTTGTACGGGGTTGCTGGTACTTGTAGCGCTGGAGCCGGAGTCGAAGCTGGAACTGGATCCGCTACAGGAGCATTCCATGCGGGCCTTGGACACAGCCGGCGCGCCATAAGTAGCGCCCTTCTTGAACGCTGCGGCGCCAGCACCAAATGCGGGCTTCGCCGAATCACAGGCGCGCAACCTTGGGCTTGTATGATACGAGTATTGGGCACCTGAGCTCCTGCCCACCTTATCCATAATCTCCTTGGCATCCACGTCCTCCTCGGACCGAGCATTAATGGTGACGTGCGAGCCGCTAAGCATGCCTTGCACCTGACCCACTTGTGAACTCACCATTCCTTTGCGGAAGACAGGGACTCCTTGTCCGCACCACGAAATAAAGACAAACTTGGGAGCTGGTGTTAGGGTCTAGGACACGGACAAAGGCGAACTGGACCTTGCCGGCATCAATTCATCGCTGAGATCTTCTAGACCGCCTGAGCCCTGGGATTCAACGTTAAGCGCGGTGCCTCCCCGGTCAAACCAAAGATGGCCCACGATGTTGACGGGTCGTTGTTGAGAATACGCTGGTGTGCGGATGTTATTTCGCTGGCGTGAGCGGAAAGATCCACGCTGTTGGACATGGTCTTAATAGAAAATGAATAATAAATAGACGGTGCTTGCTTTTTAGCGTTGATTTTGTGCTGATGTATTGCAGAATAATAAATGTGAAATTTGAATGAAGCAAAGGAAAAAGACAGATGAACTCCAATTCTGTAAAGTGGAAAAATTAATGCGCGGAAGTATGCAATACGGTTTTTTTCCGCCCTAATCCCCAGGTTCTTGGCGCAAAGTGCATTTAGGCTCAGGTTCCCGCGCGCAAATGCATTGACAAAACTCACGTGCACGTACCCAACCAATAACAGAAATGCTGATGTTTACTATTTTCCCCGCATTTGTTATTTTTGGGCAAGTCGCAACACTATAAGAAATAATGAGCTACAATATACTTCTAAACACTGTGGGGAAGAATGTCGGGTTGAAGCTAGTGGCGATAGACCACCATGGTTGACGATATTAATCAGTTAGCTGTTTTTTTGAAGAAGAAGCAGGAGCAGATGGATTCTTGCGCACATGCTTGGTCTTGGCTTTGGCTTGAGCAAAGTCTCGGGTGTCGCTGTAGACCCGGGTTCAGTCGATTCTGAAGATGTCTTTTTGCGTGAAAAACGGAGAGACCGCTCACCTTTAAGCAGGGCATTAAGAATGATGCGAAGGTTCAACACCATAGCCATGTCGCGATTCCACTTCTGGCTGCCTAATAGCACTTTTTCCCCATCCTTGAGCTTGGTTCCGGCGGCCCTGAAGGCTTGCAGGCAGCCTTCCATTGTTCACTGAAGCAAGCCATGGCATAAAATTTGGCGGGGGTTTTTACTGCCGGAATTGTATTCATGCCTGCTGACCATTCTGCTGCTGCTTCTGCTGTTACGCGACCAACTCATCGCGCATCCTCTGTCTGATTTTGCACTCGATTTTGCCCCGCAACCAGCCGCTCACCTGACAATGTGCTTGAGATTATCAGCAGCTGGATATTGACGTACTGCTCCCATTTTGCTCAGCCAGCTCATCCTGCACCTGCTGCCTAATTTTCTGTCAATGTTGTCCTCAGACCAGCCCTTTTCCTCCCCTATCCACCGGATTATATCAGAAGACTGCGCGAATAGGCATCCACTGGTTGCAACTCTGCTATCCACTTTCTGTAAAAGATGCGGCGTCGGCAGCAGTTGTGGTTGCAACAGAAACAGTGGTGGCTGCTGCTGTGACAGACACAGTGGCTAAAGTAGTTGCAGCTGCGACAAAATCAGATGATGCTGCTGCTGCTGCCATTGCGACGTGGTACTTGTGTTGGGATTCTTCAGACAAGGATCATCAATTTTGTGGAATTTCTCCATCCTGCTCTCGCACGTCGGGCAAAACATTGAAGTACAATACTCGTCATCAAATAAACGTATTAGCATTTCCCACAGCCCCTTGCAACTAATTAGCTCATGGTGACGGGTTGTGCCTGGGGTCCAATTACCAAAATAAGGGCCATATCTGGTCCAAATTTTTGCGCAAAGTTTTTGCAAATTCGACGTCAGCGCGCTTTCTGTTAAAAAGAAAAGATAGCAGAGCTTGCGGTGCAAGGGGTTGTTTAGCTGCTGCCATCATACTTTCGACTTTTGCGAGGGTATGCATGTTGTGATAATGTTTTCCCAAAACAAAATATCCCTTTCAGCACTCTAGGAGGTACTCACATACAATTTGCAATCAAGTTTTATGGAGCCAGGGTGGTTGAGCGCGCGCTCGACATCCTCAACAGACATATACCGACCATTTTTCGCTTTGGCAAGCTTTGCGGGGTCAAGCTGGAATACATTTTTTGCATTTGTGTGGATCTGTCGGAACGTGCGTTCACGTCGTTTATTAGCCTCTGAATTCTTGGTATAGCAGAATATAACTCTCTCTCTCACTTTTTGTAGCTGCTTTTATATCCTAGACAATATCACATCTCTGCAACCTGGATCACAAAAAAATAGTTTACCGACAATACCATTAATGATATGTTTTGGCAAAGTATCAATGTATTCGGGAGAAGCTTTCTTACTGCGGGGTATGTGGTGCCAACACACATTTCAAGCCACTATCTTCCTTTTCAAGAATCAAGATCACCATCATGGCCACTATACACATTTCTGTTATTGCTGGCTGACATCAAGGAATACCATGATGTTTACAGCGCTGCCCACAGCGCTGCCCCTTTTTCAGTTAAGTAAGGAATTTTTAAGACTTGAATATATTGATTTAGACCCACATTTTTATAGAGCACGACAGGGTACACCATTTGCAAGTTTGCCGCTATTGCTGTTGATGTTGCTGGTACTGGTGCTGTTGCTGTCCATATTGTAATTGTAAATTATTGTTATTATCATCGTCGTCTGTGTTGGTCAAAAATGCCGCAAACATTATTATTAAAGTTATTTATGTGCCGCAAAGCACATACTTGATGCCACAGAAAATCAAATATACATGGCATAGTAAGCATAAGGTCTTTGATAATGCCGCAGATTAAATATTAAATACCGCAAAATAATACACGATGCCGCAAAATAAAAATAAAATAATTCTCTACATTTTATAATTTTATAATTTTACTCATCCAATGGACTCAAATGGTAGTGTGTTTTCGAGTGTTTCTCAACACATCAACACGGTTGAAAAATACTTCCCCGCATTTTCAAAAATCTGGACTTTGGCTATAAATGTCTGGAAATTCTAAAAAAAACACATTTTCACTAGTGTATATAAGTCAACTGCTAAAAAGTTAAGAAAAAATGTAATTCAAATATTTTTTCTTGCTTATTATATTTAATAAATATTTTATTACTTTGCTTAATGAGTAATTTTTATTTTACATTCGATTTATGAATTTAAACATTTTAATAAACATTTCTAACAAATGCTAATGGTCATATTATAAACAATTACGCGTGTATAATATTTGCTATTATACAATAAAATTATTCTAAAAAATTGGTTTGTGCACTATTTCATCAAATAACCTCAATTTTTTACTGACATGTGTTGTGTAAGAGGGGGTAGGGAGCACTACTGTAATAGTGTTAGAAAATGGGTGTGAAATTATAAAGGTTTTTATTACTAGTGTTTCTAAAGTGTTATTATCGCCAGCCTCGCCTTATATATATCCTTGTCTTTGTGGCCTCACTGGCAGTTGTGTGCTCCGTTTGCGAGAACTGGTTTTATGAAAGTAACCTGGGTCCCTGATATGGCATAATTGGCATGTCTGTATTCTTGCGCCTAGCACATCCATTTCGGGACAGGCAGTATGTCCGGACGTCAATTGTGGCGCCTAATTTGATCCCCTGTGATTTGGCTTATATCAGATCCATCTGTGAACTGACGAGAGTCTGTCTCATGATTTTCGCCCTCAGCGTCTACCTCATATCCTTGGCTGCATAACATATGTATTACAAGTGGTAATTACAGACAAAATATGTTCATTTCTCCACAAGGAGAACAAAGGACGGAGTCATCCATCTGTCCCTCTTATTCGTTCTCCTACGTGGTAAACACAAAAACAAATAACATTGATTCTTTGCTGTTAATACTTAGAACAGCTAAGTTTTGACCATGTATTGTATTTTTATCAAACTCTGGCTGTAATATATGCCAGAAATTGTTTGATCTATCAGCATGCAGAAACTTGTTTCATGATTTTTGATCTCAACATCCACTTCCATATCCTTGGCTGCGCAACAACAATTTTACTATGTTTACTAAATATATTTTATTGAGACTACAAATAACGTTAAAAGCTCGCTTCATGAAATCGCAGCGTGCGTACAATATCAAAAAAATGAGATTATATCCGTCAGTATGTCACGTGATGTATTTTAATTTTGCCATCACAATTTTTTTTTTTGATGACCAGCAACCAACCAAAATACAAAGATGGCTGAAGCATAAAATAAATGCGTTTCTTTCTCTTTTTCTTTTCAGATAATGCATTTTAATTGACCACCAACACGCACAATTTCAGGCAAGTAAATTTGCACATATATATTTGAATTTTTATACCAGTCTGTTCTTTATTTGGCTTGTATTTATCTTATAATTAGTAGGCAAGTTGACAAGCGAGCAATATGACAAGCGGGCGTACTGGGTGGCGGGCTACCTGGCTGGCTGGCACCGGTTGGAAATCTTTTATTTTATTTTATTTTTCCAATAAATAAGCGTACCATTTTTTCAAAGCCAAATTCTGAAAAACGAAAATGCAAAAATAGTGCAGCAGGTTGCTGCAGCTTACAGGAGGCAATAGGGCATGACCCAAATAATTGCCGCCCTCAATGATCAACATTAGATATTATTTAGCGAGTTAAAATTAAGTGTTGGATTTTAGCCACACTTTTATAATAGCGTGCATACTCTGCTTCAATGGTTGGTATGGGAGAATTCACCAAAGCTTTTTTCAACAAGGTGAAGTGACAGTTGACTGCTATTTTTTGTGGTTGAATTCAATTTAGCAACAGTTTCTTTTTTTCTGCTATTGTCAATTTTGGAAAAATATCTAGTATAATATCTGCCAATATAATAACAACAGCGACAAAGACAGCAGCAGCAACAGCAATAACTGACTGGGCCTATTATATATTTTAAGAAAGCGACATTTACAAAAGTATGCCGCTGCTTGAAGTGCGTCGTGCGATTTACACGTACAAGGCATCGGACAGCGACGAATTATCGTTGAACGAAGGAGATGTGCTATACATTCTCAACTCCGACGACCCCGACTGGCTGCAGGCCAAGCGGAAACCAAGCGATTCCGACAATGGGCCGGAGCAGAAAGGAGTGGTACCAGCCAACCACACCGAATTGGTAAGCATTCGACAATTGCATACTACCTTATTCGTGTGAAAACAACACGCATATACTTAGCGCAAAATTACTAATAAAAGCCCCCGCTCTGCTTGTTTAGATTGAGCCCGTGGCCCAGGCGAGGGCCCTTTACGACTACGAGGCAGCGCAGGACGAGGAGACGACGCTCGAGGAGGATGAGCTTGTGCAGATTATTGAGCAGGACGACCCCGACTGGTACATGGCGCGGACGAAGGGTGGGTATGGTTTTATTCCTAAGGCATATGTGGAGCTTGTGGCTGAATCTGATGATATGCGCGGCCATTCGCCTGACCCAGAGCCAGCTGCCCTGGCGATTGCTGCTCCCATTGCCACAAGGCAACCCCTCCCTCTGCCGCCGCCACCCCCGCCAATGCCACAGCAGCAGCAGCAGCCAGCAGCGACAGTAGCACCCCCTCCCCCGCCTCCCCCACCACCACTCCCCCCTACGCAGCCATTCCAGGCGCCCACACCAATCCCTCCGCCTCCTCCATTTCAGACACAAGCACCCAGAAATAGCAACACCAACACCAACAGCAGCACGGTCTCGCACTTTAGCGTGACAGAGGGCAAGAAGAAGAAGGGCACAAAAGTGATGCTTAGCGTTAGCAATCCGACACTGACAATATCCAGCTCGAACGATATGGTCCCCCCCAAGCGCCACGCAACAATGCACATCTCGAAATGTGCTGCCAAGAAGGCCGTTTTGGGAGTGGAAATCGGCGGATATGAGCCCGCTGCCTATGACTTCACCTGCGCGTCCGCAACTGAGGCCGAGCGCATCGCTGACGCCATCAACGCTGCCCGCCGGGGGATATTTGTTGGAGACTCTGTGGCGTCCCCGTCCGACGAGGCTCCACCTCTGCCTCCCAAGGACACCACCGTGGCCCCAAAGGCTCAGCAGCAGTCTATGCCCTCCCTGTCGCATGCTGAGGACGCGCAGGAGCATGCGCTGGTGCTGTATGAGTTTGCCAGCGACGATCCTGAGGAGCTGACTGTGGACGAGGGCGCGCGTGTCCTGGTGCTGGACAGGTCGGACCCCGAGTGGTGGCAGGTACAAGTGGCTCCGCCGCATGGCCGTGCGGGTCTTGTCCCTGCCGCATACCTCGAGCTGCAGTCGGCCGAAACGGAATCTAGGGCGTCCTCTTTCCGCGAGCGGAACGACGCGCCGCAGTTGCCGACACTCCCCGAGCGCACCGACACCGTTCGTCTCGCCGCCTCGCAGGCACATATGGCGGCGCCCAGGACGCCCGAGCCGTTGAGCATTGTCATCGACTGCAACGCGCAGTCCACGGTCAGCCGCACGAAGACGGCAGATTCGGACAACATGCCGCTGCAGATGCTCCAGAACCGCCAGCATATTAACCCGCCGATGCCCAGCCTGTCCTCGGAGCCCGGCCCCGACCCGAACAAGGTGCGCACGTGGACGGACGGCTCGGGCGCTTACACTGTGGATGCGCAGTTTTTGGACCTGGACGCTAGCGGCAACGTGCATCTGCACAAGACCAACGGCAAGACCATAGTTGTGCCCATGGCCAAGTTCTCACCGGCCGACCGCACATATGTAGACGATCTCCTTGGCAAGGCTCCGCAAATGCCGACCAAGTCGCTCACTGCGCGGCAGCGCCAACAGGAGAGTGCGCGCAAGGACCCCGCTGGAAAGCGGATGGTTAATTACGATTGGGATTGGTTTGACTTTTTCACGCTCAAGGCCGGAATCAGCGCTGATAACGCACTCAAGTATGCGACGTCGTTTGTGGCTGAACGCCTGGACGACCAGTCCATTGCAGAGATTAAGTCGGATACGTTGCGGTCACTAGGTGTGAAGCCCGCCGACATTATGCGCATGGACCGCGCCTTCCGCATTCATCGGGGCCTGCCCGTCTCTGCCATCGACCCCATGTCCGACGAGGCCGCCCTGGCCAATGCCGCCGCATCTCCGGCGCCGGCTGCATCCCTGGTGCCTGTATTCCAGCAACAGCCGTACCGGCACCAGGTGCCGCAGAAGGAGGAGATTGCGCGCAGCCCCGCTTCCCGCGCACTATCGCCACCGGGGTCGCAGCAGTTGGCATCGCGGCGTGTAACTAGCAACCCTTGGGGCATCGACTCTGAGCTTGACCGGCGTTTTGACCGCAAGCGCCAAATTGAGAACGACGAAGCTCTTGCGCGCAAACTCCAGGAAGAGGAGAAGCAGCGCACCAGCGCGCCTGGCGGTGGTCGTAAGCCATCCAATCCCCAACGGCCGCAGCAGCACGATCCCTTTACCAACCTTAATGCGTCTGGTCGCTCGACCGTTGATCAGCGGAATGCTACACCCAGGCAGGCGCTGAACCTAGGTTCTGGCACTCGCAAGCTCAACAAGAGCCAGACATCTGTTGTAGACCCCGCTCAGCTGCGCTCCGCACAACACCGCTTGGCCAGTCCGCCCCCTGCCCTGCAGTCTGCTGCCATTTCAAAGGCGACGACAACCACGGCTTTTGACGAGGCTTTTGGATCCACAATTTCTCCGCAGCCGCAGCCAGAGCAGCATATTCCACCAAGGGCCCGCCCCACTGCCCGCCAGCAGCAACAACAGCCTGCTACCATAAATATGCCCTTACAGGCTCAGGCACCGAGCCTGGCTTCTGCACTCTCCAATCTCGACGAATTAACGACCAACCGGATGGCCGCTGCCACAGCTAGCGGAAACACAGCGCAGATCAACCGACTTGAACAAATGGCTGCAGCCAAAGCCCAAGAACTGGCAGCTCAGGAAGCCCACATTCGGCAACAACAGGAGGAGATTCGCAAGCAAGCCATGTTCCTCCAACAACAGCAACACCAGTTGCTCCAGTTGCAGCAGACACAAAAGGTCGAATCTCAGTTGAAGCAGCTAAAAGAGGAAAAAGACAAGTTGGAGCAACAGAGAAAGGCCGAGGAGATGAAGATGCAGGTGGAGCAGTTGAAGTCGCAGCAGGAGCATTTGCTGAAGATGCAGCAGATGGCATCGCAAGCCAAAGAGAATGCCCAGGTGCAGCAGCAACAACAACAGCAATTGCAGCAGCAACAGCAACAGCAGCTTCAGTTGGCAGCGGCGGCTAGGATGTTGACTCCTGTAAGCGCTGTGACGCCAGTTCAGCAGCAGCAAATTCAGCAGCAGCCGTTGCAGCAGCAGACTGTGTCGTTGGCGAGTAGACTGCCACCGCCGCTGGTGCCATCCAAGATGAACAGGCCTATGACCTCACCGTCCAATCACACACTGTTCAGCAACCAGCAGCAAATTCAGCAGCAACAACAACTGCAGCAGCAACAACTTCAACAGCAGCAGCAGGCGCTTATGCAGCGCCAGCAGTTTGGTGGCATAAACCCAACCTCCCCAGCCGGCATGTTCTCAGCTTCACAGGTGATTACCAACATGCCTGCCGCCAGCTCCTCGACCACCGGATTGGTTGCGCCCACGGGCCTGGGCAATATCTTCACCAACCAAACCGGCGCAGGCTCTACACCCAACCTCGGGACCTTTAATAAACCACCCATGCTGGGCGCCAACTCGCTTTCTGGATACGCCAATACCGCGGCCACCCACAGCGTGAGCAGCTTTGGCACCAACATGCAAAGTGGAGGTGCTGGCAACCAGACTTCTCATTTTTTGCAACAGCGGATGCTTCAGGCACCTGGTGCTGGCACTGGTACATTGACCATGGGGACGCAGATGAACCAGCAGCCTGGCCAGGTCGGATCGAAATACGATCTTTTCAAAACCATCAATCCGAATGCTCCCGGCGTATTCAACTCCAATACATTGCAGCAGCCAGTTGGGCTTCAGAATTCGCAGTTTTTGTCTTCGTCTTTGCTGACAACCACTGGTATGGCTCCGTATAATCCGCAGCAGCAGCAACAGCAAGGCGGAATTGGCGGTGGTGTCTCGCGGTCTGTTGGTCCCACTGGGATATTTGCCATGGCCAACCCTACGCTTGGTCAGAATCAGCAGCAGCAGCAGCCCCAGCAGCAGCATATATTTGCAAACCAAATGTTTAATTCGCAAATTCAACAGCCCCAGCAGCAACTACCTCAGCAACAGCAGCAGCAACCTCAGCAACAGCAAAATATGTTTAACGCAAACCAGGCTGCGGGGTTCGGCAACCAGATGCAATGGCATTAGAATATTTATTTTTTCCTTATTTTTCATAATTTTCATAATTTTTTAGTATAATGTATCGCAAATATTATTTTCTCTCACTTTCAAAAACAAATTTACAAAAACTAGCAAACAAATAATAAAATAATTTACTTTCCAATTGTGTTGAAATATTTGTTTTCAGGTGCTAATTATTGGTACAAGTGCAATTAAGATAAGTAAAAGATGTTTGTTGGATTAGGATGTATACTTGAAATTATCTCTGTCGCTGTAGACGCTGCTTGGCTCTGAAAAGGTAATTGAGAAGTCAGACATTGACTCGGCCTCCTCCAGCTTGCCAAACCTTGCCCTAGTTCTCCGCTTGGCGCCGCGTGTCCGCTCTACCAGCCTTTTCCTGTACACGTCCAATGACGGGTTCATTGTGTAGACCAAAAAGTTGAGCATACCTTGTGTCGACGGCATCAAATTGCTCATGACGTAGAGCCAGAACGGCGTAGCTGACAAGAGATTGCATAAAAGCGTAAAGGACAGTGTAATAATTGGAATGATCGGATAGCAAGTCACGCGAAGCGTAACCGACCGAATGTACCTCTTCCTTTCGTCCGAAATTTGCTGCATGGTGTCCGAGTCTGAATCCAAGTCCAGCAGATCGAGCTTCTCCGGCGTACGGTACCTGTTTATAGACGACTCGGTGGCCTTCCAAGCGCGTGACATCTTAATATACGTCAAAAGTGCAATGACAAAAAGGAAAGCAACTCCGCCAAAAATCCACATCCACTGAACTAACCAAATGTTGCGCTTGCCCACTGACTCCTCTTCTCTGAAATAGAAGAGTTGGGCCACAGGAATCCATTTGATATTCTTGAACACGTACATGTACGGGTGAGTAATTAAAAACCCGCAGAAAATGCTTGTGACCTCATAGTATGGCCGAATGGCCTCGGCCCAGTGGTTTTTGTTTGTGAGCACTGTCAAAAGCAGCTGAATTCCCATGCAGCTCGAGAGAAACACAAAGGAAACATTGGACCCGGCCATGATCCATACAATTGCCCTTAGGTGCGTTTCAGATAGCCCGCTCATGTAGTCATTGTTAAATACAAAGACTTGGCATATGGAGAATGATAGGTCGCACAGGGCTATGCAAGTGGAAATTCGCAATGAGGGCCGGTTGAGGAGACTGCGGTTTACAAACGCTACTATGATGGTACTCAGTATGACTATGATAGAGCATACCATTGAGCTGATGTTTATGCCGTTGCACACTACTGCCCATTGCCCGAGCACGCCATGGAGGTCTTCAGCAGTAGCCGTGGTAATGTCGGGCGCCGTAACATTTTCTTGCCTGGAAAACGGTGGGCCGTTTGGACGGTGTTGGCAAACCGATGGACGGCAAGAAACTCCATTGACGGGATACTAATATGTAAAATATTTGAATATAAATGTGTAGCAAGTGAAATATAAAATTGGACTGTTGATTAAAAATAGGTAGAAAATTTAGACTAAATAATGTGTGAAAGTAGGTGGGTTTTCTTTTGACAGTTCTTGTTTGGCAAGGCCAAGCAAAAAACGGTTGGAGATAATGTCGTTATTTATGAGAATTGATTAACAGCATTTGGCGTTCTCTGATAGCGCACATTTTATTGGGAAATATAGAGCAAGGTTGCTATACTGACAAAATATGCAACCAAAGCCTGTAAGGCTCGGCGCACGATAAACGCAAAACTGCGCATGTTTCTCTGCCTGACAGCAACGGATGATCAGGGCGACAAAAGCAGCTCCTTGCTAAAAGACCGCGGCGCACCAACTTAAAAACAAGCAAATCGGGAATGTCACCTTTGTGGTTGTTTTGTGCATAAATTGATACTCCATCAGCAGCGACATAGTTGAATTGCCTCAATGGAAGACATGTCCTTATCGGGATGGTTTTAAAATAAAGGTGCAAAAAAGATGTGAATGTACTTTTTTATTCTAGTCGAATTGGGAGCAATGCACATTAGTCATGCTTATTTCATGCAAAAGAAAAAGACAAAGAGGGGACAAAGAGTACTGTCCTCGTGAGATTGCATGCACCCCAATGAAAGTGGAGTAAATGTACAAACATCGATCAACAAAGTAAAAATTGAAATATAAAATCCGGGCGTTCATGTCAAGCAGACAAAGCTGCAGACGCATGGCAAACAAGCGTGCAGGCTTTGGCCGTTTTTTGGCTGTTTGTTATGTGCATGTCTATGTTTTGAGGTAATTAAACAAAGCTCAAGTGACCAGTATGCACAGTGTTGATTAAAAGTTTGTCTTTATTTTTTGAATGCATGGATAAAATGAACACAAATCAGTATGGTTTTCGCGTGTGGCAGCAAGATGTGGGGGGATGCAAAACTATGCTGCATTATGCAGGTGTGTATATTGTAGACATGTAGCGGCCTACATTTTGCGCTTTAATATATAAAACCAAAGTTATAAGCTTTTGTTTCTTGAAATTTTCAATAAAATGTGACTGTGACTGGTATGCATTGGCAAGGGTGGCAGAAAATAAAAATAAATACAAAAGCAACGTTAATCACGACGAACGACATACCATTATCCGAATACGCACTAAATGTTGGGAAATATTCACTTGCATGCCAATGATAAATAGACCGGAACGTGTATTCCATGTAGACCGTTTGCTAGATATTGTCTCCAATTTATTTATGCACATTTTATTGTTTAACACTTATCGACATTTAAATTACGCATGTGCGTTTGAAAACAGAATATGTTGCCGCGATAAGTAGCTGCATTTTGTGAAAAGTACCAGCAAAACAAATTGAATTGAAATGCATATCAATATCACCATTGTTTTTTAGCCGAGTATGCTAATTTGTAAATACTGGCAATAAAAAGATGTAAGAGTTGGTTTAACAAAAATACATTACAAAATACCAGCTGCTTAATTTATATGCATTGCTATTTTGATATATTAATGTCGTAATGACATAGTTTTGCTGTACTAGCCACGCCTGAGCTTTACTTTGGCGAGCTTACTACCACAACATTCGTATAATTTTTATTTATTTTGTAATTTCAGTCTTACTATGTCATCAAGCAAAGTACCCAGTTATAATTTTTATTATTATTTGCATGTTGTGATTTGCGGGGAGCACAAGTTGTCTAGTCTTAAAAGTATGTTTGGGTTTTGTTATAGTTTTTATTATCAAGGGAATCAAAAGTAGAACTAGAGCTGGTCTGTCTTATATATATGTATCTCGTTGCTTCTGTTGTGCACTTCGCCAGTTGTGCACTCCGTTGGCGAGAACTGGTTCTTCTGCGAGCAAACCCGTATCTTGGCAATCAATGTTGTGGTATTCGTATATGTGCGCATACATGCATATACATTATCAAATGGTGATGGCATATCAGGGTGCAATATTATATCCTCTGATTTGACCCTACATGGTACTTCTATGCCCTGTCAATCGGAATGTTGGTGGAAACTCGTTTCACAACTCCAACCTCGTCACCCACTTCCATATCATCAGTCTGCTCAACACCACCAGTGCAAAACAAAGTGTTTGCAATTTAAAAAGCAAGCTCACTTGATAACAAATTTTGCAGCCTCAAAATTAACGATTCAAATTCAAAATACATTTTTATTATAAATAGGCGTCTCATTTATTCACATGACTACGCAAGCAATAACATTTAAAAGTAGGGTGTTAAGAAAAAACCAACATATCAAATGGAAAATAGTATCACCTAAACCTATACATTTATGCCAGCAGTTATAAGAACACAAAGCCCAAGCAGGGTTTATCTTTAATAAAGACCGTCTATGCATCCTCTTTTTATTTTAAACACGCCATTAATTGTATACTTCTTAACATGAATAGAATCAATGGCAAGCATTTTATTTACAGTTATACCATACTTTTGGCTTGTGTAACCAACGTAAAAGTGTGCCCAGTTTAAATACAGGATGTCATGAATTTGGAAAAGACGGCGATTAAACACATACGCCAGGCCAGAGATAAAATTAACGAGGCCGCATCGCACGCATCATTTTTTGAGGGAGACGCCGCCAACATCATATAGAGCACCCGCAATACAGCACTTCAAAGTTTGGACAAGGCTGAAAGGGTTGTAAATGACGCGTACAACGTGTTTGCGGGTATCAATAATTAGATTCAATATTTAACAATATTTCTAGATTTGCCGTGATTGTTTAATTTATATTATTCAGCTACTTTAACTTGATTTGTCAGTGCAACAGTATCAACAAAAATGCCTGATTTCTGTTTTATTTTCAGCAATTCAAACACATTCAAAAAGAGTTGGTCATGCACATGCGTATGCACATGCACATACGATATTATTGATTTCCACAATAAAGGTTGTTTTGTTTGTTTACATTTTTGCGCAAAAAAACCATGTAAGTGACTCACTAAAAGCTAATATTAACTTATTGCAACAAGTGTTTTTTAATATATATAAACATACTTATTTCTCTATAATATATTTTCCAACTTCATCGTTCAAAAGTATATTTACCTATTTTGGCCAATAAACTATTCCTCAGTTGTTTTCAATCGCATCTTGTCAATAATTAAACACAAAAATGAAGTTTTCGTTTGTTGCCGCTATTCTTGCGTTGCCGCCTCAGCTATTGCTGCCCCTGCTGCTATGCCCGAAGCAAACCCTTCGCACCAGTTGAATGTCCGCGCCAGCATTAAATACAACATTGCTGCCATCAGGCAAGCCATTAGCTACGATAACAGTGCGGCCAGTAGTCTCAAGGTTGCCATTTCCAAGACCAACAAAGCGTACTCAAATCTTAGCTCTTCTTCAGGCTCAGCCATTACTGCTGCCAGAAATGCCCACATAAAAGCCATTCAGGCGCAAAAGGCTGCACTGGCCGCCACTAATGCCGTTGCAATGCACTCAAAAAACTTATTTGATCGAGTGGCAGAAATATCTGATGTTGATAACTTTAATATCCGTTTAATAACAGCAGATTAGCTTGACGCACTTGGCTATCCTTGCAATATTTTTTAATTTGTTAGTGTCAAATAAAAACTTTCTGTGCAACTCCATATTTAATTGGTTTTGAATTTGAACACATTGGTAATCCAGGCATGATCATCACATGTTATAACTATTGCCTTGTGCAAAAAAATAATCTGGGCGATAAACTTTATAATAAATTTTATTTTTTAGAGTTATTTAGAAGTTTTGCTTGGCAATGTGCCAAATGGCAGTGATAACTTGCTGACATTAGCAAAGAAGTATAAAAGAATGTTGCTACGTTTGTTAAAAAATCCTGTAGTTGACTTTAGAGTGTTTTATAAATTTGCGCCAATGACGGGAGTGGTTAAGCCAAAACTAGCTTTAGCGATTAACATATTTTGCTCAATTTAATATTTGGAAGTGGAGACAAACTAAGGCAATACACCTCTGCCCATGCAAAAAAGTAACTAAAACACAATAAAAATTTGAAAAGACATTTACATCTATGCATTTAATTGCAATACATATAATGATTGTCTACATATTTTTTAATATAAATATTTCTAAAACTTCGTAAAAAAGTAAGTATTTAAAAGTCTAAGCCACACTTTATTATGTTTTTAATAAAACAGTTAGCAAGTCAAATTAACCTTGACAAATTCGATTAATCCGCAATGGTCTAGTGGCTAGGATCCGACGCTCTCACCGTCGTGGCCGGGGTTCAATTCCCCGTTGCGGAACATACTTTTTGCCACTATTTCTAAAGCGGCAAGGCTTTTGTTTTTTGGCGCTCTTTCTTTTTTACTCTGCATCTGGTCAATCTCGAGCAAGCAGGTTCGGCAACTTTAAATTTTATGTTTGGTTTTTTTGCTGCTGCACAGCTCACACAAATAAATTTTCATGTGTAATGTCAACTACGCAAAGCACCACAGCAACTCGCTGCGTGTTGAAATTTTGTCAAAAGCTTCTGTGATGTGCAGTATTAGCACTATCAAATACAAAAAGCGGTGAACACTTGTGTGTTATGAAAAGATCAAGAGACCCTTTTTCATTTGAACAAATCGCAAAATGAAAGCGGTTTGGCTGTATTCAAAGCACAGCCATAGCTAATTGTCAAATGCTTGTAAAAAATAAAGGCGCTCAGCACAATCAAGATTTTTATACCAAATAAAAATGTAGAAGCAGCGCGAGCGTCATAATCACAACGCTGCCCCCAAATCATCAGCAAAAAAGAATACCCCAAAAAGTCCGAAAACCCGGATTTGAACCAGGGACCTAGAGATAACAACTTAATACAAGCTAGGCTTGTAACGCAACTACAGTCTCCCGCTCTACCGCTGAGCTATTTTCGGTATTTCTCTGAAATAGGAATATCCAGTCAGTACATATCATTGCAATACATTTTTTGGGGATAGGAATGTCTTGTTTTGGTTATAGTTTTTGATTACGAATATTTTGGCTGGCAAGTAAAGAAACATATTGCACATACAAAAATACGGCTGTGAGCCACATGTTTAAAATTAAGCAAATAATAGCTGGGGGTATCTTGATCTGTTGGTTGTTTGTAGTGTAAAAACGTTATTTTCTAGAAATGGTATCGCTCTGTTTAATATATATTTTATTTGCCTTCAAAAATTGCCAAAACATTTTTTATAAAAAAACTGAGAAAACACTGATATTTGGCACTAAAAATATTTGAGCGTTTTTTGTGCTCTCGCTCATCGACAATAATTATTTGCTGCAGCGTTTGTATTTTCTTTGCAGCCGTGTTGATTATTCAAAAAAAACAGCGCGGCTTTGGAGCATTTAGCGCCAGAAACCAGTGCCGCACCCGCCGCACCCGCCCCAGCCACCGCAACCGCCGCATCCACCAACACTACCCCAGCCACCAACGCCGACGCCAACCCAACGCCAGGACCAACACCGCCCCAGCCGCCCCAGCCGCCCCAGCCACCAATTCCGCCACATCCACCACATCCACCGCCACAAGCGCTGCGCTTAACAAGCGCATCATTAGCATTGTTAGGCGCCGATGCATGCGGAAGAGGGTTGGCATTGGCCGGCCGGGCCAGTGAGATAGCGGCCAGCACGGCAACAAAAGCGATCAAAAAGAGTAGTGAAGGTGGTCATTTTTCGATGTAGTGGGTTTTGTAAATATGTAATGAATTGTAATTCAATGTGTGTGCAGATAATATTAAAGTGTTTTTAAGTGCAAATGTAAACGCCTTTTATACTTTAATTTTTGCTAAAAAAAGGTTGTGTAAAAATGGCCCAGTTTTTATTTTATATTTCTAAAGATAAATCATACGATTCAAATCACTGAATAGTAAAGAAATATTTTATTTGTTATACAACCAATAATCAATAAACTACCATTAAAACTTTTTTGGATTTCTTTCGAGTTGAATTACTTGCAGAGTTTGTCAGATATCTGTCTGATTACATACCAATTCAATAAACAATTAAAATTCACTATACATGCAAAAATACAACTTTGCGGGTTTGAAACTTTTAGTTATGAAAAGCAGCGAAATCTCGGAAGATGGCAAAAAAGTACAGAAGTCAAAATGACAAAAGTAATTGCTCACTACAGGGGTCGAACCTGTGACCTACGCGTTATTAGCACGTCGCTCTAACCGACTGAGCTAAGCGAGCTGAAACGGCTTTTAACCGCTTAATTCGCTTGTTCTGAACATTGGAATTTATCAAAATATATGACCAGCAGCTTAACAAGCTGCTGAAGTTATGCTTGTCAAGATCTGCAGGGTTTTAAAAAACATAATTTTATCACTTTACTCACCCGTCTTGTTAAATTAACAATGTGCACGGTACTATATTGTGCAGCCACCAAAACTTGCACAACTGGGACCACCAACATTATTTTGCAGACTAAACTATATTTACGTGTTCTCTTGCAATTTAAATGCATCAGCAGACTTCTTGATCAACATTCTTTTGGCACAACAGAACATAGCGTGGGAAAAACAAAAGTTTGTGCTCTCGATGAACAAAAATTAATTTACTCAAAACACCCTTTTGTTTTTAGTTCTCGACCCACATTTTCAGGTTTATTATACCAGTTAACAACACAAAGTACAATGCTTTTTTCTCTTCTCTCTCGCCGCGCAGTACACTCGTCCTTGCCTCTCTGGCCAGCCCTCAGTACATGTGCGCAAACTTTATCCGGCATGTTTCCACCGAGGCCTCAAGCGGAGAGGTAGTGTTGATACGTCACTCCGGAAAGGATGCGGGCATTCTGACTCTTTCTCTCAGCCGTCCCAAGGCCAAAAACGCGCTTTCCCGTAGTCTGGTCAGGGACTTCCGCCGCGCTCTGGATGAGGTCCGCAACGACAAAGGCACGCGTGTTGTAATTCTGCGGAGCACAGTTCCCGGCGTCTTTTGCGCCGGCGCCGACCTCAAGGAGAGGGCGACCATGTCGCCAACCGAGGTCGAGCAGTTTCTTTACAGCATGAAGACAGCGTTTAAAGAGCTCGAGGCGCTTCCCCAGCCAACGATTGCAGCGCTGGATGGGGCGGCGCTGGGCGGAGGGCTCGAGCTCTCCCTGTGCTGCGATCTGCGTGTAGCCGGCCCGCGGGCAATCTTGGGACTTCCGGAGACGTCGCTGGCCATTATCCCTGGCGCTGGCGGCACGTTGCGGCTGACCAAGCTTATCGGGGCGTCGCAGACCAAGGCTTTGGTGTTTACAGCCCGCCGGCTTGGGCCTTACCCTGCGTTCTCAATGGGCATCATCAACGATGTGGTCGAGGCAGCCGAGTGTATGGACGAGAAAAGCACAGGCGACCAAGATCTCGGCTACGAGCGTGCGCTCGAGTGGGCCCGCGAGATTATTCCTAATGGACCGGTTGCTGTGCGCATGGCTAAGCGTGCCATTAACCACGCCGCCTCGGCGGACCCAGCATCTGGACTCGAGATTGAGCAGCTGTGCTACGCCCAGGTTATACCCACCGAAGACCGGCTGGAGGGCCTGCGTGCTTTCAAGGAAAAGCGTAAGCCCGTGTACAAGGGTGCTAAAAATGGACTTAAAGCGCTCACGTGAAACACCCCCATGAGTCAAAATTATGCACATTGCTGGGCATGCCCAGGTCGCTCCGCGCAGCTGCTGCGCCCATCCACTCTTCCATTATTTCAGTGCATGTTACCTTTCTCTTGTTTTGCTTCCCCCTTTCATCGCTTTTTATTATTTCATTCGAATTTCATACTTTTCTTGTTTTTATTTTTACTCTACACACCGAATGGAAATGTCCGCGGTCAATGACGGCTGCCACAACCAAGACATGGCCAACATGGCGCTGGCGGTTAGCGAGGCCATGGGCGTGCTGAATCAAGAGCAGTCACATGGGTTTGGCTTTGAGGCCGACCGCGACGGCACAAACACCGGCGACGACGATGTCTGTAGCGACCAATGCGAAGAGGTTTATTTGGACGACAATGATGATGATGACCTGGGCATAACACGGGAGATCATGGGCTCAGACGACGGGGAGGAACTCACAGCCTCCCGCGCCGACTTTGATAGCTGGATGCAGAACCATGCCACGTTGGAGGCCGATATGGCCAGTACGAGTACAGAGCAGGGCGCCGAAACGAACATCTACAATGACACCTACGACGACATATATGATGATGACGATGACGATGACGAGGGGTACGAAGAAAGTGGCGAAGAGTTGCGATTCCCTCACAGCGCGTGGGCCAACGCTCGGAATAGTGTGGATACGAATGGCGATGGCTCACAATTGCAGCGCATGGCTGGCAGCTCCACCATAGACGACACTCCGATAAGCATAGGTTCATCCGACAACGAGGATGAGCTGGAGGACTATGAAGACGAAGTCGGCGAGTACGATGATAATTACGAGGTTTACGAAGGAGAGGAGGTGTACAGTGAGGATGCTGGTGGCGACGAAACGATGAAGCGGGGGAGGACGGATCTTCGCGGGAGCAGCTATACAGCAGCACATTTACCGACAGTTCGGTGCCAGCAAACGCGCAATTCAGTGTCCAAGTCTGCGAGCAGTTTGTCGGCGCGCTGGGGCCTCTGGATATTATTGAAGCACCATATTTCCAACACCAGCTTTCCCACCAAGCTGACATTGCCGACGAACCTGGCACGTTGTCAGAGACCGAGGCGGCTTCCATTGCCAGTGCGATGCTTTTCCTGACAGAGCCAACCACTGAACCTAGTCCACAGCCCGTGGTGGCCTACGAGCGTCCCCCACTGCCGCCAACTCGTAATGCTCCGTTGCTGGCTGACATGAATAGTGCCATTAACCAGAGCATCGACCGATCGCTGGATATGGTTGCCGAAATATCAGAGGGCTGCGACCAGACACATGCAACACAGGTGGACTTATATCACAGCTTTGGCGACGCTGAAGAGACAGAGTTGAAATTGCTTGCCGAAAGGGACTCACTGCTTAGCCGCATCCAAACGCTCGAGAAGGACGCCGGGACGCAGACACAATCGATTGAAGATGCCCAGCGGGGCGCTCAACAGCAAAAGCAGGCGCATGCGGCTGAGGTATTCGAGTTGAGGGAGAGGCTGAGGAGTGTGGCTGCAACAACTTCAAAGCTCGCTGACGATCTGCAGACTACAAGTGCTTCACTGAGCGAAACCATGGAGGTACTGGACATTGTCAGCTGCGAGAGGACAGATCTGGTTGCTAAGTGTCGCTTGCTCGAGGCAGACATTGAATCCGTTTCCAGCCAGCTGGCGCGCGAACAGCAGCTGCACAGTGAATCCCAGAAGAGCTGCAGCTTGCTTGCGATGGCAATTCCAGCGATGCGCGTCGGCTAGAGCTTGAATCATTGGCACGCAACTGAATCAAAGTTGCACGGAGCTTGGTAAACAGCTGACGCTGGCCCATAACAAGGAGCGGTTGCTGCTCGATACCAATCGCGCGTTGGAGGCCCGCTTGGGGGACGCTCTTCGCAAGGCCAAGGCGCCTGTGACAACAAAGGATGCGCTGGCCGATCACCGGCGTGCGTGGGATGTGCAGCTCAGCGAGGCCAGATCAGAGGCAAACTTTTCTCGCGAAAAGCTGACCCGTGTCGAGGCTGACTTGCAAGGAGAGCGGCGCGTTAACGCCCAGCTGAGGAAACGCCTGCAGGGGGCAGAGACAGCGCTGGATGCACTTGAGCAGCTAGAGAGGAAGCGCAAACTGGATGCCGAGGCTGATGAGCGCCGCCAGTCTGTCGATAGCAAGAGGGCTAAGCTGGCGGCAATCCGCAACGCTGTCACGCCCACTCGCCCTGGATCAGCAGGGGAAAACATGCAGACCCTTCATACAAGACAGGGCCAATTCGGCCAGACTAACGAGGCCGTGGCTAATCCTGAGGAGTTTGCGCGCGATCGGCGGCGCCGCACTGGCTCGCTGCTAGGATCGTTTCCAGCTACACCACGCGCAGTGGCTGATCTCAGCCGTTTGTCCTTTGGCCATCACTTGTCATCACCGCCCGCCGGCAAGCCAGTGACGCCGCGAATTAACCTGCACGGCCCCCAGCCTGCCAGCCCCAGATGGATATCACCAATTAGGAAGCCGGCAGAATAGTCACCTAATTGGTTTACATCTTTTTTGTTGAAACGATATAAACAGCCAATTGTATTTACTCATTTCTAAAAGCAAGCTGTGCAAAGTTACTGTCCGTCATTCGGCACCACTCTCTGCGGAAAATTCTTCATCCTCATCCTCATCTTCATCTTCATCTTCGTCAGAGGGCTGCTCGATAAAGACCATAGATATTTCCTGCCGATCGCTCTGGGCCATGTGGTTCAAATATTGACGAAGCGCAGCGTGCCTTCATCGCGCAGAACTAGCGAGAGCGAGTTAGATTCGGGACTGATGCGCAGCAGCTCATCCTTGTCCGCAATATAGTGGGTCGCGCCTCCCCAAGACTCTTCCCAGGCCAACTCCTGATCATCATCCGCAAGCTTAGGTTTTTGCAAGGATATCGTAGCGTCGAGCCCAGCCGGCTCCAATGCCTGGTCGTGAATCAATGTGTAATGGCCGCGCTCAAACTTGCGCACTTGCTGCGATGCGCTGATGAGGTCCAGCGATGTAAGGGCTGCGAGAAGACGAGCAAAGCTCGTGGATCTCAAAAACAATGCTAGTCCAGCCACAGTAGGCGAAGCAGATGGTGTTGCTTCAAGATACCTACGCAAATGTGCTGGGCCTTGTAGCGTCGCTTTGGCCCAGAAAGAGTCGTCCATGTCGCTCAGCACAGCGCTGAAAACCTCCGCACGCAAGAAATGGCGGAGCTCAACGCTGCTTTGTTCCAAGAATGTGTCTTGGATTCGGCTTTGCACTGCTGATTTTAGATAATCTGGGCTGATCCATTTGGCCCACTCTGTCTGGTCATTTTCAGCGGCAATTTGATCGTCTAGCGGCAGCATTTGTGGGAGAGCCGAGGACGAGAGTCTGGGAAGGTTCTCCTCACATGCCGATGTGTCCGAGGTGATCGGTCCGTAAAACCAGCCGGTTACTGACCACCTCTCGCGTGCCGGGTCCCGCACTGTGACCTCTTCTACCGTGTGGTAAGACACCATTCCAGTGAGAAAAAATCCGATCGAGTTGAACTCTGGCACAATATGCGAGACAACCTCTGTTGGATACCTGTCATCATCGCTCCCAAACAGGCCAGTGCGCCGCCATCCTCTGCGGACCAATCCTCGTCAACCAAGTAGATGATATATGCAATCCGGCGCGTCAGCTTTCCCCGGTGGACGTCATCATCGTGGCACAGCAAATGGTTTCCCTTCTTGTACCGCTGCGCTGCAATATCAAGGTATCCGCGGGCGAGTTGTGTGCCAGTGATCTTCTCCATGAACCCGACAAACTCTTCGCCCGAAAGGTAGTCCCTCAATGCCTTGATGTGCTGCTTTCCGTTCAGCGCCAGATCGTCGGTCTGGTGGAACCAATAGAGATCGTTCAGCCGCTCGTGCCAGTTGAGCTCTATCAGCTCGCCCTTGAGTCCGTGAAGGAATTCCTTGGGGAATGTGTTGCGCAGCTTGCCCGTGTGGAATGGGGTGGGTACTATAGGCCCTCGCCGTCGCCCACCGGTTGCTTAATAGAGAATGTCTTGTCTTTAAGTGTTTTGCTGGTGAATGCTTCGCGATAAGAATCGGTGAACTCGTCGCTGAAATACCAAGGTTCACGTCAAGTGCCTCGACTGAGGCTGTGGATTTCCCCTTGGCTGTGGTGCTTGCGATATCTGCGGTGCGAGCGCGCTTTTCGACAGATGTGAAATCATGAGCTGCCGTCTTCCAACTGGCTTTGTCTGGTCATTTCAGGCATTTTTGCGCGCGCGTGTGTGTGTAAGCAATAAATATATTTAATGAAATTCAAAAAACAATCAAGCCAGGGGCGGAGAAAAGAAATGCATAACCCGATAGAATTTCAAAAAAAGGGTTTTGGAATGGCCTAAAATAATACAAAAATCAAATCAAATCAAGCGATCACAAGCAACACCGTTTTATGGAAGCATCAGAAAATGGGAGTGCAACGCGCATGTTCGCTAAAGGAGCGAAAAGAGCAATTTCTCTCCCAAATTCAAATTACATATTTTCAATAACCGCATTAATATTATTTTTATTTTATTTTCTGACCGAATTTGCTGGCTGTGGATTTCTGAACCACTTTACTTTCAAACAAAATGTATTTATTGGACAGCCAAATTAGAAGGGCTTACCCCCTTTACGCAGTCTCAACACACGGCACCTGGCACCAACAGTGAATGGGCCGCTCATCGTCCGTAGACTGAAAGTCTGCTAATTGAAATTTTCAACATATGCAATATCCATTTTTATGCTGCTTTGTAGAGTTGACCGGCACGTCGAAACCAAATAACAGTTTACGAGTTTTGTTTCTCCTTTTGAATCGCGCATACACACAGGACACACCACAGTTTAAGGAGCAACAGCCACACGCGATACGAGTGGGGAGTGCCAGTTGTCCTTTCTTTCTTTTTGAGTCTCACTCTAACACTTTGTCAATGTGGTCGACTTTTCAGCGGGTGCCTTCACAAAAAGTTCATTCCTCCGAAAGTACTGGGCGCACACAGGTTCCTGGAACACCCATGTTAGACAGGCAGCAGAGTGTCGATTCGCCAGGAACTGGGCTGGACAGAACCGACTCTCAGCGCACCATGGTCGGCAGCAATGGATCCCAGTACCGCAACCGCCAGCAGTCACAGCAGGATTTGCCCAGTGGGCTCAACTCGAGCCAAAGCTTTGGCAGCGGTGGCGATGGCGGCCCTTACAGAGGAAACCATGCGTTTGGAGGCCGTCCTCATGGGTATTCAGCTCAGAACGGCAGTGGCGGGGTGGACGCGGCGGAGATGGAAATGGAAGCGGTGCAGTTGTTGATTCCGATGCCGATACATCCTCCGAGGTTGAGGATATCCCCACTATCAGTGCGCGCATGGTACCGATGAGTGTGGTAGTTGGGCGCTTGATAACATTTGCATACACAGAGCTGGTCACGCTGGTGGACACCATGCCCAGCCGGGCCGAGGGAGACCGTCTCAACGAGATTCTCAAATACACTGAGCACATGACAGATTTACTGACCAAGCTGCTGGTGCTGGTCCGCTGGGCGAAGAACGCGCCGCAAATCCAAAAATGCCAAAACGTCATCGCCTATCTGGACTTGCAGAACAGATACTTTGATTACTCGGTGACAGCATCTACGCGACATATTTGGCAATGCCCAACGTGCGCATGCGGAACTACGACGTGAGCAACGCTGTCGATATCCTGACCACGGGCACCTACCAGCGTTTGCCGGCAGCCATCAAGCGGGCGGTCCCTCCGCCAAAGCTTACAAAGCAGAAGATCAGCGACACATTGAACGCGATTGAAATATCATCCGGGGGCGCATTTTGAGAGGGAGCCCATCCCCTTGGCCATGCGCCAGTACCGGATTGCCAATGGCCGCATCGTCTTCACGGTGCACAAGGAGTTTGAAGCGACGCTGACACTGCTGCAGTTTGACCACAACATCCCTTGGCATGTGGTTAACGTGCGGGTCCTCGTGACTGGCGACAAGTCGCTCCCAGATGAGCACCAGATTGTAGTCAACGCACGGAAAATAGTGGACCTGGCGCAGCACCTGCTCATAGAGTCGAATCCGGTGCCGGTTGATACCTCACCGGAGCAGCAGCAAAAACACACGGCCTGCCTGTCTGCACGGCCGCCGCAGCTGGCCCAGCTCTACGATTTTTTGCATAGACAGTGCCTGGTCGTGCTGCTGGAGACCATTGTCAAGCAGGCTGCGGTCCTTCGGCGCACGCGTTGGGAAAACCTGCTGCAAGTCGAAATGGGCCCGGACCGCTCAGTGCTCACGCTGCGGTACTGGACATCGCCCAGGGCCGCGTCCTCACTCTATCCTAGCACTGCTGCCAGTAGGGACGGTGGCAGCACTACTGGTGCGTGGGTACTTTGCAAGAGAAGGGAAGCACAGCTCAAGCAGGTGCAGTGCTGCGGGGAAACTCCATTGTCTTCCGGCTGTGCTCGCTTCCCATCCCGCGGCCGATACACGCCTCAGCGCTGGACGGCCCCGATGCACTTGAGGCCTCGCCCGCAGACAGTGACGCGACGTAAAGCGCAGCGAGTTCTTGCGCATCGAGCACGATCGGCGCAACCTTATCCCCAAGATCGGGCTCAGTGTGACATGGTCGGCAAACTCGGGCCTGGGGACACCAAGGGTGTGGACACGCACAGTTTCTCAGGCCAGCGAGCTGGTGACAAGCCCCTCGACGGAAGACAATGAGTTGCTTATGGAGGATTTTGATATGGTTCTCGACCCAGAAGCTGTCAACACAGAAAAATTGCTTCGACAGGTGACGTGGAGGCACGCGCGGACTATTCTAAAGGCGTTACACGCTTCGGTCGTGGAGTCTGGTCTATTCAGCGACAACGCCGTTGAGTTGATGTACGTGCTGGCATCGGGCGCAACGAAGGGCGAGAGCGAGCTGACGCGGGAGGAGATTAGCTTGGGCACTGTTACACCCAGACTTCGCGCGTGGTACCGCCAGGACGAAGGCGCAGTGGATATTTTTGTGGACACATACACCGGCCGGTTGGTCGTGCGCGCGTCCGAGGCTATTGCCGCTAACACCTCGCTAAGCGAGGCTATGGTCAGCCAGCTCGCAGATCAGCTGAATCGCGGGCCTTGGCGCCTGGCCGAGCTTTTGGTCGACATGCGCTCAAGTTTGGCGCTGGTGGATCTGGACAGCCTTGCGTTCCGCTCGCTAGGACTGCGCCCACAGAGCACCCAAGGATCAAAGGCACCGGGCTGCCCGGGTTTGTACTTTCAGGGATCTACAGGCGAATGGAGTTGGCAGGCGCTTCGCACACGCATGCGCACCACTCTGTCGCTCCCGGTGGCAGCGTTGCTGGGTCAAGGCCGAATCCAGGCGCTCAAGGCGCGGTACCGCACGCTGGAGGCATGTCCCACCATGCAGGTGTGGTGTCGCCGGGCATGCAGTCAGTGGCATCGGGTTCGGCGTCTGGAGTGGGGGGCCAGGCTTCTACCAGCCGTCGGTTATGGCATCCAACTTCCCTCTCCGCATATCGCAACAAGAGGCAGACGCGCTTGTTCGCGATGTAGCCGGCGTCGACAACCCGCTGAGCCGGATCCGATTCTACAAAATTGAGGGCACAGAGGGCGTCGAGGAGCAGCTGGACAGCATTGTACCCAATTCGGCGGCAATAGGGGCCGGTAAGGGTGAGTGGTACATAATGGTCGCCATGACCGACCGCCTGCGCTTCCGCTTGGTGCTGCTCAACCCGCACCCAATCGACCAGCTGATGTTTGTCATCGGCCAGATCATCTCGCTACAGGTTGACCGCCTATTCTCGTCGGTCGCGCGCAGGCTGATGGCAGAGAAGCAGCTGGACAGCACCATCTTTTCACACCCGAAGGCGGGTGCGCCCGGGACCAAGCGCAGCTATGAGACCAGCTCGCAAGGCGACTTGGATTTGGAGTCGAAGGCGGAAGCTGCCAAGGGGGAGAGCAGCAGCGAGCGCAAAATTACCGAAAAGGTGGACGCCATGCTGACAGGCCGCACGAGCATCAAGCTGGACTACCTCAACGCGTTGGCATCCACATGCCGCGCGCGCCTCGCACTGCGGCTCTTGCAAACGCAGCTCACGCGGTGGAAAATACCATACAGCTTCCGTTGCCCTCGTTCTCGACATCGCCGCACGGACACCGCGCTGCCGTGTCCAAGGAGCTGTCCGTTGTGGGGTTGGACAGGATGGGCCTGTACGAGCTTGACGAGCAGGTTCCGACGCTGTACATCCCTGTAGTCGCGCTGATGCGCGCATCACCCATAACTGGGGCGTCGCCAGCCTGGGCGTGCTTCCCGACGAGTCGCGACGCATGGTGTCCATCCGCATTGCGTCAGACGAGCTTGACCCGTCGATGCGCGCTGATCTGTCGCCGTCCACACGCGTCGACCAGCACCGCCAGGCGCGCTCGCGAAGAGTGCCGGGAAGAGTCCCCCATTTGCTGAGCGCTCGCGCGCGGCGTACGCGACCATGTCAAACTCTATTGCGTCGAATGGCATTGGCAGCAGCGGCATCAATATCGGTGGCGGATCGGGCGCAGGTCGCAGCACGTCTGCAACACACAGCGGGACAAGGCAGTCGTTGATCGGCCGGCATGTGGTCCCCTGTCAGGTCATTGCCTCGATCCCAGTGGCACTTGACGGCCTGCCAACCCCCGTGGCTCAAGCGTATGCGGACGCGGTTTACTTTGGCGCTCACGCTGCTGCTGACGGGGGGTACCATCGAGAAAACAGCGAAGGGCGCGCATCCGAACTGCCGCCGAAGGAAAGAGCAAGGGTGGGTACTGTAAGATGGTGCTTGTCTACAAGCAGGTCAGCCGCGCGCTTCAATGCCTGATTCGTGATTGGTCTGAGCACCATCTTATGACACACATTGGACGGCACATGTACTCGTGGGAGCAGCAGTCGCTACGGCGTATGTTGGTGTCGACAACCGCATTTTACCCGTTTAACGCCGGCCCATACACCGGTGCTGTGGCCAATATCCTGGGATCGTGGCGCGGCCACCAGTCGACGGAGATAATCATCCGTTGCATGGGGACATATTACCTGTCGATATCATGCCGGGTGCCGTATCCGTTTGCCAACGAGGACACAGACAAGTCGATGTATCCGCCCAACTACGAGGACTCTGGGGGAAGCGACTTGTCGTTCCACCTGACATTGGCCGATGTTGATGTAAAGGCCAACCAGATTCGCCGCATCGCGTCCACTTGGCCCTGGGTCTTTGCGCACAACAGCCGGTCCAACCAAGATACCGCCGAGCGCCCGTGCAGCGAGAGCAGTATATCATCAAAAGACACCGAGGGAGACCAGTGCAAGAAGGCGCGACGCGTAGGCTTTGAAGTGTCCACCAGCTTGTCGCGCTGGCTGCGCACGCTGCAGGCGCGCCTCAACATGACCGGCGACCCAATGTCGGTGCTATCGGTGATAATGCAGCTGATGCCGGTGAACAACATCCTGGCCGCAATCTCGCCTCAGGACAACATTCAGTCGCTGCCGTCCTCGGCGCCCCAGTGCTCGCGCGAGTCCCTGCTTCGCCTCCACTTCAAGGACCTAGTCAGCGGCGATAATGATGATGGCGAAGTAGAGCCCAAGCCCCAGCCACAGCCCGAGGACTCGTCTCACTTGTTGTTTGACAAACTGGTCTCGTTGGGGCAGAACCTCGGCCCAGTCTTTGACTCGGTCAAGGGCCTCAACGTCGCGTACATGTACACTGCATCGGACAATGTCCGCCTGGTGTTCAACTCACGATACGTTGTCGATATGCGACTAGTCTCCAGCGATCTGTTCCATATCAGTGACGCGGTCGGTGCCGCACGCTCGTTTAACAAGCAGTCGCACCCGGCCTACGCTCGCGCTTCAGCCATGGCGCCAAAGCCCCTAGTCACAGCGACTACAGAACCGATCCCGCTGTTTAGTGACTGGCTCGAGGCAATGTCGCGCGGAATGAAGTTTGACTGGGCTAAGCTAGAGAAGGGCATGTCGGCTATATTGCGCCAGGATACGACCAACGCCGATACGGCGTCTGGGGATGTCGCGCAGGAGCCGATAAGTGCGCAGGAGAGGCTGTGGCGTTCCAGCGCAATATGTTCCGGCTGCGGCCCGATGCCTCGAAGAGCGAGCAGATGCTGTTCAGGCTTCGCGAGCTCCACAACAAGCAGAACTCGGCCAAGTTTCCGATCTTGGTGCCGCTTGCGCCCTCAGCCATGCTGTGCTCGCACCTTCACCTTGTGGCTGTCATCCGGTCGCTGATGCAGTGGCTTGTGCAGTCCGTACACCTGCGCGACCAGATAGAATCGGCCATCTCGCGCACACAGGACATTATCGAGCAAAAAACATCGCTAGTGGCGCCCAAGGATATGCTGGATGCTCTCGACCCGCATGGTTGGTGTCACAGCCGAAGGAATCACTGTTCAGTGTCAAGGAGAGGCTGGTCGTCAACGACGATATGGACGGCAGGGCGGACCGGTCAGACTCTTCCAGTGGCGGCAGCGATAACAGACAGGTCATGATCGTCGGCTTTACGGGCGCCCGTGAGTCTGTGCGCTGCGAGTTTTTGATGCGTGCAGGTGTAGCCAGCACAGATCCCGATTCTGACGGCCCGGCTGCCAGCTCGACAGCATGGATGTCGAGGTACAGAAGGTCGCGGCAGCCATTGCCAGCATCGATGACGGCGACGAGGACATAATGTCGGTCGTGAGCGACCTGTACATGATCCCGACTAACTTGATGCAAGTCGACCTCGATGTTCGCATTGTGCCAATGAACCGCCCGCCGAACGGCATCACTGATGCGGCTGCAGCGTATCTGGTCAGTGCATTCAAGGCGCAGACCTCGAGCAACCGCCACCGTGCTGGCGTGCTTGTGCGTATCCTGGCTCTGCCGCCGCAGCTGGTCATGGACACCGTGGATATTGCCAAGAAGCTCGAGGGCAAGGTTAAGATCTGTGCTCTGCAAGATGGCCTCGAGCATGACATTCGCCTGGATGCCAATCAATCCAAGGTCATGTTCTCTATGCGCTTCTTGGACAGATCGGCCAGTGGCAGCGTCTGTTCATTCAGTATGCCTTGCTCACTGGCACGGCGCAAGTTGTGTGGGCCATTGATCCGAGCATTATCAGCGAGGCCAAGTTGGGTGGCAGTGTGTTTTTTATGAAACGACCGGAAGCCATGATCAATGTGTGGAACAAGTTGGTGGACAACGTCGTTGCCAAGCTGGACAGCGAGACGGTGTTTACGCGCGACATGGGCAAGTCGGGCAAGTCGCGGTGGTACGACATTGTCGCCGCGCTCTACGAGGCGCAGCATTCTTCGCTGTCAGACTCCAACACGACCTAGACCTGGGGGTTTATTATCTTGAGCATAAAATTTTGATTATAAAATTTTTATATTATTTTTATTGTTTGAACTAGCAAAAAAACTAGTGCCGTGTTGTCAACTCGCAACAAACAAAAAAGGTTAAAAAAGTGGTGTGTTGGTGTCGCTTCCATGGTAGTGACGCAACTGTCAATGCAACATAGTTACTACAGCCCGTCTAGGAATATGAATGCGCAATAGCAGCGAGTTTGAAGCCATTTTCAATATGGATTACGCTGCCCTTTCGAACAACGCGCGCCATGCACTCGCGCCTATCAATTTGGGACGCGTTGGTATGCGAACTATACACCATAGAAAGGGTGCTTCGCGTAGCCCAAGACGACAGGCGCATTGCTAGCCAGGATGTTAATGCCACGCCGCCAGTCCTTGCAGTTAATGCTGGAAAGAGTCGTCAAGCATCATCAAGCCGAAGCCCGTTGTACCTTGACGCCTACAATTTCTAGCCCACAAGAGCAGCTAAGCGCAACCATCCCGGCCGGCGCGCACTGTCGCACGTCCGGAGGGTGCCAGTGTAAAAACTTACGCTGGACAAGAGGCTTGTTAATATTTCAAACAAGCACTCGGAGAGAAGAGTCGAACCAGCAAGCGCTCGCGCGCGAGCTTGGGCTCTAGTCCTCTTGTAGGAGCTGCCAGGGTACATAGCAAACAAGCTAAAGTACCGGCATCTAAGTATACCGTCGTCTGAAGCGTACAAAATCAAAAACTTTTTGTTGGGCCAAAATTTTTTAATCTGACGTAATTTTTTGCATGTGCGTCCTGATTATGATTTTCTGATTGTAATTTAATTTCAAATCCGTGCGCCACACGTCTTTTGCAAATCTCAGCGGCAATGAACAACATCCCGAAAGATGAGCGTTTATGACAGTACAAGCTGTTTGGTGACACTGATTAAAGTGTTGTTTTTGTTTACATGATTTTTTGTTGTCAAGCTGTATTTATTATTGTTTCCAGCTTGAAAACAAAACAAAAACAAACTTTCAATTTTTGTATTTGTATTACACACCTGCTACGTCGGCAAATGTTAGGTGACATGTTTGTGAAAGGATATTTGCGTTTGCAGAAATAGGGTCGTTGGTTATCGGATGAGCACCAGGTTGGGTGGACTAGTCGATATGATGTGTTTTCCTTGATAGTGTGTTGCGGGCGATATGCTTCTCCGCTGGCACTTCAAGTGGAGCATGGCGTTCCAAGCAGGAGACGGATACAGACGTGTGTGAGCGTGTGCGTCCATTACATTGATTGTGCGGCAAATGAATCTACCCCATCTTCGACTGTGATCCGAGGAGAGCCCAACCCGCTCACTTTCGGATATATTTTGGGACCATAGGGTTGAAACACGATTCACATGTAAGTTTTTTGTTTGCCTGTTGGAGGAGACAATGGCTGGCCAATTTGTAATAGCACGCCCGTTTCTCACAATTCACATGCGTGTGTTGGCAGAGAGAGCTTTCTGGTACAATAAATTAAAAAGTGATAAAAAAGGAACTTTGTCTGCGGAAAAGACAGCAGGCAGATCATCACAGGGATTGCTGTTCTGCCTGCTTGCGTGCGCGCGCATGTCGCCTTCAGTCGATTGATGTATAGAGAGCGATAGGCAAGGGACAAGGCATGGATGCATCACGTTTGGCAGTGCGCGAAGAGGATCATCTGCCTGCTTCAAATTATGTGACAAAGACAAGCCCAACAGAAACTAGGCGACCAGCGCTGTGCACAGACGTCCGCCATAGGGGTTTCGGCAAAAAAAATCTACCCAGAAGACAGCGTAAATCCATAAAGTGCTCGCTGGCCAGCTTGGCTGGTGGGGTAAGCAAAAAAAGGCTGGGGAAACTGCGGTGTCGAAAAGCCAATAACACTCTAGGAACAAATGGAATATGCCTACATATTTTTTTACGCACTCGTTAGCGTGAAAATTTTCTTGCGTGTTCACTGAAAAAAGCAAAAAAAGGCGAATTTTCAGCACTCACTTGTAAAACTTGGCATATTATTTCTGCAAGCGTGCAAAATATTTGCAGTCGATTTCTAAAAAAGCCTATCGCTATCAGCTTCGCTGCAGACCAACCAGAATGCAGAAGAGCAGGGCAGCCGAACCAAATAATACTGTATGTTTTGCCTGATGCAGCGAGCGAGGTGAAAATAAAGCAACCGAGCCACAATAAAAATAACTTTTTTTCTTATTCCTTGGGCTTTTCTGCAACCCTCATCCATTCGCTCTGCCGCTTTGGTCGCCTGTTCTATTCACAGTACTGCGTAATTTTTATTCTGTGGCATGTATTATATTTCTCGTCGGCTTTTCAAGCGGGACGAAAAATTTAATGAGGCACAATTTTCTCTTACTGTGAAGCTACTGTGAGAAAGAGAGAAAGAAAGAAACAGAAGAAATTTTGTATGACCAAATGTTTGCATTTGGCACATTGTCTATTTTTTCGTACATACTTTTTTCGTCCCTGTTTTCTCTAGACCGTATATAAGCTCATGGTCTCCCTCCCTACTTCTCTCCAACTTTTTTATTTCCTATTAAACAACTCCCCACTCCATATATATTGCTTTGTTGAAAACCTTGAATATAACTGTTTCTTTTCGACTTTGCTTGTTGCGAGCTTATATTGCATTATTCTTTTGTCTTTATTTGTGACATTTCACGACTAGCACTCAAGATCTCACATCTCGCATTTTTTTTGCCCAAACACCCAACCTCCCGCGCGCCGACTTTGCTCATTCTCTCGCTGCCCTTTTAAGACCACTCGTATATTTTCTTTCTCTCCTTTTTTCTTGTCTTGTATTGTCGTATTCGAGCAAAAAAGAAACTGTCTGCATTCTTTTATATTATTTCCAGTAAACACAATTTCCATTCCTCCCAACGCTTTCAGCTACAAGCCACTCTATTACCACCACCTGCAATCATGACCTCGATAAAGCCAGCCGTCATCTCAAAGAGATCGACATCGTCGCCCACACGCCCCCTGCTGTTTAGCCGGTTAGAGGTGCAGTACACGGATCCTGATCTCAAGCGCGAGGCACTCAGCGAGCTCTTTGACCACTGCATGTCGCCAATCTGCAGCACCACGCCGTCACTGACCACATCGCGCTACACGTCCAGTACGGGGCTAGAGGGCGCCAACGACGGGCTTCGCGCGCGTCCTATGTCGGCAGCACCCCTGTTTGATCTGGATCTCTCGAACCGCATTCTACCCAACGCTCCGGTGTCGATAAACTCGGGGCTAATTTCTCCAGTTACTTCGTACAGCGACGAGGGAGCACTGTTTTGCAACGGCAGCAGCAGCATCAGCGCCGGCAGCACGAGCGCACAGAAAGCCAAGTAGAGCACTTTGGCCAGTACACAGAGGACGACGGTGAAGAATACGATGAGGATGAATATGGTATGTATGAGTGTGTCGGTAGCTTCAAGCAGTCGGCAGAGCTCGGCACATTTGCAGACTTGCGGCGGAAGCTGTACGGCAGTGACCTGCATGCTTCGGCGCACACACCTATGAACTGAACTGAGGCGAGATCTGGTTTTCTCCTTGGAAGCGGCCGCTAGCACACATTTGTGGAAACCACCATTTGCGTGTGTTTATATTATCACCAACCCCATTTCGGATAACACATGGAGTATATCGAGCTATGCGAGAGCTGCGTGCCTTGCATTGTGGCGGTTGCGCTCCTTCATGCAATTATGTGTTCTTTTTTGCATTTAATCATCCGTCAGCCAACCAGCCTAAGCGTGAAGGGTGCTTGTTCAAAGCCACAGTTGCTGTTGCTGTTGCTGATATTGTTATTTTTAGTAAGGCCATTTAACTCACCACCCCTACTCTTCAGTTTTGCAGTCTTTACATAGTCTTTTTTGTTATTTGTTGCATTGAATCAACAATGTATATAATATTTTCATATTTTGTCTGTCATTATTAATGATTTATTGCAGATGAGATCTTGGTCTGATAAGCTCATCAGTTCATAAAATGATAATTGTCCGCGGATATTTAATCACTTTTTTTGTTCAGACCGACTTTGTTGCCTTTTCTATTTATATGCGCTCATGTGCTTCACGTGGATTCAAATAAAACAACAAAACAAACAATAAATCTGAAAGAGCCGCCATTAAAAGCCAAGCAATAGAAAATCTGGTTATTTATCTCAACTGCGCCACTCTGGCCCCTAGCTCCAAGTGCACAAGACAAAAATGCTGATGTCGTTGGAAAAGCAGTAAAAGCAGTAATATTGGCGGGCACAAGTGGGCCGTGTCGTGGTATTGTCTCCGAGTTGAAAGAGGCATCGGTCTCCCCCGCCTCCCCCCAGAGTTTTTCCACTGGCTACAGTCTAAAGACTTCAAAGAAAATCAAAATCAAATTTTTTTTTTTATTTTAGATTTTAGCCATTTTGGGATCAACGCTGTGTTCCACACGCAGTCAAACTGAGACTATTATAAAATGTCATCTATGAGATCTCTTCTAATTTTTGCAAAAAATGGTTGGGCGTAAAATTTCCGCATCATTTCACAGCGTTTTAATCGACACAGAAGCATTATGTTTTTCTGTCTCTTTTGCATTCGCTTATATTTTTCGTCTATTTTTTTGCGAAAAAAAGTAATCAAATTTGAGTTTCCGCCAATCAATACATAAATTCATCGGAATGGCTCACTCAAAAAAAACGTCGGCAGGCAAAAAGACAAAAGCGCTAGTAAAAACAGCCGTTCTCATGCCAAACAAACCGCATTGCCAGCCTCTGGCACAGACCAAACACAAAATCAACAGCCGTCGGACATATCTAACGACACGAATATCCCGCTGCTTTCGTCGCCTACGTATGCAGATGTCGCTGCTTTGGCCATCGAGCGCCACCCTGCAGATGCGGCGCAACAAGCGGTAATGCAGAGCCCACTCTTCGCTTTGTGCTACATCTACTTCTAACTACGGCGCTATACCCAGCACCAGCAACATATCCGACAACTCGAACACAACCACCATATCTGGATTTCTACACCGAGCCGCCAGCCGCTTTTAGAGTCGCACCACATCCATGATTCCAACACGGGTGATATGAGCGGCACAACGCCGTGTACACGTTGTCAGCGAATAAATAGTCACGCGCATAGCAGCTCGGCAACGTCTTCACTGTCATCCAGCCTCACTCGGACAGAGGCCATTCTTGTTCCCAAGTTTGTTGCCGCACAGGTCGATGAAAACGAATTACGTAATATCGCGCATACGCAGGGCCCTAAGGTCGCGGCATTCTATGAGGCTCAAAATGAGCTGATCGCCGAGCTCCTCAGTGTTAACCAGCAGCATACCGATGACATCCTTGAGCTGCAGTCCGAGCAGCTACGGGCTAAGCAGCAGCAGGTGGACTTTGCCGTGCGCATCTCAGTCATTGTGAACGTGTTTGTTGTGCTGGCGCAGCTGTACGCCGCCATTTCATCGAGGTCCCTGGCACTGTTTGCAACGATGAGCGAGGCCATGATGGATCTCTTGTCCTCGATCATCTTGCTTCTGGCATCGATGGCCGCCCGCCGCAGCGACCGGTTTTCACTCTATCCCACTGGCCGCTTCAAGCTGGAGACCATTGGTGTAATTGTGTTCTCTGTGCTCATGGGAACTTTCTCAGTAGTGCTCTTGGTCGAGTCCGTTCGGGCGCTGATTGCTGCCGAGGGCGTTTCAAACCAGCTCTCGATTTACGATGCCATCTGCGTCATCGCCGCGCTGGTCGCCAAGATATTTCTGTACCTGTACTGCTACTCTCTGCGCGAATACCACGCCGCACACGTTCTGATGACTGACCACCGGAACGACGTTATCGTTAACGCCTTTGGCCTGGCTGTGGCCATTGCCAGCAAGCATATGATGCCCTGGATGGATCCGATGGGCTCGCTGATTATCGCGCTGATTATCCTAAAGTCCTGGGTCGAGGAAGCCTGGGATCAGATCAAGCTCATTGTTGGCATTCGCGCCGACCCGCATCTTCTGCAGGTGCTGACATTCACGGCTATCACCACGACCCGCGCATTGAAAAGGTCGACCGTGTTGTTGCTTATCATTCGGGCGCCAAGCTCTTTGTCGAAGTTGACATTGTCATGCCGCCGTGCACGCCGCTGGTAACAATCCACGATGTGGCTGAGTCGCTGCAGGAGAAGTATGAGCGCATGCCTGGTGTTGGCCGATGCCATGTCCATGTCGACTACGAGGTGACGCATCGCTCGGAGCACCAAAACGCTTCGGCATAGAACTTTCTGTATTGTGTAAAAAAATGCAAATACACTACTACCTAACCCTTTTAGTAACATTTGGATTTGCGGCGGATTTTCCATTTTCATATTATTTCCCTGGTTTTGCTTTTTAATTTAACACCGCACTACACATACGCATATATCATTGCCCCATTATTCTACGCATTGTTGCCTTTTCAAATGACCATCTTGCGCCTAATGTTTTTATTCAAGCATTTGAAACATACTTGTAATAGTGCATATGCCAAAATTTTATAGTATAATAGTCAAATGTATTTCTCTATGACGTAAACAATGTACTACTGCTTGTTACTCAGATCCCGCCACACGCAGTGGACATCGTCTGCTGATGTTGGCATATCCGTGTTTACTGCTCCTTGAGTGACCTTGCAGTCACTCACGGCAGCAACGGATGCGAGGCGCGTGCTCAAACTATGGAGTAAAAAAAGGTCGAGCTCGGAGAACCTGGTGCTTTTTGTGTATAGAAGCGAAAAAGATACTTTTCCCCGAGCAAAATGCCGAAGACCAGACCAGGCCAGACGAGGCGCGCAAATAAGAAAGCATTATTTTAATTCAATTTCCGGGGCTGAGTAGACTGTGCCCAGCTTCTCGCCTTGAAAAATCAGACTGGATCTTGTGAAGTACCCACTACTGGTGAACTCGCTCAGGGTTGGCCTGTGTGGCTGTTAAATTTTAACCACTTAAAAAGGGTTTTGTTGAGTATAAATAATTTCACAACGGAAAAATGCTGGCTGTTTCGCACCCACAGTCGGCGCGTAGCCGGTAAATTTTAGCCCATGGAAACCTCGCAGCGACTTCGGCACCGCAATCACCACCCTAATTGCATGAAAAAAACTGCAAATCTCCGCGTTAGATGGAAATTTTGTTATGATTTTCCTACATAAAATTTTTATGAGCCCGCAAGTTCAAAAAAGGAGCGTATTGAATTTCTGCCAAAGGATAAGCGTTGAGTTTTCAAAGCGTTCAAGTGTTAAAAAAACCCTACCTTATAATGATTTACATATATTTTCTAAGCGTTAGTTTTTTTGCCACTGGACCAAAATGCAAATAAAAAAACGTCTCAGCAGCATATATTTCGCCATCATCGATCCATGCTTAGTCGACCTTTCTTGGCACGTCCTCCCCGCCCCCAATATCCTTCGTCTTGAAAAGTACTTAAACTGAGATGGTGTGCCCACCACTTTTTCTTTACCAAGCCCAATATTAGGAACCATCTTTAGAACGCCCTTTGTTTTTATATTTATTCGCATCTAGCCACATTCTTTTTCCTTCTGATTATTTATACCTGCTTACACAGGACCTTTTCTATACTCTTTTCTTCTAATTATCTACTGCCCTTTCATTATTACACATCAACACAAACCGACTCCCACGATGTCTAACTGCTACGACGAAGAGGCCATGACCGAGGGCGCAAAGACGCAGAACTCCTCAAAGCAATATATTTCTGGGCCCACCTCCGAGGTCATTCTCAGCTGGGAAAACCTAAACTACGTGGTCAAGTCCAAAGTCGACAAAAAGGAGTCTCGCGCACCATTCTCCAAAGCATCACCGGCGCGGTCTGCGCAGGAGAGGCCATCGCACTTATTGGCTCCTCAGGCGCTGGCAAGACCACACTTCTCAACGCGCTTTCCGGCCGCATTGTCGGCGGCGAGCTCACAGGCAAGATTCTTTTCCGCGGTAACAAGCGCAATCCCGGCACGTTTAAGCGCCTGACAGCCTATGTTCAGCAAGACGACTGATGCATCCTTTGCTGACTGTCCATGAGACACTGTCGTATTCATCCAACTGCGCCTTCCAATACCAGCTACACTCCCGAGCAGAAGGCCGACGCGTTAATATAGTTATTCAGCAGTTGCGCCTGGAAAATGCAAGGAACACTCGCATTGGGGATGCTGCCACTCGTGGTGTTTCTGGTGGAGAGCGCAAGCGTGTCAGATCGGTACCGAGCTGCTGACCGACCCACGGCTGCTGTTCCTTGACGAGCCACGTCAGGCCTGGACAGAACTCGTCAGAGCTTGTGGTAGAGTTGGTCAAGAAAATATCTGTTGAGCAGCGCACTGCCACAATCATGACATTCACCAGCCCAGCGCGCGGATCTTCAATATCTTTGACAAGGTCATTTTGCTCTCCCAGGGACGGATCGTTTATTTTGGCCCGACGTCTTCGGCAATCGACTACTTTGCAAACATCGGTTTCCAGTGTCCCATGCACGAGAACCCCGCCGACTACTTTGTCGACCTGATGACCCTGGACTACCGCAGCGATGAAGCGCTGGCCAGCAGCAAAGAGCAGGTCAACCACCTTGTCGAGAAGTTTGAGGAGTACACTCGGCAGCAGGGTCTGTCCAGGGACAGTGGCGAGAAGAGCTTGAAGTGGTCAAGTCACTGACAGCAACATTGAGGCCTACCAGGATCCCGAAATTCCCCGGAACAACTGGTTCTACGAGTACAGCACGCTGGCTCGGCGCGACTGGATGAATGCCCTGAGGAACACACCCTTTATTGCTGGCCAAGGAACGCAGGCCATCTTCATGGCTCTGCTTATCGGATTTATCTTCTACTATCTTAAGGAGGACGCGCTCAGCATCAACAACCGTCTCGGCGCGCTGTTTATCATCTGCGTCAATGCCACGTTCCCGTTGTCATGCCCATGCTCACTTTGTATTATAAGGAGCGCGACATCATGGTGCGCGAGCGTTCGTCAGCGACATACCGCGTCACGTCCTTCTACACATCCAAGCTGACCACGTTTATCCCGATTTCGCTGATCGCCAACACGATTTTCTTCACGGGTGTTTACTTTATCAGCCGTCTGTCGATTGACGCGGACAAGTTCTTCATCGGCCTGGCCACGTTCTACAGTCTGATCATTGTTTCTATCACGTTCATGCTCCTGGTTGGCTCGGCCATCAAGTCCATTGAGTTCGGCTTTGTCGTGGCACCTATTGTTCTGACCATTCAGATTCTGTTTGGCGGTCTGTTTGCCAACCCAAAGACCATTACCACTGTTCTTCGCTGGATCCGTTGGGTCAACCCGGTTCAGTATGCTTTCAGTGCCTTCGCTCAGAACGAGTTGCGCGGCATGGAGTTTGTTTGCCAGGCAGGCGTCCAGTGCTACGAGAATGGCACACAGGTCATTGAGTCGTACGGTTTTGGTCGCTTCACCATCTGGCAGAACATTCTGCTTCTTCTGATGCTTGCCACAGCTGACATCATTATGGGATACTCCTTGCTTCGCTGGGCCGCCAAGCCCAGGTCTATCTGGCTATAAATATAACGCTTCAGTTTGCTAGAGTAAAATTACATTTACATATTTTCTATTAGATATTGATTTTTCAAAAGCTAAAAGTTTAAAAATATATACTCATCGATAACTCATTATTTATATTTCATCGCTTGTATATTTAAATTTGCTTTTGTGCCGAGACCACATGTATATTCGGGAGGCTTACATATATTGTCAGTAACACATGTATTGGAAAGATGGTGCTGGTCGGCATCATGACATAATTCACAAATAAATGGTTTAATAGCTCGGCGTGCCATTACTCGTTACTTGGAAAATATGTATTTAAAATTTTGTCGTTTGCGGTTACTACTGCAGTTACTGTGATTTATTTAGGAAATTATACATGGGCTGTGCCATGATATATTTCATTTGTCTGTATATAGGCTTTGGCACTATAGCTACAACTAGCCGTATACTGCTACGCCACATTCTGTCAACATATCAGGTTCTATCTTAAAATTAACATTGTGCACGGATAATATTTTTTCACTATAAATTTAATATTCTAAATATTCACAAACATTTAAGGCAATAACACATTCAATAGTATAGAGTGCTATAGTATTTCGGGGTGCTCCAATGTCAGTCATGTCAATGGCACCGCTCTCACAAGCGGCAGGGCGCTCACCAGATGCAATCATTCAACTTGAACAAAACGGCAGTATCTTTTTATACTGAAAAGCCAAATAGCGGTATTCTGACGCCAACGCCGTTAGACATGGCTTTCATTCCGCAGGCCGAAACCATTTTACAGTGGGAAAAGTTGACCTACGAGGTCGCCAAATGGTTAATAAAAGCACCGCCTACCGAGTCATCCTAAACGAAATAAACAGCGAGGTCAGAGCTGGGAGACAATTGCTATCATAGGGTCTTCGGGAGCCGGAAAAACCACTCTGCTAAATGCACTCTCTGGGCGTATTGTCGGGGGAGCTTGACCGCCGTGTTCTCTATCATGGCGCACAGTGCCATCTGAGCAGCTTCAGGCGGCTCACGGCCTATGTGCAGCAAGACGACATTATGGACCCGCTGCTGACTGTTGAAGAAACGCTAGACTATGCATCCAAATTGCGCCTGCCCAACTCCTTACATACAGCCAAGGACAAGCGCGATCGTGTTGCTAAGATAATAAAACAACTGCGGCTGGAAAGCGTCAGAAAGTCGCAGATTGGAGACATGGAAGTGCGCAGTGTCTCTGGCGGTGAGCGAAAGCGTGTGAGCATCGGGACTGAGCTTTTGACTAACCCCAGCCTTATTTTTTGGACGAGCCTACTCTGGATTATTAGACAGCAACTCCTCGCAGCTGGTCGTCGAGCTGGTTAAGCAGATTGTCAACGAGCGCCGCATAGCTGCCCTTATGACCATCCACCAGCCGAGCGCGCGGATTTTCAACTTGTTTGACAAGGTCATTTTGGTGTCGCAAGGTCATCTGGTATATTTTGGAAAACACAATGATGCTCTTTTAATTGGCTTGTATTTTACGTCGCCGGATATGCTTTGCTGCGTTGGAAGGCCAAGCCAAAGTACATTTGGGTGTAAAAAAATATTATTAACAATAGACAACCATGAATTTCCCGTTGTAATATTGTGCCCCCCTTGTTGTCTTTTAGGATCAAAGTATTTTACAATCCAAAAAGAACAATTGTCAATTTTTTTGTATTCAAACTTTTTTTGCGTTGGTGTGCTGTGCATTTCCATGTGCATCGGCTTAGCATGTCCGTGTTTATATATTTTTTGCTGCTGGTGCTGTGGCTGTAATAGTCATAATATTAGCAATTAATGGTATGGGAACAATCGACATTCAAAAGCTATTTTGATAGCAATTGCAAAATACACAATTAATACAGGCGCCAACATTGTGTGAATTGGTTTGTCAATGTGAAATTGACATTACTAGTGTTATTTATATTCCAAGCACTGCACTTGTGCTAGTGTAATGTAACTGAATATACCCTGATAGCCCAAGCAGAGCGCGCATTTTTGTCGTATTCTTTAGCATTTATTCCCCGGCCTCGCCTGTTTGTTTTCCTTCTCTCCCCCGTATACACCCTGTTTGACACAACACTTGCGGACACACTGCCCAACATTTATAAACCAAACATTTACTATATTTTTTGTCGCACTGCATTTTATTCAATTATTTAGTTATCCCCTTTTTTATTTAAAACACATTTAAACCTTGCTTTCTCGCTTGCCCACAAGAAAAAATAACATTAAACACATGTTTTTCTCCAGCGAATACGGCGACGACCACACCGCCAAGTCATCCATCTCTACCATAGATCTCGATGAGCCGTCGGCATCACAGACAGACGTGATTCTTAGCTGGAAGAACCTCGAATACAAAGTTAACTCCAAGGACGGACCCAAAAGCTCTGTAAAGAGCATTCTCAGAGGCATATCCGGTCAAGCGAAATCTGGAGAAGCCATTGCACTCATTGGCTCATCAGGTGCCGGCAAGACCACACTTCTCAACGCACTTTCCGGCCGCATTGTCGGCGGCGAACTCACAGGCAAGATTCTTTTCCGCGGTAACAAGCGCAATCCCGATACATTCAAGCGTCTGACAGCCTATGTTCAGCAAGACGATCTGATGCATTCTTTGCTGACTGTCCATGAGACACTGTCGTATGCGTCCAAGCTGCGCCTTCCCAATACCAACTACACTCCCGAGCAGAAGGCCGAACGCGTTAATATAGTTATTCAGCAGTTGCGCCTGGAAAATGCAAGGAACACTCGCATTGGGGATGCTGCCACTCGTGGTGTTTCTGGCGGAGAGCGCAAGCGTGTCAGCATCGGTACCGAGCTGCTGACCGACCCACAACTGCTGTTCCTTGACGAGCCCACGTCAGGCCTGGACAGCAACTCGTCAGAGCTTGTGGTAGAGTTGGTCAAAAAGATATCCGTAGAGCAAGGCATTGCTTCAATCATGACCATTCACCAGCCCAGCGCGCGGATCTTCAATATCTTTGACAAGGTCATTTTGATGTCTCAGGGGAGCATCGTCTATTTTGGCCCGACGTCTTCGGCAATCGATTACTTTGCGAGCATCGGTTTCCAGTGTCCCATGCACGAGAATCCCGCTGACTACTTTGTCGACCTGATGACCCTGGACTACCGCAGTGATGAGGCGCTGGGCAGGAGCAAGGAGCAGGTCGACATCATGGTGAAAAAATTCAGCGTGCACCTAAAACAGCTAGCGGTCAAAGACTCATCCCAGGCCAAGAACTTTTGGAACGGACACCTCAAAATCGACAGCAGCCTGCTCACAGAAGAGGTGGATACGACGCAAAATGGATGGTTCTACGAGTTCCGCGCATTGTATCGCCGCGACTGGACCAACATAGTCCGAAACACATACTATATTATCGGGCAGGTAATTCAGCCAATGTGGATGGGTATGTTCATCGGGTTCCTGTTCTACTATCTGGGCCACGACTCTGCCAGCATTCTAAACCGCCTGGGTATCCTGTACATTATTGTTGTCCAGGCAACGTTCCCTATTTTCATGCCTCAGATTGCTCTTCTTGTCACAGACCTGGTTATTGCCACGCGAGAGCAGGCATCGGCGTCATACCGACTGTCCACATACTACGTGTCCAAGGCCGCAACATATGCGCCCATCGCGCTCATCTGCAACACATTATTCTACGCCAGTGTCTACTTCATCAGTCGCCTGGACTTTAACGCCGGCAAGTTCTTCACCGGTCTGATTATATTCTACTGCCAAAATATTGTAACCATTGGTTTCATGTTTGTGTTCGCCGGGTCCATAAAATCCGTCGCCGTCATCTACCTTATATCCACAGCTGCTATCACAGTACAGATGCTTTACAGCGGGTTGTTTGTCAATTTCAAATCGATTACGGCGGCGCTCAGCTGGATCCGGTGGGTTAATCCGATTTTCTATGCGTTTTCTGCATTGGCGCAGAATGAAATGACCGGCATGGGGTTTACGTGCGCGGATGAATTGCAGTGCTTTGAGAGCGGGGACCAGGTTTGAGCTCGTACGATATGAATGTCATCAACATCTGGCAGAACGTCCTGTTGCTTTTGTTGGTCGGGGCAGGCTACTACATTGGCGGATACATTCTACTCATGTGGAAGGCCACGCCGAGGTACATTTGGCTGTGAAGATAAATCATATGTTAGGCTGTCTTTTTCATAGTCTATATTCAAATTAAATAATTATTACCATTTCCTCTCGTTCTTGTGAGCGAAAACCTTGACCAAATCCTTGCGGTCTGCGTCCATCATCTCGCGTAATTCGGACTGTACGAGCTCAGGATCGAGCAAGAACTTTTCCGCAGCAACAGCCACCGACGCAGCCATAAATCCTTCAACAACAGACTTCAGCCCTCACCGGTCTGCTTGAAATCCGGATAAGCATTAGCCTCGAGCATAAACGCGGTATAGTTCTCATCGACCAAAAAGTCAAATCCAAACTGCTCAATGCAATTACCCCAAGCCTGGAACGACGTCGACTCACTAGCCACAGCAGCGAAGGTGTCCTTCATGATACGGCAAATCTGATCAAAAACATGCTCCAGCTTGTCCTCGGGCAATTCGAGGTTCCAGAACAAATCCACCGCCTGTGCTTCGTCAAAGCCTGAGAGTTTGGCTTGCAGACAGGTGTTGGTGAGGTGCGCCCGCTGATCGTCAAGGTCGCTGGCAGATTGCGTATAGGGGCTGGGGGCAAAGAGGGCGAGCATTTGGCGGTAGACGTATACATTGAGGTCACCGGCTGCTAGGACGTAGGTGCGGATGTGGAATTTGCGGTTGTTGCGGGCGCTCAGAAGCAGGGGCCGGTTGATGTACCGCTGAATAACCCACTCGCGGATCTGCGACACGGCTTGGTGCGACGACAGCATGGATCCCATGTGCTGCTGCTCCGTGCCGTCATCCTCGTCATCGCTGTCCTCGCCATCGTCGTCGTCGCTGTCTTCGTCGTCGCTCGCAAACTCTCTCTCGAGTAGCTCCTCCAGGCGTTCCCGCGTATCAAACACGTAAATCCCAGCTCCACGGCCCGTCAACGAGGGCTTCAAGATAAACTGCTCACGCAACCGCGGATCCTCCACGCCCTCATTCGCCGCATCCCGTCCTCAACCTCATAGCATTCCATCATGGCCTCGTCCAAATAATCAATATCATCCAGCTCCACAATCCACGTCTCAGGCACGCCTGTTTTCAGGATCGATTCGGGATGCTTTGCCGTGTAGAGCTTGATGTTGAAGGCCATTTGCGCTTTGCGGATGAGCCCTTGCGGATGCAGTAGGCACTGGAGAACGTTGTGGTGGAGCGGTGCACGGTGTCCCAGTCGATATTTTCGTATTCGCGCCAGTGCATGAGCCGCGTGCCGGGGGTGCTAGTGCTGGGGGTGTACTCGGCGGCTGTCTGCGCCTTGATGAGGCGCCCGTACTTGGAGAACGCTGTTTGAAGAATGCCCTGCACGTAGGGCTCGTCCATCTCGACGATGACCGTTGCCGTTGGTACTTCGGAAGCCATGCCAATAGTTTTTCAAGGTATTCAAATTGGGTTTCAAAGAATTGAGAGAGCGACGGACAATGCCAAACAAAATTAAAGAAAGAAAAAGAAAAGAAAAGAAAACCGTCAAACATGGATATTATTGTGTGTGAGAAATAGGCGAGGTTTCAAAACATAAAAAATAATTTTCTGGGTCATTTGTCACTGAGTGCTCACAAATCCAGAGGATCTGCTAATCGCCTGATTGATCTACGACTCGCATCAGTCATGCTTCTTGCTCGTGCGGCGGACGAGCCGCCAGCCGGCGTGCTGCCCTCGGCATCCTCAAAGCTCCGGTCGGCCGAAGCGGACTCGACGCGGTAGATGTTCTCGCCATCAGACTTTTCGACAGTGTCTTTGGGCTCCAGACCGCCCAGCCGGCCAGTAGGCACATAGGGAGCAGCAGTAACCACAGTGTTCTTCCACCAGTTCGAGATCTTCTCGTAGTACCCGGGCTGTACACACGTGTCGTTGTGCTTTCCATTGGCAAACTCCTCCCACGTAACCTTCATGCTCTTCCCGTCCTGGTTGCGCGCAGCCAGCTCGTGCAGCTTGCGCATCTGCGGCGGCGGCACCAGGTCGTCTTGAAGACCAGAGAGGAAGAGCACAGGCACTGTGGTGATCTTGCGGATAGCCTGCTCCGAGTTCCACTTCTCGCTGGCTAGGAACGTCACGTACTTGAGGATGGGCAGAACGCTGGGCACCAGCTTGGCGATGGAAAGAAAGGTGTTCTCCAAGATGATTCCGGCAAACTCGGGCTCGTTGGCCGCCACAAGGTCGATGGCCACGGCGCCGCCCAGCGACTGCCCGTAGGCCACCAGCTTGGTGTTGGCCGTCAGCGGGTGCGAGCGGACAAACTCCAGCGCCGTCTGCGCATCGGTCTTAATACCAGCCTCCGACGGCTGGCCCTCGGAAAGCCCGTATCCGCGGTACGACAGCATAAACACATTGCACCCGAGCATCTCGTACATAAGCTTGGCAATCGGCAGTCTGTGGCCCATGTTTCCAGCGTTGGCGTGGAAGTACAGCAGTGTCGGTGCGTTTTTCGTCCTTCGTCAGTTGCGCGCTTAATCAGGTATCCCCGGATAAGCACCTTGTCGGGGTTTCGAGGCGGATGTCGTCAAAGTGCGGCATGCCGAACTGCGAGGGGAGGGATACGCGCTCGCGAGAGTGCGCTGGGAACGCTGCTGGGTAGACCATGTCGCGCTGGAAGAGCCAGACTGCGGACAGGCCGAACAGTGTCAGGCCGACGACCATTGCGGTCACATAGTAGCCGACGGTGGGCGCCAGTTTTAGTATAGATGCTACCGTTTCTTCTACGCCCCCGAGATAGTGGAAAATGGCGTATAACATGATGCCTCCTCGCCTGGTGTGCAAGCTTTTAGAAGAGGAATTAGAATGAAGAGAGCGAACCAAAAATAAAGTGGGAATAAATTAGACCAAAAGGGAAGAAAAGAGAAAAAGAGGAGGGGTAATAAAAAATGCGACTGGACAAACATCATTGTATGTTTGCGCCAAAGTCAATTCACGTGAATGTAAGCCGACAGCCCCCCTCCACACCCTTGTTTTGCTGTTACTGAGTTGCTGCCATCTCGCACATCGGCAACGCGGCTCGGACGGTTGTTTGGCGGGTGATTGGGAAAAATCAGATTGCATTACAGGCCACGGCTGATCTTGATCATATCTCTCAGTGAATAAAGCTGGCTGAACGCCACCTAGGAAAAAAAGAAAGAGAATAGGACGAATTGCAGCGAGGCGATCAATTTGTATAAACGAGAGGCGCTTCATACAAGCGCCCCTTTTCTCTCTCTCTCTCTCCTTCAGTCAACTTCTTTATTATATAATTTTTTCGTCGCACTTTTACATACACAGACAGACCATGGAGACAGTCATCATTACAACAAAAAAGAAGGAGGTCGTTCCTAAGGCTGCCGGGGAGTTCGTCGCCGGCACAATGGGCGGCTGGGCGCAAGTGGTCGTCGGCCATCCCTTCGACACAATCAAGGTGCGCATGCAGACACAGCCCAATCCGCCGGTTTACTCTGGTGGCATGGACTGCCTGCGGGCAACCATCAAGGGTGAGGGCATGGCAGGCCTGTACAAGGGTGTGACATCGCCGCTGGCCGGAATTGGCTTCTGCAACGCCGTGGTGTTTGCTGCCAACGGGTACTTTCTGCGCCTGCTGCAGTCCAACTCCTCAGGCCCACTGACGCTGAACCAGAAGGCGATGGCCGGTGGTCTTGCCGGAGGAGTCATGTCTTTCCTTAATTGCCCCGTTGAGCTGCTCAAGGTCAAGCTGCAGACCCAGTCTGCCATCGCCGCTGTAGCCGGCCACAAGCCGTACACTGGCGTGTTTAACTGTGGCGTGCGGACATTCCAGGAGCGCGGCCTGAAGGGACTGTACCGCGGCCTGGGAATCACGATCATGCGCGATATCCCAGCTTCTGGGGCTATTTTGGATGTATGAGGGCCTCAAGGCGGCGCTCGTGTACCGTCGTTTGGGCGTGGCTGACGGGTCAAAGAGCAACGGCGCGGAGCAATTCCTTGCCGGCGGCTTTGCTGGTATCGCGGCTTGGCTGACGGCATATCCGCAGGATGTTATCAAATCACGCATGCAGATGGATTACAAGTACAAGACAACGTCAGACGCGTTCAAGGCTCTATTGCACGAGTCCAAGGGCGGCAACTGGCGCATATTCTTCCGCGGATTTGGCCCGACCATCCTCAGAGCATTCCCCGCCAACGCTGCCACGTTTGTGATGTACGAGTGGACAATGAAGGCCTTGAGTAGCTAACCACAACCATACAAATTCAATGACATTTATAACCCAATGTTTAATCAATACACAAAAAAGCTCGGCTCTCCAGTGCGCGGATCAGAATCATGAAACGCAATCATGATTAACTGTTATTTGCTGGTGGGGGGTTTTGTTTGGTTTCGTCTAAAACACGCGCAGTAACTTTTTTTGCATTTAGAAAATAATTAAAGACGCGGTTACTGCTGACATTCTTGGCCCCATCGCCCGCGGCCTACAATACTGCCTCCGCGTCTTTTCTTACGAGGGGAATGAGGAATGGGCTTGCAATTAAGCCGCCCACGGCGGTTGCGCCCATCTTTGGAAGAGGATGAAATTTGCACAACCAGGTATGTATCTCGCCCACCGCAATCCGGGTCGCGTTGCTTCCTCTGTTGTCAAAAACCCATTTTCTTTTAATTAATAGCCACACAAAAGTACCCAATAATATTTTTAGTATCAAAATGAGCTATTCGACAGTCAGTCTGGCCGGAAGCACAACCTCTTCGACACCCACGCTTCACTTGGACAGGCTGCGGGCGCACCACACGCAGGCACTAGTAAACATCGTGAGCAACATGTTGTATCCAGCCGCAATCGACACGCACGCACTGACAAAATCGCTCGTTAATCTCCGCCGGCACCTCGAATCGCCCCTCAGCTGTGCCCACAGTCACCCGGCCACAGACACAAACGCAGCTGAGGTTCTCGAGCACATCCTGCTCTGCTGGGTATGCTCGCTAGCCTCCCAGACTGACGCCCAAAACTACAACTTTGGAACCATAGTCGCCACAGCCGACGGCCTCTTCGACAAGTACGCCGTGATACCAGCGTTAGCGGTATCCGAAGCCATCCAATGCACGTCCTACTGGCTACCATGAGCGTCGGCATTGCCACAGTGGCAAAGACATCGATTCCTGCTAGCTTGGCTCTGGTGTTGGGATTTGCTGAGGACCACGGCACGTTTACGAATGCCTTTCGTGCATTGACTAAACTGTGCACCAAACATTCGGTTAGGTGCGTAAAGGCCGGCGGCAGGTGGGAGTCTGATAATGGGATTTACGCCGTTATGGATGCATTCACGCGAGCCAAATCCGCCCTCGGATTGCGCAACCGCTTTGACTCAATGGCCAACGCCGCGTTTATTTTTGCCTCTGAAATGGCATCCACAGGTGCCTACATGCCCTCGCCCTCCTCCCCGAGCAGCGAGTGCCATCGCAGCACAACCAGTCTGAGCAACGCGAGCTCCCAGGGTTCAATAGGTTCGATGAGCTCTCTGGGCTCGCTGGATAGATCCTCGCAAATGTTTGGCGTCCATGCTGAACGGGTTGTGACTAGTGCGTTGGCTTTGGTTAATGCGTTGATTGATGCCCATGGTGATGTGGGATCGAGGCTAAGGTTGCGCGAGGAGTTGCTTGATACAGCGCTTTATAAGTGCTTGAAGTTGGTGGAAGAGCCTGAGTTTGAGCATACCAAGGCGTATGTTGAGTTCAGGCGGTTTGGACGTGCGTATTCTAGCGATATCAATGAGTGCAACCCGCTGGCGCCTGGCAAATAATGCGGGTTCTTTATTTGAAAAGTTTGATGCTTTTATTAATGCAAATATTAACTTTAATTCCTATATAAAAAATCCTTTTAAAAATGTGTGTGCTCACAGGCATTGTCAATGCTCAATTAAATGCCTCTGTTGGCGATAATGTATTGTTTTCTAGTTTAATAAATGATTGATACTCAGCTTCTCCGAATCCGATGCGTCCTTGGAGTTACTGTTGGGGCACGAGTCGTTCAGCGGCATGACAGTCGACGCTGGAGACAACGAGTAGGGAGACCGGCGGTACAGGGATGCCGATAATGAAGAAGCCTGAGGCAGCGAATTATCAGATCCCAACCCACCGCGACCCCCCTGATTCTGGCCCTGAGTCTGGGACCTGGCTGTCGAGCGCGCACAAAGAATCGTTGCGCCAAACAAATTGTGAGAATTTGCATACGTCGCTGTCGACAAACCGGCGCTATCCATCGGAGGCGGGCTATTAGAACCGCTGTCCCACATGTTTGCCGATGATACCCGTGAATCTTGCGAAATGTCCGAGCGCACAGTACCAGAATCGTACCTTTTCAACGCTATGCGACTGTAGTAGCGGCCACCAGACTGTAGTCCGTGCGGCATTACGGAAGAAAGGGAGGGAGAATTGGGGGCAGATCCATCCGTGAGTCAGAAAAATGACCACGGGGAATCGGAGACGACATATACTTGGGCTCAACGGCCGGCATGGTGGTGGAGATTGGCGAGTTCATGGAACTTTGGAAGTAAGGCGACGACGACTGTATTGCTGGGCTCACATACTGGATGTTATCCCGATCGTAAACCAAGTACGGGCTGCGGTTGCTGTTTGTTGACTGACGATAAGACTGGGACGCCACCGATAGGACCTTGTTAGCACCAACCGACTTGGATATATTTGGCAGCAGCAAAGCGGATGATTCAGAGGATGTGGCCGAATGCGAGGTCTTTGTCTTTTTGCGCACGTGGCGGCTTTGCTCACTGCTGCTCGGCACTACAGCTGTTCCTGGCACCTCCATAGCTGTCATTATAGCTGAAGTTTCCGACGCAACAGCTTCCTCCAGCCGCTTCCTGGTATTTGGATCCATCAGCTCCACATCTACCGTCCAGTAACTGCCCTTCCCGCGCAGTCTTGAGGTTTGACTTGGTGATAATTGATGCCGAGGGATGCGCTGGAAACACTGGTTGAGACTCAGATTATGCCTGATTGTATTCTGCCATCCGACATCTGGGCCCTGGCATATCTGCGGGTACATTCGGTTGATGCTGTCATATATCTCCCGCAAAGTTAGCTGCTTTGTGGTGGAAATTATGATGGCTTGCGCTATTAGTGCTGTGTATGAATATGGTGGGCGTCTTCTCCGCTTTAAAAGACCTGGCCCCGTGCCAATGGATGCATGGGAGGGGGTGTCGCGGCTGATTTGATGGTTGCTTGGAAATAACTTGTAATTGTTCATTTGTTAATATCAATCAATATAGCGGGGTGTTTTTCAGTAGGGTGGGGAGGAAATATATACACAATTCGTGTAGAATATAACAATTATTTGGAGACAAACAAGGAAAGGAAGAAGAGTAGCAGGGATAAGGGAGGAGTAACAAAGAATAATAAATTATTTATTATTTATTATTTAACAAACGCTTCATATGAAATATGTGTGCGACATGCCCGCCTTTTGTATAGCAACGCTGGATTCAACAAACTATCCAGAGGCAATGCTGTTTGAAAATATTGTCGTGTAATTATCCAATTGTTTTTACAAAACGATGCGGGTCTAGTAACGTTTGTTACATAATGTTTTGGTATTCTAAAACGCACTCTTGATTGAAAAAATGACCCTGAATTTAACACAACATTTGTCTCATTTATTTTTTCAAAGCAACTTTACAAGCACTCTTGCGTTGTATATTTTTATTGCAAACATCAGGTTGTGATGCTGAGAATGCAAAAATATTGATCAGCTGAAACTAGTAGTAATTCTAAAAAACTACTGAATAAAAAGGCATTTACACGCAGGACCGTTCAATACAATATGTAAACATAAAATATATCGGAATTTTTTATACTACTTTAATTTAAAAATCAAAACAGACAGTACCTGTGTACGCATTTTTAAACGCTACTGCTCGGGCCCACGCTTTAATGATTCCCTTTAATCAAAGAGTTAAAATATTAATGTCGCCATCGTTTTCAATTCTAAGGTAGAGAAAAAATATCTTTGTCGATTTTAACTTTTTTATTCAGGTTACCGTGTGTGGATAAAAATGTATTAGATTCATCGTTATCAAATTTAGTAAACTCCTACCAACTGTTACCAGCCAGCTAATAAATTTGTTTGCAAGTCTATGGCAAAAAAGGCTTGAGCTAGTTAAGTGAAAAATAGTAAATTGAAGTTATTTTTTAAAACCCTGCAAATCTTGACAAGCATAACTTTAGCAGCTTAACAAGTTTCTGCTCATATATTTTAATAAATTCAATGTTCAGAACAAGCGAATTAAGCGGTTAAAAGCCGTTTCAGCTCGCTTAGCTCAGTCGGTTAGAGCGACGTGCTAATAACGCGTAGGTCACAGGTTCGACCCCTGTAGTGAGCAATTACTTTTGTCATTTTGATTTCTGTACTTTTTTGCCATCTTCCGAGATTTCGCTGCTTTTCATAACTAAAAGTTTCAAACCCGCAAAGTTGTATTTTTGCATGTATAGTGAATTTTAATTGTTTATTGAATTGGTATGTAATCAGACAGATATCTGACAAACTCTGCAAGTAATTCAACTCGAAAGAAATCCAAAAAAGTTTTAATGGTAGTTTATTGATTATTGGTTGTATAACAAATAAAATATTTCTTTACTATTCAGTGATTTGAATCGTATGATTTATCTTTAGAAATATAAAATAAAAACTGGGCCATTTTTACACAACCTTTTTTAGCAAAAATTAAAGTATAAAAGGCGTTTACATTTGCACTTAAAAACACTTTAATATTATCTGCACACACATTGAATTACAATTCATTACATATTTACAAAACCCACTACATCGAAAAATGACCACCTTCACTACTCTTTTTGGATCTGCTGTTGTTGCCGTGCTGGCCGCTATCTCACTGGCCGCGGCCAATGCCAACCCTCTTCCGCATGCATCGGCGCCTAACAATGCTAATGATGCGCTTGTTAAGCGCAGCGCTTGTGGCGGTGGATGTGGTGGATGTGGCGGAATTGGTGGCTGGGGTGGTGTTGGTCCTGGCGTCGGCGTTGGCGTCGGCGTTGGCATTGGTGGCTGGGGGGTGTTGGTGGATGCGGTGGTTGCGGTGGCTGGGGCGGGTGCGGCGGGTGCGGCACTGGTTTCTGGCGCTAAATGCTCCAAAGCCGCGCTGTTTTTTTTGAATAATCAACACAGCCTGCAAAGAAAATACAAACGCTGCAGCAAATAATTATTGTCCATGAGCAAGAGCACAAAAAACGCTCAAATATTTTTAGTGCCAAATATCAATGTTTTCTCAGTTTTTTATAAAAAATGCTTTGGCAATTTTTGAAGGCAAATAAAATATATATTAAACAGAGCGATACCATTTCTAGAAAATAACGTTTTTACATTACAAAACAACCAACAGACTCAAGATACCCCCGGCTATTATTTGCTTAATTTTAAACATGTAGCTCACAGCCGTATTTTTGTATGTGCAGTATGTTTCTTTACTTGCCAGCCAAAATATTCATAATCAAAAACTATACCCAAAACAAGACATTCCTATTCCCAAAAAATGTATTAGCAATGATATGTACTGACTGGACATTATTAGTTTCAGAGAAATCACCGAAAATAGCTCAGCGGTAGAGCGGGAGACTGTAGTTGCGTTACAAGCCTAGCTTGTATTAAGTTGTTATCTCTAGGTCCCTGGTTCAAATCCGGGTTTTCGGACTTTTTGTGGTATTCTTTTTTGCTGATGATTTGGGGGCAGCGTTGTGATTATGACGCTCGCGCTGCTTCTACATTTTTATTTGGTATAAAAATCTTGATTGTGCTGAGCGCCTTTATTTTTTTACAAGCATTTGACAATTAGCTATGGCTGTGCTTTGAATACAGCCAAACCGCTTTCATTTTGCGATTTGTTCAAATGAAAAAGGGTCTCTTGATCTTTTCATAACACACAAGTGTTCACCGCTTTTTGTATTTGATAGTGCTAATACTGCACAGTCACAGAAGCTTTTGCAAAATTTCAACACGCAGCGAGTTGCTGTGGTGCTTTGCGTAGTTGACATTACACATGAAAATTTATTTGTGTGAGCTGTGCAGCGGCAAAAAAACCAAACATAAAATTTAAAGTTGCCGAACCTGCTTGCTTGAGATTGACCAGATGCAGAGTAAAAAAGAAAGAGCGCCAAAAAACAAAAGCCTTGCCGCTTTAGAATAGTGGCAAAAAGTATGTTCCGCAACGGGGAATTGAACCCCGGCCACGACGGTGAGAGCGTCGGATCCTAGCCACTAGACCATTGCGGATTAACCGAATTTGTCAAGATTAATTTGACTTGCTGAACTGTTCTATTTAAAAAATACATATTGTGTAATAAAATAGAGGTTTAAATAAACTTTATTCGTTGCTATTAACTAATTGCATATCTTCAATGACTGCTCTCAGATTTGTTTGGTTTAAAAGATAAACTAAGCACTCATTGTTGGTTTTGCTGATAAAGGTGTCCCCTAATTATGTACGCTTGCCATTAAATAGTTTGCTGAGTGTATTGCCTGATAAACGTGGATGATTTCGAGTGTGGCAAGGTGCGATGTGGCACTGTTGTCGAGATCACACCAAACAATATCTTTTGATTGCCCGCCTCTGGAGCCACATTTACATCTAGATCTCGTAGGAAAATAAAAGTATCTCTGAGACTGACATGTGATCATAGCAGCTGCAAAGCCACACAGTAGCCATTTATTTTTTAAATTTCATATTTGATGGGTAGAATTTGAATCGCAGCTTTAACCGACAAAAAATGGACATCAGATCTGGGCTTTTGCTTGCCTATCTGCGGCGTCTCTGTTTTAAAAAATTTCCAGCATCAGTTGGCGCAACGAATCAACAAAAGGTATGCGGCAGGCCAAAAAGCGAATCTCCGTATCCTTGCAGTAAGTGTTTTGGCAGTAAAACATATATGTTTTTGTTCTTTTTATACTGTTACTGCTAATCGAGCAAGCACCTCAGCATTTTGGTTGGGATTTGTGGAAGAAAAAAACGAACAAAGTAAACCCAAATCACACACTGTGGTATCATCTGCTACTGGCAAAGTTCATTTCACAAAACAGAAAGAAATAAATGTTCAAGTTTGGAAAGGAAAATAAACTAATACCACTCACTACGGAATTGCGCTTGTAAAGTGTCAAAAACAGAAACGGAAAAAGAAAAGCGCCAAGAGCTTGCATATGGCAGCTACAAACAATAAAATTTAGTAATTAAAAAGGGGAAGAGGCAGAAAGGAGGGCCAACTGGGCGATAAAGTGATCAACATTGGCAGACAGATACGGTGGCCATAGCAAAATTTTTTCTTTTGCATCACGGAAAGGCCCAATGGCCTCACGTGGCACAATCAGCGGACAAGCCTTATTTTTTGCCCTCTATTTTTTAGCTTGCTCTTTCGGAAAAAAACATTTGCTTGGCCCGAGCTGCGCGCAGTTTCTGTGGCCCATGGTCCTTTTTGATTTCGACTCGCCTGCCTTGCCTTTTCTTTCTCCCCTACCCCCAAAGTATAAATAGTTTTCGCGTTGACTAATCCTTTTTTATTTTCCTTCGTTTTCACTTTTGCCATTTTAACCACATTTTTCTGTTTATAAAATATATAGCGAATATTACAGCCCACAGCTGACCTCTTTTTCTCGCCAATACTTTGTATATTTCAGCACATACTATTCTCATCATCACACAATGGCCTGTTCTCTGGCAACAACTACACACAGTCGCGACACCAATGGCGCGCGTACCAGCTCGCAGTCCAATATCAACTTGGGCTATACAGATATACACACAGGCCGCGCCTATGACAAATTATCGCCTGATGAGCGCGACAGCTTTTTGGGCGGTATAGAGGTCGACTTTAGACGATACATCGCCGAGACGCGGTCCTCTTCAGGGTTCGCTTTCTACCCGAATTCGCGTCAAATCATGAAGGCGATCTCTTCTTTGTATGAGGCGCTGACAAGCATTGATTTTTCCGACGTCTTTGACTGACGAGGAGAGAATGGGAACCTGGCTTGACGACTTTCAAGACTCGTTTTCCTTTTTTTTCAACGCGATAAAGAAGCAATGTTCTGCCAAACACAAAAAAAATATGTTCAAGCGATCGTTCCGGTTTGATAACTAATTTCTCCGGAATTTGATTGCCAAGTCCTTTTCTGTACAATTTCATCACCAAAAAACCCCATCTTCCCAAGCCAGCTTGGGACCTTCGAGTTTCGCTTTTTGCGCGCTGGACTGAAAAACAAAACATTTCATTATTATATATTTTCCTTTTCATTTTATATTCTTCATTTACATACACTCATTAATTTCCCTCCTTTTTTGTTTATCAGCGGCCTCGAAGTATTAGGCGCTTGCTTTTATTTGAATGGTTGCTTTTCCCTTGATTTTGATTTCTACCAAGCGGCACACCCGCAGCAAAAAAATGCGTGATGAAATAAGGTGTGCACGAATGATAGGGATACAGAACGTTGTGTTTTGTGTGAATATATATGTATGTGCGTAGGAGATAACAAAAAATGACTGTCTGAATTTATTTAGTTATTTGCTAGTCAGACCCCATTATACTATTGAGCTCAGTTGTAATTTCATCGAGCTGCAGTTGCAGAACCCCGATTAACTGGAGCGTCTGCATAGTCAGTGCGTACACGTTATTAATACTGTCGACCAATACTCTGTCGCCATCCGGAACATCAACGGGATCAATTAGCCGAATCGCAGTCGATTCAGTTTCAACCACACTGCGGTCGAATTAATAATACGCCACTCTACCAGTTCCTGTTCCAAGGACTTCAATTGAGTCGAAAGCTTATCCTGGCGCTTAACCAGCTCCTGCTCGCGCTCCTTTTGCCTCTGTCTTGAGCGCCGAGCGGCTTCGCGATTACGCTTTCTCCGCCGCACCTGCGCTTGCTCTACTACGGTCTGTGGGGTTAGCAGGTTGCTGAGATCTTCTTTCCATAAGGCAGTGTTCGCGCTGTCATTTTGGTTGGCAATATTATGGATGCTGTTTCTGTTATTTCTATTGTTTTCGGATCGACTGGGTGCATTGATGTCGTTGGGGTTGATATCGCTGCTGTCAGCGCTAGCAGAGCTGCCGGTTGATCTGTTGCGTCTATCGTTTATAGTGTTTTGGCTGTTGCTGTTGCCAATGCTGGTGCCATTGTTGCGAGTGCCTCTGGTGTTTCCCGACCGCTGGTTATTTCTGCTGTGGTCAGCATCCATTCTATTTCTAAAAGTTTGCGAGGCACACAGAGTGAAAGCAAGATAAATGAAATGAAAACAAGAAAGTAGTTATTAGTATTTTAATACTCAGTGCGAAAAGTAATAAAAATAAGGAGGAAAAATCGGCAGCGAGTGCCCACTGATGTTTGGAAACAAAAACCAAAGGTTCGAAGAAGGAAAAACAAACATATACACATCGGCTCGACAGTATCAAGGTTGCTTTGGTCCAAGGCGGGCGCACATTCTCAATAATAAACATAAGTAATATCCGATAACTCAAACAAAGATAAAGAAGGGAGGGACCTCGTAGCCTTTTGGGGATGAGAACTAGCTGAAGGCGTTGTGTGCACGAACAAAAGATGACAGGAGACAACCGAAAAATTGGTTCCGATTTCAAATCATCTCGATATTCAAAAGTGGTGCGCACGTTTAAACAATAGGTGAGTTCAAAAAACACGTACTATATAGCGTTGGCTATAACTTGGGTGTGCTGGCAATGTATTGTACAATAATAGACATGATGCAGGAGTAGGTAAAAAACTATATACAATATTCAGTTGAATTAAATGATCATCATATTGAAAGAAAAGCAGAGCGCCAAGTGGTAATAAAAAGCAAAAATGTTTTGGTTTTGAGTGAGAAAAAATCGAACAAATAATTGGATAAAGTATTTATGCAGTTGATGATACTGACCACTCGTGAGCTGCAAAATCGATGAGAAAAGAGATTTTCAGCATATACCAAGCTGCACGCATGCCTTATTCCAGACATGAAATACTCCAATGTCCAGCAATTGGCTGCATGAACGGTTTTCCCACCTCTTTTCGGGCTTACCAAATAATCTTTTGTCGGCTTTAAAGTAAAAAAGTAGCTCATAATAAGCACGCTGGCACTAAAAGAAAACAGGTATTAGCAGTTGGAATGGTGATTGAATCCCGTTAATTTTATTGTAGGATAATAACGCTTATTGCTCAGCGGCTGAGGGGATAGACAGTTGGCGATTCGCGATTAGCAATAGATTGAGTCATGAAAAAGACGAATGGATACAGTAGGCTGGGAAAGTGTCGATCCAGAAAGGGCAGAATTGTCAATCGAAAAGAAAATGGATTCACGGCCCAAGAATTAAACTTGAAAATAGTGTTGGCCAAGAAACAACCACCCGCTAAATTGCAGCAGATATAATAGTATTATGCTGGGAAAGTTGGCGGAAGGGTGAGTCAAGCGGCTTAAAGCAAGTATCAACGCGGTAACGTAAATATATATTTGTAGTCAAATAATGGCCATCGGGTTTGTTTTATTGGCTACAAAAATAGAATTACGTACATGTTATAGGCTCCGTGTCAGATGATTGGTTTTTGCAGCGTCTGCCAGGCAATAACAACGAAAGCGAAGATGCAATAATACAAAAATGAAAGAGTAAATAATATATACTATAAAGAGCTGCGATAAAGAGACAAAAGTAAACGAAAAATATATGCACAAAAAAGTAAGATGGGAAGAAGAGGAAACGGGAGAAAGAAAGAAAAGAAAAAAAAAATGAGAGCGACAGAATGTGAACACCGATGCAAAAGCATAAATAGATCCGCCTTTGCTGTGGCTGAACAGGCCAATAGGAGAGCGTCAAGTCAATGAGTTCTTGGGCAGTACTTGTATGTTTGAGAAGAGAGCACTCCCAGGACGCGGCGCTCCTTTTTGTTTCTTCTCGACCGCTGTGATTATACCATAACATACCGCGGAATACCAGGCCAAGATGTCCGGTTTTTTCTTCACAAAAACAGACAACTCAATTAGACAATAAACTAGACCTTGGCCGCCAAAAAAACAATTGAGAGATTGCCCAAGGTTTTGAGAACATTGATTTCGCACTCGCTCTTGGTTTTATTCTCAATCTCGCCCACCTGTGTATTGTATGCACGCTGTTGGTTTCCAAGTTGCTGAGAACGCAGAATCAGTGTTTTTGGCATTTATCGTGCTTCCAATTTTATCTGTATGTTTGCAGTCAGAATGCTTTACAATATCCATGTGCAAAAACAACATCGCATGGCGAACAGCAGACACCGATAAACGATAGATACGCTAATAATCAACGAGAAAAAACAGCTTGGGGATTTCTTTGTGAACAAATATCAAACATTGCTTCTGCTCGCAGAATGGCTGGTAGAAAGTTTTACATTTCCCCTGGCCAAGAAGAAAATAAAATTATAATTGATCGCCAGCCATAGCGCAAAATGAACATGTTCGATCCACGAACAAAACTAGCAACGGCATCATCCCAAACAAATGACTAATTAAAGCGGCGATTCTCACATTCTTCCGGGCATTTCATACTCAAGTTGTGAAGATATTGGAGGTGAGCTACAAAAGTGCGGGAAATGCTCGAAGAACACAAGTGTCGATCGATTTTTTGTTATTTATTTGCTTTGGGGGGTTTCAGCGGTGGTAAAAAGGTAAACAACCTAACCCTTTTTTATTGTCGGATACAAAATGCAGATTCAAGTTGTGTAGTCGCACACTGGTAGTAAAAAAGAAGCTCACCTAATGTTTTTCTATAGTGGTCAGCAATTGCAATATACAGGCAGGCAGATGGGTATGCATTCTATTCCGTAAAATGTTTTATTTTCGGACAGCTTTTTCCCCCGCGAATAATGCCCCAACAAACGCCACATCGGCTTGTTTTTATATATTTACTTTTTTTGGATAATGCATTGTCATTACCAGAGCCGAAATAGCCTCAAACATGCTCCGTCACTCATAAATCATAAATCATATTTCTATACAGGCTCTCTTTTCACTTTTATAAATGGTATACTCGAACAATAAAGAAAGAAGGTAATAATTTACTAAATGCAACACATTTTCAAATCCACCCATGCTCATTATAATTATAAAATGTAGAGTGGAAAAGCAAAACGCATCATTGTTTTTAGTTCACATTTTTGTTTCTTAAATCAGGAAACAAAATAAAAACAGATTATATTGTTGACACTCATTCCATTTGGAACACCATATTGTAAAGCTTGTCATTTTTTGAAAATTCGGGCGCACACAATTTATTTATTAATAACATATAATCGGATTTTAATAACAATTAGAACCTTCTATTTTTTGGTACTTTAGCTGCCCACAGCGTGGGTTGATGGGTTGCTACGTTACATATAAATAAATCTGGAAACCAAGGGCAAATGTTTTGTAATTAAAATAAGTAAAATAAGATGGAGCGCGCGCCCAATTAAGAAAATAGACAGCAACAGGTATCATTTTTTAAATTGAACTACGCCTCAAATACGTCCGGTGTAATGATCTCGTCTCGTTACGAGTGGTTGAGCGTCGATGTCTGGCTTATGTTTGAGTGCCTTCTGTTTTGTGGCTGCCGCTGCTGCTGGTGCTGTTGCTTATGAAAACTGGCTTCATGCACCGGCTCCTCGCTGAGAATGCTGTATTTTCCTGGTGACACATCGAGAAGCCAGAAATACAGATCGGTGAGCAGATAAAAAAAAAATGACGACGAAGCAGAAACTCAGCAGCGTCAGCGCATATGCGGCGATGTCAATTTCCAAGTTGACCAGCATAAATACCATGTCGCGGTTTGCGCCCATCAAAGAAATCCCCGAGGCACACATGAAGAACACAGGTATGTACTGGAACATTGGAGGTTCGCCACGGTCCTCTTCAGTACTCCGATGCCATTGGTGTAATCTCGCAGATACTCAGAGTTCAAAATAAACAAGCGAGGTACTGAAGAGGAAATGCACATGCGAGGCCATCGCAATTCCTGTTGGTAGATAATCATCGATATGCCTGTGGCAATGGAGATGATTGAGGGAATCGGAGTGCGGTTGCGCGGATTGCTGTTCCATGTCATGAGTACGCCCAAGAGTCCGCCGGCAAACCACGAAATGCGATCATCATGTGCTGCAGGTCCTTGTGAGACCAGTCATTGGAGGCACTGCTTTGAAAATTGTGCTCAGTGAATGTGCTGATCAGGCCAAATTCATCATGATGACACTCATAGAGCTCGGGTGGCCGCCGAAGCTCAATCATTTCCGGGCCACACACACGCATGACAACAGGAAGAACTTGACGAGATTGCTAGCGCGTGCCGCGAGCAAAGTGGGAGATGCATTGGCCCAGGTGCCCGTGGCCGCACAGGCCGAGGTAGCTGATAACACCAAGAACCATGCCCATGTACGTTAACACCAGTTGTGCAACGCCAATTATGCAATATATGATTACTGCTTTGCGCGAGCGCTTGACAACGCGCGGCGCGAGGCACAAGTTGATGGCTGTCTAGACAGCAAGCAGACTAAGGATAACCAGCCGAAGCAAGCGTACACGTTGTTTAGATTTCCGTTAACCTAGCCAAAGACATTTCCCAGAAAACTGATCAGCGGACCAGCTAGCTGTACCATGCAATGGTACTTGTGCATTGACAATTCCATGATCAGCCTGCTTGGTAGTGAGTGGAAAGTTGAGTGGACTTATATGTTTAGTCGGCCCGGATTACCAATGCATTCAAGAAGAAATCAATGCATTTAAGAAACCACGTGGTGATTGTAGCTTCGCAATAGCTCGATGTGCTTTTATTTTTGTTGGAATGACCGATCTTCAACAGCCTAAGCACAACCAAATTATATCTTATCTGATGGAAGCAAAAAACGTAGCTAATCAAACACAGTGTCAAGTGAACTTTGAGCGCCCAGCCCAATGGCTCTTCTGGCCAGTTGAATATTTTGCCTCTTCGGGAAAAGTTCCGGGCATCGCCATGGAATTCGCCTGTCGTGTTCGTCATGGGCACCCACCATCGCGGCGCCAAACAATGCAATCGCCGCCACTGCCGCCATTGCTCGAAAGCCCGACGGATAGGAATATAGCTGCAAAACATTGCTGCCATCGTCATCAATCTAAAAGCACTCGTGTGGTTTTCATACAGCTAATGCAAAAAGTATTCTAAAAAGCATAAAATTGGCTAAATATGATCAGTAGTTCAATATACAAAAACAATTGAAATATTGACAAGCAATGAGAAGCTCAAAGTTTACAAACAGTCATATAAAGTATAAGGGAATATAAATCCTTTTACCAAGTCGAAGAAAAAAGACAAGAAACGGAAGGCTGTCAGCTCTCATGTTTTTTTTAATCATCCATATTCCCAAAGTATGCTTTCTCTTCTATTCGGTAAAAAAATGGAAAAACAGATGGAGTGTGTTACGGTCATCACACTATTTTTTTGCCAGCCGCGAGATGCAAGCAAATGCAAAGTGAATTGACTTGGAAAAAATCAAGCAACGGTGGCGGCGGCGCCGGTGGTAGCGGAGACCCTCAAAATCCCCGAAGCTGCGGCATTTCTCGCTGTCCGCTCGGAATTTTCTAAAGTATATTATGGACAGATCTCATCTGTATTATTGTAAACGCAACCAAATATTGCCTCAAGCTCCCTGAGCCCTTGTACTATTTACCAAAGCTAATTCGTATATGGAATTTGGTGTAGAAAATATGCGGAGATCCGAAAATATTGTGTTGGGTGCGCGGGGGAAAAGAAGAAATGTATACCGTCCAGCAGTCCATTTCACAGACCCCAATCAAATCAAATAACTTGCCAGTGATCTGATTCAGTGGGCGGGAATAATAACGACGACACTGGCGCCAGTGGCACAAATATGAAAAAAACCAACGCTTTAAAATAATCATATGACCAAGCACATCTAAATAAGAGCGTATGTGCCACAAAAGTCACAAGTCAATCGCACTTGGCAAAAAGCGGCTTTTTTCCACTTCACTGAAGTTTGCTTAATTCCTCTCTTCCATTCCACTCCACTATTAATTTATTTTTTATTTATCGCTCAATGATTTGAATTCAAAATGGGTCTTAGAGAAAAGGCCGACTACAATTTGCAAACTGTGTCTCTGGCATGCGCGGTAGTTGTCATACTAGTACTCTGTGCCGCTCGGCAATACACAAGCGACTGGCGAGAGCGGCGTCTGTTCAAGCGGCAGCTGGCTAAAACACAGAAAAAACTGTTGCACGCTTCAGAAGACAACCACGAGCAAGAGCTGCTCCGGCGAAGGAGAAGACATATCATAGCACACAGCGATTACGAGAGCACATCGGCCATAGACAGTGAAGACAGCGGGGACAGCGAGGACGAACAGCTGGACCAGCGTGAGTTGCAGGGCCAGCAGGCAAACGTCAAACGAAGGCGGTGGAAGCGCTTTGTAGCTGCGATTCCGCTGATGCCCCTGGCCACAGCCTACATCGTACTCAGACTAGGCTGGGACGTCTTTGAGCTATTGGTGTTCTGCGTCATTGACATGGCGCGAGACACCGCGACAAACTCGCTACTCATAGCACAGGCACTGGTCACACATGCCCTTGATTACAGCTCAAAGCTGGCAGAGCGGCTCGAGCTCGGACGTCGTACGCAAGCGGCTGTAATTTCAGTCATCGAGCACACGGTCATATGGCTGTTCAACGTGGCTTTCCCAGCAATTGGAGACGCAATCACTCAGTGCGGCCAGTGGGCGGTGCAGTTCGTTACTTGGTGGGCCGAGACTGGAGGGCCAATTGCTCGCGACGCTATCGAAGCTGTAGTCCTGCGCGGCCTGGCCCTGGACTGCGCTCATCAGTCGATGCGCTGGCATCTGCGTACGCACGCGCTGTTTGGCTGGGCGGCCGGGCCATCGAGGCAGTGCGCGTTCTAGGGACAGATCTCATGCGCGATGTTCGAATTGTTTTTGGCTGGACACGAATTGGCTTGCGGTGGGTGGTCAGCAGAGAGCGCTGGTGGCTCAACCCTGCGCTTTGGCGTGCAGCAGCGGCATGGGTTGCCCCGGCACTTGCTTGGCTGCAGTGGGCCTATGTGTTGGCTGTTGGCCGCGCGATTCCATGGTGCGCTGATGCGCTTGCCAATACTCTGTGTGCAGCTTACTTTAACGCCCTGCTACCCTTTGTGCAATGGTGCACTGCTGCAGCCGACTGGCTAGTGCAAACCGCAAGCGGGGGCTTTGTGCTTGTGCTTGGTGCGCTGCAGGCCGGCTACGCGAAATGTGTGCGCCTTGCGGTATTCGTAGCCAACATCTGCGGAAGACTGCAAACCCCACTCGTTCGATTCGTCGGTTTGACTTGGCAGCTTCTGGTGAAATACCGGCTGATGCTGCTTTGCGGATGGATGGCCCTGCTTGAGGCAGTGCGCAGGCAATCTTGGATCTTTACTGCCTGTCTTACTGCATATTCACATGTCAGAAACACCGTGCTGCTTCCAGCCATCCGAGCAACGGCTGTTTCAGGCAGGTTTTTGTGGCAGCAGGTGCTCGTTCCATTCGCACTCACTCTGCACGGCTGGCTGCTGCTTTTCGTGGTTCCCCACGTCAAGAGTTTCGGAAAGTACCTGGTTGCGCGGGTACGCACGCTGCTCGCTCGACAGCGGGTCACGGCAGTGCTGGCCGCGCTCTGGCGCAGGTCCCAGAGGGTGATTTTGCTGGAATGGCAGGTCATAGCATCGAGCGCATTCGCGGGCCATGTCAAAACCGCCATGGGTGAGGCTCTGCACATCTTGAAGCGGCAGCTAGACGCGCTTGGCATCATGATGTGGCCCCTGCTGCAGCGCGGCTGGAGCGACGGCGTCCAAGCAATGGCCGACGTCTACCGACAGCTAGTAGCGATAGTGGACTTGACGGCGGCGATGGTTGGTGATCTCATTGTCGACTATGCGCGCAGAAATACTGTCCACACTTCCTCGACACAGAATCACCCCGCGACAGAGGCCAAGCATACTGTGGCAGCTACAAAAAAGTAAACAAATATTGGCACTGTCAGTCCATATTTTCTGTTTCTCTTAATTTATTTTTAAACTTTTGTTAGGGTCGCCATTGGTCATTTCCTCTCGAATGACCCAGCTTTAACCCACTGACACCCGCCAGTTTTTTTTTTTAAAATGGAATACAAATATAGAAAGCAAAATGTGTTACGAAAATCTTTGCAATGGAGGGCGACCATTTTTCACACCCCAAAGCAAAAGAAAACAGAACAGAACGGCGTGTTGCGCAAATTTTAGCACTTTAGGTCGAAACTGAACTTTTCTTTGTATGGTTGATTTTCAGAACGTTGACATCCGTAGAAGGTTTTCCACGATGGCCCCTTCCCCTTTCGTCCAAAAGAAGAAACGAATATTAGGGTTCAATTCTGGGCCTCCTCCCCAAATTCCATATCGGTCTACCGCAATTTATATCGCACTCACACGCACAAATACACGTCCAGGCTTGTTTTGCGCACATTACAGGCTGTTTGCTTGTTACCGTGGTCGATCTGTGTCCAATCCGTGCCTAATAGGAATAAGGGTGGTTAAAAGACGCCTTATTTGTTTGATTTACAGCCTGCTATAGTATCTTTATGCGTGCTACATATCTAACTTTAATTTTTCCATTTCTGTATTGGTTTTTCATCTCTCTTTCATCAGCTGGTCACAGTTTTAAGAGCGTGCGTTGGTTTATTCTTTGGTTTTATATTTTTTATTTCGATACAATTCACACCATTACGTTATTATTTTCATTTTTAAAATAATTATTCCAGCTTACGAAACTGCACTTATCTTTATCATAGCTTGCGCCTACTTACGCTACTCATATTCATTACCAGGTTACGCGTGTAACCATCATCAGTTACCAACGACTACAGCAGCAGCTACAACACCACTTTGCACACACAAACAAATCAATAAACAATGACATACATCAATCCGGCGTTTGAACAGGTTCGCATTGACATTGCTAGTGCGTTAGAAATGAAGCTCGACCCGCGCACTAGGGGGGATGTCGCGACGGTGGGAATTATAACAGCGGTTTACGGAATCAATCTTTTGGGCGTGGTTCTGATGCTGTGGAATCGCAAGTATCCGCCGATAAAGTCTAAAAGCCCTATATTGATGACTCTGGTATTCATAACTTCGGCACTTTGGTTTGTTGGCGATGTGCAGATAAACGGACACGTGCCTCTTGCTGGGACCGCTTTTATCCATTGCCGCTCATTCGGTTTTGTGTGCGTGTGTTGCTTGGGATCTGCGGATTGTGTGCAGTGCAAACGCTGCGCTCGTACAGACTGTACTGTGTGTTTAGGCTGAACATGCCCTACAGTGGACCATGGTTCTATATTCCGATATCTGTTTACGCTGGGTGCATTCTGACCTACGGAGTCGTTGCTCTTGCTCTCAAACCCGCGGGCACTGCGGAGTAATCCCATTTCTCGACGTGTGTACTGTGGCAACTCCGTTTAAAATTGCCGTCTACGTGTTTGTTTGGCTCACCTGGGTATGTCTTGCAGTCATTAATTGGTGCATTCGGGATATAAAGGGCTCCTTCAACGAGAGCCGCGAAATGACAGTTGCCTGCTTTATTTTGTTTGCCATGGTCCTTTTTCTGACATTGGTACAATTCTCGCATCCACAGTACTCTCTCCTCCAAAACTATCGCATTGCCTCGACAGTGCTTGCACACGCGTCTACAAGCTCCATTTGGTGGGGTGTCATGGGCGTTCCACTTTACAACTGCTTGTTCCATCGCTTGGAGTATCTTGATAAATGGACCATAAAGCTGCGCGAGGACGGTCTGCAGCGCGAGTACCATGTCGATTACAATTTTCCGGCTTTAAATAGCAACGCGGCGGCTGCTGCAGTTGCCGCGCCAAACAAAGACTGTACAACTATAAACAGTCTGATGATCAGGGATTATTTTACGGAGATGACACCAGTAAGGCAGCTGGCACTAAGGGTGCGGTTGAACTAGCTTTTTTTACAAACACTCAGATGCCAGTCACTGAGTTAGCTGAAGTGAGTTCAAAACCATGGTCCCAAAGCAGACACATTGGCCGGATGTCTCTTCAGACAGCACTAACAATATAGCTTAAACAACGGTCATTACTTGATATAAATTTATGGATTTTCGATAGTCCATATTTTTTAGCTCAGCCTGCAAATGCATAAAATCCAAACTTTTGAATATTTGATTTGATTAAAAGCAGTTGCATATTTTTAAATGGAAAACAGCATTAATAAATTGCTTTGTAGGCAACTACGCTGTTATATTTTATGTTGCTGTTTAAAAACAATGCTTTTTTCGCAAAATATTCTGGAGAGAAAATAGATACATTCTACAAATATAAAACAAGTAAAAAACAAAACCTAATGTTGATGAATAAGATTGATCGTCTACCGTACCACCTCGCCCATCGTAGGCTCTATTACAAAACCTGACTACATGTCTTATAAAAAATTATTCTATGGACGGCGTAGTTGGGAATTATCCAGACCTGGGTCTAGTTGCCTGGAGGTGGAGGTTTCCGCTAGGGTGTTAATAAAACTAAACCCGAGCACTTGATCTGCCACCTAGAGTGTCAATCGTGTCCAGATAGCTAGTTTGCATGTCTGCCGTCCTCATTGCTGTTGTCCGCGGTACTTCGGTAGGCCGTTATCCTTGTCTTATCACGGATTCGGTATTCGGGATGTTTGTTAAAATTGTAATCTCATCAAGAACCGGCGTTTCCCAGGCGTCAAGGATCCAATTGTTTTCTATTTAATCTGTAGGTCGTACCTTATCCTGTACCAGCTGTGCTGTTTGTTTATAATTTTGTTTACAAACACTATTGCTTGTTTCTACACTCCCATTGAAGTTTCTTGACCAGCGTTGTGTGCATGTCCTCTGTGATTCCTGCCAACCACGCCTCATATCCAAGTCTAGCTTCTTTGTCTGGTAATGGGCGTCCACACGCTTCTCGAGTTTCTCCAATATGTCATCTGTCGGTCCTGGTACACCTGGAGACTGTTGACTGTCTCAGCACGAGTCTGCGCTGGGTCCAAAGATCCCAATGAAAGTCTCTCGCATCAAATTTGCGCTCCCGTGTGGACACGTAACATATGGCCTATGTCCCATGGTATGACAGCAGGCGACGGGCATAGACACATATCTGGTCAGGATATGCATCGGGATACCATTTCACATCTTTAATGCAAAGGAGTGACGGATGAAATCCATTGTATTGGTGCTGTGTCTGGCGTCGGTGCCACTCCCGGTGCTTTGCTAGTACTGCTGTCAATTTCTCTGCAGGAATAATTACCTCCTTGGTGCGTGCCGCCGTAATATGCTTCATCAGCACTTTGCTCATGCAGTTGTCATCCTGTCAATGGCAAAACCTGTTTGGTAGGCAAGGCATGATAATGTCTCCACAAAGAGCCAGCATTTTTTGCCCGTTGGTTTCCATCCACATTGTAGTGACCAGAGATCCAACTGTAGGTGGGCTACGTTGACAACCCTGTCAGCTTTTTTGTTCTTCTTTGTACACGCATGTCCTTGTAACCACTATATATTGAGTAGCTTCTCACGGGTTCGAACCAAAGAAGCACTAGTTGGCCGAGATATTTTTTTGTAAAATATTTTGGTACATTGATATATTGTACCAATGATATAGGCATATGAATGCAAATAAATTATTTTTGCATGTATTTGTAATTTGTTGGCTGACATAATGATGTGCATATTCCATGCAATCCAACTTGAATGCATATTTTGATAACTGGCTATTTTCATGTATCTCTTTTTTAGAATCTGCATTTTGAAAATCAAATTCCAAAATACGTTTTTATAAAAAATTTATTTTGTACACCAACGAAAATTGTCATTTAAACCAAAAACAAGTGTGGAATAAGTCAAAATTTGCACACCACAAAGGCACAAAACAAAATACACAACATTGGAAATATCCGTCAATTTTTGAGTAGAATTTTTGTATTCTGATAAATATAATTATCATGGTGTTTAACATCAAAATTTTTTACTTCTACACATACCTTTTTACAACTAATTTTGTTATTTATATTTACTTGTTTTATTGGATGGGAAACCAAATATCGTTTACACTGACTGAAAGCGAGCTGGCACGCCAAACGGTTGGCAAAAACATGAAGCTAAAGCTGGATCCGCGCGGCAAAGCAGACGCAATAATGATTAATTTATGGTCGTCTATATACTCGTTGGACTTTTTGGCAATTGCGTATATGCTGTGGAACAAAACTACTCGCCGCTAAAGTCAAAGAATCCATTACTTATAACATTGGTAATGGCGATGTTTGCAATCTGGTTTGTTGGAGATCTTCAGGTCAGAGAAATGTTCCTTTGGCAAATACACCATGACTAACTGCAAAGCGTTTGGGGTGTGGATGCAAATTTTAATTGGCGTGTGCGGCATGCTTTCATTGGTTGCGCTGTGGGCATATGGAATGTACCGTGTATTTTATCTGCACAGGTCGTACCATAGTCTGAGTCTTTACCTCCCGTTTATCATCTACTGGCTTTGCGCACTTATCGTTGGAATAATTTCGCAGGTTCTGAAACCTAAAATCACGACAATATATTCCGGAGTTCGACATATGCAACTAACACCCGGCATTTCAAGCAGGGCTGTTTTATTTTATATGGATATCATTACTGGCATGATTGTAGTGCATTGGATGATTCGTAATATCAAGAGCTCTTTTAACGAGAGCTGCGAGATGATGATAACATGCACGCTAATAACGCTTGTGCTTATATACGTTACAACGATTCACTACGTATTCCCGCTGTATCCTTTGGATGTCCGCGTACGGATTATAAATACGTCAATAAACATTTTTCTATTAATTTGCTTTGGTGGCTTATCATGGGTGTACCACTGTACAATTGCGCGTTTAATCGCCAGCAATACCTTGATAATTGGATTAACAAGCTGCGTAAGGATGGCTTGCAGAAAGAGTACGACGTTGGCCCCAATGCAATATCAGCTACTGGCTATGGGTGCTGCTAATGACAAGCACCACGGGCAATAATACTGGCGAGGTTTTCTATGCAATGGATAATATTGTTGACGAGGACCAGGGTAATAAATCCAGAAATAATATTTATGGCAAGCATTTGGACCAATTCAATCCTGACAAGCGCCTGCTAATTTAGTATTTCTCTTATAAATATACATGTTTTCAATGCAATATATATACAACAGGCATGGTGGATTGTCTGTACTCAGGTGTCTATTTTGATTTTTAGATTTTACCATAAAACCATTATTAACTTGAATCTATTTAATACTAAATGGCTTTTAAAATTAACATATGACTACAAATAAATAAATACAATGCCAACAAATTAAACAATTATTTTGTTTTCAACCGCACATCAGCATAAACAGCTATACACAGCAAATACAGAAGGATGTTCCGTAATGCAAAAAATAACCAAAAGAGTATGGAAACAATGTTTTAATTCAAGGCAATTTCATTGAATACAATGTAATCCAATTTAGTAAGGAATTGTATAAAAAGTAATAATAGCCAGTTGAGATAGGTGTGCAACTCAATGTACAACCCATTCTGCTTACGCACCTATTTTTGCATAAATGATTAACCTTTTCTTTGTGGTTTTTGCATTGAGGTAGCCAAATAATCTGCAAACACGTACATGTTTGGATTTATACCTATTTTTACATATTCAAATGCACATGTAAATCCAGAAAATCTTTTTTCAATGTTTTTTTTATGTGTCATCCTTGAATTCGGTGATTTATGATGCATTATCTTTGGGGCAGGTACAAACACAAATTTGCAAAAATAAATCGGAAAATCTCAAGCTAAAAAGAACACTGTCATGAATGAATCAGCATTCAAATGTGGAATTTGCTCATGCAAGACAGTGTTTCCTTTTAAGAATTTTATTACGTTTGGACGTATTGGGCCCTTGTATTCAAAAACAAAATAATGTATAATATTCGTACAATAAAGTTTCTATATCCTATATTTCTTCATTCCAACACCCTCTATTTTCATTAATATCTATTTTTGCTATTTGGCGCCATTTGTTTTATTAATCTTTATCTCATACATACGCAATTATATTTGGACACAAACTTGCTACGTGGTTTAAACACTTTTTTTATTTTTTTCTGGACTGACATTACTTTTGGAAAGCCCTATATTAACAATGGGCAACCAAATATCGTTTACGGTCTTAGACAGCGAGCTGCAGCGCCAAAAAATTGCCGAGACAATGTATTTAGCTCTGGACCCGCGAGGCAAAGCAGACGCAATCATGGTTATTGTATTGTCCTCTATTTACTTTGTTGATTTTTTGGCGGTTGCGTTTTTACTATGGAACAGAAACTATCCGCCGCTAAAATCAAAGGGTCCAATACTCATGACCCTGATGATGGCGTCGTCTGCATTCTGGTTTGTCGGTGACCTGATTGCCAACGGACACCTGCGCACTGCAGGTACGATTATGAACAATTGCATGGCGTTTGGCGTTTGGGTTCGGCTTTTGTTGGGCGCATGCACCATGTGTATCCTCACTTCGTTTAGGGCGTACGGATTATATCGCGTGTTCTTTCTCAATCTGCCGTATCATACCATTGGACTCTACCTGCCGTTTGCCATTACTACACGTGTCTGCTTATTGTTGGAATTATTTCGCAGGTTTTGAAGCCTGAAATTACCATATATTACGAGGAGAAAATTGACTTGTGGTTGCACACCTATCATTCAAAGCAATGCTCTTTGTATTTTTGTGGCTGACATGGGCTGTTATGATAGGGGTTTTTTGGAAGATTCGCAACATCAAGAGTTCGTTCAACGAGAGGCGCGAGATGATGGTGACATGCACAATCATATTTGGAGCCCTCGTGTTTATGACAATTATGAACTACACAAGTCAGTTTTATGCCCTGAAAACAACCCTTCGTGTGGTAACTACTGTTTTGAGTCATTTAGCAACCAACGCACTGTGGTGGATTATCATGGCTGTGCCCATGTACAACTGCATATTTAGCCGACAGGAGTATGTCAGTCAGTGGATTTTAAAGCTGGGCAAGGACGGTCTGCAGAATGAGTACGACATCAACCCAAATGCAACTGGCGGGCATAGTAACATATATTTGTCCTCCTACAATGCGCACAGCAATGACGTAAAGGGGGATAAAGGATTTTGCAAATGACTAACGGAAGCTATCAGAGCAAGGAGGCCGATTCCAGATTAAGCTCACAAAATACTTTTTCAAGGGCTCCCGAAAGCCCACTTTATGGTAATAATGACGCGGCTTATATACAGGGCTTGCAGTCAATGAGCGCGATGGAGCGCCGTCAAGAGAGCATTATAATTGAAACAAGACCAGAGTCACCAACTTTTAATGCATTAAACAGATATTAACTAGAATCATATTAATGAATTTTACATAGACAAAATTTATGTTGTTATACTTTGGTAATGCTGCTCAAGGCTAAAAAACAAAATTTGGGCGACTAAATAAAAGTAGCAGCAGTGCAAAAAATAAACCCATGTCTTTAATTTTATTAATTAAAATATTTGGGCTTAAATTACGAATGTTACATAATACAAGGCACGCGTAATGTAAATAGGGTTTATATTTTATATTTAAAATTTTGTTAATCGATATATCAGATTTGTGTTTTTAGTAACATTAGTTTATTGCTTTTGGCAACAAAGTTGCTGAGACTGCTGGCAAGTGCTAAGTAATAAAAATCATTTTTTGCTCAAACTGAAATACAATGCCATTGCAAATGGAAATCTGCAGGCTCATAAATATTTGAGCAGTCTTTATTTTAAATAATAAAAATAGATAGCCTTGTATAGTTTGAAAACTGATTATTAGGCATTTTCAGCGGATGGCAGGCCGTCAGCAGTAAGTGCAAAGTCGTGCATTGACAGTATTATTTGTGTGGTAATTCCTGCAAACTGACAATCTTAATTTTGAGTGTCGGCGTTCAGAAACCGCTTTTCTCATTTTTCGACACTGTAGCCCACCAATTAAATCAGTCCTTGAAGCCCAACGAGCAGCAAGAATTTTACGCTTATAGTTATTTTTACATCGTACAATTGTTTTCTTTGTGGGTTTTTTAGTACCGAGTCAAAACGTGTAATGGCAATATATGTGATGTTTCCTGCAGTGGTTTCTTATTATTTTATTAAATTGTAAATCAAAGGCTGTATTTTTAATATATGCTTATTGCTGCCACTTTTTGTCATTTTTAAAGGTTTTGGTTGAGCATGCTTGCAAAGCCTTTTAAGTTAACTTGATAAAGAAAAATTAATGCAACTGGTAGAAAAAAGTACGCCAGTGTCTGCAAATATTTTCAATGAAACACGTAAAGACAAATCCGCATGGTAATCAATTTTTATTATTAAAAAATACTAGTATTTCGACGTGCGTATGTGCTATTTATCTGCACCGCTGCACATAAACCTCCAGTCTTATTTTTGAAGGGTTATTCAACTGGCTTTATTTTGTAATTTTTATTATATAATACTTATATTTTTCAGACTACAACCAAATATACATACGGCGTACAGAGGATGGGCAACCAGATATCATTTACGGTTGTGGAAAGCGAGCCACAGCGTCAAAAAACGGCGAGGTGTTAGAATTAAGGTGGAGCCACAGGGCAAAGCAGATGCAATAACGGTTCCTATATTTTCAATTGCCTACTCGGTTAATTTTTTGGCGGTTCTATTCTTACTGTGGAACAGAAACTACCCGCGTTAAAGTCAAAGGGCCCAATACTTATGACTTTGGTAATGGTTGTATGCACAATCTGGTTTGTCGGTGATCTTCAAGACAACGGACGCCTGCGCACTGCGGGTACGGTTATGATCAACTGCAAGCCTTTCGGGTTTTGGATGCGAGTTTGTTAGGCGCGTGCAATATATGTGCACTGCTTGCATTCAGGGCGTACGGGTTGTACCGCGTGTTCTTTTTAGTCCTTACATACCACACCGTCGGACTCTACCTGCCGTTTGTTATTTACTACGCAATCATGCTTGTCTACGGAGTGGTTTCGCAAATATTAAAGCCAGCTCTACAATGGTGTACTTTGCGGCCCTCGATATCTGCAAATATAACATTGTTTTCAGGTCATCACTATTTGTATTCATGTGGCTATGGATTGCTATGATGGCCGTTCACTGGAAGATTCGCAACATTAGGAGCTGTTCAACGAGGGTCGCGAAATGACGGTGACGTGCACAATAATATTTAGAATACTTATTATTTCCACGGTTATAAGCTACGTACGCCCATTTTATCTCTGCATGTGTCTTTGCGCATATTGACCACAACTCTGAACCATTTTTGGGCCACTGTGTTTGGTGGCTACTAATGGCAGTACCCTTGTACAATTGCATGTTTAATTGCAGGAGTATCTTAATCGGTGGATTTTGAAGTTGCGCAAGGACGATCTGCAAAACGAGTACGACATAGATATGGACGCAACCGGCGGCCACAGCCATGGATTGTCAGTATCGTACAATGTGCGAGATAACATGCTGCGTTCAAATACCGCAGGAAAGGGAGACAGTTGAGGGTTTCAACAAATGAGTGACAAAAGATACCAGAGCAAGGAGGCTGATTCCAGAGAAGCATATCAGAGGACCTTTGCATAGCCTCCTGAAAGCCCACTTTATGAAAATAGCGGAGCGGCTTATGTCCAGAACCTCGGTCACTAGGCGCAATGGAGCGTCGTTTTGAAGATATTTTAGCAGAAGCAAGGCCAGAGTCACCGTCATTTAGCGCATCCAACAGACATTACCTTTTACATTTTGAATACATAAACCACTTTGAATAAGTAACTAACGAAAGCTGTATCCATCACCATTTATTCGGCTGCGACTTGATTTATAGTTTTATGGTTGGAAAAATTCAGCGAGAATCAGAACATAGTCCAAAAATGGACAGCTCATTGAGTCGAATGTTCAGATTGACTAAAAATATAAAACGAACTTTGCTTTTTGTCGGCCAAGGCCGGTCCAAAATTCCTCACGCGTATACTGACTCGTCAACATCAAAATCAACAAAGGGCATGTCATTTTTCCAGGATGCCAACAAAAGCGCTCACTTGCTTTGGCAGCTATGTGCACCAGATACATAATATCAAACTGCGTGATGGCTGACATCCTTAATATTTTTCTTCTCTGGATAAATGTTTTATTGACAAAACGAAGCGCTGTTCACAAGCAAGGCAAAAAGCCGCCTTGAGATTACGTGGGGCTACTCGCTACATCATGGAATTTGGACGAACACAAAAGCGTGTGTGTGGCAAGCAGATACAATCTTAAAAAATATTCTATTTCTATTTCATTCGGCGGCTGGTCAGACAAATGATTTTTCGCTTTTCTTTATAAAAAAGTTGATTGATCGCCTTTTCTGAAACCAACAACACGCTGTTGGCTACAAAAAAATTCCACAAATTGCGTCGCGTGTTCCGTCCAATAAACCAAATTGCGGAAGTTTTGATTGGCAGTCTTTCTACGATTTTAGCACGTTTTACGAAACATGATAATTTTTTTCTGGCGAATACAAAATTGAAGCCTATTTGATTTATTCTTTTCAAAAAAGGACGTTATTTTTAATGGTGACACCGCACTATTGTCTACTCTGTTTTTATATTGTCGATTTGGTTTACAAAATAATCCAAAAAACATAGAGCCGAGTCCGAGCATGTTGAAAGCAAGTGTATTATACTTTTTTGCGTATACATAAACAAACAACGAAAAAGGTGAAGATCACCTAACTGCATTTGGAATACTGATACGCACATTTTAGTTTTTTTACTCTCGCTCATTCCGACCGTTGAATCCTGCGTCTAATTATTGATTTATTTAACTATTGCTTAGTAGTTAGGATTACCACATTTCCATCTGGGGTATGCGAGAATGTCGGCATCCGGATTTAGTCTCTTGGCCAAGAAGCCATCTGCACTGTCCGAAATTCTCGTACAAATACTTCCTTTATGCCCAACTAAAACATCGTTCAATAGTATTTTTCTTTCCCTCAATTTGTGCAACGCTCAGCCTACATATTTTATTTCATTTTTACTTGTCTGCTATACGTGAATTTTTGGGCGCGTTTTTCGAAACTCCATCTATCCATCTATTACATATTCTATTTTATTATCTCCAAAGCATTATTCTGCGCATCGTTCAATTCCCACATAAATATTAGTCACATACAATTAACCACGCCACATTCACAGAATGGGCAACCACCTATCGTTTACGACGCCGAAGGGCGAGTTATTACGTCAAATGTTTATCGAGGCGGCCGGGTATTCTTTGGATCCGCGCGGCAAGGCGGACGCAATCATGACGGTCATAATCACATCTGTTTATACTCTGGGTCTTTTGGCGGTTGTGTATATGCTGTGGAACAGAAACTACCCGCCGCTAAAGTCAAAAAACCCAATAATCATGGCGCTAACAATGGTGGCATCCATACTGTGGTTTGTCGGGGATCTCCAGTCCAACGGGCATTTGCAGCTTGCCACGTCGTCCATGACTAATTGCAAGGGATTTGGCGTGTGGATGCGCATTCTGCTTGGCGTCTGCCTCCTGGCTTCGCTGATTGCACTGCGGGCGTACGGATTGTACCGCGTGTTTTGTCGAAATCTTCCTTACCACAGTTTTGGACTGTACCTACCTTTTGGACTGTACCTATTGTGCTTGGTCATATATGGCGCTGTTTCGCAAGCATTGAGTCCTTCCATTACGACCCAGTATTTGCTTCTGTTGGACATCTGCAATTCCCATCCGTCATTCAAGGCGGCTCTATTTTCGTTCATGTGGGTGTCCCTTTTTGTTGTGATATTTATCCACTGGAAGATCCGCAACATTAAAAGCTCGTTCAACGAGACCCGCGAGATGACAGTCACATGCGCCATTGTATTGCTTTTACTCGTATTCGAGACTGTCATGAACTATGTTAGTCCGCAGTATCCCTTGAACGTCCGTCTGCGCATAGCGACCACATCGTTGGACCACTTTGCGACAAATGTAATGTGGTGGCTAATCATGGGCGTACCCTTGTACAACTGCATGTTTAATCGGCAGCGCTACCTCAACAACTGGGTTTTTAAGCTACGCATGGATGGTCTACAGAACGAGTACGATGTCGACTCGGACGCTGCTGTCGCCAAAAAGCAAGGCATGCCGAACTCATATAATATGCGCGGTACAATGAAGCTGGCAAGCACAACGGGAAACAAGGAAGTTGGGTTTTACTATGCGAGAGACAATGGAAACTACAATGGAAATGCAAGTGTTTCTATCCAAAACGCGCAAAATGCCTTTTCTCAGAACTTTGAAGACCCACTGTATACAAATGCTGGCATTTACTACAGCTTGGATTCTCATTTACCGGGTGTGGCGGGGCATCGCCAAGATAATATTATAATGGAGATAATCCCAGAGTCACCACAAAACCATTCAACATCGCCAAAGTTACGACCGCTATCGCAAAATGTGGGAAAGTGGGAAGGTTCAGCTAACAGTTCTGATCGCTACATTGTACCACTGGGCGAGTCACAGTTGTACACACCGATATCATTCCCCGATGCTGTAATGACCGCGCCTTTCAAGCCAGGCGCGGCTCAAAACGGGCATTTGGACCACTACGATTCCCACGACCGACAATTGATTTAGTGCTTAATAAATTAAATATTTGTATATTTGTATATCGACTACCAATTTAAATGTTTTAACAATTTGATGAGTTGGTTCAATATACTTCTTGAATGCATTTAAGCTATAAGAGTGTGCTAGTGAAAAGCCGTGCAAGACAAATACATAACAAATTTACTATCTGTTAATATTTAGTAAAAAGTATAAATCATAATAATTATGATACATTAAAGTGCACTTCAAATCAATCCACAACTTTTAAATATATTCCGCGTGTGTATTAAGTGTAGTCATTTGGCAAGGCGGCTCTTTTTATTGCTAATTTTTTACACATGCCTAAAGTCAATCATTCTGTGCAACTGATTTTTTTTAGAAACAATGAGCTGTTGTTTGGGCAAAACTGTGCATATTGTGTAGATTATACACACATGTCTATACATTCGAATATCAAATATTGATTTCAATACAAAAAATAAGTGATTGTTTGTTTTTTTCTTTGTTGGTCGTTTTTTGGTTTATGAAAAGAAGTCATGTTCCAATGGGTCGATCTAAAAAATCAGTGTTAAACATTGGTATTGTTACACACTACCAACCGCAAACCTACATACTAGGCATCGGCTAATTCAACGAGGGCATTATTTTCCTTACTTATTCTCTTATTGCTTTTTATTTCCTATTCGCCCTATATTTATATTTAATTTTTAGCCATTTAATACCAATCTTATTTTATAATAATGGGCAGCCGTTTAGCTTTTATACCGACCGAAAGCGAGCTAGCACGCCAGAAAGCCGCCGAGATAATTGTGCTTAAAAATGGATCCGCGCGGCAAAGCAGACGCAATAATGATTGTTGTGTGGTCGTCCATCTACTCACTGAACTTTATGACAATTGCGTATATTTTGAGGAACAGGAACTACCCGCCACTGAAAGCTAAAAAACTGTCAGTAATGGCTTTAATAATGGTGGTATCTGTAATTTGGCTTGTTGGTGACCTCCAGGTCAACGGGCACGTTTCTTTGGTAAACACACCCATGATCAACTGCAAAGCGTTTGGCGTGTGGATACGGGTTTTAATGGGCATGTGTGGCATGTTTTCTTTGATTGCTCTAAGGTCTTATAGATTGTACCGCGTTTTCTATTTATTTTGTCCATACCATAGTCTAGGGCTTTACCTGCCGTTTGCCGTGTACTGGTTCTGCGCGCTTATTGTTGGAGTTTTTTTGCAGGCCTTGAAGCCTGAGTACACAGTATACTATGACTCGCCCCTTGACATTTGCAAATACCACAAGGCATTTCAGGCCATTCTGTATGCGTTTTTGTGGATTTCATTGTTTATCATGGTTAATATTCACCGGAAGATCCGTCACATCAAGAGCTCCTTTAACGAGATCCGCGAGATGCTGGTGACATCCACGATAATGACACCTGTGCTTATATACATGACTAATATTCATTACATGCGCCCAAACTATCTTTTGACAGGCCACCTGCGCATAGCAAACACGTCCGTGCAGCATTTAATGTTTAATATAGTGTGGTGGCTTATCATGGGTGTACTTTTTTACAAGTGTATGTTTGACCAAGAGCAGCGCCTTAAACAATGGATTGGTAAGCTGCACAGGGACAGGTTACAGAAGGAGTACAAAGTTGATTTAAACGCACTTGCCGCTAATGCCCAAGAGTTCATGTTGAAGACAAGCTCCGCTGGAGACAGAATCATTGCCGGTTTTTACCCAATGTACGACAGCATTTACGAGGACAACCCCAGTAATGCTCCCAACAAGAAGCACGTCAGCTTTTCACAGTCTTCCAAAATATCCATTCCGTCGCATGGCCGGAGCTCATACGAACGAATCACTCAGCTGTCATCAGCAGTAGGTCGCCACCAAGAGGATATTTTACCTGTTGATACAAACGGCTACGTTGTGCCCCCGGTTGGACCACAGCTTTACATGCCAGTATCAGTTCCTGATAATGCAGCAATGGCCCCTCTCAAGCTTAGTCCAGATCATAACAGGACTTTGGACAATTACGACTTGAGCAATCGCCATTTGCTTTATCATCCGTATGCAATATACTAATGAAAATGTAATTTGTAATTTCCAGATGTTTATAGCGAAATTCCAGATTGCTAAGCGGGAGATTTTAAAACCCCATTTTCCCCAGTTTTTTTTAGCTTAAAATGTCAGAAAGTCCAGATTTTTGAAGATGCAGGGGAGTATTCAATGTTTGCGTCTGACTGGTGCTTTAGTTATGAGTTAAGTGTGATGCTTAACGATGTAATTATATTTTTGATTTCAGTTTTGAAAAATATATATTTAAATATTATTTGCATTTATTGCGTTAAATAACAATAAAATCAGTAAATAAAATGATAAGAAATTCTAAGAAATGTAGGTCGCGGATCTGATACATGCACTGGGACCAGCACCAGCACCCATAGCAGACCCAGGCTTTCTATGGGTGCACCAGTACGAGTGCCAGTGCACGCAATAGAACCAGTTCTGCTTTGGCAACCTTGATGTAGTTGTTGGAATATATAACTTTATAGTTTATCTACATGTTCATAGAACGTTCCTAAAGTGTATTTAATGAATAAGTGCTATTCACTGCAAAAGGTAAAGAGTAGAGATAATATTGCTTTGGTCACTATGGGACCTATTGTTTGTGTGGCTAAACAGCCAAGACTAGTTAATCAGTTGATCGTCATCAACCAATAGCAGTAGAACTCGTGTTGAAGTGACAGCGACGAGCTGGAAGACAAGCACAAGGCAAAGTGCGTGACAAAACAGTGGTGAGCGCAAGGCAGTATGCAAGACGGAAAAGCAGCAGCAATTGCAAGGCAGAGTGCGAGATGGAGAAACAGCGGTGAACAGAGAAAAAATAGCGGTGAGCGTATGGCAGTGACTCAGCGACAATGATGATAAGTACAAGTATAATTACAAGTACAAAACCAAATTCCCTATAATATGAAGTTACGAGTGAAAACATTAAAATAAAACTGCTAATATTACTAAGAAAAACGACTTCAAATAAGAGTATGAAAATTGAAAATTAATGAAGATAATTAATGAAAAGCGTCTTATCTTGTGGGCGCAAATTATAGTATTTTTTACTCTCATAGTTTGCATCATTATTGCCATTTTATCTCCCCGCATTCTAATTTGCATATACGTTTTATTAGATTCTATGCTCATCGTATGTGTATTTAAATTACCATCTTGTTCTTCCGGTATAGAATCCTCCTCTTTTCTTAAAACCAATTTTTTAGTCTAATATAATACTAGTAAAACAAAATGGTACGATTGCATTGAATAAACTTATACCTATCAACATAATAATATAAAATAATTTTAAAGAGGGGAGAAAAAAGCAAATAGATAGTTTATGCTGTAAGCAACTTTTTTGGTTTTCTGGTTTTTTATTTTTCCTCACTGAATGATGGTTCAACCATATAATTTTTATTTTCGCGTATTTTTTATCATATAAAATGTTAAGATTAAAAATGTAAGTAAAATATATGTCAGTTGAGACATGATGTTGCATAAACAAACATGTCTTTCTGAAATTATTGGCTTATGCGCATAGCAGCCAGAGCAAAGATGAAAAGGTTTTATTGTAGCTTATTTACATATAAAGAGGAACATATAAAAGGAGTGGCTTTTGAGCAGATAGGAAATGTTCTCATTTGAAAATAAATAGTTTTTTTTGATTATACCATTTTGTAACATATAATTGCATAATTTGAAGTGGTTTTATATTTTACATTTTTCACACCCTATTTTTAAATCAACTCGATCAACTTTTTATTTTTATTATTTATTATTTTATGCCCACTAGCATAGAAGCGCTCCTCAGCCTCTGCAAAATGCATTGTCCCTACTTTTTGACAGTTCTGCGCAAGCATGTTGTCACCAACCACCGTGTTACAACAGCCACGTCGAGCTCGCACAGTATATTTTTTACAAGAGCTGGATAACGAGGGCTTTAATATTGTCGACCATCTAAATCAAGGTTTCTTTAAGGAGTGTTTTATTGCCCTTTACATTGGAGATCAAAACAAATCATGCAGCAACAACCTGAGCAATGCAAACGGCAAACTCTTTAACAAGCATAAGCACAAGTTTGTCAAGGAAACCAAGTTTGAGTGCCCACAGCTCATTAGTGCGGCCTTTGTTGCTAATTACAAGGTGCGACAATCCTTGCAGCATACAAATCTCATATGTCTCAGCGCTTTAACAAGCAGTTAAAAACATGGTTGAAATAACACTTGGCGTAAAGAACAGGACTGGGCAACGGTATAAGAAACTTATGAAGGAGGTGGCCACACCAAAAATTAAATACAACAGCAGATTAGCAAGGATATCGGAATTCCGACGGGCAAGATGAAGTGGGCTCTGCTGTGCGTTAAGATCAGCAAACCGGAAGCAACTCGACACCAGTCACATTTCAGATCCTATTCTCTACGACAGGATGGAGTACCCAATTGAAAGGATTCTTGGCACCTCCTCTGAGGACTACAGTTTCGGCGACAAGGGGCCCAGTATGACTTTGTGGCCAAGAGAGTGAACCACATTGGGGTTTTGTTGAGATATCCTGGTCTTTAAATCTCAACAAAGGTGTGCGGACAATTTCCCTCTCTCCAATGAGGACATTATTGTACTAGGGTTTACGACAATTGACAAGGCCATTCTTGCATGGTGTATTCTGTATGTCACAAAGAGCCGACTCGAAGCGCTACACGAGGATAAATTTGTCCGATATTGAACTCCACAAGATTCCGCCTCTGACAGAGCTCTTAGTCAATTCTCCAGAGGAAATTTGGTCACATTGTTGTGATATATTTGTGTCGTACTCTATAAAAATGTGGGTCTAAATTATTATATTCAAGTATCAAAAATTACTTAAGGAACTGAAAAGGGGCAGTGCTGTAAACATAATGGTGTTCCTTGATGCAGCTAGCAATAACAGAAAAATATATAGTGGCCATAAGGGCAATCTTGATTCTTGAAAAGGGAAATAGTGGCTTGGAATGTGTGTTGGGCACCACATCTTGGCCGTTTTAGCTCAATTCTCAAAAGGACAAAAAACCACATAAGTTAGGAGGATCATTCATACGAATGGCGTAGCAATAATTGTATTACTCGACTCACCCGCAAACACACAGGCTAAGAGGACCAAGGCCAAGAGTATTTCACAGTCTCAGAAAGGTTCTGGCGATGCTGACAACAAAACAGCAACAAAAACAGCAATGGTGTATTCACAATAAAAAGGCTTCTCTCCCGAATACATTGATAATTTGTCAAAAATGGCATTCATGATATTGTTGACAGATCAGTTATCTGTGATACTGGTCGTAGGGATATGCTATATTGTCTGGATATAAAAGCAACTACAAAAAGGGTGAGAGGAAGGCTTTCTGCCACTCTAAATATTCCGAGCTAAAAAAGTCATGAACGCGTTTCATTGGATCTGTAAAAATGCAAAAAAGTCTTCAGCTTGATCCCGCGAAGCTCGCCAAGGCGAAATAAATGGCTGGTATATGTCTGTTGGGGATGCCAAGCGTGCGCTCAACCACCCTGCTTCAGCACACTTGATTGCAAGTTGTATGTCGAGTATCTCCTTCAGTGCCGGAAAGAGGATTTTGTTTTGGGAGAACACTATTACAACATTCAGGCCCTCAGCAAGAGTCGAAAGTACGATGGCAGCAGCTCAACCGACCCCTTGTACCACAAGCTCTGCTAGCTTTCTTTTGTTAACAGAAAGTGCGCCAATGTCGAACTCGCAAAAACTTTACATGCAAAATTTGGGCCAGATACAGTCCTTATCCTTGGTAATTGGACCCAGGCATGACCCGTTACCATGAGCCAATCCGTGGCAAGGGGCTGCGGAAAATGCCAATAGGTCAGGGATTCACTGTTTATTTGATCGACAAGTATTGTACTTCAACGTTTCCCCACTGTGTGAGTAGGATGAAGTTTCACAAAATTGATTATCCTCGTCTAAAGAACCCTAAGCACAAGTACCACGTCGCAATGGCAGCAACAGCAGAATGGTCAGCACAGCAGGAGCAGGTGGCTGCAACAGGCGTTAATACAATTCCAGCAGTAGAAAAATCTCGCCAAATTTCATGACACGGCTTGCTCCACTCCACAATGTAAAACAGTCTGCAAACCTTTAGGGCCGACGGAACCAAGATCAAGAATGGCGAAAAAGTGCCATCAGGCAGACAGAAGTGGAATCGTGACATGGCTGTAGTGCTAAACTTTTGTATCATTCTTAACTCCCTTGCAGGCGAGCGTCCTCCCTGTTCTTGCGCAAAAATGGATCGTCAGGGTTGGCTGAAGCCGAGTCAACAGCGACACCCGAGACCTTGATTAATACCAAGTTTGTGCGCAAGAAGCCATCTGCCCCTGCTTCTTTCTTTAAAAAAGCAGCGAACTGATTAATATCCTCAACTACAGTGGTATATTGCCACTAGTTTCTAAATACTTTTTAGGTTGCTAGTCAATCTAAGGGAAGGATGTCGTTTTGAAGGATATCTGTAGCCTCATTTTTTCCTATAGTGTAAATGTGCCAAATAAATTTAAATAAATTACTTTACCAGCGAAAATTACAATTGTTGAGTTGTAAAGCTCAAAAAAATCTTGGTTTGAGATTTTTACATTTATTTAAATTCAGATATTGTACCGCACAGATTAGTATTAAAAAGATAAGTGCATATTGATTTATAAATTGACCAAATCGCTGCTCAAACTAATAAAATAAAGAGAAACCAAAATTAAAACAATTTACAAAAATTTGATTGCTGCGTGTTAAAGACAAAAGCATACTACCAAGCTCATCACGTTGTGGATTAAACCGGATATTTTGCCGAACATCACTGGATGCAAATCTTTTTACATGATTAGTGCCTTTTGCATGCTACCTTTATTTTTCTTTGTGAAAATTTTTCGGGTCAAGCAGAAAAATGGGTAAACTGGGCTGCTTTTCTACACAAAACCCAATTATTTATTCGATTACTAATGTGGTTTTCTGCCTGCTTTTCACAAATCCAATTAATTGATACACTTTTCCCATCTGTATTTAGAAAATACGTTTTTTTCTATTGATTTGTAATTATTGTTTTCTTATTTTCTTCTCAATTATAACTATACTTATTGCATAATCTATATTTTTAGACTACAGTCAGTTGTAAATTCCACGTACACAAAATGGGCAACCACATGTCATTTACAGTGACGGAAAGTGAGTTGCAACGCCAAAAAATCGCCAAGACAATGAGCTTATCTCTAGATCCGCGAGGCAAATCAGACGCAATAATGATGACAGTATTTATGGCTACATACTTTATCAATCTACTAGTGGCCCTCTTCTTACTGTGGAACAGAAAATACCCACCGCTAAAGTCAAAGGGGCCAATACTCATGACCTTAATGATGGTAGTATCTGTGGTCTGGTTTGTCGGCGATCTCCAAGGCAATGGGCACCTGCCTTTGGCAAACACGCCACTGACTAACTGCAAAGCGTTTGGATTCTGGATGCGAATTCTAATGGGCGCGTGCACCATCTGTGCATTGACAGCATTCAGGGCGTATGGACTGTACCGTGTTTTTTCCTGAATCTTCCCTACCACACCGTCGGACTCTACCTGCCGTTTGTCATCTATTACACGATCATGCTTGTTTACGGAATTGCTGCGCAGGTACTGAAATCTTCTTTAACTATAGAGTACTCTGCGTCTCTCGACATCTGCAATTATACCCGGCTATTCAAGACGTCACTATTTGTGTTCATGTGGCTGAGCTGGGTTGCTATGATGGGGGTATTCTGGAAAATTCGTAATATCAAGAGTTCGTTCAACGAGGGTCGCGAAATGATGGTAACATGTGGAATCATATTTGTATTGCTTGTAGCTGCAACAACTATAAACTTTACACGCCCAAGTTATCCACTGTACCTTTCATTGCGCATGCTAACCACAATTTTAAACCACCTTGCAACTACAGTACTCTGGTGGCTTATTATGGCAGTGCCCATGTACAACTGTATGTTTAATCGGCAGGAGTACCTCAGTCGGTGGATTCTGAAGCTGCGCAAAGACGGTCTGCAGAACGAATACGATGACGACCCAAGCGCACCCAGTGGTCATAGCCATGTACTGTTGGCGTCGTACAATGTGCAAAATAACATGCTGTATTCAGGTACCAGTGGCAAGGGTGATAGCAACGGATTCAAACAACTTGGAGACGGAGGCTACCAGAGCAAGGATAACATATCTCAATCAGGTTTTCGCGGGAAATTTACACAGCCTCTCGAAACTACGATTTACCATAATAACGACACAGCTTACAATCAGAATTCTCGGTCTTTGGGTGCAATAGAGCAACGCCTGGAAAACGTCATAATGGAAGCAAGACCAGAGTCGCCGACATTTAACGCATCAAACGGAATTTAGAATCCTATCACTGTAGTATGTTTATGCTTACTTAATACAAAATTCTCATCTTAGTTTTAGAATTTTCAAATGTATGATACACATGGCCAGACTAAATTAGCATTTTACCTTGCTCAGTTTGATAATAATTAGGCTAAAATACTCTTTAAATAATATTCAAGCAAAATCTTTGATAAGGTAATATTTTTCACACCCAAATATTTTGTCTTAACTTTGCAATATAAAAAATCAGTTTGCCAAAATTATCCCGATAATATAATTGTAAAAAATCAATTGTTTTAATATAATTGTTTGATTTTATTGGGTTGTATGGCTCTTAAATGCACCAGGCATTTAGACAAATTTGAAATTCAAGCCTAGTTGGTAAAAATCAGCAACTGTTATAATTATACTGGGAAGAAACACGAGTTTGAATCTGAATTTGTCCCCCAAAGATGTATATCAATATTAATGTACTTGTTTTTTATTTCTTATCATTCCCGACTTTTAATATTTTCACACAAAGCCCATTCACGTTTTGTTGGTCTGACGATATTCAGACACTCTTTTGCATATTTTGTTACAATCCATTTTCCGCTTGTTCTTTGTGTTTTGCATGCATTGTTTGCGTAGACCTTTTTTGGTTTCCACAAGACTCACTAATCGTTCTATCCACACACCTACCCATCTATCTATTCATTCATTTTTTGTATATTTACAAATTGTATAATATTTTAAATATATTGCAGCTGCATGTATGCATTTACCCCCAGAAAGTCATTTGTTTTTAAAAAATAATATAAAAGTATGTCAACAAAAACAAGGAACAAATGCACATAATAATATTTTTAATTCAAAAAGCATAGTAAAATATGATTCACCGGCTGTTTGTATTTCTGTGCTCACTCATTTACTCATTCACGCATTTCTATTGTGATTTCTGCTTTACGATATATGCAACCGCTCTTTTTTTGATGAGAGGTTCATGTACTTTTTATTTTACTACATTGTCAATTCATTTTTCAGACTCGACTTATTTTACGCTAATATTGTTTTGCTATTATATTTTTTATTTAACAAATGGGAAACCAGCTATTGTTTTCACTGACAAAATGCGAGCTGGGGCGTCAAAAGGTTGGCTTGGCCATGGATATGAAGGTGGACCCACGCAGCAAAGTGGACAAAATCATGCTTATTGTTATTTCAACAATCTATTTGATAGACTTTGTGGCAGTACTCTACATGCTGTGGAACATAAAGTATCCGCCGTTGAAGGCCAAAAATCCAACCATCATGACCCTGGTAATGATTGCATCTATAGTGTGGTTTGTTGGTGATCTGCAAACCAATGGACACGTTCCTCTGGCAAACACACCCATGACTAACTGCAAGGCGTTTGGAATTCGGGCTTGGTTGTTGTCTAGCGTATGTTTATATAACTCATTGATATTGTTGAGGGCGTATGGAATGTACCGTGTTTTACCTTCATCTCCAGTATCACGGCCTGGGACTTTATCTTCCGTATTTTTGTATATCCTGTGTCTAATTGTCTTTGAAGTTATTGCACAAGTGCTTAGTCCTGCCATATTAACTGTATACGTTTCGGGCTTTGACATTTGCTCCTACACTGCGGGGTTCAAGGCGGCCATGTTTGGGTTTCTGGGGGCGACTGTGCTTATTGGGGCAATTTCTCTTTGGAAGGTCCACAGTATCAAGAGCTCGTTTAACAAGAGCCGGGAAACGCTTATTTCGTACATTATTATGGTTGTAGCACTTGCGTTTGCAATTTCAGTTTTGTACATTGATCCAAAATACACCCTAAACGTACGTTTGCGCATCATCTTTACATCGCTGTTGCATTTCCTGGCAAATATATTGTGGTGGCTTATCATGGAGATGCCCATGTACAAATGTCTGTTTGATCACGAGCGGTATCTCAAACAGTGGATCAGCAAGCTGCGCAAGGACGGACTGCAAAAGTAGTACGATATCAATTCAAACACGTCCACTGCCAACAGCCACCGACTCTCAAGCTCGCACAACAGAAACAGCACACTGCTAGCAAGCAACAAAGGTTGCAAAAAGAACGGAAATTTTTATACAATGAAAGAAAGTGTTTATAAAGACGGTGACAGTATTAGAGAAGGCAGATGACCTTGATGTGAAGCACTTTTTATTATATTTTAATTTTAATTCATAATAATTCACAAATTAAGAATTTTACAATTGTTTCTGGGTTAAAGGCTGTTATAATTTACTAATTTTTAATGTCATGACGCAACATTTTTGCAACGTGTAGATGTAATAAATAACAATGAGGTTTACAAGGAATTTATATATAGTTTTCTAAGTATAATTACTCATATTATTCAGCTTTTGTTATATTTAACATTTGTTATAAACCAACTCAGTTATTCAATTGTACAAATGTATACAAAGTCTACGACTGGTATATTCAATGTGTTAATGTACGCTTGGAGTGCCAAAAAATGACGCTGCAAAATTAGAACATATACTTACAAGCATGAATTGAATTAAAGCCTGCATACCAAGCAAGTAAACCCCATTTAATATTTTGCAAAAATCTTTTTTCTGAAAGCTCTGTTTGTTACTGTTTAGTATTGTGCTTGTGACTTTTGAACGCCTTGGGATCGCCACTAGTAAATATTGCTTTTAGCTGCTTGCATGCAAGCATACTTGGTGTCTTACTGTGATAACACAAAACAGGCAATAATTGACGATCGCCAGCATTGCAAGTATTCGACGTGGAACGAGTGACACTTAGCCAGTTATAGCTCTAAGGTAGAGCAAAAACAGAAAGGTTGAAATAGGCAAAAAAATATAAAAAGCCAGATAATTACTTGTTTTAAACACAAACAAAGCCCAGAGGCAGTGAAACGATAAAAATACAACTTAAAATGTGGGAAATTGTATATCGTTTTATAATTGGCTCACACACCCCCAATCGGTTTTTTGTTTATTTCATTTTGGTATTTAATTATTAGTTGCTTAAAATACACGTGTTTTTTTGCAAAAGCAACTAACAATGTTATAATAATTTAATAAAAATAAACAGATTTTCACGTTTACCATTAAAGGAAATTGCTGTTCTGTTATTGAATTTTCAGTGTCTACATTTATTTGCGTCTGATTTTTTTTGTTGCCATGAATTATATTTTTTGTTCCCATACAAAATTTTCATATAAAGGCACCTTTAGTTTCGTTCCGATTTTAGTTTAGCACATCTTAAATTCCCATCAATTTTAATTACAAAGTACACATATTATACACCTTTTTTACAATACTATTTTTTATTTTACCAAATACTTTTTATTCAACCCCTATTTCTTTGGGAAATGGGCAACCGGTTGTCATTTTCAGTGACGGAAACTGAGCTGGCGCGCCAGAAGTCCGTTGAAGATATGAACTTAACGTTAGATCCACGAGGCAGGGCTGACGCAATCATGCTAGTTACCATTGCAACAGTATATGCAATAGACGCTGCAGCGGTCATATTTATGCTATGGAACAGGAAATACCCCCCGCTGAAGGCTAAGAATCCTTTACACATGACTTTGATTGTGGTGGTATCCATTATTTGGTTTGTGGGGGATCTTCAAGGTAGCGGCCACTTACCCTTGGCAAACACGCCTTTGGCCAATTGCAAGGTGTTTGGGTTTTGGATGCGAGTTTTAATGGGCGTGTGCTTGCAGAATTCGCTGATTGCGCTAAGGTCGTACGGGCTGTACCGCGTGTTTGGCCGTTTTCTTCCATATCACAGTCTGGGACTATATCTTCCATACGCACTCTATTGCCTAATATTACTCACATTTGGTATTGTTGCGCAGGTGCTGGACCCTTCTATTTCAACTTATTATATTGCGGACCTTGATCTCTGCGTTTTCCATCATGGATTGCTGGCGGCAATGTTTGTGCTTTTATGGGTAACCATAGTTATTGGGGGAATCGTTCACTGGCACATCCGCGGCATTAAAAGCTCGTTTGACGAGAGTCGCGAGATGATGATTGCGTACGTCATTGTGATTGCTGCGGTTACGCTTTCAACGGCCCTGACTTATTCAACCCCACTGTATCATCTGAACGTTCGTTTGCGTATAATCTATACGTCACTAAACCATATTGCGGGAAATTCATTGTGGTGGGTCATTATGGCAAAGCCCCTCTACAAGTGTCTGTTTGATCGCGAGCGGTATCTCAAACAGTGGATCGGCAAGTTGCGCGATGACGGACTGCAGAAGGAGTATAACGTCGATTCGAACGAAGCAACTGCTGTTGTTCACGGATTTTCAAGCTCATACATCAAACGCAGCACACTGTTGGCAAGCACCAATGGGAACAAGAAAGGCGGGGATTTCCATCCAATGGAAGACAGCATTTACAGTGACGGGTATGATTCCAGGGACCGTACGAACACCATTTATTTCCAGCATTCTGAAAGCCCACTAACTTTTGACGGTGGAATTTCAAATGACCTGGGTAATTGTTTTCCGTCAGCGGCGGGACAGTATAATGGCGATGTTATGCTAGAAGTGGCAACACAATCGTTGGATTCTGAGGGCGCACGTAGAAACAACTCACTCACACAGGCTTGTCTTACTTCTCCAAGACACCCTTTGAAGTTACCAACCTTGGTGTCGTTTCCTGAGGATTCAATCACAATGCGGCGTAATCCTGGTGGCATTCAAAGCGAGAATTTGGACAATTATGATACAGAAAAGCGTCAATTGATTTAGAGTTCATTAATATATATATGGTTAACAAGTAACAAAATCATTGTTGGGCGATTGGATAGAGGAAACGCACTCAATGACTTTACATGGCATACAATAATTGGTGTAAATATAATATTTGAAAACCCAACTTGGAGTATGTGTATTATATACTCCAAAAACCCATTTGCTAATATTTTAAAAGAACGGCTGTCTAAAGGGCAAATAAAGCAGGACGATGTTGTAATGTAAAGATGGTCAAAACATAAAATATTGTGAGTTTTATAAGTAAAACTTTGGCAAATATTTTGTGCTTCAATTCAATTGAACATTGAAAAAAAGCTTGCAACCAGTCGAGATATATGCATAAATCAATTTACAAATGCACATTCAATGTAGATCTTTTTGCTTGCATATATTTTTGCACATAATTGATTGCCGTTTTCTTTGTAGTATTTTGCATCATGCCAACCAGATGACTACTCAATCTTCTTTCTAATGCCAAAGCCTACACGCAAATCCAACATATCCGATATATTGCCTTCTTGCTGTTCACCAACAATTATTTGACTTTTTTTACAACTATGAGTCGGAAAAAAGAAAACCGCGTCCGATTGTTTCACTTAAAAATCGTTTCCCCTTGATATGCCTTTTCTTATCTTTATAAGCATTCTCAATGATTATGATATTTCAAAACTTTTGCTTTTTATTTCATATACTTTTTAATTATCTAAAACAGCCAGTTATACATATAATATTCAAAAATGGGAAACCAGATATCTTTTACAGTGACGGAGAGCGAGCTACAGCGCCAGAAAGCCAATGAGAGAGCGAGCACACCAATGGACCCGCGAGGCAAAATAGACGCAATAATGATGGTTGTATTTGCGTCTATTTACTCTTTCGATTTTTTGACGGTTCTCTTCTTACTGTGGAACAGAAATTATCCGCCACTTAAGTCAAAGGGTCCAATAATCATGACCTTGATAATATTGATATCTATGATCTGGTTTGTCGGCGATCTCCAAGGCAATGGGCACCTGCCTTTGGCAAACACGCCACTGACTAACTGCAAAGCGTTTGGATTCTGGATGCGAATTCTAATGGGCGCGTGCACCATCTGTGCATTGACAGCATTCAGGGCGTACGGACTGTACCGTGTTTTTTTCCTGAATCTTCCGTACCACACCGTCGGACTCTACCTGCCGTTTGTCATATATTATGCGTGCCTTCTCATTTATGGAGTGGTTTGCCAGGTATTGAAGCCTGAAATAACGGTTATGTACCTGCCGTCTATTGACATCTGCAAGTATACCCGGCCATTCAAGATGTCACTATTTGTGTTCATGTGGTTGAGCTGGGTTGCTATGATGGGGGTATTCTGGAAAATCCGTAATATCAAGAGTTCGTTCAACGAGGGTCGCGAAATGCTAATATCTTGTGGGATCATATTTGGAGCACTTTTAAGTGCAACAGTCATGAATGTCTCACGCCCCCTGTATCCCTTGAGCTTGTCTCTTCGTGTAATAACAACAGTTCTAAATCATTTTGCGGCCAATGCACTGTGGTGGATTATCATGGCGGTACCCATGTACAACTGTATGTTTAATCGGCAGGAGTACCTCAATCGGTGGATTCTGAAGCTGCGCAAGGACGGTCTGCAGAACGAGTACGATATTGATCCAAACGCGTCTGGTAACCATAGTCGTATATCGTCTTCCTCCAACAATGCACGCGAAATTATTTTGCATTCGACCATTGTGGGAGGAGGAAATAAGAGAGGATTTTTACCGATGAACGGCGGAAGCCTTCAGAGCAAGGAGTCTGATTCTAGACTAAGTTCGCAATATGTATTTTTGCGCCATTCAGAAAGCCCATTTAATGGTGATCGTGGAATCGATTACTCCCAAGGTTCGCGATCGATGGGCGCAATGTAGTGACGTATTAAGAATGCTGTAGCGGAAAATAGACTACAGTCATCGACTTTTAACATTTTGAATGAATTTTGAATGTTGCGCCCTTGGTTGTTTTTATCAACTGTTAATATAATGCTCCATATTCATTTTTATACACAACTGGTGGTATCATTTCCTGCTATTGCAACCAATGTACTATTTAAGCAAAGTATAACCCAAAATAGGAATTTTTTTATCTCAGCGGCTATTATATTGGGGATGTTGTCAAACCATTTACCTTTATTTTGCGGTCCAGCATGACCAATCACAAAAACTGTTTTAGTTTAGAAATTTAAACAGGGTATAGCATGCGTCGCCAACAAAAATTTTTGACATAAAGGAATGCCATTCGCCACCAGTAAGACCAGCAACATTTTTTATTTCAGCAAATGATTTCCCATTGCTTCATACATCCTATAAACACCCTACTGATTGGTTGGCACCTATTTGCTCAACCAATGGAGTAAGGGTTTACACTTCAAGTATATTTAAACAAATTGCCAACTAGTTGATCGTCAATCATTTTCCGCTTTTGGTATTCTCCACTGAGTAATACTGTTGTTTATTTTTATACTGAGCTTGTATGACAACCTGAGTGCATAAAACTGTCTACATTTCCGCTAGTATATTTCATCATATATTAATTTGAAATTTTATAATTGTACTTGAAATGTTTGCTTTGCGTGCATAACCAAACAAACAAAACAAACCGGAATTCTGCAAGTCACTTTAGGAAATATGATGCGCACGTATTTGGTCCAAATTGCCTTTTGGTAATAATTTTATATTACCATGTTCGTATTGGGCTACTAATATTGCCAATATTTACCTTGGCCATTCAAATCCCAGACAGCAAATATTTTAGTCCCTGAGACAAAAAGTTTTCATGGAAAGACTTGATTTACTAATATTAACTTATAAACTGTACGTTCAAAAATACTTGCATCGCCTACTCTATTGCGCAATTTAATTTAATATTACTTTTATTTTCATTAAATAACGGCACGTTATACAATAATTTGCCTGATATAATTAACAGATGGGCAACCATCTGTCATTCACCGTGTTGGAAAGCGAGCTGCAGCGCCAGATATTCGGCGAGACGATGCATTTGATGGTGGATCCGCGCAGCAAAGCGGATGCAACCATTATTATTTTTTCGATTATCTACCCGCTTAACTTTTTGGCCATGCTCTGCCTGCTGTGGAACAGGAACTAACCGCCGCTCAAATCAAAAATTTTGATACTCATGGCGTTTATAATGATGGTTTTACTGATATGGTCTGTTGGAGATATTCAAATCAACGGTCACGTATCATTGGCAAACACAGGGTTTGACAACTGCAAGGCGTTCGGTGTGTGGATGCGAATTCTGATCGGCGTATGTGGGATACTTTCCCTTATTGCTTTGAGGGCGTACATTCTGTACCGCGTGTTTTTCTTGAACTGACCTTAACCAGTCTGGCGCTTTACCTGCCATTTACCATACACTGGATGTGTATAATCGTCTACAGGATTGTTATCCAGGTTCTAAGGCCTTCCAAGACGACAGAGTACATTCAAAAGCTCGACGTTTGTGAGTTTCACTCTAGATTCAGAGCGTCTGTGTTTGCGCCTCTATGGGTCAGCCTATTAATTGTCGTCGTCGTTCACTGGATGATTCGCAATATCAAAAGCTCGTTCAATGAGAGCCGCGAGATGATGGTTACATGCACAATTATGTTTTTTGTACTGTTGTTCCAGACCATAATGAACTACGCGCGCCCACTGTACCCACTAGGCGTGCGTCTGCGTATAGTAGCAACGGCTCTGGACCTCTTTGCGATGTTCTGTAGTGGATCATTATGGCGGTTCCCCTGTACAACTGCCTATTTAACCAACAGCTTTACCTTAACCACTGGATTAACAAGCTGCGCAGTGATGGGCTGCAGAAGGGGTATGATACAGGCTCAAATACATATGCCGCTGACAATAATGCAACGTCAACCTCGTACAATATACAGAGCACATTGCTGATAACAAGTGCTGAGGGGAATAAAGGAGCCAGGCTTTTCTACGCCATGGTTGAAGATTCTTATGAGAGAAATACTGCCCCCTCTGGTAGCACTACGCACACCAGCCTTTCGCAGTCCTTTGGCATGTTCGCATTTCCCAATGAAAACATTCCAATTGAAATACTATCAGGTTTGCCAAACACTAACATTGCGCATCGGGACGTGCCAGCACGGGCTCGGCCAATTTCAACATAGCCCGATTCGCTACCACAAGATGTAGACCAGTGAAATGGTCCAACCACCGACCCTAATTGCTACGATATAACTCAGGAAATAACATACGTAAACGCACCGCCATTGTTCCCCAAGCATGTGGTTTTGGCGCCACTCAGCCTTGTTGCAGCTCACAATAGAACCTTGGACGATTGTAATTCTAGTGAGCGTCAGCTGATTTAGTCAATAAAATGTTAGCGTTTACGATAAGTGCAGTTAAATAAAAAAATACATATAAAAGTTACATGGCCAACCCAAAAGGTCATGATCTAATATGAGCATCAGGGGGAAAGTGCGGCAAAAATTGCAAGAAATTGTCTGCATATGGAGAGCGGCGACGACGGCAAGTAGAGTGTTAGATTGCAATTTTTATTAATGTCAATGTATTTAGGTATGACAAATATAAAATCCAACTAGTGGGTGAGCGGCAAAAACAGCGAGAAAGTAATAAACAGCGAGAACAATATAAATCGATGAGTCAAGGAAGAGCTCAGATGTGTGTAATAATTTAAAGAAAAATAACAGCGGCATTGTGGTGCCCAACACACATTTCAAGCCACTATCTTCCCTTTTCAAGAATCAAGATCGCCATCATGGCCACTATACACATTTCTGTTATTGCTGGCTGACATCAAGGAACACCATGATGTTTACAGCGCTGCCCACACAGCGCTGCCCCCTTTTTCAGTTAAGTAAGTAATTTTTAAGACTTGAATATATCGATTTAGACCCACATTTTTATAGAGCACGACAGGCATAAACACTATTATAAGAGGCTGCGAGATAGGAAGGGAATGCAACGAAGGGCAGCAGAAAAATTAAACATAAGATATAGTACAAAAATTATTATTATTGCTTCTACACATCATTATAATTCCGAACGCAACACATTATACAATACCTGGCGTTAGAAGGATGGCAATAAGGCAAAAGGCCACCATGTAATGCAGTGAGCTAGAAATATGAATTCTCAGACATTGTGAAATCTACGACAATATTCCTATTCTATTAGTCTAAAATACAAAAATATTGTGGTAATATTTATAATAAAAGTTCTGTGTGCTTGAATTAGTACCTTTTTTGCATTTCAGATTGTTAATACAATCCTGCTTGTGAAAAGTAACTTTAATCAAAAGTGAAAACAGTAAAACATACACATACACAAGTAAACCTGTCATGCTCTATAAAAATATGGATCTAAATTAATACATTCAAGTCTCAAAAATTACTTAAGGAACTGAAAATGAGGGGCAGCGCTGTGTGGGCAACGCTGTAAACATCATGGTGTTCCTTGATGTCAGCCAGCAATAACAGAAACGTGTATAGCGGCCATGAGGGCAATCTTTATTCTTGAAAAGGAAGGATAATGGCTTGAAATGTGTGTTGGGCACCACAAAACCCAATGCTTTTATATTTATTTTGAATAATAATAAAATAGTTAACGGCAAGTAATTTCCAATGCTATCATAAAAAATATAACTAAGCCACACTTTATTATGTTTTTAATTACAACCAGTATAACAAGTCACAATTAACCTTGACAAATTCGATTAATCCGCAATGGTCTAGTGGCTAGGATCCGACGCTCTCACCGTCGTGGCCGGGGTTCAATTCCCCGTTGCGGAACATAATTTTTGCCACTATTTTTAAAGCGGCAAGGCTTTTTGTTTTTTGGCGCTCTTTCTTTTTTACTCTGCATCTGATCAATCTCAAGCAAGCAGGTTTGGCAACTTTAAATTTTATGTTTGGTTTTTTTGCCGCTGCACAGCTCACACAAATAAATTTTCATGTATAATGTCAACTACGCAAAGCACCACAGCAACTCGCTGCGTGTTGAAATTTTGTTAAAAGCTTCTGTGATTGTATAGTATTAGCACTATCAAATACAAAAAGCGGTGAACACGTGTGTTATGAAAAGATCAAGAGACTCTTTTTCATTTGAACAAATCGCAAAATGAAAGCTGTTTGGCTGTATTCAAAACACAGCCATAGCTAATTGTCAAATGCTTGTAAAAAAAAATAAAGGCGCTCAGCACAATCAAGATTTTTATACCAAATAAAAATGTAGAAGCAGCGCGAGCGTCATAATCACAACGCTGCCCCCAAATCATCAGCAAAAAAGAATACCACAAAAAGTCCGAAAACCCGGATTTGAACCAGGGACCTAGAGATAACAACTTAATACAAGCTAGGCTTGTAACGCAACTACAGTCTCCCGCTCTACCGCTGAGCTATTTTCGGTGATTTCTCTGAAACTAATAATGTCCAGTCAGTACATATCATTGCTAATACATTTTTTGGGGATAAGAATGTCTTGTTTTGGTTATAGTTTTTGATTATGAATATTTTGGCTGGCAAGTAAAGAAAACATACTGCACATACAAAAATACGGCTGTGAGCTACATGTTTAAAATTAAGCAAATAATAGCCGGGGGTATCTTGAGTCTGTTGGTTGTTTTGTAATGTAAAAACGTTATTTTCTAGAAATGGTATCGCTCTGTTTAATATATATTTTATTTGCCTTCAAAAATTGCCAAAGCATTTTTTATAAAAAAACTGAGAAAACACTGATATTTGGCACTAAAAATATTTGAGCGTTTTTTGTGCTCTCGCTCATCGACAATAATTATTTGCTGCAGCGTTTGTATTTTCTTTGCAAGCCGTGTTGATTATTCAAAAAAACAGCGCGGCTTTGGAGCATTTAGCGCCAGAAACCAGTGCCGCACCCGCCGCACCCGCCCCAGCCACCGCAACCACCGCATCCACCAACACCGCCCCAGCCACCAATGCCAACGCCGACGCCAACGCCGACGCCAGGACCAACACCACCCCAGCCGCCCCAGCCACCAATTCCGCCACATCCACCACATCCACCGCCACAAGCGCTGCGCTTAACAAGCGCATCATTAGCATTGTTAGGCGCCGATGCATGCGGAAGAGGGTTGGCATTGGCCGCGGCCAATGAGATAGCGGCCAGCACGGCAACAACAGCAGATCCAAAAAGAGTAGTGAAGGTGGTCATTTTTCGATGTAATGGGTTTTGTAAATATGTAATGAATTGTAATTCAATGTGTGTGCAGATAATATTAAAATAGTTTTTTAAGTGCAAATGCATCCCTCTTTTATACTTTTCAAACAATTTCTAGTTTTTATATTTAAGCAGTGCGCTTCATATTCAATATTTTAAAAATTCAAAAGATAAAATGATAAAAGATTCAAATCGCCAAACAGTAAAAAAAAACATATTTTAAAACCAACAATCCAAATAATTGATATGAAATGCATCTAAAACCAACTCAATTCAACAATAACCAGAAAAAGATAAATAACTACGGTCACTGTCCGAATCGCCACTATCAGCAAAATCAACAACAGCAGATATATCCCCAACTGCCATTGCATTCACAACGTTGTCTTCATCTTCATCTTCAGACAGCTCAGTATTCGCGAAAAGAACTTGTCGATCAACCAACCTCGCATCATCCTCGCCAAACCTCGACCCAAACCGATCCTCCTCGTCCTCATGCAAGAAATGGCTAAACCCAGCCTCAACCTCGTCATACTCATCCACCCTCCAAGCAGAGGCACCGGCACCAGTAGCAGTGCCATCACCAAAAACAATTGCCGCCGCCTCATTTGTGCTCAGAGGATGATAAGTGAACCGGTTTCCGCCCTCGCCACTCCTAATATCCCTCCTCGACCGGCCATCCATACTCAAACGAGAACTGCCCCAGCGAGGAGGATGGTCGTACGACCAGCGCTGAATAGATTGTGGTAAAAATGGAGCCGCACGATCAACTGTCCAAAGGAACCCTTCCTTGGCTGCACTCCCCACCGCCTTGGCCGTAGACAGGGCGCCAAAAAACACAGGCTGGAGCTGCTCCACAATCCCAGAATTAGCATTGGGAACGCGTAAGTGCCGCCGCAGCGCCGGGCCCACCGCCGTGCCGATATCCTCCAAGCGCAGATACGGGTAGCGGCTGCGCCACATATGGTAGGCGACATAGGCCAGGCTGAGGAAGAAGAAGGGCAAGAACAGAGACCAGAAGATAGCAATCGACCGGGCCTTCCCAGGACACCACACTTCCTTTGGCCGATCAAGCACCAGGCCGTTGCGGCAGACGGATTGCGGGAGCTTGCGGTATGCCGCCTCAATAATAAAGTAGTCCTCATAATCGTCTGTGCAATTAGTTCTGGGCGCCTGCATACCCTTGACCAGCACACACTTGCCAAAGGCATTGTCGGACGAAGAGGTACTGCGCTCGAAATTGTAATTGCACTCGTAGTCGCGCTCCGAGCACTCACAGGTCTCCGACAGATAGCGCACAGGGCGGAACTCGTCACCGACATAGCATGCGCGGTCGGATATGCGCCGGTAGTACTGGACCTTGCGGCCGAGCACACATCCATCCTGGTCGGAAGACAAGTCGATGTGCTTGGGTATAAAAAGCTCAAAATCATCCTTGTTTTCGTGGTTCTTCTCGTCCAGCGGGTCGAACTGGCACATGCGCGGCTGCACACCAGTAAAGTCCAAACCAACCACAATGCCCTTATTGCCGCCATCCTTCTTGCCGTACATGACGAAGCGGCGGCTGGTGCTATCCGGCGTAGTGGTCAGGAACTCGACGCGCATAGCGCGCGCCTCCTCGGGCAGCTTAAGCGACAACCACGTTCTGCCCTGGTCCAGCGAGTACTCGACCTCGGATATCGGGTGAATACGATCAGCCACGACGATCAGCCCGCCGTGGTCGCCAAACTCGTGCCACATCGGGCCCTTATGCACAAGCGCCCATTCGACGCCGCCATCCCGGGACAAGTACATATCAGACTGGCCAATCCTGCCGAGAGAAGCACCCACCGTGCCGACGCCCATGACAAGACCAACGGCGCCAGCCGAAGAGTAAATATTCTCAGGATCCGACACCTCCGTGTACCCGTGCAAGTGCAGGGCGCAGGTGCCGCTCGCGGGCGCGGTCATCTTACAGGGTGTCTGCGGTCCCTGCACACGTAAGAAGTGCCACCGAGACCCGCCGTCGTTCGTAATGCGCGTTTGCAGGCGCTTAGGCTTGTTGGTCTTAAGCACATCCTCGGGGTTGGCCACAGTGTTGGCGATGGAAACGCCCTCTAGCGCACGGACGCGCTCAAAGTCCACTAACCCGTTCTCATCGCGATTGACGTACTCTAGCGTGCGACGGTAGTATGTGCCATTAGAGTTGGACGTGTAAATCGAGCCCCACTCAGCGCCCGCCCGACTACTCTTCGTCACATGCATCATCAGGCCAGCACCGGGCATCTTGTGATTGCGGCCGGTCAAGTCGCGGTACTCGAATCCCTCGGGCGGCTCCAGAACAGTGTAGGCCGAGCCCATAGTGAGCTTGTCGCCGGGGAACTTGGCCACAGCCGCGGTCACGCCATCCAGCGAAATATGCATCCGCAAAGACTTGCCGTCCTCCACATCCTGCGACATCAAAAGGAAGCCACCCATGATGGTGTAGTCGGTCGAGTTGCTCACCAAGACATGCTCGTTCTTCGTAAACCAATTGTCGCTGACAACAATGTCGCCGCCTCCGTTGCGCGCATCAGGATGCCGCGCGCAGACAACTGTGTTGTGCTGCGCTTTGGTCAGTCGGTCGGACTTGAGGAACGAGCATCCGCCGGAACCCACCGGCGTCACCAGCGCATCCCAGTGCGCGCCATGATCGCGCGACACAAATGCCTCCACATGGCACCGCCCGGCATCAACCGTGGTGCCGCAATCAGCGTTGGGCTGGCCGTGGTAGATGAGCCAGTCGGGGGTGTCCGGGTGGAACCTCAGCACAGGGCCCATAGCGTGTGCAGGCGACGTCGGCAGATGCAGGGTGCGGGTTGTGCGCGCCTCGTCGTCAGTGTACATCGCAATGGTGCCCTTGGCCGGCACAAAGTAGGCGTAGTCTTCGAAGTATGGGTGCCGAATGACATCCACAATACGAGAGTCTGCAGATTCAGAGGCTGAGGACAGCTCCAACCACCGGCTGCCCTCATCGAGACTGACCCAGACGCGGTCACTCTCGGTGCGCGCAACAATATGGTGCGAGTTCTTAAAGTACTGCATATCGGCGACAGGCGAGTCTAAGACAAACGCCGTCGCGTGTAAGCCACCGGCCCGACCACACACACGGTCAACAGGTCTGGTCAGGTCCTTGCCACCGGCGCACTGCGACTGCGAGTTCTTGAGATACCCGGAGCGGCCCTTGTACATATTGCCGTCGTGACAGTCCGCGGGCTGGTAAGGATCGGGGCCGTCCAGTGTGCACTCGCCGTAGTCGTTGAGCCAGAACCCCTCGTCGCACTCGTAGTCCTGCACGGTGCACTCACAGGGCCGCGTGGATGTCTCCGGAGGATCAAACTCGTTGCCAACAAAGCAGCCGGCGGTGGCCTTGCGGCGCCAGTAAGATGTCTCGCTGCCCAGCACGCAAATAGCCTCGTCGCGACTGCCACTTCTAGATCCAGCCCCAACCCAGCGTGGCGTCCACAGCTCAAAGTCGCTCTTCGAGTGATCGCGCTTGTCAATATGACACTGGCGCACGTGCAACTTACTAAAGTCCACGTAAATAACCATGGTGTCCTGGAAATTGGGGCCACCTGAGGGCATGATCTCACGAGCCAGGATCAAAATACCCTGGCCGCCACTATCCTCGCCATTAGTAATCCGGTCAACAATAACCTTTGTACCACCGGTCGTAAACCGGTAGGACTTCCACGTGCTGCCGCCATCAACCGAGTACTGCAGCGAGTCTGTCGGATTCGAGTCGTCGACAAGCACTAGCAGGGCACCGTGGTCGCCGAACTCGTACATATGGTCGGTATTTCGGATCTCCGCCCAGGTAATCCCACCATCGCTCGACAAGTACGTGCGCGCCTGCTTGTACCGCCCCAGGTGCGTGCCCACGGACCCGACGCCCATCAGATACCCGGGCGCCGAAGACACGCCGTAGAGCGCATCCATGCCCAGCATCGACGAGCGGCTGTACAAGTGGAGCGAGCAGTCAATGCAGTCAATGTCCCGGCCTGAGCTGTCCTTCTGCGGGGCCGCCAGCGGGTGCCACGACCGGCCGTCATCCCAGCTGGCTACGGTGCGGAGCAGCTTGTGCACGCCGGGCTTGCCCAGGGCCTCGGCATTGACCACCCGGTTGGCAATCAGCATACCCTCCAGGCCATCGACGCGCTCGATATCAACGAGGCCTTGGCGATTGCGGTTGGTGTGCTGTAAAACCATATGGAAGTGCGTGCCATTGCTGTTGCTGGCAAACAGCGTGCCCCAGCCGGTGCCCCAGTCCGAGTCGCCGGCCGAATTGGGCGCGCCCTCGACATCAATCAGCACCGTACCGGCGTGCGCCGGCAGCAAAGTGAACGCCTCGGGCTTGATGTTAGTGCCCGGCGGGAACCGCGCCTCATGCACGGACTTGCCATCATCCGACACAAACATTTTGAGCGCAGTGGCGGGTCTGCCTGCATCATCCGTCACGGTCTCAATGACAGCAGCGATGATGAACCGACTGTAAATATGCATATCGACGATTTCGCTGCGTTCCGGGTGTGGCAGCGGAATCACACGGAAGGTGCTGTCGCGGAAGGGCTGGGTGAAAACGCGGATTTCCACGTAATTGTCCGGATTCCGCTTCTCCGCCTGCCGGTCCTGCTCATTGCCATTGCCGCTGGTCAGCCTGTAGTTTGTGCAAATGACCGACTCGGCCGGTAAATCTGTTGCTGTGAACTCCTTGGAGCGAGCGAACTGGCATTTTGTCGCATGTGTGGTGATGCGCGTCCACTTTTGGCCATTGTCCGGGGAAAGCCAGATCTCCGAGTGGCAGCCTGGGCAGGCAGTGCCGCCGACAAACAGCAGCCAGTCGGGGTTGGTCGGGTTAAAGTCAAGCAGCGGCCGGATGTGCAGACTGTTGGCGGGCGACGGCAGGCTGCGCACCTGGGACCAGGTCGCGCCGCGGTCACCTGTGAACAGCAAAAGGTCGGCGTCGGTGTAAGCAAAGGCGCGCGAGCTATGGTAGCGGTGCGCAGTGAGGTAGACGGGCTTGCCGACCTTGGCATTGCCTGTGCTTGCAGCCAGATCAACCTTGATCCACTTGGCTCCCTCGTCGTCCGAGCGGTACAGCTCCTGGCCGGACGTCATCAAAAGGAACGAAGTGCTGTTAGGGAAAGTCATGATATGCGGCTCGCCGCGCATCACCATAGTGTGGTGGCTGACTGGGCCAAAAACTTCACCCTTATTGTTGTCCTCATGGGCGTGCTCATCGCCATTGCTGTTGTCGCCGTTGGGTGGCTGGACGCGCGGACACAGCTTGTTCACGGGCTTGTCCAGGTCCTTTGTGCGGCTGCTGCGAACACACGTGTTGCCGGGAATCAGCCGGTACCCAGAGGACGCGTCAAAGCGATCTTCCTTGTGCAGACACTGGCCGCGCGGGATAACCTCCCTGCCAACTAATTCGCACTGGCCCTTCTGATCCAGGGCGTAGTTATAGTCGCACTCGAAATCACGCGTGGCGCAGTCGCAGTCAGTCTGCAGGGGCAACAGCACCTGGTCCAGGCGCATGAAGCAGTCGGCGGAGGGTTTGCGGCGTATATGTTCGGAGCGATGCCCCATAATGCAGTCGTCGTCGTCATGGGAGGACATGATAAAGAGCTCGGTGTCCTTACCGGCTTTGGGGTCCTTTGGGTCGAGCGAGCACTGGCGCGACCAGGATTTGGCAAAGTCCACCGAGACAACGACCTGCTCATGGTTGTGGGCGCCCTCGCGCGCCGTGCCCACAGCCAACACAACAGGACTGAGCCCGTCGTCATCTATGAACAGCGCAGAGACGCGCATCTTCTGGTCCAGCGCGGCATTCGTCCAGGTGTCGCCGCTGTCCAGCGAATACGCGAGCACATCGGTGGGCACCTCGTCGTTGGCCAGGATGAGGACGGAGCCAGCGTCCGCGAGCTGCACGTGGTGGGCCTCCCGGTGCACCATCTTCCAGGTGATTCCGCCGTCACGGCTCAAAAAAGTATCGCACTCGCGCCAGGGCGCTAGCTGCGAGCCGACGTTGCCGACGGCCAGGATGACGCCGGCTGCCGAGGGCGACCCGAAGACGCGGCCGGGCGTCCGCGTAGACGTGACCGAGTGCAGGTGCAGGGCGCACTGTCCGGTCTCCCAGCCGTCCCTCGAGCACCCAAACGCCTTGCCATCAAGGTCCTTCTTGGGGGGCTGTAGAAAATGCCACCGCGCGCCATCGTTGAATGAAATCCGGCTTTTCAGCTCGAGCTTTTCGCGGTGCAGGATGCCGCCGATACCACGGCCGATCTGCTCCCAGTTGGCCACCTGGTTGGCAATAATCACACCCTCAACCCCGTGCACGCGCTCAACGTCAACCAAGCCGCTGGCGGCCCGATGCGTGTGTTCCAGGGACGCCGTGTAGTAGGTGCCGTTTGAGTTTGACCGGAAAAGCGTACCCAGGGCGCCGGCCGACGACGTCTGCACGTCGACAAGCACGGAGTGTGCGGTGGACTCCAGAATGGTGTAAGCGTCCTCCTCTGCGCCCGGCGGCAACGGCAAGCGGGATTCTGCCCAGGTGTGGCCGTCCATGGAGACGAAGAGATCCATCTCGTTGGAGTGTGCGTGGCTGATCGCCGCCATCAGGTAGTTCTTCACGACGCTGACCGCCACAACCCCGCCGCCCGCGCGGTCGCCGCCTGCACCGTCGTTGCCGGACCCAAAGTGCACGGTGCGCTTGGTCGAGAAAAAATCCTCCGAAGCCGTCAGCTGCACGGTGCTGCGCGGCGTCTGCTTGTCGAGGATCCCGGCGATATCGCCGGCGAGCGACCGCTTGCCGTCCAGGCTGCGCTTGTTTTCCACAGTTTCGGACTCCGGCACAATCTCTAGGCAGAAGATAGCAGCCTCCGCCATGGCCTCGAATTCCTTTGTCTGCCGCGCCCACAGGCACTTTGCCACGGGCTTCCCATCCCCGAGCAGCGCCGTGATGGCCGAGCCGGCCCTGTCCCCGGCCTTGTAATCCTTGGCCGCCTGGTCAAACCCGTCTTTGGTGTAATACGCTTCGTCGTGGCAGACCATCCTGGGGAAGGGCCACCAGCCACCGGTCTCCTCCTTGCATTTTTCAGCAAAAAACAGTATCCACCCAGCCCGCTCTGCATGGAACGCCAAGGGCCGTTCGCCCGGGGCCGTGGTGGGCGCCCCAGGGGTGCTGAACCCCGACCAGGTCTTGCCCTCATCGTGGGTGACCCAATGTTCCGAGCCCTCGGATAGTGCGTAGGCCGTCAGCGGGTCGTGTGGGTGGGCGTAGAGACGAGAGGCCTTGGTGATCGCGGCGATTTCACTCCAGTGCTCGCCGCTGTCCGCGCTTCGAAAAACCCTGCCGCTATTGGTGGTTTTGTCCAGGCCGAGGATGGTTGTTGGGGACTTAAAGTAGACGAGTTTGGAGAGTGGGGTTTTGAAATATGTGTGGTGCAGGGTGGGATCCTTGCCTTTGGCGTCGGCCAGGAGTGCGGCAAAGCACACGAGGAGAAAGAAGATGGGTCTGGTGCTCCTTGCGCTATTGCTGCTGCCCGAGAGAGCGGAGAGCAATCTCATAGTCGGGAATTGAATGACGTAAGGTAAGGTAAGGTAAGGTAAGGTAAGGTAAGGTAAGGTAAGGTAGGGTAAGGTAAGGTAGGGTAAGATAAGGTAAGGTAAGGTAATTAAATGAAATGAAAATAAGAAATGAAAAGAGGAGATTAAATTGAAGTATATTTTGGTCTATACAGAATTGCAAAGTGTAATAAAAAAAGAGGGAAAAAGAAAACAATTGTTTAAAAAAAAGCGTGACGTAAAATCAGGACCCCGCTCGCTGCTCTTCTTCATGCTCTAAAAACGTTGGCATGTGCGCGTTGTGCGTTTCTTTCCCGCTTGTTGTAAAAGGGCGGAAATAGCAGCCAAATTAGTAGAATCCGATAATCTAATCACTGCATTGCCAGTGCATAAAGTTACTCTCAGTTGGAGGACAACAGTATTATCTGATGTTTTTTTCTCACACACACACGCATATACAACAATCCTTTTCTTTCTTTCTATCTTTCTATTTTTTTTTAGAAAAAGAGGAGACAATTAATAGCAGCAATACGTTATAATAATAATATATAAATCTTTTCCAACTATAGTAATAAAAATATTATGCCTGGTACCCAGATATATGCGATTACCGGAGCCAACCGTGGTCTAGGCCGGGGCATCGCACTGGCACTTTCCCGGCGCAGCACACCAGAGCATCCGCGGCACCTTCTCCTCATTGGCCGCAACGCAGCCGAGCTCGCCGCAGTAGCCGCCTCCTGCGTGTCGGCAAAAACACCATGCACCAGCACCACGGTGCTCAGCACATTCGACCTCAGCAACCCCTCAAGCAGCAGCAGGTCCGTCATATCCGCGCTCGCACAAATCATCAATAAAAACAAGTTGCCTGGCACAGCAGGCGTAGAGTCCCTGACGCTGGTTAATTGCGCCGGCACATTGGGAAATGTCAGCAAGCAGGTGAGGGAATACTCGGAGGAGGAGATCCACCAATACGCGGTGATGAACTTCGTATCTTTCAGCACGCTGACATCCCAGTTTCTGCGCGAATTCTCGCACTCTTTAGAGGGGGAGAAAGGCGGTTGGGTGGTTTGCGTGGTGAATATTTCGTCGCTTTTGGCCGTGGAGGCGTTCAGCCATTGGGGGCTTTATGCGGCAATTAAGGCTGCGCGCGACCAGCTTGTATGCGTTGTGGCCAAGGAGCAGCCCAGTGTGCGTGTGCTGAGCTATGCGCCGGGCCCGCTGGACAACGATATGCAGAGGGAGGTCAGGGAGACGATGGGCGATGAGGAGCAGAGGGGGATTTACCAGCGCATGCAGCGGAGGGGCGAGCTCGTCAGTGTTGAGGATTCGGCGCAGGTGCTGTGTGAGATCCTCGACCTTGGGCAGTTTGAAAGTGGGGCACACATTGATTACTACGATGTAAAGCGGGTATGAAATAGTGCAAAAAAACAATGTTTTTCATAATGGTTTTTATTAGGCAACAGGGAGAGAGTAACAGCAGCATCATCGCCGAAAACACCCCACACGTTGCATGCTATTTTTTTTGTTTCTCATAGTTTTATTATTTCATTATTTCCTATTTCACTTTACCACACTAATACCGATTTTTTATTATTCTTGTTGAATATTTCGGAATGAGCGCAGACATGGACCTCTGCCAGTAATGTATCTTGTTATTCCATATCCACTTTAATTCCAATTTTAATTCCAAGTACACTTTTAATTCCAATTCGAAGTACACTTTTAATTCCAATTCGAAGTACACTTTTAATTCCAATTCCAAGTACAATTCCAAGTACAACTACAACTCCAAGTACAACTACAACTCCAAGTACAGCTCCAACTCCAAGTACAGCTCCAACTCCAAGTACAGCTCCAACTCCAAGTACAGCTCCAACTCCAACTCCAACTCCAACTCCAACTCCAACTCCAATTCCAATTCCAATTCCAATTAAATGAGGGCTAAGCAACACTCTTTCCTCGTTATTCTTTTTATTTTATGATCATAGGCTGCGCAAGCGGCAGGTCGATGTGCTCACACAGGCGCTCAGCGACTTTGTAGCGCTCAAGTCCAGCACCACCGGGTGGCAACCCCAGCCGCCGCCCCCAGCACACACCTCCAGCGGCGACATCCACGTAGAAATCAGCAAGAAGCAGCACACCGACAGCATCCAAATCCACCGCACAACGGCCACAATCCCCCTGGACGTCGAAAGCAGCCTCGACACCCAAGGCCAGCACGCCGCGTATCTCTCGGAACTCCGCGACTGGCAAGCGCTCCTGGAATGCCCCGGGCTGCGCAGCCAATGGAACTACTTTGTCGAGCGCAGCACTGAGCTCGAAATGCTCGACGCACACACCAGCCTGACGCAGACCGTCCTGCGAAAACCAATCGCCGGCTGCTCGACGGAATTCGCCCATGGCCGCGACCTCCTGATGGTCGAGACGTCATTGGTCGACGGCACCACGGCCGTGCACGTGGCGGCCTCCGTGCCGACCACCCAGGACGACCCGGCGTACATGCGCGCAGCCGACGGAGTCAAGCGCGTGAGCTCGGCGCTCTGGGCCTGGTGCGTCGAAATAGTCACGCCGCCAGAGTCCACAGCGCAGGCCAGCGCCGGCCAGCCGCCGCGCCGCGGCAGGGCAAGGAGGCCGTCGCCGGCGGTGTGCGTGCGCGTCACGTGCTTCCTCCACCTGGATCTGCTCTCGTGGCGCGCGCATAGCCGCGACGCCGCCATGGCCTCGGTCAACCTGATTCCGGCGCTGCTCGCGCACCTGCGGCTGCGCGGGCCGCCGCCGCGCGTGGCGCGCGTGGGGTCGCTGCTGGCGCTGGACCGCCGCTGCTGGGCGGACGGCGTGTGGACGATCCAGTGCTCGGCGGCGGAGTCGTCGCTGCCGGTGGTTGCGCTGATCCGCCGCCAAACAGCGGCCAGCGCGAACGGCACGGGCGGCAGTGCGGACGGGGCGTCGCTGGGGTCGTTTCTGTCCGCCCAGCTGACGCGTGCCGGGAGCCCGCCGGGCGGGCGCACCCAGGGCGGCATCATCCGCGAGGGCGAGGCCCAGGCCACCGCGGCGCTGCGCGCACAGCTCAGCGCGCTGACGCTCGAGTTCGTCATGGATGCGTCCAAGTGGCACGAGCACGGCGCCGGCGTCCGCCTGCAGATCGCCACCACCAGCCCGGCAAATGCAAAGCTGCGCAGGGGGGAGCTTCGGGGGCTGGTGGAGGCTGCGCCGGAGCTGTTCTCGGCCCAGGCGCCGGACGGGCCAGGGATGCTTGTGAGGTGCTTCAGTGTGCCGTCGATGAAGCGAGGGCGGAGGCGGTATTTGGTGCGCGTCGTCGTGCCGGCGCCCGCCGAGGGCTGGGCGATGGGAGAGGGCGTTGCCGTGCGCGTGGGGTGCGCCGAGGATCGGGCGGGCAAAGTGCTGGTCAATGGGGAGGAGACTGCGGTCGAGCCGTTTTCGATCGAGCCGGCAGACAAGCAGCGCCAGAGCGAGGGTCAGAGCCGGGGTCGGTGTCGGGGTCGGGGGCAGGGTCAGAGTCAGGCTCAGGCTCAGGCTCAGGCTCAGGCTCAGGCTCAGGCTCAGGCTCAGGCTCAGGCTCAGGCTCAGGCTCAGGCTCAGGCTCAGGCTCAGGCTCAGGCTCAGGCTCAGGCTCAGGCTCAGGCTCACCCTCACCCTCACCCTCAGGCTCAGGCTCACCCTCACCCTCACCCTCACCCTCACCCTCACCCTCACCCTCACCCTCATACCCAGAGCCAGAGCCAGGGTCAGACACAGGCCCAGACACAGACACAGACACAGACACAGACACAGACACAGACACAGACACAGACACAGACACAGGCCCAGGAGAGGGCTGTGATGTCCACGCCTGCGCCTGCGTCCGCGCCCAAGCCGCAGTCCCTGCTCAGGCGGCGCAGGAAGGGGGCGCCGTCGATCGCCACGCAGGCGTCGTCCAGCGAGCACAGCCTTGGCCAGGCGCCCGACGCGCACCCGCTCGACCGGCTGCGGCAGCTCCAGCGGCTGGCGAGCAGCGCCTGGGAGCCGCTGGGCACAGTCGCGCTGCCAAACACCACGGCGTCCGTGGCGCGCGCGTCCCCCGACCCGTCCGCGCCCTTTGTTCTGCGCGCCTCGGCGACGCTCGACGGGTGGACGGTCTTCGACGCGCTCGGCGCCATCCTCCACGCGGCGCCGGCGCAGCCCTGGACGGGCGCGCAGATGCTCGAGCACCCGGACGGCCAGCCGATGCGGGCGCTGCTGCGGTACTCTGCGGCCGGCTCCTGGGCCACGCAGCGGCGCCACGCGCACGTGCTCAGCGCCTGGGCGACCGACGGCCGGCGGCGCATCGAGATTGCCGAGGCGTCGGTGGCGCCGGTGGCGCCGGTGGCCGCCGCCGCAGCCGGCCCCGCAGCCGGCAGCGTGTGCGTCGACGTGCTTGTGGCCGGCTGGGTGCTCGAGGCCACGGCGGCCGAGCAAGCCGGCGCCGAGGCGCACCGAAGGCCGCAGCACGCCGTGCGCGTCACTCGCTTCCTGCAGGCCAACCCGCGCGGGTGGCTGGACGCGGCGGACAACGCGCTCGCGCGGCTGGCGGCGGCGCAGGCCGCACGCGACTGGGCAGCGCGCGCCATCCCGCAGCTCTCGGCGCACCTGCGCGTCTCCGGCGCCGCGCCGCTGGTCGTCTGGACGCGCAACGCATACGCGCTCGGCGCGCAGCGCTTTCGCGCGCGCAGCGTGGCGCCCGGCGCCGCGTGCGAGATCGAGCTGCGCGTCGAGCACACAGTGTGGGGCGCCGCGCACGCCATCGCGCTGCGCGTCAGCCCGTGGGCGGCCGACGGCTGTGCGGCTGCGTGCTTTGTCGACCCGGACATTGACCCGCACGCGGTGCGGATTCGCCTGCGGCTGGATGCCCGCGTGATGGCGCCGGTCGAGCGCCGGTGGCCGGTGGCCTGCGCCACGGTTGAGCGGCGCGAGGGCGGGCCGCGGGCGGCGTTGTCGCTGCCGCCGCGGATCGAGATCAACGGCGTGCAGGCGCGCGTGCGGTTTCTCCGCAGGGCGACCGACCCGGCGCTGTATGGCCGGTGCCAGTCGGTGGCTGCGCAGGACGCCGGCGCGATGGAGTGCGCTGCGCGGGAGTTTGTCGAGGTGGCTTCCGGCGCGCTCAAGGGCGCCGGGCCGCAGAGCGGCGGGCTGCCGGCGCCGCTGGGCGGGGCGGTCGCGGTCGCCGGGTACTCGGCGGCCGGCGGCCGTGGCGCCGCTGCGATGGCGCTTTCGCCCGACCGCTTTGCCGACCTTGCGCAGCGCACGTTCGCCGATCTGCGCCACGCGGCGGCGGCGGACCCCACGCGGCGGCGCTGGGAGGCGCAGCGCAACCCAGGCCGGGCCGACCAGGCCCGGCTGCCCATTGCGCTGCACCCCGAGATCCCCGTGACGCTGGCCTCCGCCGTGCTGCCAGCCACCGCCGCCGCGCACGCCATCCAGGCGCTGCTCCGCTGCTTGGGCGATTCCGCCGCCGGCGGGTGTCCGCTCTTCCTCGGGCGGCGCACGCTGCAGGCGGTCAGCGCAGGAACAACCATTGAGCACGCGCGCCTGCACGTGCCGCTGCTCTGCGCCGCACGCGACGCGCTCAGCGTGCGGCGGATCTCCGTCAGCCCTTCGGTGCCCACGCGCCGGCGGCTCTCCGCCTGGGCCCACGGCAGCTCCGCCAGCAGCCGCGGCCGCCGGGAGTACCTGGACCCAGGCCTGACGCTTGTTGAGGCCAGCGTGCCGGACTCGCAGCCGCGGCACTCGGCGGTGCGCGCGCAGCTGCTGCTTTTCGGCATCCGCGTTGAGCCCGTCGATCCGTTCGAGCGCGTGGCCAGCGGCGACCGGCGGCTGCAGCACCCGGCCTGCCGCTTGACCGTCGCCTGCTGCGTCGACTATGCCGGCAGCCTGCCGCTGCTTGTGCGCCGCTCGCTGTCCGAGAGTGTCCCCGGGGACGTTGTTGCTTGGGTTAGGCAGGCTCTGGGCATGCAGGTGCAGCGCCCGTTCTTGCTCGCGCCCTTGCCTGCGTCTGTGCGCAAGCTGCCCCGCGGTGGCCACTCGGGCGCGTGGGTGGTGCGCGAGACCGTTGAGGCCGCGGTCGATGGGTCGCTGCGCAGGTTCGTGCGCTTGCTCGACGCGCCGGTGCAGAGCATAGGGGTGCCTGCGGCGGATGCTTTGCGCTTTTCGGCTTGCGTCTGCCTACCCAAAGCGCAGGGCTTCTCCCCCTCGCCCGGCAGCACCAGGGACGGGGGTGGGGGTGAGGGGGCAACGCTGATTGTTGCTGACATTCACGTGCCACCGAGCCTAACGCGCATTTCCGCACGCCTATCGTGGTCGGTGCCGTCGGAGCCTGGCGAGGCGGAGGATGCGGAGGGCGCGCTGGAGCCGATCGTGCCTATTTCGTCTCCCTCCTCGCATGGCTGTAGCGAGTGGCTCAGCAGCAGCATGGTCTCTGCCCACGTGTTCCAAACCGCCAGCGCCGATGGCCGTGAGCACCTGCTTCTGCGTATCTGCTGCTCGCACCTGCCCTCCGCCACGGGTGGCAGCAGCAGTGTTTGTGGCAGGCGGCTGAGGGTGGATGTTTCGCCTGGTGAGCGGCCCGGCGTGGAGATCAACTCGCAGCTCATGCGCGTGCTCCCAATGGGAAGCGAGCGTCTGATACACGTGGACACGAGCAATGGGCGTCGGATGCTCGCATGTACAGACAGCAGCGATGGCAATGAGGAGGAGGAGGAGGAGCCGGATTATGGGTCGGACTCGATTTCGCTGGACGAGTGTCCGCCGCCCTCTGCTTCGCTGCGGATGCCAGCTTCCTCCCCTTGCTGCGCGGGCAGCATCGGGGACAATAGTATCAGGACTGCTGCGGAGTCCATTGCGCCGTCTGTAGTTGCTGCCGGCTGTGAGCTGCAGCCGTCCTTGTTCGAAGATGAAGCGCAGGAGCAAGGCCAGGGTGGCAGTGCTGATGGTGAACGGGCGGAGCATGGCCAGGAAATAGAGGTGGGGGAGAGGCGCGTTGAGGCGGCTAGCAAAGGGCGTGAAGTGATGTTGGGTTTTGCGCTGATGATGCCGGTGCGCCGGTGGGTCTGGGCACCACGGGCTTCAAGGAGCGCAAGGAGGAAGTCTACACTGGCGTTGGTTGTGCTCGTGCTTGTTGCCCTTGGTGCTGTCACTTTGGGGTGGATTCTGGCATACCAAACCTATGTGTCAGTTTTTTTTTTTTAAATGTAAACTAGCGATTTTTAAATATAAACATTTTAATCCTTTTTTATTGTCGCTGCTTTGTTTTTTCTTTCTTTCTTCTTTTTGTTTACTGCTCTGAATCCATTTTTCTCTCTTTCTTCCCCAACACGGAAATTATAATTCCCCAAATAGACAAATATTGATATACTTTTATTTCATTTTTATTTCCCGCACTCCCATTCTATAATGTGTCAACATGACAATAGCGGCAGAAATAGGAAAAAAAGAGAAGAAAAATTGTGATGGGTGGATTTTGTAGCCAATCACAAATTATCAGCATTTATCCTGGTGCGATTGGAGTGAGAGTCTTGGCATTCAGGCAGCTGAAAAATGGCAAATGGGAGTTCCATTTGCCATTTGCCATTTTTTCCTACTTTTTCTCATTCTTCACAGTGAAATCCCCCCTCCCCCCCCCCACTCTCCCAACCCGCAATCAAGGTACTGGATCAACCTCAACTATATTAGTGATCCTTTTTCCCTTCCTTCCCAACAGTGTGTCCTCCCTGAAGAAGAAAATTATATTTTTTCACACCTTTACCTCCACCTCCCCTCACCACCCCCTTTTTTACTTTTAAATTCTAAATCAACTATTCGATCTTTTTTACCTCTATTCCATTTCTTTTTTATTCCTTTCAATCACATTCACATTCACAAAAAATGTCTCTCAGTAGACTACCGCAGGTCGCTCTGCGCCGACTCATGCCAGCCATCACAGCAGTACCCAAGAGCCTAGACGACGACCAACTAAAGAAAATTCTCGACCCACAACACCAACACGCTCAGCTACGCAACACCTTGCCGAGTAAATCCGAACTATCCACGCTCTCCACAACCCAAGGTCTCCTCTCCGCACTCTCCAAACTATCCACCTCCACAACCCAACCTGGCACCTCACCGTCATCGCCGGCGGCGGTTGGTAGGTTGTTGATGAATTTAATCGGGGCTCATGGGAAATTGTCGTCGCAGGATTTGGCGCTTTTGAAATCGACCACGGGGCTGAGTACGGAGGACGGAGAGTCCGTGGTGGCTGTGAAGGAGGAGCCCGGAGAAGGCGGCGGCGTGTTGGATTCGGCTAGTGTGGACGCACTTGTATTGTTGGCACTTCGCGATACCACTGCCTCTTCTCCCTCTCCCCCAATTTCTTCGCCCCCTTCTTCGTCTTCGGCATTGTCGACTGTGGGAGCAGGCAACTCGGGTGCATTGGCCTTGGAGGAGCATAACAACTTGGCAGAGTCTTACGAAATGTCCTCTGATGATGACTCCGGTCTGCCACCTATCCCCTCCGACCTATCCTCCTCGGAACGCCGTAAGGAGCAGAACCGCCGGGCGCAGAAAAAGTTTAGACAAAAGGATAAAGTGCGTCAGAAGGAGATTAAATGGCGCGCGGCCCAGTATGAAGACTTGGTCGAGAGCAATAAGAGGTTTAAGCGGGATATCGATAGTATCAGTAGGGAGCGCGATATGTATAGGAGGATTTTGGAAAATAGTGGTGTGGATTTGGCTGCGGCGAAAATTTTGGGCGATGGCAAGTCTTCCAAGGTAACAACGGGTCTTTCGCAGGCGGAGGTTTTGGCCCCGGTGGCGGTGCAGCCGGATATGGGGCTGGATCCGATGTTGGTTGGACATGGAATGGATCAGATTGCACAAGATACTTTTGGATCTATTTCTAGTGTTCACACACAGCAGCAACAGCAACAGCAACAGAAGAGGTCTTTGGGAATGTCGATGAACGATATGCTTTCTTCTTTGGTCTTTGGCGCTGTCAAATCCGATCCCATGTTTGGCTTGGTTTCGCAACCCAATACTTTCCAACACACTTCAACTCCCTCGGCCAGCTTATCCCCGACAATGTCCGACGCAGCCTCCTTGTTGCCGGCATCCTTGTCCCTGTTATCGAACTCATTTGGTACCGCGGTTACTTTATCCGACGATAATATCACCACTGCTACTACAGGATCCGCTACTACTAGCAATTTCAATTTGCCATCTGCTGGGTCTAGTGCTTCTTTAGTCGAGGGTCAGTCTGGGGTATGGTTTGATAGTGCGGATATGATATTGGTTGATTCGCCAATTATTGCTGATCATATGGATACACCAGTGGGTGTATTCAACAGCAGCAGATGGTTGATCCGATGGCGTTTATTGATGAACTGTTGGCTTCGCCCGAGTTCTCTTCGGGATCGGTGGATAATTTTGCAACGGGTGCGGTGAATGGTCCGGGATCGATGGTGCGGAAGCGCTCATTTGACGATATGTTTTAAATATTTTTTCTTTTCTCTTTTCCCCCTCCCCCCCCCATTTCATTTCATTTAATTTCTTTCGCTACATAAATTTTAATTAATTTTTTTTGCTCGTAAATATTTGTTTACATATTGTCGAAAAAGAGATATTGTCGCATATACAACAGCGCCACATGAAGGATAGTGCTTTTAATTTTAATTTTATGTACACGTTCTGCCAAATGTTCACAAGTCATGCTTGGTCGTGTGTATTTCGATATGGATAACTGCATTGTTTAAATTTTGTAAAACTATGAGGATGTTGTCGACCACACGCACAACACACATGTCGCCGATCAGCAGATGAAAATATTTACGCGTGGAAAGACGGTGGCGCAATGATTCCTTGGTACTATCTGGAAGATCGATGTTTCGCAAACAAGCGGACTGCATCATTTTTATCCCGCAACAAACTGCCAGTCTGCAAAGTATAAACATAATTATTTATAAAAAAAAAATTCTCCCAAGACAAATGATATAGTCCAGCCGTTCGACATACTTTGTAAAATAGTTGGCTACGACTGGCCCACTTTGACAAGATCCTCAGTTCGTAAGCTACGCTGTACCTTTCGGACACACATAAAAAAATTGGGGGCAAAGGACAGCCAATCATGACAATTGACCACGCCTGGTAATCGTTGTAGCTTTCAATGAGATTCAAAACATGTCAACTATGGAGTGATGTTCCCAACAGACAGAGCTCCTTGTAAATTTTTTTCCAACAGGCCTGTTGAAGTAGCAGTCGCAATCCAAAGCGCCTTCGTGGTCAAATGCGCCTATATCTTCCCCACCTTCGCTGTAAATACCATCCTCGTTGACCTCACCGTCGTTGTTATATCGAACATGATCTACGCGATTATTGCCTTCGAAATCGGTGGCAGGATCAAATGATACAACGTCCCTAAATAAAGTTTGCAATACTAGAAGATGTTCAAGCAGATCAACCATCTTTTGAAACCCAACTACCACATGAGCTATAGGATAAGAGATCGGATGTTGTTGGCCCATGCCCCTGAAATGATACCTAGCACAAAGTAGCTTTGAATCAGCGTGATGGTGAATTTATGGCTTTTGCACAGACAATTGGGCCGCGCCGAGTATCTTGAGTGCAAAAAGGAGTCTCCCTATCTGTTGGCTCAATACCATCCAGATAAAAATAATACAACAAAGTCGCGGATATTTGTTAGCTGAAAACGTACCGGACCGCTCTAACCCCTCAATAGAATCTGGGGAAAGCGATATGTCTAAAACGTTCAAGTGTGCTGCAGTTGCCTCTAAAAAAAACAAAATAAGTTGCCATAATGAGAGTAACGGAGTTGGAGGTATACAGGGATTTGAGAGCTGGAAACAGAGCCACTCGAACACGCCCAGTCAGAAAGGATAAATGAGTAATATTGGCATTAGCCGTGATGACGAGTTTTCCCAGCAAAGGATACACCATCGAGCGGCCGTAATGGTCAAAGAAAAAAATTCCTAACCACATTATTTTGCTTGTAACCTATAACTCAACGGCCGCAATGTACCAACACTCCGCCGGATGAGCTCAGGGGCACATGATGGTGGTCGCCAACTACATAATGTTTGAAGCATACCAATCCATGGTACCTACACTCACGTCTTGTACAGAATGATTTTCCACAAGATGGCGATTCGACAGATACCTGGCTTCACACCTTTGCACAGGTCAGAGCAAAGTCTGGCCAAGGGGTGGTCGTTGGTCTGCTGCTTGTCATCCTCGTAATGCGGATCAGCACTGCTGACCGTGACTCTGCACACTCCCGGAACTATGCGTCTAATGACCTGAGCAAACTCCCTCGCACAGTGCTCAGTCAATTCTGCGGCAGCCGAATCACTGTGCCTACATTCAGACAACATTAATCTCAGCGAAAGTGCATCTGGAAAAAACAAGGCCAGACTGGCATGGTTTAATAAAACTCCGCATACGTTAATTGTCATCCAAGCTTTGCCAGTTGCATATAACGGCAACACTCTTCACAATGTAGGTCGCATAAAACTGTGGCAAGAAAACCGGGTCAGACAAGTGCCTAAAGTTAAATACTCCTGGCATACCTTCGAGAAGGCATTCCAAAATGATCTCGCTGCACAGGCGCTCCAAAACAACCGTGCGCCAAACGCGGCAGCAGTGGACAAAGACATCGGCCAAATTAGCACTATTACGATAACTGGGCTTTTGATTAATTGTTGGAATCAGAGCAATAAAAATATAACTAAATATCAAATTGACGACCTCGATAGGAAGCGTCTGAAAAGGAGCAACTGAGAAATGAAAAGCAAAAATTGCGATGCAGCTTCTGTTGTATAAAATGAATATATTTAATAAAAATTGTGATCTACATGCATGAAAAAACAACCTTAATTTTGCCATGTTATTTGAAAAAGAAATCAAACAGAAAACCTGATGATTGTGAATGTTTATTTCAAATGTCATAAAAACAACAACAACAACAGCAATATAATGCTCTAGAAAAATGTGGGTCAACTAATATATTTTTATGTTTCAAGAATTACTTAAGGAACTACAAAAGGGGGCAGCGCTGTGAATATAATGTTGTTCCTTGATGTCAGCCAACAATAACAGAAATGTGTATAGCAGACATGAGGGCAATCTTGATGCTTGAAAAGGAAGATAGTGGCTTGGAATGTGTGTTAGGCACCATAAGCAGTAGCATATTATTCTAATTAAATTGCAATTCACTTGTCAATATTCTATAAACATTGCTATTGCAGTCAAAGCTAAAATTGTGTTTATTTTATACTTACACACGCATATCATTAAATGCACAAGTCCAAAATATTACACTAAAAAATAATAGTCGGAATAATCACCTCAGAATTTAAATTCATAATGGTATACTTGATGAGCTTGCGGCAGCTTGTTTATATACTTGCCATAATTAACCGCACTCGCAAAAGGCTTGACCTGTTGGAGCCTCTCTGACTATGGTAGCCAATCAATAAAAGCCGCCAAATTGGCTAAGAAAAATTTGATAATACTGACAGTCAAATAATTAAAAGAAAAATAAATGTTGCCAGTTACCCATGGTTTATTTTTTGTAAACAAACAACCTCCTTAAAATAACAGGCGCAAAATAAAAGTTTGTTTGGATATGCTAGCAAAATGTGTATATTAGTTGGTTGGCTGGCTGTAGATTTGGAAGGGTGCAAGTGCATTGAACATGTCATCGGCGGCTGGCTGCACAACCGTGTTCTGGGACAAATTGTCGATGGCTGCCTGGTCTTCTAAAAGTTGTTGCATATGCTCTTGCTGCCGCTGCGCATGGTTTGGACGGACACCGCCAAACTGCATCATATAATCAACTGCCTGCTGCTGCTGGGTCAGCGCCTCTCGAATCTTGTTTTCCCTGGCCTTTTTTCCCGTACCCCTGGGCTTACGCTTGACAACTTTCTGGCCTTGCGCGTTGACAACCATCACCCTGTCGGTTCCGTGAAGACTTTCGTATAACCCGCAGCTATTGCATACCCGTGCATTATCGCGCTTGCGCCGTCTCCACGTGGGGCTTAGCGCAACCTGGCACGACGAGTTGGAGCACACTTTTTGCTGATTCCGCTGCTGCTCGAGGTCCTTAGTTTTTATCAATCTTGGTCTAGTGGTGTCAAAAGACGGCAGGGAGGGCAGCGGCAGCGCTGGTACTGATGACAATGGATATTGTATCATCATCGAGTGATCTTGTGCGGGAATATCGTGGGGTTGCTGCGGGTAGCATGGGTAAAGCAGATCGGTAGGCAAATGTACCTGGTTTTGACTGTTATTCAACTGCGGATAAAACACCTGCTGTTGTTGCTGCTGGAAGCACTGTTGTTGAGAAGAGGAATATAACTGACTGAAATTTCCAGTCAACCCATTAGGCGATAAATGAGATGGTTGCTGGAAAATAACTTCGTCATTGGAGAAATGCATTGGTGCAGAATATATTTGGTGTTGTTGCTGCTGCTGCTGCTGAATATTGGGCTGTGTGGAGAAATGATCTGGGACGGAGAAAATACGATGCCCTGGTGAATCTATAAAATTAATCGAGTCAAAGGACTCGGTACGCTGGGTTAATGCTGGCGTCCACATGTTGCTAATTGATATTGGACTGGTGGCACGCTTATCCGCGGTCTGGTCGTCCAACGGTTTCATGCCACCGTCAATCGAGTGGTGAAACATAAAATATAATAGTAATTAATAAAATATTCAATGGTGCTGAAATAATATTGAGATGTATAGACCGTTGATGAATTTCAATGGGGATTTTTTTGAAAGGGATGGGAGATATGACTGCTTTATATGGCTGGTCCGACATACTATAGAAAACATGTAAAATGAAAGATGGACGAGGGGTGACGTGCTTTTGAAAAGAAAATTGTGTGGGTATACTTTACAACCTCCCTCATTTCATTTTTTCTCTTTGGGATATTCAAGCTTGCAAGTTAATTTTTCTCGTGCATGTTTGAAAATAAACAATGCTCATTTTTTTTTTCGCTCGTGCATATATGCAATTTTTTATTTAAAAAAATGGACATCCCCAAAGAGAAATATTACCACTCACAAAAAAAAGCCGGCCATATTTTTCTGCCTACCAAATGTAAATATTGAGGCAAGAGTAATATCCATGCGTAACACCAATTATTTTGGGATTTAAAGAGCCAATAAAACCTATTTTGAAATTCACTAAACGGAAAAGGATGCACCTATATTTTACAAGACTCGACTGACTTGATGGATATACGCGAAAAACACGCATATTTCGCACACGTATATTTTATATCATATACTCAATATTTCTTATTTATCTATCACTGTGCGCATATTTATCAATGTCATTGTTTTTCTGCATTTGAACTTTTCACAGTACTCTCGAAAATAAAACATTCCGACCATTTTCTTTCACACATTTTGTGTTTGTCCGCTTATATTTATGTTCCCCCTTTTATTTGTTTTTAGATTCGTAAATCAAGATATATTACTATGCCATTTTGTTAATTTTAATCGATTATTGTTTCAATTTTTGATTAAGATTCAGCCCAGGTCCAATTTACCAAAAATTCAGTTCATGCGTTTATGCGATGTTTTTTTTGGCTTTTATAAACCTTTAATGAAAAGATGGTTGCATGAAAAGCTCTTCTGCCTAGAAATAAAAGCCACCATATATGCTTGTGGTATTTTTTTACGGAAATATGTAGCAGTCATTAATTTTTCCAGTGCCACGGGTAAGAATAATAATAGCTGATAGTATCATTTTGATCGTTATTTTATTATTTTCACATTATAACTGTTTTATTTTTTACATTCTACATTTTATATTTTATATTCCACATTAAACATTAAAAAAATTCTTGCTCATGGTGCCCACAGAGTCACAGATATGATAAGACACTCACATGAAACATCCATTCAAACTGACATATTTGCGGGATGGGACCTATTCGCGCTTGTCTTTGGTGTATTGCTGATGACTACAAACACACTGTTATTTATTTATGTCCTCTGTAATCGTCGTTATCCGCCGATAAAAGCTAAACACATCCCGCTTATTACCGCCCTGTACCTAAGCATGCTCATTTGGTTCCTGGGAACTATTGGAACACATTTTAACCTTCCCAACACCTTCCAAATCATACACAGCTGCATTGTATTTGGTTCATGGCTTCGGGTAATTTTTGGAGTATTCCTTTTCATTTATGTTCACACGATGCGCCTATACATTTACTATCAAATATTTGACAAACTCAACCCCATCACATATCGGGTCTACCTCTACGGAACCATCACATACATCGCCATCATTGCAGTTTACAGCATCCCTACAACAATACTTCAGCACCAGCTCTCAGTCGAATACGATTACACACACAGGGTCTGTCACTACGGCCTGGTGTTCACCGAAATGGCATTTACACTTGCCTGGGTCGGGTGCATAAGTGTCCTAATATTGGCCTTTCTTGTGCGGCATATCAACACGTCATTCAACGAGTATCGCGAAATGCTGCTAATCTGCCTGTTGTGCCTTGTCACTCTTGTTTACCAGACAATCCTGCACAACATTTTTCGCAAATACATTATTTCTCGCTGGGCGAGGTTGACAACGGTTTTTCTCGAATATTTGTCTTGCCAGACTTCGTTGTTTATCTTGTTGGGAACGCCCGCGTACAACTGCCTTTTCCATAGGGAGAAGTACAAGGAGAAGTGGTTTGCAAAGATGAGGGCTGACAACTTGGTTTCGAAATACGGGTTTGACGTGGACACGCCATACACGGGCGCATCGGACCTCCAAGTGTCAGGGACAACTGCCGTTTAGCATTATAGCAATCTGATTAGACAAATAAATTTTTAAATCTTATTTCTTTGGTGGCCTCACCGCCTTGAGCACCTCGTCGAACTTGTTGTCAAAGGCGATATCGATTTGGTCCAAAATGCTGGTCGACTGCGTGGCCCGCCCACACTCATCAAACGCCAAGAAAGACGCATGCCGGGCAACCAAGCATGCCGAGTACGCAGCCAACATCGGAATGTCCGCAAAATCAACCTCGCCACCAGTATGCTTCCACCTCACTTTCTTGTACTTGTGGCCCCATGCCAAAAACGTGGCAATTGCGCCGCTCAGAATATCGCCCTGGCCACCGCACCGGCGAAGTCCACTAAGCTCCTCACATATAAAGGTGGTCTTACCATTGGTAATTACGTCGCTCTTGCCCTTCTTCACTATGGTAACACCGCCCAGCTTTTCAGCAACCAACTGTGCCGCATGCTCCGATTTTGCATCCTCCTTGGAAATTCCCAGTGAGTCGCACAGCCTGGCAAACTCTGGCGCGTTTGGCGTCAGCACGGCATTTTGGTACCCACGGACAAGATCCGGATCCCGACCGACCAAGGCCAAGGAGTCAGCATCCAGGACCATGGGGATACCACGCTCCCTGGTGGCAACAATGACCCGGCCCACGCTCTCCCTTATATTGTCGTCGTTGCCTAGTCCCGATCCAATCGACACTGCGTGCATCTTATCCAAGACCCGACCCACCCTCTGCGAAATCTCACCCAACTCCATGTCCTGCTTATTTACTGTGGAGCGCAAATACGGATAGACAATGATATCCGGTGAGTAACCCTTGATAACTGATGCCGCGTCCTTCTCACATATGACATGCGCAATATCCGCGCCGAGACGCAGCGCTGTGGAGGCCACAAAGTATGGCGCACCAGTGTACTCCTCGCACCCGCCGATTGCTGCTACACGCCCGCAGTCACCCTTGTGCAAGTCGTAGGTCAGTGGCGGAATTAACTGGGCTAGAGTTTGGAGTCGAGGTTGGTGTGTGCTCATTTTCCCTGCGACCATTGGCGCCATGAAACTAACTGAAGTATACGCTCGTTGGAATGCGCGCTGCATAAATTACCTTAATTGTAAAGAAAAATCACAAATTCAAAATAAGTGAATGGGAAATTGCAAGACAAAAATAGAGAGAAGAAAAAATGAAGTACAAGGACAAGGGCCGGGGGCTGAAATATCACACACATATAAGAGCATGCTTAGGGTTGGTGACGTCACGTATCAATCACAGCCAAAAATGTGTTAGTAACTTTACGTGTAGATTAACAAAATTACATTCATTGCAAATCGTTGGTGCCAGCATACTTATTTCCAACGAACGAGCCAAAAAAAGTCAACTGAGCGCATTCTAATTTCATTTTTTCTTTTTCTTTCCATTCAACATTCTTTATATCTTTTTTCTTCCTCAAACATGGTAAAAACGCTCAAATATTGTCCTATGCGCAATTGGCCAACCCGCTCACCTCCATTATCCATATTCTAGGCCAACTGGAGAATAAGCGCCAAAGAGTTTGTCAGAAGAGAATCCAAATGTAAGATTTTGCGCCTGATCGACCCGTCGCTCTATCCACTCAATGCCTGCTGGTCGTCAATTTTTGCCACAGCCGATGGCCTGTCCTGAGGATGCGCCCCGTCTTTCCAACTGCGACCACGCCCCCCCCCCCCCCAAATATTTTAAGGCATGGGAGGAAGCAGCCCGTTGTATCAACCAGCGCATGCTCAATGCGGTAAAGAACAGGACTAACGACGAGGAACAGCCGACACCCAAATACAGTGCCTACATTCTGTTCCATGAAGAGTACTTTGCACAAAATAATTTGATTGTTTGTGCCTGGTTGCCAACAGACATTTGTGTCGACGTGGATGGTTCGGTTAATATAAAGTTGTACATCGATAACATCTTTAACAGTCAGCACACTGCGGCCTATGGCATGATTTCCGAAGCTTTGGCAAAGTGGGTACTGCTCCTGGAGCAAATGCTTACCTGCTGTGCGCACCAGCAACACGCCCGTGCCAAATAACCGTTTGAAGGCCATTTGCAAATCCATAAGACTTTTTGCACTCACAATAACGACAGTAACATTGAACCTGGTGGATATGAAAGTTCTAATAGCTGTGACGAGACTAACAGACACTTTGGCAATGTGAAGAAACCAAAATCCCCCTGGCAAATTTTCCAAGCCAAGTAGCATGTTGTTGCTCAATGGTCTCCACGGTCAGAACCTCCAGGCCATTGTCGAGATGCACAACGTTTATCTTACGCCGAAAGATTCCGAGTGCACTCTCCTTCAATGGCAGGCAGACTGCAGCAATTTAGAGAGTATCATCGCGACGGCAATGTACTTTTACAATGCGGAAAATATTAATTCCAGCGAGTTGGTTTTCCGCGAGTTCATTGGAAAATGCCCTGAAATATCAGATAGAAGTGAACAAATACGTACACTTGAACTCGGCGACACTCTGTATGGACAAAGTTATTGCATTCAAAGGGCTGACAAAGTCAATATCAAGGATGGCCGCTGCATTTGCTATCCCAACGTCTACCAGTACCAGATAACGCCGCAACAGAAGAGCTGGTGGGCCTATGCTATTTGCTCGCCAGGAGTTCTGAAAAGGCTCGCTGTTGGGCTTTAGTGTACGTTTTCGAGTTTACTGACACGCACACTACTTTTGAGGATGCTCAATAGGAGCTCTTTTCATATTTTCTAGGCTGACAGTCAATGGTTAATTTGAGTCTTTCAGCGATTGTGCAAATTCAGCACGTTAAAAAGCAAACTTATAGTAGCTTTCTGTGTACTTTGATAATAAAAATAAAAAAGTTACAAAGGGAAAATCCACTTTTTATAAAGGTTTTATTTTACAAACTAAGCACACAGTCGAGAAACCCTTAGAAGATTTATATTTTGTTGGATATTTAAATTGATGATGCGCCCCACATATTTATTTTCTACTTTTCTACTCTTATTTATCTTTTATTTTTTAAAAATAATTATTGTTAATTAGTATCTACTAGATGTCTCAGCCTCTGCCTTACTGTTTGCCTCCGTCTCAGGAAGAATTTAAAAGTTTGCCGAAGCATTATAATTTACGGCTTAAAAATAATGCAAAGGTATATAAATTTAAAAGGGCATTACTTGTTATAGCAATGTTCAATACATTGGAGGAAGAAATCGTTGGAAAAGGTGAGATTAGCAATTTATTTTTTGCTAAAGATGTCCTACCTTATTCTTATCAGGAAATTAAGAAATAAATCTATGTATCGTGTGGAGAAACGCTTAAATTTAACGAAGGCGGTCTAATTGTTGAATTTAAAGATAAGACAACAGGTTATATCAAATTTAAAATGTATTAGTTTTATTAATACAATAGCTTTTGCACATGTATTTTTTAATTTGCATGAGCAAACACTAATATTATAAATGCTCTTGTCCTTAGATGCAGCAACTGTTTTTGTGTTTATAGTCTTTTGTTTTTTGTAATTTGAATTTTTAATTCTCAAAAATACATATATACTTGGTACACAATTTTTGAATAGGCAATAAATACATATAATTGTTTCTTAGTTATTATGCCTGCCCCATACAATACTATGAATTTGTATATGTTTTGCGATAATGTGCGTATTTTACATTAAAACAGTAAACACTATTTATACGGGAAACCCACTGCTGGCTTCTCCCACATTGCGCTCCTCATCGTCAACTGGTTGCTTGCTTCTTCCAAAAACAGAAAGCTTGGATGTCAGCCGGCGAATATTTTCTCCAATATCCATCCTGAAATAGTCAATAAACCGGTCGTCGATATTCTTATCAGTGAACGATTCCTCTCGATCATGGTCGTTTGGATCGTCGTAGTCGACAAGCTCGCCATTCTCTAGCCGGCCGAGCGGATTTTTGTGGTTGCCGATAAACTGGCAAACCTGCTCGCTGCCGTCGGTTGCCACATTACGCTGTCTTCTGTTTTTACGCATGATGCGCCGCATGGGGAGCGTACTGAGCTGACTGTTTGTACGAGTTCTCTGTCGGCGTAATGGAGCGCCGCTGCTGTTGCCATTGCCGCTGCTAATTCCAGACTGAATCCCATTCTGAGTGCTGATGGTAATGCCGCTAGTCTCGGGTTCGATAATGGGCATAGGCATGGGCATGGTTGGGGGTGCTGATGAGTGGATGGGCAGAGGGGTTTGCAGAATGTCACTGGTTCGGGGTCGAACCTTAAATATCTCGGCAGCGCCCAGTCTGGTTTCCCGCGTGGCAGAGCGCGAGGCCTTAAGCGAGGCAATGGCATTGTCAGCATTTAGCAACAGGCCGTCGTACTCATACCCCTGCTGCACAACCTCCTCCTTGGACGCAGCGACAACTGCTGGGATAGTCCCAGTGGCACTCTTGGTATTCTCGGCCGCTGACGGCGTGCTAGTACCCAATGCGAGACTCTTCTCGTCTACATCATTGTCTCTGCCCTGTGTGATATCTGACCGATACATATCCGCAATGCGCACGCTGATGCCCAATCCTTCGCCAACAAGCCTATCCACACCCTTCATGTCATCATCCGAAACCGGCGCTTCGCCACCAACCTCGTACACGCTCTGGGATCTAACGGGCATAATGGGCGGACTGGGCATTTGCAAATGCGAGTACTTTGGACTACTGAGCGCTGAAGGTGTCTGCCTACGCTGCGGCAACATTAATGGCTGATGATGGCCGTGGTGTCTGCGAAAGATATTTATCCGATAATGAATGTCCATTTGGTCGCGGGATACCTTGGGTTTATCGTCAATGGTGATGGAGCGGCTGAGCTCGAGAGACGGCAAGGGTGGCTGCTCGTCGTCGTTGTTGCCGCCCTTCTCGGACGCACTGGGAGACGGCTCCTTGCTGTTATGAGCGGTCGGTGACTGGTCATCAGTGGTTATGGGAAGGTCAAAGACTGTCCGGCTATTGCGCTTGCTCTGCGCATTAATGAGATCCAAAGGACTGTTGCTATTTCGGTTAATCATTGGAATGTGGACACCGTGGATGCCCGTGGGCTCGCGCGAATTGACAAAGGACAGACGGCTGGCAATTCCATTGCGGATGGACACAGACGATATGGATCTGCTGCGGCTGCGCACAACCTTGCCGATATGCGCCAGGGGCACGGTGATACCATGGACTAGAACGGAGGAGAAAACAAGGAAACTAACGATGGGCACAACCATATCCCCCGAGACATAGTGAAAGTGCTCAGGCTCGTGCTTAAAGTCCTTGTGAATAGTCTGGGCAAAGAAAAGAGCGCCGACGCCAATCGGCCCAAACCAGCCTGCAAAAATAGACTGTCGATAGTTTCTGAACGCCGGTGTTATCCGGGTGAGCAGCACAACAATAGGCATGCGGCGTAGGAGCAGAATCATAATGGCAGCGACGATGAGGCGCCAGGGGGTGAGCATCAACACAGCGTTGTTGAAATCATGCCATGGGATAATGGTGCCAAAGTAGATGAAAAACGCCACATTGACCAGACCGTCGAGAATTTCTTGGAAATGCGCGTCCTTGGTCTCCTGCCGGAACCAATCGTCCCATGTAAAGGCATGGCCGGCGACAAAACAGCACAGGATGTCGTCGCTGTGGATCAGCTGCAGAATACCGACAATGAAAATAGCCAAGCCGATAGAAAACGCCAAAAACGACTCCTTGTCAATCAGGTTGTGCGTCTCAGCCAGCCGCAGGAGCTTTCGCGCAACATACCCGACAACAATTCCAATGACGATAGAGAGAAGCATATGGTAGCACCAGATCCAATAAAACCAGCGGCCAATAGCGTAGCCCGTCGAGTAGTTGCTGTTCAGCATGTACAGCCCAAAGTACAAAAACAGCATCCCGAAGCCGTCGTTAATACCAGACTCGGCCGAAAGTGCGTCGCGGACATTCTTGGGCACATTAGTCTCGGCGTAATTCCCCTTCATCACGGAGTTGGCCAAAATGGCATCCGTCGGCGCCGTACACGAGGCAATAAGCAGGGACTCGAGGAATCCTAACCTAAAAATCAACTGGATGATTCCAGCAGACACAAGCCACATCACAATCATTACTGGACCAAGGAGCACAGACATGGTCCGCCACTTTTGCAATATGTAGCGGCGCGGCAATGTGATGCCGGCCACAACCACCTGGATAGCAATGACATAGCGTGAAAACTCTAGTGTGAAATTATCTGTGTCGACAAAGTCCCGCGGGTCTAATGCGTTGGACACCTTGGGACCGATAATTATCCCAAAAACCATGGCCACGAGGGATTCGGAAAGATAGAGGCGTTGTTTCATAAAGCCCGAGACCAGGCCGTATATGCAGATAAAGCCGCCTAAAAAGGCCGGCACAAGCTTGGTTGCGGCAACAACCATGTGAAAATGATAAAAGTTTTGGAATAAAGTACAAAATGTAGGATATAGTGTGTATAAAATAAATAAATGAAAGAATTATAATTGTTTAGTAAATAAAAAAGAGGGGATGTGTATTGTATGAGTGATGTTAATGATAAAGGATAATGATGAAGATGACGACTATAATGACAAGGAAAACAAAGAACAACTACAAAAGACAAAGGAAATGAAAAGACCTTGTCAATGTTATATACCCAGCCTGGTCGGTAAAGACGACTGTAAAAAAACATGGCACCTGCACTTTGATACTACAGCTCAGACACTTGCCATCGAAAAATAGTATACATAAGAAACTGTTAAAAAAAGCATGTACAAACAAAAAAATAAAGTAGGAAAGTTGGGAATGAAAATCTCGGAACCTGGCAGAAACAGAACTTCAGCGCGCATAGGTGAAGGAAAATAGAAAAAAGGGCATCGGGTTTACAGTGTTGAGTTGCAACTCAGATTTGTTGTCAAAAATAAAAATCATCTCGAAAAAAAAGTTGGCTCTTCTTTGCAGAACACTAATTTTTTTGTTGAGAAGTCGAGGAAGAGAAAAAAACGGATCAGGTGCAGTGAAGCACTTTTTTTTAACTCATTTTTGTTTTCTTTTTAGATAGGACAAAATAATCTTGACAATGTGACAAATGTATTTTTCATTTGGATTCGGAGCAAGAACAATATATTCAGGAACTATCCGGGTGGATCATTCTTCAGGTCATGCCGACGGGTGAAAAAAATTGACATACAAAATATCATTTTCCATGTTAATAAAATTTTCTGCGCAGGGAAATAAATTAAAACCAAAATACTGCCTTGTATTCCCTTTCCTGGTCAAAAGAGAGCCCAATTGTCTATATTTGTACGGTGGAGTGGAAAAGGAAAGGGAAAGTAAAAAGTGGTCTCTGCATAGATTTTTTGTAGAGTAGAAAACGATAGTCAGATACCAAACAAACAAAATATGTCGGAAGATACCCAATAACAAGTTTTTTGTTTGATTTTCAGGATTGAGATGAATCAGCGGGCATGGCAAGAAACAACACAGAGAAAGAGACAAGGTGATGTGGGGGGTGGGAATGAACCCTGGGGAGTTGGTCATTGAAAAATAGACCAAGTGATCTAGAATTCACCGTTGACACGTGCACGCAGGATCGAGAACAAGAGGGGGCAAATGAGGAGGGAGATGACCACCATCGAGCTGGAGATTCGACCGTAGAATTCCAGGAGATACGATGCGCGTCACTTTTTTATTGTGCCTCGCGCCTCTTGCTTCATATCGTATATTTTTATTTTATTTTTTCCAGCCACTTGCTTTAATCCGGGCAGTTTCCGATTTCCCTCTGCGCGCGCACAAACTTTGGCCATCCGCTTAGCAAAAAAAAGTTACTAAAGCGGTATATCCACAAAAAAGCAAGTTCCCTCACGTCGTTCATATCGCAAAAAGGAGGAGACGGGACATATGGCGAATGCCAAAAAGGTATTTGAAGCGCTTACAAATAACAACAGCAGAAAAGGGGAATAGAAATCCATGCACGAGCATTGCCACAGTGACAAAAAGAAAAAAGCGGATCTGAACAAGAATAATGACTACCGTTCTCAGTGTAGGACAGCGCCATGAGCTCGTTGCTCGCAGGCACAGTAGCTGGCGCAGTCGAGGGGCGGTAACATACCCGACGGAGCTAATAAAGACCAAGCTACAGCTGCAAGGGTCTGTTCAGTACATGCAGCAGGGCGGCCACCAATACCGCGGGGCTCTAGACTGCCTCCGGTCGACCTCAAAACCCAGGGCATCCCAGGCCTCTACCGTGGGCTCACCCCGATGCTCACAGGGAACGCTGCCAAGGCCGGCGTGCGCTTCCTCACATACGACTCGATCAAGGCGCGGCTCCGCGACTCGTCCGGAAACTTGACCATGGGAAGAATGATGCTCGCTGGCCTGTGCGCCGGCATAGTGGAGGGTGGCTTGGTGGTAGCGCCGGCGGAGGCTGTGAAGACGCGGCTGATTCACGACCAATGCATGCCACGCCAGCGATTCGGTGGCACAGCCGACTGCGTGCGCGATATTTTCAGCCGCGGCAGTGGCGTAAGGACCCTGTACAGGGGCGTGGCGTCGGTGATGGCCAGGCAGGGCGCAAACTCATGCGTGCGCTTTGCCGCCTACGATTCCCTCAAACAAGCGCTGGTGGCGCGCACGGGGAGGGCGGTTTCGGGCCCTGAGGCCTTTGCGCTGGGCATGTGTGCGGGGATTATTACGGTCTACGCCACGATGCCGCTGGACGTCGTCAAGACGCGGATGCAGGCGGGCGCTGCGGCAGAGTATCGCGGGTCCCTGCATTGTTTTGCAAGCGTCGTTAGCAGCGAGGGTCCCGCTGCGCTGTGGAAGGGCGCAACGCCACGGCTGGCGCGCCTGATGTTCTCGGGCGCCATTGTGTTTGCCGTTTACGAGGAGGCCATGAAGATGATGCGATAAGGATAACGACAGCGGAAATGCAAATACAAATGCAAACTGTAATTCAATATTGATAACGGTCGATCGATTAATTAAATATTTGGGAGAAAAAACTGAGCGGCTGATTTTAGTTTACTTTTTGTAGTTGTAGAAACCCTGGCCGGACTTGACGCCCAAATGGCCGGCAGCCACCAGCTCGTTGAGCTTGGGGCTGGGCATAAACAACGAGTCGCCCTTGAGGCCCTCGCCATCGGTGTACCAGCCATCGACAATAGCCTTGACGGTGTCCAAGCCGACGTAGTCCGCCAGCTCAAAGGGGCCCATGGGGTACCCAGCGCCCAGCTTCATCGCCGTGTCAATGTCGCGCGAGTCAGCGACACCGCGCTCCAGCAGGCGGATGGCCTCCATCATGTAGGGCAGCAGCAGACGGTTGACGATGAACCCGGGGGTGTCCTGGCACACCGCCGGCGACTTGCCAATGGCACGCACAAAGTCCAACGCCTTCTGCACAGTCTCCTCACTGTTCTCCCCTGTGCGCACAACCTCGACCAGCTTCATCTGTGCAACGGGGTTGAAGAAGTGCAAGCCGACGGCCAGCGCTCTGCGCTCGGCACTGACATTCTCGAAAATACGACCGATGGGCAGCGAGCTGGTGTTACTGGCCAGAATGCAGTCGGCGGGGGCAGTCTGCGCGACATCCGCGAACAAGCGCTGCTTTACGTTGATGTTCTCGACAATGGCCTCGACGACGAGGTCGGCCTGGGAAACACCCTTGGACAGCTCGGTCGAGCCCTGGATGCGGCCCAGGATCGAATCGACCCAGTTGGTCTGTTGCGCGGGATCCTCTGGGAACTTCTTCTTGGCCACGCGGCCCAGGGACTTGCCCATGTACTGGCGACCGCGCTCCAATGCCTCGGGGCTGACGTCGACCAGGGTCACTTGGTGGTCGAATGTGGCTGCCACCTGCGCAATACCGGCACCCATCTGGCCGCCGCCCACCACCGTTATGCGCTTGATAGCTTCGGACACTGCTGCCGAGCTGCTGAACGCGCGCATGGCCTGGCCACCGCCGAGCGCAACGAGTCTTCTTAAAACGGGAGTGTACATGTTTGAAAGGCTTGTGGGTGTGTATTATTTCTACTTTAACGCGGTTAATAAAAAATGATAGTAAAGATGAAAAGAGTGCCTTCGAAAGTCATTGTGCCTCTTGGTGCTACCTTTGTCTTTTCTAAGAGCGAAATTCCAATGGATGCAAAATACCCACGCATGTGAAAAGTCGTCAATGTGAGTTGCAGCGCGCCACATAAGAGATAAGCAGCAGCTAAGCAAACGCTGCGCATGTGATCTCATCTTACCACCCGCACCCTATTCCTCAGAGCACGATTACGCGATTACGCTGCCCTTAATTTGCATTGCCAATTTGTAATCGACATGGCGGCAGTGGCGGCGACATTGATGGCCAGCTGAGATGACAAATTGCGAGAAAGATCGAAAGACCACTTACAAATCGGTGTTTTGTCAAATAAGGGTTTGGTTTAAAAAGGGACAGATGTGTGTCGAACCCGATTGTCCATTTTTTATTTTCCACCAGCACCGCCTTTATCATTTTTTCCTTGTTTGATTTATGTCGCCTCTAACAAGGCTTCTACTCATCGCCATATCTTTCTACGTCTTGAATCGTTTCTTTTTTCCATCTAAAACACCCAAAGTCATTAACACAGCCATTCCCGCCATTTACGCTATGACTACAACCGCCCCGGTGCCCGTCTACTTTGTCAGCCACGGTGGGCCCAACCTCCTGGACGAATCCGACTACCCCCCGACCGGCGCTATATCCAAGGCTCTACGCAAAATTGGCGACGATATTCGCGCCCAAAACCCACGCGCACTTCTCGTACTCAGCGGTCACTGGGAATCCAACAACGGCAAATCGCTCCAGATCAATGGCAAAAGCGCCTTCCCCAAGCCGCTAATCTACGACTTTGGTGGCTTCCCGGCGTGGCTATACAAGGAGGAGTTTGCACACAAGACAGAGCCCGCGCTGACACAACAGATTGCCCAGCTGCTCACGCAGGGCGGCATCCCTGTGGAAACCGTAGACCGCGGGTTGGATCACGGCGCCTGGGTTGTGCTGAAGAAGGCTGGGCTGGAAAACGCATCATTCCCAATTATCCAGCTGTCGCTTTTCCGCAGCGACTCCATGCCCCAACACCTTCACCTCGGCCAGTTGTTGGCTCCTTTACGCGAACAGGGGGTGGTCATTGTGGGCAGCGGCATGGCGGTGCATAACCTTCGCGATTACTTTGGCGCCTCGGCAACGCCCGTGCGCTCGTATGTGCGCCCATTCGATAAGGAGATCGAGACTGCTCTTTTGTCGGGGGAGAACCGCGAGCAGGCAATCTTGGCCCTGAGCGAGTCGGATTACTTGTACAAGGCGCATCCTACGCTCGAGCACCTGCTCCCCTTGCATGTGGCAGTAGGTGCTGCGAAGGGCACTGCGAATGTCGAGAAGATTTTGGAGGCGTATCAGGTGTCCTTGAGCTGGTCGTGCTACAAGTTCTTCTAATTGGATTTTTATTTTTGCAATATTGAAAACGTGGCTTTTGTATTAGCTGCTTGTATTTGATGGTTTGGACGCCCAGTTCCCTTTACCTGTCCGATATTGTTGGGAAATTTTTTAATTGGAAATGTTCTATTTTTATAGACCTGATGACCAATCGAATATTGGAGCATGGCCGGTTCCGCATCCGCCTGCCCCACTATTTTTTATATTGGCAAATCATATTGTGGCGGCAAAGATAAATATATAAATATTTGCGCCTGGCTCGGCTATTAACACCCACCCCATCACAGCCGAAAAATAAGTATTTAAGGGCCTTTGTTCCCTCGATCCTAAAAATATTGTATTTTTGTTCCCTACGGCTTTTCTTACTCATTGCTCTCAACTTCACGACACGCATTATCTCATAAATATATTTTTATTGATTACACAGCACACAACATGAAGGGCTCAACTACAATCCACCACTACAACTCTGCGTTACCAGAGTCAACAGGCATCCACAACAGCGATCGGGCCTTCGACGACCTATCTCCGAGCGAACGCGACCAGTTTATCAACGACATTGAGCTGGATTTCCGCCACTACTTGGCTGAAAACAGATCTTCGCGTGGCTTTGTTTTCTATCCAAATACTCACCAGATCATGAAAGCTATTTCTTCTTTGTACCAAACTTTGACTGATATTGACTTTACTGAGTGTTTCGTGCTATAATGCATATGCCCCTAGACTCAAAAAGTAACCGGCGTTTTCTTAATATTTGTATCTCTTTTTTCTACATTAATAATATTGCGACAGAATGAACAATTCGATCTGATATATTTAGAAGTATTATCGCTTTGATTACGTACAAGGAGTTTTGAATATACCTTCCATCTTGTCGTCTAGTTATTTATTTTTCGCCGTGGCAACATAGCCACAAATGAATCTCTCAAAATTTTTGCAACAATCGACCTGTAAATCGCCAATTGTTGCTCCCATCGTAGCATTCACTTATATATACATACCTGAGGTGGCTTGCAAAAAAACGCGTTTTATGTGTTGTGCTACACACAATGTGTATATACTGTTTTCAAGGTCAGCAAAACACTACAGAATATAAAATAAGTATAAATTAAAAGCAAATAAACTAGATAAATGTTTCTTGTTTTTAATAAAATATAATAAATTAGCATTTTCTTTCTTTTTCATTGGCATGTACATTCTGTTACTTTCTTCCTAGCCTCACTTATTTTGTAGTTATTTACATTTTACACCAATGTCGTTCAAACTCACTCCGGAGGAAATAAGCAGGGTGGAAATGGCCGCGTTTCTGGGCGTGCACTTGGACCCCATCGGCTACGTAGATCTTTCAACAATAATGGTTCTCGGCACAATGTACCTGGTTGAGTTCCTAGCGCTCTGCTACCAAATCCGGCACCGCAATTACCCGCCATTAAAGGTCAAGAACATTTACGTTATGACTTTGCTGTACCTAGGAGGAGTAACATGGCTGGTTGGCGACATATTCACCGGCGGTCTTGTTCATCTAAGCCAAAGCCCTGTTTTGAGAACGTGTAAGCTCACAGTCATTTGGTTCCGTGTCTGCTTTGGTGCCTACTACGTTACATCGATATTCGCATTGCGCTGCTACTCTCTATACTATATATTCCACAAGGGCATAGCATTCAAGGGCAAGGTCTCTATAATCAGCATTGGCTTAACAGTATCATCTATCATTATATTTGGCATAATCTCGACATTGGTACCTACAAGGCTGACCACATCGTATGAGGAGTTGCTGGACGTCTGTTACACGACCACACCCTACATTGTCTCCGTATTGCTTGTCATCTGGTCCATCTGGGCATACACTGCAGTAATGTCTTGGCGCATGCGCAATATATCGTTTTGCTTCAACGAAAGGCGGGAACTACTAGTGACATTCCTAATCATGTTTGTAGTCAGTATACTCAATACAGTCTGTCTGCTTATCGTCCCCATCTATATGATGTCCCTCGGCTGGCGCACCAGCCTTCTGTACATCAACCACCTCAGTGCTTCCATGGTATACTGGGTGGTTATGTGGGAGCCCACCTACAACTGCATATTCCATCACGATGAGTACCTGGAGTATTGGATTTCTATTTTAAAGGAAGATGCAATGGAGAGGCAGTATGAGTACCCGGCAACGAATAGTGAGGAGACTTTTAATTTGGTTGAGCTTTCAGGGAATTTGTACAAGGACGGCTATAGCGATCATATGCTATCAAATTTTTCGATTGCGAGGGCAGATTATAACTACACTACATTATTCGTACCGAGCACACCAGATGCGCCACCTAAAGTGTATTATAGGCATCTTTTGTTGTAAAAATAAAAGGACATCTTTTTACAAGTGACATAGAACTTTGCTTAAATATTGTGCTTTTAATTTTAATATTTCTAGGTGTGGCAAAATAAAATTTTCAAATCTGTTTGTTTATTAGAAGTATCAGTATAAGAAACAAGAAATGTATCCGCATACTTTTGGATATCGCTGCAAAACGGGCCATTGATAGGTCTGATATACAATCGCAGCGGAAATGAGGATTAGCGGATCGCAGGGCATATGTAATATTTATCTGACATTGTTAGCATGCAAAACAATGTAAATAAAATAAAGCCTGTCAGAAATGTTGACTTCCAAAATTGGCTGTTTTTGTTATTTTATTTGACTGTACATTTGGTTTTTTTGAAGCCACCGTATTGTAACAAAAAATGAATTACGAAAAATCGCCGATAAGAGATTTTTTTGTTTGTATTGATGTAAAGCTCCTCTTTTCATTTCATTTTTGTTTTATTTTACCTTTTTCCAACACAAATATGTCTATAATTTTAACACTAAAATAATGCCTTTCACACTTACACCTGAGGAAATTGATCGAATCGAAGTGGCCGAGTTTCTCGGAATACGCCTGGATCCAGTCGGTTACATCGATCTATCTACAATCATTGTCATATCCACAAAATACTTTTTAGAGTTTTTCGTTTTCTGTTTTATGCTTTACAACCGAAACTACCCGCCGCTTAAGGTCAAAAACGTGCCCATCATGTTTTCATTATATTTTGGTGGCTTTACTTGGTTTCTCGGCGACATATTCACAGGAGGGCTCGTGCACCTTTACGGGAATCCAGTCTTAACCAGCTGCAGGTTTACAGTAATTTGGTGCCGCGCGTGTCTGGGTGCATTCTATATAACGTCGCTGTTTGGACTGCGCACATACGCACTTTACCACGTGTTTGTCAAGGGCAAGGCGTTCAAAGGACCCGTTTTTATAATTGGTTTTTCTGTCACTGTGTCCTCGATCTTGTTGTTTGCCATTATTTCCACCGTGCTCCCCGAGGATATGACTGCAATTTACGAGCCGCTCCTTGACGTGTGTTTTCCCAACAAAAATTTTATAATCGCCACTCTTGTTATCATTTGGATGATCTGGACTTTTGTTGCTGCGATGACGTGGGGAATCCGACACGTTACGTTTTCCTTTAGCGAGCACGTCGAAATCCTCTCCTCGTTTAGCATACTCTTTATAATCAGCGCAATGAACACAGTGTGCCTTTTTGTAATCAATATTTACACTGCTTCGCTTGTGTGGCGCAATCTGTTAGTGTATACAAACCATGTTGGTGCTTCGGTAGCATTTTGGGTGGTCATGGGGGTGCCCACCTACAACTGCATGTTTAACCGCGAAGAGTACTTGCAATACTGGATTGCTATTATAAAGGAAGACGCCATGGAGGATGTGTACAATTATTCGCCGACCGTCAATGTTGATACCATGACGTTTAATGACAATGTGGATATACTCGCGAAGAATCCCGCCTCGCTGATGAGTTCGCAAAATTCATTTATTACTTCTACAATGCATACGCTCCCCAGTACTCCGCGCAGCACTTATACAAATACCAACATGTATTTGGTCAGCGCTTTACCTCATAACTGTGTTTGAATAATTTAATAATAAAATTGAAAATCAATGAATTGAATTGAATATTCTTACCATGCACCCAGCCCCGTTACGCTTGCAGACACTAAAAATTGTCAAAAAATGTGTTTTTCTTTAAAATGGCAAAGCGAGATTGGCATTGTTAATGTTATCACCAGATAATATAAAAAACCAGCTTATTGATATTGAGACAAAATATTACACCCTCTCTTTATACAAATTCAACTAGAGTAAACTTGCTGTTTCATATTCACAATAAGAATGAAGCCCACTGTAATTATACCCTTGGTTAGCATTGCTTTCTTGTTGGTATGTGCTACGGACCCTGAACTTGCCGAGACAAAACATGACAAAACGATAAGGACCATTTGCAAGGCATTGGGATACATAAAGCAACCCAGCGTAGACGCCAGCTCCTACCAAGGACACACTGCCGAAGTAATCAGCGAATCTGCGGGAAAAGCATACTACGCGATTATATGGGCTGAAAATGCAGTAGATATGAGCCACAATGCATTTTAAAACAGGATATAATTTTTTGCAACAGCAGCAACCTCAGCAACAGCAAAATATGTTTAACGCAAACCAGGCTGCGGGGTTTGGCAACCAGATGCAATGGCATTAGAATATTTATTTTTTTCCTTATTTTTCATAATTTTCATAATTTTCATAATTTTTTAGTATAATGTATCGCAAATATTATTTTCTCTCACTTTCAAAAAATTTTTTACAAAAACTAGCAAACAAATAATAAAATAATTTACTTTCCAATTGTGTTGAAATATTTGTTTGCAAGTGCTAATTATTGGTACAAGTTAAGTGCAATTAAGGTAAGTAAAAGATGTTTGTTGGATTAGGATGTATACTTGAAATTATCTCTGTCGCTGTAGACGCTGCTTGGCTCGGAAAAGGTAATTGGGAAGTCAGACATTGACTCGGCCTCCTCCAGCTTGCCAAACCTTGCCCTGGTTCTCCGCTTGGCGCCGCGTGTCCGTTCTACCAGCCTTTTCCTGTACACGTCCAATGACGGGTTCATTGTGTAGACCAAAAAGTTGAGCATACCTTGTGTCGACGGCATCAAATTGCTCATGACGTAGAGCCAGAACGGCGTAGCTGACAAGAGATTACATAAAAGCGTAAAGGACAGTGTAATGATCGGAATGATTGGATAGCAAGTCACGCGAAGCGTAACCGACCGAATGTACCTCTTCCTTTCGTCCGAAATTTGCTGCATGGTGTCCGAGTCTGAATCCAAGTCCAGCAGATCGAGCTTCTCCGGCGTACGGTACCTGTTTATAGACGACTCGGTGGCCTTCCAAGCGCGTGACATCTTAATATACGTCAAAAGTGCAATGACAAAAAGGAAAGCAACTCCGCCAAAAATCCACATCCACTGAACTAACCAAATGTTGCGCTTGCCCACTGACTCCTCTTCTCTGAAATAGAAGAGTTGGGCCACAGGAATCCATTTGATATTCTTGAACACGTACATGTACGGGTGAGTAATCAAAAACCCGCAGAAAATGCTTGTGACCTCATAGTATGGCCGAATGGCCTCGGCCCAGTGGTTTTTGTTTGTGAGCACTGTCAAAAGCAGCTGAATTCCCATGCAGCTCGAGAGAAACACAAAGGAAACATTGGACCCGGCCATGATCCATACAATTGCCCTTAGGTGCGTTTCGGATAGCCCGCTCATGTAGTCATTGTTAAATACAAAGACTTGGCATATGGAGAATGACAGGTCGCACAGGGCTATACAAGTGGAAATTCGCAATGAGGGCCGGTTGAGGAGACTGCGGTTTATGAACGCTACTATGATGGTACTCAGTATTACTATGATAGAGCATACCATTGAGCTGATGTTTATGCCGTTGCACACTACTGCCCATTGCCCGAGCACGCCATGGAGGTCTTCAGCAGTAGCTGTGGTGATGTCGGGCGCCGTAACATTTTCTTGCCTGGAAAACAGGTGGGCCGTTTGGACGGTGTTGGCAAACCGGTGGACGGCAAGAAACTCCATTGACGGGATACTAATATGTAAAGTATTTGAATATAAATGGGTAGCAAGTGGAAATATAAAATTGGACTGTTGATTAAAAATAGGTAGAAAAATTTAGACTAAATAATTGTGTGAAAAGTAGGTGGGTTTTCTTTTGACAGTTCTTGTTTGGCAAGGCCAAGCAAAAAAACGGTTGGAGATAATGTCGTTATTTATGAGAATTGATTAACAGCATTTGGCGCTCTCTGATAGCGCACATTTTATTGGGAAAATATAGAGCAAGGTTGCTATACTGACAAAATACGCAAGCAAAGCCTGTAAGGCTCGGCGCACGATAAACGCAAAACTGCGCATGTTTCTCTGCCTGACAGCAACGGATGATCAGGGCGACAAAAGCAGTTCCTTGCCTAAAAGACCGCGGCGCACCAACTTAAAAACAAGCAAATCGGGAATGTCACCTTTGTGGTTGTTTTGTGCATAAATTGATACTCCATCAGCAGCGACATACTTGAATTGCCTCAATGGAAGACATGTCCTTGTCGGGATAGTTTTAAAATAAAGGTGCAAAAAAGATGTGAATGGACTTTTTTATTCTAGTTGAATTGGGTGCTAATGCACATTAGTCATGCTTATTTCATGCAAAAGAAAAAGACAAAGAGGGGACAAAGAGTACTGTCCTCGTGAGATTGCATGCACCCCAATGAAAGTCGGAGTAAATGTACAAACCATCGATCAACAAAGTAAAAATTGAAAGTATAAAATCCGGGCGTTCATGTCAAGCAGACAAAGCTGCAGACGCATGGCAAACAAGCGTGCAGGCTTTGGCTGTTTTTTTGGCTGTTTGTTATGTGCATGTCTATGTTTTGAGGTAGATTAAACAAAGCTCAAGTGACCAGTATGCACAGTGTTGATTAAAAGTTTGTCTTTATTTTTTGAATGCATGGATAAAATGAACACAAATCAGTATGGTTTTCGCGTGTGGCAGCAAGGTGTGTGGGGGGATGCAAAACTATGCTGCATTATGCAGGTGCATGTATATTGTAGACATGTAATGGCCTACATTTTGCGCTTTAATATATAAAAGCAAAGTTATAAGCTTTTGTTTCTTGAAATTTTCAATAAAATGTGACTGTGACTGGTATGCGGTTGGCAAGGGTGGCAGAAAAATAAAAAATAAATACAAAAGCAACGTTAATCACGACGAAACGACATACTATTATCCGAATACGCACTAAATGTTGGGAAATATTCACTTGCATGCCAATGATAAATAGACCGGAACGTGTGTTCCATGTAGACCGTTTGCTAGATATTGTCTCCAATTTATTTATGCACATTTTATTGTTTAAGCACTTATAGACATTTAAATTACGCATGTGCGTTTGAAAACAGAATAATGTTGCCGCGATAAGTAGCTGCATTTTGTGAAAAGTACCAGCAAAACAAATTGAATCAAAATGCATATCAATATCACCATTGTTTTTTAGCCGAGTATGCTACATTTGTAAATACTGGCAATAAAAAGATGTAAGAGTGTGGTTTAACAAAAATACATTACAAAATACCAGCTGCTTGATTTTATATACATTGCTAATTTGATATATTAATGTCGTGCTGACATAGTTTTGCTGTACTAGCCACGCCTGAGCTTCTACTTTGGCGAGCTCACTACCACAACATTCGTATTATTTTTATTTATTTTCTAATTTCAGTCTTACTATGTCATCAAGCAAAGTACCCAGTTCATAATTTTTATTATTATTTGCACTGTTGTGATTTGAGGGGAGCACAAGTTGTCTAGTCTTAAAAGTATGTTTGGGTTTTGTTATAGTTTTTATTATCAAGGGAATCAAAAGTAGAACTAGAGCTGGTATCATCTTATATATGCATCTCGTTGCTTCTGTTGTGCACTTCGCCAGTTGTGCACTCCGTTGGCGAGAACTGGTTCTTCTGCGAGCAGACCGGTATCTTGGCATATCAATGTTGTGGTCTTCGTATATGTGCGCATCCATGCATACACATTATCAAATGGGGATGGCATATCAGGGTGCCAATACTATGTCCTCTGATTTGATCCTACATGGTACTGTCTATGCCCTGTCAATCGGCATGTTGGTGGAAACTCGTTTCACAACTCTCAACCTCGTCACCCACTTCCATATCATCAGTCTGCTCAACACCACCAGTGCAAAACAAAGTGTTTGCAATTTAAAAAGCAAGCTCACTTGATACCAAATTTTGCAGCCTCAAAATTAACGATTCAAATTTCAAAATCCTTTTTTTATTATAAATAGGCGTCTCATTTATTCACATGACTACGCAAGCAATAACATTTAAAAGTAGGGGTGTTAAGAAAAAACCAACATATCAAATGGAAAATACTATTACCTAAACCTATACATTTATGCCAGCAGTTATAAGAACACAAAGCTCAAGACATGGTTTATCTTTAATAAAGACTGTCTATGCATCCTCTTTTTATTTTAAGACACACCATTAATTGTATACTTCTTAACATGTAATATAAAATACTTTGCCATTGATCCTATTTTAAGTTATACCATACTTTTGGCTTGTGTAGCCAACGTAAAAGTGTACCCAGTTCAAATACAGGATGTCATGAATTTGGAAAAGACGGCGATTAAACACATACGCCAGGCCAGAGATAAAATTAACGAGGCCGCATCGCGCGCATTATCTTTTGAGGGAGGCGCCGCCAACATCATATAGAGCACCCGCAATACAGCACTTCAAAGCCTGGACAAGGCTGAAAGGGTTGTAAATGACGCGTACAACGTGTTTGCGGGTATCAATAATTAGATTCAATATTTAACAATATTTCTAGATTTGCCGTGATTGTTTAATTTATATTATTCAGCTACTTTAACTTGATTTGTCAGTGCAACAGTATCGACAAAAATGCCTGATTTCTGTTTTATTTTCAGCAATTCAAACACATTCAAAAAGAAGAGCCGGTCATGCACATGCGTATGCACATGCACATACAATATTATTAATTTCCACAATGAAGGTTGTTTTGTTTGTTTACATTTTTGCGCAAAAAATCATGTAAGTGACTCCCTAAAAGCTAATATTAACTTATTGCAACAAGTGTTCTTTCAATATATATAAACATACTTATTTTCTCTATAATATATTTCCAACTTCATCGTTCAAAATTATATTTACCTATTTTGGCCCAATAAACCATTCTTCAGTTGTCTTCAATCGCATCTTGTCAATAATTAAACACAAAAATGAAGTTTTTGTTTGTTGCCGCTATTCTTGCCGTTGCCGCCTCAGCTATTGCTGCCCCTGCTGCTATGCCCGAAGCAAACCCTTCGCACCAGTTGAATGTCCGCGCCAGCATTAAATACAACATTGCTGCCATCAGGCAAGCCATTAGCTACGATAACAGTGCGGCCAGTAGTCTCAAGGCTGCCATTTCCAAGACCAACAAAGCGTACTCAAATCTTAGCTCTTCTTCAGGCTCAGCCATTACTGCTGCCAGGAATGCCCACATAAAAGCCATTCAGGCGCAAAAGGCTGCACTGGCCGCCACTAATGCCGTTGCCAATGCACTCAAAAAGCTTATTTAATCGAGTGGCAGAAATATCTGATGTTGATACCTTTAATATCCGTTTAATAACAGCAGATTAGCTTGGCGCACTTGGCTATCCTTGCAATATTTTTTAATTTGTTAGTGTCAAATAAAAACTTGCTGTGCAACTCCATATTTAATTGATTTTGAATTTAAACCCATTGGTAATCCAGGCATAATCATCACATGTTATAACTATTGCCTTGTACAAAAAAATAATCTGGGCGATAAACTTTATAATAAATTTTATTTTTTAGAATTATTTAGAAGGTTTGCTTGGCAATGTGCCAAACGGCAGTGATAATTTGCTGACATTAGCAAGGAAGTATGAAAGAATGTTGCCACGTTTGTTAAAAAAAATCATGTAGTTGACTTTAGAGTATTTTATAAATTTGCGCCAATGACGGGAGTGATTGAGCCAAAACTAGCTTTAGCGATTAACATATTTTGCTCAATTTAATATTTGGAAGTGGAGACAAACTAAAGCAATATACCTCTGCCCATGCAAAAAAGTAACTAAAACTACAATAAAAATTTGAAAAGACATTTACATCTATGCATTTACAAATGCATTTAATTGCCATACATATAATGATTTGTCTACATATTTTTTAATATAAATATTTCTAAAACCATCGTAAAAAAGTAAGTATTTAAAAGTCTAAGCCACACTTTATTATGTTTTTAATTACAACCAGCATAACAAGTCAAAATTAACCTTGACAAATTCGATTAATCCGCAATGGTCTAGTGGCTAGGATCCGACGCTCTCACCGTCGTGGCCGGGGTTCAATTCCCCGTTGCGGAACATACTTTTTGCCACTTTAGTGATAGTGGCAAGGCTTCTCGTTTTTTGGCGCTCTTTCTTTTTTACTCTGCATCTGGTCAATCTCGAGCAAGCAGGTTTGGCAACTTTAAATTTTATGTTTGGTTTTTTTTGCCGCTGCATAGCTCACACAAATAAATTTTCATGTGTAATGTCAACTATGCAAAGCACCACAGCAACTCGCTGTGTGTTGAAATTTTGTTAAAAGCTTCTGTGATTGTGTAGTATTAGCACTATCAAATACAAAAAGTGGTGAACACTTGTGTGTTATGAAAAAGATCAAGAGACCCTTTTTCATTTGAACAAATCGCAAAATGAAAGCTGTTTGGCTGTATTCAAAACACAGCCATAGCTAATTGTCAAATGCTTGTAAAAAATGAAGGTGCTCAGCACAATCAAGATTTTTATACCAAATAAAAAATGTAGAAGCAGCGCGAGCGTCATAATCACAACGCTGCCCCCAAATCGTCAGCAAAAAAGAATACCCCAAAAAAGTCCGAAAACCCGGATTTGAACCAGGGACCTAGAGATAACAACTTAATACAAGCTAGGCTTGTAACGCAACTACAGTCTCCCGCTCTACCGCTGAGCTATTTTCGGTGGTTTCTCTGAAACTAGAAATGTCCAGTCAGTACATATCATTGCCAATACATTTTTTGGGGATAGGAATGTCTTGTTTTGGTTATAGTTTTTGATTATGAATATTTTGGCTGGCAAGTAAAGAAACCATATTGCACATACAAAAATACGGCTGTGAGCCACATGTTTAAAATTAAGCAAATAATAGCCGGGGGGTATCTTGAGTCTGTTGGTTGGTTTGTAATGTAAAAACGTTATTTTCTAGAAATGGTATCGCTCTGTTTAATATATATTTTATTTGCCTTCAAAACATTTTTTATAAAAAAAAACTGAGAAAACACTGATATTTGGCACTAAAGATATTTGAGCGTTTTTTGTGCTCTCGCTCATCGACAATAATTATTTGCTGCAGCGTTTGTATTTTCTTTGCAGGCCGTGTTGATTATTCAAAAAAACAGCGCGGCTTTGGAGCATTTAGCGCCAGAAACCAGTGCCGCACCCGCCCCAGCCACCGCAACTGCCGCATCCACCAACACCGCCCCAGCCGCCAACACCAACGCCAACGCCAACGCCGACGCCAGGACCAACACCGCCCCAGCCACCAATTCCGCCACATCCACCACCACAAGCGCTGCGCTTAACAAGCGCATCATTAGCATTGTTAGACGCCGATGCATGCGGAAGAGGGTTGGCATTGGCCGTGGCCAGCGAGATAGCGGCCAGCACGGCAACAACAGCAGATCCAAAAAGAGTAGTGAAGGTGGTCATTTTTCGATGTAGTGGGTTTTGTAAATATGCAATGAAGTGTAATTCAATGTGTGTGCAGATAATATTAAAATAGTTTTTTTAAGTGCAAATGCAAAAGCCTTTTATACTTTACAAATAAGTTTTATATTTATTATTTTAAAAGATACATCAAAAGATATATCTTTAGATAATATATCTTTTTCTAAAATAAACAATCCACATATCTGATGAAAAAAATGATAGTTTGAAATAACAATTAAAAAAAGCCCTGTAAATCAGCCCTAAAAAAGTTTATAACACCACTAATGTAAAATACTATTTATTTTTTATTATTACCCTTTTGATTCACCAACACCTCGTGTTTTAGCCCGAGGAAGCAGCGGACTGAACTCAGGCGGGTTCCAACTTGGATAATTATACAGCCTGGCTTTCTCCGATCTCGCCGTGATATCAATAGGCATAACCATTCCGCGCGGCCAAGGCAAATGCCTAAAATAAAACCTCTGCTCCGTACAATTAACCGTATTTAAATTCCAACTTCCACTGGAATCATGTGGTGCCCGCGACATATATATCTTATATGCATTCATCTCTTGCTCGCGTAATTCTCGCCCCTCCTCTTCTTGATCCTTGAGCTGCTGCCGCTGCTCCTGTCGTTTCTTGTAGTACTCATGTGAGTGGTAGAGCCGGTATACGTCAAAGAGGTTGGTTTCCACATGGTCAATGATGTGCTGCGCGTTAATCCAAATCTGGTACTGCAGATTTTGGACCACTTTGGTGCGGATCCGCACGAGCTCGCACTTTTGGTAATGTGGGCTAGTTATTCTGACCAGACTTTCGTAGGAAAACCGTGACGGGTCGGTGGTCAACTCGCAGGATTCGGTTGCCAGCATAAATATGCCGATAAATAGTTCGTGTGTGGCGTGGTGCGGCGCATCAATCGCGCGATTGTGGATTTTGTAGTACCGGCGCAGAAGAATAATGCAGGTCAGGGCCGTCCACATGTCAACGCCAGTGTCGTCAAAAATCATCCATATAAAGTCACCAATGTTTGGCAGCCGCAGCTCCAAAGAGACAAACACGTTGCATGAGCCTCTGCGGTAAATCAAGTTGAGGTACTCAATAATTGAGTTGACGATCTCGGGCGTCGCCAGGCGTGGCAATCTGGGATCAATAAAGTAATTATTTGGCTGCTCGGGCGCAGTGACCGGGGGAACAGCATTAAAAAGCACGCTTGTATACAAAAACTCGTTTGTGTCGCGCGTCAGAATGCAGTTCCAGAAGGGCATTTCCTGGCACAGTTCCAAGCGCAGCTTTACTTCAGCCTGTGTTTTTTCTTCCTCGCTGTCACAGCCATCATCGCTCTCCTCATGGCTGTCATTGCTATCCACTACGTCTACGGGTTCACTGGCATTGCCCTTGTCGCTGGAATCGTAGCCATCGCCATCACCATCGTCATCGCTATTACCATTGCTGAAAATGTCGGCATAGTTATAACAATAGTTGTTCCCAGAGTAATTGTTTAAAGGGTGACCAGCAAACCCGCTATACCTGCTTTCCACAGACGCCGACCAGTACTGCTGCTGTCCTGGCTGCTGCCTTGAGCGATCCGCTGCAAGATCCATATTTGAGGCCATGACAGGAGAGAAAGCAGAGAGCGGCGAGAAAACATCCAATTGCTGATCCCACACGTCTGGAGACCTGGCTAAAGTGTCAAATGCATTCTCTACCTGCAGATCCATGTTGGAAGGCATCAAAAAATTGTTGTTATGCGCGGCTGCATCGGTAGGCATGGAGCGGCAGGCAAGAAAAGACAAACCGGTGAGCAAAGTATGGCTGACGCCGCCGTCTCTGCCATTGTACCCATGGTCATTAGTATCCCGATGCGCCGTATCTGCCGGCAATATCCTAGCAGCAGCAGCTGCTGGTGCTGCTGAGGTTGCTGCAGGGGGGACAGAATCTGCAGGCAGGGTTGCTGAATATTTTGTAACCGTCCGCTGCTCACAAATACGGATGCTGAGTTGCTGCTCATGAGGATGAGGCTGTTGGGAAATTGGAGTCTGAATATCACCATTTTGGGCATTGTGCGCAGCAAAGCCCCCCTCGCCAGCGGCATCCGCTGTATTGTTGATTCTGATTGTGCTATGCGGAAGCGGAATCTCACCGGAACTAAATTGGTCAAAAAGCACGTGTTGCGATGCACTGGCACAAACATGATGGGACTCGATGGGTTGGGAAGAAGATGAGTAAATGCTCATTCTGCTACTGCTGTTGCTGCTAATGCTCACACTGGGCTGCAGCAATTCGGGCTGGACTGATTTGCCAATATTAACAGGGCTTTGCCAGCGCATATTCGCAGAATCCAAGTCCGTGTCTAAGGCCAAATCCGGCACAGTCATTTTTCTGGCTGCCAGCGACAAGTACGACCATGGGCGGGCAAAGTGGCGGCCAAGAAAACTGCTTGAAGCAAACGACGATCTGCGCGTGGGTGGTGGCACCGACGCTGACAAGAAACCGAGCGGCTGATTTGGTGGACTGAAGGCACCAGTGGCGGTTACGCTGGTGACGTCGGCAATTGATTCCGAGGGCAGCGAGATGGCTGCGGATATGGCCGAGGAGGCGATTGAGGCGGGTGATTTGGGAATTAGACGGGTCGATGGTTCCTGCGAGACGGATGCTGTTGAGGGGCGGTGGGAATGCGTGCTATGTCGGATGTTGATGCTGATGCCGCTGGCGCCACTAATGTTTTGGCGTGTACAATGGTCCTGATTGTCTTTGGCCGCAGTTGCAGCTACTGCTGTTGGTGCTGCTATGGGTAGTGTTTGGGTGTTGATGCCAAGAAATGGCCTTTGGTGTGTGTTGGCCCGGGCTTGGTGATGTTGGTGTTGGTGTTGGTTGGCTGGACCTCTGACTGATGCTGGAATAGATGCAAACATGTTTGATGAGGCCTTTTTGGATGTTTTTGGCGGTCAATAATAGATAAAATAAAAAATAACCGTAAACTAGACCACGCAAAAACGATGATTCTGGTGGTACTGGGCAACCACTAAATATAAAATAAATGGAGCTTAATGTAGGTATTAGCAAATGTCAATAATAGGTTTAAACATAAACAAAAGAAAACCATAAAGTGTAACAAAAGCAACGAGCGCAACTCCAATGAAAAAAGAGGAGAGAAATACAAGCGGGTTACGCAATATTTCATCACGCCCTTTTTTTGGAATAAATGTTTTTTCCGTTAATGTTGTTGAATATTTTTTTTGCGGCTGAGCAATCATAATTTTTTATCAAACAGGGTTTTTAAAATGAGGGAATAAACGAATATCGTTCAGTTTTTTTTTACATTGTTAAAGATACTAAAAATGGAGACATTGGAAAAATACACATGACCATCCCCAATTTGACTTATTGTAACCACTACTCGGTTTCCCGAAAAAAGATAAAGAAAATGAGCTTTTCAATAACATGTTACTGCTGTTGCTGTTTTCTCATTACTTCTTTAAGCAATATATTGATTTCAGCAAAAGTACCTTGGTAACAAAGACAGTAAAAACAAAAAGAAAAAAATACAAGGTAATATAAATACATATAATACACATACCTATAAACTAAAAATGAACAGGAGGGTGTGTTGATGTTTTTTCTTTTGGATTTGTTTGACAGCGTAAGTAAAAAGAGAAAAATTGAATAAATAAAAGTAAAAAATTAAAGGTTGTGAGAAAAGATAAAAAAAGGAAAAAAAAATACTGGGTTGCAGATGTGCAGGTTGTGGTTGCAGAAAGTGCAGTGGAAAAAAGAAGCGGGAGTCAAGATCCAACGAAAAACACAAACGTTAACAACATAATATGATTTTTTGATTTGGGAAGCAAGAAGATAGGTGAATAATAGAGAAGCGTGACTTTTTGGATAACGTACATGTTTATACAGCAACAAAACAATGAAAGCTCATGAGGGAGACCAAAACACCTTTGGTCACAGGCTCTCATTTTGGAAATAGAAACAGCAAAAGAAAATTAGGATAAAATTGAATAATTTAAAAAATTAAATAGTGATATCCAAACTTTTATCATTTTCATTTTCTATTACTCACTCTAATTTAATTACTCACTCTCTGTCTATACATGTTTTATTTTTAATTTGTGCATGCGGACAATATATGCATGTCTTGTTGCTCAAGTTGTACGTTTGTTAAATTATAAAATCTGCATATTAGCATAATAAAGAAGAAACCGGAAAGATTTTGCATATGCTTTTTCTTTATTGGACTAATTGAAAGAGCTGCTAAAAAAGGGTATGTCTGATTTGATTTTTGGTTAATTTTTTGAATGTGTTGATGATGACGGTGAACTTTTTTTTATTACTGCTCAAAGTGCATGGCGTGTATGCGTGTGTAACAATTCCGTCAATAAAAAGGAGTGGTCCAGCCCCTCTTGCCATTATCCCCCCACTCCGAACTCAACTCACAACAACAACAAAAAGGCGTTCTATTTTACATTTTCTTTTTCCTTTCTAAATAAATAAATTGAATTTATTTTTCCATTATTATAAACACCGAGATTTACAATTCAATTCAATTCAGTTAATTTTTTTAAATGGCAACCCCCCTTTTCTCGCAGCAATCACGCCGTCCTCCAGGCACTTCCACCATGTCCAAACCCGGCAACACTAGTTTAATCCCTGGGTCACTCCTGGAATTCAAAGCCGGTCGACTCTACCGCGACGGCGAAAGCAACTGGGTCAAACCCGATTCACGCAAAGGCCTCTGCTACATCAAAAAGGGCATCGACGGACTCTTACGTTTTTGTTGGAAAGACTTGGCAGCCAATGTGGTTGAAGAGGAACTTATTGTGTTTCCAGGAGATGTCACGCTGGAGAAGGTTCGGCAGTCAGCGGGGCGCGTCTACGTGTTGAAGTTTCGGACGTCGTCACGTAGGTGCTTTTTCTGGATGCAGGCAGAGAAGGAAGAGGACGATAAAGAGGTGGTGAGGAGTGCAAACAATCTGCTGAGTATCGGGATTGAAGAGGAAGAGGATGATGAGGATATGATGCAGGATAATGAGGATGAGGGTGACGAGGAAGAGGAGGCGGTGGCGGAGAGGACTCCGGCGGCGTTGGCGAGGAGTGTGTCGAGGGAGGCTGAGGTACTGAGCCACCACCGCGAGCAATCGGCGTTGGCCAGTGAGACAGCTGGACTGCAGAGCACGCTTTCGTCGGCGCAGGTTGGCGGGGTGCCCGGCGGCAATCTGCGGCGGGTTTCGCAGCAGCAGCCAGGCGACGACGTCACGCCGATGGGCAGCGGTGGGCTTTCCTCCGGCAGTGGCGGGCGCATGGGCGCCGAGGAGCTGAACAATCTGCGGCAGCTTCTTTCTGGCATCAGCGTTCCTCCGCCCTCGGAGGGCTTTGCTGGCCAGCAGCGTGGGTTGCAGCAGGGCGCGTTGCAGCTGGGCGATGTTCTGACAGTGGACAACCTGGCGACAGTGCTGGGCGACCAGAAGATGCGGCAGGCGCTGTTCCCTACACTGCCTGAGGGGATGGTTGAGGATCGGGCGTCGGTAGAGCAGGTTTTGCGCAGCCCACAGTTCCAACAGGCGCTGGCAGGGCTGTCCCAGGCGCTGGCCTCGGGGCAGCTGGCGCCGCTGGTTGGGCAGCTGGGGCTGGCGCCGGAGGCTGGAAACAGCGTCGAGGCGTTTTTGCTGGCAATCGAAAAGCAGGTCGAGAAGGAGAGGAAGGAGCAGGAGGACAGAGAGGACGCGGACTGGGACACCAACATGGACGCGTGAAAGTAAAAATCAAAAAATCAAAAAAATATTTCTGGTTAGCCCATAAAACTCTGTGATCAGATGCTTTAAATGCTATAAAAAAGCACTTCTTTTTTATTATCCCTCAAAGCCAAGGAAAAATATTATATTTGACTTGAAATCGTTTTTTCTTTTTCTTTGTACACATTTACAACTTTACTTTTCAGAAACAAACAAGCTAAATGGCAGACTCGCGGACCACCACGCTATACGCTCTGGTCACTGCAGCAGCGGCGGCCGGAGCCGCAAGCACGGTGGTATGCTGGCACCTTCTTAACAAATCCAAATCCAAATCCAAACCCAAGTCCAAATCAGCCAGCAACAAATCAGCCAGCAGTCAGATCAGCCACGGTGTCACCGAGCTGATCGGCAACACACCATTGATCCGCATCAACAGCCTCTCCGACCACACCGGCTGCGAGATCCTGGGCAAAGCCGAGTTCCTCAACCCGGGCGGCAGCTCCAAAGACCGCATCGCCCTCTACCTCATCGAGCAAGCGGAGCTCCGGGGCGAACTGCACCCAAATGCAAACAACTGCATATTCGAGGGCACGTCGGGATCAACGGGGATTTCTCTGGCAATGGTTGCGCGCGCCAAGGGGTATCTCTGCCACATAGTGATGCCAAGCGACCAAGCAGTGGAGAAGTCGCAGCTTTTGCAACGCTACGGCGCCACAGTTGAGCGCGTGCCGCCGTGCTCAATAGTCGATAAGGGGCATTTCGTCAATGTCGCAAGGCAGCGGGCGGCAGAGCACGCCGGCGGGGCGTATTTTGTGGACCAGTTTGAGAATTTGTTGAATGCGCAGGCGCATTACGAGTGGACGGGGCCGGAGATCTGGGCGCAGGTTAGGGGACGGATGGACGCTTTTGTGCATGGGTCGGGGACTGGCGGGACGATTGCGGGCGTGGCGCGGTATTTGAAGGAGCAGAACCCGCGGGTGCGCTGTTATTTGGCTGATCCGCAGGGGTCCGGGCTGGCTAATAAGGTGAACCACGGGGTGATGTTTGCAGACTCTGAGCGGGAGGGAACGAGGCGGCGCCAGCAGGTGGATACGCTGGTGGAGGGTGTTGGGCTGAACCGCATGACGAGGAACTTTGCGCGGCTGTTTTCCACCACCACCCGCCGCAGCAAAGGCGGGTCCGGGTCCGGGTCCGGGTCCGGGTCTTCTGGTTGTTTGTTGGATGCGGCGATTAGCGTGGCGGACGCGGATGCTGTGCGGATGGCGCGGTGGCTGGTGGCTGAGGATGGGCTTTTTGTCGGCAGCTCGGCGGCGATTAATTGTGTAGCGGCCGTGCGTGTTGCTAAGATGCTTGGGCCCGGGCACACGGTGGTGACGGTGCTGGCGGACGGCGGCCAGCGCCATTTGACAAAGTTTTGGAGCGATGAGGCGATGACCGGCTTGGGCCATGATGTGCAGGCGCCGGCGTCGCTGGACGAGTTTCTGGGGTGAGAGCTGGGTTGGCTTGGGTTGGCTTGGGTTGGCTTGGATTGGGGCCGGGTTGGCTTGGATTGGGGCCGGGTTGGATCGGCTGCTGCAGAGGGAATTAGCCGGGTTGGGCTGGGTTGTGGAAGCAAAGCCGAGCGGAACGATCGACGAGCAAAAAGGGGTTTTCCATTGCTTTCCTCGCAAAAAGGAAGCCAAAGTGGCTTTTTCCCCATTGCTTTCCTCCCTCCCAAAAGGAAAATCGAAATGAGGAAGGAGGAAGAGCACATTCAACGGGTCTTAATCATCTAATCATCTATTCGCCTATTCATTCCCACTTCTTCAACCCTTAAGGTCTAAAAATCCCTCACACAAAACACATCAAAATAAATGGCAACCCGCCCAGGCTCATAGGGTCGATGGTTCCATAACTGGACCCCACAAGAAGTGTTGTTTGGTACGCGCTCGGTGTTTTCTAATTAATGAATGAATGAATGAATCAATTTTTCATTTAATTCGTTCCAAAATAATATTCAACTTTCATTCACATCAAAACAAATGGCAGGCCGCGGCAGCCAAGATTTTTGCACAGCAGACTATTTTGAAGCCTTAAGCAGCGTCGACCGCAATATCCGCGACCTCATTGCCACACAGAAGGTGCAGCCACACAAGCGGTCGACAGCATTCCAGCTGCCGCCATTCCCACTACCGCCGCCGACGCCCACTCCTACGCTTACGGTCGCCAATGAAATAGCTGCTGGGGCCGGGCTGGGGCTGAGGAGGAGGAGGAGGCCATGGTGGCGTTTCTGTGCAGCGGGCTGCCGCACTATGAGGGCACGCGGCCGGTCAACTATGACTCGCTGGAGGGCCACGGCAACAGGGGCAATAGCAGCGACAGCGACAATGGAAGCAAGGACGAAGACGAGGAGGAGGTGGGCGAGTGGGAACGCGGGCGGGAGCCGGAGCCGGAGCCGGAGCCGGAGCCAGTGGCGGCAGCCGCAGCCGCAGCCGCAGACGCTGACGCTGCAGTGGCAGCGCTCGAGGGCTGGGTGGATTTCGACGAGCTGCGCCTGGCAGTATGCGCGGCACTTCAGCTCACCGGCGGCTGCCGCATCGGGCACGGGCCCCAGGGGCGGTGGGAGACCGAGTACATGCTATTCTACGACATCGACACCGGCACAGCCGGAGAGGAGGAGCGCATGGCCGTGCAGATGGCCAAGCCGGGCGTCTCCGCAGAGGCGTTTGGAAGCGAGATCCTTACGCTGGCGTATATCGGCGAGAAAAGCGCTTTGCCGGTGCCGCGCGTGCTGCACGCGGAGCTTTCCGGAACCAGCTGCGGCAGGGTGGGCGCGGCGTATGCGGTGGTGACGGTGGTCGAGGGCGAGGGCCTGGCGCCGCACTGGCACAGGTGGGGCGGCAAGGAGCGCAGGCAGGTGCTGGATCAGATTGCCCTTCTGGCTGTCGGATTAAGCGAGCTTCAGCTGCCGATGATCGGCGCCCTGGTGGCCGACAGCAACGGCGGCGGCGTGGTGGTCGGCCCGGTGCTGGACCGCCGCATGGGCGAGCCCGGGTACGCGGGCCCTGGGCCCGATATGGGCCCGTTTGCCAGCGCACTGGAGTTCCACCGCGCAATGGTATATGCGTCCTTGGGGCGCAGCCAGAATTGCCGCCAGGACCGCGTCGAGCTCGAAGCGTACCTGCATATGGCACCGGCATTCTCCACAGTCAACGAGTTTGCACTGATGCCGCGCGCGCTGGACCTCGGCCACTTCCGCGTCGACCCACGCTCCCTGCGGATCACCGGTATTGTCGACTGGACTTTTGCCGGTAGTCGCCCAGTGTCGCTTGTGGTGCAGCCGCCGGCCTTTGCCTTTGACGACACGCCGAGGTGGGAGCCGCCGCTGCTTGAGCCAAGGCTGAGGCATCGCAGGAATTTGGTCAGGCAGCGGAGGTGGTTTTTGAAGGCGCTGCGCAGACATGCTGGGGCGCGGATGCTTGGGCACGAGAGAGTGCGGATGCTGGCTGAATGGGTTGATCTGGGCTACTGGCCGTACAAGTTCCATGTCGAGGTGTGCGAGAGCGTCGCTTATGGTAACCCGTGGAGCTTCCGTGCATTGTGGGAGCACGTGCATCCCAATGAGGACTTTGCTGTGTGGTTTGCGCTGGCGCTGGCTAGCATCGGACAGCAGCAAAGCCATCCAGCAGCAGCCATCAGCAGCAGCAAAACTATCAGCACCAGCAAACTATCAGCACCAGCGCACCAGCATCAGCACCAGCACCAGGCGGATGGATGAGGGTTTTTTTTGCTGAAAAGAATCCAGTTTTCTTTTCTTTTCTTTTCTTCTCTTCTCTTCATCGACCCGCTATTTTTTGTTATTTTGTACTTTTTATTCCCTCTTTTTTCAATCCAATCCAATCCAATCCGGCCCAATCCAATCCAAGATGGACCTTCTCTCGGCTTCGCCAGAGTACGCGCCTTTCCTTAGCGACAACTTCTCTCCGCTCGCCCACGCACAAAGCCTCGCCACCGCACCCGGCAGCAGCCTCATATCCGCCCAAGAAACCCTCCAATCTCAACAACGGCAAACCTCACGCCATGCACACACATTGATATCTGGCCTCCAGCCCCACTTGCTCTCTCAGCTACTCAGCGTGCGGCAGCTAGACGCCAGCCTACAGCAGGCCGAGGATCAAGTGCGCGAAATGAAGCATTACATGCACACACTGCGCACACGTATCCGAGTGCCCTTTGTACAGGCCCAGGAGTTTGCCAGACAGAGTGTGGCGCTTGTACGGCGCAGAAGATGGTTGCGAGTGTTGGGCGCGTGCTGATGCTGGTCAGAAGACTGCGTGCGCAGGATGAAAACGGGGTGGCGGTGGATTGGCCGGCGTGTGCGTTGACTTTGGCCGAGATCGACCGCGTTATTGCTGCCTCGCGTGGATCCGATGATCCCGATGGGTTAAATGGTATTGTGGTTGTGCAGCAGGCGCTGGACGCAGAGGTGCGGCCCCGGCGAGCACAGGCGCTGGAGGCTGCGGCGGCGCTGGTGGACAGCGGGATGCAGGGGCAGCAGCGAGAAGCCCTGGCCGCCGCCTCTTCAAGCGACCTGGGCGCTGGGCTGCTGATCTGGGCTAATCTCGGGGTTCTGCCGGCTAAGGTGGCGACGCTGGTGCGCCGCGATGCCGCTGACTGGGCTGCGTATGCGGCGGCGGTCCCGCTGCCCAGCAATGGCCTGTGGCTGGGCGTCGGCCAGCTGGCCGACGAGCTGCTGGCGCGCGCCATGCGTGTGCGCGGCCTCGAGCGGGCCCTGGCCCGGCGGCGGCACGACGCTGTGGGCCGCTTCGGCACGGGCGCTGCGAGCACTGCGAGCACAGCAGCACTGGCCTGGATGCTGTGGACGCAGTGGTTGTGGAGCTCGGCGACCGCGTGCTGGCATTCTGGTGGCGCGCTGCGGTGTCCGCGCTGGGTGCGCGGCTGCTCGCCCCGGCGGTGCGCCCGCAGCTGGTGCTGAGCCTCCCCCGGCTTCTCGGCGCCGTATGCCCGACGCTGGAGCGCCTGGGCGGCGTCGCCACAGTCAAGGCCGTGAACAGTGGCATTGCCACCGATGAAAATGCCGCTGTGCATATCTTGTGGGACGCCCTGCTGACGCCGCTGGCCAGGGAGTACATGGACGGGGTGCGCGCCAGGATGCGGACGAGCGTTGACAGGTGTGTGAAGCCATCAACACCGCCAGCGAAGAAGGCCGTTGCGGCGCTGGGCCGGTGCATTGTCGCCGAGGTTCGGCTCGCTGAGGTCGACGAGCGGCTGGCAACCGACGTGATTGGCGCCGGGCGCCAGGCGCTTGCTGAGTTTATGGCGGCTGCCGAGGCGCGGATGGCGCAGATCCCACCCGACGCACTGGTGCCGCAGGCGGGCGGCGCCTCGTCGCAAGCGGACACCGCCGGCGCCACTGCTGCAGCCGGACTGCTTGGAGCCGCGGCGGCGCTGCGCATGGGCATTACCGAGTGCGACCGCGCGGCGGATTTGCCCTTGGACATTGCGCGGCTGGCGCAGCCGCTGATGGACCAGCTGGAATCCACGGTTGCGCAGGCAATTGTTGCCAACGACACCGCCCGAGTTCTCTCGTCTGCGCAGTGGCTGCACAGCACCAGCTCACGGGGCTTCTCGCGGACCAGCTCCCCTTGCTAGTGCACCGCATGCTTTTGCTCTACACGCACACCACCTGTCTCGCCTACCCGCTGACCGAGGACACGAAGCTGAGGATTGCCGCGGACGCGACGCAGTTTGAATTTGCGTGCAGCCAACTGGTCGCCTCGGGCTCTCCGATGCTTCCGGTGGTGACGCGTATGCGGCCTTGAGGATGCTGCGCCCGCTGCTGTTTATGGACACTGCCGCTGTTATTGCAGAGATGGAAGGTGGCCGGCTGCGGTGTTTTGGTTCTGTAGATTTGGCGAATCACGTGGTTTTAAGGCTGGTTTCGGAGGCGTCGGACGCCAGGGCACTGCTTGGGTGTGCGTATCAGCAGTGGAGGGAGGTGTTTATAGAGCATGGCTTTGCTGGGGAGCGGGTTGTGCAGATGCTGGCGGATGCGCTGGGCCGGCTGGTGAAGGCCGCGGATCTCGGCAGGGAGCAGCCTGAGTGCGGCCGCCTTGCACAGCTGGCGTCCAAGCTGCTGCTGTAATAGATAATATGTTGTTCTAATTTTTGTTCTATAAATTTGCGTTTTCTGTGTATTGCCCCGCCATTAATCAATGTCCCTGACCATTTCAAGATACATAGATACATAGATATATAGATACATAGATACATAGATACATAGATACATATATCCATACATCATACATCATACATCCATACATCCATACATCCATACATCCATACATCCATACATACATGTGTGTTTGTGAATCAATCCAGTATTTGCAAACAGGTGGCGTAAATCAAACTTACAATTCAAAAATCAATCAATCCAAAATTTTCCTTGGTTTTACATTACATTATATTATATTCAATACTTATGCTTGTTCAACAGGCATCTCCAAGTAACTCTTCCCATGATCGCCCACCAAGCGCCCAGCGCCGCCGCCTGGTCCAAACTCAAAACCGCCACTCTCCAATGAAACCAGCAGGATACATGGGTTTCCGAATAAACAAAATAGTCTGAAACAACAGCGCCACAAGTAACCCCAAAGCCGCCCACGTAACTTCCACATGCTCTTTATCCTTACACTCCTTGGCAACAAACAAGTGAAGCACCAGGCATACTGCCAGCAGTACGCCGAGAATCATCAAGTTCATTGCCGAAACAAAAGTCTTGAATATTTCGTTGAACTGACATATATCCACGGTATCCACAAATATAATTGTACGGTGGGTTGGTAATAATGACACTGTGATTCCTGAGACTAACCCACTACAACTATTTTTCCTACTACTAACCACAACATGCCGCCGCGGAGTTTCTTTCTCAGCCTGTATTTACAATACACTCTACACGCATGTATTGTCAATACGTTGATTATCAGATTGTGGCCGCAGATGGAGCGCAGCCAGACAATGATAAAAATACAGTTACGCAATATTGTGTTGTTGGGTGGAGCATCTCTTGGGTGACAAAGTCGCTGAAAAAGTATATTATACTGCAGAGATAGATTAGAAACATTAAAGGTGCGTTGCGTTGTTGGATATCTGGTTTCGCCGGTGCCATAGGGTGTAAAGTATGGGGAAAAGTTGGATAAAGTAAATACTGGACCAGGTTATTATTGCTGTGAGGTCTTTTTGCTGATCGGGTCGAGTGTTATGCCCATGAATTGGGCAAGAAAAACACGAAGTCTTTCCTGCTCTGTAAATGCAAATGACATGGTTATTAAAATATTAAATGTGCGTAATAATAGAAAAATGGGAAAATGAAAAAATATTATGTGTGGATTCTTTTTAGGCGTCCCTTGCGTAACACTTTATATAAAACATTTTTTAAATATAAAAGTATGCATGTTTTTTCTTCCTTCTTTCCCCCCTCCTTTCCTTCCCCTCCCTTCCCTTGCACATAAACTTGCATTATTCAACCTACATATACAGCAAAACTCCACCTCCTCATCTATATCCACCGCTTTCATTACCACCACATTCCCTTAATTGTTCTTTTTATCATTATCCATACATTATTGGAATGTAAGGCGTTCAACACAAATGTTTTTTTGTTTTCAAACAAGGATTAGCAGTAACTCAAATGCACAAACAATTATCCCCTCTTCCCCCTCTAAAAGGCTTTTTCTCCCAAATATTATTATTATTACTATATATTTATATAATTTTGTATAAAAAATTATATTATTTGCAAAGCGACATTGTGCATAATTTAGTTATGTAATCATGTTTTGGTTCATCACTGACTTTAATATTTTGCATTTTAAATATAATATTATTTTTATGAATGGCAATGTGAGCTTACCATACACTTGCCAGCCACCCCCTTACTCATTCACTCACTCACTCATTAATTTACTTGACTCTTTCTTCCAGATTAAAATAACTAAACTGTTAAAATCTATTGGTTGATGGCGATCAACTGATTAACCAGTCTTGGTTGTTTAGCAACACAAACAATAAGTCACACAGTGACCAAAGCAATGTGTTTTCTACTCTTTACCTTTCACAGTGCATAGCACCTATTTATTAAATATATTTTATGTCATTATAGTTTATCTACACGTTCATAGAACGTTCCTATATTCCAACAAAATCAAATTTATTATTGTATTTTATTTGATAATTTAAAAAGTTTTACAAAACTGGCGACTTTGGCACAAAACTAACTGGCAAGTTATTGAATCTCACCGGCACCATTGCCTGCTCCTGCCCAACATAGCTGCCATCATGTATTGTCGTTGCGGAACTAATATTCTCCATCCTATTAACGGTGTTCACTCTCTGCGGCGAAAACAACATAATGTTTGAATTATCGTCCTCGTCCACCCTCCCCTCACTGCTCATAATGCTCCCAGCACCGTACCGATGTCCATTATACCACGCCCCAGAAACCTCATCCCATCGCACGCAGTATCCACCTGCTGCTGATATGCCCTGCTGGAGCTTCCCCTGGAAAACGACATTCTTGTATCATGCGGGTGCATCCTCCCCATCTGGCCTCCTACGCCATTGCTATTGCCGCCCTGGCCGCCACCGCCCTTTATTTGGCTTCCAATGCTCATCATGGTTCCGGCAAACGGATCTGTGCGCGAAATTTGGTATGTTTCTGGAGCCCGTCGCTCACCAACTTTTCCTTCCACTCAACAAGGTAGGCGGATCTCCGGGTTGCGCAGTTGTAGATGCCGCGGAACATAATAAACCACCAGAGAAAGTTGGCAATAAAATGGCTCAGCAGAGTCTCGGACACCCGGAGAATGGTTCTGGTAGGATACAGCGGGTAGGCGTAAAGAATGATTGTGTTAAAGCCCAGCAGGATAAAGACACTGATGCAGGCAACGCCCATTTCGCGACTCTCGTTGAAGGAACTGGTGATATTGCGCAGGCGGTAATTAATAACCGCATTCACCGTCCACGTCGCCCACAAAAGCCCCTGGACAATTGCCCGGTAGGTAAAGCTCATATTGCACATCTGTATGGCCTCAATGTAATGCACGGTGTTATCCTCAGGCATTACGTAAGTAATCAGTAGAAAGATCAGCCCGACCACACCGACAAGACCACCTGAAAACCAAACGTACTTGCCCTTGTACGCGCGGTTTTTCCGGAACACGCAGAAGAGCGCGTAGCTGCGCACGGAGATCAAGGCCGAAACCATGAAGTTTCCGCAGAGGACGCGCATCCAGACGAGGAATATCATGCAATTTGATAGAAGGCCTTGCACGTGGACGTGTGATTTTAGCACGAGGTCGCCAAGGAACCAAATAAACATCCCGAGGGTGCAACAGCTCATCATTATTGGGTATTTGGATTTCAGCGGCGCGTAGCTGCGGTTGTAGAGAAGAAATATTACAGAGATAAGATTTAGAAAGTAGACGACGCTGAGAATCACTATTGTTGCTAGGTCGGCGTACCCGATGGGATCTAGCGTTATGCCGGCAAGTTTTGCTATGTGAATACGCTTTTTCTCATCATCTGTAAATGAGAAAGCCATCTTGGTTTAAAATTAAGAAAAAATAACGAGTTTAAATATAAATAGAAAATATGTAAAAAAAATTAATTTGAAAATATGACTAATATGAAACGGAAACGAGTTTTTTTTTAAAAAAATTATACCGCAAAGATGGAAGATAAAACAGAATAAAAAAGTGGTGGCCAAGGAAAAAAATGGATATAGTCTTGAATATAAACCTTCACCTTCCTCTAAAAACAAAAAACTAACTAACTAACTAACTACTAACTAGAAAACAACAAAAATAAGTTTTTATCTCGGTACAATATGTATTTTAAAAACAAAAAGGGAAACGTGAATTGTTCTCTTATCCTCCCAAGCCTCTTAATATACGTTTTTTATTTTCCTCTTTTCAAACTAAGTAGAATCAAAAAAACCCGTGGTGGTCATTATTGAAACTTTTATTTTGCTCTACAATGTACTTTCTTCCTTTTACGGACACTGTGAAGGGAAACAAAAAATAATCAAAAAATAAATATTTTGTTACTCGTAAATGGAATACAATCAACAGTTATCTACTGTTTACATTTCCGAAATGATGTAAAAATATTTTTTCATATTACTGCTTCTTTTTTGATTTTATCGGAGACCGTATACAAACTAGTAATAAAAAGCACGAAGCAGTACAATTAGAATTTGTTTACAGCTAATCTGCTTATTAAATAATCTTTATCAAATATTTTTTAGTTTGTGGTATGTATGAATCAACTGGTTTATGTGTGGTGAAAAAAGAAAGATCTAATTTCCAATTCGCCACAATAGCCATTGTGTTGTTATTCCAACGCCACATGTTCTATTTCTCTCTCTCCCGCTTTTCTTTTTTCTTTAGCGCCTAATTATCTGCATGTTATTCGAGCACTAGTATAATCCGAATTGCTCATTTTTGATTGTTCGCAAAATAAAAAACGTAAACATTGACTTTTGGTTTTGGTTTTATCCATGTTTCTACTATAAAAAACATAATTTAGGCTGATTAGTTGTTTTTATCTTGTTTATTTTGGAAAAGTGTTAATGTCATTTTATTGAACTCCAATAAAACAAATGTATACCAAGCTAAATTTACTGCACAGCACAGCAGACCACAGCTCATATTTTTTGCGCGTGCGCATTACTGTGAAGGCGGCTTGGAAGAAAACGAGCGCTTATTCCGCAATTAATATGGTGAGGTGATGTTTTTTAACCAATAGAGAATCTTGACTTATCGGCCACCCGATTGATTGATTGATTTCATTTAATCGAGGACCTGATTTTCATTTCACATGATTGGGAGATCCACCGAGAAAATACTCGATTTCGATTCTCGATTCCTATATCGATTTCGATATTTGGCGTACTGCCAACGCGGAAACAAAAATATCTGCAGTCATCTTTATCTTTGGATTACTATCTTATACAGTTATTCGTTTATCACACTATATCCACCTTTTTGCTCATGGACTCGCCGCCAACACGGTCTCCTACCGATAACAGTAGCAGCACTGGCAGCAGTAACTGTAACACACCAGTAACGGTCCAGAAGCCGACGAGCTCCACCTGCTGCTGAGTGAAGCAGCAAAAGTGTTTTCAGAATATGCCCGCGATTCACTCCATCCGCATGCGACAATCGTCACAGCGGCAACGCCCTCGGACATAGCCTCCCAACTTGACCTGACATTCCCAGACTCCGGGACCGGTCACCCCGGTATCTGGAAAGATATTCGCAATGTCTGCATCACTGCCACGAACACCTGGAGCGACCGGTTCCTTTACAAACTCTACGCAGCGCCAACACCCATCGGGGTGGTCAGCGAAACTCTCATGGCGCTGCTCAATAACAACGCACACGTATTCCAGTCATCACCCGCCGGCGCAGTGCTGGAGGCAGCGGTAGGCACAAAGCTCGCGGAAATGGCCAACTTTTCTACAAAAACCGCCGCCGGACTGACCTTTCCCGGCGGCTCATACTCGAACATGCACGCTTTGATGGTCGCACGCAACCAGAGATTCCCCGAGCTCAAGCACGGTGGCATTGTCGCTTTGGCCAAGGCCGACGTGCGGCCCGTGATATTTACCAGCGCCCATGCGCACTACTCCATAGAAAAGTCGCAATTGCTGCGGGTATCGGACTCGACAATGTTATCTGTGTGCCCACAGATGATTGTGGCTGCATGAATCCTGTGGCATTGCGGGAACTGGCTTATAGGGAATTGCTGCTGGGGGCACGCCGTTTTTTGTCAACGCGACCGCAGGGACCACGGTGCTGGGCGCATTTGATCCGCTGGCTGAGATGCTGATGTCTGCGAGGAGCTGGGTATCTGGCTGCACGTCGATGGGTCGTGGGGCAGTCCTCTGGCGCTGTTCGCCGACCCCAGCGTATTCGAATACCCGATTCCCGCTGGCCGAATCAACTCGCTCACAATCAACCCGCACAAGCTGCTGGTGTGCCCTTGCAGTGCTCGTTCCTGCTCATGCGTGATGGTCTTAGTGTTATGCGAGAGACGCTAGGGCTGAACGCCAGCTATTTGTTCCACTCGGCGCCGGAGGATGACGAAAGTGCCGATGGCTTTGGCCTTCACCAGCAGAAGCAGAACTTGGCGGGAGCTGGGACTTTGGCGACGCCACGATGGGATGTGGTCGCCGCCCAGACGCTATCAAGATATGGATATCGTGGCGCTACTACGGCACCAAGTACTTTAGCGACCGCGTCGGCCGCGCTCGACAGCTGGCTGTCGAATTTGCCGATATGATTACTTCGAGAAACACTACGTGTACCAGTGAGCCAGGAAATTGGAAGCTGTTTGTCAGGCCGCAGAGCATCTGCGTGTGCTTTTGGTTCATCCCACACTCTGAGGCTGATAGGCATGGAGGTAGGAAAAACAACAATGGCAGCACTAACCCTCAGTGCTGGTGGGGCGACGTGACCAAGGCGCTGTGCAACCGAGTCAACGCCACAGGCAAACTGCTCCTCGACTACGCGTGCGTCGACAGATTCGCGCCCACCAGTGTTCCGAGTGAATACAATAAAAACACGGTGCCGTTCTTCTTCCGCATCCCTTTTAACAGCCCTGGCGTGACTGTGGACACGCTAGAAGCCATTCTGAACTCTATTGAACTGGCTGCGCGCCATCTCTACAGCAATTAGAGCAGCATGTTTCCATAAAAGTAAATATAAACGATTCTTCCATTAAATGCACTTGCTATACTCTAAAAGTCCTCCAAGTCGGACTCGTCGCTCAGCTGGCCTGGAACACCGTGCTCGTCCCGCTCGTACACACCAGCCCCGCTGCGTCCGTAATAGTCTTCAGCATCATCGTCATCGGCATACCCAGACTGTTGCTGTCTATTCACTTGTTGACGCGGCTGCTCATCCCGATACTCGCCATCCGCAGTCTCGCCAAGCTCTCTCAGCTTAGCCTCCTCGCACGCATCGATCCACTCGCTGTACACGTCAATCGCAGCACTCAAATGGTTGATCGCCGCCTGGTAAGAAGCTGCGCATATCTTGCACCTCAGGTTGCCACCTTGTGCTCCTTGTCCATTGTTACGTGGATAGACTTTTCGTGGTTGCAGAACAGGCAGTCGAATGTCGTGTCCAGCTTGGGTCTCTCCTTTTTAACTACTTTGCGCGACGACTTTCTCTTACCCATCGTACGTGTTGTCTAAATGTATGTGTGGTGAAGATGGCTGCGGTGGATGGTTAAAGTATACAATAAAATAAAGTGAGAATGGTTGTGCTATTGCAATTGAAAATAATGATTATACAAATGCTCCAAAAATATTCAATCAAACGGTTAAAGGTTATTAACAACTTAACTACGTGTGGGTTGATCTCACGTGAAATGTTATGTGCTTTTATACACCTGTGCTTGGGTTTAATTGAAATAGATAAGCCGACTGACTGAGAGACGCAAGTTGCAATCGCAGTTGTGTGTAAATTATTATATTTTACTATTGTAAATTGACCGGAACAAAAGCTATACCATTATAAAAAATTTGGCTTTCATTTTGGCTAACCCTTATTTGAACTGTTGAACATAGGCGAGTCTGATCTTGCTTCCATCGAATGGTTTTCTTCACGATGGCCCATTGCAGCCAGCGGTCGGCTGGCCTGCTCATATGCCGTGTTGCTATTTGAATACAATGGGCGCTCAGATGACTGTGAAAAAGAGCGGCTTGCACCCAATCTATAATCGGCCTCCTTGCTCTTGAAAACGCTATCCTGCATCACAAAGAATCCTCTGCTGTCCCTTTTCCCAGTTGTGTTTGTGTGTGGCATAGCGTTGCGCATAGTGTACGAGGTTAAAAAAGGTTGACTGAATTCATTGCCCACATTTGAATCGATATCGTACTCATTCTGCAGGCCATCTTCGCGCAGCTTCTGAATCCACCGGCTGAGATACTGCTGCCGGTTGAAAATGCAATTGTACATGGGCACCATCATAATAATCCACCAGAGCGCATTGGTCGCACAGTGATTCAACACGGTCGTCACCACACGAAGAGACAAGCTCAATGGATACAGCGGGCGCATGTAGTTCATGGTCGTTGCGCACAAAAGAATAATTAGAATGATTATGCACGACACCAGCATTTCGCGGCCCTCGTTAAATGAACTCCTGATGTTGCGGATCTTCCAAAGAACACCCACCATGACGGACCATGTCAGCCACAGGAACACAAACAGCGATGTCTTGAAAGCCTCGTTATACTCGCAGATATCAAGGGGCGCAAAGTACTGGATTGTCTGGGTGGGATTCAGCACCTGAGCAACAATTCCAAAAATAAGTAAAAGCACATAGTAGAGTAAAAAAGGAAGGTAGAGTCCAATGGTGTAGTATGGCAGGTTCAAAAAAAACACGCGGTACAGTCCATACGCCCTTAATGCTGTCAGTACACACATCGTGCACGCACCTAGCAAAAGCCGCATCCACAATCCAAAAGCCTTGCAGTTGGTCATAACCGTACCCGCTATACGTAGGTGCCCGTTGCCCTGGAGATCGCCAATAAACCAAATAATAGATATTAGCATCATCAGAGTCATGAGGACCGGGCCTTTGGATTTGAGCGGTGGGTAGTTCCTGTTCCACAGTAAAAGCCCAATGACTATTAAGTTTATCAAGTAGACAAATCCAAAAATGACCACCAGAATTGCATCTGATTTGCCTCGTGGATCCACCGTTAATTCTAACATCTCGCCAGTTTTTTGGCGCTGCAGCTCGCTCTCCACAACCGTGAACGATACCTGGTTGCCCATCCTCTGTATTTGGTGTGTGTAGTTTAATGTTCGTTATAATAAATAATAAATGTAGAAACGAATAATTAATTTGATAGGTGTAGAAATAAATAAATTAGTATAAAAGATGAGGTTGCTGTGTGTGCAGTATTAATTACGAGTTTAATATTTTAAAATGTGCTAAGAGAAAAGCGTCTTGTTGGACATTTTATAGTAGCAGTTCAAGCAGGCCAAATGCCTTTTGACCACAAAAGAGACCCGGGTGAAATAATATTTTAACAAACCAATAAAAAAGGATGTAGTTACAGTATCTACCAATACCACATTTATAAATATAAAACAAAAAACAAATGTTAATCAGGCGACAAAGGAGCGGGTTTTGAGGCTTAACACAAAGCTCAATGCAGAAGGAAAACAGCGTAGCACAAGCACTAAAGAATATGTTGCCATCGCGCCCGATCAACCTGATGCGTAAGTCATACAAAGAAGGCAGTAATTACCCGCTGAAAGGGTTTTTAAAAGATGATTTACATTCCAAAAATGTTGTTATTATAATCATTTTGCATTCGATATTGTCCTTTATTAAAACAGTTGTAAATGATAGTCCACAACAAGTAGAAAGGGGTTTTGAGGGAGTAAATGAGAGAAGAAAAAGAAAAAGAGAAGCAGCTAAGAGCTGGAAAGTTGTTTTATGTTTTTCCTGTAAAGGTGCGCGGCTTGGGTGAGTTGAGTAGCAAAAAGAGAGAAGTGTAGTTTCTGTACCGAAAACACAAGACTCGAGAAATCATTATAATAGGAATCTAAAACACAATATTTGCCTCTGGCAGAAAGTCCGATGCGTAATGTTAATCGAATTTTAGTCAACTGACCAATGAGGCATTGGTATTGGAATCAAAGAATATAACAATTGACAATCAACTTGTAGAAAGCAGTTGAATAAACCCTTTGTAAAAAATACGTCTCTTCTTTCCTCGCATGGCAATCCTTGTTTGAACACACATTAGAATATCGACCTGCGCCTGTGGCGTGACCCTTTTGCCAGTGACCGATTAAATGCGTCATAGCAAAATCTATTGAAAAGGAAAAGGAAAAGGAAAACTCCCATTTTTATCAAATATTGGACCGATTCTAAGCAGAATTATCAAATTAAAAATTGCATTGAACGTACTCGGTATAGCTTGTATACATATACACATGTATTATAATGTATTTGACCTTGCCTTTTTAATACCAAAACCATCAATTGAATGAAGACCTATTGCATTTGAATTAACGCATCATTTAGTTAAAAAAAACGTTTGCATCAAATATATTTATGTTGCATTTCAAAATTAAAATCTATTCGATGCGTTAAATGTCGGAGATTCTGGTCTTGCTTCCATTACGGTCATCTCTTGACGAAGATCGGCTGCGCTCATTGACTGCGAGCCCTGGATATAAGCCGCGCCATTATAACCATAAATTGGGCTTTCAGGAGGCCTTGGAAAATTGTTTTGTGAGCTTAATTTGTAATTGGCCTCCTTGCTTTGGTCGCTTACATTGTCCATCGGGAGGAACCCTTTATCCCACTTTCCCCCTATACTTGAACGCAGTACATTATTGCGCGCGTTGTAGGAGGATGATGACATGCGACTATGGCCGCCAGATGCGTTTGGAGCAATATTGTATTCATTCTGTAGACCATCCCTGCGCAGCTTCAGAATCCACCTACTGAGGTACTCCTGCCGATTAAACATGCAGTTGTACATTGGCACCGCCATGACAAGCCACCACAGCACATTGGTTGCAAGGTGGTTTATAAGTGAGGTTACTATGCGAAGAGACAAATTCAACGGATACAGCGGATAAACGTAGTTCATGACTGTTACATATACAAGCATACAGAGTATGATTGCACATGTTATCAGCATCTCGCGGCTCTCATTAAACGAACTCTTAATGTTGCGAATCTTCCAAAAAATGCCCATGATCCCAACCCAGGTTAGCCACAAAAACACAAAGAGCACTGCTTTAAATGCTGGATGACCATCGCACAAATCAACTGTCTCGACGTAATAAATGGTAATAGCAGGATTTAGCACCTGAATGATAACGCCATAGATTAGCAGGCACGTGTAATAGATGGCAAACGGCAGGTAGAGTCCAACGGTGTGGTACGGAAGATTCAAGAAAAACACGCGATACAGTCCATAGGCCCTAAATGAAGTCAGCACACACATCGTGCACGCGCCCAGCAAAAGTCGAAGCCAAAAACCAAACGTCTTGCAGTTAAAAAAAACAGTATTTGCCAAAGGCAAGTGCCCGTTAGCCTGTAGATCACCAACAAACCAAAAGGTGCATACTATCATCATCAAGGTCATGATGAATGGCCCCTTAGACTTGAGAGGCGGGTAGTTTCTGTTCCACAGTAAAAACCCAATAGCCAGAAAATCAACAAAGTAAATTGATGCCAGTAAAATTACTGTGATTGCATCTGCTTTGCCTCGCGGATCCAGGGATAATAGCATCAATCTGACACTTTCCTGGCGCTGCAGCTCGCTCTCTGTCACTGTAAACGATATTTGGTTGCCCATTGCTTGTACGTGGTATGTGCAGTCGGTTGCTGTAGAAAAATAAGTGCTGTTAGAAAAATGCACAGAAAAAAGGTTGTGGCCTAATGTTGATGTGTATATGAGTTGAATTAATAAAAACTAGTTAAATAACAAAAAACAATTAAACAGATAATTCTAATTACATACAGAGGCAACATGTTTTGTGTCAGCAAAACAGAGCCCAATTAATGTGAGCGTATCACAATTTCTAAAAAAACAATTGCATTGCTTTTATAATTATTTATAATGCTGGTGATTTTCAACGGTGCTTTTATTCTAGATCTTTTCCTGTATTTGTCATTGCATAGATATATTTATAAGTGGCACAAAGAAAAGGATGCAGCTGTAATGCAACATAAATTCCAAAATTGAAAAGCAGTACAATGTTTCCGGTATGCACCAAGCTGATTTACCAGCTCGTATTATTAAATTTTAAAAAAAAGTTGAATACAAATGCAATCATGTATGAAATGGCATGTCAACCAATTAGCTCGGGGCAAGCAAAAGTACAAAGGAAACGTTGATTGGGCTTTTAAAAAATCTAATTGAGGAATGATTGTCATTTGCTTGTATTCATAAACTTGTTTGTGCAAATATAAATTAAAACAAGGCTCTTGCTGGTAATACTTTTTTTTATAATTTTTTGATTGTGCCCCAAGCACGGCCAAAGGTATTGTTATGTACTTAATTTTGTAGTTTCAATGCACAAAGCCACATAGAACAACTAATACATATCTATCTACATATAGTAAAAATAAAATATTATTACAATTTTATAACCCTGCTAATATATTTAAAATTTTTATTTAATCTAAAATGATTTTAGAAGTACTTTGTTATTTTGGTAAGGGCAGTGTGTTAACTTAAACAGGCATATGTAGTTTTGCCAAATCAACAAACAAAAATATAAATAATTATTTTTGTTTTGGTAAAAATGTATTAAAATGATTGTAGTTAATATCTGTTTGACGCATTAAATATCGGCGACTCTGGCCTTGTTTCTATTATATTATTTTCTAAATGGCGCTTTATTGCGCTAATTGACTGCGAGCCATAGATATAAGCTGCGCCATTATTACCATAAAGTGGGCTTTCAGGAGGCCTTGGAAAATTATTTTGTGAGCTTAATCTGTAATTGGCCTCCTTGCTCTGGTAGCTTTCATTGGTCATTTGTAAAAGTTCTTTGTTATCAACCTTTCCGCCAGCACTTGAATGCAGCATGTTGTTGCGCAGGTTGTAAGAAGACGACGATATGCAACTATGCCCGCCGGTTGCATTTGGGTTGATGTTGTACTTGTTCTGCAGACCGTCCTTGTAGACATTTAAAATCCACTGACTGAGGTACTTCCGCCAATTAAACATGCGGTTGTACATGAGCACCGCCATGACAAGTCAACACAATGTAATAGTTTCTAAATAACTCAAAACAGTAACCACTACGCAAAGAGGGATACCCGACGGATACAGTGGTTGAGTTTAGTTTATAAGTCATAAACAAAAAGTATACCTAGTATAATCACGTATGTCGCCATAATCTCGCATCTCTTGTTGAACAAACTCCTGATGTTGCGAATCTTCCAAAAATGCCCATGATCCCAACCCAGGTTAGCCACATAAACACAAAGAACACCGCTTTGAACGATAGGTGCGCATCACAAAAGTTAACTTGCTCCATGTAATAAATGTTAATTTCGGGTTTCAAAGCTTGCAAAGTATTTTCAACAATAAGCAGGCACATGTAATAGATGGCAAACGGTAGGTATAGTCCAATGCTATGGTACAGAATATTCAGGGGAAAACGCGATACAGTCCATGGGCACTAAACAAAATCAGCACACACATAGTGCATGCGCCCAGCAAAAATTGCGGCCAAAGTACAAACGCCTTGCAATTGGTTAAAGACATGTTTTCCAAAGGCAAGTGTCCGTTGGAAATTAGATCTCCGATAAACTAAAAAAATGCACACCGTCATCATCAAGGTAATGACAAGTGGACCTTTAGACTTCAGCGGCAAATAGTTTTTTCTTCATAGCAGGTGTAGAACCACCAAAAAATCAACAGAGTAAACACATGCCAGTACAACTACCGTGACTGCATTTTCTTTGTCTCGCAGATCCAGAGCTAGGTTTATTAGCTCGGCAATTTATTGGCGCTGCAACTCGCTTTCCGTTACCGCAAACAACAATTGGCTCCCCATTTTGGTACGCGGCTTGCCGTAAGTGGGGCTTGTTTAAAATAATGGTAAAATAGCTTTGTTAGAGGCACTTGCAACTGACAATTAAATTCTTTAGAAATTATAAATAATTGCAATATATGGTATTATAATTGTATTTCAAGCCAAAATAAAGTAAATAAAAAATAAAAAGTGAGGCAAGATTAAATAAAGTGGGAAATAAAAAGTTATATTTAAATAATAGCTGATAAAATAAAAATTACATGGAAAATAAAAAACATACCATTTATTTTGTACTAATGTTTACGTAAAAATGTAGGTATGTCCAGAGATGTATATTATTTATTTTTCTGTATTTTAAACTGCAAAAACTAGGTTTTTTGATTGGCACAAAAAACGCATGCAAATGCAATGTAATATAAAGCCTAGAATAGAGAAAGCCATAAAATACATTTCAAATTAACATTATAAATACATATCTAATTTACTTTAGCAAATTAATGTGAATAAAGCAAAATACAAATGCAGCCATGTATATGTTTACATATTTTTTGATTGACTCAGTGGAAAAGTTACAAAAAACGGATATCGAGTGGGCGAGAAAAAGCGTCTGTTTGGAATGGTTTACATTTTTGACTTTACCTGTTGGCTTATGCATATGCTAAAAATGAATGTGGATGTTTCACAAACAATTTTAAAAATAAGTCAAACTATAGATTTGATTTGTTGATGTGTTTTTCCAGTTTTTAGACTATAACATAATGATCTACATACATAGTATATGCAGACGCGCCACTGAAAAAAACATACCACATTTGATGTTTTATTTTTTAACAACCAACCAATTCAACAATATTCTATTTGAACACAATGTAAAGAAAACCGGTAATGTGTTTTTCATTTGACCTCTGAATACAATCAATAAAACAACCAAAATTTGAAATGAGTATTGGATAAAAATATATTGCTGCTTATAGGAAAGTAGTATGCCCATGTAAGGTCTCGCCGCTTGTAAACATAGAACTTTTAAAACCCAGCATAAAACCATTTTGCGCATCTTTATCTGCACACATTTTATCCTTGTAAATACTGTTTTCCATTAAATAAATGTTTGTACCGCCTTTATTTTTTGCGGTACTTGCCGTCAAAAGCGTTTTGTGGCCACTAGTAGAAGCTGCGTCTGAGTCAAAGTTGTATTTTTTTGTGGTTCAATTTTGCACAGATTGGCAATTCAGTGTCTGAGATAGGGCTTTTAATTAAAGCAATTGTACAATATTACACTCATAATGAGCCAACATACTGGGCTTGTTGCAAAATCCCTCAGATACGCATTCAACACGGGCAAAACTTTTGTCTCCCTAGTCGAAACTAGGAATACTTCAAGAAATTAGGCATTGTGTTTGCCTCTGCTGCCCGCTCATGCTACGCTTCCACCCCTTTTTGGATATTGGTAAGGGTTTCTCATGCAGAGCATAACCTGAGGGTGTCATTTATGTAATGAAAAGTCAAAATTTTAAATTAGTTAATTTTCTATTGATTATTTTTGACACCAACAAAAGAAAAATGAATCAACAGAAGCGAGCAGTAAGCCTAATAGTGTTTATTCCTATCAAGAAAATGCAAATTTCATAAAATACAAATAGTAATTACAACAAACAATATTCTATTGCATCTGTTGGCAGATTTAGCCCATATGCTGGTAATAGTCATATGCTGTAGTCGCAAACTACGGATGTAAATGCATATCAGCTTACCCTTGTACATTCAACAATTATTTGTATGCAAAATGTCTTAGCAACACAAATCAATTGGAAAATTGGAAAGCCCATCTCAATACAAAAACAGTGGTAAAACAAAATTGACCAAACACAATAGTCAATAAAAAGAATTGCCTAGCATTGAATTAGCTGTTAAAATGTTATAATTGAATTAAAAATTGCACTTTAAAAGTATATATTATCATATGTATACAAAACATTAAAGCAAATGGCGGTTGCTTGAGTCATAATTGTCCAAATGCCTGTTGTGAGCTGCTATCAGTGTGAGAGGCGCCATGACTGCATTTTCAGGAATTGATATTGGCGTGTAAAACTGTGGTCCAACTGGCGGTACAACGTAGCTGTTTGGATTAGCAGGTAGAATATTCCCTTGGTGGCGATCCACTGCTGATGACAACCTAGTGACTCGTTCGTATGAGCTTCCACCGTGTGAAGAAATGGATATTTCTGACGGTCGTGAAAAGCTGACGTGTTTATTTGCGCAGAAATCACCGTCCTTATCCCCGTAAATGCTGTCTTCAGTTGGAAAAATATTAGCGACTTCTTTGTTCCCCTCAGAGTTTGCAGCCAATAATAATTTACACACATTAACATCAGTTGCATTTAGTTCAACATTGTATTCCTTCTGTAGCCCGTCCTTGTGCAGCTTGCTAATCCATTGCGTGAGGTACCGCTCCCGATCAAACGCACATTTGTACAAGGGAACCGCCATGATGAGCCACCACATCGAGTTGGTCATAAAGTGCGACAGTGACGTAAAAATTATACGCAAACGAACGTCTCGAATGTATTTGCGACGCGTGGCAGATAGAATTGCTGTAAATAAAAGTACAAACAACACAATAACGTAAGCAACAATCATCTCCCGATTCTCATTGAACGAACTCTTGATACGACGGATCTTCCAATGCACGGCGAGTCCAATAATTACGGTCGCCGCTATAATGCTGAACATTGCCACCACAAAACCATTAGCGTGGCTACACAGATCAATGTCTGGCCTGTATTCAATTGTTATAGCGGGCTTTAGTATCTGCATGACGACTCCAAAAATAACTAGACACATTAGGTACATAAAATACGGGATGTAAAGTGCAAGACTGTGACTTGTCAAAGAACGACCAAACACGCGATACAATATATACGCCCTCAACGATATCAGCGAATTCTGTAAGCATACACCAAACAATAGACGGCCCCAAATTCCAAACGCCTTGCAGTTGGTTAGATGTGTGTTTGCCAGAGGAATGTGTCCATTAGTCTGAAGGTCACCGACAAACCAAATAACAGAGGCCACCATTACCAAGGTCATAATTGTCAGATTTTTGGCCTTCAAAGGTGGGTAGTTCCTGTTCCACAGCATGTAGAGTACCGCCAAAAACTTAATCCCATAGAACATTGAAATTATTACAATCATAATAGCGTCTCCTTTTCCTCGCGGATCCAGTGAATATCCCTTGGCCATGCTGGCCCTTTGGCGCTGCAGTTCACTCTCTGTTACTGCAAACGATAATTGGTTGCCCATGTCTTACAATAAGTTTGTTGAGTATACTGCAGTTGGACTGGGCTGAACGTAGAACAATGTGTCTTTTTGTGACTAGTATAAAGCAAAAATAGTATGGACAACAAATAAAGTATAAAAAACAGTTGTTAAATAAATAAGAAAAAATGCTAGAGCTAAAAAACAATGTGGGTGCCAAAAAAAGAAAAACGAGTGGACACCTATCATAAAATAATGTTTACATCCAAAAGTTGGGGAAATAAACATATTTATAGACATCAGAAGATCCAAAAAAATTGTCAGATCTTTTTTTTTGTTATCGTTTCCATTTAACGAATAATTTGCTTTTAGGGATCAGTTGGATTTGTAGCGCATATTTTCAATTAAACTAATTTTCGAAAAAGAAGCTATCCAAAAAAGCGTGCAGGATGTCCGAGAGTAAATACCTTTTCTGTTGAATGTTTTTAAAATATACAAGTGGAAATCGTTTCTGTTTGAACAGCTTGTTATATTTGATATTTTTATTAAACACCCAAATTGTTTGTTGCAAACAACAGACACCGAGTGGTACCAATATTCAAAACCATTTGATTATTGTTTTTGAGCGCACCGACATTTTCATTAGAATTAATGGTATTACTTTACATTCAAATACAATAAAGTATAAAGCCTACAACAAATGACGATTGTCAGATCCTTGGTAATTCATACTGACGTCTTGGCTGGTACCAGGCCTGAATGGGATCTTGGCTGCAGCCTCGGGAATAGTGATCAGCGTGTACAACTTTGACGTAGCCTGTGGCGCATGGTAAAGATCAGAATCCACATTTGGACCAGCCCACTGGCCAACATTCTGCGACTGAGGCCTGGGCTTTATCAAGCTTGTCTGAGCCCGTGGTAGCGGATTGTCATTATGCGCGTAATTTATGCTTGATGAATCAGCAACACTTTCCAAGGCAAAGCCCTCGCGACATTGCCCAGTAGTAGTAGACGAAATGATTGACTGCTGGTACGCAACCTCTCCATTTGCATAAATAGGACTGTCTGGAGACCGTTCAAAAGTAGTTTGTGTGTTGTGTCCAATGCCGTTATCCTTGTTATTGTAAATACTGTCGTCCATTGCGTAAAATGCCCCGCCTTCCTTATTTCCGGCTGTGCTTGCAAGTAGCGTGCTGCGGACATTGAACGAGTCAGACATGCCCTGGCTACCAACAACCACGTTCGAAGCAACGTTGTACTCCTTTTGCAGTCCGTCCTCGCGCAGCTTGAGGATCCAATGGTTGAGATATTTTTGGCGGTTAAAGAGGCAGTTGTACAGCGGCACGCCCATAATCAGCCACCACACAGCGTTGGTTGTTATGTGGTTTAGAGCTGTGTTGGTGATGCGCAGGCGAATGTCTAGCGGGTACTTTGGGAGCACATAACGCATGACCGTGGCAAAGGTAACCACAAATGCCACAATGATGCTGGTAATGGTTGCCTCGCGGCTCTCGTTGAACGAGCTCTTGATATTGCGGATCTTCCAGTGTATAAACATCACTAGAGCTACAGTTACCCATAGGAAGGCATACAGGGTAGTCTGGAATGACTTGTGGTACTGGCAGATGTCGAGATTCGAAACGTACTGAGTCGTGATATCGGGTCTAATGGTCTGCGAAATGGTTCCGGCAATAAGTACGCACACCCAGTAAATGGCAAACGGCAGATAGAGACCCAGGCTGTGGTACGGCTTGTATAAGAAAAACACGCGGTACAATCCATACGACCTGAGGCCAATTAGCGAAAACACACCGCACACACCCAAAATGACTCGCATCCACATACCAAACGCCTTACAGTTGGTCAGAGGTGTGTTTGCCAGAGGAAGGTGCCCATTGGCCTGGAGGTCACCAACAAACCACACAAATGAGAACATCATAACTAGTGTTATTACTGGTACATTTTTTGCCTTTAGCGGAGGGTATTTCCTGTTCCACAGCATGTAGATTACTGCTACAAGGTCGAAGGAGTAGATGGTTGTAAAGATGACAAGCATGATCTTGTCTCCTTTGCCGCGTGGGTCCAACCTTGTGTGGTTGTCCTCACCAAACTTCTGACGAGCCAGCTCACTCTCCGTCAGCGAAAACGACAGCTGGTTGCCCATCTATTAAATAAAAATATGTCAAAGTGGTGGTTGTTAACAAATAAAAAGAACGGGAAATATTACAATGTTTAATATTAAAAATAAGGGCGGCCACAGCCTGCAATTAAATATTAGAGTTCAAAAAGTAAATAATAAAATATTAAGCTTAAGGAAAATTTAAAGGTCTGGTCGTAAAAGTAAAAAATAATGAGCTGATTAAAGGGAAAAAGAGGGGGGGGCGTTAGGCAAATAAATATGAGTTTAGAATAAAAATTAGCTATTAGGCTAATCGTGGTCAAACATGGAGAGAAGGATATTGGTTTATAACTGAGGACGATGAATAAAATCAATTGTGTGTGCACTAAAAAACCCAAAAATGGCAAGTGTGCTTTATCGCTTTGCGGCTGTATGCAATTTTTGCATTACTCCACGTTTTGTATGCAATAAAGTGGAATTTGTTGGGGGGGGGGACTTTTCTCGATTTATTTTTTTAAAAAAAAGTCAGTTAAACAAGTGGTATAAACAAACAAAAATCTAGTCATGTTTGCTCCCTGAACAAATATGAAATATTTTTTCCAAGCAAAAAAATAAGAAAATGTTAGTTGTGTGCGTTTGAGCGTGGAATACCAATGGGAGCTATAAAGAAAAAAGATCAGCGCATAATGGGCATGTGTTGGCGCAAAATTTATAGCAAGATAGTCAACAAAGTGTATATCTGAATATATTGTATCTGGCTTTATGTGCGCATTGTGCCTTTTTGAATAATTACTCCGAAAAAATATTAGCATTGCTTTGTAACAAAAACAAAATGCGGAGCGAGAGATTGGCATAAAGCGTGCATCTTTATCTACACTTGGCTTGCATATGCCGTCTCAACCGCATAGCTTTATGCACCACGAAAACAAAAAAAACATAAATAGAGCATTGCCATTTTTCACTTTCTATAGAAAATGTTCAACTGTCTTTCCATTGCTTCAAGCTTGCTTTCATTAATATTACAGAAGTTTGCGAATAAAAAATATAAATCTTCACAAAAAATAACGCGTCTAAACAAAACAAAAAACAAACAATAACAAACGCGACAAAAAAGAAAATAACAACACAAACTTGAAATGTGAGAAACCAATGACATAAATTTGCATCATCAGCAATGCATTTGGAATGCACTCTCCCTTTCTGATTCTTCAATTCAACTGCAAACTTGTATCTGCAGCAGATCATTATTGATATCCGAGTTTGCTTGCAAACCGAGCTTTTATTGCTGTTTCAAACAGTTTTATTGCTTTAAATTGAAAATTTCTGGATATTTTGGGTCAAAATTTATTCAAACTCAACGCCCAAATAACAAAGTGAGCCAATTTAGTTTATCATTGCACTTTTATATTATATCGGTGTCAGATATAATAAACCTAAAATATTTGCTTTATCAGCACTATGTGGTAGTTATTGACTACAAAAAGAATGTGCCAAATCCAGGAATTCAAATGATGAGCCCAATGTTTACTTTTCACTTGACATAAAATTTTCTTTTGTAATTATCTTGGCAAGTAAATAAATGCATGTCAACGCCTTGGCAATATCCAGGTTTCATTTAAATTGCCCAATAAGACGCAATATAAAAATACATTAATTTGTGCTTTTTATTGCGCACATCCTGTTTATGCATATGTGCCAACAAATCAAAATAATTATAATGCATGATCTAACTACAAATAAATGATTTTTATATTTTCTAGTTAAAATGGATTTATGTTTTTCAGGTGGTTGTAGCAATAAATATGTCAAATATACTTTATTTATAACACAAGACGCAAGCTGACGCAAAAATTGTTTATAAATATATTCCATAAGGAGCAATTATTGTCAATAGTTATGCTGTAATGCTATTGTTGTAAAAAATATATAATCAGGAACTCACAATAAGCAAAAGTCAATCTATCAAACACAAGATATCATTTAACCCATATGAGTAAATAGAAAGGTATACGTGCAATCAATTTAATTAATAAGTTTTGAATACTATTGTGGAGCAAGTTATATAAAAACATAAACCAAGCGAGCACACAAACAACCACCCCCTGTAAGTGTCATTGATGCCCATTATGAGCCTGGGCATGCTATTAAATGTAATCCCTAGAGCTGCTTGCCGAAATGGCCACGAACAAACAGCAACGATAACAGCAGATATGCACATTAGCCATCCAGCCACGATTAATTCTCTAACTGGCAGATTGAGTGCTCGGGTTTGATTTTACTAACACCTCAGCAAACACTCCCATTGCCAGATAATTAGGTCCAGGTCTGGAGAACTCCCAACCACGCTGCCTCTAGAACGATTTTTGTTATAGGAGCATGTAACCAGGTCTGCAATAGAGCCCATGACAGGAAAGATGGCACGGTTTACAATCATTCTTATTCATTAACTTTGTGTTTTTACTTGTTTGAATATCCCACTAAATGAATTTATTCAATCTTTACTAAGAAGGTTTTGCCTCAATAATGTAATTGGCAAGCCTTGGGCTGCCTTGTGGCTGCCCTTTGCTTAATTAAACATACATGTATCGAAAATTAAGAAGATACATTTTTGACTTATTCATCAAGGCATATGGAGAATGTTATCCACAACAAGTTTTGCAGGCACGAGTATAATGTCGTGCTCTATAAAAATGTGGGTCTAAATCGATATATTCAAGTCTTAAAAATTACTTACTTAACTGAAAAAGGGGGCAGCGCTGTGTGGGCAGCGCTGTAAACATCATGGTGTTCCTTGATGTCAGCCAGCAATAACAGAAATGTGTATAGTGGCCATGAGGGCAATCTTGATTCTTGAAAAGGGAAGATAGTGGCTTGAAATGTGTGTTGGGCACCACATATAATACCCAAAAGAGTATGAAGTTTTTCGCCAAGTAAGGAGATATTTGCAGAGTCATGTATCTGATTTGGGGCATTGCCACTGAGAGAACTAGTATTTGTAGTTTCAGCGGTATACTTTATACAATTATTATTAGAAAAGACAGGTTGAGCTTGTACCAGAGAGGCAGCGATAAAGACGAGAGACGAGTATGCGAGGAGCCTCATTGTATAAATTAGTAAATATTAATAGTTTGGCTGGTTAGTGGTGGTATAATGTGTTGATAATCCTTCCTACTTTAATTTGGCATGAATTCGCGTGCATTTTTATAGTTTTTATAGTTTTTTAAAAATGGCAAAGATGAATGAATTGGATAGACAAAATATTTAATTAATTAATTAATAAATAAGCCACTAAACTATTGAAATAGGTTGATGGTACAGCTAATCATTTTTTATTTTTATTAAAAATACACATCTGCTGATTTAAATAGAGTGGTGGTTTCATGGGTATTGGAGTATAGTGAATGACTTATACTTATATACAATAAAGATACTGATTTGTCTTTCACAACATTCGACGTTTTACAAATGCAGGGTATCTAAATAGTTATGTATAAAGCAACCATTGGTATTTGTAGTGATATTCAAAAGTTGATAATAATGTTGAAATATAGCTAGTCTTAAATATGACCAATAATTTAATTAATCATTTATTTCTATTTAGTTTATGACAAAGTTGTGAAAACCAATCTCATTCACAAACATATTCATATTAACTTCAAGCCATTGAGTACATCTGACTTATTCTGCAGCACACAGGGACTCTGGGAAGTGCACCTGGTGGTATTTTGACCATTTTGCAATGTGCTAATATTTGTTCCCTTTCCTGGAAAACTGCTTAAGCAGCGTGATACTTAACCACTCCTTCAATGACAATTAACCAATCGTTCCACTATTCATAATGGGTTAATGCCCTTTTCAGCCATCTGAATTTATTTTCTTATCCAAGATTAAAAACTAAATTCCAACCGGATCTCTTCTTCTCCCCTTTCAACCATCTGAATTTAGATATTTTAATGTTACTAATTATTAACATTGAAAATTTTAACCTATGGAAAATGTATTAGGCAACACATACCAGCAATTCAACAAGCTCATGCAGTCAGTTATCCAGATGCAGCAGTTCCTCATCCGCCAAGTGAGTGGTGGTGAGCAACCCAGGCCCCAGCCAGAAACCCAGCCAACGGGCCAGCCAGAGGTCCAAACTGGTGAATAGGAATGAAACGAATTGGAGATGGTCGTCGACCAAACCAATAGAGGCGAGAGTGACTCCAACACTGGTAGCAAAGGTTATAATGGAGGCATTGGCCAAGAGGGTATAGCACAGATGGGCACCATGAGAGGGTTTATTGCCGTGGTGCTACTCAGTAAGGAAAGGCTGGATGGAGTTGCCAAGATTTTTCGGATGTTCAAGCTCAGAGTAGGAAGCCTCCAGGACTGCTACCATAGTGGGAAGTCTGTTGGGCACACATTTACTTTATAGCCCAATGCCCATCAGTTGCCCTTTTCTTTGTGAGCACTAAGATTCACAGCCATAAAAAGGGCAAAACAACTAGTGTTCTCTCTCTTCTCTTTTGCTAGTTTTTAGATAATATAAAATCAGACTAGCTATTCAATTCACCCGTTAACAGGTACAACTACTGCCTCGCATTTGAATTATCATCAGCACCAATCTCATGTCCAACTTTGGGACACAATCCGACCAGGAGACTATCTGGTAGAGGGTGTACTTTCTCCATCATGAAGTGCTGAACCTGAATATTATGAATGAAAATTGAATATTATTGAGGGATGAATTGAGTGAAAAATAAGAAAGCATTGAATGAGTACCCACCCAATCAACACCCCTTGTGGGGGACCATGCCGAACATGCACATTCTTTTTCAGCAGTCACATGTGACATCAAATAGGGAAATGTCATATGAAAGCCACTATTGTTACCAATTGCAGCTGTATTGTATTGTTTACGCTCTAATCGTTTAAGGTGAGCTTGTTTAGATCCATTATAGTGAATACTATTGAGTATATTTATTATACCACCTATTTTTTATTACTGCGCGGCTGGTCAGGGTCTGAGTAGCACAAATCCTCAGGGCACAAAAGGCCGCCACCAGCAAAATTGCGACACATCCATCAGTGCCACAGGTGCACAAAGCACAAAAGCCACTGCTAGCCGCCAGCAGTGATGGGCAAAATGGTTCCCAAGCTTCATCAATGGCGATGCTAGCACCATAGGCATGGAGGCCATGCTGACTCTTACACCAAGGCCGAATCAACCCTCAATTTCACGAATCACCCCACTATATCTTTTTCATCCTTATTTTTATTTCTCACCAACATAAACTATTCAAAAAACAAAAAATTAATACTGCTAGAATGAAAATTAGCACGGGCAAATAATAAAACAAGACTGAAAGCACGCAGCATGCTCTTACATTAACAGTATACCGATTTAATATATGCTAGCATGAGCCGCGTTATAGGGTGGGCACAGCTAATCAGATAAAAATACGACATTGGTCTAATCGACCCATTTGAGCCTATTCTGGGCCATTTGGGGTATGCTAGCATTCAGCCTGTCAATCGATTCGCAGCCAAAAAAAGCAATGTTGTTTTTATTGGCATCAACTTGAAAGAATATATGGGCGTCAGTGTATACACATGCAATGCCACCTTTTTTCTTTCTTTCTTTATTCTACCACGCTTTGAATAAACCAACATAAAACTAATTTGGATGGGAAAGCAACGTATTAATTAAAATCACTGACATCGTCAAAATCATCATCGTCTTCCTCCTCCTCTTCCTCTTCCGCATCCTCCTCCTCTTCGTCCTCCTCATCCCCATCATCAACATAGTTCCCATCGACTGAAAAGGCAACTGCCCTGGCACTAGGCTTCGGCACAGATGGTGGGTTCATCATCTGCGATTGGAATTGCATCGACATCGACATCGACATCGACATCGACATCGACATCGACATCGACATCGACGACGAAGAAACACTCAAATCATTCAGATCACTCGGATTAACGTATATCGGGCGATCATCGGTCATTGGCAGCAGAGGCTGTACCATAGGGACAAGATCTGTGGGGTTTTCTTTGGATATCCGCGCCCACAGTGCTTCGCCGTCGGAGTCCGATGATTCTTCAGGGATGCTTGTGGTGTTGGTGTTTCGGCCGTTGCCAAAGGCATAGCCCACTTCGCCTTCCTCCTCCTCATCTGCATGCTCCTCCAGCTCGCCCTCCTCGCCCTCCTCCTCGTCGTCGTCGTCATTGGCGATACTGTGGATGTGCCGTGCTTGGTGGGGTATTTTCTTAGTAGCGGGGCGGATTTCGCCGGATTCCGGCGGCGGCATTTGTTTCTTTTTCTGTTGCTGCTGCTGTTGCTGTTGCATCTGCTGCTGCTGCTGCTGCTGCTTGGCACGAGCGGCGTTGGTGCTGCCCTTCTTGCGGCCGCGGCGCTCGACCTTGACGTCGCCGGCAGGATTGACGCGCGTGCGCACAACGCCGGCGTCCTCGATCCACTCGCCAGTCTCGCCGATACGCGTGTTGCCGGAACCCATAGCAGCCATCGGCGGCGGCAGCGGCGGCACTGAGTCGCGGCCGGCCGAGTTAGGCAGCACAGGGCCAGGCGCGCCGTCGTGGTAGTCCAGCGTAGTCTTAACGTAAAAGGCCATATACGCCCTGCCCTTGGCTGACAATCCCTGGCGCGCGCGAGTCTCGTCAGCCAAGCCGAGTACATCACGGATATCCGCAGGGGTCACAGCAGCATCATCGAACTTGAACCATTGGCCGCGGTGCTTCGCATACGCCGTGTAGTGGCCGGTGTCCAAGTGGCCAATGTGGTCGATGACGGCGAACAATGCGTACTGGCACGCTGGGTTGGAGTGCACAGCGTCGGTGCGCCGCTTGCCCAGCGTGGCGCTGCCGCCGGGGCCGTCCAGCACGGGGATCGGCGTGTCGCGCGCAACGCCGCTGTGATCGAGCCCGGTGCGGTCATTCACGGCGATGCCGCCGACGGACGCCGCCAATGCGCTGCCGGTGCTGCTGGTGGCATGGCCGGCGGCGGCGCGCAGCCCAGCGGCCGTCTGGCTGTGCGCCGCCAAGGCCGCCGCCGTATACGGCGTCATGTCGACGAGCAAGGGGAGCCGCACGTACGCGTCAACCTTAGCCGCATGCGCAGCGCTTGGCCGCGCACCAGCCGTGTGCTCAAACCGCTTCAGCTGAAACGTCAACACAGGCGGCAGCTCCTTAACGCACAGCTGCTTGACTGCCGACCCGCTACTGGCCCCGCACCGGCTGCACGCATATGCGCCGGACGCCAGCGGCTCGGCGCGCGTGTAATGCGCAAGGCAGTCGTGCAGCGTCAGCACCGGGTGTTGGCCGCGGGTCAGCGACGCGTTGGCGCGCGCGCCTGTGCCGCGCCGCGTGTTGCGCGCGCCGCGCTCCGTTCGCGTTTCCAGCCACTCGTTGAGCGAGGCGTCGATTGCGCGTGCGCCCAGGGCTGGCCGCGCGGGGATGTCCAGCGAGATGTCCAGCATCGGGTCGTGCGCGTGCGTGGTGTTGCCGCAGCCCGAGCACGTGACGGTGCTCTGCAGCACGCCGGCGAACGCCTGGTGCACCAGGCAGGCGCAGGGGTGCAGGTGTGAGTGCGCGTGCGCGCCGCCGCCAGTGTCGCCGCCATTGCCCATAAGCGCGTTCTCGGTCAGCCCGACGTGCAGCGTGTCGAGCAGGGCCATCAGCCATTCGTGCGCGTCCTGCTGGCCGTAGCCGGCGAGGTCGCCGCGCAGCAGCCACATTGTGCGCAGCAGCCCGACCGGGGCGAGGGGCGCGGCGTCGCCCGAGTGGAACGCCTGGAGCGCAGCCTCGAGCTCGCAGGCCATGCAGGCGACAGGCGCCTGTTCCTTCAGCTGTGCTGCTGCTGTTGGGCGTTGCGGCCGACGCGGCACGTGCTGGGGTGGTGGCCGTCGCTGAGCATCCAGCCGCGCACCAGCGGATTTGGGCGAGCGCCTGCAGGACAACGCTGAGGTAGCACGTGGCGCCGAGGTTCAGCAGCCCGCGAACGCCGCCGCATGCCTGGACGGCGCCGTGCTCGCGCAGGTACTTTGTCTGCGCTGGGGATAGGTCGGCTCCGGTGGAGACGATGCGCGGGCGCTTGGCCTCAGGCTCGGCCGAGTCGCACAGCGCCGCGTGCCAGCGGATCTGCGCCGCCAGCAGCCACGCGGTAATCGCGGCATCGTACACGTAGTCGCTGCAGTCGAGGCAGAACACCGCCAGGTGCACAAAGTCGAGCGCAAACTGGTGCCGCGATGACCGCAGGTGCTGGACAATGTGAGGCTCGGTGCTGCGCGCCTGCTGCTGCTGCGGGCGTGCGCGGCGCCAGCACGCAAACTCGTCGCAGGACAGGCACGCGTGCAGCCGGTCGCCTGGCGAGTGGCAGGCGGAGCATGTGGGAGCCGGCATTTCGTCGACGAGCCGCTTGCGGCTGCGGTCGCCCTCGCCGGCGGTGGCTGCTGCGGGCGTCGGCTCGCGCTCGCCCAGGACGGCTGCCGCCAGGGTGCTGCCGGCGCCGCGGCGGCCCTGCAGCAGCGCTTGGCGGTGCTTGCAGACGTTGGCGTATGGCACGAGCACTTTGAGCCGGTCGATGATCGCCTTTGTTTTGCTGCCGATGTGCGGGCAGCGCGTGCCGCCCTTGCCGCGCTTTGTGTGGGCGTGAGCGCTGCGCTGGTGGCTGCCTGGTGCTGTCCTTGAATTTAAAGCTGTGCTTGCGCCTGTGCTTGCGCCTGTGCTTGCGCTGGCCGCAATGGCCTTGGGCTCTGGCGTGCCCATCGGTTGTAAAAAAAGAGGGGAAAGGCTAATAATTCGCTAATAGAAATTGGAGAGTGCAATTGAGACATTTCCCTTTTGTCAGAGTCAGCGTGTTTCCCCCGAACACACTGCCACTGCCACTGCCCGTTGCCGTTGCCGTTGCCGTTGCCGTTGTCGTTGTCGTTGTTATGTTTAACTTGACTTAATCACAGGATCACAATACCTCTCATCCGCAATCAGCGGATCACTCGCAATTATGCTCACGTGCTTCCTTTGGTCCTTGGCTTTTTATTTTGTGTGCCAAGACTCAGGACTGACAGAAAAAGACCGGCAGATAGCCGAGAAACCCCAGCCAGCGGGATTATCGCGCGGAGCACGGAATATGGAGTGGAGTATCTCCTCAGGGGGTTCTAGCTTTTAAGAGCTCCACTGGGTGAGGGAGTGCTGACCAAAATGCACCTGTGCACAGGAGGAGGCTTTAAAAAACACCTAAATTTTATTAGCGTAAGCTTGAGAGAGAGGGGGTGGGGGGCAAATGGAGCAGCTCTTCCCAAAATTGCTCACTGAGTCACAACTTTGTCGCACGACACCCTTTTTAAAAATAAAAAATTAACAGTCACTACCCCTCCTCCTCCACACACGCAACCACACAGCCAAGTAAAATAATTGCCTGATTATTCATGAAAAGCACCACAAAGAGCTAAAAAGCAGTCATTTTATACTATTCTTTAATTATTCTAGAGTGGCCCTATCTCTCTCTTTAAAATGACCTTTTAAAAAGATGGAAAAATATCGTAAGATTATTGCAATTCTACCAACGTGATACGCTTTTGGTTGCTGATTGCTGATGCTGATTGGATTGAACAACAAGATGTGAGAGCAGTAAATATAGAAAAATGGGGGAGAAACGCTAGCGTGCTTATGAAGACAAAGCGGACAATTTTTTTTTTTTTTGCTCTTGTTTTTTGACTCGCGTATTTTATTTAATAACATTTTATTTTTTCCCTATTATTATTATCATCATCATTTTTTATTCTCACAAGCCTTGAACACAATTTTTCCACAGGCAATTAAGAAAATGCTGTCTTCAGCGCGTACGTTTTCCAAACAGGTGCTCAGCCACCGCACACAAATCCAGCACCAAACCAAAAGCCAACTACGCAACCAACAGCACCCCTCACGACCCAAAGACCAGCAGCAGTCCATCTGCCACGACGACGACCTCACCGCAGCCACAACCGCAGCCGCAGCCGCAACCACAAAGCACCAAGTCTTGGAGAAGATGCGGCTGGAAAACCGCGAGCGCAAAAAACGCTGGCGCCAAGTCAACGAAGAGCGCAACAAGGACAACGATCTCCGGTGTCGCGTCACCAAACGCGCCAACCAGCTATACGGCGCCCAGGCCTCGGAGGCTAAGGAGAAATGGATTGGGGAGGAGTTTGATCGCAGACAACAGCGGCGGAAGGAGAAGGAGGTGCGGAAGAGACCGTCGTCGCCCGAGGGGCTTATGGTTGCAGGCGAGAAGAGAATGAAGTGCGATGGGCGCGTGGATGGCATTTTGGGCGCTGTGTCGCTGGGCGGATTTGCTGGGTATGCTGGGGTGCCGGCGCATCAGGCTCGTGCTGCGTATGGGTTTTGGAAAAGCACTGTGGAGCACCAGGCGCTGGAGGCGTCGGCTGCGCCGGCCAGGGCCAGGTGTGGGCTTGAGAAGGAGCAGCAGCAGCAGCGTGTGCTGTCGCGCCATGGCTCGCCTGCGGTGGAGCAGCAGCCAGCATGGCGTATGCCGCCCGCCAAAAGAGTTGGTCATCTGCGACCGGCAGCAGCAGCAAGTGCTGCCTCGCTCACTTTGCCGCCCTGAGCAGCATTGTTCCTGAGGAGTGTCTGCTGCTGCCGCTTTCTGCATCTTCTCACCACATCAGCAGCATCAGCGCAGCAGCAGGCAGCGGCAGCGGCGGCACCAGCAATCCCACGCCCGTGGCCAATGCGCATTGGCAGCAGCAGCATCTTTTGGACGGCAATCCTCCGTCTCACATGGCCACCCCCATGTTCTCCTCCAACGCTTTATTGTCTGAGGAAAACCTGCCTCTAGCAGCAGCAGCAGAAACATTAACAACGAGCAATGCATTGGTGGCAGGCGCCCCTTATCCGACAATTTCTTTACAACGCAGGTGCGGAATAGCAGTCCCCCTGATCACCATTACTTTTATATGCCGCCCATGCAGTCAGTGCAGCCAATGCAGCAGCGGCATCTGCGTCCCTGGGAGGACGACGACACGGACCATCCTGTGCTGAGCCGCTCTTCGACGTTGGTGCTGCCGCCGCTGACGACCGGATCGTCTGCGTCGCCGCGCTGCATCGACGACTACGAGATGAACGGGCTGTCAGAAGCTGCCTTTTCGCTGATGACGCTGTCGTCGGCTGCTAACTCTGCGGGTGCCGGTAGCAGCAGCCATAGTAGCAGCAGTGCCTCGCTCCCTTTGGGCCACTATTGAATACCTTTCCCCTATTATTATTTAATAACCGTGCGGTATCACCATTTCTTCTTTTTTTATTCCTCTCTCTGTCCCCCTCTCAGCTGTTTGAGTAATCAGTGAGCGGGGGTGATGATGTACCTGTTACGTTTGTCTAATTAACCGATTTATATTTATATATAGTATCCACATTGATCCGTTGATCGTGATCATTCCCTCTCTTTTTTTCTTATTCATTGACTTCTGGTCCCATGCTCCGCCAAAAAGGTTTGCCCGAACATTCCGAAAATGACAAAATAGGCTGCGAAACACACGGCAGTCCAAATTCACTCAATTTGCGAATTCGAAAGAGCAAAAAACAATACCACTCATCGTCTTGTTTTTTTTGCACCCCACCTTCACGCCTCTCCTCTCCCTTTTTATTTGACCCACACCCTTTCTTTTTTCCTTTAGTATAGCTATAACTACAACTATAACTATTATAAAAATGGCATCTGGGCGTCGAATTTCGCACAAAAGATTGGCTCCAAGGAGTTCCGCTCGTACCTCATGTCGACGCATTTCTGGGGCCCCGTGCCAACTGGGGCATTCCCTTGAGTGCAATTGCGGACTTTAACTCGTCACCCGAAAAGATTTCGGGCAAAATGACTACGGCTCTGACCTTCTACAGCCTGCTGTTCATGCGGTTCTCCTGGATGGTCAGCCCACGAACTACTTGCTGTTCGCCTGCCATGCGACAAACGAGGTCGCCCAGCTGGTGCAGCTCAGCAGGTATATTGATTATAACGGAGGTATTACCCAGGTTTGAAGAGGAATGTTAGCGCATTTAAGGAGAAGGCTGACAAGTCTGCTTAAGACTAGAATACTGGAGATCCGAAGGTGGGAAGGAGAGGGAGAAATGTAGTTGATATTCGAGTCTTTTTGGTTATCTGGTCTTTTGGTTTTTTTTTTGAATACGAAATATTTGTTTTCTTTAATTCGTCGTTAAAGGCTTTATTTTTATTTGTTGGACTAGTCGAAAGAATATGAAGGCTCGAAGAAAAAGAAAAAAAATGAATAATCGAGGGAATTCCCCTTCGGATAAATGCAGACCGTTTTCTGTCGAATGGACTCAATGGCCCAGATATACCCTCCCCTCTCCTCTGGTGGCCTTGTACATAAAGTGAGGCAACGCTGAAAAATTAGCCAGTTTGAAAGCAGTGGGAGTATTGTTGCTGCCGGTCTCCAAAAACAACACGTGCTCTAACCCGTGGTAGAGTGCTGAAGTCGCTTTTCTCAGAAGCCCGCTGACGTGCTGGTTGGTCTGTCCATAGACAACATTGACCCACGATATGTCGACCTGCTTGACAATCAGAACCACGCTCCTGATTCTGCGAGGGGGGAGGGAAGAAGAAAAAAGCCAATATTATGCATATTGGTAGCAAGATCTTTGCGGGCATAGTTTAGCTTTTGTTTTGGGTTGTCAATATGAATATATAAAGGGTTTAATAAGCTAAGAACAAATATGATAAGGCTGAGTTTAACAACACGGCAAGTGCAGTGTCGTCCATTAGCAGCACCCGACTGGAAGACTGGATTTTGGCTGACTTTACAATATGGCAATCCTGAAAAGCCGGCTGGTCGAGGGCCTTGGGCCAGCTGGGATAATATGTGCGTCTATAATCGGCTAAATAAAACAATATGTGAACAGCTTTGCACGACTTTGCAATACACATTTTACTCCAGCAGTGACTGCTATGAATAAAAGCAGCCGCAAGGGATATGTTTGTATTGTACGCAGTCGCAATCCATTCTTAAATAATGGCCGATGGCTGTTTCAATTGCATGCCAGAGCAGAGTTTGAAAGACTGAGAATGAGGACATATTAAAGCAAACAATTGTTTGGGTGATCAAATATGGAATTAAGAATGTGCAGGGAAAGGGCGTTGAATAAAGAGAAGAGAAGAAAAAAGAGAAGAAAGTGTGTGTACGTGTTATTCCTTTTTAAAAACAATAGAATCAAAAACTCGGCATTGGGTTGGCCGTTGATTTGTAGCCAATTGGTTATGTCGCCCTTTTATTTTAGTAGCAATATTTAGCTTTTAAAATTTTGAACCGCTGATGCTTTGGCAACACCCTTTTTAATATGCTTCCAATAACTGGCAATAAATATACAACTTTGTGGTTATTGAACTTGTCCATGTCTGCAAACTCTTTTGTGATGATCAATTGAATTGTTATTATTTTGTATTGTGATTGTCTGGTTTGTTGGTGCTTCGTGTATGCATCAACAAAGAAACAAGAATTTCTCTTCTTTCTAGTTTCCTTTAACATTTCAATTGCATTATATTATATTTTAAATTCCTACTAGTAAAATAAGGGGCAATAGCCAACAACCAAGCTCTTCCAAAATAAACCCAGCATATAACACTCTGCCTCTGTACATTTATTCACCACACACAGTCCATGTCTGCATCGACGACGGACATTCCGCTGCGGGTCCAGCGGCCAAGGCTCTCGCCGGGCGACAGAACACACTCCACCGATGACACCGATGCGTCACTGCGCTCGTCATCTTTGGATTCCTTCGACATAAACACCGAGGACGACCCAACACACATGGCGCTGGAGCGGCGGCTGGGCCTCTGGAGCGGCATGGCAATCGTCATGGGGTCGATCATCGGATCGGGGATATTCTCGACGCCAGCGCTAATTCTCGAGTCCGTCGGGTCGGTCGGCATGAGCCTCGTGGTCTGGGTGGTTGGTGCGCTGGTCAGCCTCTGCGGCTGCGCAGCGTACATGGAGCTCGGCACAATGCTGCCGCAGAGCGGCGGGGAAAAGGCGTACCTCGACGCGGCGTTCCCGCGGCCACGCGCGCTTTTGGCGTTTGTGTTCTGCGCGTGCGCGATTTTCGTCGCCAGCCCCAGCGGGCTGGCAGCGGATGGCGTGGTGGCCGGGTCGTATCTGCTGTATGCGGCGACCGGGCAAGCGCAGGGGCATGCGGCGTGGGCGGAGCGGCTGATCGGCGTCCTGGTGACGGTGCTGTGTGGTGTCATCCATGCGGTGTGTGCGCGCGCGGCGATCCGGGTGCAGACGGTGTTGACGGTCGTCAAGGCGCTGCTGCTGGTGCTGGTCGTTGCCGTCGGCGCCCTCAGCGCGCTCAGCGCGCCCAACGCGGGCGCAGCGGCGGCAGCGACGCCGTCGGACTTGTTCGCTGGCAGTGCGCGCAACGCGAACGCGTACGCGGGCGCGCTGTTCAAGGTTTTTTTGCATACTCCGGGTACACTGCGCTGAACTACGCGGTGGACGAGCTGCGCGATCCGGCGCGGACGCTGCCACGCGCGGCGCTGGGCGGGCTGGCGCTGACGGCGCTGCTGTACATTTTGTCCAACGTCGCATACTTTGCAGTGCTTGACGCCGATGCCGTGCGGTCGGCAGGCACGACGGTTGCGGGCGTGTTCTTTACACGTACGCTGGGCCCGCTGTGGGGCCAGCGCGTGGTGCCGGTGCTGATTGCGCTGGCGACGCTGGGCAACGTCATGTGTGGTACGTTTGCTGCGTCGCGGCTGGTTTTTGCGGCGGCACGCGAGGGGTATGTGCCGATGGGCCACTTATGGGGCGCGGTCAGCATGCGGTTCCAGACACCGGTGTGGGCGCTGGGCGCGTCGACCGTGCTCACGTGCGTGTACATCGTGGCGCCGCCGCCCGGCCAGGCATACGCGCTGCTGATCGACGTCGGCGGGTATTCGACGTGGGTGTTTAGCGGGCTGGCTGTTCTGGGGCTGCTGCGCTTGCGGTGGACGCGCCGCAAGCTGCCGCGACCGTTCCGTGTGTGGATGCTGGCCGTGGCCGTGTCGCTGGCCGCCGCCGCCTTCATGTGCGTGGCCCCGTTCGTCAGCCCGCCGCCCGCTAGCGAGACCGAAGCTGAGCCCGCTGCCACGCTGCCGTACTGGGCGGCGCCGCTGGCGTCGGCTGCCTTTATTGTGCTGGCGTGCGGCCTATGGTACGTCCAGGTCATTTGTGCCGTGGTCTCGAGCGTGCGCAGTACATTAAGCAGGGCGGCTAGATCAAGAGATCTGGCGATCGGCGGATCAGATCAAGCAAATAAAAAAAGTGATCTCTTTCTCAACCCAACCAAGCCCAAGCTTTTCGGTTTTTTTTTGCACTGTATGCTAAGTAAAAAAAATACGAAAAATTTTTGTAGTGCTCTAATCACACACAAGCCTATTTTCACTTTCATTTTTTTTTTTGTTTCGTCTCACTGGTTGCTTACATTCATTCTTATACTTTTTATTCTTACTTTTTATACACTATTCGGGTGCATTTCCATTTGTTTTTCCACCAGCCTTGACTACAACTACTTTTTGGAAATGCCTTCGACTTCGGGATTCAGGACCCTCGAGCGGCAGGAAAAGGCCATCAACCCCGGCCACGAGCACGAGTACCCGGCAATGCAGAACCTGACGGCACCGCACATCGAGTCGTTCAACTCGATCTGGGAGCGCGCTGGGCCGCACACGCCTGCGCTGGTGGACGTAGCCATGTCGCTGCTGGACAAACACACGGTGTTCGACGGCAAGGGTGACCACGAGCAGCCGCTGGGAAACAAGATCACCTTCTGGATTGACACTGTTCGGTTGGACCACCCGACGCTGTCGGCGCGTGAGACCAAGGCGTCGAACCGTTTGATCTACCCGTCCGAGTGCCGCCAGCGCAGCATCACGTACCGCGGCCGGCTGTCCGCCGTGCTACATTACCAGGTCAACGACAATCCGTTGGTGTCAGAGGAGCGCAATTTTGGCCAGCTGCCAATCATGGTGCGTTCGAACCGCTGCAACCTGCAGGGCCTGGGTCCGGCCGAGCTGATCCGCCAGCATGAGGAGGCCGAGGAGATGGGCGGCTACTTCATCGTCAACGGAAACGAAAAGGTCATCCGCCTTTTGATTGCCACGCGCCGCAACCATGTCATTGCCATCCAGCGCCCGTCGTACGCCAACCGCGGCCCAGGCTTCACGCCGTTTGCGACGCAGATCCGCTGCGTTCGCCGCGACCAGACCTCGCAGACGCTAACAATGCACTACTTGACCACCGGTAATCTGCTTTTGCGCTTCTCGATCCGCAAGCAGGAGTACATGGTGCCGGTGTCGCTGCTGATGCGCGCGCTGGTCGGCGCGTCCGATAAGGAGATCTTTTCGTCCATTGTTGGCGGCGACGCCGAGAATATCTTTGTGCGTGATCGCGTTGAGCTGCTGCTGCGTGCCAGCAAAGACTATGCCGTTTACACGCGCGAGCAGGCGTTGGCCTACCTGGGCGACAAGTTCCGCGTCGTCATGTACGCGCCCGACGACATGTGCAACGCTGACATTGGTCGCAAGCTGCTCGAGCGCCTGGTCATGGTGCACTGCGACGATGCCGCGACAAGTTCAACATGCTGGCCCACATGGTGCGCAAGCTGTACGCTGTTGTTAGCGGCGAGTGCCAGGAGGACAACCCTGACACGCAGCAGCTGCAGGAGGTCTACATGCCGGGCCACCTGTACCTGGCCATCATCAAGGAGAAGATCGACGACTACCTGCTGGCCGTGCGCGGCGAGATGTCCAAGGACGCGCGCAACGCCAAGATCGACCTGTTCAACAACCGCTACGTGGCGCGCACCTTCGCCAAGATCACGTCCGACATCGGCGTCAAGGCCGGCTACTTCTTGGCCACCGGCAACCTAGTCACCAAATCAGGCCTGGACATGCAGCAGATGTCTGGCTACACCATCATTGCCGAGAAGCTCAACTACCTCCGCTACCTGTCGCACTTCCGCTGCATTCATCGCGGTGCCTTCTTCGCCGAGCTGAAGACCACTGGCGTGCGCAAGCTGCTGCCCGAGGGCTGGGGCTTCCTGTGCCCGGTGCACACGCCCGACGGGTCGCCTTGCGGCCTGCTCAACCACTTGGCCCACAAGTGCCTGCTGACGACCGTCGTCGAGGACACCGCCGACGTCGAGAAGGCGCTGATGCGCCTGGGCGTCGAGCCCGGCCTGCCGGCGCCGGCGCTGTGCGACGCCGCCCTGCTGACTGTGCAGCTGGACGGCCGCATCTTTGGATACTGCAGCGAGGCTGTTGCCGCCAAGGTCGCCGAGACGCTGCGCGTCATGAAGCTGCAGGCCCAGCGCGCCCGCGAGAGCCGCCGGCGCGATGCGCAGCTGCTACAGCTGGACATCCCGTTCAACATGGAGATTGGCTTTGTGGCGCGGTCGCAGGGCGGCCAGATGCCTGGCCTGTACCTGTTCACAACTCCGGCGCGCTTCGTGCGCCCTGTCACGCACCTGGCAACGCAGCAGGTCGACCATGTTGGCAGCTTCGAGCAGGTGTACATGGAGATTGCCTGCATGGACGAGGACGTGCGCCCTGGCGTCAGCACGCATCAGGAGGTGGTGCCGACCAACATTCTGTCGGCTGTCGCCAACTTTACGCCGTTCTGCGACTTTAACCAGTCGCCACGTAACATGTACCAGTGCCAGATGGGCAAGCAGACAATGGGTACGCCGATGCAGTCGCTCCCGTACCGCACGGACAACAAGCTGTACCGCCTGCAGACCGGCCAGACGCCGATCTGCCGCCCGAGCATCTACGAAGACTACGGTGTCGACGGGTACCCGAATGGCACCAACGCTGTGGTCGCCGTTATCTCGTACACGGGTTATGACATGGAGGACGCGATGATCCTGAACAAAAGCGCGCACGAGCGCGGCTTCGGCTACGGGTCTATCTATAAGACCGAGTACATTGATCTGGGCAAGTTCCGCAAGAGCGGCGACCCGGTCACCATGCACTTTGGGCTGGGCACCGACTGCGCCTCGGACGAAACCCTGACCACACGCATTGACCTCGATGGCCTGCCGTTCCCCGGCGTCACAGTCAACGCCGGCGACGCGCTGTACGCGGTCATCGATGACGTGCGCGGGCGCACCAAGGTGCATAAGTATAAGGGCGAGAGCGGGTACGTCGAGACCGTGCGGCTGCTGGCGTCCAGCTCCGAGGAGGAGCTGCAGGTCGTTGCGCTCACCTTCCGCATTCCTCGGTCGCCGATCATTGGCGACAAGTTCTCGTCGCGCCACGGGCAGAAGGGTGTGTGCTCGCAGAAGTTCCCGGCCATCGACATGCCGTTTACCGAGTCAGGGATGCAGCCGGACATCATCATCAACCCACACGCGTTCCCGTCCCGAATGACCATTGGTATGTTTGTCGAGTCCATTGCCGCCAAGGCCGGGTCCCTGCACGGCCTGTGCCAGGACGCGACGCCGTTCCAGTTTGATGAGAACAACACGGCGGCGGACTACTTTGGCGAGCAGCTGCGCCAGGCCGGGTATAACTTCCATGGCAGCGAGCCCATGTACTCGGGTGTCACCGGCCAGGAGATGCGCGCCGACATTTACATTGGTGTCGTCTACTACCAGCGCCTGCGCCATATGGTCAGCGACAAGTACCAGGTGCGCACAACGGGTCCGATCAACAGCATGACGCAGCAGCCCATTAAGGGTCGTAAGCGTGGTGGAGGTATTCGCCTGGGCGAGATGGAGCGCGATGCTCTTATTGCGCACGGAACAGCGTATTTCCTGCAGGACCGTCTGATGAACTGCTCGGACTACTCGCTGGCATATGTGTGCAAATGCTGTGGCTCTATCTTGGCGCCCATTGCCATTCCTGCGTCATCGCACGTTGTTGATCTGAGCCGCCCGGGAAGCACAGAGGCGCGTACTCGTGGTGCGATGTTCTCTGGATTGAGTGCTGCTGAGGCGAGTGCGATTATGGCTACAGCTAATGGCGGCAGCGGTGGCAGTGGAATGGCGTTGGCTCGCGGCAGAGGCCCTCTGGACTTGATCTGTCGCTTGTGCCAGAACGCCGACGGCATCACTATGGTCGCCCTGCCGTTTGTCTTCAGGTACCTAGCCACCGAGCTCATGGCAATGAACATGAAGGTCAAGCTGGACGTCAAGTAAAAATGATAAATTATCGGTTATTTTATATATTCAAGAAGAAAAAACTATTTATTTATATCCTTGTATGTTGATAGTTATTGAGGTTTAATAGCTTGTGTATAGTATGTATGTGCAAATATGAAATGAAATAAAATATATAAAAGTTACATGCCAAATAATAATTCTAATAGTAATAGCCAATTGTGCCCAAAAACATTTTTTTGTTATTTGTTGTCGTGAGCATACCACACTGCAGGCCTTAAATGGTTCCGTACAATACTGGCGACGACGGCGATTGAACATTAGCAGGAGCAAGATCAGGATCAGAAGCATCGGCAACAGCAGGATCAGCGGTCCCAGCTACAAGCTGCTCACTCTCATTCTCATTCTCGCCTGGCAGCCTCGCTCTGCCCTGTCGAATAAATAACCAGATGCAACGTACAATCTGGCCAGTTTTGCGAGCACCAACTGTCGCCAAGACAATCGACAAGTACGCGATCAAAACACGGGTCAGCGCCAGCATAACCACTGAGCTCCAGATGCGCGCGACCACCGCTGTAGCCAGAGCAAACGACGCCAGCGGATACACTGGTTGGCATGAATCAGTCAATGTTCTGAAGGCGACTTTCCCAACAATGCAAATTCCAAGTCCACGGCGGCGGCGGTTGCTGCTGCTGGAGCTGCTGCTGCTCTGTAGGGTGAAGAGGAGAATATGCGAGTTGATAAACCAGGCTGTTGACGCTCCCCATAAGATCAGGCCAAGGATGGCTCCGGCAGCCATGGCCAGCTCGCCCAGTAGCAGTGGGGCGGTAGCCGGCCCAACGGTGTCCGCCCAGACGCGCTGGCTCTGGATGCCCAGCGTCATGATCCCCAGTGCCAGCTGGCTAACAGGCGCCAGCGGCATAACAAGCAAGGATCCGCCGGGCCTTACGACAGCGCGCGACAAAATGCTAGCAGCCATTAGCTGTCGAATATACAGAATAGAGAACACCAGGGCGGGCACAACGCTGGCGCCCCACAGCGCATACCCAGCAGCCAACACCCCCGAAGCACGGGATGGCGGCAAAACAAGCGTCAATTCGCTGGCCGCTGCGCCGGCAACAGTGCCGGGCAAAAAAAGCAGGTACCAGGGAAGCAGCTTCGGTCGCCCATCGGAGGGGAGCCGCCGGTACCGCGCGGCTGTTGCCATGAAGGCTGGCAGCGCAGTGAGTGTGAGCACGGCGCCGAAGATCGCGCAGAGCCGCCAGATGCCCACCAGGATGTCTGCGAGCAGCGGCGCCGCAGTGATATCCACAATGCCAACAAAGTTCGATACTGCCGCCAGCAGACATACGGGCACAGCCCAGCTGTACTCGATGATCGACCGCAGAAGGTCGCTTGGCTCTCTGATGGCTCTCGGAGCCACGAGCACAGAGGCAAGCATTAACCGCAGGGCGTAGATGGGGATCAGGGCTAGCTGAAGTGCCAGCCCGCTGTAGGATATGATTGAGACCAGGAGTACTAGCCACTCACTGGCTAGTGTGCTTGGTGGTTGCTTGTTTCGGTCGCCCCCCGGTGCTCCGTTGTCGATGTAATCGGCCGATTCGGAGTAGGTACGCCAGAGCTGTGCATATGAGCTTAGCGCTATGGATACCGTCAGCCATCCGGCAGTTGCGCACCTGAGCATGCTTGATGTGCACACTAGCACGCTGAAAACCCGCTTTGCCGCGCGACCGGCACTGCCATTTGAATTCATATTTTAATGGAATAATAATAATAATGGAATAGATAGTTTTGTGACAGAACGCTGACGTTTCGTTTGAAAAAAGACAAAAGATGAAAGAGTGATACAAAAAATTATAATTGTATTTTTTTATTTCTCTCACGCAGACATCATTTGTCTCTCACGAGTGAGCAAGCGAGCGAGTGAGCGAGTGGTCGGGCAGGCAGGCAGGCAGGCCAGTGTCAGTGTTCAAAAATGTTGTGCCTGATGACATGCATCAATGCATCATTCCATGCACAAAGAAAAGTGCGGGGGTTTATAAAGAAGAGCGACTGGGGCCTTTTTCATTTCCGCTATTTTTATTTTTCGCAAGTGTCATATCAAATAGAGGGAAATTAAATGCAACGATCTTTTTTTTTTGCGGAGAGGGGAAAGGGGGGAGAGGGTCGGAAATAAAAAGGGTGGTAAATGGCATTGATCGGGCCAAGTAAGAATGTGAGCAGCAACATATGGAACACTTTGGCAGACTCTGTTTCTATTGCTGCTCTGCTTTTCTATCGGCATGGCAAAAGCCGTTTAATCAATCAACCAACCAATCAACCAATCAACCAATCAACCAATCAATCGATTGGCTGGCTGATTGGTTAGCAGGCTAGCCACAAATTTCTTTTGGCTACACACTGCAAAAAAACCAAAGGCAACGTCACTCAGCTATGTTCAAAAGATATAACCCTCCCTGTAGAAGCGCCGCGCATCGCCACACGTGCAGGAGTCTGGTGGTTGACATTAGTCTGCAATTAAAATAATTAATATTGTCTTTGTCTCACATCATCGGCACCCCATATTCAAACCCCTCTATTGTGTTGAACAGCCAGATTAAGAGTGCATGTAAGATTGTTAATAAAAGCAGCAGCCACGCCTCCGTCAACCACGCATTCACCCATCATTTCCCCCTTCCTCAAGCAACTGTTCCACCCAAATATTATAATTTCCTTTTCTTCCTTTCTTCTTTTAATGGCACCTCGTCGCAACATTGCTCTTTTCATTCTTCTTTTTCTAACAACAAGCACTGCGCTAGCTGCTACACTCCATTACATGAGGATCTGGTCACCCATCTCCAGCACAGCTTCACTGGTTGTAGCCGCAACAACAGCCTCTACCAGCTCAACACCCCTGGGATCCGCATCGCCTGCACCGAAATGGAATACGTTGTCGGGGAAAACGACCCGGCTGATTGGCCACCGAGGCGAAAAGGCATTCATGCCGGAACACTCTCTAGGATCATACTGGCAGGCGGCACTTGAGGGGGCAGACTACATTGAGCCGGATCTCGGCCTGACCAAGGATGGCCACCTCATTGTCAACCACAATGAGTACCTGGGTGGGACCACCAATATCGCGCATATCCCCGAGCTGGCACACTTGAAGAGCAACAAAACGTGGGTTTACGACGTGGATGGCCGGGAAAAAACCGTCTACAACGAGTGGTTTGTTGCGGATTTGACGCTGGAACAGATACGAATGCTGCGCATCAATCAGGCATCCGAGTACACATGGAGACCGCAGCACTTTAACGGCTACTTTGGCATATTGACATTCGAGGAGTATCTTCAGGTTGTGCGCAATGTGACTATAGAACTCGGCCGTCCATTCGGTGTTATTCCTGAGTTGAAATCGCCCACGCTGTATAATCGCGGCCGCCCATACGACAGGTACTTTGAGGACCGCGCCATTCTGACCCTGGAGCACTATGGGTGGGCCAACATCACTCGCTGGATCAACCGCGATCAGCACATTGATCTTCGGCTATCCGCCAAGCTGCGTCCCCTGGGCGCCGCCGTGCTCGGCCCGTCGGTGTGGCAGAGCTTTGACATGGACTCAGCACGCTACCTGGCGCAGCACACAGATGTTCCTGTAGTGGCCTTGGTTGAGCAGCTGCCCTGGGCATTTACGCCGGCAGGGCTTGATCGTCTGGCTGGGTTTGCCAAGATTTTGTCTACCTGGAAGGACATTTTTGTCGCTGGCCCCGAAGCGTACTTGCGCCACTACAATATTACGTGGGATGAAAAAGATATCGAGCAAATGGGCGGCTTTATTGCACCCAAGGATCTGGTTCGCGAGGCCCATAGCCGCGGTATCGAGCTATCCCCGTATACGTTCTACGACTCGCGCCAGGACATGGCGTACATATGCCAGGACGATAATGCGGAGTCAAAGAGCGAGTTTTGTCCCAAAAGTAAGGCCGAAGAGCTGTTTTACTTTTTTGATATGGGTGTCGACTACATGTTTGTTGAAAACATTGTCGAAGCCAGCACGTTGAGGCTTCAGTACGACAACCAATTGGCGCAAGCGGCTTGAGCATTCTAGAAAACAAAATCCAATATTTTATATAGAAATATGAATAGTAAATAAATAAAAACTGCAATCATCGATTGACTTTATTCAGCGTTGTCCTTGGGCGGATATATGAATGTCGACGGGCAGCTGTCCGAGACCAATGCCTCTTTAGATGGCACATAGACCATCGCGTCTCTCACATTAAACCAAGCCCATATTTCGCTCAATGCGCCGTTCTTGCATTTAACAGCCACTTCTATCCCAAGCCCTTCTTTAATAGCACTCTTGAATTCGGCCGCCGTGTACTTTGTGTCTTCTGATGGCTCAATTCCCTTGTCTGAAAGCGCCTCGTACAAATTGTATTTGTTGCGCAGGCGCAACGCCGTGTTAAAATAGTCCCTGACATCTTTGTGTTTGATGTATGATGACCCGTAGCACCTAGGATTCAGCGTGGTCATGCATGTGCCGTGCTTATTCCACTCGTGCGACCAGAACTTGTTGTTGTCGCCGGTGTACGACGACCAGTACGTGTTCATATTTTGAAGCAACAACGGATTGTTGTTATTGCTATTGTCGGGTTTTACAATCTCGGTGATATTGGTGTACAAACGCGAGCTGTCGCAGCCGCTGTTGCCTGTCTGCTGGCCGCTACAAGTGTCAGGCCACAGGCCGTGCAGTGTAAACTCATATGATGGTCCCAGCTCCGTGTGCCATTGCTGTGTCAGAACCAGCAGACCGTATGTTGGTGAGCAACAAGAGTCGACGCCTACAGACCTGGTCGAGCACGAGATCACGCCCAATGGGCAGGTTTCGGGCTGGGCTGGCGAATCTGATGGAAATGATGCGCCCAGCGGCAATGCCAATGCCAGCGCAAGTATTGTAATTGCAAAAGACTTGTTGAGCATACTAAGTTTATATGGAAATATTCTAAATAAAAATTACTTATAGATGTGTGAAACAAAAAATGTTAAATGTAAATTATATACAAGACAAGGAGATTCAACATCGATATGATAAAAAAATATGAGGCCAAGCAGAATATCACCACAGCGAACTCGGCCTACTTGTTCGACATAAGCTACTGCTATCGACATGTGCTCATCATCGTCGTTGGCCGTGACCCCTCATTTTAATATTCACAGTAAGCCCAAACTTTTTTCAAGAACGAGCAGCAAGTTATTTTTGTTATTAACACATGTTGAAATTAAATGGTTTAAAATCAAATAAAAGAAGCATTGACTACTTGGGGAAGTAGTAAAATGTACCAAACTTGTTATTTGCCATTCTGGCATTTCTCAACTGAAAATCAGTACCGTTTTTCACTTGGAACCAAATCCGAACCTCGTCAATTTCGTGTTTCTTCGAGCAAACGTAAACGTCCACGCCAAATTCTTTCATCAAGGCTATTTTAAACTCTGCCACACTATACAGTTTAGTGTTTGACGGCAAGATGTTATGTTTTGCCAGTGCCCTGTAAATATCATACCTTTCTGCAAGATATATTGCTGTTCTAAAATACTTAAGAACATGCTCGCTCCCGCTGCATTGCTGGCCTGAGCACCCGTGAAATGCATGAGTTACGCTGCTTCCATGCTTAATCCATTGTCTCGCCCAAAATTCCAAGTTGTTTCCAAATTTAGACGGCCACAAAAGCGACATTTGCTGGTAAAGGGCGGAATCATCAAACAGGATAGCGCTGTTTAGATAAGTAAACTGAGTAGTGCTAACGAATGATACAGCAGGGATAAACATACTGTATTTGTCAATCCACAGACCATGGAGCGTAAACTTGTTTAATGGCCCCGATAAGCGTTGCCATTGGAATGCCAGAACCAGTGTTCCGTCAGTCGGTCGACAGCTGTCCACAATATTGTCCGAAGTGGGCAAAGGCGTCGACGGTTTAACTATGAATGATTCACTTTCGACCTGGTCCTTGCTTACAGAGTGACATGGCTTGGATTTGGTTTTAGCTGCCGCTGTTACTACAGGAACCAGATCAGGCATAAAGGCAACCACTATGGCTTCGATATCGAGTGCGCTGTTATCGCCAGATGTCGAGAGTTTGGATGCTAAAATTTTTGAAAACGCAGTTTTGGTTAAACCAATGTCATTAGAACACCAATTAGCTGTTTATAAATCACGCGACTATTTTAGTACATCCATTTGTAGAAACACCTACAATCGCTCATAATATTAATAAGTTTGTGGATATATTTAAAGAAAGGGTAATATTAAAAAGTTATTTTTGACAGAAAGACAGAAAAAGACGTATTCGCAATTTTATATTATTTTTTGTCGACAATTTTATTGATCAATTAAAACAAGCATGGATGTATTTTCTGATGATATGGCATCGAAGTTATTGAATACCAGCTCTCTGGAATCGATGATAAATGAAATAACCACAGTAACTTTAATAACTTAGATTAATCGCGAGTTTGAATGATCTGGAGCTCACGACTGGTATAAAAAAATGTGGCATTATCGCTTGTGCAGAACAACACTAGGTGATGTCTTGAAAAAGTGATTGTGGCAAACATTAATCTAAGAAATAGCAATTATTGTTTCCTAAAAATGGCAATTGTTTTCTTTTCAAGATCTGATGTGATCTCATCTCTCTATAATTAAGAAAAAGGAAGGCGTTATTGGGTTGGCCAATAATAACGCACATATCTGTAGGCGTGTGGCTTCTTTGGGCTTTCCGAAAACAAATTCAATTCAAAAAAGGAATTGCATTCAATCCCCAAACTAACTCCGAGAGCAAAGCTGTAAAAAATAAGCCCAATCTATATCTGCCTGAACGATGACATGCTACAGCCTTGTTATGGAAGAGACCGGAGGCAAACTTTGCACAATTTATTCCATTTTTCCCCTTCAATTTTGCTGTTTAATAAGCGTGTATATTTTTACACTTGCGTTGGTTCAGTGCTGCTGCTGTCGCTAGTAAACCAAGCGGAATGATATGTGGAGGTGCCGAGAAGGGTGCCGAATAACAGATATCAATTGTCAATCATAATTTCGTTTTTTTTCTTTTTAAAATTTTTGGCTATTATTCAGCGTTTCCTTTTTTATGTTGCATTTGTTTTTTCTTTTCGCATTCTTCTTTTCTTCTTTCGTTTGGGCCTTTTCATTGGTCAATTCTTAAGAAGTATATTTTTCTCACTGATTTTTTGCATCATCCATGCCAAGACTTCCTGGTTCTTTCTTTCTGGTCTTTGTGACTTTTGTTTCGACGAATAAAATAGAAATCTGCCAGATTCTCAAACACTTAAAAATCACTTTTTTATCAAATTGTGCCTATCATCCCTCATTTTTTGATTGCATTTTTCATCTCTTGTACTTTTAGACTTGACACTTCATTTTCATACACATACACATACACATACACACGCGAATATATTTTTCATTTAAAACATGAGCATGGTTCAGGGTCCTCCTGATGTAGACCTCAGGCTGAGGTACTTTAGGTACATGCCAGCGAACGTCTATCCGCAGGTAGCCGCGGGCTTTTACTTTGCCATTGGAGTGATCTTGATAATACAGACCATTCGATCGAAGGCGCAGGCCTGGCTGTACGTTCTGGCGGGCACGGCGATATTCGAGGCTGTCGGCTATGCGTTCCGTGCGGCGTGCGTGTACGAAACAACACTGGTGCTGTTTCTACTGCAGCTGCTTATCATCCTGTTGCCCATCAATGCAATTGCCCTGTTCAATTATAAGGTGACGGGTAAAATAATCAGCGATTCGTTGACTGCCAAGCCCAAGTATTTCTGGCTCAGGCCAAAGTTTGTCTACTGGTTTTACTTTGCCAGTGATGTGTTCTCGGTTGTTATGCAGGGCGCGGGCGGTGCCATGATGGGCAAAGTGACTACACGCGCGAAGGCCAAGACTGTTGCCCTCATTGGTTTGTGTGTGCAGCTGCTGTTCCTTGGGTGTTACATGGCGACCACCGTGTATGTCTGGCGCAAGCCCGAGTACGTTGTACATGCCGGTCCCCGCGATAAGAGCCCGCAGGCCGCCAAGCGCAAGATCATGGTTAATATTATCAGCACCACCACATTGTTATATGTGCGCTCCATCTACCGCATTGCAGAGTTTGCAGACAACACGATTTACAGCACTGAGTGGGCGTTCTACGTGTTTGACACCCTTGTCATCTTTTTCGCCTTCGTTGTCTACATTGTCCTATTCATTGGCCCCAACTTCCCGCGCAAGTCTGCTGGTTTGGAAAAGCAGCTGTCTTATATTCCGGTAGAGGAAGGCAACGCCCAATCGTTGTCCACTCGCCTGACTGACAAGGACTACTAACATGGAATGCCTTTTTTACTCCTTTCAACTTTAATAAATGACATAGACTACAATGATGATAATGGAAATCAAAATAACCAAATAAATCTACGGCCACCCACGGTATATGTTGCCATTGGTGCCATAGCAGATGATGTTTCCATTGCAAGAGTATGTCAGATTCCATGTGCCGCGCACACAGATCCGGTATCCCTTCCCGGAGCACTGCAAGAGACCGTTGGTGCACGGTGTTGATCCGTCGTCCGCGGGTCCAGAGTGGTATAAGCACCGCTATTGGAACTGGCTCCATCTGCCTCTGGTGGCAATTTCACATCAGCATCACTTGAAACTAGTTCGGTTGTAGCCTCAGTTGAAGAATCGGCTGTGATCTCAGTTGAAATTGGTTTATTTAGAGCTTTGGTCGACTCCTCGCTAGCTACCTCGCTGCTAGTTTCGGATGACGAAGAAACAACAACTACACTGTTTTCAGCATTTGAATTTTGATCTTCCGGAATACCTCCGCCGCCGCTAGGCTACACTGTGGTATGTTTGGCATTGTCATAGTACACCATTCTGGTCTCGTAGTCGCCGCTAAACTCGGGGATGGTTGGGTAGCCCGGGTAATTGGCGACTGTTATCTGCTTGCCCGTATACGAAGACGACAATCCGCCCTTGACAGCAACATCAGTGCAGTTAATGTAGAACTCACGGTTGCCCAACGCGTTGTCCCACGTCCACACAAACATAGCCTTGTCGGATGATGGCAAATTGGCTGGCAGGTTGAACGTGTAGCTGAGAGCCTAGGCGGTATTGGTCAGGCCTGCGGGCTTTGAGTTCAAGAAGCAGCAGCGCAGCTCTTGGTGAATCACAGCAAACGTCTTTCCGTTATCATAAGAAATCGAGAACTCGCAGTTACCGCCGCTGTGGATAGCAGGGTTTGAATTGAACTTAATGGTAACAGACTTGCTGGCAGTCCACATAACAGAGTGCGTCGCAAGAGGAGTTGTGTACCAACACAGCGGCAAGGCAGTTCCGCCTAGGGTCGCCGAGTATAGTGGCCTGTTGATTCCACTATCACTGGTGTCCAGAGACTGGCCGACTGGCAGGGCGGGACAGTTCTCGCTCACGGGCGAATAACGAGGACAAGGACTGATGACAAACGTGGGCAGAGGCAAGACTTGCAAGTAGGCTGACAAAGGCAAGAAGTGTTGGTTTCATAATATAGTTAAAAAAGTATGTAAAGTTGTTTTTGTTTAATAAAACACTTTTTTTTATAAAATTTGCGCCAAACCAAATATAAGTAAAAAATAGCATGCTTGAGCGCACGCAGAAGTGATATGTCGCCTTTTTAAACAAAAAATATGTAGCTGGGAAAATTTGCAGTTTAAAGCGCAACTCACACATGCCCATGAATAATGTTGTGTAACCATCGTGCAAGTATAAACTGGATATTAAGTGTTATACCAACCACTTGCTACAATAAAAACATAAAGTGATGCATACCTCGCCGGTCATTATTTGACAAATACAAAAGTCAAATAGCTTTTCTTTCATTCGCAGGAATTTGGCAAAAGGTATTAAAAGCCAGAATGCAGCACACAATAAGCATGTAGGCCATTAACTTACGACGACTGTATTTGTAATAAAACTTATTCGTACTAACTAATTTTATTAAAAATCCACTATAAGGGAGCTTCAAGAGCTCCGCTTATCTATTCGAAACTATCGCCCGTGAAAATAGAAATCGCGATCGTAAACAATCACAATTTCAAACAATCGCAAATTCCCAATCGCGATTGTCACGTGACATCTCAATAATTGATGTCACAGTATTATACCGCTATTTTATGCGCATAATCCGTTTAATAACTAACGTCGAGTTTGTAATAAAAAGGACACACAACATCGACAACAGCGGCGGCAGCGACAGCGACAGCGACGGTTGGCAGCAATGTAGAATTTGGAAAGCTAAAAAAGCTGCACATGCTCAGTCAGTCTGATTCGCTAAAAAAAACATGTGCCTGTCTGCTTTTAGTCATTTTTAATTATTTTCATATCTTTTGTTAATCCTCAGTGTGAATTCATATTTTTATACAATAACAATTTTATTGATACGCGCTCAATCGGAATAGTGAGAGCCTCCGCATTTGCAGATTTATTTCCAAATAGTGATAAGTTTAATAAAAATGAGGTCACTGGTTTGGCAAATGGTAAAACAAACGAGTGAAAAATTGGGTTGCTTCTAGGAAAAAAGTTAAGAGCAAATTTTTTTGTCTGTTCACATAATATTCGGTGCACTCGGGAAAATAAATATTATTCATTACACTCACTTTCGCAAAAAAAGTATTTACTTTATCGTGGTTCTTTGGGTTTAATCTATTTCGCCTTATTATTTGTATAACTATTTTTTGTATTTGACGCATAAAATTTGATGAATGGGGAACCAGATATCGTTTTCAGTGACAGAGACCGAGCTGCAGCGCCAGATAGCCGGCGAGGCAGATAATTTGTCGGTGGACCCGCGCGGCAAAGCGGACGCAATAATGGTTGTCACGATTGGATCCATTTACTTTGTAAACCTTCTGGCAACCTTATATTTGCTGTGGAACAGACGGTACCCACCACTAAAGTCAAAAAACCCAATGCTTATGACACTCATCATGATATCATTATTTTTGTGGTTTGTTGGCGACCTCCAGGCCAACGGGCATGTAACTCTGGCAAACTCGCCAATGACTAATTGCAAGGGCTTTGGGTTGTGGATGCGGCTGTTGTTGGGAGTGTGCGGCATGCTCTCACTGGTCGCGTTGAGGGCGTACGGGCTGTACCGCATATTTTATCTACATCGACCGTACCATGGTTTGGGTCTCTACATGCCATTTTTTGTGTATTACTTGTGCGTGCTCGTCTATGGCATTGTCGCCCAAGCGCTGAAACCTGCCATCACAACTCACTATATTGCAGAACTCGACATTTGCACCTTCCACCCGGGATTCAAAGCAACACTGTTTGCGCTTCTGTGGGTCAGCCTGTTGATAGTGGTGGTTGTGCACTGGAGGATCCGCAAAATTAAGAGCTCCTTCAATGAAAGCCGCGAGATGATGGTTTCGTGCGTAATTAGTTCCGCTGTGCTAATGTATGTTACTATTATGCACTACCTGCGCCCGCTCTATCCGCTAGACATCCGACAGCGCATAGTGGCCACGTCACTGGAACATTTTGCGGCAAATGTGTTGTGGTGGGCCATCATGTCAGTACCCATGTACAACTGCTTGTTTAACCGACATATCTATCTTAACCACTGGATTCACAAGCTGCGCAGGGATGGTTTGCAGAAGGAGTATGATGTCGATTCAGATTCCACTGTCGTCAATGATAATGGCACGAAGGGCCTGTACAGCATGCGCAATACACTGTTGATGTCAGGATCCAAAGGAAACAAAAAAGACGAGTTGTTCTACGCAATGGATGACAGCGTTTATGGGAGCAAAGCCGCAGCCGCCGCTTCTGAAAGTACTACGCACATCGGCGTACCTTACTCTTTGCAGAACACCAACTTTGTTAACGAGACAGTTGTGATGGAAAGAGCCGCAGATTACCGGGGCACCGATGGGGCGCACACAAATAATCTGCTACTGCGGTCTCGGTCGATTTTGCAAAAGCCCAAGCCACTGTCACAGTACGTAGATAAGTTTGGTGTCCCCACCATAAATTCTGATCGCCACATGGCGCCACCGACAATGTTGCAGCCGTACACGCTGATATCATTTCCTGAGGATGCAGTTTCAGTCAAGGTTCATCAGGGCATAGCGCACGACGTGCATTTGGAAGATTACAATTTCAACGAGCGCTATTTGATTTGAATTTACGTGTTTTTGTTTTACAAACTTGATTATCACCTATGTAATATTGTTGGCAAAGCCGACTGCCAGCTGACGAGCGCGGCCGACGAGGTTGCTAAATTTTCTAATGCTTTAGTAACGCAAATATATTATTTTAATGATGTTTCCAAAAATCTCAGCCTCTCGCGCACATTTTTTAAAACTTTGCCGAATATCTTATAATTCAAGCCAAACACTTTAATGACAACACCATCGACAATAGGCCAACATTTTTAATCCAAAATGTTTAACGAGTGTTTCGAACTTAAATATTGATCCAAATTTTATATCCGTCAGCTGATTTAGTCGATTGCTCGCGTTGTCTTTGCATATAAAATCGCAGGCAATTGGTGCACAATGGTGGTCGCTCTTTGAAACCATTTTTTGTCAAAGACAGGGCATGCAACAGGTACAGTCCATTATTTGCCAATATTTTTGTAAAGCAACGATTGGTGTGCATGAGTGGAGTAGAGTATTAATCAAAAATAAAGGCGTTGATTTTTGGCTTGAATTTCAAGAGTAATGAATTTTGTCGTCGAGACTTAACCAGCCAAAAGGTACAAATAAACATAATACTTTTTGATTGACATGCGTTCTGCTCGCTTGGCCTTTTCCCTCACAGGGCATGACCGCTTTTAAAATAACAATGCATTATGTTGGTTTGGTGATACTCAGATATATATCCGGTTGCTTAGTTTTTTATGTACATATTTTTGATACTTCTAAGGTGATGGACCGTAAAGCCATTTTGTAATTGTGTGCGCTATTTTGTTGACATATTTGTAAATATTTTGAAAAGACAGTAATGTTATAATAAGAGGGTGGTGATTTGGGCGAAGCACTAGTCGCCTAGTGTTAAAAGTATGTTTGGTTGATATATGAAAGTTTTTATTATCAATGAAATCAAAAATAGAACTAGGGCTAGCCTCATCTTATATATGTGTCTCATTATCTTTATCGTGCACTTTACCAATTGTATACTCCGTTGGTGAGAACTGGTTCTTCTGTAGACAGACTGGTGCCTTGGCATGTCAGGGCTATGATCTTCGCATATGCATTATGGAAATGAGGGGTATATCAGGGTATCGTTATTGTGTCCCCTGATTTGATACTGTATGGTACCATCAATTCCCTGTTAATTGGAATTTTGAGGTTAAGAATCGTGAAATGAGTCTTCATCAACATCCACCTCCATATCATCAGGCTGCTCAACAGTAATAAGAACTAGAGCAATTGAGGCCAATGCAACTTATATGGATGAGGCTTGGTCTTTTGGTGTAATAATAATGTTTTTTGATATATGGTGGTGCTACGCAGCCCGAGGATATGGAGGTAGATACTGAGGGCAAAAATCATGAGATAGATTCCCGCCAGCTTGCTGATGGATCTTATATGGACCAAATCACAGAGGATCAAATTAGACGCCACTGTTGACATCCAGACATACTGCCTGTCTTGAAATAGATGCGCTGAGCGCATGAATGCAGACACGCCACTAATGCCATATCAGAGACCCGGGTTACGCTCATAAGGACCAATTCTCGCAAACCGAGGTTACAACTGCCAGTGTGTGTCACAAAGACAATGAGACACATATATAAGATGAGGTCGGCGATAATAGCACTTTAGAAATACTAGTAATAAACTTCTTTATAATTTAATACCTATTCTTTTAACATTATTACAGTAGTGCTTCCCACACCCCCTCCTACATAACAGTGTTATTTTTAAATAAATAAATAATTCATCTTTAATTATTATGTTACTATATTACATTTTTCATATAATCTACTCTTTATTATTTTATAAGCAATATCCGTCATAAATTTTCTATAATCAATTTTGGTTTTTAGTGGCTGTTGGGCTGCCTTTTTATACACAAAACCACCCTTTATTAGCCCAAGCACACACATCTCAAAATTATACTAGTAAAGGATGGGCAATAGTAGGCAACAGGATATCTTTCACAGTTGCAAAGAGGGAGCCGGCGTGCCAGAGGTTTGGCAAGATGATCTAAATGAGACTAGACCCGCGAGACAAGGCGGACACAATAATTATGGCTATCACGGCGGTAATATACTCGCTGGACTTTGTCGCAATCTTGTATCTGCTGTGGAATATGAAATATCCGCCGCTCAAGGCCAAAAGCCCGATTATAATGGCGTTGGTGAAGTTTGCCAACATCATTTGGTTTTCTGGCGACTTATAGACCAACGGCAACATCTATTTGGCAAACGCCCCATGGTCAAATGCAAAGAGTTTGGAATCTGGGTTTGTTTTATGATAGGGTTGTGCTTGCAGAACCTGGTGGCAACAATGCGGACGTATGGACTGTATCATATTTTTACTAGTTTCTTTCCATACTACAGTCTGGGTCTCTACTTTCAGTTTGCTATCTATTGCTTGTGCCTCATTAGCCTTTGAAACTGTCGTGCAGGTGCTGAAGCCCTCTATAACGGCCTATTATGTTGATCTGCTTGATCTCTGCAACTACCACTTGTGGCTGCAGATATCTATGTACACATTCCTGTGGATTACCGTGCTCATAGGGGTATTTGTGCAATGGAAGATCCGCAATATCAAGAGCTCGTTAAACAAGAGCTGTGAGATGTTGATCATGTCCATCGTTGTGGTCATTGTGCTTGCGTTTGGCACAGTTATGCGCTACATACTGCTGCAGTACCACTTCGATTTGTGTCTGCGTCTGATAAACACTGCGTTAAACCATCTTGCAGCGCACTCGATGTGGTGGTTTATAATGGCGGTACCCATTTACAAGTCGCTGTTTGACCGGCAGCGTTACCTTGACAGTTGGATCCAAAAGCTACGCGACGATGGGGTGCACAAGGAGTACGACATCGACTTGACTGCAGTTGCTTACAACGATCCTACAATTTCGACTGCATACAACAGGAACATCATGTTGATGATAACGAGAACCAATGGCAACAAGAAGGGCGGCGCCTTTTATGCAATAGACAACAACGTTTACAACAGCAAGGATGCCAGCTTTGGAGACGGCTCACATCCCAATCTGTACAAGCATGTTGACTGCACGGCAGATACAAATACAAGCATTGAATACAGACAACAATTTGAAACCGGTAGCGGCAGAGCTGTTTGAAGAAGACATTGTGATGGAATCGATGGAGGAATTGCTAAACATTAAAGCCGCACATAGAAACGATAAGCCACAGCACACTCGGCCAATTTCGCCGCGTTTCAATGCGCAGCTGTATGTGCCGTTATTGTTTCCTGAGGATGTAGTCATGGCTCCACTGAGACTGGGTGCGGCTCACAACAGACATGTGGGTCTGTATTATACTGACGAGCATCGGCTGGTTTAATATTTGAATGCAATAACGCTAAAATTGTTACAATTATAATATTAATATTTTTAAGCATATCAACAACAATTTAATGAAGTTGGGTTGAGATTCATCTGTTTTGAGATTGTCTACATCATTTGCGTGTGACTAAATATGGACCAACACAGATTGTCGTTGATTCCACTTTCGTGTGGTTCCGCGATTTGAGTATCTGTCGTTGGGATGCCACAGCAATGGCACGGAGCGAATAATTAGCGAATATAAATAATTAAAAATAATTTTTCGACTCGACTCTGCCCCCAACTGTACAAATTGCAAAAGTTTCCATTTTCGGAAAAGATCTACGATCGCTTGCACCGCTTGGCCCAAATTCTACTGGTTGGCTGGCAATGTATTATTTTTATTTGCTTACTAGTTTTTTCACTTGGTGCCTAATATTCAGTTGCAAATTGTTAAAGTTAAAAGGCTGGCTAAATCAAAAAACAACGGCGTTTTCATCCTTCTCCAAAGATAACTATGTTATCAATAAAAACAAATGTTCTATACCAGGCCAGACTCACAAAACTATAAGCATGTGCCTCTCTGTCTGCCCATATAAATGTTCGTCTAAGTTGCCTTCAAGTATTACTCGTTCTATTCTTAGTCTTAATGGTTAATCCCGCGCAAATCAACATATAAGCTACACGCTCACCAAGTTGTGCTATTAGTTTAATATTTTAGTTGTGTTTTGGATAATTTGCAGCTGCAGGTCTTTCTCAATTTCGATTACGCACTTGGATTATTTAGGACGTTATAACGGCGCAGAATATCTGTTTTGCATGTGAGAGTATAAAGCTAAATTGTAATTGTCAATCAAAAGCTTTATTAGAAATAAAAATGAATAGCCCTTACTAGCCGCATTTAGAATAATGGATTGACATGCTTCTGTGGCATTATAGGCCAAAGTTGGTAAAGTGTGTCAATTTCCCCATTTTGTACGCGGGTTTCGACATATTTTTCGATTAATATGATTTTCTCAAAGCCTACTCAAGCTATAAGACCAGAATATTTTTGATTTTCCCGCATCCGGACTCATCATACAACCGATTAATTTTGTTATTGCATAGCCCGCGCATATAAAACGCTCAACAGAAATGAGCGCTCGCCTTTTCATTCCAAATTATTTATTCAACTTTCAACTCTTGAGAAATACTTTGCTACTAACGACTATTTCCTTCACTGCAATATTATTATTTCATCCATTATTTCTTGTATTTTACTCACTGGACTGCCAAACAACAAGTGATTAAACGACCACCGTTTGCCTGTCAACAAGCTTGATATATTTCTAATAGATGGGCAACGGCATATCATTTGCAGTGACAGAGAGTGAGCTGGACCGTCAGATAGCCGGGAAGGGAATGGAGCTGAGGGTGGACCCGCGCGGCAAAGCAGACGCGATAATGATCGTTGTTGTTGGAGTATTATACATGATAAACTTTTTAAGTGTCCTATATTTATTGTGGAGTAGGAAATACCCACCGCTGAAAGCAAAAAATCCGATGCTCATGGCCCTGCTGATGGCCGTGTTTTTGGTATGGTATGTTGGCGACCTCCAGATCGATGGCCACTTGCCCTTGGCAAATACACCCTTGGCCAACTGCAAGGCGTTCGGGCTGTGGATGCGCATTCTCATTGGCGTGTGCGGCATGCTCTCTCTGATTGCGTTGAGAGCGTACGGTCTATACCGCGTATTCGTCTTGAACCGTCCGTATCACAGTTTGGCGCTTTACCTACCGTTTGCCATCTACTGGGTGTGCATATCCGCTTACGGTATTGCGATTCAGACGCTGAATCCCTCCAAGACAACCCACTATGTACCAGGGCTTGACATTTGTGACATTAATTCTGGATTTAAAATATCCATGTTTGTGGTTATGTGGATCAGTCTTTGCATCGTCATGTTTGGGCACTGGATGATCCGCAACATCAAGAGCTCGTTTAATGAGAGCCGCGAGATGGTGGTTACATGCTCGATTCTTTTTGCTGTACTCATCTACGAGACCGTGATCAACTACGTGCGGCCGATGTATCCATTGAACGTGAGCCTGCGTATAGTAACCACAGTGTTGAACCACTTTGCAACCAATTCGCTATGGTGGACCATCATGGCAGTGCCCATGTACAAGTCTATCTTCCAGCGGCAGCGTTACTTAAACCAATGGATCTTCAAGCTGCGCATGGACGGTCTGCAGAAGGAGTACGAGGTAGACTCGGACAAAATCCCTACCAATCACCACAGGTCGCTGCTCATGACAAGCACCACGGGGAGCAAGGATGGAGGAGAGTTTTATCCAATAGATAATTGCATCTACGAAAACAACGTCGTTGTTTCTAGACGTAATCCCCATGCATCTTTATCCCAGTCATCCGAAAGCCCATTATTCACAAATGGAGTTAGTGCATATGATCAGGCCAGACGGGGGCAGCACACCGGCGACGCAGTCAGGGACGGCCTTCCTCTACAGAATCAGTCAATTTCGCCTAAACTCGCGCCGCAGCTGTACACGCCGATATCGTTCCCCGAAGATCCAGTCATGGTACGGATCAAGCCAGGCGCGGCTCAAAGAGGGAATTCGAACCATTACGACGCCAACGATCGGTATCTCATTTAAAATATTTTTGATATTTCGTATTTATTTAATAATTACCCATAAATTATGCGGTTACAAAAATATTTGGAGTTGTAAATTATCAATACGCCCGATTCAACATAAAATGCTAAATGTATCATTTTGTTGTAACTAAAACATAACCCCAAGATGGCAACGCCAGCAATAGTTTCACCAGAGTTATGATTACCTTGGTCTTTTGCCTGTTACCGCAGTTGATACCTTAAGGCCTGGAATAAAAAATGTAGTTTTTATATTTAGTGTCAAATTCATAACAAGCCCAAGCAGCAGTGAGTTATATCTTTAACGTCGCCAATCCACAACTGTGATTTGCTTAATGCCCAATAAAATGACACCATTTAATATTATGATTAGTGCCCCAATTAAACTAACCATATGTTGAAAATAAAACAGGTTTCTGCACTCCCAGCTTAATACCCCGAAATTTGCGAAAAAGATGATCAACGTACATGAATTAAGCTATCAAATTAATATGCCGACTTTTCTGTAAACAATTTGAATGCCAATTATTTTACTCTGTCAGATTATTTTCAAAAAATTTCATGTGCACTTGTCTCACAAATATATAATGCACTTGTCTACAGCCAGTTTATTTTTTGTGAGAGAGAGAGTGTGTGTGCATGTGTTTTCAATTGTCACTTATTAGTCTATTCACTATCACTTTTTGAATGCTATTGTTTCCCCAATTGTATGAATCAGAAATAGCGCTAAATTGTTTATCATGATTATTTTCTTTACAAATTGAATGCATATATATATAACTAATTACATGTATGCACCTCGAAAAATTGGATCCATATTCTCTTTAAAATTGGGGATATGTTTTCCTACCTCAATTTGAACACAAGAAATACATGCTTTATCAAAATGCACCCACACTTGCGTCCTTTATTATTACAATTCCCTTTTGCACTTGTTACGCAGCCCGAGGATATGGAGGTAGATGCTGAGGGCGAAAATCACGAGACAGATTCTCGTCAGCTCACTGATGGATCTGATACGAGCCAAATCACAGGGGATCAAATCAGGCACCACAATTGACATCCGGACATACTGCCTGTCCCGAAATGGATGTGCTAGGCGCAAGAATACAGACATGCCAATTATGCCATATCAGGGACCCAGGTTACTTTCATAAAAACCAGTTATCGCAAACGGCGCACACAACTGCCAGTGAGTGCCACAAAGACAAGGAGATATATAAGGCGAGTCTGGCGACAATAGCACTTTAGAAACACTAGTAATAAAAACCTTTATAATTTCACACCCATTCTTTTAACACTATTACAGTAGTGCTCCCCACCCCCTCTTACATAACACTAATTATTAAATTATCTTAAAGCCAAAAAACACTACTAAAATTATGAGGGACGCAACATAATATGTATGATTAAACAATTGCAAAATGCTTTTATACGCCCTCTCTTTCTCTCTATCCCCTTTTATTTTTGTAGGCATTCATTGCATTATTGTTGTTGGAATATAGGGAACGTTCTATGAACGTGTAGATAAAGTATAATGCTATGAAGTTTATTTAATAACAAGTGCTATGCACTGTGTGAGGTAAAGAGAAGAGAGCATATTGCTCTGGTCACTGTGTGACTTATTGTTTGTGTGGCTAAACAGCCAAGACTGGTTAATCGGTTGATCGCCATCAACCAATAATTATACCAAAGAATATAAGAAATAAAATATTATTTATAGAACCAGCCAGTTGATAAGTTGTACAGGTAGAGCACTTGGTTAAAAAAAGGAGTAATTAAAATAAATTAATCAAAACTGTGCGAGCGGCAGCCGAACAAGCAGTCTTGTATTATAAAATAATAATTGCATGATGCAACTGTCCAAAATCAAAATAAATTAAATCAAAACATGGTGACGCTTGCTTTTTGGCTATTGTATATTTTGTTGCCGCATACCCAAACCGTTGCTGATGGGGCTTTCTTTTCTTCAAGAACTCGAGCCTCACACTTGCATTATTTTTATTTTTTTATTTTTTACTTACAATTTGAATGCGCTAAATCCACACTTCCAGATAAAATTCACTCCGCCACGATAGAGTTAAATTACATTTAGAATTATGCGGCAAGTGGAGACAAAGTCGACGGCCAGGTTTGACGAATTTACGACGGTCGACTGGATGGACGACAGCGCCAAGGAGCGGCGGCGGCAGCAGGCGCACTGGAGCCAGCTCCGAACACACGGGCTGCCATCAGCATCGCTGACCCAGTACCTTATGAACTGGGCGTACCTGGCGTACGACTCGATGGTGTCGTGGATAGTCGTGCTCCTTGTCGGAGTGCTCATCGGCATCAACACGGCGTTTATCTCGATAGTCACCGAGTGGCTGAGCGATGCCAAGCTCGGGGTATGCTCGAAGGGATGGTGGCTCAACCAGAAGTTCTGCTGCTGGGAGTACTCGCCGTCGAGCGCTTCGCAGCCGGAGGTGTGCCCAGAGTGGCTGGCGTGGGACCAGGCGCTCATTGGCACCAGCGCAGGGGTGGTCCGGTGGCTGGCATTTGTGGCCATTGGCACACTGCTAGCCACGGTGTGCGCGTTCCTGGTGCGCAGCTACGCGCCGCTGGCGGCCGGCTCGGGACTGCCAGAGATCAAGGCCATCCTGGGCGGCTTTGTCATCCGTGGGTTTATGGGCGGGTGGACGCTTCTGATGAAGAGTATCGGGCTAGCGCTGGCCGTGGCTTCAGGGCTCAGCGTCGGCAAGGAGGGCCCCGCTGTGCACATGGGCTGCTGCATGGGTAATGTCGTGTCGCGTAACTTTCCAAAGTTCCGGCGCAGTGCAGCTCGCCAGCGCGAGATCGTCTCGGCGTCGGCGGCGGCCGGCGTGGCAGTCGCCTTTGGCGCGCCGATCGGCGGCGTGCTATTCTCTCTCGAGGACCTTAGCTCGCACTTCCCACGCAAGACGCTGTGGCGTAGCTTCTTCTGCGCACTGATCGCAACGGTAAGCCTGCAGGCAATGGACCCTTTTTGGACCGGCAAGCTTGTGATGTTCCAGGTGACGTACGACCGCGACTGGCATTTTTTCGAGACCGTGTTTTTTGTGCTGATCGGCGCCTTTGGCGGCGTATACGGTGGGCTGTGCATTCGGCTCAATCTGAAGGTTGCTGCATTCCGCAAGCGGTACCTGGGCTCGTGGGTTGTGCAGGAGGTGGCTGCGCTGGCGCTGCTGACGACAGCTGTGACTTATGCCAACCGCTTTACGCGCGAGGATATGGGTGAGCTGCTGGCGATGCTGCTGCAAGAGTGCAAGGACACGCGCGGCATGCTGTGCGCGCCAGAAAGCTCACGGCAGGTCATCTGGGCGCTGCTGTGGGCGACGATCATCCGCGTGGCCGGCACGATTCTGGCGTACGGCTGCCGCGTGCCGTGCGGGATTTTTGTGCCCAGCATGGCGATCGGCGCGTCGTTCGGCCGCATGCTCGGCGCCATCATTCAGTCGCTGCACCGGGCGCACCCCAAGTGGGCACTGTTTGCGCAGTGCGCGCCTGACACACCGTGCATTACGCCGGCCACGTATGCGTTCTTGGGCGCGGCGGCCGCAATGTGTGGCGTCACCAAGGTTACTGTGGCTGTGGTTGTCATCATGTACGAGCTGACGGGCGCGCTGAACTTCATTGTGCCGACGATGATCGTCGTTATGGTTGCGCGCATCATCGGGGATGCCATCGTGGAGGGCGGCATCTCGGAGCAGCTCATCCTGCTCAATGGACTGCCGTTCCTGGACGAGGGTGAGCTGGACGAGATGGAGTCGCTCGCGGGCTCGGCATCCCACCTTGCTGTCGCTGCGGTGATGCGCCCGGCGGATGACCTCCAAGTGCTAGCGGCTGGCGGCCTGCCGTACGCGGAGATGCAGAGCCTCGTTGAGTCCGCAGCGCGAGACAGCGTCAGGGGCTTCCCCGTGGTCGACAACCAGCACGACATGAGACTGGTCGGCTACGTGCTCCGCGACGCCATTGTCCGCACTCTGGCAGTGCCCCAGGCGCACAGCACTGGCCAGTCTGCTGCTGCTACTACTTTTGTTGGTGGCGAGATGTATGGGCCACGCCAGCAGGTTGTATTCAGCAGCGGACATTCGGACAGCTCGCTGGGCTCGCTGCACGGGCTGGAGAGCGTCGACCATTATGTCGGACAGTCAAGGTCCACTGGCCCTCCAGTCAACTTGGCCGAGCTCGTCAACTCGAGCCCAGTGACTGTGAGGCCGCAGATGTCGGTAGAAACGGTGGTAGAGATATTCTGCAAGCTTGGGCCGCGCGTCATTTTGGTTACCAGCGAGGACGGCGGACACTTGGTAGGGCTGCTGACGCGCAAAGACGTGCTGCGGCATATTCGTGGCCAAAGCCACGTCCAGTGAATCGATGGTACCTTATGTTTGATAGAACGGCAAAACATTCAATGTCGGGTTTAATCACAATATTAAGGTCGAGCCAGGGCGTGTCTGATGCGTGTTTATTATATATCCAGTTCAATACAATTACTTATATAATATATTAAATCAATTAATCAACCGATGACTTCTGCGGGTCGATATACGGTCGAGGCGCTGGCTTCGGTCGGCAACATGTCCATCTTCTCATTAAAAATGTTAGAGTCCGGGGCGACTTCCTCCGAGCGGTCCTTCAGTGTATACACCACGTAGAACATTGGCGGCAGAGAGATGACCAGCAGCACCCAGTTTCCAATAAGCTGGTTCAAGTACGATACGTTCTTGGCATCCAACTGCCAAGCGACCGTCGCTCCCAATGACTGGATGCCCTTGTAGAACCCAGCATAGCGCGACAGTTTCTGGCTGTCGTTCGTCAGCGACCCAATGATCCAGTAGGCAAAATTCTGGTACAGCGCATCGCCAACGCCATAAAGCATATACAGGATGATTGGGCCCGCCGCACGCTTGTGATCCAAAAAGTCAATCAGGCCGCCGGGGTAATCTGTTGGCTCGCCGTTGGGCAAGGGGCCATGTGTGTACTTGTGCTGCATCTTGAGAGTCGCGCCCCAAATGACATTGAAGAACACCGCGACAATACCAAACGCAATCAGCCCGCGCTTCTTGCGTGTCATCCGCGGATTGTCCAGGAGAAACGATAGCGCGTAGGCACCGACCATTTGCGCGCCCCAGTAAAAGATATTGTTGAACCCACGCGTGCGGATATTGAAAATGGACGCGTTGACAGGGCCGAACTGGTACGAGTAAAAGAAATTCGACGTAAAGCACATGGGCAGCAATGCGAGCATCAACGGGTTGAGAAAAAGCTTGGCAATCTCAGCAGCCTCTTTGCCCGCACTCGTGTACTTGACCAGCACGACGGATGCTCCGTCGTCGCGCACAACCTTGGATGGCGGAGCCAGTGCCAGGCCTAGCAGGGCGCCGAGGCATTCGAGCACGACAAATGCAATATACACGCCGTCTGACAACGAGTCCTTAGCGCTATGGTAGTTGATCGCAAATGGAAGAATTCCGCCCAGCATGCCGCCTAGATTAAATATTATCCAGAAAATGGCAATGTACCTGCCCTTCTCCTCCTCTCGCGGATACGACACCATGATCATGCCCTGCGCCGCCCACAAAATCCCAGCGCCTATACCCAGAATCGCGCCAGCCGCAATTGTGAAGGCACCGTTCCCCGTGTGGTTCAGGTAGATGTACGACCCGGAGTACAGCGCGTAGGTTAAGCCTGATGCAGCGATTGTCCAGCGCACGCCGCAGAGATTGACGATTGAGCCGCCAAGAATCCCGAAAACAATAAACGTGCAGTAGAGCGCTGTGTTGGCGTTGTTGCCTGTTGTGCGGTCCATCTGTCCGCCGCCACCCATGCCGTTGAGCGCGTTGAACATGCCTGGACACAAAAAACACACAAATCCAACCAGAATGACTTGCGTCATAGGGCTGTAGTATCGAGGAAGCCTCGCCATATTTGAAAATATAAAGTATTGGTATAAACAAAATGTTGTGAGCAAAAGGAAGAATTGGGGGGAAGTGGGGAGTTATGCCGATTATTTATTATTGGTATTTGCATTGTAAAATTGAAACACAGGGCATACATATCCCATGGAGGCAACACAGATAAGGATGCCAGGCAGGCTACAAGTCTGGTCAACAATTACGAATGACTACCATTATATGCATTTGTCTACAACTGGCCGCTACATCTATATTTGCATACCGAGGCAACTCATATGACCAAAGCCGCATTATACTTTTTTTAATGTGCAGCAGCATGCCGGACACATGATAGGTATTTGTTTCATTGTTCAATTGCAAGTAGTGCCAAGGCTGCCAGCTATTGAAAAATTCTTTGGAATGCTGCTGAGCTTTCTGTTAAAACATATCATGTGTCCCCCTTTTCCTCAGGAACACAACACGCGGATGCAAGCTAAAGATTATTACTGCTGATGAGCTCAGATTAACTCTAAAGTAACCAGATGCAATATTTTTATTGGCATATGAAAAATTAATCTTGGCGCGATACATATTCACGCCAAAATATAAAGACACTGAGTGCGCAGGCATTTTGGCAACTCGGTCTCTCATTGAGCTGATTAAAACGAGCCGTTCACATTGGTTTCAACCATCAAAAAAAAAATCAATTTTCTTGCACTGCAACCCAAAAAAATAGATCATTTCTTCCTCATACATTCAAACTTTGCTTTACACCATATTTCTCGTCTCTTCTGTGTATTTCACTTTTTTCATTTAATTCGATTCAATTCAATATAATTCCATTCCACAATGTTCCGCAGTAACGAAATCACGGCAGTGCAGAAGCCCCTGATTATTCGCGAGGTGAAGGGCAAGGACGTGGATGTTGCCGAAGCTAGCAAGAAAATGAGCAAGTTCTTGAGTAATGAGGCCGGAGTGCAGTCAGCAGTCAGCGGTATCGTGCAGCAGTTGCAGCAGCTGTCTAAGCACTTGGACAGGCACACGAGGCAGTCGACCGGTCAACACAGCGGATCTGACGATGACGAGTAGACGCTAGTGTTTATATATATTTTTTTGCCCTGGCATCAATCAGCTTTCTGTGTGTGTTGTGTATAAATATAAAAAATCAGATTAACTGCTTTTTCCTGTTGATTTGTGTTGGTGCGGCTTTTTATTTAGTTTTTTCAAGCCTGAACCGATTCGCTTTTATTCATTTCCATCTTTACACGCGTCAAGGTGGTTTGATGGGAATATTCGCTTTTTTGCTTTGCGTCTGCTATAATTCCCAATTTCATTTATCTTTCTTCAAAATCATTATTCATTGGCTCTCATTTCGTCTAAGAATCTTTGGCATCAAATCACACGTTTACTAAAAACTCAGGCGCAATACATAATTTAACACAAGAAAAAAAGTAAGTGCCATATCTATATTTATTTTTCTTCCAATTTCGTATACTTGCTGCCAGATCAATCAATAACAAAAATAAAGATAGCCCCAATCGCGCGCACACAGGCTAAATTCAACGCTCTCTGTTTAACGCGTAGGTTTCTGTCATCTATTAAAAATGTTTGGTTCTGGCGGCGGCTTTGGAGGCGGCGGCTTTGGACAAAGTAAGCCCAGCAGCTTTGGAGGCTTTGGACAGGCAGCAAACACGGGTGCCAATACGGGCGGTGGCTTTGGTGCAAACAACAGCAGCAGCATTGGCGGTGGCTTCGGAGCAGGCGGCAACGCCACTGGTGGCTTTGGTGCTGGTGCCGCTGGTGGCGGAGGCTTTGGCGCTGGTGGGGGATTTGGCGGAGGCGCCAGCGCTGGTTTTGGTGGCGGCGCCAGCGGCAGCACGTTTGGCGGCTCAGTGGCTCCCAGCTCGACTGTCGGCGGGTTTGGACAAAGCACGCAGTCCAGCCTGTTTGGCGGCGGCGGTGCTGCGGGAGGATTCGGGTCGAGTGTGACAGCTACGGGCACGGCTCGCGCTGACTTTGAGCCGTACGTGGACCCCACGGGCCTCGGCAACAAGGAGAAGTTTATGAACATTTGCTTCAACAAAGTGTACAAGGACTACTCACCTGAAGAGCTGCGCCTCCAGGACTATGAGGCCGGTCGCAAGAAGGCTGATGCCGCACCAGCGGCTGGCGGTTTTGGTCAGCAGTCTGCATTTGGCCAGCAGCAGCAGACCGGCTTTGGGCAGCAGCAGCAGCCTGCGGCCGGAGGCTTTGGCGCTTCGGCCACTGGGTTTGGCCAGCAGCAGCAGCAGCCGCAGGCGGGCGGCTTTGGCTCTAGCGGCTTTGGGCAGCAGTCGTCTACGACCGCAGGCGCATTCGGGCAGGCGGCCAAGCCGGCCGGAGCATTCGGGTCGGGCTTTGGCGGCGGAAGCGGCATTGGTGGATTCGGCCAGGCTGGCACGGCCGGCGGCAGCCTCTTTGGCTCGTCAGCAGCGGCCAACAAGCCTGCCACCGTAGGCTTCGGCTCAAACGCAGGCGCCATGGGCTCGCGGTTTGGTGCCACAGGCACCACAGGATCCACAGGACCCACAGGATTTGGCGCTTCGGGAACCACCGGCTTTGGAGCACCTGCCGGTACTGGCTTTGGCGCATCCAACACGGGCGGCGCCTTTGGTTCACAGCAGCAGCAGCAGCCCAGCACGGGCTTTGGCGCGCAGTCGACTGGATTTGGCGGCGCCGCCACTACAGGTTTTGGCGCCACACCCGCAAAGCCCGCGTTCGGTGGCTTCGGGCAGCAGCAGCCCGCAGCAGCAGCCGGCGGAGGACTCTTTGGACAGACCACCACAGGAGGCGGCTTTGGGCAGCAGCAGCAGCCGGCGTCGACTGGATTTGGCCAGGCTGCTGGCGGCGCATTCGGCAGTACTGGCGGGGGCCTGTTCGGTCAGAGCAACACCACTGCCCAGCAGCCGGCTGCCAGCGGAGGCCTCTTTGGTCAGAACACCGCTGCCCAGCAACCAGCTGCCAGCGGGGGCCTCTTTGGCGCCAAGCCCGCAGCCCCAGCCACGGGCGGCGGCCTGTTCGGCACCAACACTGCCACAAATGCCACCGGTAGCGGGCTGTTTGGCAACACGGCCAACACTGGCGGCGGTCTTTTCGGCCAGCCCCAGCAGCAGCAGCAGCAGCAGCAGACGGCTGCAGGCGGCCTTTTCGGAAACACAGCGGCCGCTGGCAACACGAGCGGTGGGCTTTTTGGGGCCAAGCCGGCCACAGGCATGGCAGGCGGTTTGTTTGGACAGACCAGCACTGCCGCCAACACCGCTGGCGGCGGCCTGTTCGGCAACGCTGGAGCGACACCGGCCACCGGCGGTCTATTTGGCCAGCCTCAGCAGCCCCAGCAGCAGCAGCCCTCCACTGGCGGCAGCCTGTTTGGCAACGCTGGATCCACCAACACCATGGGCGGCGGGCTGTTCGGCGCCAAGCCAGCCACAGGCACTGGGCTCTTTGGGGCGCCGGCAGCCGGGGCGTCGAGCACTGGATTCGGGCTTGGGTTTGGCGGCAGCAGCCAGATGGCGCAGCCGCAGCAGCTGCAGCAGCAGCAGGCGACCTCGCTGTTCGGCGGGTTTGGCCAGCAGCAACAGGCAGCCGCGCAGCCGCAGGCACCGCAGCCCAGCCTGTTCGCGGCGCAGATCGACCGGCAGCCGTACGGGTCCAGCGCGCTGTTCGACCCGGCCCGGCTGTCAGCCAAGCAGCTTGCGCGCCCGAGCGGCAGCAGCCACCTGACAGCCACGCCGCTGCGCTCGGCGGCCGAGCAGGCGGCGGCGGCAGCGGCTGCGGAAAAGGAGCTAGAGCGCAAGAAGAAGGGCCTCAGCCTGTACTCTGCCGTGCCCAACAGCCGCCTGCGCTCGCGGGGCTTTGCCGCGGGCGGTGGGCCAGTCTCGGTGGGCAGCAGGACGCCGCTGCTGGGCGCGCTGTCGACGCCGTCGGCAGCGACGCCATCGGGCCGTGGCGGCCAGGCGGGTGCGCAGCGCAAGCGCGAGCCCACCGTTGGGCTATTTGGCAGCGACGGGTTCCTGGCGCCCAGCGCGCAGCTGCCACAGTCGAATGTCAAGCGGCTGGTCATCACGCGCAAGCCTGACTTTGGCTCGCAGTCGCCGGCCAGCGCAGCGGCCGCCTCCGGCGCTGCCTCTGCCGAGCCCAGCGCCTCTCCGCCGGCAGCGGCTGCCAGCGTCTGGGTGCCTGAGCCAGCTGAGGGGCCTCCGCCGCGCCGCACGTGCGCTACGGCCGTGCCCACGAGCGAGGACGAGGCTGGCGCCGCCGACGAGTGCGATGGGGCTGGCAGCGCGTCCGGCGGATACTGGATGCGGCCGTCGCTGGCGGACCTGCGCGCCATGTCGTCGCAGCAGCTACGCGCGGTCAAAAACTTTGTCGTCGGGCGCACAGGCGTCGGCCAGGTCAGCTTCAGCCGGCCGGTCGACTTGACGACTGTGGGCTCGCTCGGCGCGATCGCCGGCGGCGTCGTCCTGTTTGACGACCGCGTGTGCACGGTGTACCCGGACGAGACCAACAAGCCGCCGCGCGGCCAGGGGCTCAACGTGCCGGCGACCATCTCGCTGCACGACTGCTGGCCTGTCGACCGTGCATCGGGCCAGCCCGTCGTCGACATGGAGGACGCGCGCGTGCGCAAGCACATCAAGCGGCTGCGCAAGATCAGCGAGACGACGTTCATCGACTTTGTCAACGGCACGTGGATCTTCCGCGTCGAGCACTTTTCGCGCTATGGCCTGGACGACGCCTTTGACGACGGCGACGGCGACGGCGACGGCGGAATGGACGAGCCCGCCCTGCAGCAGCCGCAGCAGGGTTTTGGTAAGGCCACCGCAGAATCTCCTTCTGGAGCACTGAGCCTCATGGGCGGCTCGCGTGCGGTGGCCCAGCAGCAGCCCACGGTGGACGGCACCGGCTCGGTTGCCTCTGCCGCAGTCAAGCACAGAGGTTCCTTTGGTGCCGCGGCCGCCGCCGAGTCGGACTCGGGCGACGAGACCGCTGCCATCAGCGCGTCGTCGGGCGACGAGGAGGGGCCGGCCGCCGCCACACGACTGGCCCAACAGCAGCAGCAAAGGCTGCCTCGCCCCCTGCTGCTAGGCAGCCGACACGCCGAGGCCCTGCGGCACGGCCCAGTGATGCGCGCATCGCTCTTTGCGCCGGCCGCCCTCGGCCCGGGTCCGGCGGCCGAGCCAGCCTCGCTGCGCACCCGGACCTTTGGACGCGTCCAGTCGCGCTCGGCAGCGGTGCCCTTCACGCTGCCTGTGGCACGCTCGTCGGCGCCCAGGCCGAGGCCTGCCCTGGTGTCGGCGCGCCGTGACTTCGGCACCGACTCGCGCCCGGGCTCGGCGCTGGACCTGCCGCCACCCGGCAAGTACCTGCGCGCTAGCGAGACGCGCGTCGCTCGCGCAATGCTGGCGGCGCCGCAGCCGTACGCGGCATCGCTGGCGCATGGGCGGTCGGGCGTCATCTGCGACGCCGGGCTGATGATGGCGCGCAGCTTCCGCGTCGCGTTCGGGCCGCAGGGCCAGCTCGTCTACCTGGGCGCCAGCCCCACGCGCGTCGTCGTCGACAACATTGCACGCCACCTGCACGCGCCCTCGGCGCCCAGCGGCCAAGCGCTGGACTCGCAGCGCCTGCTTCACCTGGCGACGGTGCGCGCGCAGTGGGACCATGCACGTGTCGCCAGCGCCAAGGACGCGCACGCGTGTCCCACCGTGTCGTTCCGCGCCGATACGACGGCCGCGTCGGTCCTGGCCGCGCTGGTGCGCTCGACTGATGCCGTTCTGCCGCAGTCGCTGCCGGCCGACGAGCGGCGCACGCTGGAACTGGCGGCTGCGCTGTTCGACGATCTGCCGCGCGAGGCCGGCAGCGAGCGGCTGGCGCACGAGCAGGCGCAGCGCGTCCTCGCTGTGCGGCGGCGCCAGGCGCTGACCAGGTGGCTGATGGCCGCCGTCCACGACTCGGTGCAGCGCGACCTGCTGCGCGCCGCCGAGAGCCGGTCGCCAGCGGCCGCCGCGGTCTTTGCGCTGCTGTCGGGCCACCGCATCGATGCCGCTTGCCTGGCCGCCTCATCGCACCGCGACTACCGCCTATCGACGCTCGTCGCGCAGTCGGGCGCCGGTGCGGCAGGCGGCGGCGGCAACGACCGCCAGGTGCAGGCACTGGTGCGCGCGCAGCTGGCGCAGCCGAGCGCTGTGGCGGCCGAGTACCGCCGCGTCTACGAGCTGCTGGCTGGAAATGTGCGCCGCGAGTCGGCGCCGTCGGGCGACGTGTTTGTCGCCGAGGGCCTCGACTGGACGCGCGCCTTTGCGCTCGGCCTGTGGTACGCGCAGTCGCCAGCTGATGCCGTCGCGGATGCCGTTGCCATGTACGACGACGCGCTGGCGCATGGCGAGCCGGTTGCCCCGCCGCTGCCGCGCTGGGTCTTTGGCAAGCTGCCGGCCGAGGCGCCTATGCAGCGGCTGCGCGCTCTGGCGGCGCAGTGCCACGGCGAAGCTGCTGGGGCTGCGCGCGTGGCTGTTGACCTGCACGTACGCGGTGTGTGGGATGCCGGCTACCAGCTGCTGCGGCTGTTCAGCCAGCCGGCGTGGCCGCTTGAAAGCGCGCTGCCTGCCGAGTCGTTCTCGCCTGCGCGCGCCGACGCGCGTCTGCCGGCGCTGCTGGCGTGGCTGCTGAGCGCAGTGCGCGGCGTGCGCGGCTTCGACGACGCGACGCTGGGCACGCAGGGTCTCGTGTCGCTGGCGTACGACCGGCTGCTGACCAGCTGGGCGTTCCAGCTCGAGTCGCTGGGCCTGTGGCACTGGGCCTGCTTCCTGCTGTTGCAGCTAACGTCGTCCGGCGACGCACTGAAGGCCCACGCCATCCGCTCGCTGCTCGAACGCTCGCTGGGCAGCTCGCTGCCGACAGGCACGCTGGCGCCGGCCGTGGGATCCGACCTGCTGCCTGCGCTGACAGCGTTTGGCGGCATCACCGCAGTGGCGAACGACGGTGATTCCGATTTGGCCGAGGAGAAGATGGTTGCTTTTGCTCTGCGCCAGCTGCATTTACCGCGCAGGTGGCTTGACGAGGCATATGCGACGCGCAGCCGCTACGACTGCGACTGGGTTGCGGCGCACGTCTCGCAGTACCGGCAGAAGCAGCGGATCCAGCCTGCTGCCACTGCTGCTGACAGCGTGGTGCCTGCTGCTGTGTCGGGTTCTTACTTTGGTCAGTTCGCTCCTGCTGCGGCTGCCGCTGCAGCCCCAGCTGCATCTGTTGTTAGCAAGGCCGCTTCCCCGCGCGTGCTCGATGTCGTCGCCGAGGCCACTCTGCGCCAGGTCGCCTGGCTGCTGAGCGCCGGCCATCTGGCGTCAGCCCACACGCTGGTGCTGCAGCGCATCGCCCCCGATGCCATTCTGCGTGGCGACTACCACCTGCTGGCGCGCGTCCTCAGCCACCTTGACCCGACGGCATCGGGCTCTGCCACTATCACTACGCACTCACGCGTCCCGCTGGAGCAGTGGGCATCAGGCGGCCACGTGTACTCGCTGTTCCTGTCTGCCGTCAACGGCCTGCCTGCCGTGCTCAAGCGCATTGCTGCAGACGACAGTGACAGTGACAATGACAGTGACGCCAGATCTGGCGGCGGCATGGACGCAGACTACCTGCAGCAGCAGATTCGCCAGATCTACCAGCAGATGCTTGCTCTGCTGGATGCGCTGCCCTCGCTGTCGGCCAAGTTTAACGTGCCATCGGAGGCGTCTATTGGCCTGTACGATGGTGCGGGCGCATGCTGGTGGTACTCGCGCGATGAGTCAGCCGAGCTCAAGGTCAAGTACTCGGTGGCAGTGTCTGACATGGCGTCAGTCATCACCAGGTTTATCCAGGAGCTGGAGGCCTGTGTGCCAGGTCTCTCACTAGCAAGCGCCGATGCTGGCAACATTGGCGGCGGTGACGGCGACGGCGACGTAGGCATGGGTGTTGCTTCTCGACAGTGCTACTTCATGTCGCCTGCCAACTCGGCCGCTCTCCCGCTTGCACAAGATATGCGCATCTTGCGCACATACCAGATGGCCAGATCATGCTTTGACTCGCTAGTTGGCGGTGAGCTTGGCGCTTAGCCAGGAGCTTAGTGATATGTCTCTCGGGTTGACCTTTTTTCTTTCTAAATAGCAATATTTTTTAATTCAATCGTGAACTTACAAACTGACGGATCTTAGACCACCTTAGCAGGTCTTTGACAATTTCGGATGGCTGGCAGGCCAACCCCTTTTCGTGTTGATTGATACTTAATCTGCTGATTGAGCTACAACAGAGATAAAAACTGTCAACTTTTATTCCCATGTCATCCTTTTCAGCCTATCCATAAACCAATTTGCTTCCATTCGCTTGCCAATAATTATCATTGGAGAAACACTTTCCTATAATATTTATATAATATGGTTACAAGTTGCTTGTGGAAAGAGAATAATTTTTTAAAAGGTAATGTATTAAATATTATAAAACCATTAATAAATGTTTTTGATTCAAATATACTGTTATGAGAGGGGGTGGTGCAAGGAGCACTACAGTGGTAGTGTTAGAAAAGGGGGGAGGGCGAATTTATAAAGGGTTTTATTACTAATGTTTCTAAAGTACTACTAGCACCGGCCTCGTATTATATATGTATTTCGTCGTATTTGTTGTGCACATTGTCAATTGTCTACTATATTGGTGAGATATGTTTCTTATGCGAGCAGACCGGTATCTTAGCAAGTCAGTGTTGGAGTTTTCGCATATGTGCGCTCATGCGTGTACATTGCAAAATAGGGAGCATATCTGGCCATCATTATTATGGCCCCTAATTTACTCCCGCATAATCCAATTTGTACCCTATCAATCGGCATGCAGATGGAAACTTGTTTCACGATTCTCAACCTCAACATCCACTTCCATATCTTTGAGCTGTGCAACAATAGAACTCCTGGATTTCAAGATGAAAATTGAATATTATTTTGGAACGAATTAAATGAAAAATTAGAAAATACCGAATGCATACCAAACAACACCTCCTTGTGGGGGTCAATTATAAATGAGGTTTTAAATTATATGGTTTGATAAAATGGCAAATGGCCTCTCTGTCAGCTCCTGCCAGCCTTGTCTCATATCCAGGTTCCAGCTTTTTTGTCCTGGTAGTGGGCGTCCACATGCTTTTTGATTTCCTCAAATATGCAATCTAGTGATGCAGGATAGACCTTATTACGTTATAAATATAAATATATATATTGAATAAATGAACTAAAAGAAAACTAAGGGATGAACAGCCTCCACTGTTCATATTCATTGGTATTTATGTGTGCGTATGAATTCCCACATATCCAAGTAGGGAATTAACTAGAGATTGATTAATGAATCAATCGCCGGAGACAAGCCGCAATTTCTTGTATCACAGACCTGGAGTCTGTTGATCGTCTCAATCACAAGATTTGCGGCTGGATCTTAAAGATCCCAATGAAAGTTCTCTTGCATTCAGAATTTTATGCTCCCGTCGTGGACACATGAAGCATGTGGCTTTGTGTCTCAATTGGCCTGACAGCCAGGTGACGGATCATAGACGCATCTCTGGTGCAGTCTATGCGTTAGGGAGTCACTTTTTTATAACAATGAATGGCAGAGCCACTGTGCTCCCAAAAGAAACAATATAAGCTCAAAATCAATGCGCAAGGAAAAAGAATAATGGCGATTGGAAATTAATCCGTAAATATAATTATTTCTTGTTTCCATGTTTCAGCCAACCAAATGCAAGCATGAGAAGCTTAAGGTTTTTTGTTTATATTAAAAAAATTGTTTTTTGTTTTTGGCGCAATCCATCGCAACAGATTTTCACCTTTGCAACTTTCCACCTTTACTTTTACTTTTAATATTTGCTTTTTTTTCCAATTCGCACCATTTCGTTCAATTTGTTTTTCTTCACTTTTTATTACTTTTACCATACCTTGGTGCTTATCACACACACACACACACTCTCTCTCTCTCCCTCTCCCTTCTCTTTCTATTTCCCTTTCCCTTTCTCTCAATGATGTCTGAGCTAGCTCCTCTGAAGAAGACTCCACCGAGTCAAATAGGCGTAAGTACTTGAATATAAACGGATTGTTATGATATTGATGAATTGTTTGTTGTTGTTTATTCTGTGTGCATATAAAACTAATTCGGTCACATTTAAAACATTTTGTATTATTTTTTATTAGAACAGCAAGACAGGCGGTACTATCCAAACACCCTCAAAAAATCAAAAAAAGGAGGAACTGCCACCCGGGGAATCGGAACCCCCCGAAGTACGCGATAAGCGCCGTCAGCGGCTGCTGAAATGCCTTGGCGATAACATAGAACACAACTATTTGTTCAATGCCTTTGTTGAATCTCTGGGTGTGAAGGAGCGGTATGAACGGTTCATCAAGGATTGGCCTGATCTCTTCCTCAGCATAGCCAGAGGATCGCCAGTGGCTGATAGCAAAGGCATCGTAGCCAATACAGGTCGCTCGGAAGCCAGACTCAGGGGGTTGCCCTTTACTGACGTTTTCATATCTTACCCGAAGTTGATGGGGTTGACTAAGGAAGCTCGTTTGGTCGAATATTTTATCTTCCTCTTCGACGCAATGGTCAATGCAGTTCGTGTCGCAAATAAAGATATTCCAGCAGGCGGAACTCCAATCCCAGCGTGCAGGCTTAATCTGGATGAACATCAGACTGATGCTATACCAGGCACACCGCACAAGCCAGATATCACGTTTTATCACAACTACATGACATATGACATTCAATCCGTCCATGCTATACTCGAGGCCAAGATGGATTCGAACCCCAAGAGAACCCCAGAGGATACTCGTGGCCAGCTCGCAGATTACGGCTATTTGCTCAATGATCAGCAGGCAACCCGCACGTTTGCGCCTATCTTCTACCTCCATGGGCACCTCCTGACGCTTCACGCATATTATCGTGACAAACTGTACATCGTCGAGCTTGGCCAGCTATGCTTTAATACGGGTCGTTGGACACCTGAACTAGCTGGAAGAATTCAGTCATGCCTCATGCGGCTTTGGTTCCTGCTGACTCTTGAGTCTGACATTTTCGGGCATTTCTGCGATGTCTCAGAGGAATCTGACTCTTTCTTTTTTTCGCAGAAAGTCAATGTGGAGAGCAAGGGCGATTCGAAGATCGAAGTCTTATACTCAGCTTCCAAGCATGTCAAGGATGTCAAGGATGTCAAGGATGTCAAGGATGTCAAGGATGTCAAGGATGTCAAGGATGTCAAGGATGTCAAGGATGGCGCTGCTCTGTTTTGTATCAAGGAGACAATAGCACGTTATTCATACATGATTGGGCGCCATGTCCATTTATTCAGGGGGACTTGCAAAGGTCGTGATGCTGTGCTGAAGCTTTCCTGGACCCCAGTCAATCGTTTGCCCGAGGGCGCTGCATACGCCATCCTCAACAAGAGACCAGTCGAATGTATTCCCAAGATCTTTTCGAGTGGCCTGCTCATCAGCGACCTTAATGGATACCGGCTGGAGTTTGTGCTCATGGAATACTGCGGCCAGTCAATGGCCGAGTACCTGAAAGTCAAGACCAAAAAGGAGATACGCAAGCTAGTTCCTAGCTTTGTCAAGCAGCTGACCCTGTGCCTTGCCCAGGCAAATGACACTGGTGTCCTGCACAGGGATATCTCAGCAGGGAATGTGTGCATCAAAAACGACAAGGTGTATGTCATTGACTGGGGCTGTGCCAAGGTCATTGGCTGGGGGACTACTAAGGATGCTGCCAGGGATGCTGCCAGGGATGCTCCTAGGGATGCTGCTGAGGACACTGATGAGGACACTGATGCGGAGACTGATGCGGAGACTGATGAGGATGCCGCTGAGGATGCTGTTGAGGATCCCACTGAGGACATTGGCCCAACCCAACTTAAACATATTGAGGTTGCCGAGCAGTGGGGGTTCAATGCAACAACAGTGGGACAGGTGGAGGTGGCCAAAGACCCATTTACAGGGACGCCGCTTTTCATGGGAATTCCCATGCTCAGCAGCAGCCCCATCCGGGGAATCCTTGACGACATGGAGAGTGTTTTCTATGTCGTTATGGATGCAGTGCGCCCAGCCAGCACTAATAGGGATGATGTTCAGGGGTTCAAGTTCTTGGACTCTCCATCCCTCGCCATCACAAGGTGGGGTTTGATCCAAGGTGGTGGTATCTTGCTGAAGGGCTTCAGTGTTGATGGTATTAGCCCTAGTCTCAAAAAGCTCATTCGTGCAATGCGCCGGTTCCTTTTTGAACCAGAAAATAAGGTTATGAACCACCGGCTCTGGTCAAACAAGAAATTTGTCCGGCAGGCCAACTGGGATGCTGCTCCTGAGTTTATGCATCCCAAGGCGATTGAGCTCCTCAAAGAGGATAGTGGCCAGCTTAAGCGACCAGCTGAGGACGAGATCAATGCTGGGTCATTCAAGAAGCTAGCACTTTAGGTTTTTTTTGTTTTTAATAAATCTTTTTACGACCCAAAAAATCAACTGCAAAAGATAAAATATTTACATTTTATTCATTTTTTCTTCACGTTTAATAGAGATTAAAACTCTTGTCTGTCCCTCTTTTATTTACAGATTCACCAACCCACCGATCACCTTTCGCCGATCACTTTAACTGTAAACAACATACTTTTAAACTCGCACATTGGCCAATTTTACTTGAACATGGTTGATTTCATCCATAATTTTCGATTTTTGCTATTTTGCCAAATGATTTCAATTTAACGTTATTCTTTCTTTATTTTTCCTTTCCTTTCCTTTCCAATTCACATTTCGTAATTAACAAATTACTGTTCTTTTTTACACCCTTTCAATATTCTTTTGCTAGCATAGACGATAGCTGGTACCACCTTGCAATTGGCGTCGGAGCAGCACTCGGCACATACCGGGTACTTTCGCATCTTTTAGACCAATCACAGTATGAGTTAGATTTCTGCTGCACACAGCCAAAGACAGCAACAGCGACACGCCTGATATTCCAGGACCAATAATCCCAAAAGGGAGTGCGGACAATGAGGCAGAATTGGACATTCAGATGCCCGAAATGGTTAATTCCTTGGGATAATTGGCGCTGAATTCAGAAAACTTTAAGCTGCTGGATACTGTGTCTGAGCTGCTGCTCGATACGGCTATGCGGTGAGAGGTGCTGCAGCTGATAGTTGTGCAGGATCAGGGCAATTCAGCAGCAGAGGGGGGACTGGTTGAGGACAGTTGTGTTGCTGCATGTGCTGCTAATGACACTGCAGTGGGATGGCAGGGTAGTTTGGGCTGACGGCACATGCAGCAGGAAGCTGGCGGCAGGCTGCTTGAGGTGCTCAGCGAAACACTTATGCAGTCAGCCAACAGCTCAGCTTGAGGCAGCAGTCAGACTCTGTGATTGTGTTGGTATGTGCAGCCATGGTAAAGCAGTTTGCGCTGCGTACCGAGTACCACCGGCGGATGATCGACCTGGTATTTCTGTCTGCATTGCTCAGTGTCGCACGCCAGTCAGTGCCTGAGCTTGAGCTTTTGCGCATGCCGGTGGAGAGTCTCGTGTGGCTGTGTACTTTTCTCACAGCATATCGGCTGGCAGCAGCAGAAGAAAATGCAATGGAGATGGCAAATCCACAGATGGTGCAGCTGCTGGAGCTGGGCACTGTTGATGTCATCCCCGCGTGTGTCTGCAAGGATGACCAGGTTCAAATGGGTGTTACAGTTCAGGAGCTATTGGGGCAACCATTTTAATAAGCATTCGCATAATTTGTGCATTACACACTCTCGGCTCTTGTTAGAAAAATAGTTTTATGACACTCACATCTACATCCTCCTCTTGGCTTAGAATGAATGGATATATTTACAGCCATACCATTTATTTATTTCTAATATGTATTCTTTACTTAATTGGGTTTATTTATTCTATTCTATTTTGTTCTGTCAAACTTGGCTTTTATTGAAACAACCTTTTTAGCCTTTACATACAATGTTGCACAGCCAAATAATATGGATGTGAATGTTGAGATTGAGATTCAAGTGACTGTTTTTCTTTTGCATGCCGACTGATAGAAGGCAAAGAAGATTATAGAGTATTAGACCAGGAATTCAATAATATTATCCAAATATGATTGCCTTTTTATAACATGCACGCATACACAAAGATTGCAACACCAAAACACTCAATATTTGAGCTGCTTGCAGAAAATTCAGTACTCGGCATTAGTGATTATAACGGCTAGTGTTTAAGACAGGGCAGGGTCGAGGATGGCACACACACACATATATGCGTGTGCCAAACTCGACCTTAATTATACTTTTGATTTCTTTTGTAATAATGTTATGTAAGAGGGGGTGTAAAAAGCACTAGTTGTCTAGTGTTATAAAAGTAGGGGTAATTTTATAAAGTTTTATTACTAACTTTTATAAAATGTTGCTAACGCCCGCCTTGTCCTATATATGTGTCTTGTCGCCTTTGTTGTGCACATTGCCAATTGTGCACTCCATTGGCAAAAACTAATTCTTCTGCAAGAAGACCGGTATTTTGGCAAGTCAGTGTTGTGGTTTTCGTGTGTGTGCACTCACGCGTGTGCATTGCAAAATGGGGAGCATGTCTAGACATCATTATTATGCCACCCTAATTTACGTCTGCATAATCCAATTAGTACCCTATCAACTGGCATGCAGATGAAACCTTGTTTCACGATCCTCAACCTCGACATCTACTTCCATATCTTCAGGCTGCGCAGCATTACATTAACGTTGCTATTTTTGAGCTGCACTAGATGTGGTTTTGCAGAACAGGCTGTATAAATGGGGCCATAGATTATCTAAGTGAATATGCCCATCTCGATCCTAACGAATAACTCCTAATTGAATGTATCATTAGTTGTACACTCTCCAATATCTCCTGTTTTTTCTTAACAAAAAGCTGAAGCATTTTTTTGCTGCGATAGCTTTTTGCTGCAATGGTCTCCAATACCAATCGCAATCCCAAGCAAATGTCAATATAGCCACATTGTTTGTATGCTTGCTGTCATCACTTATTTTATATTTATTTTTACCAACGCTCTCTTATCAACTAAACAGCAAACTAAGCACAACGCAGATTAACATGGACAAGTGCCCAATAGTTGTACATGTATTCGTGTTTGATGGCTGTTGCACATGATCAACTAAAACACAGACTAAATCAGCGGCTGCAAAAGTGCATGCAAACTAAAATTATGCAATTTATTATTCTAATATTCTAATATTATCTGATTTTTTCGAGCGATATTTACAAAATTCATTCTCTTGGCTTTTTCAGTCTAATTTTTGTAATTGTACTTTTCAATGGAAATTTTGGGTGTGGTATGTACAGTGGTTTTATTTTCTGCCATGATGAGCGGCAAAGACAAAAATTAGCAGTTAAAAGTAAAGTGCCATTTAAAAATCATCACCACACAAATGATAGCTGTTTGAAGCTCATAAAGCTTCGAGTGCAAAATGTCGTTGGACGCTCAGAGATATTTGCAACTAGTTGTCATGTCTTTGGGTTTGGTACATGCGCTACTCTTTCTAGCCATGCCCATGTTGTGATTTTGTGAGGAGCCCATCCAGACGCTGGCAATCTGGAGAAGGTATATGGGTAAACCCCGCCCTTCTCCTATTCCGCTGCCTCTGATTTCAGGTCTTAGGCGTGTCGCCAGCCGGATTCATATTGAACAAATGTTCTGTGGGCCCCCGTATATACCACAGTTACGGGTCTTATGGAATGGAACCAGCCCGATTTTTATTAAAAACCATGGGTCTATTTTATCTCCAGGTTTTTGTTAAGTGTTTTTTTGACACACATATATACCCCCAGACATGACATTGATGAGACCAGTTGCAGATATCTTACCAAGTGTTTACTAGACACACATTATTTTTTGTGATGTGCGAATGAGCGTGGCTGTGGTAGACGGCGGATATAATATATGGGCTGGTGTAGTGAAATGGATGACGCTGCGCAAAAACTGTTGTATGTGTCTGATCCCCTCCCACAAAAGTTGTGTATTGTGAACCGATAATCCATGTTGAAGTCAAAGTTGATGCTGCTGCATGTGCGCGCGTGTACTGTAGTCGTGATGCCCTAATGTTAGATAAATATGTGTGTATTAGAAAAAAGGTAGTAGTATTTTAGAGGAAGTGGTGGTTGTTGGGAGGGAGATAGGGAACAAAAAAAATATTTTGGAAAGTGAACGTCTTTTTTATATAAAATGAGACATACAAATAGATGGAAAAGGGCAGCAAAAAAGTCCTGCCAGTTGAAAAAAATGGAAAAATGAAAACGCAGTAGGTTTTTTTGTGTTCTGTCAGCCTGAAATATTTTTGCACTCTTTTTGTGCACCAAGAGTGTTGTTTTAGGTAATGACACACTCCAAACCTGTCAAAAAATGGCATCTGCATAAGCGTCAGCGCGCACAACAGCAGTGGCAGCAACAGCAACCGGGGCAAGAGTGGTGAATGAAAAGAGCTGCATGTTGAAAATGATGGTTGCTGGTAAATAAAGTAATGTTTGTGGTTGTGAGTAAAAAAGAAACAAGAGTACCTAAAGAACTACCAACTGAATATTCGAAAAACCATGTCTTATTTATACATGGGAATTTAGCAATAATGGAAGCAGCATCCTGTACATGTCATTGCTGGAAATGATTCATCATTTTGTGAACATGCTTTTAAAGCGCTGACATCCAATGCTATACAAATCAGTTTGTGAATTGACTCCAATAACTTCTCACAGTAAAGGCACATGGATTTGCATGTTGCCTTACTGAGATTAATTGATTACGTGCATGGCAAGTAAGCAATGGTGATAGGTTTTATTATAGGTTATTTACATGCCAGGGAGAGCATATAAGAAATGGCTATTAGGCAGCCAAGAATTGATCTTGGAAGAAATAAATATAATCTTTTGATTAATATCATTGGTTGATGGCA